AAAAACGGCTACGGCAAGGAGGATCGCTTACTGTGCAGGATGGACAGGATTTGCAAGCCCAGAGAGATGTTGAGGTGCAGATACGGGCGGAAACACAGGCGGGCAGTGGTCGGAAGCCGAGGATCGAGACGCGCACGCGGCGTTGTGGCAGATGCGGCGAGCCTGGCCATAATGCACGCACCTGTCAAGGAGTTGCAAAAGTGCCCGAGGAAGACCATTCCGAGTAATTTCAATCATTTTTGTCAGTGTTGGTTGAATCATGTTGAAATTTGTTGTGCAGATGTGTTTTTGTGGGACGTTCGCATGTCTGGGACGTTCGCTTATCATGTACGTTAATAGATTATAGTTTTATCAAGCGGTATCATTTGCAATGTATGGTGGAAGCAAAAACGAAGTAGGGTTAGGAATAAGTGTCATGTTTGTAGCCCTGTATAGTACAGTGCGGCTAGCAGCATGATGTCAAATGCCCTCCTTGTTGTAAATGCTCCACGGTAAGTTCCTCGCTAACGAACAACGCAAGGTTGAGTACTCCTTACTCCGTGCCTTACCATTCCCAATCCTCGACTTCACGCCGTCACACAACCTTCGCGGGCATCCAATCCAGTGCATCGTCTGGCCTGCTGCCATTCGCCCGCCTCGGACTTGGCTTCTTGTTGGAGCTGTCGTCCGCCCGCACCCAATCGCACCATCATTTCACGCGCTCGTGTCAATCAATGTCCGATTCTCCAATTGTCCAATTTCAACCCATCCCATACACCTCCCCAATCACTCGGCAGCACATGTCTGCCGGCTGCTGATAGGCTTCTCCGCTTCGGCATTAGGGCTAATGCATCGGAAGAAGACCAGGAGCTTTGCCAGCTCAGAGCCTTGCCAGGGGCGAACTGCGGGAAGTCGTTGAAAGTCGGACGTGTCAGATATTATAGGCCCAACTGCCGGTGGAGCCCAGCAACCGTGGACCCCGCATCGACGATGGGTCATGCTCCGGACCTGAGACCCCGGTCCGCCCGGAAGAGGAGCCGGAGCCGGAGCGGGAGCCGGAGCCGAGACTTCGGACCACGCCTTGACCGACCGGCGAAGCATCCCAAGCGTGGACCGGAACCGGCCGACGCCGTTGTCAAGCATGGATTGCTCGCCCAATATTATCCCGAGATCCAAACGTTGCGCCAGTATGCCCTGTCGAAACTGCCCCCGTCTTCACGCATCCGGCGCAGGAGAATCGCATCGCTGGGACTGGGCCCACCTTCCCCGGAACGGCCCTGCACCGAAGAAGAAGCAGCCCTTGGGGAGCTCCTTGACTCAACCATCGTCACTCGCCGTCAGCAGGCTGAGGCCAACCATGACCACCGCTGGGAACAGTGGGCCGGCTTCTCGCAGAAAGGCGACGAGTCGTACGTGACTCTTTCAGACGGGCTCAAGGGATCCATCTACTCGCAGTCAGAGGTGGGATAGTGATCTTCGGGCAACCAGTGAGACGGAATGGCTTACCTGTTTGTGCTTCAAGATCGTCGACTTCGCCGTTTGGGTCCTCTTCTCTCGGGAAAGCGTTGGATCTTGGCCCAAGCATCTCCTCTGCGACGGCTTTCGGAGACAGGCCTGCCCAAATAACAGATCTGCCTCCGCCGCCGGCATTACGACGACAATTCCGGGCTTGTGTTCAATTTATCCGAACCAGCACGTGCAGACGCTGAAGGCCTCTCCTTGGCCTCAGCTACTCATGCAGTTGGGCAAGGAAGGGGAGCGCATCATGATCGGTCTCCTGCTTGACTGCGCAATATTCAGGCCTGTGAAGGCGGGTAAGGGGAACTTCCACCAACTGAGCGGGATCCCACTCTCGGAACTTGAGCCCTTGATGAACGTCGGGGACAAAGGAAAGTCCCCGCCAACGGCTTCAGACACGAAAAATGTGGCACTTCGGCCATCTGATATCTCCTTTGTCAGGAGTAGAATGCTTTATGCTAGGGCTGCTCTCAACGCTCAAGGCCTTGTTCACTTTGGCTTGCGCCATATCCGTGTGTTTATTCCCCATTTCCACAATCACGGACTTCAGGCTAACACCACGAGACGTCTTGAATCGGTTTCCGTACACCGGCACGCCAACAGCCCTACCAGACCGACATGATGAGGGTACCATACACGTCATGATGTACATGTTTCCTCGGCAGTTCGGCCTCCACAACGTGTTCACATCGGCTGTAGACCGCCAACAGACAGCCCAAAAATTCCACGATTACACGCTCCGGGAAGAGGAGATCAAAACGAAATTTCCACCGTCGGAACGCGGGGCCACACCCCGCAAACATGTCTCTAATCGGCTCAGAGGCAAGGCTATGCACCTGGTCCAACGGTTCCGGGTGTTTCACGCACGCTGCTCTTACGCAGAGATGTTGCACCATTACTGCCCGGTAAGTAAATGGGTTGCCCATACGAGGGCCTCTACTCACTCGCCTAGGTACCCGCGCAAGTTGGTGACCAGAGACCAACCCTACCGGCTTCTAGTAGGACTCTGCCGTCGTCTTCCAGGTCATCAGCAAAGCCTGCGAAGGGCGGAAAGCGGTCAAGGCCCTCAGCCGCGCCTGTTCCGAACCTCCAGTATGCCGCTCTCACTGAGCTGGCCACACCCATCACCAGTGTCTCGGCCTTCTGTCAGGCCGTGGTGGTCAAAGTCATACCGAACGAGTTCTGGGGCCAGGGTCCTACTCAAGAGCATAACAAAGCATGCTTCCTGAGAAAAGTCCACCACTTCATCCACCTTCGGCGATTCGAGAGTATGTGTCTACACGAAGTGATGCAGGGAATGAAGGTAAGGTAAGTGTATCTTGCTTTTCAACACGCGCTGACGGCAACATAGATCAGTGATATAGAATGGCTCACGCCCCCTGGATTGGGCTGCCAGAAGACCTCTCAGTCAGACATGAGGAAGCGGACCGAGATTTTTTACGAGTTCCTGTACTATCTTTTCGATTCTTTTCTGATACCACTGATTCACAGCAATTTCTACGTCACCGAGTCCACTGTCGACCGGTACCGTCTCTTTTTCTTCCGCCATGATGTCTGGCGCTACGTGGCCGAGCCAGCCATGGCCGCTCTCAAGACAAGCATGTTTGAGGAGGTCAAGACGGAAGATGCTCTCCGCATTTTACAGTCTCGCCGACTGGCCTACTCCCAAGTGCGTCTCCTGCCCAAACAGAACGCGATGCGGCCCATCATGAACCTGCGCCGGCGGACGCTGCTTAAAGGAGGTAAAAAAGTACTGGGACCCAGCATCAATACCATCTTAGGCCCAGTCAACTCGATGCTCAAGCTTGAAAAGGTGGGAAACTCCACGGCGCTTCACAAGAAAGGTATGGCAACTAACCGTCACAGTCTCGGAATCCGGACCGCCTGGGATCCTCGCTGTTCTCTGTCGGAGATATTTACCAGCGCATGAAAGCGTTCAAGGGCAAGCTCGGCGGTGGGAACCACACGTTCTACTTTGCCAAGGTGGACGTCCAGGCGGCCTTTGACACGATCCCTCAGCGCGCCATGGTCGACCTGCTGAAGCACATTCCCCGGCAGACCTCGTACAAGATGCTAAGGCACGCCGAGATCGCCCTGCCGGAGTCAGCGTCAGATACTGCCCCGGAAGCCGCCACCAAGCCGATCAAGCGGTGGCACACGACGGCCAAAGCCAATAACGACACGCGCAGCTTCCCTGAGGTGCTCGAGTCGTCTCTCGCCGCCAAGAAGAAGCACACCGTCTTCGTCGACAGCGCCGTCCAAAGGGCCCGCGATACGGGGGAGCTCCTGGCGCTCACGGCAGCCCACATCGAGCAGAACCTCGTCCGCATCGGCAAGAAGTACTACCGCCAAAAGGCCGGCATCCCCCAAGGGTCGGTGCTGTCGTCGACGCTCTGCAACTACTTCTACGCCGACCTGGAACGCACGCAGCTCGCGTTCCTGTTGCAGGCCGAGGACTGCCTGCTGCTGCGTCTGATCGATGACTTTCTCCTCATCACCACTGACCGGGGCAAGGCGAGCCGGTTTGTCGACGTCATGCATAGGGGTGTGCCCGAATATGGGGTGGCGGTCAACCCGGGGAAGAGCCTGGTAAATTTTCCGCTGAGAGTGCGTGGGACGGACGTGCCGAGGGTGGAGGATCGGGGCAAGTTTCCGTACTGTGGGTTGTTGATTGATTGTGGGACGCTCGCGGTGACGAAGCAGAGGGAGGCGGGGAAGGGTTCGGGTGAGTCAAGTCTACGTCGTCTTACGGCCTCCATTTCCCACCTCGACGGCGATGTTACTGACGGCATACAAGCGGTCTTCAACTCCCTCACGGTCGAGTACTCGCGCTGCCCAGGCAGGAACTTCAAGCGGAAAATCCTCAGTAAGCACCCCGCCCTCTAACCCCGTCTTATTCCATCCTACACGACAACCCGTAGATCCGGATATTCTGCTAACCCAGCCCCAAGACGCCTTCAAAATCCAATCCCACCTTTTGTTCTTCGACACGTCGCACAACTCGCACCGCGGCGTGCGAGGGAACATCTATGCCGGATTTGTCGAGACGGCGACCAAGATGTGGGCATATGCGCGGTGCATGCCCGGCCGGCCCGGGACGGCTCTACTCGTCGGTAGGTTTGCCAGCGATATCCACATCCACGCCCCATTACCATGCCCACGCTGGCTGTGGAAGAGCCAAGATCGGTGATTATATACCGAGGGCCCGAAGGCTGACGAACTTTCTGTGCAGATACGATCAAGACGCTGATTGATGTAGCATTTGTGCTTCTGACGAGCCGGGCGAGGAAGGAGCGGTATCCTGGGTATGCGTGTAGTGTGAATAGATGGGAGGTTGACTGGTACGTCTCGTTATTATATTTTCTCTACTGTTATCTCCCTTTATTCCCCATCATTTATTCTCCGTTTTCTACCCCTATACTCTTATTCTATTTTCTCATTCCTCATTACTCGTCTTGTATTTTTCTTTTCTTGAATTGTTTCCCATTTTTGTCTCTTCCTTTCTTCGTTGTCCCTTGCTTTCTCTTATTTTCTACTGTCCCGTCCAATTGGGATAATAAATGCTGACGAGGCCAGGCTTGCCATGGTGGCATGCAGACAGGTGTTGATTAGGAAGCAGACGGGTTATACGGAGGTGATTGCATGGTTGGAAGAGGAGACCCGGAAGCTCTCTGGTCGGAAAGGGCTGGATGTTGAAGGGCTGGTTGCGGTTGCGAAGAAACACCCAGTGGCGAGCGGCAGTAGGAAGCTGAAGTTGTAGCTGCTGAACCAGCTCAGCTCCCTCCCCAGACCCCGATCCCACATGTATTGTGACACGGAGCCATCAAGTATTTCACACGGCTGTGAGGGAGGAAGGCGGTCATGATCAAGATCAAGTATTTCTAGTATCAACGCATGATTCAACTTATCTCACCCGCATTGCCGGCTCTCACATGCCTGTTGGACACATCACTTATGACTAGCAGATGGAGGAGACACAACCCAACCGAAAGCGAAACAAAATCTGCAGAGTACTCATCAAGAGAAACATCTAACAACACCAAGGCACTAAATACAAGACAGCAGAACCCATCTAAACACATCAACCGAAAACAAAACTGAACAATTAGAATTCTCATGCATTGATCGCTGCCATGGTCGTCGTCATCATCTCTGTGTGAGAAACCAAAACCATAAAGCAGACCGCCAACTCCACCCAACCAACAGCGAAAAACCAAACCATAACAAAAGAGAGAAGAAATAAACGAGGCATTATTTTGCATACCCTTGAAATCCCAGCCCCATCCATTCTATTTTCCTCATACAATCCCCCATCCCACAGGGTGAACCCCGTCCTCCAAACCTTAAAGATAACCACCAGCTCCCTCCATACTAATGTCACTGTGCGCAACCCCGACACCGCCCTTCACACTACTCCCGGCGCCCCGGGGACTCCTCTCCCCGGCATTCCCACTCAGACTCCTCGCCTCAAGACTGACCCCACCAGCATCCGACACAGGCGTCATCAGCCTCCCGACGCCCTGTTTCGCCGCACGCGGCCTCCCATTCCACGCCGCGACGAGCACCTGCGCGGGCGTAACGACAATCTCGTCCTCGCCTCTCCCCTCCTCATCCCCCTTCCTCAGCACCAGGGGGAACAGCACGACCCTCACCGTGGCATTGGCGGCCTCGAGCTCCTCGTTGGTCTGCTCGGCGGAGCCGCTGGCCTCGTTCATGAGGGCGGCATTGAACGAGACCGTCTCGGTCAGCTCGCCCGTATCGTCGTACTCGGGCTGCAGGGGCGGGAGCATCATGTATTCTGCGCGCTGGCAGCGCATCTCGATGGCCATGGCGACGGCCTCGCGGACGACGCGGCGGAGCTGCGAGTGGATCTGGTCCTCGAGGTGGGAGGGCGGCGGGAGGATCTTGGACAGCGTGTCGAGGATGGCGCTGACGACGGCCTCGGTGTCCTGGTCGCGCTGCTTCTTGAAGGACGGGCGGCGCGAGAGGAGGGTGAGGGTGACGGCGCGCCACTGGCGGACGGCGTGGGGCGGGCCGACCTCGACGAGTTGCTTTTCGAGCGTCTTGAGCTTTTGGCGCTGCTCGCGGTCCATGCCGAAGAGGTAGCGGGTGAAGACGAACTCCCAGATCATGGTCATGGTCATGCTCATGAAGATGTCGCGGCGGCGAACGCGGTCGTTCAGGTATGTGTCGACGTTGGAGCCGTCGAGGACGGCATTGTCGAGGCGGTCGATGAGCTTCTCGTCGCTGAGCTCCGACGTCAGGCGGCAGGCGCGCATGTCGCTGAACTTGGAGAAGCGCAGCACCCATTGCTGCACGTGGGCACACAGCTGCTGACAGCGGTGGTCAAAGTAGTCAATGTCGTGGATGTCGAGGAAGTCCGGGCTGTCGGACGGGCGGGTCTGCTCGAGGATCTGCTGCTGCAGCTGGCGGATCTGGGCGGTGGAGGCCTCGAGCTGGGAACGCAGCTGTGCAACCTCGGCGTCCTTGTCCTGCAGGGCGCGGGCGTGCTGGGACGAGGCTTGCCGGGCCAGCTCGAGCTCTTTGGCGGTCTGGGTGTGCTGGGACTCGAGGCGGCGGATCTCGTCGTGATGCTTGACGGCGATGGCTGAGGTGGAGCTGCGCAGGCCCTCGTTAGTCTGCTTCAGGCGGTCGATGACCTCGTTGGCCTCCTTGAGCATGCGCCGGAGCGACTCAATGTCGGACTCGCGCTCGGCGAGAGCGGTGGCGCTGCGGTGGGTGTGCGATGACTCGGCCTGGGCGCGGGCCTCGGCGAGCATGCGGTTTTCTGCAAGGAGCTGCTCGACGCGGGACTCAAGCTCCAGCACCTGCATGCTCTGGCGGCGACGCATGCTGTGCGGGCGAGTGGGCGACCGCGGCGAGCCGATGCGGCCCTCGCCGTAGCCATCCTGGGGTTGTTAGTTAGGATGTTCAATTGAACAATATGGAGTGGAACGTACATAGACATCAGTCATGTCCTTGGCGCGGACACGGCCCTCATTTGCAACGGGTGTCGAGTTGTTGGCAGCGGTGGCTGGCAACGGCGACGAGAGCAGGGCTGCTGCTCCCAGGGCAGCGGCTCCGACTGCTGCGATGCCAGCTGCTGCCGCTGTGGTTGATGAGCTCCCAGTCCCGCTCTTTTCGTGCTCGCGGGCCTTGGCAGCCAGGTCTCGTTGGCTGAGGGACACGGACCGCAGGTCGCCACTGGCCCGCTTGTCCATCCTGCGCAGCTGCAGTGGGGGCGTCCCGGCGTACGAGCGGAGGCTGAGACTGCCTGGACTGTCAGGCCGCAACGCAGCCGGCGGTTCAGGGGTGCGCAGGCGGGCCATGCTGGTATTGGACGACACCCTGCGCGGCGTGGGGTCTACGGGCCTCGGCGGGTGCGCTGTGTGGTCTGACACGCTGCGCGCGCTGGCCACTGAGGCTGCAGCAAGGCCAGCAGCAGCAGCAGCATCTCCTCCCGCCAATCCCGGCGCTGCTGCAGCCCGCTTCTTGGTGACCTGCAGCTTCTCTGGTTCGGGCGTCCGAGGCGGCGGTGAGGGTTCATACAGCCGGGGCGTCTCGGGTCCAACGGCGCTGGGTCGATGACCACTCAGCGGTGACCGCCTCAAACGGCGCTCTGCGTCTTCGTTGCGTGGTGTTTGTACCCTCATCAGTCGCTCCTCGGGAACTCTTGGCGACAGCGACCTGTGACTCTCCCGCACCGGCGTCAGGCCCTCCATCGAGTCCCGGAGATGCACGCCGCTGTCACGGATGGCTTCGACATGCTCGTCCCGGATGCGGCGTGACGGGTGAGGTGAGCCTGACGAGAAACCGCTGTCCCGCTGGATTTCAGGCGTCTGCAGGATGTGTCGGCCGCGCCGCATTGGTGATTGTGGTGAGTGCCGCTTGACCGGCTCCTCGTCCGAGAGCTCCTCTTCCACCGGCGCGAGGCTGGTTTGAGACCGCATGAACTCCGAGAAGTTGGAGATAGGCGGTAGCCGCACCGGTTGGTCGGCCGTGGGCTCGGCTGGCTGCTTGTTGCCCGCCTCGGCCTCTCTCGTAGTGAACACCTCTTCGTCTGCAATGTCATCGGGGAACGAGAAGGCTCTCTGCACTGGCTGAGGCGATTGTGACCATTCGCGCTGTTCCTTTGTCGACCGCTCCGCTGCCGCAGACCCATCTCTGACAGCCCTGGGGATCGTCTCCGAATCCATACGACCCAGCCCAGGCCCGTCAAGAGCAAGAGGTCTGCTGCTTTTTGGTTTTTCGATTGTCGGTTCCTCAACATGCACGCTCCTCTCCGTCGTTATGTTGGGTTGCTCGTCCACCTCCATCTTCGCTGGCTCAAAGCTCTGCTCCACTGCATCTTCGGTTCTCATCGTCGCCCCCTGTTCATCCACCTCCATCTTTGCCGGCTCCGAGCCGTGTTGCACTGCATTTCCGCTGCTCATCTTCACCTCCTGTTTGTCGATCACCATCTTCGTAGGTCCTGAGCCGCGCGCCATTGTCCTCTCAGCCTCCACCTTCTCCTCATCAAGCATCTCCCCCGATGCCTCCACCTCAACCATCACCTTTTCATTGCCCTTCTCCTTCCCACCCCCAAACGTCTCAGCCAACAACGAAACACTCCCTGTGAGCGCACCCGCCGTCGCAGAAAGTGCATCATTCCCCTCCTTCTCGATCCCTTCCTGGACTTCATCAGAGGCGGGACCTTTCTCCATCACATTCTCCTGAGCAAGACACACTTCCTCTACGTCTCTCGCAGTAATCACCGGCATCGCAATGACCGTCCCCTCGACTTCCGTTGTCTTGATCTTCTTGCGGTGAGCGTCATAGTCAAACGGCGGCTCGTGCTCAACGCTTCTGCTGTCCTGTGCCGGCTTCACGTCCGCGCCGCCGAGCTGCCGCGCCGCTTCCTCGACCTGCGCATCGAGCGACAGGGGGGGAGTCTCGAGTGCCGTTAATAGCTTGGGTGACGGAGCGTCTTCGGGGTAGGGTTCCGGCGGGTTGGGGATCAAGCCGAGGCCGATTGTCATTGGTGCGGGTGCGGGTGCTGGTGCTGGTGACCGGCGTAGGGCCTCTGAGACGGCCGGATCGATTTCGACTTTGTCGGCGACGGGGGTCTGAGGGCGACTGCTTGCCTTGTTTTCCTCGAGGTCACTGGTCGGTTCAATGGTGGCAGGAAGCACGGCTTCGGCCATGTCGGGCTGGTTTCCGACGTCGGCCGGGACTTTTTGAACTTCTCTGCTAGCTTCCTTCGCTGAGCTCCAAACAGTTGGTTCATCGTCAGGCACTGTGACCTCCCTTTCGCCCTTTCCCTTCTTGTCTTTCTTGCTCTCTCTGCTGACGGAGCAAATGTCCTCTTCAGTATCCTCCTTTGGCATCGACACATCATCGCCAGCGAGACCAGCAATGCCCGCAGCAACGGCACTAGCAAGCGCTGCAGCGGGCAGGACATCAGCGGCAGACGTCTCCTCTTGATCCTTCGGAGTTTCTAGGCCAGAAGCACTCATCGAGTCGGCCTTCTTTCCCTCCACCTCACGGGCTGTCGGTGGCTCAGTTTGAGTAGCCCCGGTGGAGGGCGCTGCCTGCTCGGCTTGAACCAGCTCCGGCACAGCAGGCGTCACCTCGAGTTTGACAGGGTTAGAGACAGGGGCCTCAACCTCCACTAGTTCCGGAATCGCTAGTGTCTCCGCAAGAGTGGTAGGCTCAACAACATCAGCAGTCGCCTCCTCGACTTGATCAGCAAGAACAGGTGTCTCCTCGATTTGGACCGGTTCCGGAATCGCCGGTGTCTTTTCGAGAATGGTAGGTACAGCAACCTCGGCAGTCGTCTCCTCGGTGTGGACAACTTCGGGAACAGTGGGTTTCTCAATCTGCATCGGCTCCGGAACCGCTCGTGTCTCGTCGAGGACAGCAGGTGCAGTAACCTCAGCAGGGGCTTCATGGGCGCGAACAGGTTCAGGAACAGAGGCCTCGTCGACTTGAACCGGCACCGAAACGGTCGTCATCTCCTCGACAGCGTTCTCAATAGCCACAGGCGCAACTGTCTCAAGATCCTCAGCCTCAACAGCCGTCTTCTCACCCTTCTTCTTCTTTCCCTTCTTGCCAGACACGGCGAAGGCAGTCTTCTCAGCTTTAGCTTCCTTGACCGGCGAAGCCTCACCGTCCTCGCGGCTCGGCCCGCCAAAAACTGCCTCGTCTTCATCAAGGGACACGTCCCTTGGTTCAGGGACATCGAGGACCTCCTCGGCGGTCACCGTGGACCTGGTGTCGGTCTCGAGCTCTAGAGTCGTTTGCTTGCCCTTCTTCTTCTTGCTTTTCTTTGACTTCTTGGCCGGCTCGGCCCAGATGTCGTCGGCCGCTGCTTCTTGGCTGACAGTTTCGGCCGGATCATTGCCGATCGCGGGCTCTCGAGTGGCCCGGGGCTCTGCGGCGGGCTCTGAGGTTGTTTCATCTTGGAGCGGGAGTGCGCTGACAGCCCCTGCCTCGGGAGTTGGCTCAAGCGGTGCTTGTTTGCTGCCCTTGCGTTTCTTGTCCTTCTTTGACTTCTTGGTAGGCAGCGCCCACGCGTCCTCCTGCGGCCCTTGGCTGACTTGAGGGATGGATTCAGCAACAGGATCAGACGCTGGTTCCGCAGTTGACTCTAGGATAGGCTCGGCGGTAGGCTCAACCGCAGGCTTGGGTTCCGTGGCAGCTTCAATGACGGGTTCTGGACTGGCCTCGGTAACGGGCTGGAAAGGAGGTACAACAATAGACTCCACAACGGATGTGGGAGCGGCCTCCGTCATTGGTTCAACGACAGCTTCCTCAGCTATTTGGGTCGGAGGCGCCGGAACAACCTCCGTGATCGCTGGGGCATCTGTAACAAGCTCGACAGCGGGCTCCATGACAGGTTCAACGGTAGGATAAAGGCCGGCTTCAATGGCAGCTTCAATTCCAGGCTCTGGTGTGACCTCAGTAACAGGCTGAACAGGAGGCTCAACAACAACAGGTTGCGCAACGGGTTCAGGCGCGACCTTCGTAACTGGTTCAACGACAGCTTCCTCGACAGGCTTGGCTGAAGGCTCGGGAGTAGCCTCCGTGACGGTTCCGATAATAGGCTCCGGAGCGACCTTTGTGACAGGCTCGACGACAGGCTCCATGGCCGGTTCGGGGACGGATTCGAGAGCGGCCTCGATCATAAGTTGCGAAACCGTTTCCATGGCAGGCTCGGCGGCAACGCCCAGATTGCGCTCCAAATCAGGTGACGCAGCAGCTTCTGTTGGAACATCAGTAGGAATATCCACAGGAATCGGCGTCTCTTGCCCGGGAGCGGATGCAGTAGCATCCTCGACTTCAGGGACTTCGGTGATGGGGGCCGCCTGGGACTCTGGCTCAGGCTCAGGCTCAGGCGCGGTCGTTATATTCTTGCCTTTTCCCTTCTTGTCTTTCTTTCCCTTCTTGCTAGGGATATCCCAGGACTCCCCGGGCTGTGGCTGCGAGGCTGATGCCAGCTCAGTCTCTTTTGGCTGGGCGTCCGTACCCTCTTGTGTAGGTTCCACACTGGGTTGCTGACGAGCAATCACGGTTCCCTCGACAGCAATGGCCGGAGTTGCAAGCTCGGTGGCAGGTTGGTCAGGCGCGGCGCTGCTCTCAGGCTCGGCCGGGGGCTCAGAGATGGGTTCAGGCGAAGGAGCAGACTCCAGCTCAAGCCCAGGAGGAGAAACCTTGCCTTTGCCCTTCTTTTTCTTGTCCTTTTTGCCCGCTTTGGTTAGCACATCCATTGTTTCCTCAAGCTGTTGCTTCGATGTCGAGTCAAGATCCTGCGGCAGGATATCCGTGGATTCTGGTTTGGCCTCTAGGGCTTGCTCCTGACTAGGCCCTTCAGAACCAGGAACGTCGTTCGCCGACACCTCATGCTCGCTGACGAGTTGTCTGGAGACAACGCCAGACTCGGGGTCAAAGGCCGTTTCAGGGACGGGCTCAGGAATTTGCTCGGTGGCAGTAGGAAGCTCGAGGGTTGGATCCGGATGGAATTCTGGTTCGGCGACTTTATTCTTCTTACTCTTTTTACCCTTGTTCCCCTTCTTGGTCGGCACATCCCGCGCTTCCTCAGGCTGCTCCTCCGTTGTGGCTTCAAGGTCCTCTGGCTGAAGATTTGTGGCTTCTGAGATCGCTTCCTGAGCCTGCTCTTCGATGGAAGCGACAGGCTCTTCCTCTGGGATAACTGGCACAATGGACGACACTTGGGGCTCGGGGACTGCTTGCTCTGGCTCAGCCGCCGACTCGGGGGCAGGCTCAATGGCTTGTTCTGGCTGTGGATGATGCTCGGCGACAGTGTCAGGAATAGGGTCTGGCGTAAGCTTAAGGACAGGCTCAGGCGAGGTGGCTTTGTTCTTCTTCCCTTTCTTGGCTTTCTTGCCCTTCTTCGCCGGTGGAACCCCTGTTTCCTCCGCCTGCTGCTCTGACGCGACAATAACGTCTTCTAGCTGGACGTTTTGAACTTCCGAAGCGGGTGTTTGACTGGGTTCCTGAATGCTGCTTGTAAGTTCCCCCTCAGAGGCGGCAACGCTTGGCAGTAAAACCTCCGTCGGCTCAGTAATGGCTGCTTGAGGAATGGCCGTGAGCTCAGGCTCGGGAACGGGCTCGAAAGCAGGCTCAGTAGCAATCTCTCTCTCAACCTCGGGGAGAAGTTCAGGGGGGTTCGCAGATCCAGATTCAAAAAGGGACATGAGCTCAGCGATCTTGCCCTTGCCCTTCTTTTTGTCTTCCTTTGCCTTCTTTGCAGCAGGCAGAGTCCTTGAGTCGTCGGGTTCCTCTTGTGGGGTTTTCTCTGGTGCTTGCTGTTGGAGAGCATCTCGGAGTTCGAGCACAGGCGATGGAACGGGAGTCTCGACGGTGGGAACGGCCCCTTCAGTTGAGCCTGGAGCTGACTCCTCGGCGGCCGTGGAATCAGCAGCAGCTTCATGAATGATGGAGATTGACTCGGGCTCGGGTGCAACCTCAGGAGTAGGATCCGAGGCATGCTCTGATGAAACGCCAGCTCCCGGCTCAGCAGGTTCCGCTTCCGGTTCAAGGTCAGGCTCGACAGCCTTGGACGCCTTGCCTTTCTTCTTCTTGTCCTTCTTGCTCTTCTTGGTAGGCACAACCTGCAGTTCCTCCACCGGGACATTGGGCTGGGTCTCGGACGGGGCCGCTTCCGTGACCTCAGGCTGCACTTCAGACTGGACGAGCTCGGGAGCCTCTTTAGGCGTCTCGAGAGCCGCGCTTAGCTGTGCATCCTCAACGACAGCCGGCTCCGGAACCGTCGTGTCGCGCTCCGTCTTTGGACCGGCAAGAGGTCCGGATACCTCTGGCTCAGGGACGATGGGCATTTTGAGCTCGGGCTCAGGCTCGAGCTCAGGCTCGGGAGATTTGTTTTTGCCCTTCTTTTTCTTCTTGCCCTTTTTGCTTGTCTTGGTCGCGACAGAGAGATCATCAGCCGGTGTTTCTGGCTGTTGAACTTCAGAGGGTTCGGCTGCTGTCTCCATGGGCTGCTGGGGCTCAGCGACATCTATGACAACGGGAGCAGCCTCTTCCATAGGAGCAGCCTCAGAAGCAACGGATTGCTGCAGCTTAGTTAGCAACTTATTGGCCTTTGGATGCCCATCTCCAACGAGTAGACTCACAACCTCGGGCTCTGTAGCCAGTAGCTGGGCTTCGCTAATGCTCGCCTGCGGCTCCTCTTTTGCCTCAGCGAACTCCTGGGCGCCTTCTATAACGACAGGCGCCGCCTCTTGAAGTTGAAGCTCGGCAACCTCTTGCGCAGGAGTCAATGTGCCAGAAGCAGGTTCAGAATTCGAAACCTTGGAACCTTTCTTCTTTTTCTTCTTGGACTTCTTGCTTGGTTGTGCCGAGACTTCCTCTGCCCGCGGTTCCGCTGGCGAGGTTTCCGGCGCATCCTTCGCCAAATCACCAGCCGACTCTTCGTTGTCTGGTATTCCTGCAACCGGCGATTCCTGAACCGGAACCTCAGTTTCGGCCAGAGAAGGCTGTTCTTCAACAACAGGAGTGGCATCACCGGAAGGGCTCTCAGAGGCTGATGATTTCTTGCTCTTCTTGCTGGGGATGTCAAAGCCGTCATCAGCCTGCGGTTCAGGGGTAATCTCTGGTACCGCCGGGGGTCCATCGATGCTGGGGTCAGAAGTTGACTCCTCAAGTGTTATGTTGTCAAGAGATTGGAAAGGCTCAAGAGTTTGCTCTTCGGAAGCAGTTGGCTCTTCGACGACAGGATTGCGTTCGTCGACAACAGCAATAGTATCGTCAACAGCGGGCATCGCAGCATTAGCATCAAGCTCAGGTTCGGGCTCAGGCGCCGCCTTCGTTTCCTTCCTGCCCTTCTCTTTCTTTCCAGGCAATTCCGCGCTCGTCTCAGGCTGCGTATCCTGTGGCACATCCGGAAAAGAGGTTTCTTGATCCCCAGCAGTGAGAGCCTGTTCAGTGATTGTCCCTCCAAGATGTTCTGAAGACTCGACCACGGCTTCTCCTGTATTGACCGGCTCCCCCAGCGCAACAGGAGCTAGCTCCTCAGCCAAAGGCGTGGTTGGAGTGGAGACAGTCTCAGACTCGAGAGTTGCCTTCTTGCCCTTCTTTACTTTCTTCTTCTTGGCCGGCAACTCAATTGTCTCTTGAGGCTGCGATTCTTGAGGAGTTTCAGGAGCTGTGCTGGCCTCTTCAACGATGGCGGGAGGGGGTTGCTCAGTTGTCGCTGCCTCAGGAGTTGGAAGTTCGGCAACAGGCGTCTGGAAAAGTGTCGGTTCTTCCACGCGAGGGGCCTGTTCAGTTGTTGTCGCCTTAAGTGGTGATGGTTTGGAGACAAGTTCTTGAGGAACCGGCGGTTCCTCCGCGGCAGGGACTTCCTCAACTCCAGGCGCGGCAAGCTCAGAGCTAGCCTCAGAATCAAGAATTCTGGACCCCTTTTTCTTCTTCTTGTCTTTCTTGGATTTCTTGGCGGGGAGGTCCAGGCTTTGCTCGGGCTGCTCTGGACGAGACGTTTCGGGCACCGAAGCCGGTTCCTCAACAGTGACTGAAGGCTGCTCGATTGCTTCCGACAGTGAGACGGGCTCCTCAACGATGACAGATGAGGACTGTTCGGGAAACTCGGCTGGGAGTGACTCGGACATTTCCACTGGACGCTCTACCGGAGCATCGACGGTGAGCTCCTGGGGAACAGGTTCCTCTACAACAGGGCCCGGCTCCTGAATGATGGCAGGCGTGCTTGTACCAGACGACTCAGACTCGGCCGTCTTGGATCCCTTGCCCTTCTTTTTCTTGCTGGACTTCTTCGAGGTGACTTCGGGAATCTGTTCAAGCTCGAGCTGCGCCTCCTGAGTCGGCTCGACTGACTTGGCCTCTTGGACCACAACAGATTCTGGCTCTTCAATTGTTGTTGGCTCAACGGGAAGTTCTGAACGTACCACTGGCTCTGCTTCCTGCGACGCGGGTGGCTGCTCGGGGATCGTGGCGGGTTCATCCGGGACATGGACCGGCTCCTCCACAGGAGCCGAGCCTTCAGAAGAAGTGGGTTCCGGTGCGTCGGTCTTTGCGCCCTTGCCCTTCTTTTTCTTGCTCTTTTTGGACTTTTTCGCAGGGGCAGCCCACTCGTCGTCAGCCTGCGTCTCCTGCAAAGGAGACTCGGATTGGGCTTCCTCTGGGAGACCGACTGGTGCGTCGATGGGTTCTCCCGGAACAGGGCCGGTTTCCTCAACAGTGTCGCTCTTCTCAACAGCAGCGGACTTTGCGACAGGAACAGCGTCTTCGGCAGGAGCGATTGGTGCGACATCTGGAGCAGTCTCGTCGACGGGAACGGTTTCTTCGGCAGCGGCAGATTGCTCGACAATAGGAGCCGTCTCCTCAACTGGAACGATCCCTTCGGCAGGAGCGGATTTTTCGGCAATAGGAGCAGCTTCTTCGACTGGAGTGGCACCCTCGGCAGTGGCGGATTCCTCAACACGGGCAGCTTTATCCACTGGATCGGCTTTTTTTTCAATTGCGGTTGGCCTTTTTACCGGAGGAGGCACCTCCGCAGGCTGAGGTTCAAAGATCGACATGAGTGCCGCAATTCTGCCTTTCTTTTTCTTCACTTTCTTGGTCTGGGTCGTAGCGGCGGCCTTGTCCTCCACCTGTGCTGGCTGTAACGTCTGGGGCCCTGTCGTTGTCTCTTCTGGAGCGGGAGCAGGGGCGCCGATATTTTCTGCTGGCGCCACGGGCTCCTCGATCGAAGGAACGGCGATGGGCTCGTCCGCCCCAGTGCTGGATTCAGTTGCTGGTGTAACTGGATCCGTGACTGGAGGAACCGGGATAGGTTCTTCCACGACAGCAATGTGTTCCCCAGCGGGGTTTGAGGCAGCCTCAAAAACCGGCGTGGTCTGGTTCTCCGTCTGAAGAACGGCTTCGACCTCGGTACTGTTGCTCTTGCCCTTCTTGCCCTTCTTCTTTGACTTCTTGATCTGCGGCTCCTCGGGCTGATTCTCCTGTGATGCTGTCTCGGGAGTTGGCGAGACCACTTCCGTGGCAGAGCGGGTTATTACCTCAGGCCCCTGAACGGTAACGACGGGCTCTTGGACAACAGCGCTGGACTCATCCACGGTATGGGTAGGTTCTTCAACGGCGGGAGCGGGCTCTTCAACAACCGGAGCGGGTTCTTCGACTACCGCCGGGGGCTCCTCAGCGAGTGCGGGCGGTTCCTCCGGGGACGGCGTGGCAGGTCCGGACTCCTCGGCCTGAGATTCAGGCTCAACAACTTGAAAGCCCTTGCCCTTCTTTTTCTTCTTGTCCTTCTTGCCCTTCTTGGTTGGCTGAGTAGAAGGCACATCCGCCTCGGGGGTGACTGACGGCTCTTCGGAAAACGGGTCGCTTGGAGCTTCAGGAACGGACTCGTTTGGCACCTCGGGGGGGGGCGGACTGGGGACGTCGGGGACAGGCGTGCTTGGCTCTTCCGGGACGCTGATGGCCTCCTCTGCAACAGGAGATGCCTCGTCAACGATCGGCGCCGACTCGTCGATGATGGCAGGCTGCTCCTCCGGAGCCGGCGAAAAAGCGGTAGAACCGACCTCGGGTTCAGGTTTAAGAACCTTGGAACCCTTGCCCTTCTTCTTCTTCTTGGCCTGCTTGCTAGGCAGCGTCTCCTGCACCTCCTCGGGAGATGGCTCTTGCTGAACGGGCTCTGGCTCAGGCACAGGTTGGGTCACCTCCGTGGCAAGCTCTGCCTCAGTTTCCAAGGGGGTGACTGATTTCTCCGGGTGGCTGAGTTCCTCGGCAGCTGGTTCAGGCTGCTCAACAATAGGTGCTGCCTCCTCAGCAACAGCGGCATCTGGTTCCCCCACGGTGGGTAATAGGTCCTCGACGGCAATAGCGGGATCCTCAACAGCAGGAGCTGCCTCTTCTAAAGGCGCCGCTTCAGTATCGGCAGCAGTTTCGGACTCAGCGGCTCTGGCAACTGTTCCCTTCTTCTTCTTGCTGTTCTTTCCTCTGGCTGGAGCATCATCAGCAGGCGAGTCTTCCTGCACAGAATCGCTTCGTAGTGTAGCTTCTTCAGAGGGCTTGTCTTCCTCCGCCGCCGGCATGGCAGTCTCTTCAACGACGAGTGGCTCAGGATTTTGAACGACCTCAGTCACTGGCTCTGGTTCTGTAGCAAGTGCTGGCTCTTCCACCAGTGACGTTGCAGTGCCCGAAGCCGATTCAGATTTTGCAACCTTGCCGCCCTTGCTCTTCTTTTTCTTAGCCTTCTTGCCTTTGACGGGCGTTTCTGGAGCGTCCTCAACTGGTGCCTCCTGCGGTGCGGCCGGCGCCACCTCTGGTGTGGACTCAGGTTGCGGTTGGCTCTGCTCCGGTGATTGAACCTCCTCAGCAAGCTGCAGAGGCGTCTCTTCGGTGATGACGGTTTGAAATTCTTGTATCGGCCCAGAGGCAACCGGCTCGAGCTTGCTGGGTTCCAGGACAATCACAGGCACCGTTTCAGGCTCCGCAAGAGGGTTTGGCTCTTCCACACTAGGGGTTGCTGTGCCAGAAGCAGACTCAGATCCCGCACTCTTGGAACCCTTGCCCTTTTTTTTCTTTTTGCTCTTCTTGGACGGCAATTCCTGAACAGCCAGTTCTTCGACGGGAGCAACCTCGGATAGTGCAGTCCCCTGAAAAGTCTCAGCGATAGCCTCGGGCGCATCTGGGGTGGGCACAGCATCTGATTCGGGTCTAGTTTGCTCAGGAGTCTCTTGAACTTCTTCAGGAAGCTCGGCCACCTTCTGCGCAGCTTCTTGGTCTGGGCTTGGTGCAGGCGAGGTGGACTCCTCAACAGCTGCTGTCTCAATGAGAGAAGTAGTCTCAGACTCAGACTGAACCGCGCACTTTTTTTTCTTGTCCTTCTTTGACTTCTTGGTGGGCCCTTCCACAAACTCTTCGATGGGCGCCTCTCGGGTTGTGCTAGGTACCTCAGTGGGCTCTGTAACTTCTTGAACAGCCTCAGACATAAACTCAGGAGTGTCCTGCGCAGGTCCTTTAACGTCCGCCAATAGAGGTGAGCTGACAGCTTCCGGGACAGCTGCGGCGGGCTCAGACGCAGGCCCAGATGCAGCTTCAGATGCAGGCTCAGATTCCGGCAGTGGAGACCCCTTCTTCTTTTTCTTGTCCTTCTTTGATTTCTTGCGTGAGAGGGCAGTCTCTCCAACAGCGGTCTCGGCGGGAGCTTGTGCTTGAGATTCGACTTCAGAAGGCTTGGTCGGCTCGTCTTGTAGCTGGGATGACACTGCTTCAGGCTGTGATTCGGCAACAGGCTCCTCAACAGCCGGAGATTCTCGGGCGGGCATGGTAGCCTCAGCAACGGTGAGCTCTTGGACGACAGTTGGTTCCTCGGTGAAACCAGGCTGCTCGGTAGGCAACGGTTCATGAACTGGCTCGGTGGATGGCATCTGCTGCTCGGTAGGCACGGGTTCCAAAACTGATTCTACAGCTGGCATGAGCTCCTCAGAGGCAGTCACCTCGGCGGCAGAAGCTTGAACATCAGCCTGGCTTTGCTCCTTGGTCGCCTTCTTAGCCTTCTTTTTGTCCTTCTTTGATTTCTTCGACGGAGCAGCCTCAGAGACCGATCCCTCGGCATTTGCTTCAACCGCTTGTTCGGCGCTGATGCTGATAAGCTCTTGGAAACTCGTCTCCGCCGCTGTCTCGTCTGTCGCCGGAGTGGCGGCTTCGGTGGCGGGTTCCACAGCTGGGCTGGCTGGCTCGGGCTCCAGCAGACTCTCTTGTGACTGTGACGCCTGTTTCTTTTTCTTGCCCTTCTTTGACTTCTTGCCGACGGCGACTTCTGAACCAGCCTTCGTCTCGGACTCTTGTGCTGGCTGGGTGTTCTCGGAATTCTGGAGGAGCTCCGGTTCTGGTGGGATAGTCAGGGTGGTCTCGTTATCGGAAGGAGCCTTTTCCGCCTCTTCAGTGGGCGGTTCAGCCGTATATTGAGTAGTCGCCTCAGAGGCAGGCTCAGCCAGTGCCTCTGGAATGACTTGAGCGTCCCCCTTGGGCACATCCTCCTGAGGGACTTCCTTCTCGACCTGCTCGTCCTCAACAGGGGCCACCTCGGGCGCTTCTTCCACGTCTTTTCCGCTTGATACTTGGGCCTCATCGATAACAGGCTCAGCTTCTGGTGCAGGCTGAGGCTCGAAATCGTCAACAGCCTTGTCTGCTCCCTCAGGAAGTGGCTCGGCATACTCCTCAGCACCGGACGCTTCACTGCTTGGCCATGGCTCATCCCAGGCAGATCCCCTGCGCTTTCTCTTGTCTTTCTTTTCCTTGTCCTTCTTGCCAGTTGCCTTCTTGAGCGAATATGCACGGCTCTCCCCGGCTTCCCCGGCGTCACCACCATCATGAGTGTCGGTAACGGCCTCTGTGTCAGGCAGAGAAGAAATGGTCCGGGAAGATTCAGAGACCGTCGACTTGCGCCTTTGCGGAATCTTGTTGTCATCGCGGGATATGAGCGAGCGAGCATCACTCTCTGCGTACTCGGAGGGCGGCTCGGTTTCCTCCTCGACAGTGCTGAGCTGCTTGAGCATGCGCTCTATCTCGCGACTCTCAAAGGGGATTTCCGGCGGCTCTTGCCGGGGCAGCTCTGGGGATCCGAGGGGCCATGGCTCGGCATCAGCTTTGGGCTTCTTCCTCTTCTTCTTATTCTTGTTGAGGAGACTGTAAGGAGACCGCTCCTCCTCGCTTTGGCGCGGCATATCTTGCGACGTGGACTCGGGTTGAGGGTCTGAGTTGGACGCGGAAACTGGTTCATGAAGAGCGGCGGATTGGGCCTCATCCGGTGTTTCAACGAAAGGCGTTGCTCGCTGTTCTTCCTCAGTAGCTGTAGCCTCATCAGTTTTGAGTTCTTGGTGTACTATGCATAGTATCTGTCTCACTCTCAGTTGGTTGGGCTGCAGTGTCCTGTAGCGCGAATGAGTGCGTCTCATCGACAGCGGCCTGAGCAGTGGGTGAGGCTTCAGCCAGCTCAGGGGGCGATTCAAGGCCGGGATTGTCGTGAATTGTTATGCTCTTGTCCTTCTTATCCTGCCTTGATTGAGACCCAGTGGGCTCAAGGTCAGGCTCCCGGCTGACGAGTGGCTCCGGTTGCTGCTGGTCGGCGGTTGCAGTGACTGCTATTGGTTCAGACTCGGCACTGACTGCACCACTTGTCACTGGTTCAGTGGTCCTGCCAGCGGTTTCTGGTGGGGCGTTGACACCAGAGGCGAGACTCGGATTGTCACCTTGTTCACCGGAGAGTGGCTCTGTGGACTGCATCGTCAACTGCTCAGTTTCCGGCTCCAGAAGACTCTTGCGCTTCTTCTTTCTCTTGTCTTTCTTCGCCGTCTGCGAAGAAACTGGAGACTCGGCCTCAATAGCAGCTGGGGATGGTTCGGTTAGAGATCCTGGACAACAAGTCAACTCATCAGTCCTTTTCCTATGCCACACTGTGTCTTGACTTACTTCCATCCGACACTTCCTGAATTTCGGCGTCTGGTTGAGGCGTGTCCAGTTGCTCAGTCTCCTGGCCAACAACAACTTCGCCGGCACTCTCACTCTCTGTCGACTGATCTAGGGACCGTAAGGCGGGCGGCTCGGTAGGTTCCTGTTGAGACTCGAGGTTAACCCAGATCCTGGCTCATCACGTGCATCAGGCAAGGGAACAGTAACACCAACTTGAGCGCTGGGACTCTGGGCCTCGGATTGCGCAGGTAGCTCATCAAGGGAGTTGCCGCTTTGCGGGGAAACCGTGGAAACCTCGGAGACTGAGTTCTTCGAGTCCTCGGCCTTTTGTTTGTTGTCGTCCTCACCTCTTGCTTTGGTGGAGCCTAGGTGCTCCTCAAGAGGCTCCGCGAAGGTGACGCTCTGCCGCTTTTTCTTCTTCTCCCTCTTGCTCAACGCAGCCGGGAGGGTATCATCCGTGTCCTGGGCCAAGAAACGAGTGTCCGCTTGCAGATTATCATCACTGGGGCTGCTTGGCTGGTCGTCATGGGTGAATGAAACACTCTTCCCCGCCTCGCAAGCGTCCAAAGATTCGATTACGGGCTGAATTCCCGTCCCTGTTTCACCACTCACCTCCGCCTGTTGCTCGGGTGCGAGATCCGGGGCTCTGGCTTGAACTTCCTGTGCTTCATCTATGACTGGTACAGGCAGAATCTCCTCCGATGTTGAAGGCTCAGTGACAGTACAGGGGCTTTCAGTCTCCGGTGAAAGCGAACCTTGATCTTTGGGCTTCTCGTCTTTGGCGACTGAAGCACGTGCCTCTTCGATCTCGGGACAGGCGTCTCCTTGAGAAGCCAAGGGCTCGTCGACTGGTGGGGAAGATTGTCCTTCGGGGTCAAGTGCAGGCTCGGCAGATTGGGGCAAGTCCTCCGGGCACGAGGCCGCCTCTTTTGCCTTCTTTTTCTTCTTCTTGGCCTTCTTTCCACCACCGCTTGGCTCAGACACCGCATCGTCCTGGGCCGGTGCGGTTGCTGCCTGCTCCAAGGCGCCTGGCTCCGTCACCGTGGATGGTTCTGGCTGAGATGAGTCTGTAAGGAGTGCCTGTTCCGAGACGGTCTCCAAATTTTGGGCATCAGCAGGTTCGGATGCGCTTTCTGCTGTGGCGAGATCGACTGGTGGCTCAGATGAATCCTGGCTGGCCTGCTTCTTCTTTTTCTTCTTGCTTTTCTTCGCAGAAGATGCTGGCTCGGATGGCAATTCTTCCTGCGGCGCCTCAGCTGGAGTGCCAACAGTCTTCATGCCCGCACTCTCTTCCTGGCTGGCGACGGCTACGGACGCTGATGTTGGCGCTTGTGTCGCCTCCTCTGACGTTGGCGCTCTTGCCGCCTCCTGCCCAACAGTTTCAATAGGAAGTTCGACAGTAGCCACAACATCAGCCATCGCACCACCCTCAGCTGCAGCCTGCTTCTTGCTCTTGGCCTTCTTCCCATTCTTCCCAGAGGGTTCAGCTGGCACCACATTTTCCGCAGCCTGTTTGGTTACCGAGCCGGGTTCATTGGCCGCAAAATTCTCGGACTCGGCCGGCAGTTCAGGGCCAGCGTCCCCTTGGACAGCCTCAATGACAACTGACGGCGCTGGTGGAGGTGCCGTCACTTGTGCAGGTCCCTGTGGTGTCGGCTCATCCTTGGGTGCGGTCTTGGAGGCGTCCTTGCGCTGCTGTTTCTTGGCCTTCTTTCCCATGGCATCGGTTGATTCGTCGCCGGCATCAGCGGCGAAGGCAGTGTTGAGAAGTGATTTATGGGTGTCGTATGGTGTTGTAAACACCTGGGACTGGTCTGGCAAGCGATGCCCGTTTTCATCTGGCTGCTCACCTTGTTGCCCCTCGCGTGGCTGGGCAGGGCTGCCCAGAGCCAGCTCGAGGTGTGCTGTTGCTTCCGAGGGCGTCGCCTCGTCGACAGCGCCGAGGGTGGGAATTCCGGGGGCAGGGGCCTGCTCGTTGGGTACGCAAACAGCGGTGTCTAGCGTGCCGCTTGCCGTGTCGACCCCTGATTTGTCGCTGTCAGGGGGTTCATGCATGCCCGTTGCATGCCCCACACTGGGGATCTGGCTGCTGGACTCGCCTAAACTTGGCGGCTGGAGTGGGGCTTTGGGCACCTTCCGCGGCTCCACGGTGCTGTGTTGTTGTTTTGGGTCATCGCCCTGCATGGGAAGGACATCACAAGCTGATCTGGACTCCGGCTGACCTTGGATTTCGCGCTTCCCGCCCTCTTGATCCTCCGCCTGAGTGGAGCTACGCTTCCCGATGCCGAAAAGAGAGCCAACGCCGCCAGCGATGGAGGGAAGCATCGAGAAGGAAGAGCCCCAGATACCTTTCTTCGCCTTCGTTGACTCGGCGCGTGCGGTATCAGCCTGCGCCCGACTTTGGCTGGGGTAGTTCTGCTTATCTGATCCTGCTGCTGCAGCGGCGGGCAGGGCGGCCCGCCGAGGGTCCCGTTGTTCGGTCGCTGACTCGGCCGGAGCCTTCTCAGGGCTAGCGTCACTTGCATGCGGCTGCGGATCCTCTTCTGGCTCCAAGCCGGAATTGACCTTTTTAGCCTTCCTCATTTTCCCGCCTTTCTTGTCCGCAGTGGGAGTCGTTTCCTGAACGTCGGAGAAGCCGGTTGGTTCAACAGTTGAAGTAGGCACCGGCTGGACGGAGGGTTCGCCAGCCTGGCTCTGCTGTGGACTCTCGGTCTCAGGCTCGATCCAAGAAACCTCCTTTTTGCTACCCTTCTTGCCCTTTGTAAAAGGAGAAGTAGCACCAATAGAAGCCCGCTCATCTTCCTGAGTGTGAGATTTCTGGCCAGTCTTACTCAGGGGATAACCGAGCGTGCCAGGCTGTGGTGGGGAGTCCTCCGGTTTCCCAGGTTCATGCTGGGTCTCGTAGAAGGTCGAGCCAGATAGGTAGGTCGGCGCCTCAGTTGCCGCGATTGTAGAAGCAGCATCCTCATTGAAAGAGTAGACGCTCTCTGTTTGGTCGTAGGTGGGTGTGTCTGTCCTGTCGTGCTTGAGGCGTTGCATGTCGGCCTGGGGACTGTCATGACGCATCTGCGCAACCACCAAGCCACTTGCGGCGGCAGCACCCGCAGCAAGAGCGGAAGCTGCCAGCAAGCCGAATTTATCTTTCCCGGCCGCATCCCAAGCCTCCCGTTTACCAAGGGAGCGCGTAGGAGGAGGAGTTGGTGTCCGTTTGGGGGAGGCAGCGATCTTGAGCTCCTCATAGGTAGACGGTGGTTCGTAGGGTTGATGGGACTGGCTTTCCTTCGAAGGCTGTTCAGCGAAATCCCGTTCCTGTATTGTTGACTCTTGGCTGAGACTTGGCTGAAGCGCCCTTGTAGCATGCGTCTTGTCAAGCTGAGAGCTTGGCGCTGATGTCTCAGGGGCAGAAACTTGCAACATCGACCCATTCGTGGGAGAATCTGGGCGGCTTTCAGGAAGAGGAGGCAGCTGAACAAGGTCTTGATCAACCCCTCCCTCTTCGGCGGCCTCTCCAGCGACAGACTGAGGCTCAGTAGCCTCGACTTGAACCAGTATCTCTTCGGCCTCGACAGGCGTATCAGGGCGGCTGTCAGGAAGCGGAGGCAGGTCGTCCAAGTTTGGTTCGGAGACTCGCTCCGGGGCGGTCGTCACAGCGACAAGCTGATTCCTGGAAATCTCACGCTGATCTGCATCTTCCCTATCGGGGGAAGCAGGGCGGCTCTCCGGAAGAGGAGGCAGATCGCCCAGTTCTTGTATTACGCCTTGATGCTGCGGAGGAACAGCTTGCTCGACGGCACGCTGGAATCCGAAAGCCGGATCTGGAGCATTGTCAAGCTCAAGGGGTGAATTCGCGCGGCGTTTTGGAAGGGCCGGCAACCCATCCGAATTTGCCTCCAGCCCTCCATCTTCCTGTGAAGGAACGGCTTGGTAGACGGAAGGACCGAGTTCGGAAGCTTCAGCTTGAGCAGTTTCGACCTCAGCAGGCGAGGCAGGGCGACTCTCTGGAAGAGGAGGTAGATCGTCCAAATCTTGTTCAAGGCGTCGATGCTGCGGAGGAACAACTTGCTCAACGGTATGTTGGATTTCAAACACTTCATCTGGAACAGGTCCAAGCTCAAGAGGTGAACCAGGTCGGCTCTCCGGCAGGGGCGGCAACTGGTTCAAAGTCAGCTCAAGGCCCCTATCCTTTCGCGCGGGTACAGCCTGATCGATGATAGGCTGGAGGTCGACAACTTCAGCCGGAGGGGACGCAACAACAGGCGAACATGGTTGACTTTCCGGCAGCGGTGGCAGCTCTGCCAGTGCATCATCAAAAGCTCGCTCTTGCGTCAGAGCGGCCAACTCTGAAATAGGCCTGGCCAGTGATGGCGGCGCTGGAGACGTCTCCGCTGCTTGAGATGGAGCGAACTCTGCCTCGAGGGGCGATCCAGGGCTGCTCTCTGGAAGTGGAGGCAAATCTTTTAGGTCTAGTTTTTGTGCGGCAGCAGCTGCAACAGCGACATATGGCAGAACTGGGCTGGGCAGTTGCTGGCGAGGTGTGCTCTCGTGAGGTGCTTCCCAAGCAGGCGAATCAGGGGGCGTTTCTGGGAGAGCAGGCAGCGTCTCCAAATCCTGTTCGAGGTCTTGTTCTTGCGCGAGAGGATGTTGTCCACCATGGTCAAGCGACAGTCCCTCAATCGTCAGGCGCTCGGCAGCGGGAGCGAAGTCGTCCAGGATGGGCGTGTCAGGGCGGCTTTCTGGGAGAGCAGGCAGGGTCTCCAAATCCAAACCGAGGTCATGTTCTTGTGGAAGCTGAGGTACCTCAGGTTGGTCAGAGGGCGGTTTTCGGTGAGCGAGGGCCTCGATAACAGGAGCAAGGTCTTCCTGGGTAAGTGTATCAGGACGACTGTCTGGAAAGGGAGGCAGCAGCGTCTCTGGGTCTTCTTTAAGCCCTCTCGTTTCGATCATATTAGCCTCTTCGGCTTGATCAGCTGGCAGCATGGAACTAGGCAAAGGTTCGAAGTCTTCAGCCAGAGTGAGCGCTTCCTGGACGCGGAAAAGTGACTCGCTATCAGGCAGAAGAGGCAGTAGCTCCAACCCATCATCTATCGGCAGCTGAGTGGGCGTATGGAACACGTCTGACAAGACAGGTGACTCTGGTTGGCTCTCCGGCAGAGGAGGTAGCTTCTCTAACTCTCGATCGGAGGTTAGTTGCCGAGCAGATTGCGCAGGGCTTGGCTCCTCCAGAAGGACAAAGCCCCCGGTAAGGTGGAGGACTGTAGTGGGAGAATATGATTCCTGAACAGGAGCGCCTGGCCCGCTCTCAGGAACGGGCGGCAACTGATCCAACTGAATATCTGCCACGAGCGGAATAGTGGCAGTGGCCAAGGGTAGCAGGGCAGACGGATCTTGCTGGTCACTGAGAGCTGCACGGGAGTCATTAGCGAACCATCTCTTGGAGACAAACTGGAAATTAGGGCAAGCATACCTGTCATTGGAGAGTCAGAACGGCTCTCGGGGAGTGCCGGCAGGCTCTCCAATTCTCCGACAGGGAGGAGCTGATGGGCGATGGGAGAAACTGGTTCCGGGGTAGGCGAACTGGCACGGCTCTCAGGGAGGGGAGGCAACTGATCCAGCTCGTCATCCAAAGGCAGCGGCACGGACGGCTGAAAAGGTAACTCTAAAACAGGTGAGGAGGGCTGGCTCTCTGGAAGGGCAGGCAGCTGCCCAATCTCCTCATCGGAGGGAAGCTGCACGAAGGCTGGAGGGAAAGCCAGCGAGACAGGCGAAGTTGGTGAACTGTCAAGGAGGGCAGGCAGCCGTTCCAGCTCGTCATCAAGGGGCGGGTGAGCCGAAGGTTGAGACTGAGCCGGTAGAGGAGGCGACATAGGAAGGCTGTCGGGTAAAGGAGGCAGTCCCTCCAAGGCCTCAAGAAGAGGACCAGACTGGGCGGTAACGATTGGAGAGGATCCCACCCAAGTAGGAGACTCGGCCCTGCTCTCCGGCAGCGGTGGCAACCTCTCCACATCCTCCACCATCTCCCATTCATCTAGAGGCTCGTCGATCGTTTCAAACGTCTCTTCGGCTGACAGCCTGAAGCCCGGGGCGGGAGGGGCCGCCGCCCTAGGGGTCGTATCCCCAGAATCAAGATGCTCCCCAAGGGGCTCGCCAAAGGTTACGGGGCCAACAGCAAGTCCGGCGGCCGTATCAATGTGCAGCGCTTCCAGCAGCCCCCGGCTGCTCGTCGCGCCAAGATAATCCACATCTCGCTCGCGCGCCTCAAAGTCCGGGCCCGGCGATTCCCTGGAAGGCGGTTCACTTTCCGGTAGCGCGGGGTACTCTTCTCCCCTGGCCTCAGTCGCAGCACTGTGCGCCTTCTCCAGGAGATAAAGCGGTTTGATCTCCCTGGTCGAGTCCCACGACGTCGGTCTGGAGGAACGGTTCCTATGGGGGGAAGTGTCGGGACGGCCAGAAGCAACAGGGGAGTGAATCGGAGAGAAGCGGAAACCAGGCGAGGACGGGACGGAGCCCCGGCCAATAATGAACTGAACTGGCACGGCGGTGCGGCTGGGAGTCTTGGGTGTTACGTCGACTGCGCTGCGGCGCCGAGTATGCGTGTGTATGACGGTGCCGCGGCGGGGACGGGTTTGTGGAGGGGCAGGTGATGCGTCTTCCTCGCTGTCGGGGAGGGAGGGAAAGGATTCTTCAGAGTTATCAAAGCTGGGTGACCCCGGCTCGCTGGGAGGGAGAGGGAGGAGGTCGCCATATTGGGGGTCGATTGCGGGCTTGATTTCCCGCTGAACGATTTCAGGGTCCACGGTTTGTGAGCTGTAGCTCACGCTACGCTCGCGACGGAACGGTTCCTCCTTCTCGGCGGAGTCCTGGGTGGCATTTGGACGAGATAGCTGAGCTGCGATGGCAGTGACAGCTCCCGCCAAGCCGGCACCTGCGCCAAGGGTGCCGGCATTACCTAAAAAAGAATCCTTCTTGTCCCCGTTCTGTGAGAGCGAGCGGTCGTGGTGCTCGCTGTTGCCGTTAGTTGGGAGAGACACGACGGATATGGAGTCATGGCTCCCATCAGTACGACCGCCGTTGGGCTTGCCGATGGGGTCCGAGACCACCGAGCTCACCTCCCGGTCAATCCACTGAAAAGAATTCCCAGGTCGATCGGGCGGTTCATCTTGCTCCGGTATTTCGTATGCGTCCTTGGTGCTCTTGCGGCGGTTCTTCTTGCTCTTCCTGCTGCTCGAGCTCGCGCCGGACACCTCGGACGCCGGACCGGAGTAAGTTGCAGTCTCGTATGAGCCAGAGGCGCGCCTCGAGTCCCGAGACTTCTTGGACCGCCACTCATCGTCGGCATCGGCAGATGGTTCCTTGCTGATGTCTACCACCTCTGTTCTGGGGACGGTCTGATCGTCCTCAGCAGTGACGCCGTGTTCGGCATCAACACCCTGGCGTTCCCGACGTGACGTTCTGCCAAGGCTGGACCTTGTCTCCCATTCCTCAGGATGAGCCACCGCCTCAAGAACAGGCCCCTCAGCGACGACAGTCCGTGAGGGCGGTTCAAAGTGAAGATCCGACACCGTCTCACAAGACGGCGGGACATAAAACGGCTCGTTCGAGCCAGGTGGGGAGTCTCGCCTTCGATAGGTGGGATCATCGATGACGAGGCTGGGATCAAATCCCGAACTCTCCAAACCCGCAGCAACATAAGCCGTGAACTCGACATCATCCCCAAAAGAACCCGGCATCTGAGCCACCTGGGCCCTTGCCGGTTTGGGCCCTACTTGGGGAGGTTCGTCGTCGAAGTCGAAGGGAACGCGGGACCATCGAGGCGGGGTAGACGGTGTCCGCGAGACACTGCGGGCTGCCTCGGGTTCTTGTGACCCCGGCACGGTTGGGATTGGCGCCTGGGAAGGCTCAGGGACAACTTCTTGAACCCCTTGCCCAACGGGCTGCGGTGCAGTTACAGTTATCGGTTGGGCTTCCGGAAGAGCGGCCGACTCTGTGTTGATTCTTGACTCCGGACTTGGATCCCCCCTTTCCCGTGGCATCTCTTTGTCCGCTTCCGGAACGCCACTGCCTTCACCCTCAAGTGCCTTCTCACCCTCTTTCTGTTTCTTCTCCTCAGACTTGGCAGCAGCAGCTTTAGCCGCAAGAGCAGCAGCAATCATGCCCCAAGTGTTCTTCTTGAACTTGAACTTAGAAGCGGGTGGTTCCTGCGAAGAATCGCGGCTGACATCATCCGCAACGGGGCCTGAGTCATGATCCTCCGGAACCTCAACCGCTTGGCCACGAGCATCGATGACAATCTTGCGCTTGCACTCCTGCCTCTTCTTCTCATCCTCGGACGATGCGTCATCAGCAGCGGCCTGGGCAGCGGCCTGCCTAGCCTTCATCTTCTCCAGAGACGGCGACGTCCTCGGCGTCGGCAGAACGAGGTTGAGCATGGGCCGTTCCCGCTCACAGGACGGATCCCTCGATTTGAAAACCGGCACCATTGCCGGGTCAAGACCGCCGGGCGCAGCACTCGCCGGCGGGGCCCGGAACTTGACGATCTCGTGAGGCATGATGATATTGTCGATGCGGACGTCAGCGTTGGGGCCGTCATACTTGCTTTCCCCGGGAGGCCGCTTCATCTCGGGCGGGGTGACGATGCGCTCGATAGGTTCATCGACCTCTTCGTACTTGTCCACCACTGATGGCGAGGGGGATGCGCTGCGAGAGCGGATCTGCTCCTCCGCAATCCTCTCGGCTATCCTCTTCTCGCGATAGTATCGGTTGGCCTCCTCCAGCACAGGGTCTCTCACCGGTTCCGGGTCCCTGCCTCGCCGGGGCTCGCGCGACCGGGACCGGGAGCGATCTCGGGAGATGACCGAGATGGCAGCGGCAATCACGGCAGGATCAGCCGGAATAGTCGACTGGTTAGTTTCATCCACAATGGCCTGTGCTTCACGCATCTCGCGCTCGAAAGAGCAGCGGCGGCTAAGCCGTTCGTCGCGCTCCTCATGCTCCCTGACCTCCGTTTGCGCCTTCCCAGAGGGGTCAGCATCCTCACGCTCCGCCCACGGAGGGACTCGGTCGACGGTGAGAACTTGAGGAGTTACGGTTCTGTCCGGAGTGCCAAACTGCGGAGTAGGGAAAGCATCGTCCGGAACTCGATACAGGAAGGGGTCGATTGAGGGCGCCTTGCTGCTTGAGGGGCCAGGATCCGGGCGCTCTGTCACAGGAAGCTCCTTGGCAGCCTCCAACTCAGCGAACCTCTTCCTTTCGAGCTCTATCTGCCTTTCAATCTCCTCAAGCATGCGGCGGGTCTCCTCGCGCTTGGCACGCCTCTTTTCGCGGTTGGGCTTTGCTGCCTCTGGCTCTAAGCTCCCAATCTCCTTCTCAACGCCGGAGGTGCCCTCTTTGATCGCAGAGGAGTCATTGCGGCGATCGTCAACAACCGTAACGACATCCTTGCCCTTGGCGCGGCGGCGCTCCTCGCGCTCGCGGCTGCGGTCGTTCTCATCGCGAGCTTCAGCCCTACGCGTCTCGTCGCGATCACGCTTTTTCTCGGCATCCCTGGCGAGCCGGTCCCGCTCAGCCCGTTCACGCTCCTTTTGAGTGCGGCGATCCTCCTTGTAGCGGAGCTCGCGCTCCTCGCGGGCATGACGCTCTTGCTCGTCCGGAATGTCATACCCCTCGCGGCGGCGGCGCTCGTCCTCTTCATCGCGGCGACGACGCTCCTCCTGCTCGCGATACTCGCGTGCTTCGCGGTGACGCCGGGCTTCGTCTTCATAGCGGAGACGTTCAGCACGGACACGGGCCTCCTTTTCGCGGAGCTCATCAAGCTCGCGCTGTTTGCGGTTGTCTGAGAGGATTGCGGCCCCGGCTGCGACGACTGCTGCAGGCGCAATGGCGGATGCCGCGATTTCGGCAATGCTCTTGCTGTGAGGGATAGGGCGAGAGGGGCGGTCACCCAGGTCGCGCTGGTCCTCGCGACGGTCGTCACGCCGGTCGTAGCTCTGATTATCATAAGCATGGGGGTCGCGTCGGTCGTCGCGTCTGTAGTCGCGCCCGTCGGCACGTCTCTCCTGGTGGTCTGGCAACACAGCTGAAGATGGGGAGCCAGCAGGGATGGTCTCAACAACGCCACCCCTATCAGGAGTCGGATAGGACCGGCGAGCATCATAGTCTCGCCTATCATCCCGCTTCTGGGGGAGTCTCTCGTGCTCCCGCTTATCTCTCTTTTCGCTCCTGCTCCCCACAACCCCAGCCGTCACCGCTCCCGCAGCAGCACCCACAACAGCAGCAGGCAGTGCCTCCGACGTGAGGGCCTCGGCATTGGTCCTCCTCTCCGAGTCGCGCCCCTCCCTCCTAGCGCGGCGCTCACGGGGACTACCGTGAAGGACCTGCTGTTCCCGCTCCGCAGCAGCGTCGGGATCCAGCACTTTGGGCGAGTAAGGCATCCTCGGCTTGGGCGCCTGAATAGGGACAGGCTCGGGACGCGAGGGGGAATGAACGTAAGCCACGCTCTCCCTCTCCCGGCGGGTCGGGGTGGATGGGGTCGGTCCAGCCGCGGCAAGCGAGACCGAGACGCCCGAGGAGCTGGCAACTGCTTCGAAGCGCGAGCCATCGGTTGTCGGGACCGGATAGACGTTCCGCATGGGCCTGGCCTCGATGGACGCGCTGCTCGGCTGAGGAATCGGCTCGTGCTGTGGCAGGGGATATGGCTGCGTCTGGCTCCGTCGGTGGGGGGGCGGATACTCACCAGGGCGGAAGCCGCATGGGGTGTTGACGAAACCGCGGAGAGAGTTGACGGGGCCGAACATGGCGGGGTCAACGGCAGAGCTCTTGCGGTTGGGAGGGCGGATGTATTCGGGTGGACGCTGTGGGGTCATGGTCGGGGAAGAGACATTGTGCTGGACTTGGGACGGGCTGGTGTTGCGCAGATTTGGGTTGGAGAGTTTGGGCACGGGCCCGTAGGCCAGGCCGGAATTTCCATCGCTAGAATCGGAGTCGGATTCGGAAGCTGACTCCCAGTCTGACTCGGATTCACCGTGAGGCTTCGATGCGCCCAGGCCACGGGAGCTGTGCCCGTGGGAACTATGGCGATGGAACTCGGAAAGAGCTGCGGCGGTAGCTGCGGTGGTGGCTGCGATACGGGATGGACGCTTCCTGCCTACGCGTTCGAGGTCTCGAAGGTTTTCTGCGCGGGCGAGGTCCGAGAGCTTGCGGCCGAGGGCGATAATCTCCTCGTCCGTCTGCGCCTTGTGTAGCGCGGGTCTACCATCGGGCCCAAACAACTGATCCTCCTGCGAGTGATGCTGGTGGTCGGGGGGCAGTAGGGAATGGTATGGCGGTTGCGCATGCTGGGGGTATTGCGGATACTGGGGGTGTTGGTGCGAGTGTGGTTGGTGCTGAGGTTGTTGATACGCGGCCTGGCCACTTTCGAACGAAGACCGCGACACGTAGCCAGCGCCGTAGGCCAGATCGCTATCGACAGATGAAGAGGACTTGTTTTTCTTGCGAAAGGAGCGCCGTCTCTTAACCTTCTTGACCGACGACGAGGCGAAGAAGGACCGGATGCCGAAGCGGCTCTTTCGCGAGATGTTCAGCAGCGAGGATGAGGTAGATGACGACGACGACGAGCTGGAATTGCCGCGGGCCCGGCGCGGAGTGTGGGAAGACATTGGGGCAGGTCCGGCGACGGCGGCAGCGGCGAGGTGCTCTCTGGAATGCCGGCGCTCGGCGCGTCTCCGCGGCGCGCTCTCGGGGCTCCGCTGACGGGGCTCACGCATCATTCTCGACGGCTCAAAACAAGCTCCACAACTCCGTCACGGTCCATTCATTGGTTTCGGGCCTGGTCCAGGTATTGACGCGATGGGCGATCGGGTTCAGTCAGTTCGAAATGCGGCTTTCCTGTCGTGCTATCCGAATTCAATTCCCGTAAAGTACTGTGATTTCGAATCTGACGGCGTTTGTTGATTTTGGCAAGGGTACAACGGGAGGCTGGGGGTCGGCTCTCGATCCACAGCGCCACTGACGATCGCCCGAGATTCCCGTCCCACTGTTGGTCCAGCAGCGAGAGCAGCTCAGCCGGCCCTGATGAGTTTGAGGAGAATCTCAATCAACACGGGTTCACGGTGCTGCAAGGGTGAGGTAACGCAGGCGCCGGTCAGGTAACAGGGCAGCATCCCCAAGCTGACGGCCCCCACCTACTGCCTGCCCGGGTTGAGCCTGATTTGAGCTTCAGCAGTTCAGCTGGGATGGGAACTGTAACATTTCCGAAGTCGAGCATTGATTGGATGAAGCGGCGAGACCCGCAGGGTTTAGATCTCCACACCTTCTGGGTTGTTCTTCCCACTTCCGGTCATGGCTCGAATCACAAGACGCTGGGATGTCTCGAACTTGCAGGACACACCGCTCTCGAACCCGCATCCAAACAAGGCTTTGCTATGCCAGTCCAGTGAAGTCATGCAAGAGAGGCGTGAGATACTGACATTTCTGGAATCTGCATGACAGCAGGCAAGCTTGACTCGGTCCCACCCACGAGCTGCCATCGGGAGGGTTTGCTAGTTAATATCTGCTTTCTGTCGCCTAGTAAGGTTAGGTCCAGTGATTCGACTTCGGCAGTTTCAGATACAGGTACCTACATAGGTAGCCGGTAAGACAAGGTATCTGAACCACTACGTTGTTGCATTTCCCCTTTTATACGGCCCCGGACCTGGACTTACGACGAACAGAATGATGCACAAGTCAGGCCAACCCAACGCCCAACCCGTATCTAAAACCACACAGGTACCGCTCGGATCTCTCCGCTCATGGTGGGATCCCACTGGTCACCACCATTGTCATTTATCAGCATCGGCTCCTCTGCGCTCGGCAAGGCTGTCGGGTCCTTCAAAGGAAGTTCCAGGTCAATGCAAGAGGAGCAAGCCCGTTGTCTTAATGCCGAACGAATACACAACGATGGCATACGCACATGCGGTTAACCACAGACTGAGAGGTGGTGCAGATGGATCTCGAGTTCCTTTCCTCTACCACAGCCCGGCGATTGCTATGCAAACGCCCTTATCTACTGGTATATGCCCACTTCTAGTAAGGAATTCCCCAAAACAACTCCAAGCAATTGAACATCAATAACCCCAGCCTCTAAGCAGCAGGGAAAGTCGAGTTGAGGGCGCCGATCTTGATGTTGGAGTAGATGACATACGCATCTGGGTGCTCCGCCTCGACCGTCTCTGGGACGCCGGCCTCGGGGTCGCAGCGGCCGCGAGCAACGCCGGGCTTGCTCGGGTCAGCGTCGGTCGGATAGTTGCTGTCGAGCCAGTTCATATAGACGGCGCTGAAGGGAACAACAAAGTCAGTATCACTTCGCCCTCTAGGAGTTCCTCAAGATGGGCCGAATACTTACTGGTCATCCCAAACGCTAAGCACGAGTACCATCTTCTTGAGCTGCTCGCCCATCTGCGCCATACCGCCGAGCGTCTTGAAGTAGTTGTTGTCGCCAAACGCCGTCTTTTGCTGCTCGCAGAAGCCCTCGCTGATCTCGTTGGTCGGGTCGACGCTTTCAATGACCGTCTTCGAGTTGGGGATGACCTTGCCGTTCTGCACGTAGAAGCGCCGGATGCTCTTGAGCGCGCCCGTGTTGGTGCCGTCCGCGGTGATGAATTGCGTCACGACCGTGAGGGGCTTGGATGTGTCGACCGTCTTGCCCGGGCCGTAGAACTCCTGGTTGCCCATCCGGAAACTGTTGAAGTCGCAGCCGTCTGCCCGAGGTTGTCAGTTTCTCTCGTCAAGGGGACGCCTGTGCAGTGACACGAGGGCAATGCTTACCCTTATCACACACACCGGCGTACCGGTCACTGCCAGAGCCGCAGTCGACGCCCTCGCACCTGGTCTGCTTGGTTACGGAGCACGGGTGCGGAGTGTAGGCCGTGGCATCGGAATTGGCCTCCCAGATGTCCATCTCGGCACAGCAGGTTCCGTATTTGCCGAGCCCCCCCTCCCAGCTCTCAACGTTGGCCTGTTGATGCGGTAATCAGTGAGCCTGACCTCGCTTAACAAGCTTACAGACCATTAGGACCCACCTCGCCGTTGATGAACTTGATGTCCTGCGGACACTGGCTGTCGCAGTAGCCGGTGCCGTACTTGGCGCCCGCTTTGTTGCCTGAGAACCGGGAAACGCCGCCGTCTTCGTCCATCTCGCTGAAATAGACGGCACCGTTGAGGCCTATCAACAACGTTTCAGTTGGAACTGTCTTATTCCAGATGTGCCGGGGTGCGTGCGGGAGTGGTTCGGGAGCGAATGCGCAGTCTCGGGAGCAGGGTGGCTCCTGAGACAGCCGTAGAGGGGTATGACCAGTTGACAGATAAAAAGGGTTGCTGCTTACCACAGGGGAGGTGGGACACGTCGACGTCAAAGGTGAACTCCTTGTTGAGCAGATTGAACAGGCGGTATTTGGTGTCGCTGGCCAACAGGTAAACGCGGGAGCCGACATTCTGGCCGTTGTCATTCTTGGTGACGAAGTTGAGACGCAGAGCACCAGACGAGGGCGTCGTGATGCCGTACGTCTTTGCGTAGTCGGCGCCGTCGATGGCGCAGTTGGCCGCGCACGTCTTGCCGTCTGGGCACGCCGTAGCGTTCCATTCGCTGCCCGAATAGCAGTTTGTGTAGCCGTTGGTGGCATGTGTCCATCGCCAGTTCGCCTGCAGAGTTGAGGTCAGTCATTCAGGGGTTACGATCCGGAATTGGGTGTGAGTTAACTTGCGTCAAGAACCACGGATGTCCGCTCGGTGGTGCAAGACCCGCGAGCAGTGCACACCTGGATGGGGAGTGAAGGGTGCTTCTCTGCGGTGTAGGTGCCGATTTGCTGGCCGAGCACGAGGCTGGCGAAGGAAAGCGCTGTTGCTATCCGCTTATACATGGTGGCCGGCTGGGTGGAATGAGTGATTTCGCTCTGCAGATGCTTCTTCCTCCTTTCGACATTGACAGCGAGGGGACTCCCTCCCCTTTATACATCCCCCGGAGGAACTTGATATCAAGATTTTCCCGGATCTTGTCCTGTGTTACCACACAGAGAAGCCCGAGAGAAGCCCAACAGAAGACCCAGAGTCACATTCCAATATTCCCTCCCTACTCGCCAGCACGCTCGCAACGCGCGGCATCAGGGGTAATGAAAGCAGTGATGATGGACACTGACAGTCCTTCCATCCTACCGCAATCAACATGCCGTCTGACTCCACACCGCTTGCAGCTCCGGACGGTGCTGCCCCGGGGGTTTGACGCGGGACGATCTCCCGGCTCCTCGGACGCCTGACCGGATGATCGTCTCAGTCAAGCAGTGCACTCAGTCCCCAGTTCCAAACATCGAAGCTTTCTTTGTCGATCCAGTCAGCAAACTGGGCTGGAGGTTGCCGCCAGAAGGGTCTGGGTGCATTGCGGTGCTGATTGCCTGGCGAAAATAGGCAGATTGTGATTGTTCCCCGGAGGGGATCTGCCGAGTCGACCGGCTAAGCTCTGATCGGCATCCATATGAGGCGGCAAGGTATCCTGAAACCGGGACCTGGAGGCGCGCCCAATATCAAGCGGCGGTTCCCGCTCTCAAAATGGAAGGCCGATTATTGCAGTCCCCCGGTCCGCTAGGAGCCGCCGCAATATCCGGAAACCATGTGTTCTGCCACCGAGAGCCGCGCAAATGATATCCGGCCCGATATCTTGGTCTTTAGCCTCCTTTTACAATCGGCCTTCCCTCTGACAGACTCTACGAAAGCGTAAAATATCTCATGAATTCTATCTCGCTTCTCCTTCGACCCTGGTACCGACCCGTGTTGCGGCATGGACTGCAACTGGGCTCAAATTATGACAATAACCGCATATCACTGGCACTTACACGCGCTGTTACCCGCGCTGTTTTGAGCCGTCTAGCCGGGCAGTTTCTCAAGCCTCTCTCAGTAAGAAACCGTTGATTCGAGCGGCTACAGGGAAATGGCTTTAGAATAACCCTGTAATAGTAGGTACATTGCATGTTGCGGGGAAACATGAAAATTTCTACGATCGATTCACACTCTCCAGGCAGGTAGTAAAATGAGAGGGAACAAACTGAGGCGAGAGAAGGTAAAAAAGCTCGCCGTCCAGCCTTACTCCCGCGCCGCTCGAGTAGATGTGGTTGACTGCGATAAACCTTATGCAGTTTACTTCGACTCAAGGGGAGTCGAACCTCTACTATGATTTCGGTTGCTGAGTCCAGCCAGAGCTACTCCCAATGGCGCTGAGCTGATTCAGTGTTAGCTAATTGGAAGAAAGTGGTGCTAATGTGAGTGTGGGACCCTGCATAAATACTCTCTGGAAGGTACCTTGCCTTAGTTGACAGATGGCTGGTGTTAACTTTTTGGGTGGAAGGTGGTAGAGTATGGCGACTCAGGGGGTTGTTGACTTAGTGCGAGAAGCGACTGAGACACTTCAGCACACATCGGCGTTCAACCACTCACACTCTTCTTTCATTACTGCTTCTGTTGCTCAAAATGTTCCATTGTTGGTTATGTCGAGCTGAACTGATCTTCCCCTTCCCCCGTCGCTCGAGGATATCCATAGTTAGCAAGGGTATCGTGGTGCAGAGCGAGGACATATCGGCCATGGCTCAGCAAAATACCGGTTGCCAGAAGGATGTCAAATCAAGTGAAAAAGTTGCCTCCGAGCTGTTTTTAAGCTTTCTCGACATGGCTTGGATATTGGATCGTCAAGTCTCTTACAAGTAGTAGGCACTAGTTTGTCGAAAGCGGTTGTGCTGGTACTCCTGGCAGATGTCCGGGTCACCTATGAACTGGATTGTGCCAGCAAAGGTTGTTACCCCAGAACTCTGCATGTTTACAATTCATGAGCTGCACTGCTGCAGCTCACGTGTCTACTACCTGAAGTTCAACCACCGTTTCTGATGTTGAATGCCATCGCCTATAACCCTAACCCCGCTCGCTCCCGCACTCAATTGAGCCCAGTTTCTTAACGTGATGAGCCCACAACACCGAAAAATCAATCGACACGACCTTTTGGTATCAGATTTAGTTAGGCATCGAAAGCCCTGCCTTTTAAACGTCAATCTCGTCCTTGATCGGCTGATTTCGCGCCAGCTTTCGGATTTCGGCGTCCGCTCATTCAGACGTCTCACAAACACAACAAGGCAAACAGCACAGCTGAACCTGGAAGCCGACGGGACTCCATCACCGTACCTTGCGAAACTCCTTATTGCTTCATCACCATTCGCATACTTCTGCACTTCCCCAACCCTAAGACATCCCGGAATTTCTCTCGAAACAGCCACAGCAATGTCCAACGAAGTTGCACCCATCATATCCCATGCCCGCCTGCGCGCTTATGCCCCCGACCCTCCGGCAACAGTGCGCGTCCAGAACCTCTTGACCACCGTCAACCACATAGGTCACGATGCCTGGAACCGCGGCCACAAGACGCAGCCCTGCCTAATCTCGGCCGAGGTGGCCTTTGCGTCGCCGTTTGGCAGCGCCAGCGCCACCGACAGGCTGGGGTCGGACACGGTGCACTATGGCACGCTGAGCAAGGCCATCCTGTCACACGTCGAGCAGCGCGACGCGCTCTATGCCAATCGGCGGGCCGAAAATGCGTTGTCGCTAGCGGAGTTGCTACGGGAGAGCTTGTGGCATTACCTGACGGGTTGTGATGATTGTTTCCTTCTTGAGTGCCAACCCGACATACAGGAAGGGGCTAGGACCGAAACCGGAGTGCTGGACGTGAGGCGTCTGGCGCTCTTGTCGTTGACGGTTGCGCTGCCAAAGGCTTCGCTCTTGGGAGAGGGAGTCAAGCTCACGATGAGCGCGGCGTTTCGGCCTGCAGTGGGAGGGAAGCCGAGCTACGAGGCGCGCGCGATGGCGCTCGAGATCAGCCGGCTCAAAGTGCCGACGTTGATTGGAGTCAACGACAACGAGCGGAAGGCAAAGCAATTTGTGGTGGTAACGGTGACAGTGGAGAGGTTTACAGTCAAACGCGATGTCTATACGGATATAGAGGCGGCCGTTGTTAAGGTGAGCACGTGAACCGCTCTTTTCCCTTAGGGTTCATCGAGTGAGTGCTGACGGTACCAGGCGATGGAGGAGTCGTCCTTCGAAACTCTCGAGGCGCTGGGCGCCCATTTGGCCAATGTCGTACTGGCCTCCGAATGGCGTCAGAAGGACTGGCTGGTCTGCATCCGAATGGAGAAGCCCACCGCAGTCCCGATGGCAGACTGTCCGATTGTTGAAGTCTGGCAACGCTAGCTTGTTTCAACAGCATCACAGATGGACTCGGGGTCACCAGGGACATCCGGATCAGGAACCTCAATTGGGGTATTAAGTTTATTCCGTTGCTGCTCAGCCGCGACTCATTCCCTCTCGCACAAGGGAACATCGCCGTTCGTTATTTCCCTGATGAACTCGGGATCCGGATCAAACAGCATTACGTGGAAATGCTCGACTGACTTTACAGACTTGAGCGCCGCCCAGTTCTTGAACCAGGTGACCTGCAACCTGTTAGTGCTAATACGGCAGCCACGAGAGTTCGCACAACCAACATGTTCTGAGGGCATTTTGGAGAAGGCCCTGCGGACATAGGCATCAATCTCAGCCCGCGCCGCGTCAGTCAGATCCCCAGTCGCCGGGTCCTCCTCAAGGGCGAACTTGGTCCACACGACCAGGTGCACTATCCGCTTGTCGATTCCATATGGCCAGTCGTTCCTCAGCACCTTGATGTCGTCGTCGAACTCAAACGGCCGGCCCCGCGGCGTGATTGGCAGCGTCCATTGCAACCTCTGCGTCAAGATGAAGTTCATGACGCTCCCATAGCCCTGCTTCAGCTTCCAAGTAAAGGCCATGTAGCGGCGGAGCTCGGACGGCACTCTCTGGAACAGCTCAAGCCGGTTCTGGGCGACCTTGTGCCGCACCACCTCCCAAGAGTCAATTTCATATTCGCTGTCTGGAGTGCTGATGATGCGGCGGTCCTTGTCGTTAAGGTTGCGGAGGAAGTCGGGGCACTCGGCGGTCCTCAGGTGTTCGGGGACGTTGACCTGCCAGTACGGCAATTCTTCTGTAATACTGCCCATGGTTTCTAGTCCTGTGCCGTCGATGGCGTTGTAAGGTGGTCGTGAACCTCTCTCCAAATCGAGGTTCCAGGGGCCTGAAATCAGCTCAGGGTGCGGCGGTGACCTTTATTTACGCCAAGATTGAAATGCTGGCTGGACTGAGTCAAGCCATACGCAACGTTTCAAGCACCAGTAATGCGACATGCACAGCCGTGTGCACTATGCTGAGGTAAGATACGGTAGTTGATAGTGACAAGCGTTGATGGAATGAGTGGGGTCCTCGTCACGGGCAACACCACCAACACTCTCCTTCACCCACGCAGCTCTCTCCGTCAAAGATGGAAGTCAGACGAACGAAGCAGGTGGTTCTCGGCCCGGATGGGGTCAGGAGTCCAGCGGCGCCGTCGCCCGTCCTTCATGCTCGCGCCAACCAGGGCGATCCGATCAGTACACTAGGGGTCCTAACGAAGGGTGCCTCTGGCAGGCATCCGGCAACGAGTTTGCATCGAGGTTTCCCTTTCCAGCCTTCAACCATATCAATACATTTCAGGTTTGATGTTGGCCAAATTACGGGGCTCAGCGGAGTTACCTTCGCATCTTCCTGGGTTACTAGCGCGCAGCCGAATGGGGCTTGCCAAGGACCAATCTTTTGCTGGGCTGCTCGGAAGAGGTGCGGCTCATCAGGGTTCCAGGTTGGGCTTGGCTCTCGATGAATACCGGGAGGTGCCGGTGGGCTGTCAGTTTTTGAGGTCAGGCAATGAGTTGGTTACCAAGTAACGTTGCTCGTGGCGTACCTCGTAAAATACCTTACGATGAAACGAACACGACGGAACTGGTCTCGGCAAGTCTTCGTCTTCAAACTCGAGGCGGACGGGGGCGGACAACGTACAAAAAACTGAACAAAGCGTCTCCCTTGCCGTCCCCACGTGGGCCAACTTACTTGAGCTGGAGCGTCCGGAATGGCGGCTGCATTTGCAGGAAACCGCGCGGACCCATCATGATGGCGGTGCTGCCAACCTTCATCTCTCTGCGTGGATGCACTCAATCAAAACGATCAAGACGAGGTGGAGCCCGGCAAGAGGGAACGAGGCCCGAAAGACATCGACGGAAGCTGCGATATTTTCTTCATATTACAACACCAACCCGAGCTGGGTCGTCTTGAATGCCTTTGCCGCTGTGATTCTGCATAGAAGGGCCGAGCCTGCAACCAATATCAACCTCTGAGCCACCGTCCCTCCCCGAAAACGCTCATGGCGCTGGCTTTTCGAATTCCCTATCTCGCCTTTAACGATCGATATCAGAAGCAATGAGGCTCTTCCGCGAATTGTGAAGCTCCCTGACACTCCCAAACGGGACACCATCAAATTTCCCGCTCAATGGCTGGTGGGCCACTGCTGATGACGACGAGCCATATTATCTGCCCTTTTTGTTTCCCGTTGGGCTGAGTGCATTAGCTCCTCGGGTTGTGTCGAGCAAGGGTGGTCGTTTCTTCAGCTGTGTTCAGCCTGGCCGGAAGATGGGAGCTGGTCTGTTAGCGCTCAAAGTAACGCCAACTCTCGCCAGCGTTACTATATCGCAAACACCTCATCTTGGACGTTGCTGGTCAGTGTCATCACGGGATGAAGTTGGGCAAGAACAATGCGTCAACTTCTAGTCTCCCAGAAAACGCCTCGTGTCTCAGGGAGAAGGATGAGTCGATCCCCCCGACGTAGGTCCCGGTTACCACACCCGCCACCAATCATGACGCTATTATATAGCCCAGCCCTGGTTGGTTTGTTAGCGTGGCACATGGAAGGCAGCAGACAAGCAGGGAAGTCGCAGGAAAAGAATCAAGTAGTTATACGTTGATAGTTTTTCAGTTTGTATCTTTAAAAAAAAAAAACCAAGATGAGGAAATACGATGAAAAACAGGATAAAGAGGGAAGACAAAAACAACGACAGAGAGAAAGCAGCATAGATTGAAGATAACTAAAAGAAGAAGAGAAGGTGCAGATGCCCAAGTCGCGCGCTAACAAAAAATAGCCAGGCTTCGACTGTACACAGCAATTGCATAATCGCTGCAACGCCGGGAAAAACCGTCAACTCGAGGGTTGCATTGCGATTCGCTTGCCCGCCGAGTCACAACCGCACTAGGTAGTAGGCACTCCGTACCTTAAAAATATAAACGGGCTTCCGCTAGGAGCTTGGGCTACACGGCCAGTAGGAGCTCGCTGCCTCCGTCCGTAATTCAATAGTTGGACATTCAACCGTTGAAGTACAGAATCAAAATGTTCAACCTGGGAAAGATACCGGCATTGTGAACTCCTAGATTCCAACCTGGAACTGCTGTGTGTGTTCATGGTTTGACAAGGCGGCAACTGGGATATGAGGTGGGGATTATTGAGTACCTGACCCGCTAACGCTAACAGATCGCGCCCAGGGAGGGGGGAGAGCTCTGGCGATCGAAGCGATAAGTTTAAAAAGCATCCAGCGCCAGGGGCAAGGGAACCTCTTGGGCCGCCGACCGCCTCTTCCTCTTCCTCACCGTCTTTCCAGCTTCTTCTCCTCTGTTCTGTTGCACCTTGGGCACCTCGCTCACACCGCAACACAACACAAGTCGAACCATCATCAACGTTTGCGAGAACTTGAATAATTGTAAGTACTCCTGTAATCGCCAAGCTGTCGAGAGCTTCCCCTCCATCCAACAAGCAGCAGCCCCGCACCTCGAAGCTCTGTCAAACCAGTGTTTGCACGACAGGTCCACTGCAAGCAGGAGGGGTTGGTGGTCCAAGCCGATCCCACTTCAAGTTCGGCCCAAAAGTTTCCCAGCAGACATCATTACGTCAATCGGCTAATCATTCCTGTCTGCCTGTAAACAGTCCTTTTCGGGATTCACCCTCGTCATCGGCCTCATCTCGTAGAAGCGCAACAAAGTTCGACCGCGGCGAAATAACTACCGTTTGATTTCCCTCCAAGCTCTTCGACCGCATTGCACCACAGAACGCAGCGAAAATGGCGTCACAGGCTATCAAGAGCGCTCTCCCCACTCACCTCAAACCCGGAAACAACAACGGCGACGAGGCCGAGTTCTCCAAGAGGCATCATGGCAAGACACGATCCCACATGGTGAGTTGTTGCGCAGATTTCAAGGCCCTTTCCAGGCATCTTTTTGCGAGGAAGCTGCCGGCTGCCCCATTGTCCATATCAACCTGATTCCGGCCGGCCAAGATGAGGGGAGAGGGAAGGACGGGAAGGTGAAGCTCCTGTGCAAGGTGGCCTGAGCAGCTCGCATTGCGTCTTTGTCACAAGGGCCCATACAACATGGAGCGGAGTGCAGCACAAGGTCCTTCAAAATATCAATGGCGGGTGGTGATCGGGCACCGAGCCGAAACGGGCTTCCGCAGAAGTCCCCATGCCCACTGCTCCAAGAGCTCAGACTGCAACAGTTGTCTTCTGAGCTCCGCGTTTACAACGTATCTGGTGGATGAACTCAAGCCTTCAAACCGAACATGGCGCAAGACTGGAACAACAGTGTGGATGCGACGGTGATGGCCGCTGATGTTGATTTTTCACTTTCATTTGGAATTATCTCGGCGGCAATGACGTAGGGCTAACCGACGGCGCTCTGCAGGCCTTCGAGAACACTTCAACCAACATCGCCGCCGCCCAGATGCGCAATGCGCTCACGAACCTGGCCGAGACAGTGAAGGACCCGGCGCAGAAGAAGGCAAGTTCCTACGCACCTGCGGAAAGCACAGCGAATAGTCTAACCGGCCCAATAGCTGTTCGAGACTGAGATGGATAACTTCTTCTCGCTCTTCCGCCGGTACCTGAACGACAAGGCCAAGGGCAACGAAGTGTATGTTGCACGGTTTGTGTCCCAGCTGGGTGCCGAGCTAACGGATTCCGCCACAGCTCATGGGACCGCATTGCGCCCCCTGCCGAAGGCCAGGTCGTCGACTACGACGCCCTCCCTAACTCCGAGTCGGTTGGCTTCCTAAACAAGTTGGCCGTGCTGAAGCTGAACGGCGGTCTCGGTACCTCCATGGGCTGCGTCGGCCCCAAGTCCGTCATCGAAGTCCGCGATGGCATGTCGTTCCTTGACATGTCGGTCCGCCAGGTTGAGCACCTCAACCGCACGTACGGCTCCAACGTGCCCATCGTGCTCATGAACTCGTTCAACACGGACGAGGACACCGCCGCCATCATCAAGAAGTACGAAGGCCACAACGTTGACATCCTCACCTTCAACCAGTCCCGGTACCCAAGGATCTATAAGGACTCGCTCCTGCCCGTGCCCAAGTCGTTCGACTCGGCCCTCCACGACTGGTACCCGCCCGGACACGGTGACGTGTTTGAGTCGCTGTACAATTCCGGTATCCTCGACAAGCTCCTGGATCGCGGCATCGAGATCATCTTCCTCTCCAACGCCGACAATCTCGGTGCCGTTGTCGACCTCCGCATCCTCCAACACATGGTGGAGAGCGAGGCCGAGTACATCATGGAGTTGACCAACAAGACCAAGGCTGACGTCAAGGGCGGCACGATCATCGATTACGAGGGCAGCGTGCGCCTGCTCGAGATCGCTCAGGTGCCCAAGGAGCACGTCAACGAGTTCAAGTCGATCAAGAAGTTCAAGTACTTCAACACCAACAACATCTGGATGAACCTCAAGGCTATCAAGCGCGTCGTTGAGAACGATGAGCTCGAGATGGAGATCATCCCCAACGGCAAGACCATTCCCGGCGACAAAAAGGGCGAGTCGGACATCAGCATCCTGCAGCTCGAGACGGCCGTCGGCGCTGCCATCAAGCACTTCAGGAACGCTCACGGCGTCAACGTGCCCCGCCGCCGCTTCCTGCCCGTCAAGACGTGTTCGGATCTGATGCTAGTCAAGTCGGACCTGTACACGGTCAAGCACGGCCAGCTGCAGATGAGCGCCAACCGCTTCGGCGACGCACCCCTCATCAAGCTCGGCTCTGACTTCAAGAAGGTCTCTGACTTCCAGAAGCGCATCCCCTCTATCCCCAAGATCATCGAGCTCGACCATCTGACCATCACGGGCGCCGTCAACCTCGGCCGCGGCGTCACTCTCAAGGGCACTGTCATCATTGTTGCCACCGAGGGCCAGACCATCGACATCCCGCCGGGATCCATCCTGGAGAATGTGGTCGTCCAAGGCAGCTTGCGCTTGCTGGAGCATTAAACTGCTTAAAGCGTAGCGTTGAGTCCTTGTGTAGCTGATGGAAAATGCACGGGCGGCTGATGGGACTTTTTTTTTTGGTGCCTTTGCCGCCATTGTTGTCGTCATGACCGAGATATAAGCTTGGCATGCTCTTTCTTTGCATATGCTTTTGATGGCAGGGAAAACATAGGTATAATCATGGCTTTGGCTGCTCGCCTCGGCTCTGTGACCAGAGCAAGAGGAGGCGGGTTGAACAAGCTTACTTGCATCGATAGACGTTTTGTAGTTGAGCATTTCATGAGCGATTTGAAGGAGCCACTGTTGTTCCATCGTCCTTTTTGGAGTTTCCCGACTAGTGTTTTGAATGTTTGCCGAGTTCGGTGTGATATTCCCTCCTATGCAACTCATGGGACGGCAGATTTCCAGGGTTGATGCTTTATGAACATGGTGCTTACCGAGACGGCTGCCCATACTTCTTGAACTCATGTCTGGGCCAGAACGATATAGTCAGCTAGGTGTAACACTATCACCGATAACAGTAGTCGAGGCGTGGTACTGTATTACTCATACTGGTCTTCTACACCCAAACCAAACCAAAATGCATCTTACAAATAGGCTTTAATGAAGTCATACATCCCGTGGACTGCCACCACGAAATTTCGCCAGCATAAAGCGGGGACTGTCGGTTCCCACGATGGCCTGGTCGTGGTAACACAACTAGGTAGATCGCTCGTCCAAGCCTCCCTTCCCCGCCACAGAAATCGAAAGCCTCTCCCACCCCTTTTTCGAACAAGGCCGCAGCACGACCATTCCGATGTTAATCCCACACCTCTCAGCTAGGGGGCTGGCGGGCAGGGGCACACTACCTTACCCGCCGCCCCCTTTCCTCCGCAATTTTTCGCTGCACTCGGGGCAGTACCAGGTGCCGTTGGGCTCGCTCTTGAGCCCGACGCAGCCCCAGTGGAACCACTCGTAGGGGCACTCGTCGTTGTCGCACGCTACCATGTTGCCGAAGCTGACGTTCTGGCAGGAGCAATACTTCCTGTCGTCGCCGGCCTCGTCGTCGTCCACCTCCATGAGCTCGCCGTCCTCGTCCTTGATCATGGTGGTGGTGCGCGCGTACGAAGCGGGGCTGTTGGGCCGGCGGTCTGCGTGCGCGTTGCCCACGCCGCCGCCGGGGTGGCCGTCGGGGACGGAAGCGCTGCCGCCGCCGGAGTGGTGGGTGGTGGATGACGGCGAGCGGCGGTGGTGGCCGCTGCTGCTGGCTTCGCGGTGGCTGGAGTTGGCGGTGGCTTGGTTGGATGTAGAGCGGGAGAGGGATGCGGCGGGGGTGCCACGACCGCCGGTGCGGGTTTCGCTTTCTGAGGAGGACCCTGATTCGGCTGAGGAGAGATCGCTTTCGGCGGTGGATGAGGGGGAGTTCTTGCTGGCGCGCTTAACGCGTGATAGACCGGATTTGGAGGTGCCGGACGTGCCCTTCTTGCGGCCTGATGTGCTGGATGGTGTTCCGGCCTTGCGACCCCCTCCGGCCAGGGAGCCCTTGGATGTTGCGCGCGGCCCGGCGCTCCCGGCACGCTGGACGCCCGCGGCGGTCTGACCCTTCGGCGTGCCCGGTCCGAGGGACGAGTGTCGCGCGAGCCCGCTAGAGGTTGCGGGGAGGCTGCCTAGCCCGCTGTTCGACCGGGGCATGCGCTTCGTCGATGGGCCGGCCGAGCTCTCCCGAGCCTGGCGGCTCATGATCATGCTCGCTGCCGGGGTGGCTGGCGCAGACGCCGAGACGTGTTGTTGCGCCTGGGCGTGCCGAACTTGGGCGTTAGCCGCCCGGACCTGTGCGCCGTTGACCATCCCATTGAGAGCGGAGACCGTGAAGTTCGCCGCCACGTTCTTATGCACGGATGGTCCGTTCGCGGAGTTCGCAGCGGTCGGGCGCAGTAGAGATGGGAGCTCGTCAGCGTCGGTGAAGCCAGGCTCGCCGCGATCATAGAGCATCTTGATTTGCATGTCGAGTTGGCGGGTGTGCTTGTCCAGGGTCTGCTGCAGCTTCTGGGTCAAGGCGAGCTTCTCGTTGGACAGCTGCTCCGCCAGAGCATAGTTCTTTCGGATGGTTGCCCGATACTCGTCCTCCTTGGGATTTGGATGGTGGCTGCCATGGGCCTTGATCCACTTCTGTATGCGGCCATCCCGATCCTCGATCTCCCTCACCAGTTTGTCATACTGACGGTCCTTGTCCGCGATCTCGTCCTGAAGGAAGCGCAGTTCCTCGGGCAGGTTCTGCGTCCTGTTGATCCACTCGTCGAGGATCAAGGCCGGATCGAGCGACTCGACAGGCGGCATCTTCCTGACGAAGTCGATGGTCAAGTCGTCTCTAGGCATGGCTGTTAACCCGCCGTACGGCGCAAGTGTTGCGCGCGTGCCACTGATATAGAGAAATCAAGAAGCTCGAGACTTGCGAGACAGGAAGCCTTACTCAAGAGTCACATCGACTCTGAGACAACCCGGGACCTACTGCAAGAAGCAAGGAGCCAACCGCGGTCGAGACCAGGTTTGAAGAGTGTTGCAATAGCAGAAAAACCGTCTTCCTATATGACCATCATGCGCGGAAAGCAGCACGGAGCGGACTAGAGAATGTGCGCTGCGGAGCGGCGCCGAGAGTGCTGTGAAGCGCAGCAGAGGTGGCCAAGCGCTGAAGACGCAACAGCCGGCGAAGATGTGGTTCAGGAAAGGATTCCACAATGGCTCACCTCTCTCGCCGAGACACCGACGGGGAACTTCTGTTTCGTCCCGGCTAACGCACACCTCTGCAACCCACAGAGTTGGCGCGAAATGATGGGTTTAAGCTGGAAAGGCGCGGGTTTTTGTGGAGAGCAACCAAGAATGGCTCTGTTCCGTCTCGAAAATAGGCAGCAGGCTGGCATGTTGTCGAAGGATAAGATGGGTTGGACGCAGGGACGTCTGACAATTCAACCCTGGTCTGTTTGTTAGCGCGGGACTCGGGTATAACACTTCTTCGTCTTTCACTTTGACCATCTTGTATCCTTTCTTTTCTTTTCTTTTCTTTTCTTTCTTTCATCTTCTTCTTCATTTTTATCTCTCTATTACATTCCTCTTCTCTTACTTTTTTTGATTTTCACGTTCCATTCTTTTTCTCCCTTCCTGTTTTCCTTACGTTCCTTACTTTCTTCTCTCATTTCATGTTTAGTGCCCTGTTAACCAATACACGTGTGTATGTGCCGCGCTAACGAACTTTCGTAGGCTAGCTTGGTTCAGCTTAGCGAGGATTTGAGGGTCGCCACATTGGCTCGATTGGGAACGCACGCCAGCTCCCGTCGCTGTGAACCTCGCAGTTCGAGATCCGAATCCATGCATCTCACCTCAACAGCCAGATCCGCCACATTGATTCCAGATATCATCACCAGGGGAACAGGACCCGGATTGCCATGCACTGGATCTGAAGAGACTATTGGCTACAGTTTTTGGTATTCAGCGCGAAGCGCAGTTGGGTCCTTGCGAACACTCCTATGGTGCAGAGGAATACCAGGCTCTGTTCTCACCCAACCTTTCGTCCATCACGATTTACCCAGGATTCGGCGTTGCTGGGAGCCTCTCTCTCAAGCACCTCATTTCAGGCGGGGCCATGAATGCTGCGGCCTACCAGTACAGGCCCCCAAAGCCGAACTACCTTCCACACGACATCGAGGTCGATGAGCCCATTGTCGAGGAGTACACCTTGCCACTCGGCAAGGCTGACGACCGCGAAAATGCCATCTTCTTTAACAAAATGAAATCTGCGGCACAGGAGTATGGCATCGTCCGACCCAAAGGCTACACGGTTTCCTATCACGCCACGCCCGAAATGGAGAAGCATCACTTTGGCCAGACACACCCCATGAAGCCATGGCGGCTGACGCTGACCAAGAGCCTGGTCACGTCGTACGGGATGCCCTTCGCCATGGACAACTACATCACCCGGGAAGCGACGTATGAGGAGCTCAACGCATTTCACGGCAGCGACTACCTCGACTACCTAATAACGGCAGCGCCAGAGGACCAGCCGCGGGACATAGAGAACCCCGACAAGGAGGTGAAGTACAACCTTGGCGGGAGCGATTGCCCGCTCTTCCACGGCCTTTACAACTACTGCTCTATGTCGGCTGGCTGCTCGTTAGACGCCGCGCGCAAAATCTGCAGCAAGCAGTCCGACATCGCCATCTCCTGGGGCGGCGGGCTGCACCACGCCAAGAAATACGAAGCTTCGGGCTTCTGCTACATCAACGACATTGTGCTCGCCATCCTGCAGCTGCTGCGCATCTACCCGCGCGTGCTGTACATCGACATTGACGTACACCACGGCGACGGCGTTGAGGAAGCCTTTTTCTCAACCGACCGCGTCATGACGGTGTCGTTCCACAAATACCAGCCCGATTCATTCTTCCCTGGTACCGGTGCGCTCGAGGACAACGGGCCCAAGAACGAGCACAACCCGGGCGCGCACCACGCCATCAATGTGCCGCTGCAAGACGGCATCACGGACGAGCAGTACGAAGCCCTGTTCCAGAGCATCATCGGCGCCATCAACGAGCGCTACCGACCGAGCGCCATTGCCCTCCAGTGCGGCGCCGACTCGCTAGCGGGCGACAGGTTAGGTAGGTTTAACCTGCGCGTCCAAGGCCACGGCGCCTGCGTCAAGTATTGCAAGAGCTTGGGCCTGCCCATGATCCTGTTTGGCGGCGGTGGGTACACGCCGCGCAATGTGGCGCGCGCGTGGGCCTACGAGACGTCCATCGCTATCGGCGCCGACGCCAGCATCCCCGAGACGATACCGGAGCACGCACCTTGGCGCGAGCACTTTGTCCACGACACGCTGTTCCCGTCGCTCGAGCAGAGTCTGAACGAGCCGCGCCATAACCGCAACTCGGAGAAGCGCCTGCGTGAGATTGTCACGCACGTGCACGAGCAGCTGCGCTTCGTGGCGCATGCGCCCAGTGTGCAGAGCCAGATCATCCCGCCGGATTTGGGGCCCATCAGAGACGAGGTGGAGGCGAGGTTGAAGGAGGAGAAGGAGGAGAGGAATGATGGGTTGAGACGGATCCGGGAGGAAGGGATAGGGGAAGCTCTGGAGTATTGAGTGTATTTCTGGGTGGATTTATGAGACTCGGAGTTGAGCCCAGGCTGTCTGGTTGCCGTTGCCCGAGGCTGAGGGGATCACCAGCGCGAATCACCAGCTGATCGTTACCGGATTATCCGGCTCCCAGAGTATACGTATTCTGGTGGTCGGGAGGAAACTTGAGGATGTTTCCTTTTTCCCGGAACGGGTCCAATGGACTCAGCCGGCCTCTACGCCCATATTCGTCTGGCTACCGACTTAAAGCTCCTCGAGACGGACAGTCCAACTAATACGCCATTCAGTCTGTGGGTGTCTTTGTTCTCCGGGCCACCTGCCCCGCAAGTCCGAGTGGCGCGGAGGGCGGGACCATCCGGGCTGTTCTTGCAGCGGGGCAGGTCAGCCGGATCCTGCAGATTGCATCATCGTCAATTTGCCGTCCACCAAAAGCTCCCTTGACTTGTCGGTTCTCGTTGTTACACTCACACAAGCGTTCCGCCATGTCATCTTACTGGAGGGCGGCGTTGAAATCTGGAAAATAGCAGGATAAGAGTAAAGGCCGGCCGTCAAGTGGCGGAGTAGAGCGTGGATTCCCAAGCTGCAGGTCTGCACGTGTAGGTGCTCGGAAGCTGTTCCACGCCCCTGCCTCTTCGACCTTGTTGTAGCCCCTGTCAGCCCACTCCCGCTCTGCCTGCTCCATGGAGCAGTTCACGGAGGTCATGCACCAGACACATTGACGCTCAGGACTTTTCTTTTCCTTTCCAGCTTATCGTCGCTCTACTTCCCTGGGAAATACCACAGAGCTGCCATGTCATTAAACCGGGTCGCGTCCATCGAGACGTTCACCACCGTGCCCTCAGCCCCTGGCGTACGGTCAAGGAGGGCCTCGGATGCCTCGACTCGCGCCCGCAAGCTGACCTTCAACCCCATCCCGCAGGAATGGGATTCCCGGCCCCTTGACCTGCTCCCGGCGGTAGGAGCATTCCAGGTGCCCAGGTGGAAACGGCTTGGTAGGGTCCATGCTATCCTCGCTTCAGAATACGTTGGTCTGACAAACAGGATCAGTCCAGGTCACCGCCGCCGTCATATTCTGTTTCCTTGGCGCAGGCATCGTCTTTGGCTATGCCGCCATCAAGCCCGTGCTGAAGGCCGAAGGGGCCTACAGCAATCTCTGTGTGGTGCCCGGCTCGACGCCGGACGACGTAGACACTTGCGTCGAGATTCACCTCAACTTCATGTTCACGGTGGCTGCTGTGGCTACCAATGTCGCGGCTCTGCCGGTTGGAGCGATCCTCGATCACTACGGACCCAGGGTCTGTGGCCTGCTGGGGAGCTTCTTCCTCGCGTCTGGCGCGCTCTTGATGGCGTTTGAGTCGCGGCTGCCGTTCGACGGTCTGCTTCTGGGTTACCTGCTGCTGGCGCTGGGCGGTCCCTTTACGTACATCTCGTCCTTCCAGTTGTCAAATGCCTTCCCCCGGCATCCGGGCTCCATTATCGCCCTGCTGACGGGCGCCTTTGACGCCTCGAGCGCCGTCTTCCTCATATATCGCCTCATCTACCAAGCCACGGAAGGCGAGTTCACCCGCCGAAAATTCTTCCTCGTTTACCTCGCCGTGCCGGTATCCATGGCGCTGATGCAGCTGACCGTCATGCCGGCGCGCTCGTACAAGACGGTGGGCGAGCTGGTCCAGGATATCCAGGAGCCTCTAGCCGCCGTGGCGGACGCCGGACCGTATGACCAGGTCGACGAGGAGACGGCTTTGCTGCAGGAGGAACGACGCCAGCGCCGGGCGGGTGCGATCGAGGAGGTCGAGAGCGTCCTCGGCTCGGTCAAGGCAGATAGACAGACGCGGCGCGAGGAGCATGCCAACCAAGTCTCGGGCGTCTGGGGCGTCATGCACGGATACTCGGCCTGGGAGCAGATCAAGTCGCCCTGGTTCATCCTCATCTGTCTCTTCACCGGTGCGTTTCACCCTTCCCTCCATCACCATTTCCCTCACCATCCATCTACTGACACTCTCACAGTTGTTCAAATGACACGGATCAATTTCTTCGTCGCCACCGTCCGCACGCAGTACGAATCCCTCTTCGACTCCCACGCCGCCGCCGTCGCGCTAAACAACTTCTTCGACGTCGCCCTGCCCCTGGGCGGCATTCTCGCCATACCCTTCATCGGTACTGTCCTCGACCACACGCCCACCCCGACGGTGCTGGGCCTGCTTGCCGGGCTGGCCACGACGATTGGCATTCTGGGCATCATCCCCCGCGCGCTGTGGGCCGGTTACACCAATGTGCTGCTGTTTGTATTGTACAGGCCGTTTTACTACACGGCTGTCTCGGACTACTGCGGGAAAGTGTTTGGGTTTGAGACGTTTGGAACCGTGTACGGGACCGTGATTTGCGTGTCCGGGGTGTTGAACCTATTGCAAAGCGGACTCGATTGGTTATTTGAAACGAAGTTCGACGGGAACCCGATGGCGGTGAACATTGGGTTGTTGCTGTTAGGGTTGGGGATTGGGGCGGTCCTGGTTGGGTTTGTGGGCTGGAAGGCGAAGGCGGTCAGGGGGGAGTTGCTGGAGCGGGAGGCGAGAGGGGCTTTGGACGGGAGATAGGGGTAGATGATGTTGGTGATGAGGTGGATGGGGTGGATAAAGAGAGGTGAGGAAAGTGGGGCGAGAATTGTAGGGTATTGAAAATGAGGAACGAGCGTTGCAAGCGAGGAGTTACTGGATTCTGGACTTAGGTTCTCTGGTTCAGCGCCGCTACGCTTGCCTAGTTGTTTTAGTACCTAGTTACTGTGTAATTGATGGATTTCTTAAGATCTGGGAAGTCTAACTTAAGGTCTTGTCTGTGGGATATTATCTGAGCGTACTAGTATCTTGTGTGTTTACTTCACCTTGACCTTGCTTTTGCTTCACCTTGACGTATCTCATCCGATGAGTAATCGCCATCGAGGCTGGCATGCGTGAAACATGATCATTTTCAAATATCGGCTTGACATCTCCAGCGCCTTCCAAATCGACAACTATCCGTTCTTTCCCCGTTGAGCCGCAATTCACAAATCTCACAACACCGTCGTTCCTCTTAAAATTTCATTCTCTCCTCCTATGACTCTGTCGCCGTTGAGGACTTTCCCGCCAGCTGCAGATTGGAATCACGATATAAGTAAACACAGTGAGCCCCCAACCCCCGTCGGGGCTGACCGTGTTCTCACTCATTGAGTTCTGCCACTAAGGGCCGCCACACTTAGTCTTGCACTCACCAAGAAGGGACAAGATTAGCTCTTCAAGTGTGCGAAAGCTACTCCCTCCAAGTGCCGTCCTGAATTAACGCCACTATCCAAGTTTCGATGACCATGTCGGACGTCCTGGATGTTACCTTCGAGGCCCATAACGGCCAGTCTATCCGCTGCGTGCTCAAGTTCTATGACCGTCGATTTGGCTCATGCCTGCGCGAAACTCACCCGACAGGATAGCGCCACATACGCATGAACATGGAGCAGCATTTCTGACTTTGTCAGGCGAAGAATGATGCCCAGGTTCCTCCGCTACCTACGCAGAAAAGTAGAGACCGAGCAACTTTGCCGTCAGCACTGGGAAAATTCCTGAAAGAGCGAAATCGCAGCGAAGGCCTTGCCAAGTTCGAAGCAGCGCTATGCAAATATGTGTCGAGTATTTTGAATGCGAGACCAAGACCTATGACCGACTCTCGCCGATCTTCAAGGCAAGTTGGGCACGCGCATGCTTGCCCACGTTAGGCTGTCGGCCACCGAGCGCGCGATTGGGATGCCAAACGAAGCACCATGCTACTTTGAGGTTAGGGGTATCCTTCTGCCGCCTATCGACGTATATTGCTTGGAGGACCTGACGCAAGGCCCTCTCCCACGTAACTTCAGGACATGGCAGCGGATCATCCATTCGGCTGCAGATGCAGCGTATGGGATCAATAAACACGGCATCACCATGACAGATTGTGCACCGCGCAACGTAGTTATCGATGGGGCAGTCGCGCACGCCTCGTATTGTCGACCTGGCACAGTACCGCTTTCGTGGTGAGATGGAGATGGGATGGTACAGGAGTGGATGGCACGAGAAAGAGGGATGGAATCCGGATGTCGAGTACTGGGAGCAAGCGGAGACTGAGGACAACCCAGGGGCGAATGGGGTGGTGATGGTGAATCTTGTGCGAAGGAAGACAGGTATGGAGCTGCCTATCATGTATCCCGACTGGTATGGCATCATGGCTGGGATCAGGCGAAGGGGAGGCACCTTGACGACAGACAGTTTTCAAGAGCCTCGAGAAAACTGGAGGTATCAACTTCCCAAGGAGTCCAAGTTCTTAGAAAAACCAAAGGTATTTGGGTAGTTCCAGGTTGGTCCGTGCACTTTCCTTTCAACGATCCATCCCCTTTTGTGAACTTCGACTTGACAAAACACTTCTGGGCACGCACAGATTGTGCCGTCTCCTTCCGCACCCCTGTGCATCAATACCTCTACGCAATACTTTTAACCCAACAAGATGGCCTTCAAGCAGGGATAACCGGTCGAGGCCAATGCAATCAGCCAAAGTGGCTCGAGTGGTAATGCAGGAGATGGAACCGCCTGGTTCATCGATGAGGGCGCGTCGCGGGCTCCCTCACTGGCTCTCTGCCCAGAAGATGCCCCAGCGACAAACAGTGGCCGTGCAATTGGAGTGCATACCGGCTAAGCGCCCAGCCCTGCGAGCCCAATCACAGAGGGGCTGCTTTCCAGGTGCCGCAACCATATGCCCCTCGCCGGCGACCCATGCTCCCGCTCTCCCCCCTGTCCGATCGCTGCGCGGCCTGCGCATCTGGCCGCATATTGCCCGGCCTGGCCTGACGTCCTCGGCCTGAAGTTTGTCACTCGAGCTTCTTTCCGACATCTGGTGCAAAGTGTTTTGCGATCTATCTAGGTCTGCAAGAGTTTTTTTTTTTGTGACACTTGGTTGTAGCATCTTTTCCTCCGTTTTTGGCAAGCAACTGCTTCCATCGCCGATACCCCTCTACAGCGGCCTCTCCCCGCCTTACAACCAGGGTGGAAGTCTTGGAACAAGGAGGGGGTTCTCATCTGCCGCCGACACGGTTGGTGCCAACATCACCTGCACCTTTGGCGAGACGACAGATCAAGTTCCCGCCCTGGCTAGGGACAAGCAACTCCTGCCTGAACCATCCTCACGTCTCGACAACTCCGAAGCGCTCGGTTGAACCCTCCGTCGGCTCTTTCAGCTGACTGACGACCATGGGCTCCCGATCGCGCGACGTGCCCGACGACGAGCTCTTCATGAGCCGGCCTCGGCCTGCCGAGGACTGCGATAGCCCCACGGTCGAACCGCTTAGGATATTCAAGCCGCAGAGTCCGGCCGGCGATAAGAACTCGAACCGCCCCAAATATCCCGCCCCGCCGTCTTCGTCGTCCCCTGCGGGCTCGGCTTCGTCTCCGGCATCCAAGCCGGCTATCGCCTCTCTCCCGCCGCTGCCATCCTTCCCCTTCGGCGCATCGAGCTCTGCAGCCCCGCTGCCCTACCCAGACGACGTTCCCAAGCCGCAGCCGAAGCCTACCCGACTACCTTATCCAGATGACGGCCCCAGGACATCTTCGCCGGCCGGAAGGGTTTACAGCCCCCCTCCGGGGTCCTCGGCTTCCCTCGCGCAAAAAGATCTATCGCCAAGGCCGACTGTGAACACTGGGGAGAAGAAGACAGGCCTTGCAGAGAGGCGCGGAACAGCGCCTAAACCCCTGCAAAGCCCGGTCAGTCCTAGCGGCGATGCTGACGACGGCGGCCTCTTCGCCAAACCCCTGAGGAATCCGGCGGCACCTGCGCCCAAGATCTCTAACGCATACCAGCAGAAGCCGTATTACCCTCCCCCCGGCGGGAAGCCAGGGGCGTCCATTGGCCGCTTCGACTCGACCGCCTCCAATTCGACAACCCGCGCCAGCCGGGGATCGCCGCCCCCGCCTGAGACACCCATCGTTGAGCCGGGTGTCATTCCCGGAGGAGGCATCGAGGCACGCTATGCGGCGGCCGGCATCTCGGGAACTGCAACTCTTAACAGCCTTCAGGCCCCGAGTGCCGCGGCGCAATCCCGGTTGGCGCAGTACGGCAACCAACCACCCGCCACTCTGACTCCCCAGCCCCGGCCGTGGACGCCTACCGAGACGCCCGGCCAGCAGCCGTTTGGCCCGCCTACCGTGTACCAAGGCGCAGATGTGGTGTCGAATCCGACACCGACACAGCAAACGCCAGCCTTCAACCTTCCGCCGAATCCCAATCCGGCTACACAGGTGCCGGCGAATGCGAACCTGCAAGTCAGCGTGCTGGAACAGGACTTTCAGCGCATGCAGGCATCCACCCCGCCGCCTGCCTACACGTCGGTCAACCCCAATGCGGGCTCAAAGTATCCAAACGAGAAGCAGCGTCCAGTTCAAGCAAGCTCCAGCGCTGCAAACGTTCCACCCGCTGCGGCTGCAGCGCACCCGAGCGCTCAACAAGCCGCGGGCCCTGTCTCTGTTAGCTCTCCGGCGCCGCAGAAGCAGAACTCTGCGACAACCGCGACGGCTGCCGCTGCCGCTATCCCTGCCCACAATGCTGGCCATCCTGCCTTTGCCAACGAAACCAAACCCGCGACCGCGCAGAACGGGCAGCCGGCCCTGAGCCATACCCCGTCGCTCCTCGTCGCGGCACAGTCGCCGCCGCCCCTCCCCGAGGGCTGGATTGCCCATCTCGACCAGAACTCGGGCCAGTATTACTACATACACCTAGCCACACAAGCGACGCAATGGGAATTTCCCAAGGGGCCGACGCCCTTGAATCACGATCCCGCCCCCTTATCGCCAACGGCATCCACCTATGGCAACCCTCTCGCATCGCCACTCCTGGGTGGTGGGAAGGCAGGCCTCGCTTCGCCGCTGTTTAACCCCCAGGGTCACCCAGGTTACGCCGAGAGCATCATGAGCGTCACGGCATCCGTGGCTCCTACAGTCGGGTTTACCGGTCCTCCTCCCAACTCAGGAGTTGATATCTACAAAGTCATGCCCACCAACGGCGTCTACTTCGGTCCGTATCTGCGCTACGTAAACATGGACTTGGAGAAGGGCATCTGGTTGGGCAGCATCCTGCTGGTGACGGACGCCCCGCAACCCCCAACTATTCACATCCACCTGAGCGTGGATCTTTCCCCCAATCCCCGTCAGCTGATCCCGCAGAACATCCACACGCACCAGCGATGGACGTTCTACAAGTACGATATCGACCTCCAGATGTCCGACCACGGCACAGAGCGGTGGACATATGCCGTGACCTCGCATCTCGGGTGCACGCGGTACGAGTTTGTCGTGGCCGGCCGCTACGAGACGGGCTGGCGCATGATTGCCCACTCGGGCAACGATTTCGCCCCGGCCACCAACCAGAACGAGCGGGCCAAGCTCGGCGGCGTCGGCTTCATGTGGAAGGATATCCTGCAGAAGAATGTCGAGTGCGGCGGTTTCCACGTCCAGCTCGGCCTGGGTGCCCAGATATACGGCGACCGCCTGTGGAAAGAGGTGCCGCTGCTGCGGCAGTGGCTCGCCATGCAGGGTCGGGAGAATCGCAAGACTGCCCCGTGGACGGCGAGGCACCAGGAGGAAGTGTCGCATGCCTACTTCCACTACTACACCAGTCACTTTGACCAGCCGTTTATGCGGGAGGCGTTTGCCCAGATCCCGCATGTGCTGCAAATTGATGACCACGATATGTGAGTTGTCCACCTTTAGAGACCTGTTAGACAGTGCTGACTTTCGTAGTTTCGACGGGTTTGGCTCTTACCCCGACTACATGCAGTCTTCGGCGGTTTTCAAAGGCATCGGCCGCATCGCCATCGACATGTACCTGCTGTTCCAGCACCATACGACCGTTGAGATCTTGCGCAACGTCAGCTCAGACATGGACCTCTTCACCATCACTGGGGCTGGCTGGCACTTTGTCAAGTATCTTGGGCCCGCCGTCGTGGTGGTCGGGCCGGACTGTCGATCGGAGCGCACGCTCACACGCGTCATGGCCGGGCCGACATACCAGGGCATCTTCCCCAAGGTGGCGACTCTGCCACCCAGTGTGCAGCACTGCATCTGGATGATCTCGGTGCCCGTCGTGTACCCGCGCCTTGAGACGGTCGAGACACTGGCCAACACGTTCGCCACGGGCAAGAAGGCCGTCAACACGACGTACAACATCCTCGGCAAGGTGACCAGCTCGGTCGCGGGAGTGGTCGGCGGCAAGGAGGTCGTCCAGCATGGGTTCAAGGAGGCCAAGAAGGCGATGGGCAAGACCGGGCTGATGGGCAACGTGCTAAACCAGTTTGGCGAGATCAACATCGCCGAGGAGCTCAAAGACCTCTGGACGCACGAGTCTAAGGACCTCGAGCGGACCTACCTCATCCGCACCCTGCAGGGCATCGCCCAGCAAAAGGGCATCCGGATGACCTTTCTGTCAGGCGGTGCGTTCCCCCATTTTCCCTCCATCCTGATAAATCACCTGCCACTGCAAAACCGCTAACGTATCACTTCACTTACAGACGTCAACTGCGCCGGCGCAGGCCTCGTCCACGACCCGTCGCACCCGTCCGACCACAAGACCATGTATCAGATCATCGCGTCACCCGTCGTGGCCGCCCCCTGCGGCAACTACCTGCTCAAGATGTTGCACAACAACAAGCTGCTCTATGTCCCGCAGAACGGACACAAGTCGACGCACGAGGTGTCGGACACGAAGGAGGACATGATGGAGATTTTCCACACGGACGCCTCGGGCGGGGCTAGGGAGCTCAAGAAATTGATGAACAGGCGGAATTATGTCGCCATTGTGGCGTATGATCCCGACGTGATTGCCAACGGCGGTACGGGGCCCCAGCAGCAGCAGCAGCCGGGACAAGGAGGAGGGGGCGCCGGGTATGCGGCGAGCGTGGCGAGCGGGAATTCGGGAGGGCTCAGCAAGTTGAGCCTGGCGGTGGATTTTGTGGTGCAGGGGGATGGCATGTTTACGACGACGACAAAGTATGGGCCGGTTATTGTGCCGCATCTGGAGTTTGGCCATTGATCAACCTGGCCCGGGCTGCTGGTCATGGGGTTGTAAGGTTGTGGAAGGTGGTTGCGAAGGGGGGTGATGTGAGTTGACGATGGTTGCGTATTTTGGGAGTGCTTCTGTTTTCTTCTTGGTTACGGCTTTGCTTGGATACTTTATAGTGGTTGTTGATTAGTAGATCGGGGTTGTTCGGTTTCATAGCGTCGGTTAGCGAGTGCGTCCAATGCTACAGCTGTTCCAACATGTCCGAGGCAGTCAGTCCTATGGTACTAGCGGGGACCGATACTGCCATCGTTTTGCTTCAGCACGAGGATCCCGATTCTGATACTGCATCCGCAGCAACGACGCCGCAGCAATACTGATTAGTTTATTTCCACCCTACAGATCGAATAGCTTCTTGAGCTCAGTCATGGTGTCGTGCGGGCCCGTGACAGAGTGCCCGATCGTCCGACTGTCGGTGTAGATCTCGTAGTCGTTGCCGCCCTCGAACGTCTTGTCGCCAAAGAAGTGGATCGTCGTGTACTGCACGCCGCCCGGCCGCTTGGCCTCGTTCTCGATGTGCTGCAGGCAGTACGTCTTGTCCCAGCCAGTGGGGAACACGTCGAACGAGATTTGCCCGCCAATGGAGAACCTGTTTGGCTAGAGTGTCAGTCTCGTGTACTTCTGAAGTAGGGTAGAGAGTTGATGGAAATACAACGTACGTCAAGCCCAAATGCCCGAACCGCTCCTTGAGCTTCTCGACAAACGCCTTGCGCACGCCGTGCTCCTTGTCGTATTTCTCATAGTCGTTGCGCTCCTGCACGCTGGCGTTGCGCCCGATGGGGGACACGTTGATCATGCCGTTGCGGAACTCGATGAAGGTGCCCCGCTTGACGGGGATCTCGAGGTCGGCAATGTAGTGCAAAATGAAGCGCACCAGCTCCTTGTACTGCTCCTCGCCGATCCACTTGATGAAGCTGTTGGACGGCAGCGGCTCGCCCAGCCGGTACGCCGTCAGGCCGTTCTCGGCGAAGCAAAAGTCGAAGAGGGTCGTGACGTTGATGTCGGGTGTGCCCAGCTGCTCCTGCTGCTTGACGAGGTCGGAGCCGCCCACGAACCCGATGGCGCACTTTTGGCGGAGGCGCGAAAGGAGGTCGAGCATCTCGGGCGAGGCGCTCTGCGAAGCGGAACGTTGGTCAGTAAAGGATCTTGCCCAAGCCTTGCAGGAGAGTGTACGCACCAGACGCGCGGGAGTGAGAGTGCCGTCGACGTCAAACAGGCAGATGGTGTTCTTGATCTCGCGCTCGGCGAGGGGCGGGTACGAAGCCATGGTCGCGGTTGTGTTGGTTGGGTTTTTCGGGTTGATTGGGAAAGAAAAGAAGGTGTAATATCGAAGAGCGAGGTGAATTGGTTGGGCAGACGTGGCTCTCGTACTATATCCCCAAAGTACCCAAGTGGTACGGTCCAAAGTCACAAACTTTCGGTGAAGAACCTCCTCTTCGACAGACGCCTCGGTAGCCCCACGTTGTCGACTGGGGGGGCTGAGAGGGCAGTTCGATTGGCATGACCCCTCTTGGACCCCTCCTTCACTGACACCTTAGCCGTACCAAGGCAGGCCCCACCTCCCGTCAACCAAGCGGGGACGCTCAGGGGCTCAGGGGTGCCCTTTCAGACCAAATTTAATTGACCCACTTCCACATGCCATGGTTTGAGGCAGACAGGCATCAATCTTGACGAGAACATGAGTCAAGCCTGGAAAGTCCGTTTGTGTCTCCGTAGTTGCCTTTTAAGCAAACATTGGGAACAGCCTACTAAGATCACACACCACACCCATTAAACTTCAGATAGAAATAGGCTCCGGCGTCGGAGATAGTTCATAGTTATATTACCGCCGAGACCCCAACCCTCAACCATCATCTCTCATCGTTCACAATCCGCCCAGCTGTCCAGGCCTCCATAGCCCGAGCAAGCTCATCCAAATTGATGCTGTGAGTAACGACGACTTGGACAGAGAGATGGGCGGATGTGGGTGTGGATTGGTATGCCGGGACACTCTTCTGCTTCACCAGAATCATTCTCGCCAGCATTGTCATGAATGCTTCTTGCCGGACGATCCTTGGGGACGGGCTCCTTGCTGTTGGACATCAGATCCTACGGCAGGAAGACGTAGAAGCGAGGGGAATTTGGCTGGAAGATGATCTTCGCAGAGAGGGATTAGGAGCCGTGAGGTAGTGCGGAGTAGGGCGGCGGGGCCCGACACGTCGACCGCAGCGCTCAGCTCTTTGGCCACTCGCTCTCCTGCTGCATTCTCCTCCGCAACTGCATCTGAGCAATTGAACTTTCCGAAACAGCGACCGGCGCCGCCACGGCCATCGCGCTCCGGCAAGGCGAATCCCATCTCAAGGGGTGCCGTAAACCGACTGCGCCAGAAGCTGCGCGGCAACTTTGGCGGCTGGGAGACGCAGGCGATCGCTCTCGAGACAAGGCGGAGGTTGGGGAGGCCGAATTGGGTCTGAATCCGTGGCTGCCGGCGGGATTCCGGCCCTGGCCATGGCCATTCCTCTGCTCACTGGGTCCGGGGCCGCAGACCTAGAGGTCGAGAAGAAAGACGTCAAGGAGCCATCACTTGCGCCTCGTATCATCCGGAGCGATCCGCTAGTCCGCACCTTTATGGAGTTGATGCGCACATCAGCGCTCTGGGGGCCCCGGAGTGTGTGGCCGAAGAGTTGAGGTCTGTGGCGCGAAGGGTCAACTCTCGTAACTCTCGTCGCTCTCGTCGGCCCCAGGCGTTGAGGCTGACACGCTGACCCAGACCACGGTTTCCACGTGCGGGCGAGATTCCGTCATCGCTACGTCCGTGGCGGCGTGGCGATAAATCAGCCGCACCCCGTCGAGGCCTCCAAGCGTGCCCACGCAATGTCGCCGACTCATGATACTGATTCCTACTTCGACGCCATTCAAAGACGCAATCAGTATGGACGCCTGGAAGCGCACACTTGCCGAAGAGGCAATGGGACACCAATCTCATCCTCGTCGCAGATGGGTTCACATAATCCGCCAAGGGTTCCATGCGCCCAGGTAGCGGATATTCAGCACATCCGGATCAGGGCCAGCGTCCAGGAGGAGCACAAGGAGTGGCTCATCCGCCCTGTCGAACGCAGCCGTGGCCCTACTCCAGTTTGGTCAGTCTGGCGCTGAACTCTGAGATATGATGACAGCGGCCGAGTACAACAAGGAAAAGGGCGTCATTTACGCACCTCACCGCCATTTGTTGACCGCATCGAGGAGTGCATCCAGCGCTACCGCGCCCGTCGCTGAGTTCTGGACGGCCGTCTGGCGCTGTAGATGCTTCGTTCCCCTAGGATCCGCGTCCCCTGGCAATTGCCCATGTCGTGTTGGTAGTTGCCCCTTCTTGGAACACTGCCCGCACACCGGCAATAGTAGGTCGCATAAACAGGCGAGAAATAGTATCGGCATTTCGGCTTCGCAGGTGGCCCTTTGCGGACCACTCTTGGCCCTCGAATCTGATAACCCCAGAACCCAGCCCCTACGACACGTCCGACCACGTCCCCGTTAACTCAACGACCAAGTTCACTACAGTCCCGACCGTCCAAATACAAATGAGCCCCCAGCCGATTTTCCTACTCATCACCCACCCATTCCAGGGCACGACAATCAACAGCACCACCAGCGTCAATAACACCGTCACGGCCGAAATCATCAGCGTCCCGCCCACATGAATATGATACGGCTCATACTTAACCCTCCCATGATGTCCCTTGCCCTTGCCCACGGCTTGTTGGATTCCCATCCACGCGCCCCCCATGCCAACCCCAAGCAAGATATTCAGCATCGGCCCGCCAAAGCACGCGGCCAGCGCCATGACGGGGTACCCTAGCCTGGCAACCGTGACATCGGCGACGAGATCGCCCAGCGAATTCCCCACCGCAAACACCGTCAGCCCCAGAATTGCCTCCGAAATACCCAGTATGACGCCCATCGCCTTGAGCACGCCAACCACCTCGCCGGCGACGGTCGAGATCCACGCGACGGATATGACGAACCCCAGAAAACACAGGAGGAAATGGTACTGGGGCTTCTTGTCCGCCGTCGTGGTGGCGAGCAAGGCGGCGAGCAGGCAGAGGGAGAGGAGAAGGGAGTAGAGCACCATGCGCAGGAGGGTGCGGCGCGGGTGGGGCATGTCGGTGGCCGTGTTGGCCCAGAGGACGAAGGCTACGAAGAGGGGCCCGGTGAAGAGTTGGACGGCGACGAGCCATCTGTTCCAGCCGGGTGTGAGTGGTGTCGTGGACGACGCAGAGGCAGGGGTTGCTGGTTTGGGGAGGGTTGGAGGCGTTGTGGCGGTCGGGGGCTGTTGTTGGTGTTGCTGTTGCGATGGTAGTTGGGGCGCGTCGAGGGAGAGGACGGACGGAGACCCGCTGAGCGGGGATCTCGACGTGACGGATCGGGTGCGCCGTTGTCGTCGGTAGGCCTGCCACTCGGTCTCGGGCTGGATCTCGGCGCTGTTCTCTACCGAGACGGCTGGAGCCGTGTTGCCGGCATGGCCATGCTCAGGGGGATCGGCGATGTCGCCGTCAGGGCCATGCTCCTCGTTCTCCGTTTCCACCACCGGCAATGTTGCGACCAGCAAGAAGATGCTTGGCACCGAGATTAGACTGATTATCTTATCCCAGGGTGTCTTCCCCCTCCATCCTTGGAGAGTTGGAAAAACAGTAGCGAGGAGGACATGGGGTGCCGGTAATACGCTGTAGGGCCACCATTTGACCGGCCGTGGATTCTCTTGCTGGTCGTCAAGGCCTGCGAAGGACTGCCGGTCTGACTCGGACGGGACAGGAAATGAAAACGTCCTCGACTCATGATATGGCGTGAGCACGGCTGGTGATTCGGAAAGCCCCGGAAAGGGGGAAATTGAGGGGGACGACTGCCCGCTGGATCGTCCACTGGGGGAAGGGATCCGGATTTGCAGAAACTGTTGAGTCTGTTTTGGAGACTGAGAGGCATGGTCAGCTGGGCCGGCAGGACCCACTGGCGGCGCAAGCCTTCCGTCAACGGTACGAGCAGCCGAGCTTGACCGCGTGTGCGGCATTGAGAGAGAACCGAGATGGGGGATGCCCGCATTCTCTAAGTTGCGTGGTTCGTTTCCATAGGATAGCGCGCGCTCTCTCGACCACGGTGGGACCCGTGCCGGCGCCGGCTTGATCTGCGGACGCCCGCGAGAGTCCTCGAGACCGGCAAAAGATGGTTGCTGGACCGAGTGTGACCTTCCATGGAGCGGACCCAAGTGCATGTTTCTCTCCTTCTGCAGCGAGTGCAAGACCGATCTGAACTCGAGCGCGCCAACAAGACTGGGTCGGATTGGGGTGATGGTGGTGTTGCTCCGCCCCCAGCGCGGGCGGTTGACACGCATGCTGCTTGCCATTTCGGCAGCGACGTGTATATCCCGGTGCTCATCGTCATCGTTTTCAATGGCGGCTGGTACCCCATCAACCGCAATGCGGGGACCCCGTTCCAGGACGCTGATATCGCCAGGGTCTGGGGAGCTGCTGGATCGACGGCCAACAGGAGCTGCCTCGTCCTCGTCCGGCTCGTCCCGGTAAGGTTCTAGCTCTTCGCTGCCGTGGCCTGAAGGTCCGTAGAAGTGGGTGCGAGATGCGGCATCCCTCATGCGCTGCCTCCTACGCCGCTTGCTGAACCAGTGCCATCCAACGACGACAACGACATAGAACAAGTAGAAGCCGATCATGGTGAAGCACTCCCACAGATGCAGGTCGCCGTCGGCCAGGAAGACCATGGTGAAACTGATGGCGGAAATGAAGAAAATAACGTCCCTCACAAAGGTGCGCTTGCTGACCTTGAACTCGCGTACCAAAGCCATGGAGCCGGCGACGACGGCGGTGATAAAGCCTGCGGCGCCAAGCAGCTCGCCAACGGCCATGCTCCCGCTGTTGGAGCCCATGGCGGCGAAGGTGCTGAAGACGTCCGGTGAGCCATTGCCGAAAGCCAGAAAGGTGACGCCGGCCAGGCTTTCGCTTAGGCCCAGCGCGCTTGCGATGGTGCTGAGGTTGACGCAAAAGAAGTCGCTGGCGGCGATGCCGATGGTGGTGAACAGCAGGCCCAGCCAGATAACGAGGATGGCGAAGGCAAGCGGCTTCGCGGCGGACAGGGTGCAATAGTAGAAGGAGAGGTAGTGGATCAAGCCGGCCTCGTCGTCCTCGCAGTTGGCCAAGATGAAGGCGCACTGATCCGCGGCTTGGTGTACCTGGCGGCAGTCGATGTCACTCGGGTGCAAGTTCCTCCTCGTCGGAGGTTGGCGATAAGTGCCGACACCCGGCGTGTTTGCAATCTTGAACAGCGCAAAGGCAGTGATCAAAACCACGAGACAGGCCGCAGCAACGGCCGGCCGGGCGCTGTATCGCGTCCGAGTCCTTGGCATTGGGCGAAACGGCGGCGACATTGTGTCAGCGGCGCATGGTGGGAATGGGCGACCACGATGCAAGCTGATACAAGATGACCCATAAATGAGAACTAGGGAACCAGGTATGATTGTTTGTTTTAGAATTGATGATCTTGGAGTTGCGGCGACGGGCGGTTATGAGATGATTTTGATCAAATCATGGCAGCGTGTCAGCCGTTCCAATCTCGCGGACAGGCACAGACAGTGGCCGAGTTGCAACGGGAAGCTGTCGCGTTCGCATTCCAAGTCGTGCCACTTGAGACGCGTGGGCGACTGGGATGCATGACGACGGGAGGTTCCCGTTGTTGGTCTTCGAACACTGATTGCCAAGCCTGAGGTTGGCAACGTTCAAGCTGACTGTTGGTCAAGACTTGAGCGAACCCTTGGCTTTGAGGGAGCCAAGTTCGGCGGGGCAGTTGGCCTGTAGCACCGCAGGTTACACGGTAAAATCCTAGGTCGACAGCCTGGAACCTGGGGCGCACCGAACTTTATCCCCGGCAAAGAAGATGCTTTTTTGAATCCTGGGGAGAAGGGAGAGAAGGCAGAAACCCTATTATGCACAGAGCTACGGATCCGTAGAAGAGTTATTACACAGAGGAACATGGAGATTACGTACTTGGTAAATATCTCTGTAGTGGTTCCCGGATTGGCCTCGGAAGTGAAACAGGCCAAGAACTCCGTAGTAGCAATGTCGCCAACCAGCACGTGTTGCCCCGTCCGCTCCACCGACCCCTCGTCCAATTGCGATGCATCCCCAACTCAACCACCAAAGTAAACAAACACTTTTTGGGCCGCCAAACCGAACATCGACGACAAGCGCATTCTAGCTGCAACGACATCACGGTCCGCGACAAGATGCCTCGAGTTTCCCAGGGCCCGTGCAGGAGCGGGAGCAGGATTCCTTCCGGCTCATTGGCCGCATCACCGTTCAAGTCACCAGTCAAGTGAGTTGCACCGCATCACGTTTAGTTCCTCGCTCCCCGCCGACAACAGGGAAACAGTTTCTGATCGCGCATCTTGCAGGATTCCCTTGAACGATGATGCCCAAGAAAAAGCGCAGCGATCGCACGGCCGCAAAGCCGCTCATGAAGCCCAGATCAACCAGCTCAGGGCTGCCGCGACAAGCACGCCGCGCAAGTCAAGCTCCACCTTCAACAACCTCCAAAATGTCGAGTCGCCCGGGTCCCCGCGCACGCCGCGCCGCCGCAAGAGCGGTAATAACTCCATCATTGTCGACGATGACGAGGATGTCGTGGTAGGCGGCAAGGCCGTCACGCCGATGAAGCGCGTCCCCATCCTCGCCAACTTCGAGGAGTGGATGAAGATGGCCACCGACAACAAAATCAACGCCGCCAACTCGTGGAACTTTGCCCTCATCGACTACTTCCACGACATGTCGCTGCTCAAGGAGGGTGACGGTGTCAACTTCCAAAAGGCCAGCTGCACCCTCGATGGCTGCGTCAAGATCTACACGAGCAGAGTCGACAGCGTCGCAACCGAGACAGGCAAACTGCTGAGCGGCTTGGCCGATAGTCGTGACAGCAAGAGGAAGGGCCGCGACGGCGAGGACGACGAGGACGACGAGGAAGAGGAGGTCGATGAGGAGGGTAACGTCAGGAAAAAGCCAAAGAAAAAGGTATGACACCAATTGCACATGCACGTTCTTTTCCGGCGGTTCTGCTAAATATGTCGCAGACCCAGCGATCGTCCGAGGCCACTCTGGCGCCCTCCTTCGCATCACTGCAACTCAAAAAGCTGGAGCTCGAATTCGCAGTCGATCCTCTGTTCAAGAAGGCCTCCGCCGACTTCGACGAGGGCGGCGCCAAGGGCCTTCTCCTGAACCACCTGATGATCGACTCGCAGGGCCGAATCGTATTCGACAGCAGCGACGATGCCGAGGATGCCGCCGAGGGTACCAACAAGTCGCGGAAGCAGGGTGACGGGGAGCAGGCTGACGCTGAGGACGGGGAGGAGGACTTGTCCCTGGCGGACAGAGAGAAAACCCCTGCGCCCCAGGAACCAGAAGAGGAGGAGGATATCGAAATCGATGTTGCGGGCTTGGGCGCGAGATTCTTCCCGGATCTCAGCATCTTGGACAGCATGGACGTCTGCCCGTCCCTCAAGACGTTCGACCTCGGCGACCCATCCGGCTCTCTCGACATCCCCTTCCTCAGGGCACCGGATGACTGGCGCCAAGACCAGGACAAGGAAAAGACACCTGGCCCAGGGGCCATCGGCGACAAGTCTGGTATGTTTATCGACGAGGAGAATCCGCTTGGATTTGACGACGACGATGGGCTCGGGACCTTTGACTTGGGCGCCGATGTCGATTTCGGCGAGGGCGGAGAGGCGTGGGCTCGCGAGGCGGCGCTCGAGCCGCAGATGATGCGTGTTTTCGACGCCGGTCTGGGCATGGGAGACGGTGCCGGGGCAGACGGGGAAGGTGATGGGGCTGACCTTTTGGACGGCGGGAACGGCGATTTTGCCATCTCCATGACGCACTCCCAAAAGGCCGATAGGATGCACGAAAACATTCTCAGCTACTTCGACCAGGCCCTGCAAAAGAATTGGACGAGCGCCGAGCACTGGAGGATACGAAAGATCAAGGATGTGAACAAGCCAACGGAGCCAACGCGACAGCGGAAAGAGAAGCAGCCGTTCGAGATCGATTTCGCCGCCGCCTTAGACCCGGCTGTCGCTGAGGCCATCTACACCCAAGCCTCAAGCAACTCGGCCATCTCTCTCCCCAAAAAGGACTGGAAGTCCAAATCGCGCAACCTACTCCCCGACGACAAGCACTTTAGTTCCAAACAGCTTCTGAGCCTCTTCCTCAAACCCAAGGCGCGCATGGGCCGCAGGCGCATCCTCGGCGGCAGCCGGATAGGGAACATTGACTCCCAGCGACAAAACGACATCCCCGAAGGCGAGATGGACGAGGCCTTCTGGGCGTCACAGAAGGCACCCCTGCGGTCGGCCGAGCACGGCTCGTCCCCCGACGAAGGCCTACCGCAGGGCGACTACGACGCCAACTTCTTCCAGGACGACGGCCTGCCCTTTGCGGGCGGCGGCGGTCTCGACGACGCCGACGACGACGACGACATGGACGACGAGTTTGCCGACGCGCGCGAGCACTTCTCGCCCGAGGCGGGCGGGCCCATGATGACCGACGTCGGCATGACGGGCGCCTTCGGCGGGCTGACGGTTACCAACCCGGCCGACCTGGCGTTTGGCACCATGCTCGTGACGCAGAACCGCCGCGTCCGGCCCGAGTATGTGCAGTATGCGCGCGTAGCCAAGAAGGTGGACGTCAGGCGGCTGAAAGAGGAGATTTGGAAGGGCATGGGGTTTGAGGGGCTTGAGGTATGTTTTGTTGGTTGAACGTTTTCAACTCCCCGATGTTCTCCCTAACGGCAGCCTCAAGAGACTAAGCTAACCTTATTTGATTTTACTTTAGGACCCCAACAATATCAATAACAACCCCGCCAACCGCCTCATGACCCCCGTCTCCCCTGAGAAACCCACCGCCACCACCGACTCGAACGGGAATGTAGACGGCGACGTCAACGCCAAAGGCCTGACGCTGAAGTTCACAAGCGTCATGAACGACCTGCAGCACGTCTATCCAAAGCCGGTCATGGACGATATCTCGACCAGCTTCTGCTTCATCTGTCTGCTGCATCTGGCCAACGAGAAGGGGCTGGTCATCTCCAAGACCGAGGGGCTGGAGGAGTTGTTGATTCGCAAGGATTGGAATGCTGAGGTTGCTGAGGGGGAGTAGCACGTTCTTGGTTTAATGGGGTGTTTGTATGTTGACGAATCGTCAGGTATGAGTGATAGCGCTCCTGGTTGAGTCCTTTGTATGGAGCTAGGGGGAGAGTCGTTTTTCCTGGCTGGGTGGATGAGCGTTTGCGGGCTGGATGGATATATACACGCGCAAATGGTGAGGTTTGGTTCCAAGTTTGTAGGTGGTGGCTTTCACGATGATGAACAACACTGTTTTCCAGTTTGACGTGAAAATCGACTGGTTCAATTTGTCTAGACGGTTATGACGTGCGTTCCCTATAGCTGTTTGTTTCTTGGTCATTCGTATATGCCCGTTCGAAAATTCGGACCTATGCCGCCAGAAAGAACACAGTATCTATCAGCTTCCGAGAAGCTAGCTGTGTTCAGGAACTCCTATTTCCCGCCCTCACCCTCAGCAGCACCCTTCTCATTCTCACTTCGTCTCTTCTGCTGTTGCTTGTCTTCCCCATCAATGGCGTCCATGTCCTGAGAAGAGGCGCCGAACGACGCCAGTAACTCGTCCAGCTTGCTCTCCAAGTTGTTCAGATTAGCCTCGAGCGTGTTGGCGGTCTGCTCACCCCTGCTTCTTGTCAGCATCTGAGGGCTGTCTGTGGATGAAGTAATGCAAGCGCAGGTAAAGAGTCAGATATCGAGCTTCGTGCGGGCTGAGTATGCAACCTTTCCGAGGTGGTTGTTCTCGAATATTGTGCGTAACAAGGTGACAAACGAAATTGTAGACGGAACAAGGATGGTACAGTGAGGAGAGTAGGAGAACGGAGCTACCGAATGCAAAACAAAACAATAGCAACTCGGAATCCGTATACAGCATCCCTTTGAGACTGTGGTCCGCTAAGCTGGGCTGAGAACGTGCCATACCAAGCAGTTGCGTGAAGATCTTCGAAACGGGGGAGGAGACAGCCAGCATCGCTAGTATCAGCCTGCCAGAGTGATTCTGTTGGGCTGCGTCATCTCCAGTTCGGGTCGTATCCAGGTTCCTGATGAACGAGCTAACTTGCTTTGCTGGACAGACTGATGTTAAGATTGTGGAGAGAGGCCTAGTGAGCCGTCCGCCCGGACGCACATGCGACGGCGGCAATCGGATACAGTCTTTTTATCGTCATGAGCCCCGTACGGCGACGGAGACATTGTTGTCCGCAACTCGTTCTATTGTCTCTTGTGGCGGCGGTGAGAAAGGGAAGGAGCCGATAAGGTAGCGTGAAATTTGTTTCCCATCATCTTGGAGGTCACGCAGGGATGCCATTTCTGTTGTCCCATCTGCATGGCTTCTTCCTTTCTTGGGGTTTCGGCTTTTTGGGACCGAGACCCAACGTTGGGACCTGGAGCTGAGAGAACGTGGGGTATTGGAAAGAAAAGGGCCTTCATACCTCGCAAGGTCTCTGAGGGCCTAGACCGCAGGATGGCATGTCAGCAGCATGCAAAGTGTGGCGATCAGGAGACAGGGCTGAAGAACACGTCGGGGGGCGGGTACCGCCGAGACGGTATCCGAGACGACAGGCGTAGATGATGAGCTTACCTGGGCCAGGCGGTCGCCGACCGACGACGAAGAAAGTGGTGGTTCTGATGGTTCATGCGTCGAGCGCTTCTCATTGTTCCCATTGCTCCGAGGCTCAGTTGTCAGGTCCCGAGGAGGCGTTGTAGGCGCCATGGTTGTAGAAGGGGGCCAGTGAAAATACGGTGAAGTCGGGAAAGGCGATGCTGGAAGCGGGAAGCCGTCCTGCCTCTTTGGCGCCCTGTGCCCTTGCTTGTCCGCAACTAGTTGCTGTGTCCAAACTCCCAGCGTTCCCCGGGTGCCGGCAAGCTTACCGCTCTGGGGAATTCACCTGCTGTTGGTTGCGCCAATGTGCCAATAGCCCAGCGAAATCCCGGCGATCAGTGCGTTGCTGCGGGTGAGCGTCCCCCTTTCCTGCAGCAAAACCGACAATGGCTGCAGCATCAGCGAAGGCGAAGACGCTTTGTTGTTTGGCCTGACCAAGTCCACGCGCAACAGTTGTGGATTACCACAGGGACAGCTCTAGCCGTGGATACGCTGCCACCTCATTGTTGCCGATGATAATCCGTCAAATAATGTACAAGATCTCCAGCCACGTTGCCGTGGTCAAACCAGTAAGATAAGCTTTTTCCGACCACTTTTCGGATGTCGTCCGCAATGCAAGATCAGTTTCTCCAATTCCCATGGTTGGCCTGTTTGTTAGCAGAACAAACTTGAGCATTTACATTCTTACCGCGCTTTTTTCCCTTTTTGCCGTTCTTTCCATCCTGTCTTCTTTTCTATCTTCGGTTTCCTTTCTCCCCTTACTTTCTATCTTTATTTATTATTCTAACTCTAGTTAACGTTACATTTATTTCATTTTTTTCCATTTGGGCTTGCGCCTGCATGTGCCACGCTAACAAAACAAACCAAGGCTGGAATTGTACATCGAACACTGCAGCTTGCATGGGTCAGCAGAACGTTCCAGGCCTTCGGCCGACCTCCAAATGGTCTGACTGGTCTTGTTGGAAACCGGCTCCGTGTTTCATGAACTTCAAATCAGCACATGAGCTGGTGTCACCCATTCACTTGCCCGTCCTGAATCGGAAATCCCATGGACGCTGAACCGGCAATTTCAAGAAAAGCTGACGGATGGCGCGGCTTTCCATTATCTAATTCCCGTCAAGCTCGGTGGCATTCAGATGATTCCGCATCCCCCTGGAGCCAGCCGGACACTCTCGGTTGGTTCTTGTGCATGCGACTACTGCTTGGGACTTCGCATAGCACGCGACAGTTGTTTTGTTGTCGACGCTCAAGTGACTTAGCACAAGCAATAGCCCAATGCATTCGAGGTTAAAGAGATAAGATACGTCGGCGGCCGCAAAAGAGATCTTTGGCCGGGTGATATCCTAACTTCTTAGATCGTGAAAAATCAGCGATTCTGTAACGGCCCATGGTACGTGGTCCGTACAGAGCTTCGTACATACCCTGACACTCGCAGTGTCCTGAGTTTCAGCAACCCGGCAAAGGCGGACGTCAGTGGCTCAGGGACGCAGAGTTGCCTGTGTGGGAGGGACAGCAGATTGCGGCCAAACAACCTCGGAAGGGCAAATGGTTCAATGGCAGGCAAAAATGTCGATGATGGCATCCCATGGCCCAAATTGGAACCTTTCAGAACGATCGATCTTTTTCAAACCGATCGAGCCTTTTAAACCGATCAACGGAATTCCTCCCGTCGCACCCCGCCATCAAGAGTCCGGCACCCCGAAACGCAGACTGGCGATCCGAGGCACCTCATGACGGCGCGGGACTGTACCCCTCGCTTACCAGTGCCAGTGGATCCAACCGAAAGTTTCAGCCAGGAATTGTTCTCTTTGCTCGGAGTTTGTTGTTGGGGCGCACAAACTCAGCAATCGGCTGCAGGTGCCGCCCACACCACGAACCTCCACACACCAGGCGGGGCATTGGCTGGCTGGTGATCGCTCCTGACGGCCACACTAGGCCTTTCCCGGTAAAGCGGCGATAGGCTGCACCCCATTGGCTCAATGGCGCCGTGCTCTTCATCAAAATCGTACGTTTTTCATGTGAGTTCTTGGTATTCGATGGAGATCGAGAGCCCTCCCTGTCCTCGTCTTCCTCGCTCTGTGCTCATTGCATTGTTTGTTACCGGAACCGGCAGGGGATCCCCTTCGTTTTCAGGGACCCTTTTTGCTCTACACGTATTCAGACAGTGCGAAGCTTTGCCCCTGTCTGCTCCGGCAGTACCTCCGTACCAGGCCCAGCCGCACCAGCAATGCAAAGAAAGTGTTGTGCACCGTCTGCCAGTTTTGCCATGAAGCGGCCGCCCAATTGCCATAAGTGCCAGATGGGAATCCATCGTATCTCTGGCGGCAGTCTGCGGGATTGAACAGCCAAGCATCTCCAACTGTACCTTTGTTTGTTTGCCGAAACCAGTCGCCTGAACAGCACCGTTCTCAAGAGCTGACTGCTTGGGCCTTGCTCCACGTCGATGACCAACACAACCAGGCTGTCGGGGCTGGAGACGACTATCGCCAAGAACACTTACAGCATTGCCGTCAGCCATCTCAGTCTCTGCTCTCCCCAGCGACTCCCAACCTTAAAAGGTTTTAACCGCAGAAGATGCCCGGCTGCCCTGTGAAGTGCGAATCACCTCTATGTGCCGTCCACGAGAGTTGTCCAATAGACTCTGAGGGGCAACTCCTTCGGATTGGGCCTTGCATGCTGACCCAACCGCAACCCCAGATAACGTTCCAAGGCTGCAGAACTCCCTTTCCTTTGGTTCATCAGAGAAGAGTCTAGACCCTGCCACCGCTCCCATGTCACCGACTTAATTTCACGCCGCCCCGACATCTGCACCCCCAAACATCCCGGCCAGACGCCAGCCGATTTCCCTCACACCAACCAACCGATGCCCGTTCGAGCAGGAGACCTGAGCCTGTTCCGTGTAAGTGCCCTTTCCCAATAGCGATGCGCTGCATCATCAGGGGACCCTGGCCCTGCCAATTCCGTCCCACCTTGTCTTCTTCCCGTGGACTTCGGCATGTCATCACGATATTTGAGTTTCACCCCACCAAGCCAGAGAACCAAGGCTCTGATTCCACGAATGCCACGGCTTGAGCACAATTCCTCTCTGAACATTCCGTTGACCCAGAAGCAGCTTTCCCTTGCTTCGGCTTCGAACCACCTGCGCTCTAGCGCCGCTACCTCGTCAAGCCGCCTTCAAGACGAATCTCGACCCTCAACGCCGGCTCTCACTTGCTGTCGTTCGCCCCTTTTGAACATTTCAAGAGAGCCGCACGTTCACGCTCTATACGTCGTGGCCACAACACACACCGTTCCCATTGGCGACTCGAAACCCCAAACGAAACGCGCTACGACGGGAATAAGTTTGCCGTCCGTTTCGGCCTTCCGCCAAAGATACAGTACCTAGTTAAAAGAAGACTCGTTCATCTGGCAGGGAGGTTTCTTCAGCTCGCCATCACGGGGTGTCCAAGGCCATTGGGCATTTAGTGTTGAAACCCCAAAGGCGGCGCAGTCTTGGTTCGGATGCCCGACGCGTCCCCTACGCATTGACACCCAACACAAAATTGTCACCAGGCTGGATGACGCAACTACTCGAGACCATCTTTGCGGAGCTGGGCATCATCCAGTATCTGGATGTGTTCCTAGAACAGGGGTTTGACACGTGGGAGACCATCTTGGACATTACCGAATCTGACCTGTACGTAAGGGCGAAGGCTGGCAGAATGGGAGCCCGGGGGTGTGTACTGACTGAGACACCTTTGACAGTGATGCGCTGGGGGTGAAGCTGGGCCATCGGCGAGTGCGTATCCCTCCACAATGCCCACGGACTGCACGACATAGCGCCCTCTTCATCCTGGCGGTAGTAAACGACTAGGATCGCTGACGCAGCGAGCACAGAAACTTCAAAGACGGATTGCCAACTTCCGGGGGATCGCGTCAGATGCTTCATTAGTATCCCCCACGCAGTCCACCGCTGAGGACCTCAAACCTCAGGATTATGTCAAGCCAGAACCCCCAACGGTTGACAGTTGTCGAGAGGTTGTCAGCCTCGTCATCACAAAGAGGAAATATCGGCGTCATCCCAAGGTTCGTTAATCTCTTCGCAGAGCAAAGCTGGGGCTGTCGAAGTAATCGCCTGACACGGATGCCGTGACTAGCCGGATGAAAACGCACCTGAGCGACCACCATCGGCCTATGTGCTCTTCTCCAACAGTAAGCGAGCAAGGCGGCGCCCTCTTGTCCACGTGAACGGGCCACTGACTGCATGACGCGTAAAGAAATGCGTGAGGAACTCAAAGGCCGGAACCTGACCTTCACCGAAATTGCCAAGCTTGTTGGTGAAAACTGGCAGAGCCTTTCCCCGGCCGAAAAGGAGCCTTTCGAATCGCGAGCCCAGGCCATCAAGGACAAGTACTTGAGTGACCTTGCCGAGTACAAAAAGACGCCCGAGTACATGGAGTACCAGTCTTATCTTCAGGAGTTCAAGGCTAAGCACGGTTCCCCATCACAAGGTGTGTACCAATGCGTATTTCACGCTACCGGGCCTGTAGTATTTCGAAAATAATCTAACAAACTTCCGGGCGCCGCAGACAAGGATGCTTCCAAAAGAGTCAGGCTCTCCGAGTCGCGAACCCACGGCCGCGGCAGCCCCAGCGCAACTCCGACGCGGACCATGACCAGTCGGAGCGGGAGTGGGACAGAGAGCCGCAGAGGAAGCGAGCCGCCACCTGGGAGACAGAGGGTTAGCTCCATTGCCTCAATGAGTGAGTCTCAGTCCTCAGCTTCGCTGGCTGCCTCAGCTCCAGTCGCTTCGCCGGAGGAGCCCTTGCTCTCCCCAGTTGTGAGCAATCCCGAGCAGCACTCATTCGACCGTTCACCAACTTTTGACCCGGACGCGAGAGATCAATCTTCCGTACACTGGCCTGGACGTCCCGGCCAAGAAGAGCAGGACCGCGAACAGCTGAGCATGCACCAGAACCTCCCATCTCTCTCGGACATGTTCAGCGGACAGATGTTGCGCGGTGGGATGCATTCTGCAAGTGAGCCCAACGGCTTCTGTTACTCCGCCGCTCATCTTGTTGGCACGCAGGGTCATACGCTCCATAATGGCAGTGGCGATGCAGCTCAAACCATGCCAAACGGGCTGCCATATATGGGGAAATCGCCATCACATCAATCCTTCGGCCACCACCGGCCACAACTTGATGGGACTTTATCGATTCACGCGTTGTTGGCATCCAGGCCAGAACCTACTCTTCATTCCAACCCGCCGTCACACCAACATCACAACGCCTACCACATGGACCAACAACCCAGGCTTCCGCACCAGCTTCCCAATGGTGCCGCCAGCCTTCCCATGATGAATGGTGCGCTCTCCGTCTCTTCACGCCCCTGGAATGCTACTGACGTGGATGAAAAGGTCACCATCAACTTCACTCCGCCCCTCCACCCTCACACCATCATCACCCAATGAATGCCCACCACAACAGCCAACCCTTTCCTACAAAATCACGTCCGGCTACAAGTCCTGTGGAATTACCACGCCAAGGAAAACAAAGTGCGATTTTCGATGGCATGAACGCATTGTTGAAAGCGGGCGAGATTGTCGACCGCCGTACGCAATAACACCTTGGTCACCGCTATTTATTTGCGAATCTGTTGCCCCATTCAATTACATTTCTTATATCGAATTTCCCTGTGTGATTCATCTTTCGATACCCTCCGGCGGTGTGGGCTGTGGTTGGTTACAGGTATTCACACCGAATTTTCCTTACATCAGGTACTTTCCCATCATGTTTGGGTGGTACAATGCGAGCTAAACGAGCGGAGCATGTCAAGACCCTTACTTTCAAGTAATGCGGGCAGGCGATATGTTTTTGCTGCGGGTGGGACGTGTGGAAGGACAGCTGGTGTTGTATTTTTGTCCGGACAGGCGGATCGGAAGCAAGAGTGGTGGTTCATGAGTGGAAGGGTGGGGTGAAGCAGGTGGGTATAACCATAAACGGAGCCTTGCGGGGCGTGGGAGGCAGTGTAGAGAAATATACACCCCTAAATGCGCCAGACACTGCGGATAGGTAGATAGTGCGCCCCCTTTGTTGACCGAGAAACATATCGGTAAGTCATCCAAGAAACATACAATACATGGCAAGTGACAAGTACTACAATACTGAGATGTGGCGAATCTACCTAGAGAAAGCTCAACTGCGGGCGCCAGGCGAACACTACCAGATTGGCCTTTACACATGCTGCCAATGGAAAGACGCCGACGGGGCAACACGTCGGCTGATGGGAGTGGGAGGTATCATGCATTGAAGGCAGGAACAGACATGGTTGAGGACTGGGCAAGTAAGGTAGTACAACATAGCGGGACGCCTTTCTGGAGACCACCAGCCCTAACCTAACGTGCTCTGCGGATGTTTGGTACGGTACAGTATGTGCTTCCCAAGGTAAAGGCAGGGCAAGAGTAGTTCCAGCCAGACCATCGAGAGGGAAGACGTCAAGAACATAGAACATCGACAACACAGCGTAAGCGCAAGCAAATGACCATTCTGAATCGCGTAACAACCCAAGAGCGGAGCCGGCAATCCATGTGCCTCAACCCAACAAGCAGCATCTTCTTTTACAGCCCTATTTGAACCCGATGTGAAGACGTCCCCAGTATCCACAAGCCAACAAACCGCCGATTTCCGCGCGCTCCCAATTACTCAATCATGTCGACATCCTCGCCAAACTCCTGCTGCTGCTGCGCGGGAGCATCGTTCGGACCCCCAACAGAGGCACTCTCCTGAACAACCCCACCGCCAGCGAAGTAGTCCGCCATCTCCGCGTCCAGCTCCTCCTGCGTCTTCTTCGGGCGCCCATCTCTACCCGTCCGCTCACCACCGCCTCCCCTTCTACCACCACCACCACCACCTTCCCGCCTAGCACCAGGCCTCCTCCCACCGCCATCCCTGCGTCTACCACCACCCCGTCCTCCACCACCACCGGCCGGACTCCGCGACCGACTCAGCCTGCCACCACCACCACCGTTACCACGGCCCCCATTGCCACCCCTGGGCCGGTACCGATCCACGCCCCTCCTCGCGGCCTCCTCATCCGACTCCTCCCGACGGGACGGAGAAAGCGACCTCGACCGGCCCTGGTTTTTCTGACCGGGCACAGTGATGCGCTCGGCAAGCGGGCGGCCGGGCGCGACAGGGGTCTCGAACGGGTTGCGTCTGCTCGTGGAGGGCCCGCTGGGCATGAGCGTCAGGCGGATTGGCTGGCCGGCAGCGTTCGCGCCGTCGAACTCGCGGATCGCCTGGGCGGCGTCGCGGTGGGATTCGTAGGTCACGAACGCGGTACCCTCGGAGCGGCCGGCGCGGTCGTACTTCATTTCTAGCTTGATGAGCGGGCCGATGCGCGAGAAGAGGTCCTAGTGCGCGGGCGCCGGGGTTTAGTACAGTTGTTGGTCGGGCAGGTAAGGGAAAACATGGGTGAGGGTTTGCTTACTTCGAGTTCTTCTTGGGTCAGTTCGTAGTGTAGGTTGTCTACTCTGATCTTGGCGCCCCTGGAGTCACTGCGCTTGTTGATTAGAGCTGGTTCATCCGATATGACGGCGCCGATCATACCTAGGCAGCTCGATGGAGTGTCGGCGACGAGGCGCAGAGCGGCGGCTCCCTGGTGACGGCGTCAGCGAACTTCCCAGCACACAGAGCAGCATGCCGATCACGCACCATAACCCTCAAACTTGTCGTGAACCCACTCTCTGCAAGACCGCGTCAGCGGCCCTGTTATCCCTCTTCACATTCCACCAGGCCCCTGGGTTTACGCACGAGTCAATGTTCCTGGGCGCATCGTCTCTGAAGGGCTGCCCCGCAAAGTAACAATTGGGAGCGTGTTAGCCGGTAAGATTCAAATTAAAGCTGTTACCTTCCTCCCCCGAGCCGCAATCTGATCCGATCCGAAAGAACTCGCGTGCACGTTTCCGAGCCGCTGCCGCCGCGAAACAGCCACACGCACCCAGAACTACAAGTTCCTGCGCGCATGGCCGTGTCGTTCGTACAAGCCGTCTGTGAGGAGAATTCCGTGACCGACCGACGGAAAGGGAAGGAAAGGAGGAGGAGGAGAGTGAGGGTTCAATCAACCTAAATTGCTGGGTTAAAGCAAATTCGGGCATGAACAAAGCGCAATCGTACCTTTCTGACGCCATCTCTGGGATAGTCTTGTCTGTCGCCGCGACGACGACGGCCGCGAGGACCTCTGTTGTTCTAAGGCTCGAGTGTCAGCCGGCTCCTTACATCGGATCTTGCCTGCTATCAGTTCGATGAGGCGTAGCGGGTATTGGGCGCAAAAGATTGGCTTCCTTTTTTTTTTTTTTTTTTAACATACCTGCTTGCGGTCCGCAAGAATATCGTCAAGACTGCGATCAAGAGCCTGGTCCATGATGGTCGGGATTTGTTTTGAAATTCCTATCTGTTTGGAAGTGAACGCGGATCAATGGGGGCCGTGGAGCAGAGCCTTGTCTAAGCGTAGGGGTCGGTGTTGGCGCATTGAAGAATGCCCCACAACAATGGATCAGGTTCGATATGCAATTATCGATTCCAAGTTCACCTTAGACGATCAAACACCAAGCGACGTGACATCATATCATCGCGATGCCACAAGAAATCACACATGATCTAGGTTTCAGTCTACGTCGCATTTTGGTAACCTCCCTGACTCTGCGTACATATGGGCCTGAGAAAAGCCGGCAAAACCAGTCGTGAAAAAAGAGAAAACCAGCCTTCCTTGATAGGCACCGAAGCACATGCACCATTCAGTCATTAAGATGCAGGCGCCGAAACCCCTATCAGAGCTTTTGGTATGTCAACCAGATGCTAGGCCCCCGCGAAACAGGGCAAATAAAAAAAAAAAAAACCCAATCAGCCACGCAGCTCCCTTCTCTTCCTACCAGAACCACCACCCAGCACAATGTCCCTCAGTATAGTGCGAAACACCGATGCCAACGTGCGGGATGTGTCCAGGTGAATGCTGAGATGGAAGAGTGTATGATGTCGCTTGATACCTTGACAGTTTTAAATCAGGTCGGCCACGTTCATCGGCATCTCCTCAATCTGGGTGCTGTAGAATTGTTCGATTTCGCGCATCATGCGCACATCATCGGCAGTAACGAAGTTGATGGCGACACCCTTGCGACCGAAGCGACCGCCGCGACCAATGCGGTGGATGTAGTTCTCCCGGTTGGCCGGAAGGTCGTAGTTAATGACCAGCGAGACCTGCTGGACATCGATGCCACGGGCCAGAAGGTCGGTGGCGATCAGGACACGAGAGGAGCCGGAACGGAATTCTTTCATAATCAGGTCACGCTGAGCCTGATCCATGTCGCCGTGCATGGCAGACACAGTGAAGTCGCGAGCGGTGAGCTTGTCAGTCAGCCAGTCGACCTTGCGGCGCGTGTTGCAGAAGATAACAGCCTGGGTGATGGTGACCGTCTCGTAAAGATCCGAAAGAGTGTCGAGCTTCCAGTCCTCCTTCTCGACGGCAATGTAGAACTGCTTAATACCCTCGAGAGTAAGCTCGTCCTTCTTGACCAGGATGCGGACCGGGTCACGCATGAATTTGGTTGTGACCTCGAGAACGTCCTGGGGCATCGTGGCCGAAAGTAGGACAACCTGGGTGGACTGCGGCAACAACTGGAAGATATCGTAGATTTGCTCAGTGAAACCGCGCTGTTCATTGTTAGTGCTTGATTGAAAAGTCTTAGATTACCAAGCCGCACTCACCGAAAGCATCTCGTCGGCTTCATCGAGGACGAACATCTTCATGTTATCCGTCTTGAGGAAGCGGCGCTGGATCATGTCCTGGACACGGCCGGGGGTGCCGACAACGACCTGGGGACCCTCCTGAAGGGCCTTCATGTCATCACGGACGCTGGTGCCACCAATGCAGGCGTGGCACTCGACATTCATGAAGTCACCGATGGCGACAACGACCTTCTGGATCTGCTGGGCAAGCTCACGGGTGGGGGCGAGGATGAGCGCCTGGCACGCCTTGAGATTGGGGTCGATCTTCTGGAGGACTGAGATGGAGAAGGTTGCGGTCTTTCCGGTACCTGACTGGGCCTGAGCAATGACATCGTGACCTGAGATTGTGGTGTTAGCCGCCAATGGCCCCTGGTTTGCAGGAGATCATCTTCTTCACATACCCTTGATGACCGGCATGATAGCGCGCTGCTGAATAGCAGACGGGCGCTCAAAACCATAAGCGTAGATGCCTTCGAAATGTTAGTGTGTGCCCAATCGCCACCAAAAATCCTGCCTGTCGGAGAGCTCTTACCGCGAAGCAGCTCGGGCTTCAGGTTCATCTCGTCGAAAGAGTCGACCGTCTCATCGTAGTTAGACTCGATCTGTCCTGTAGCGCAAGCACTGGTTAGCGACCATATCATAATGTGTCAGTGGCACCAGTTGGGTGACAAGTGGCAGTGATCGGGCAGAAAGGGCAGAGGCCAGCACGATCTCGCTCGCAGCGCCGAGCAGCGTGCGCATTACGATCCCTCTTCCGCCAGGCAAAGGAACAAAACCAAACGTACCCTCGGGGACGTCCTCGAGTCCCTTGTCGGTAGCCATGTTTGCGGTAGTTCGCAGGAATTTCTAGATCTAACCGGTAGATCTAGAAATGGCGGGGTAGGTTGTGAAGCAAAATGCGCACTCGACACGAGCGCTGCAGAAATCTCAAGCAAAAAAATTGCCAGAAAAGAAAAATTCAAGGTTCCCAGTAATCTAACTGAGAACAATGAACCTAGGGCGTGGTATCTCTGGTTGTTGTACTTTGTGAATGTGGTTGGGAGCAAGAGAGGAGAAAGATCCAAGGCAAGAAAAAATCCTTGGACTGACAATTTTTGCATTCGCCCACAGCACTGGCCGCCTGAGGCAGACCCCGCAGAAAATAACTAGCGTTAAGGTTCGAGAGGGTGTGGGGCATCTTGTTGAATCTTCGGTGGCCACGAAGGCAAAACCTAAGGTGATTCTGGAAAAAACTTGCTAGTATTGTTCCTATGCACTCGTGCCATGCATGCGACTTGCCTTTGATCCAGACGTTACCCTGCTGCATTCTCTCGACACGCAACACACGTTCTGACGACACACGGTGATTTGCGGCGAAAAGATTCGATTGGGATCGTGATGTTCATTTGAGGCTAGTTCTTCAGCCAAGAGTCTGAACAACAGTACCGGCCAGTCTTCAGGGTGCAGTTGGCTCGGACTCGACTGCGCCATCATGCCTCTACCTTTCCATCAGCGGCAATTGCAGAGCTTTGCCTTAGAGGAGAATGGCCATCGGTGGCAGCCGTCGAGTCACCAGGATGACTCAAGCCTCGGCCCATCCATTCCTTCACACCCGCTCGGCATCAAACCCCTGGGCAACAAGTACTTCGCCGCCGGCGTAGACGCACGCAAATCCATCGGCTCCTTGCAGGTTTTGCCTGACGAGATGCTCATGCAGCTTCTCGAATACATGGATAGACGGACCCTGAAGCTGTTAGGCTACACGTGCAAGTTCCTGTTCGCCTGCTGCATGGCTGATGATGTTTGGAAGACGATTTTCTTGCAGTGAGTCCCCTCCAAATCTTCAAGTGACATGAGTTGTAAATAGTGAGCGAGCGAACAAAAAGTTTGTTGTGTCATGGTATGTGTGTTCCTGTGCACTAGGGTGTGAAAGCCTGGAGCTGTTCATGTTGCATGCGTATTTCGTGTTAAAGCAGTTGTTGACGCATTTCCAGGTCAGACCTCGGCAACAAGTCCTCCTTCGAGTGGCGCGGATCGTGGAGAGCGACGGTTCTCGGCTTGTCCCATGAACAGAGGGCTCGAGTGGATTGCAGCAATGTCTTCTCTGATGTGTTACACCGGCCCTTTGTCTGCAGTCATATCACTCTCAGCCAGTACACCAAGAACATCCCGGCAGCCAACGAGATTGATCGCTTTGAAGATCTCTCTTACGAGGACTTCGCGGGGAAGTGGAGCAAGAAGCCGTTCATTCTCACAAAGTGCATCCAGGATTGGCCGGTTACCAAGTCATGGACCTTGAAGAGCTTGCTGTCTGAGTATGGACGCGTCGTCTTCCGAGCAGAGGCGGTGGATTGGACATTTACATCCTACCTGCAATACATGTGCGACAATCAGGACGAGAGCCCCCTCTACTTGTTTGATCGGAAATTTGCCGAGAAGATGTCACTACAGATTGGCAAGGGGGAAGGGACGGCATATTGGAAGCCAGACTGCTTCGGGCCTGACCTATTTGAGCTCCTTGGAGCTGAACGGCCGGCACACCGGTGGCTCATCATTGGGCCTGAGCGCAGCGGTTCTACCTTCCACAAAGACCCCAATGCGACGAGCGCCTGGAACGCCGTCATACAGGGCGCCAAGTATTGGATCATGTTCCCTCCGACCGCCTCGGTTCCTGGAGTTCTCGTTTCCAAGGATAGCAGCGAGGTTACCAGCCCGCTCAGCATCGCGGAATGGCTGCTGGAGTTTCACGCTGAGGCTCGCAAGCTGCCGGAGTGCAGGGAAGGCATCTGCATGGCGGGCGAAATTCTCCACGTCCCAAGTTGCTGGTGGCATCTCGTGGTGAACCTGGAGGACGGTATCGCCTTGACAGAGAATTTTGTGCCCCAGTCTCAACTCGGTAGTGTCCTGTCCTTCTTGAAGGACAAATCAGACCAGGTGTCCGGATTTGAGAGGGACATTACCGACCCATACCGTCTCTTCGTGGAGCGCTTAAGAGAGGAGCGGCCTGGGCTGCTCGCGGAGGGGCTTAGGCAGTTGGCGGAGAAGAAGAGACGATGGGACGCGGTAGTGGGCGATGACGATAGCCGGGGGGAACAGCGGCAGAAGAAGAGCACCGGGTTCAGCTTTGGGTTCGCATTTGGGGACGCAGAGGAAGACGAGATATTCTGACCTCCTTTGGCGTAGTGGTTCGTAAAGAGGTGGTGGATGAAGTAGTGCGAAGGGAAGAAAATCGACGAGGCCAAGATGAGGAATAAAGGAGGTACATAAGGTAGCCATAGATGGACTCCACACCTCACATATCACAATAAATCCCATTTCACTTGAGGCGCAATGCTGGACAGTCCTTCAACTCCGTTGCAGTTAAGTTTGAGTGAGTGCCTCTGATCATTGCCTAGGAGGACAGTGTAATTTGTCCCTGCACTGTGTGCTAGAAGACCCCACAGTCACCTCAGCCGTCTCCTGAGCATGCGGGCAGGCGACTGCTTCCTGCGTCCCCGCTGCTCGCTCCGGCTCCATCCAGCTGAACACTCCTGAATCCCAACTCATATCCAGCCTCAACTTCATCAGCAGATTCGTTTCCCATCATTTGACGCTCTTCGTTTATTGTTTCGAAGGAATCAGGCTTCCAACCTCTCTTTGATAAAGGGAGTCTTTCCATGCATTACCTTTCATATTGCGTAATACGACCGCCCTTCCGTTTCCTCAACCGACCTGGTCTGCAACTCCACCCGCCTCGAGCCGATAGCTTAACCCCTCGATGACAACAACATGCCACTAGACTCTCACCACTGCCGTCATCTCCACGTTTCTCGGTCCTCGCGTCCTGTTTTTTCCGCGTTCTGCCGGTGAAGCAGCGCCCGCCCTACTTCTCCGACACTGAGGCTTCCGCATAGACAGCTCACCGACTCCGCCCGACGCCCGATAGAGCTGCCGCTCAGGAGCATCGCTACACATAGAGACACCGTGACACGCTCTCGACATCACGCTCGCTACTCTCCGCGTCGTGCTTTGCTTCGTTTGAATTTTGTTTACCATTCGCTTCGACCATAATAATCACTTGACCAATTTGGGTGCTTCAACCCCCTTTTGTTCTTAGCCACCGAGTAACCCGCCGCTTCCACGACCCCCGTCCTACGGAACCTCCCACTCCGTCGGCCGAAACCATGGTCTCTGACGAGACGTTCGAGATTTGCCTTCCAATCCTTCAGGACCCGAACATCGAGGATGAGGACAAGACGGACAAACTCGAAGAGCTGCTCAAGGAGAAGACAAGCCTGACTGGGCAAGCTCTGGAAAACGCCGTATTAGATGCACTATGGAGGTACCGGGAAGGAGGAGGGAGTACAACCTCGCCGCCCCCTATAAGGCAGACTATCCTGCGGCGGCCATCACCTGCCTCTTGGCGCGGTTCTGGAACGCCGCTCTCGAGTTCACCTCGACTGGGTGTCAGCCCGCTTGCACCGCCGGGCTTCATGCCAACGTCGCTTAGTCGGACAAAGTCGTCGACTGCTTCCCCCTTTGGGTCGCCACGGCCGTCCCCGAGGCTGGCGTTTGCCGCACCTGTGCCGCACAGCCCAAGCCTGAACGCCTACCAGTTTGCCCACGACGACACCCCGTCGCAAGAGGTATTTGGAGACTACCAGTCTGACAATGTGGACTGGCTCGTGAGCGACGATGCAATCAGTGTGACATCCTCGGTTGGCGTCTCCAGCGGGCTGAATGTCAGTGCTCCCGAATTCGTCTCGACGCAGCAGCAGACAGATATGACCCCCTACGACATGCTGCGGTCAATACTGGGGCAGACGAAGTCGGATGAGGAGATCAGTGCCGCGCTCGCCATGCACGGCTACGACCTGGGCGCTACCGTTGCTGCCATCATGGAGACACAGATGCAGGACAACCTTGCATCGGCTGCTCAAGCCGAGGAGAACCGAGTCATCATTGGGAAAGCGATGAGTTCGGATGGCCGGCCAACCACGCCAGCGGATCAACAAAAGACGGGAGTCATCTGCAAGTTCTATCTGTCTACGGGTCAGTGTCTTCGCGCGGATTGCCGATTCAGCCACGATTTGAGCAGCCACATCTGCAAGTGAGTAAAGAAAAGTGTGTTAAGTTGCTTCGACGCTGACAATCCAGGTACTGGGTGGCGGGCAACTGCCTCGCTGGCAGCACCTGTATCTTCTCGCACGACCCGGCTCATCTCGTCAATCGGCTCCATATTGATGGCTCGGGCACGCCGCCGACCCAACATGCAACAGTCAATCTGCAAGACTACAGCAGCTTTCCGGCACTGCAGCCAGGGACGCCGGAGCAGATCTTTGCGGCTACCACCAGCTATCGTGCCTTGGGAGTAACCCCCCCTCCCGGTTTCAAGTCACACCATGCCTACCCTGACCGCCCCCGGTCCCGGCCAGGCAGTCGGCATCAGCAGAAGGACAGCGCGCAGTCTGCTCCGTCTCCGGACGATGCCGATGCGTTTCCTTCGCTCGGCGCAGCTGTGGTCAAGCAGGGAAAGAAGCACCACGGCAAGAGAGGCGGTCACGGCCATGGGCCGAAAGAGATCTTTGCACCAAGCACATTGGCCGACATTGTAAAAATGTCTCCGTCACCGACACCTTCTATGCAGCAGAACCGCAGGCCTCCCCGTAACGGCAGCTCAACGAATGTTCGCAATGGGGAGAACAGCGCGGCTGCCCAGGCGATTCCCACTCCTAAACACATTCCCTGGCTCGAAACTGGTGAGAGAGCCAACAAGGCTTATCTCAAAGCGCGGCAGGATGCCATCAAGCACGGTGGACTCCGGAACAAGTTCCTCCAGAGGTATGTGTCTGCAGCATTAGGTTCGTTTGCATGAAAAACCATATAAGAGAAGAACTGACACGTCAACAGCGCCGCGCAAGCCTGGAACCGCAACGATGCGCGAGCCGCCAAGGCACTCAGTCTGCGCGGGCAGAGCGAGAACGACCTCATGCGGAAAGCTCATCGCGAGGCGGCCCAGCAGCTGTACGAAGAGCGCAACAAGGGCAGGGAGAACTGCCCAGAGATTTACGTCGACCTGCACGGACTGCACCCCGAGGAGGCGGTGGAATACCTGGAGGGCATCCTCATGGAGAATGTGGCGGAAACCAGGCCCATCTATGCCATCACGGGCACTGGCCACCACAGCAAGAATGGTAAGGACAAGGTCGGCAAGGCGGTCCGGAGCTTCCTGAATGAGTGGCGCTACGCCTACCGCGAGTTCTCGGTTCCCGGCGACCGGAACAGCACGGGCGGCATTCTGGGCATCGACGCGGGCAGCTGGGACCGGTCGCTCTCGCAGGATGGGAAGACACTGACGAGGAAAGAGGAGGACAAAGAGGAGGTGGACATTCTGTCGCAAGGTGTTGAGATTGGCGAGGGCAAGGTCAAGCTGCTTGTTAGAGACACGTCGGCGGCCAAGGAGCCGCCCAAGGGTCCGTCAGGGGCTAGGGGCAGGTGACGCCGAGCGAGTCTAGGTAGCTAGTTTCTCGGACAGCTAACTATTGGCTACGGGAGGAACAGAAGAATTAAAGACTTGAAGATTTCAGCACCGCGATGCCTCCTTGGGATGAGATTTGAGGCCAAAGACTAACCTGCCCTTGGCATTGATGAGACAGGGATGTAGTGTTTTGAGATGAGGTGCACCCTGCTGATCCCTCCACAGTGCATCTTGGAACTGACCTGCGTTTTCCACCGCTCCGCAGGCTACCTGCTTACTATCGTGTTCATCATCGCGTGGGTACGGATCCGTACCTCCGACAGGGCAGACGCACGGCTTGCTGCTTGCATGTTCCCCTCTCTTCTGGTCTGCGCCGCAGTCGGTTGGTATGAGCTTGTACGGATTAATCCCTAAGCGACGCCAGCGCGTTTGTGGTAAAGCTTGACGGCAATTGTAAGATTCGAGGCTGAGTCTGGCCCAGATTTGACCCGCCGAGACCCTGGTCCGCAGCATGCTGGAACCTCAACCCGTCCCCTTTTCCTGTCTCTCCAATCTTCAGCTGTTAGAAATCACAACTCACAGCCGTCTTCACCCTCCTTTCACCCTACAGCAGAGCTAGGCCGCTATGCGCAGGTAGCAGTGTCTTCTTTGCCCTTTACCATCTTTCCCGCCGTTCACTGCATCCGCTTTTACCCTACAGTACAATTACCCAGCCGTCGCATCCGCCGAGAGCAACAATAATCTGCGTTTCCTTAAAGTACGGTATATATATCCCCATCAACCACCAACGCGACAATGCCTTCCCCGTTAGAAGATGATCCCTTGCCCGACTGGCCGCAAGGCCGAACCACCACCCCCTCCCCACCAATAATAGTAACCACGCGCCCGTCCGACGACGGCGACCAGGACCACCGCACCCCCTGGCCACCGCGCTCAACGCCCTCGGGCGCCCGCCGCCTCTCCTCGCGCCACGCAGCCCTCCACGACCCGCCCTCCCAATCAACAACAAAGCCGCAAGCCCTCTTCGTAACCCTCCTCTCCGCCGCCACAACCCTCACTCACCACCTCCTCCGCCTTTACCTCAACCTCACCCTGACCCAGCGCATCCTCTTGTCCCTCGCCGGCATCGCCGCCCTCGCGCTCGGCGTGACCGTCCTCGTCTACTCGCACCACCTCTTCGGCCTGCTCACCCCGCTCGCCGCCGCCTGGCGTGGCCACCCGCTGGGTTGGCTGCCCATCTGGCTCGCCACGTTCCTGACGGCGTTCCCGCCGCTGATGGGCTACTCGACCTGCGTGACTGTTGCCGGGTTCGTGTATGGTTTCCCGCTGGGGTGGCCTGTCGCTGCGAGCGCCACGCTGGCTGGGAGCACGGTCGCGTTCTTGACGAGCAGGGGTGTGTTTGCGCGGTATGTGCAGGGCTTGGTGGGCAGGGATAAGCGGTTTATTGCGCTGGGCCAGGTGTTGAGGAGGGATGGGTTGGGTGTGTTGGTTATGGTGCGGTTGTGTCCGCTGCCGTATAGTCTGAGTAATGGGTTTCTGGCGACTGTGGGGAGTGTTGGGGCGAGGGCGTTTGCGTTGGCTACTGTTGGGGCAACGTAAGTGCCTGACCGTCAATTAAAGGAGCGGAAAGGTGGCTAATGATGGTGAGCAGACCGAAGCTGCTAGTGCACGTCTTCATCGGCTCGAGGCTTGCCCTGCTCGCCGAATCGGGCGACAAGATGACCGGGCTGGACCTCGCCGTCAACTACATCAGCATGGCAGTCTTTGGCCTACTGGGCTTTGGCGTCGGGTTGCTCATCTACAGGCGGACCATGGCGCGGGCGGCCGAGCTGGCGCGCGAGGCAGAGCTCGAGGCTGGGGATGCGCTCCTCGACAGCACGGGTGCTGATGACGATCTGGAGCAAGGCGTGCTCGGCGACGACGTGGAGAACGGGCGGATGGTGGATCCGGACGAGCTGGATGCTGCCGCGCTCATGGACGACGACGACATTTCGCTGTGGGATACAGCAGGCGGGGACGGGTATCGAGACGGTTGAGAGGATGAGCCTGCCCTGCAAAGCGCTGGCAGCGGACCTGGAGTGAATGCCCTTGTGAATGAAAGTATAAACAGTGGCAAGAAATAAGGGACCGAGTACAGGCGCAGGATTTGTCTACTTTCTATTTCCTCTTGTCTTGTCTTCTGCATCTGGTGCGTTTGGACAGACCGGTGCTTGGGTTGGGTGGGTTGGTTGGGTTGGTTGGGTTGGTTGGGTTGGCCTCTAGAACTGATAGACGGTTTTGCAGAACGACGTTGTACAGTCTTCGTCGAAGTGAGGTATCACATTCAAGTATAATGCTCACCTAGCTGCGCACCACACTCCTACGTAACATTAAAGTTGTAATTCGCCATGCTCTCCCCGACGCCTTGCTCGCTATGTCCCTAGAGAAACGTTATAAACCCAATCAACGCCCCTGGACTTGTCTCATGAACTCAATGGCCTGCTCCATGGGATATCCGATGAAGACGGGGCCGGAAATATTGAATACAACCTGCGGACGCTCGTTCTTCTCTCCGGCTGCCGCCGGTCCCTCAGGGAGATTGACAAACGTGGGCTGTGGCGTGCTCGGCGGCGGCAAATCATTCCTCGCCGGCGTGGGTGGCTGCCCGAGTTTGAGGTGAGCAGGGGCGGGATTCTCGTGTGTGGCAGTCCCCCGGAACATCTTGGTGTGGTCGAACGGGCACTTCTTGGGTGCCGCTGATTCCTGCTGTGCCTGCACTAGGCCTTCGACAGGTCTGGGTGGAGAAGGCTCACGCTGCTGAAGACCCGCCTCCAAGGGCACTGATATTCCCCACGGCCGACTCGGCGATTCTCCCACTCGAACATCCCTCAGTGGACGGTCAAAACGAGTCTCGCGTTCCTCAGCTACGGTCGATTCATCGACCCCCGGATCACCGGCCACAACTGTTTGCGTCCAGTCTTTTACTGTTTGGCTCGAAGCTCTATTGGCTTCCTTCTGCTCGTCTTTCGATGGTGGCATCATCGGTCGGTGGAGCTGGCTTAGGTCCTTGACCATGTTCACAAGGCTACCGTATTTGGCATCGAGCTTTCTTATTTGTTCTTCGTTCCTTTGGTATCGCCGGACGCAAACCTCATGACTCCGGGGGATCGCATGCTTGTGTGTTTCAACGTAGTGGGCAATCTCTTCGGGCGAGTGCTTGTCAAGGAAACGAATCGGACACTTGGCAGGGACAGCAGCAGATGGGTCGGCAGTTTCTTCGAGCATGGCAGCGCAGATGGGATCAGAGGACTTGTGCGGAGTGGGGTCGGCAGCGCCGGTCGGGCCCTGAAAGACGTCGACCCGCTCGGCGCCCCCAGAAGAGCCGCCGTCTTGATTCGGCTTGGCCGAGAAGGGGCAGGCCAAAACGCCTTTTTTGCCCTCGACCGTGAAATCCTTTTCGAGAACTGTGGAGATAGACGTTAAAATATCCATGCCAGGTGATGTAGACTGATCGTTGTCCTCCCGGCCTTCGCTGACTCTCTTCGCACTGGCTATGCCTGCCGCAAGCTCATGGGCAGCTTTTCGGCCCTCCCTAATGAGCAGTGCAAGCTGGTGTTGATTGGTGCCGCCCTGCACACGTTTTGGCAAGGGCACGGCTGAGGTAGCCGCGGTGGGAGCAGGATGGAGATCCGGTGGGAGCTGCAGCTTTGCTAACGTCTCAAAGATTTCGGATTCCCGAGGCGCATACTTGTCGGCAAGGTATTGGTACTGTCAGGCTTCGAGTTAGCTGGCCTGTTGGCTGAAATGAGGCCGCAAGAGAGAAGCATGATTGCAATCCGAAATCAGAGACTGTGTAAAACGTCTACCATCTGCTGTGCATCCCTTGGGAAGACAACTCCAGATCTAGAGCTAAAGAAATCATCACGAGAAAGGGGGAAGAGAGGAAAACAAGCACAAGCACCACATACCTGCTCGTGCGCATAGCGCAATTTGTGTTCCAAAATGGTTTTGCGGTCAATCAGCGACTGCACTTCATCTGAGAGGGCGATGAAGGACTCGGTCAGAATCTCGATGAGACGGGCAGAGTTCATGTCACACGGGAAACGCCGGGCAGGGCCGGAAGCGATTGAAACTGCAGGTTGCAAGGAGGAGAAACTGAGCAGCTGTGGGAATTGGCTACAAGCTTTTGTGGGCTTCTGGTCCGATTAAAGCCCCACTTTCCGGCGGAGCAAAGGAATGGTCATATGAGTTCCGTTCGGCATTTTATGTATGTACGGATGTATGTACAAACCACCCGCCGGAGTCCTCGCTCAGTTGCCTCGAACGGAGCTGCCGGAAATGGTCTTGGGATACACAGGCTCGACAGGCAGGACAGACCTTATGGAACCTGGGCTACAACCACCGTCGCCCATGTTACTGTGTGCTTTATCATGCAGACAAGTAGTGAAGGGCCGGCATCTCCTCCCTCATGCAGAACACGTTTCCACAACGGAAGCAGTGCGCTTTTGATTACTAGTGTCCGTACGGTTCATCCCTGGTTTGTTAGGGCGGATCCTAAGTATTTACACATCTTCCTTCACTTTAACCTTCTTATAACTATTCTTTCATTTTTCTGGTCTTCCTCTTAATATATGTGTTTTAGTTTCTCTTCACTCTACTCCATTATTCGTCTTCATCTTCCCTATTTTTTCCCCATCTTTTTTCCAAAATTTCTTACGTTCATTGCTTTCCATCTTTCCATTGTGTGCCATGCTAACGGACAAACCAGGGGCTCGATTGTCAGGTATCAACTGCCCGTCTTCAGGAACCCCTGCCGTTTATGGCAGTTTACCCCCTTCGCCTTCCTGTATCAACTTCGACCGTGCCCTTCCCGATTCATTACTCAACTCATGGACTCTTCGTGCTACTGTTCAGCAGCCACAAATTCGCCTTCGCGAATTGACACTTCAAGGTGCCTGCTCTCGAGCCGGAAAACAATTACGTGGCTGGGCATTCGTCCTCCGCGCTGTCACTCTCCTTTGCCGAGCTCAGGGCACGCAGTGCGACGATTCCGTTTCTGAGAAATGGCCGCTCCTCAAGTCGCTCGACTGATTAGTCGCAGGACCCATGCCCTGCCTGGTAGGTCCGCATCGCTACCAGCCCATGATCATGCCTTCAGCTCATCACCTGCCCAGGCCAGTTGCATGTCACGGAGTTGTTCTTCGAGGTGCCCGAGAACTACGCCCGCCCTGAAGCTGGCACTCTGAGGCTCTTCGGCCGCAAGGTCACGAAGCATGACCGGCCCATCGTTCCCCTCTCCGACTCGAATGCCGCCGAGAAAGAGAAGCTGCCCTATCTCGTCTACCTCGAAGGCGGGCCAGGCTTTGGAAACCGCGCGCCACAAAACCATGCTTTGACACAGGTGGCCCTCAACCGCGGCTATCAAATGCTGTTCCTTGACTACCGCGGCACCGGCCTCAGCACGCCCATCCACGCCGACTCTGTACTAGCACGGGGTGGTCCTCAGCAGCAAGCTGAATATCTCAGACTCTTCCGCGCAAACAACATCGTGCGCGACCTTGAGGCCGTGAGACTGTGCTTGACAGAGGGATTAGATGCGGATAAGCAAGCCTGGTCCATCTTCGGCCAGTCCTTTGGCGGGTTCGTCAGCCTGACCTACCTGTCCAAGTGCCCTCGTAGTCTCCGGGAAGTCTACCTGACAGGAGGTCTCGCCCCCATCAAGCGCACGGCCGAGGAGGTGTATGCCGCAACCTACAAGAAAGTCATCGAACGCAACGCAGCCTACTACCAGAAATACCCCGAGGACATTCCCACCGTGCGCCGACTGGCCGAGTACATCCAAGCCTCCAAAGACGGCGCGATTTCCCTCCCCTCAGGCGGCAAACTGACCGTCCAACTCTTCCTCACCCTCGGAATAGCCTTTGGCGTGCATGGCGGCCTCGACGTAGTCCACTCGCTCGTTCTCCAACTCGCCACCGACCTCGACCACTTCAACCATTTCACGCCCGCTTCGCTCGCCGCAATCGAGTCCCAGATTCCCTTCAACACCCACCCCATCTACGGCATCCTCCATGAGGCAATCTACAGCACCAAACAAATGGGCGCGCCCGCCCCCAACTGGGCTGCCCACCGCGTCGGCAAGACGCTCCAGCCTTTCTCCTGGCTCGCCAACCCCGCCACCTTACTCGAGTCCAACGCTGCCTCGGAACCGCTCTACTTCTCGGGCGAAATGATCTACCCCTTTCACTTCGACGGGACGGCCGGCCCGGAGCTGGCGCGGATGAGGGAGGCGGCCGAGCTGTTGGCGGCCAACGAGGTGTGGGACGATGATCTGTACGACGAGGAGCAGCTGCGCCGGAACGAGGTGCCTGTGTATGCGGTCAGCTATGTCGACGACATGTTTGTCGACTTTGAGATGGCGCGGGAGACGGCGCGGCTGGTGAAGGGGATCAAGGTGCACGAGACGAACGGGTGGTATCATGACGCGGTGCGGTCGAAGAGCGACGAGGTGTTTTCGACGTTGTTTAAGTTGAGGGATGACTGTATTGATTGAGGAGGGGTTGTTTGATGGTGTAGGGTGCAGCTGGCTTGTGCTAGGGTTGGCCGAGGGTAGATTGATTGTTAGATTTGTTGTTTTTCAGCGCGTTTCATGTATATTTTCTGCGCTATGCTGCGATCGCCTGTCCGTTGTGGGTTTACACTCGCTGCCCAAGTAACGTCAGGCCAGCGCCGCTTGTACAGAGACTTAGGTGAGAATTACTAGACGGTCGGTGTTACGGCGCCCCTGCTAACGGTGTAGAACAGGCAGTCATTTCCCTTTTCCACGACAGAGATCCTCCCTTGAGTCAGGGGCGTCGCCACGCCGCGGGTTTGCCAGCAGTGAATTCTAGCATGTCAACGAGGGATTGGATGTGGACGGCTCCAGCATAACGTCGCGGAGCGTGCCACCGATGTAAGCATCCTGCGCTCCTCATGCTGCTTTTGTCATTGCCATTGCTATGCCGCTGCGGCTGCCGTTTCCATACGGTATCCGTGGGGGGTCGCAGCATCCGCACTGGCGCCCGGTAACCCTGGCGAGCCCGGGCATTGTCTCTGCTTGTGGCTAAAATGAAGGGTTGTGCGCCTACAACATATGCAATGGGCCACTAAGACTAAGGTATCTTCTATCCGGGTAACACGTTTCGCACATTTAGCCATTCATGAGTGCGCTTGTCTGTTGTCTCGTCTAGCACAGGATATTTGAATACAAGCCTTACCTGAAGCTGCATGTGCTGCCTAAAACGATCATCCGACGAAGTCTGCACGTGCCATGTCGCACCGGCAATAGCATGCTCGTGCATGCTGCCCACATCGCAACTCCAACTATCGGGGCGCCGAGAGCAGTACATCTATTTACGCAATACAAAGTACGCCCTGGAAGATGCAACAAAGTCTACAACGCCAGAGCCAACAGGGCCGCACGGGAATATCGACAAGGCATACGATGCCCGTTGATGCCTGGAAGCCAACAAGCTGAAGAGAGACGAGCAGGACGTGCCTTACGCTGTGTTTGAGATGGGATGCTTGCCTGGCACGATGCATCTCCACCTACCTACTTTATGTGACTTTGCATGCAGATCATTGACGCTGGTAGACGCTGCAGGACCCACACCAGTATCTTGGCCCCTCCTCCCTCGCATCAATGCATTAGGAGACTGGCCCAGCATCACGCCATGAATAAGGAGTTGAGTCACTGTGTTGGGTTGAACTGCGCACGACAAGCCATGCGTTTCCCAAGTGGCTACAGTAGCTTAGCCACGTTTCCCAGGTACCGCCCGCGTGCGATACGACAACACCTCTGAATATCATGAACATCAGATCCCTAGGACCAGCTGAAGGGCCAGAGCAGATTATTCTTCATCAAGCTCTTGTTGCATCTCGATCTCTGCAGCGGGATCTTGTTAGCCGGACATTCCACAACCTGGGGCAGACTTTCGAGGCATGCTTACGCCATAACCTGTTGGCCGAGTCTGCGATGATCCTCGCTTTGGCCAACAGCTTTTCCTTGAACTTTTGCTCGTCCTTAGCCCCCAACTTCACCTTGTTTGGCTGTGCCTGCATCAGGACTGGCAATAGCTCCTTCGGGTCTGCATTGGCGACAGCGGCAACCGTCTTGAATCCGTTGTCCCAGAATATCCTCCTGGTGCCAGTTAGCTCGATCCCGTCGAGTTGAAATGTTGTCCGCAGGGCAACAGGCCGAGGAACGCTTACGCCGTCCTGCTCTTCACAAACGTAATCTTGGCCAGCGCCAGAAGGTCGAATCGAGCCCCGGCCTTGAGTCTATCCGATAAGTGATCGAGCGCAGCGGCCATAGCTCTGATGGCCGTTATTAGCGGTCATCCAAACAAGAGCGGCAGCGGAACCCACCCCCAACCCATCGTCTCGCAGAACTTGATCATCGTGGCCGCAAACCCCTGGCATGTCTGTGCCAAAGTCTGAACAGACCCGCGCGGCATATCATACTTCTGCGCCACCCGGTGTATCGGCATCTCGTTGCAGAGGTCCCGCAGCTGCAGCGCCAGGTAGAACCGGTGGTACCGCCGCGCCGTCTCCTTCTCTTCCGGCGTCGCCTCCTTTAGTGTGCCTCCGTGAAGCCTGCCTCAGGTCAGTGAATTCTTCCCTGTGCAGATATTAACACGGGGGAAGACTTGCATGTTGTCGACGACAACATGCTTGAGTCCTAAAAAGTGCATGACCCTGACTCCACTGTCGTCAAGCTTTTGGATCTCGTTCCAAAACACTTTCCAGTTGATAACCCCGGGATCCTGAACTGGCGTGAAGTTGTATAAAACGTGCATCTCGCCATCCATGACAAACCCTTGTAATGCTTTCTTCAGTTCATTGTGAATGAAGATGCCGTCTTCTGGGTCGAGCGACGATGCAACGATTGCTTTGCCGAGCAAAGTGGCTTGGAAGCTGCCGTAGCGGTCGATTGTGATGAACTCCATCTTCTGGAGATCGGCGATGCTTGCTTCGACTTGCTCCTGGATCGATTCCGGCTCCGCTGAGTAAGACAACAAGGTTTTGCTGACGTAGTCATCGAGAGATTCTCGACTTGTTGCTAGCCTAATGGCAATGATTTCCAGCAAGGCCCTGTCTTGTCGTTAGCGATACGCCCGCTCCGGTTTGGACGGGAGCGTACCTCTGAATACGGCGCTTGTCTGATATGAGGCAGCTTGATAGCTCGGGAAGATCGGCGTGCATGAGGTCGACGACGGCCTCTAAGTCGGACTGCCGGCAGCACAAGTAGGTTTCACCCACTTCGTCCTTGCCCTTTCTTCCGGCCCTCCCGCGCATCTGCCGTCTATAGGAGGTCAATGCCATGTTCCTGAACGTTCAGCTGTCATTCCGCTTACAGCATGGCAGGGCCTACGAAGTCGCGTCCCATGCGGGCATTGTGAAGGATGACTCGTCTGGCCGGCACTGTGTCCTGTCAGCCAAGCGGCTCAAAGCTTGGTCACCAGCAAACGACCGACTCACGGTTGATGCCAGCAGCAAGGGAACATGTCGCCACGCATACTTTGAGCACTCCTTGATCGTATGCCTTTGCCACTAGCTCCCGCTCTTCTGTCGTGAGACCGGCCTGGAGGAGGCGTCAATCTCAAAAAGGCTTCATGCGCGCACCAAACAGACTCACATCTACTGTGCCGTCAGCGGATTTCCGGAAGCAGGAAGAATTCAGAGCAGGCAGGCAAGGCCCGGTGTAACATACGATGGAAGGCTACGCCAGAGGGAATGGTCTGTTCCAGCTTTGGGTCGAGTCCCGTGGGCAAACTGCGCAGATCTCCAAGCAGATCCAACCTCTTCTCCTGGATAATCGGGTCGGCTTCTGCAAATGTTGGCAATACGCGGCTTATCAGGACGGCATCCGACTCGCATCCTGCACGACTGCTCGAAAACACCAGCACCCCATAGCCAGCCCTGACTGTTTCGTTGGCAAGTGCAACGACGGCATTCCGAATAGAATCCTTGAGCTCTTTATCGGCCGAGGGTTCAATGATTCGTACTGGTTGCACTCTTGATTGACTGTGCTGAGTCGCTATTGAGTCTAGTTGGGTTATCGTTTTCAGGAGGCTGGCCGCGGTCCCGGCGGCATATATCCTACCGTCATAGACCAGATGCTCTTCAATGGGAACAGGACGGTAGTGAGTTTCGTATGAGTGGCCCTGCAACCAGTCTTTCAGGAGGCCGATGTTCTGGGGACTCGTTAAAACACTGACCAGCAGACTTTTCAGAAGCCGGCTGGATGGTACCACATACCGTGAGGGTCGCGCTCATGCCAATGATCTGAACTGGCTGGCCGAGACACAAAAGTTTAGTGGTCATGAGCTCCAGCAAATACCCCCGGTAGCCGTCGTCAATCATGTGGCACTCGTCCAAGACAACAGCCCGCAGCTTGGAGATGGAACAATCCTCGATGGCGGCATTCACCAGCGAGTTTGCCTGCTTCTGTCAGCTTCAAAGACCCTGCAGCTGCTCTCCCCTTGCAGCCCTACTTGCCTTCTCGATGGTGCAAACGGCAATATCAAAGTCGGCCCACGTCGCCCTGATCTTGCTTCCGCCAAAAAATCCCACCACTCGAATAGTGTCTTTATCCGCCCTTCGAGCCCACAGTTTGTCGGTCTGCTCCTTTTGACCCTCGTCTTCCCGCGAGATGCCGCTGACGATGTTGCGAAGCCAGCGGACCTTCTCCTGGACGAGGGCCACATACGGCAAGACCAAGATGGCGTTGGCCTGGCGGTCCTCGAAAACGCGTTTCAGCATGAGGATATCGGCAACCAACGACTTCCCGCCGCCCGTCGGTGCGCTGTATACGAGGTTCTTCTCGCCTTGCAGGAGACCCGGGCCAAGGAGGCATTGCTTCTGCCAGGGATAGATAGTCTTGATGCCCGAGGCAGCAAAGTTTGCTACCAGCTGCGGGGGAAGGTCGTAGGCTGGGTGGGAGAGCGAAAGCAAAGGGTCAATGACAGGCGTCGGCGTGGCAGCAAAGGCCTGTCTTTGCGAATACTCGGAGGGCTCTCTTGTAGTGGAGCCGTCTACATATTTGATCCGGCCCGCGGTGAGCCTTGGCAGCTCACCTGGAAGAGACTTGCCATTCAGACGGCGAAGAGCTGGTGCTGTTCCATTCCGAGTCGTGATCTGGGAAGTGGAAGCATCGTAGGCTCGTTTTTGGCCGGCAACCGCTGTGGTGGAATATGTCTGCTGACCTTGCCTTGCCGACTCCAAAGTCGTCGTGTGCCAAATGCCAAGCTTAGGCTTTTCTGCCATGACTTACTCCGTTAAAGGCACTCTTAAATGAGTCTTGCTGCCAAGGGCCGTAGCAACCGCAAGCAAAACCGCATGTAACCTAATCAGCGCTTCGTCGGGAGCAAGTTATTGAAGAAGCCAGCGGCGCACATTTTCATGAACTTCGCCGCATTTTGATTTCAGTTTGGTGTTGTTTTACTCTCCTGTGAGGGCGGCGATTGCCATGCTTCAACCGGGGTTGTCGTGTCTGATGTTGGTCCAATACCGGCCGTTTGGGAAAGTTGTGGGGCGTTCGGGTCGTTCCAGCCCCTTGCTCTCGGCTCGACGGGCACATCTGGAGAAGTAATCCGTAGTCCCCATCAAATTTGCGTAACTCACCGTTGGCCCACTTTTCTATGGGCACTTCTCACCCCCGACAAACGGCGACTTCAATTTCCTGTTTCGAAATACTGCTGCCCGCGAGGCTCAACAAGGTTGGCGACGGTCTTAATTAAGTCGCACTTTCTTTATTTCTCTTTATTACTCTACGTAGTTACAACCTGATGAGACCAACACATTGGAAGGTTTACTGTTTTACTGCTAGATGTTGGGATGAGCGACAGAGAGCGGCTCAATCTGAACACAGCCAGCGGTTTGAAACGTTACGGACACGCAACAAGAGTTCCTGAGCGCCAAGCCGCCTGACACTGTCCGACGCTCGATTCTACATTACCATTCCAGCATCAACCTCCGCCTCGGACACCTCGTCTGAAGATGATTAGGATGTTTGAAGGTGCTGGTGCGCTAATAGGAGCGAGCGGAAGGAACTGCGCTGCATATGGGTGTGCAGCTCAGGTGCCAACCGAGACGTGGGTGCAGCAGCACTATGCAATGCCGTATGGCGACAGTCGGGCTCATCGGCAACCAGGAGCAGCCGGAATCAAAGTTCATACAAAATGCTCTAAAGCATGGTTTTCCCCTATAAACGTTCTCATGCTACGAATAATTGGTAGGATGCTCCTTTGCGCTTGTACCAGTACAGGCCGACCTCTTTTGTTAGCCGCGACCTGAATGAAAGTAACTGAGTTACCTTGAATGTTATATTCCAGTTCCTAGGCTCAAGAAAGAGTTTGGCCTTACGCTTGAGTGAATTGAGTTTTCAATCTTTTATTTTGTCTTTCTGTCCTCTGCTTCTCCTCTCCCTGAAATTCCAAGTCGGTGCTCCCTTTGTTGTTGAACTTTGTCGCTGCCATGTGGCGCGCGAGACATGAGACCGGGGCTGGATTGTTTCTCCTCCACCGGGCATCCGCCACATTAGATCTCGCCGAATTTGCGCTGGACCGGGCTGCCGCCGAAGCTTCCTCCTTCCGTCTACTTATCCACACAATGTTCGACAGGGCCAGCCCATGCAACCCACATCAGCCCCGAATTCGTCCTTGTCATGCCCCGCGATAGGTCGCCTGTGACCCCAGGCATTTGTCGCATACCGCAGGTTTTCATCATTTCCTAATCAGCCGACCAAAGAAAGTATTGGATTCAGTTCATGGTTGAGAAGACGTAGTTCCCTATATTTTCATATGCAACATCCACATGCGCTCTGACCAGTGACGAAAGGCTTGGCAGGCAGATCCGACCGAGTGGCGGGCGGTGTGGTAAAAGGCAGCACCTCAGTCTGCTGTTAATGGCAGATGGACGGCTTGCGGCCGACGCGAAAGAGCGGCTATTCAAAAAAAACCCCCCCCCCCCCCCCTTCTCTCGATCAAACAGTTACATTTGGTGCGTCAACACGTAGAACGTCCTTGCTTGACAACGCCCAGTTGATTTGTGGGAACACAGGTGTAATAACTCTAGCCTTGATTAAGGGACGGGAGTTTCTGACTTCCTCATGTCCTTTCCCACCGGCATCTACGCCAGCTAATAATGGTCACGACGTTACACAATGAAGTGTGGCGATCGGCCGGTCGGGAGGAACCTGGAATCGATAGTTATGTAATAACCCATGGGAGCTGACAATGTCGCCTCCAGGCCCTCAAAACCTCGAAGTCCGTGTTTTCCGCTTAGCCGGAGGGTTTGAAGCTGGCGCCGCCCGCCGAGTCATCGGGCAAGTCAACCATTAAGGTACTGTGTAAGGCGACTTCGGAATGTATCATAGGAGGTAGCTCCGAGTTACAATGCCGGCGATCATCTGACATCGCTGCTGAGAACTTCCCCTTTGAGCTCTGTGAGAATCTTTCCTCGAAGCGTCACTGTCCTGATTTTGGTCGATATTGTGCGCCAGGACGCTAGAACGAGGTCCAACCCAACTCGACATCAATGCCGATCTCAAGGGGTGCCGATAACTTTTATTGCGGCACGGGCAGCCAGCAAAGACCAACAACACCGGGCATCGGTCAAACAAAGTTGCGCAGCGACGAAGGTAGCTAGCTGTATCCACAGCCTCCAGACTTACTTCACTACTCAGCCTCCCGTCATTGCCAACCTGGCAAGTGTTCTTCCTTCTGGTGGGCACTGGTAGCCTTGCCATCCAAAGTATTTTGGAAGAGCACAGTGCGGAAGTGCCGTGGAGTTCAAAGACAATCGATTGCGGCCCGGATGACCCAAACCTGACCGTTTCTCGTCTGTGTCCTTCCCTCCTACCCACCCCCCCTACCCCCCCAACCCCAGCGAGGCGATTGACGTGGACAAAGAGAAGCGACCTGGCTGCGGCTAACACACAGCGCTGCTGTAGAAGAAATCGGCATCTCGGGCAAGGAATCAAATGCGTCGCCGTCGTCAGAATAAAATGGTACGCTCAGTTTTAAGCTCGCTTCAGTATGTGTGCAGTGGTCCCTGACATGTAATTTAACAGGCCGGGTTCCTTTAACATTGCCTTACAAGGTACTGTACGGTCAGGTAACCCATGGCTGTCTGTCACCGACCCTTGCCGATATCCCAACATGGAACATTCCGACCGATTGCCAATTCACCCAGGGTATCTATCTGCTGGACTTCTCAGCGAATGTCGCACAACCCAGCGAAACGTTGACGGTCAGCGGAGAGCTCGCAGCATATCGGATGTCAATTTATCTGGGACCGCACAACGCGGTCGTCATCCTTGAATTGCGTCAACTTTGCTCTCCAACCACCATCTAGACACTCACTGCGTACACCTACACACATCTGCACATCTCAGATGCCCTAACGCTACCTACTGCTCCACCGCGCGGTCTGACTCGCCCTTCATTGCATGTGTCGAGCTGGCACTGCCTGAAAACGCCAGTCAAAAGACCATCTTCTTCGACCATGACCGTGCCGGTATCAATCTATGGACGAGACTGGCTGGTTATGGAGGAGAAGGATGAATGAATTAGAGAAAGGTTTCTAGGAGAAAGTAAGGGTATTTCAGAGCACATATATCGTGTGCGTATCGCCTGATTGACATGGGACGGTTCGCCGTCGGACGTTGATGCTCGGGGTGAGGATGTGAATAAGAAATCCATGAGGTACCCGTACGTACTGTAACCGTATATCACGCGTATGCTGTATCTTTCTTGTGTGTGCTCCACTTCGCAGAGTTGCAGCGGGCGGCGGACCCCACTCGAAGCTCCCACGCAGCCCATTGCTTCGATGGGAATTGCAAGCATCCACAGAGATGGCGCTGGCCCCGGCACGTCCCCCCAGTTTGTTGCAAAGGGCGCCTCGCCCGGCGCAAGCAGATGGCACAAAAGAGGCAGACACATGCATGTACCGCGAGATGTACCTTACCTTTTGGCTATGGGACCTGACCTTCCAGGTTGGCTTGCCGTGTCTTCCTTGTCATTTGATGTTTCGTCGCTCGTCCCCATTATTACCTGTACCATCCATCCATTTCTGCCCACGCACATATCCCATCTCTAACGAGTCTCCCTTCCTTTTCTTCCCCTTCCCATTGCGAACCGAATCCTCTTACCTTATCAACCTCGCTCGTCTACCACATGCAGTCCGGCACCCCTGGTGCTTGCAACCCCATTGCGGCTTGAGCCCTTTGCGTCAGACCAGCGCGCACTCACACCGTTTTCCTGACGCAGCAAGCCAGCCAGCACCCCTTAGGTTCGCCCTTCGCTTCTCTCGCGTGCCAATCCACCTCTTATATCGTTCGGTTCCTGGTTGCCGCCACCACGATCCTTCATCCACCCCTGTAGCTGCCCATTTCGGATCTTGTCTGCCTTCATCCATCTTCTGGCCGGTTTTCACGACAACTCCATAGTAGCCAAATACGGACTCGCCCTCACCGAGCCGACACTGCTCGGGCAGACTGACTTTCTTTGCACGGGCTACCGGACCCGCCACCGGTTAGCCTTATGGACCATCATCACCTGGTCCACCGCGTCACTTCCTGCTCAGCGGCCTCTATCCCTTGATGCCATCCAGCGCTTTCGCCATCCGCGCACCTCATCTTTCCATTATCCGCGAGGACCGAGCTGCGCCATCGCTGCCATCACTCGCTGACCGGCAGCAGGCGGGCCAAGTCACGTTCCGCATCTGGCATTTTTTCTCGGTCCACCATGGCCCAGAAATCCCAAACCGTGACCCAGCCCGAGGACCAGGCAAATTCGGGCAGTCGCACCTCATCCGCCGCCAAGGACGGCTCAGGAGCACCAAACTCGGCCAGACAGTCGAATAGCACCGGTCCCGTCTCGTCATCTGCCCTGCCACCAATATCTGACCCTTCCACAAACCTAACCTCCAATTCCACATCTCCGCAGCCCCAACCTCAAACCATGGAGAAGCAACCAGCCGCTGGCTCGCAGCCCTCGCCTTACGGCACGCGGTCACGGAACCGAACCGGCGCGGCTCGACCAAATTATGCCGAGGACAAGGACCTCGATCTGGACATTTACGACGTGTATCCCCAGCGGAAAGAGGACGACTCCAAAAAACCGAGCAACAAGCAGCAAGGCGCATCATCGTCAACTGCAGCATCGGCCAATTCATCACAGCCAGCCCCCCGCCCTGGCAATGGATCCTCCAGAAAGCCACTTCCAGATGACAGCAGGTCGCACAACGGCACCAAGGATCAACAACCCAACAGCAAGACACCGGTAGCGCCTTCATCAACATCATCATCATCAACTACCGCCAATGGCACCAGCGCGGCAAACGGAGTTTCAAAAGGAAAGAAACGAAAGGTCACCGACACCGCCTCAACGGCCAGCGGCAGCCAAACGCCCTCTGCGCCAAATGGTGCCGTGTCCTCATCGGCACTGCAGAAACGCCCAGCAACCAGCGGGCAAGCGAGTGGAAATTTCATGGCTAGCGGAATCGCCTATGGCGAGACAAATCTGCTCACCTTTGAGAATTGCAAGTCACGGCCCAAGGATGGGAAAATGGTTGCCGACGATGGCACAGTGCTTGGGGTTAATGGTAAGTTTTTGTGACCGTGTTTCACCCACACACACTCACGGTTCTGCTCTTTGTCTTTAAAGAGTTCTGACACGGCCGATGCAGATCACGTCTATTTGGTTTGCGAGCCACCAGGCGAGCCCTACTACTTAGGCCGCATCATGGAGTTCTTGCACGTCAAGAGCAACCCAACACTGCCAATCGACGCGCTGCGCATCAATTGGTACTACCGGCCCAAGGACATTGGGCGCAAGGTGCAAGACACGCGCCTTGTTTTCGCCACGATGCACTCTGACATTAGCCCTCTGACGTCGCTGCGAGGCAAGTGTCAAATTCGGCACAAGGCCGAGATCCAGGACCTGGCGGCCTACAAGCGGACGCCCGACTGCTTCTGGTATGAGAAGCTGTATGACCGGTACATCCAGAAGAACTACGAGGTGATTCCGACGAGCCAAGTCATCAACGTGCCCGAGCACGTCAAGAAGGTGCTGGACGAGCGGTGGAAATATGTCTTGACCGAGCAGGGCCGGGGCAAGGAGCTGACCAGTGCGGTCAAGACTTGCAAGCGATGCACCACCTACTGCGCGAAGTAAGTTCACCTCCAGTCCCAACCCAGGGTGGGCGGCCCAGCCAACCAAAACTCGGTCAAACTCTGCGATTCGGCGGGGTGGCGCGGGAGCCCAATGAGGAAATTGAGGAGGGAGAAGAGCGACCCCCAGACGTGAGAAGAAAAGTGGAACCGGATGCTGACACGCCCTCCCCCGTTTTTAACAGCAACGATTCGGTGGACTGTGCCGTGTGTCAAAACACGTACCACATGAACTGCGTCAAGCCACCCTTGCTCAAAAAGCCAAGCCGTGGCTTTGCATGGTCCTGCGCCTCGTGCAGCCGCGCCCAGGAGCGCAAACTTGAAGCCCGCAACACGCCCAACGTTTCGGATCGTCATGCCGAACATGTCGAGGGCGAAGACGACGAGGGCGTTGAGGATGAGGACGAGGAGATAGGCGGTGTCGGTGGGGTCGACACGGGACGTACGAGTCGCACAAGCCCAGTCGACGAGCACCTCCACCCGGCCCCGACGGCCGAGCAAATCTACCATGCCAGCTTGTGGCCATATCGATACCTTGGAATCCACTGCAAGGTCGAGGACGCCCTGGACCTGGACGACCGCATCTTCCCCCGCGCGAGCACGCGGCTAGGCCTTCGCCACCAGGCCATCGTGCCTCCGTGGTTCGGCCGCCCCGTGCAATACGTCAAGCCTCTCGAGTTTAAGAAGTCGGGCAAGAATGGGAAGTACACCAAGGAACAACAGGCCGCGCTCGAGGCCGAGCGCATCGAGAAGGAGAAGCGCCCCAAGTGGATCCAGGATGAGCCTCCGGGATACATCGAACGTGGCGGCGACGATACGTCGACGCTCCTCTATAAGCCGCCCGAGGAGTGCGGCGTGAGTATGTCGAGTGACGCGCTTGACGACTACATGGCCACGGCCAGATCAATGGCGGTCTCGCTTGGGTTACCCCCACGCTCCACCAACCTCCAGGACGTTGCGAGGGACCTCCTCTTCCGCAACGGGTTCGACCCAAAGAAGGCTCTCGAGGCGCTAGCCAAGGTCCCCAAGGCCGAATTCAAGGAGCCCGAGCTGAGCCCCGCGGAGCAAAAGAAGTTTGAAGAGGCCGTCGCCAAGTTTGGGTCCGAACTGCACAGCGTAAAGAAGCATGTCAAGACTCTAAGCGCCGCGACTATTACCCGCTACTATTACACCTGGAAGAAGACAGAACGAGGAAAGCAGATCTGGGACAACTTTTCCGGTCGAAAGGGCAAGAAGGACGCCAAAAAAGCCGAGGCCGCTGCGAACAAGCTTGCAGATGATGTCGCCGATGACCACGACGATTCTGCCTTCGACGCGGATAAGGCACGGGAGAAAAAGAAGTCTTTCGTGTGCAAGTTCTGCGGCACCAAGAAGTCACGCAAATGGCGGCGGGCTCCGGCCGCAGCAGTAACGCCCGTGACTGAGAATGGCGGCAAAGGCTCCAACAAGGACAAGAAGGAGCAATATATCCAAGCACTCTGCAGGCGATGTGCTGAGCTGTGGCGGCGGTATGCCATCCAGTGGGAGGACCTCGAGGAGGCGGCCAAGAAGGTGGCCCAAGCGGGCGGGCGGGGATGGAGGCGCAGGGTCGATGAGGATCTCTACCGGGAACTCCTCTCAGCCGACGAGTTGATGAACAACACCCGGTCTCCAACACCCGACGCGGCCGAGACGGACAGCCCAGCAACGTCTCTCAGTGGGCAAGCCGCCGCAGCCGAGCCACCTCGGAAGAAGCTGAAGAGCAGCTTGGTCGACAAGGATACCGAAAAGACCCCATCCGAGACTGGCAGCGTGGCTGGCGGTCTGTCTTCGAAAAAGAAGGAGAAAGTGGCCGAGAAGTCACAGCCACAGCAAGCACCGGCACCGCCGCCTGTCCCCGACATTCCAAAGCCGCGGACGTTACCCTGTGCTATCTGCGGGGAGCTGGAGCCGATGGGCGATGACCATTTATCCTGCCGGGAGTGCCGGCTCACTGTGCACCGGAACTGCTATGGCGTCGTTGATAACCGAGCTCCGGGCAAGTGGACTTGCGACATGTGTTTGAATGACAAGAATCCCCAGCTGTCGATTGTAAGTGTAGTGCTCTGCCCCGTTGTCCTGGGCGTGGAAAAGCTAATTGCGGATGTAGCACTACAAGTGTGTCCTCTGCCCAGTGGAATACACGCAGCACGACTTTGTTGAGCCGCCCAAGATTTCCAATTCCCACAAGAAGAAGACGGAGAAGGAGCGGGAGCGGGAGCGCATGGAACGCGAGAACGCTCAGAGAGCAGCCGATTTCTACCGCAAGAAGCAGGAGGAGATGAATCGCCCTGTCAATCCCCGAGAACCCCTGAAGCGGACAGCCGACAACAACTGGGTACACGCCAGCTGCGCTATCTGGACACCTGAGGTCAAGTTTGGCAACGCCAAGGCGCTCAGTCCCAGTGAGGGAATCCCCCTGATCCCGCGGCCGAGGTACGCAGAAGTGTGCAAGGTCTGCAAGACGGACAGGGGAGCATGCGTCTACTGCCACCACTGTCACGCCCCGGTCCACGTGGAGTGTGCTCGCCAAGCCGGCTATGTCTTGGGCTTCGAAGTCATGCCGGTGAAGGGCTCCCGCCGGGACCAGTTCCGCATCGTCACAATCAATGGGGAGAGTGGTGCGATGTCAGCCGGCGTATGGTGCAAGGACCACGTGCCGACCAAGACAACGGTTCATCGGATGCATGAAAACGTGGCCGAGGCCGGGACAAATGCGCTCCAGGTCTTTGTGCAGAACTTTAAACAGGCCGATCTGACCCTGACAGGCTGCGCGAGAAAGGCGAACCAGATCACGGTCGCCTCGAAGATGTCAACTCTCCCTGCATCGGCCACAGCCCACCAAAACCGGCGGGGCTCAGCCGGCGCCGTGATCAATGGCGACCACGAAGACCTGTCGAGCGTTATGCAGCCAGGCGGCAAGATCTGCTTGACGTGCGGCGTCGACGTCAGCCCCAAATGGCACCCCATCGACCAGTCGCAGGACTGTGGCATTACAAATGGCTACTACGGCAACATCGGTTCAGAGGCGCAAAAGTTTGTTGAGCAGCGAAGCTTTCAGTGCCACAAGTGCAAGAAAGCCGGCCGGCAACCAGTCCTGCACACGCAGCCGGCGAGAGAGCCGTCGCCTTCTCCTGAGCCAGCCCGTCAAGCTTCGCAGGCAGCCGCAGCGATATTGCCCCCAGTTCGGCCTGACGAGCCGAGGCATTCCAGCAGAGTGCCGTACGGTTGGCCTCCCGTTCCGGGCCCCTCGCCCCCCGTGCAGGCCCCGCTTCTTCAAGCACCGGCACCGGGCCCTATTGCTTTGCCCATCGCGCCTCCTGCAGTGCAGGCTCCGCCAGTGGCACCGCCTCCGCTACCGCCGAGTATCGCCCCGCGGGCGCCGGCTGTCCAGCCTCCTCCGGCATACGCATCGCCGCGGCCTTTCGACTGGCACCGGCCAACAACGGGCCATGGCCCGCCGCCGCTGCATCCATCACGGGAGATCAACGGCGGCCCATCCCCTCCGCCATCCTCCATGCCGCCTTTCGGGCCACCCAACCACCTGCGGCCTCCTCCGATTAGCATCCCGCACCCTCCCGCGCAGTCTCCGCCAAACGGGCACATGACGCAGCCGCCCTTCGTCAACGGCATCTCGCACCCCCCATCGCCCAGACGTGTCAGCGGCCCGCCCCCTCCTCCCCCGCCCGCGAACGTACCGGGTCCATACCATCCCCACCACAGCCATCCCCCTCCTTCCGACCTGCGGCCGCACCACATGCCACCACCGCCCTTGAACCCGATGCCGCCAGTCCTCGCGGGTTCTGGTGGGGTTCCTGGCGCGGTGCCCGGACCGGAGGGGCCGCCGCCTCCGCCGCCGAACTATCTTAGGCAGTGGGGCCATCACCACCACCCCCATCCTGCTCACCACCATCACGGCAGTCCTCCACCGCCGCCAATGAGGGAGATGAGAGATGGTCCGCCGCCGATGGATCGGGGCCATCATCACGAGCAGCCCATACCGCCCCCGCAGCAGCATAGGGAGGGCAGACCTGCTAGCGGGGCAAGTGCGAGTCCCTCGTTGAGGAACCTGCTCTCTTAGCTTTTTTTGTTTAGCTGAATGGGAGGGCGGTTTAGTTTGGTGTGAAGGCTGGCGTTCAGGTTCAGTTTGCCGCGGGGAGGGGGGGCCGGGGGTGGTGTTAATGGAAGGGGATTGTGATAATTTATGGAGCTACCTTGGGAATAACTTTGTATAGTACTTGTATTCTTTCGTGCTCTCTGTTCCTTCCCATTTTTTCACCTCACACGTCTTCTGACTGGAGGGAACTGGCATGGCATGGCAAGCAAAAGCGTTCTAGACTTTTCACCTGTTTCACTGTTTTTTCTTTTTCTGGTGCCTGCGTGCTTTGAGATGGTAAGGGAGAGGTGGGAGAGGTTGCAGGGGAAGGGCGCTGGTTGCATATCTGAGCGTGGGAGCATGGGGGTGGTTTGCATGTATGGGTTTCTGTCCATGGACAGAAAGAGGTAATTTTGAGTCTTTGACTGCGAAGATAAAGTGATGAGTTCTGGGTCTGAATTCTGTTTGCTCGTTGAGGGTTTATGATACCAGGTACCTCGTGGGTTTGTTTGGGAATTGTTCGGTGAAGCTGCCGAGACTGCGTAGCTACAGTAAGCTTAATCCCCACGGGGTCATCAAAACCACGCTCTGCGGTCATTGTTCTCTAGTGATACTGATACCAGCTGCTCTGTGGAGTGCTCTGTGAAGGTGTTTCAACGTGCATTGTACAAGTACCTCCTTGTCCTGGTGGTGTGAAGAGTGCTCTACTATGTATGGTGGCACCGCGGGCCAACTGGGTGTACGACGATTGTCTTCGGGTAGCACAGAATAGGGGCTTGGTCGCCATCATACTCTCACAAGCATTTCATTTTCAAGCGTCCTGAATTGGAAATTAGCTGCCAGGCCGCAAGAGCTGATACTACTAGTATACTTCGAAGCAGGAAGAATACTGTGAACGAAAGGGAAGGGCTGCAGATTGCTTGTCAAATTCACAGTGTGGCCCCGGCGGTTTCCTGTGACCATTTAACTTACCACATTACTTGAAAGGGAAGCTTACTTGCTGTTCTTTATTACCTTTTGTCCCAACTTTTTTCCCCTTTCTTCTTCTCCAACTCTGCCTTTTCACGCTGCTTTTCGCTCCCTGTGTTCTCATTCTGATAAGGGCCTATCCTCAGTCAGTCGTCATGCTAATCATAATGTATCAGACTGGCAATCTAAATTTAGAGCAAGCCTGGATCTGATGCAGCATCAAGCGGTCCCACTCTGCCCGAACTTGCAGCCACGGTGCGCGGGGCATTCCAGCGGATTTCGATGCACATCTATGGAGCTAGATTCTGGAAAGGCTGAGCTAGCGAGATACCTGAGTTTCTTAGTTCACACCCCGCTAAAAAGAAGTATCTCTGCTAATTCCATCAGCCACAGCCCGAGATTCGATGGGCTTCCATGGAGGGGCTGAATGGAACGCGGCGAGTCGATTGGAAACTTCAACCCGAGAATTTCAGCCTCCCTCCTGTGCACTTGCAATCCTATAAGCCTCCAGTTCCGTAATCTTGAGAACAGGAGTCGGCTCGATTTGTGACTGTCGCTGCACAAAAGCAGAGTACCAGAGGCTCGATCTTCAGCCACGAAATTATCATTGCGAACCAAAGACATATTGAGTTCGCAATAACTACCTCAGCCCTGCGATTGCCTTGGTAAGTTGGTTGCCTTTCTCCATGCGCATGTTTTTGCCCGGACTCGCGGCAGAATCATCTAGACATTTCCTTGCAATGAGCACTCCGGCTTAATCGTTCCTGCGCCCCGCCAAACCATTCCGGAAGCCTTACTCTTTTCAACGACGCATCTTTGTCTCATCAACTTTTTTCTCACTCCGAAACTACACTGCTAATATCTTACTGGTTCAGTTCGCAACAGCTTCGGTTTCTTGGACTTTTTCCCGGCCTCCCGACACTCAGACCATCAGGCCCCTAGCCGATCCTGATAGCCTACTCCCGAGAGACAATTGTCTTGCCGTAAAAGATACCCTCTAATTCAGCCAGAGTAGACCGCCACAATGGTCAAGGAGACGAAGCTCTACGACATTCTGGGCGTACGCAGCCATGGAAGACTTTTTGGCTGGTATCGTGGAGCTAACATTGTGCGACAGGTATCGCCGAATGCGACGGAGCAGGAGCTGAAGAAGGCGTACAAGACAGGCGCCCTCAAGTATCACCCGGGTATGTCTTGGTTCTTGCTGTTTTTCTTTGTGCGGGCTTGGGTTGACGCTCGCTCGCAGACAAGAATCGTAACAACCCGAACGCCGAGCAGAAGTTCAAGGAGATTTCCCACGCCTACGAGATTCTGTCCGATTCCCAGAAGCGCCAGATATACGACCAGTATGGCGAGGCCGGTCTAGAGGGTGGTGCTGGTGCCGGCGGCGGCATGGCAGCCGAGGACCTCTTTGCGCAGTTCTTTGGCGGTGGTGGCCTGGGTGGCGGCCTTGGAGGCATGTTCAGCGGCATGAACCACCCGCGTGGGCCTACAAAAGCCAAGACGATCCATCACGTCCACCAGGTCTCACTCGAGGATATCTACCGCGGCAAGGTCTCGAAGCTGGCCCTTCAACGGTCCATCATCTGCCCGAAGTGCGAGGGTCGCGGCGGCAAGGAGGGCGCTGTCCGGAAATGCACAACCTGCGACGGCCACGGTATGAAGACGATGATGCGCCAGATGGGTCCTATGATCCAGCGCTTCCAGACGGTGTGCCCGGACTGCAATGGCGAGGGCGAGTTGGTCAAGGAGAAAGATCGCTGCAAGCAGTGCTTCGGCAAGAAGACGGTTGTCGACCGCAAAGTCCTCCATGTGCACGTCGATCGCGGTGTCAAGAGCGGCACCAAGGTTGAGTTCCGCGGTGAGGGTGACCAAGCACCCGGCATTCTCGCAGGCGACGTTGTTTTCCAGATTGAGCAAAAGCCGCACCCCCGCTTCACCCGTCGGGACGACGACCTCCTCTACCATGCCGAAATCGACCTCGTCACGGCACTGGCCGGCGGTACAATCTACATTGAGCACTTGGATGATAGGTGGCTGAGCGTCGACATCCTTCCCGGCGAGGCGATTGCATCTGGTACGTTACTGTTTTCGCATCGCAATCACACACTCTGCTTGCTAACTTTTCCGCAGAAACTGTCAAGATGATCCGCGGCCAAGGTATGCCGACATACCGCCACCACGATTTCGGTAACATGTACATTCAGTTTTCGGTCAAGTTTCCCGAGAAGAACTGGACCCAGGACCCCGCTGCCTTTGAGGTGCTCCGGAAGGTCCTCCCGTCACCTGAGCTTATCAACAGCCCTCCAGCCGAGGCCATGACAGAGCCTGCAGACCTCGAGGACGTCGACAATACTGCAAGGGGCTTCAACGGCGCCATGGAGGAGGATGAAGAGCATGAGCACCACGGCGAACGTGTTCAGTGCGCTTCGCAGTAAGGGATTCACATGGAATAGGGGATGAAAATCTTCACACGACCCGTTGTGCCGGTCATTTACGCAGGTTAATGGGCGGGACATAACCTCACGCAAGCATCTCTCAACTCAACCGATGCGCGGAGGCGGTTCTTCTGGTTAATGAGATAACGAGGTGGGAAAGAGGGCGAGGGTACATGGAAATACCCCAGGGAGGAAGCAGGGGGGGAGAGCATAGAGCCTCATTCTCTGGCATGCATGATGGGGGTTTTTCTCGGGCTCATTTCTGTCATGTTTTTATCTGGCACGTGACACAACTCTTGGGAAGGGCGGCGTTCTCGAGAGGATAGAGAGGCATCTGGCTTTCCTGCGCTGGCTGGATCTTTTTTTCGTTTCCGGTAATCAATGATATCGGGCGTTATGAAAGTCGCTGGTTTGTGTTCTTTGGGTGTCCATAATGTAACATTTGCTGAGGCGGAATACTGCTGAAGATGAACAGAGAAGAAAAGGGAGTGCCAGTGATTGAAGGAGCGTGATACACAGGCTCTTTTTGCCCCGAGTCCATTTCTCTCAAAGTAGAGCGAAAGCTGGCAGATACTAGTGGATCAGTGGATATATCGTGGTAATGTTGATAATATTTGACTCAATTGCTGAAAGCACCTATGCAGGAGTCCAGACCACAGCTTGCAACCATCATTTTCAGGCTTGAGACAGAGATACTTTGACTCTCAGCAGATGGTGGCTGATATAGTTGTCAATCGTACGCATGCCGCCTCCTAGGACAACCACTTAGCAACAGGTCCCTTTCTCAGCTGGGGCGGTCCTAAGGTAGGTCTCAAACATTCCACGACAAAATTTCCGCCATCAGATCACAGAAGACGCTCTCTTACAACACGTTAATCTGGCTCTCGCTTCGAGTAAGGCATCAGTAGCCCCTTGTTATTTTGTGCCTCGCCTGTTCAGTCAAAATCACTCGACTTGCGCAAGCTCTCGGTAGAATACAGGATCTTCTGCAACTCTTCGTCACCGATGTTGGCGTCCCCACCAGCAGGGAGGTTCTCGACTCTCCCTAGTCGCCAGCCCGCCTCTTCCTTGTCTAGCGGGATCAGCGAGGAGCCGCCCTCCTCACCGGGATACACGGCGACCAGGAGACGGGGTGTGGCGCCGGGTGTCTCGATCGCCTCCATATCGAGCGGATTCCCAGGCAGAGGGATGGTTTCGCGGTGCTGCAACGTATTGTCCTCGAGGAGCTCAAACTGGAATAGCGCGGGGACACTGGGATATGTTAGCAATCAGCCAACTGAGGGCTTATCGGGTGGGACGAGACCGGAAAAGACGTACCATTCAACAACAACAAACACCACTACCCTTACCCCTTCCCACCTGCAAGCAAAGATCCTCGTCAGAGCAACCTTGCTTGCCGCTTCATGCCCAGCAACCTCCTTCACATGCTCCAGCACCCCGGCCCGCCCAAGCAGCGTCCCGTGTAACCAGTCCCAGACGAACAGATCATCATCCCCGCCCCCGGAGATCAACAACTCCGCCCTCCCTCCCGGCGCCACACACAGTCGGCTCACAAAGTCCTCGTGCCCCAAACAGAACCCCTCAATGACGTGCGCCTGCGGCACGCCGCGTGACACGCGGATGTGCTCGTCGCGGTCGGCCGTGATGATGTATTCCCTTGGCCTCCCATCGACCGAGGAGGAGGTGCCGACACAGATGGCCGTCAACATGGAAACGTGGCCCAGCAGGAGGGTGTGCTCGAACTGCGGACGGTTGGCGGCTTGTTGCTGTTCCCTCAGGATGGCCTCCCTGCGGGCGAGGCTGATCTTTTGGGCCTCGAGGGCTTTGAGGTTGCGCTTGGTGTGCACCGTGAGCGGGTCCGCTTGGGGTTTGAAAGGTTTTGCGGAGGGGGTGGTGCTGCGGGAAGGGGTTTGAATGGAAGAGGTTGTGCTGCGGGGAGAGGATTGGTTGGCGGTTGAGTTTTCGACGGATTTTGAGGTGGAGGAGGGCAGTAAGGGGAGAGCGTAAACGTCGCCAAATTTGTCGGCTGAGAGAATCGTGCGGTTGTCGGTGGTGAGGGCGAGGGCGCAGGGGCGTTTGGGCATGGATCTGGTCAGAGTTAATGTTGCTGCTCAGGGGTGGATGGCGGTTGTAGGGGAAACGTACCTCTGACTGAGTTGTTTGAGATTACCTGCCAAGTCATGCTCAAAGACCCAAATGGTTTTGTCGGCGCCGGTGATGGCTATCAGATGGCGGCCATCGGCGGTGGCGTAGAGACCCTGGATGAAGGGCCTCTCGTTGGCAGGGCAGTCGTACTGCGCTGCCTTTTTGCTCTTCGGCTTGCCGTTCGTGGACTCGGCAGGCTGACCGATGGAGACGGAGTCCTGACAATCCTCAACTTTTCTCCGCTTAGCTGGCGGGCCTTCGGGTGCTGGCGAGCTTTGTGTCTCGGCGGATGGCTCATGTGGCTTGTCCACTGGTTGCGCCGGGTACTTCCATGTCGAGACATGCTCGAGGGCTGAGCTAAAAGTGTGGATGTCGCTGCCCTGCGCCGCGAAGACGAAGCCGCCGCAGCTTTTCACAAGGTGAAATGGGAGAATCATGTTGGGCTTCTCTAAGCTGAGTGCTGATTTGGCAATGTAGGAGATTGATGTGGATGAGGAGTTGATGGCCAAGCAGTTGTTGCATGGACCAAGTTTCTTCCTGGCATAGAGTTCACAACTCAGTCGACTCAAACTGTATACCTGCGGATTATCAGTCATGACTGTGCATCTCTCCGAAAAAGGTGAGGATTATACCGTGTATCGAGCCTTACAGTACACAGCAGACTGCTACGACCCTGTCAGTGAGTGAGCTTTCAAGGACGGCTGCGACTTAGGAAATTTGTCGTGCATGAGCCACATGTTTGGTTAATCAAGAAGACGACGCGATACCAGTGACGCTGCCAATATATCGTTGTTCTAAAAGCGGGGTTCTGCTTTACTCGCCTCTGGCCAATTTTACTTCCATATACCGTTTCATGACCTGCATCGACTGCACTTCTTCTCCGTTTTCTGTCTTCGATGATCGAGGTCATTTCGAAAGCTGCTTCCTTCGAGTCGAAATCTTGGCAAGCCGAGAGTCATGTGGGGCTTAATTCCATCCCTTCATTGGTCGTCCCTTAGCCCTAGGCGAAGCAGTCCCCCACAGCTGTAGGCAATTGTGTGAGAAAATGAGAGTTTTCTTTTCTGCTTTGGGGAGTTTTTGACCCGACAACATCACCAATTTCAATTCCAGTTCCGCGCACCAAGACAATCGCCCTTAAACATCCTGCCTTCATAACTAAGAAGATATGGGGGGCAAAACTGGAAACAAGGCCGGCTACTTCGACAAGCTGAAGGGCTTGTTGGAGGAGTACCGGTCCATCTTCATCGTCTCGGTCGACAATGTCTCGTCGCAGCAGATGCACGAGATTCGCCAGGCCCTCCGAGGTCAGGGTGTTGTCCTGATGGGCAAGAACACCATGGTATGAAGATTCCGAATTTTATGCGCCTCGACCGCCGACCTAGGTGCTGACCATGACCCTGTATAACAGGTTCGCCGTGCGCTCAAGACCTTCATCAACGACACCCCCGAGTACGAGCGCCTGCTGCCCTTCGTCAAGGGCAATGTCGGCTTCGTCTTCACCAACGGCGACCTCAAGGACATTCGTGACAAGATTCTGGCCAACAAGGTTGCCGCCCCCGCCCGTGCCGGTGCTGTTGCCCCGGTCGACGTGTGGGTTCCGGCTGGCAACACGGGCATGGAACCCGGCAAGACCTCGTTCTTCCAGGCTCTCGGTGTCCCCACCAAGATCGCCCGTGGTACCATTGAAATCACAACCGATCTCAAGCTCGTCGAGGCTGGCGCCAAGGTCGGCCCCTCCGAGGCGACCCTGCTGAACATGCTCAACATTTCTCCCTTCACCTACGGCATGGGTATCGCTCAGGTGTACGACCAGGGCAACACCTTCCCGGCTGACGTTCTCGACATTGGTGAGGAGCAGCTCCTGAAGGCCTTCTCCTCGGCTGTCACCACCATTGCCGCCGTCTCGCTGGCCCTCAACTATCCCACCTTGCCCTCGGTCATGCACTCTCTTGTCAACTCGTACAAGAAGGTGCTTGCCGTTGCCATTGAGACCGACTTCAGCTGGCCCGAGATTGAGCAGCTCAAGGACCGCATCGCCAACCCCGAGGCCTACGCTGCTGCGGCCCCTGCTGCCGGCGCTGCGGCTGCCGGCCCCGCCGAGACCAAGGCTGAGGAGAAGAAGGAGGAGTCTGAGAAAGAGGAGTCCGATGAGGAGGGCTTCGGCGGTCTCTTGTTCGTGCCCCGTGCTTTGGATTATCTGGTACACTGCTAACATGGCATACAGCGACTAAATGTAACGACTTGCGCACGGGGTTCTCGGGCCAACAATTCTGGTTTATGTCCGGCGGAGATTTCATACCTCTTCGCCCACGGCTACATAGATCGGCTGCGGCTCAATCAAGCACTCTGTGTCTGATGGTCACCCTGGGTTTCTTTGCGTTGGCTGCAGTGCTTCGTCTTGGTTAGTGGCTTGCCTTGGTCTCTCAGGTTAGTACCCGCCCTTCTTTTCTCCCCGCCTCCCCATGTCGATGATTATACAAATGAATCAAAGAGCTTTTTAACCCTGAACACTTTTGATGACAAACCCATCACCACCCTATGAGACACAAGTCCTCCTCTCCTTTTTGATACGTCACGTACCGTACATGGGGTATCAAGGCTGACCAAACTTACAGTGACACACGGATACATCTCTCCAGACCTATTCTACAATTGCGGCCGAAGTCTCTGCCGGCTCAGCTATTCCTCGCGGTGATATGTCGACCCCTGAATCCTGCAGCACCTGCTGGGCGACCCGTATCGCCCGCTCTGGCAGTCCAGCCAACCGCGCGACCTTGAGCGCGTGACTCTGCCTGTTGACCCCCTTGCGCAGCTTGTGAACGTAGACAAACCCGCCCTGCTCGTCCTCCTCCACATCCGTGCAGTACATGTCGATGGTCCCATCGGGACCGCCGTCCTCCACCCTCATGCATTGCTTTGTCACCAGATCTGCGATGCCGTGGAAGTGCGTCGCGAACAGCGCCCGGCACTTGTTTACGCTCGCCAAGTGGTGTAGCGCCGCGAAAGCCACCGCCGTGCCGTCCTCGGGCGTCGTCCCTCTGCCGACTTCGTCCATGATGACGAAAGAGCGAGGGGTCGCTTGCCGCAGGATGGCCGCCGTCTCGAGCATCTCTACCATGAAGGTGCTCTGGTCCTGGTACAGATTGTCGGCGGATCCGACCCGGCTGAAGATGGCGTCGACGATGCCCAGCGATGCATAGTCGGCAGGCACGTAGCACCCGATGTGGGCGAGGATGGTGATGAGCGCGTTTTGCCGGAGGAAGGTCGATTTGCCGGCCATGTTGGGGCCTGTTATTAGCCAAATCCTGCCGTGGCCTTGTTGTTGCTGCTGTTGTTGTAGTCCTACACCAGATGGAGTGCCGTCGCCGATCAGGCAGTGGTTGCGCTGGAAAGTGCGTCCTTGTTCGGCCAGACCGCCTTCGACTGTCGGATGGCGCCCGCCGATGATGATGGTTCGTTGGGTGTTGGTTAGGATGGGGCGGACGAGTCGCTGCTCGGTGGCGAGCCGCGCGAACGAGGTGGCGATGTCGAGCTCGTCGAGGACCAGGGCGTTGCGCCGCAGCTTGACGAGGTTGTGGACGACTCTTTCGCGGAGTGATGCGAAGACGCGCTGTTCTTCGGCGCGGATCTGGAAGCGCAGCTTGTCGAGCGCCTCGCCGAGGCGGGTCCATTCGGGCTGGTGGAAGGAGCGGGTTGTGCGGCTGGAGGAGAGGGTGCGGATAGGGTCGCTTTCGTCTGTCGGGGTGCGCCGCGCGTCTTTGCCCTTGACGTGGCAGATGTGGCCGAGGCCTGGTGTCCAGCGGAGGGTGAGGGATGGCGCGTTGAGGCGGGTCCGGAGGGTCTCGGTGAGGGCTTCTTTCTCTTGTCGAAGGGTGGCGAGGTCGGCGTGGAGGCGGGCGAGAATATCAGAGGCGCCTGGTTTCATGATCCAGACTTCGTTGTCTTCACCGTAATGGTCGCGGATCGAGACGGGTTTCTTCTTGTTGATCTTTGCCGCCGCGCCCTTGGGGAGGAGCGTGCTGTCTTCCTCGGTGCCCTCGGCTTTGACGATCTCTTGGGCGAGCGCTATCATCTCGCCTGCCTCGCTGTCTTCGATCTGGTGCTGCTGCACAAGGCCTTCTTCGTCGATGGCGTCGCGGATGCTCTGCGCGAGCATAAGGAGGTGGTCGAGGCTGATGCGGTCCACCATGATGGAGAGACAGTTCTTCGCAGTGCCCTTGTCAGGGCGGGACGAGACGGATGTGTTGAGGAGGATGACGATATCCTCTGTTGCCTTGATCGTGTTGGCCAACCGCAGGAGATCATCAGGATCACCGCGGTTAAGCGCGAACTTCTGGACGAGACGCTGCGAGTCATGGCTCCTGCGTAAAAGGACAACAATGGTATCACGAAGGTCCTCGTCCTCGATGAAGTGCGCGACTAGGTCCTGGCGGAAGTTGATAACCTCGAGAGAGGTGGAAGGGGCGCCTGCGTCAGGTTAGCAACAGTTTACCTTATCCCAACGTAGAAGGACTTAACCTACTAAGCCATTCATTGAGCAGTCTGGCGCCACTTTTGGTCACGGTTCGTCGAATTGCATGCAGCAAGCTTCCCCTGAAAGCACCGTCTCGGATGGTCTGCTTGATCTCCAGGGAGCGCATGCTATTCTTGTCAATATTCATGATATGCATGCTCTCATGACGGAGCGGCGGCTGTAACTTCATACTCAACCCCTGCAGCCTGTCCCTGACGTAGTGAAGCAGCAGACAGCCCGCTTGTACTTCCCCGTCTGTAAACTTGTCGACAGTTTGGGTTGGTATCTCGGACTCTAGCATGGGCGCCCAGTCGGAAAGCTCCCGAAGCTCACCGTGGGGCGAGTATGTTACGAGATGCCTTTCCTCCTGAAGAACGGACAGGGGGAGATGGTCCCGATTGAACTCTAGTGCCTTGTCAAGGACAATCTCCCGAGGAGACACCCGAGAGAGGACGGAGCCAAGCGATGCCAGAGTCGTTGGCTGGGTGAAGAAACAACCTGTCGACAGATCCAACCATGCCAAACCAATGCGGGCCACAGCATCATTGGCGAACTCTGATGTCTCTGGGGCATCATGTTGCTCTTGGCAGCTCACATGATCCGATGGCGCCGGCCCAGGCAGGTGGATCGCCATCACGTAGTTACTGGCATAGGGATCCATGAAGTTCTCGTCGATCAGGGTGCCTGGCGTGACGATGCGGGTCACTCGGCGGTTATGCATCAAGCCACCCCACTTGACTTTATCTGAGGGGTCGTTGGGGAACTCCTCGGCGATAGCTACATGGCGGTTGAGGTCTTGCACCAGGATCTTGAGGAAGCGGTCCAGCTGGAAAAAGGGAAAGCCGGCCTGACAGCAACAGAATCCATCAGAATACGAGTGGACAAACCAGACAGTGGCACGGAGCGGGCACGGAACAATACCATTGGGACGGGGCCGGCACTCGTCTTCTTCTGCGCTACCTTGAGGTTGAGGAGCGGTCCATACTCGTCGGCTTGGTCAAAGTACAGCTCGTAAAAGCCGCCGACTCGTGTGAGCAGCACGCAGTTGTCAAACTTCCGCATGTTTCGGCGTGCCTGGAGCACCACAGTCGGGTACGTGGGTTCATCTTCTTCGGGAGGCAGCGGCTGGGATGGTGCGACAATGCCTTGGGGCAGCTCATCCAACTTGACGACGGTCCGAGTCTTCTTTCCACAGACATGGACAAGCTGGATCTTCCGTGGATGGGGCCGGATCCCCAATGGACTAGGCCCGCAATTCCTGCCGAAATGGCGCAAGATCAAGGCAGTGGTCGCATTGCGTCGGCCAAGCCGCCCAACGGTGATGGGAAGGGACGAACGAAGAGAACAGCCGATACACGCAATCCGAAGGCGCGGGACTGGTGCTGAGCGCGGGAAGAGCATCAAGTATACCCTCTCCAAATTCCCTCGACTTCGAGAGACGTTAAAATGAGAATATTGAGTGACGTCGATGTTCCGTGTTGCGGATTCGAGACCACAAGCAGACGCGATGTGATTTAAAAGGGAGTTCGTGATAACCCGTTAAAACGATGGGAAAGGCCAGGTGATGGTCAGGCTTGGCGCGTCCCGGTCCCTTCGCCGGCTCGGGCGGAATTAAGCCTGGGCCGATTGAGGCAGGGTTAGGGTCACGCATGCATCAACTTCGTCAAGTCCTTCCATCATGGCTCATGAAAATCCTCAAGATGTTGGCGAAAGTAAGAAAAGCGGGCGCGAAATACAGAAGAGCACTCAGCCCTACGAAGAGCATCCTTGTTGCCCCTTTTGACTTCTAACTCTCCAAGGCCTGTTTCCGTTTGGGCTGCAGTACGTTATGCATGAGACCGCTGACGCTTGCCATCTCACATCTCGATCAGCAGACCGGGTTCCTGACGAAAAGCCAAGGCCGGCGGCGCCTTCGCCAAACCATAGTTCCGGAGTACGCAACACCGACCCCGAGCTCGATCAGAATCCGAAGCACCACGCCACAGTGCAGATTGCAAATAACTCGGCTGACAAAGAAGGAGGACAACTGCGAGCAATGTCCCGATTACAAACTATTAATCACAAGCTGAGCAGCGGGAACACCCGAGATATTTTAGCACGAAAAGAGATAGGCGACAGTCTGTGAGAGAAGCTGACAACACCACCACAAACAGATTCGCTCGGCGCTAAATTGATGGAGAGGCGATGAGGCGGCGATATCTGAAGGCCGGTGGTACCGTTTCCGCGAGCACCAATGGCGCGGTTCGGACTTCCTGGGCATGGCACAAGGGTGGCTCGATCGCACTGTCGGCCTGGTCACTGCATCGACTGACCTGGACCAGATTCTGCCACCATTTCCACGCTTCCCGAGCGTCTCTCAGGCCATTTCCATAAACTACTTTCATCATCCCCGCCTGGCAATGCCCCGGCCTCAAGTTGCCTATCTCCTTGGCTGGGCCATCTCAACTCTTCAGTTGTTTCCGGCCCTCTGCCTCTATTGAGAATTGTCGGGCTCACCAGATGCCTCCCGCAAAGTCTGTCAGGATGTGCGGGAACATCCAGATGTCGGGTTGATTCCCAAACCACCTGTGTGCGGGCTGGGCGTTGCGTTGCTGCATTTGTCAGGCCCCGAGCTGACAGCCAGGCGGATGACCCAACCCACTCAACTTACCGCTGCGCTGTTGGCCCTGGTCGGGCCCCGAAATGGGGCGTTAGGTGAGCGTCTGCCCATACAAGCACAGATTGGTATAAAGAATCGCCCTGTTCGGCGTTCCAGGCCTATCCGGTTTCTTCTTGAATCTATTTCCATCTTTTACCCGTAATTTTGTCGTTGCCCGACTCGGCCGGTTGACCTGCTTATCCCCGAACATCCCCGGACATCCCCCACCACCTTTACACCCGTCTACACACACACAAGCAGGCATACAAGCACACACATATTAAGTACTACAGCAAGTTCGTGGGCCGATATCATTTCCAGCAAGAGTCATTACCGGAGGACCAAACTCAGATATTACTCTCTGTTCTATGAGGGCTACAACAAGACTACTGCCCCCATAACAACTCCCGAGCATCGCGACATCGATACCGCAGCCCTACGAAGCTCAGATTCCGTTCACTCTTCCTCCTGAGTTGCAGATGTTTATGAAGGGTCATCCGCCAGAAATGTTTTGGCCGTTTCTCACCCAGGGAACTCAGCAGCAATCTGCTCCTCCCTCCCGCTCCACGCTCCCCCAAGAGAACGACATCCGACCACCAACCCAACCACCACAGCCACCATCAACCTCACAGCAACCTCCGATTCCGCCAAACCATCCACAACCCACCTTGTTATCATCCGAGCCTACGACCCTCCATAATACTACCAACACCACCACCACCGACCCGTTCGCAGCAGCAGCAATGCCGTCCGCAACAGCCCCAACACCCACGGCACCCGCCCCCGGCGTGGCAGTCTATGATGATCCCCGCTACGTGGCCATGGCGTCTCGCCTCGCGGCCTACTACCAGCAGCGGTGCCAGGCCGTGGCCCGCTTCCAGCAGGAGCGATGCCGGGCCTGGGCGAGCGCCCAGCGCCAAAAGTGCCAGGAGATGATGCAGGCCGCCACCGTCATCGTCGCGTGGTACATCCGGGATAAAATTGCGAGGCGGAGGCGGAAGAGGAAGAGGGCTTTCAAGCGGGGGTTGGCGGCTAGGGGTGTTTGTTGTGGTGGTGGTGGTGGTGTTGCTGTTGGTCCGTCGAGGTATGGGGGTGGTGGTGGGGGGAGGATTACCAAGGGCGAGGCGGTAAGGAGGTGGGTTATGGATGTGCCGATTCCTCGTCGTCGTGGTGGTGGTGGCTGCGGTGCTGCTTCAAGGGATGGGGATAGTGTTGCTGCTGGGTCGTTGCCGAGTACGGCGGGCAGGGAGATGCCTGTGGACAAGGACGAGGTGGATTTTGATATGGATCGGGAGAAGACGCCGGATAAGGATACGCAACTGTATGATGTGGCTGATAACATCATCAAGAGCCACTTGGCGAGGGTTGATGTGCCGCTATTAGGGGCGCTGTCGTTTGATGAGAGCGAGAGCGAGAGTGACAGTGAGGACGAGGTTCTCATGGATTATGAAGAAGATGAAGGAGAGGTCGGAGAAGAATATGAAGAGGAAGGCGAGGAGGGTGAGGAGGAGGAGGATGAGGAGGAGGATGAGGAGGAGGATGAGGAGGATGATGAGGAGTATGAAGGGGATGAAATGGACGACGAGGAACAAGAGCATGATGATTATGCCAGGGGTCGCGGAAGTGGTGGTGAGAAGGAGGAGGAGTTGGCTTCCGCTTCCAAGGATGCGGAATTTAGCAGCACCATCAAGGAAAGCCGCAAGACCTGGTGGAGCTGTGTTTCATGATGGATAAGGTATTTGGGATGGTGCGCTTGGTTACGGCATTGTGAGATCTGGTTCTGGCCTTTAATTAGGCATAGTTATGCCACTCACTCGGTCTAGAGGTGTGAAACCAGCAGCAGCAAATTAATCTACCTCGTTTAGCTGTGTGTATTTTCCATCTCATCTGCGCCGCAACGAGGCTGGATTGGGCGAGTACTTGAGGTAATGTTGAAGACATGTCAGGGTTGGTCGACCAGCCTACACCGAACAATAACTGTCGAGGGACATTCGACCTAGTGTGAACTACGCAAGTTTTCGTACATTTGACTCCTGCTGGTAGCGTGATGATGTTTCGTTTGAATGACTGTTATAATGTGACCAAGTCGTAACCTGACAGATTCTAAGGAGGTTGCAGTGTCAAATCACCAGCGCTGGAGGTTCGTGACTCGGATGGTATCTTCCTATTTGACCTTCCTGAACAGTACAATCCGATCCTGGTTTGTTTGTTAGCGTGGAACATCGCGGCCCAGTTAGAAAGGGGAAAGGAAAAATAAAAGGAAAGAAATTTAGAGAAAGAATAGAAAGAGATATGGTTATAGAAGAAAGATAAAGCAATAGTTAAGGAATGAAAAGAAAAACACAATAAATAGTTAGTTATATAACGTATAAGTTAGTTATAACGTTATGGAAAGAAAATATAAACAACTAACGTTAACGTTAGTCATAACGTTATATTCTGTTTAAAAAGAAGAGTGGAAAAGAAGAGGAAGAAAAGACGGTGAATACACAAAAATCCTATTTTCTTCACAAGATCCGCGCCAACAAACAAACCAGGGTCTGATTGTATTCCAGCACGAGTCTGAGGCGCGAGAACCTTTCGAGAGTCTGTGAATGTTTTGTGTCCAACTCGACGTTACAACACTGTCGATCGTCTAACAAACAGGGCACTCAAGGGAGAGGCGAAGCCCAGAAGGGCACCTAGCCTGATCTGAGTGGCTCTTCGTTTCGTTGAGGATTGCGGGGAAGCCGGACAGCCCCTCTCGCAACTGCTTGTTCCGGGTTTCACACCCCTGTCATCCGGCGGACCTGGAAAGGCAGTCGCAGCTGGAGCTTCATTGATCACCAGGTCCAGCTGCATCCGTCGACCAACCACCTGCTCTCTTGTGCCACGCATCCCTCCATCTGCCCTGTCTCACACCCTGTTGGCAGCCGGATCACTGTTGACCTCAGAAGACACTTCCGAGTGTGTTCTTAAAGATCAATCCAAGAGCATCTTGCCCGCTCGCTCTATAGCCTGGCCCGAACATTGGGCGGTTCCACCAAGCGACTTACACGCGTCCTTCTCTGCTTCATTTGGCTTCTATGCCCCCCGCTGTTCTTGTCAATACCAAGTGTCCCTTCTTAGGTTGACCAGCCTGCCTTGACATCAACATCATGGGTGGTGAAACTCGAGCCCAGAAGGGCCCCAGGAGCGACTATCCTCTCCAGGCGCCCAGGCCGGTCGGGCAGATGATTACCAACATCTACAGGGACCGCATCAACCAGCTCACCGCCGGTGGTCAGTATGACCGCCACAATCTCAATGCCCTGATGAACGAGGCGGTGGTCTCGGGGGAGCCCCATGTGCAACTCTCCGTCTGGCATGCCCCGGGCCAAACCAGGCCTAGCTTCAAAGAGGCCACTTCACACGAGTTCAACAGGACGAACGTAGGCGAGTGGTTCGGCCCGTCTTGGACTACCCACTGGTTCAAGGTTGTCCTGAATGTCCCCTCCGACCTGCGTGACAAGAGGCTCCTCGAACTCCACTGGGACGCCAACAATGAAGGGCTGATTTGGAATGAGCATGGCCACCCGCTTCAGGGCCTCACAGGCGGCAACGAGCGCGTGGAATGGATCCTGCCGGACTCGTTTCGCGACGGAGAGGAGCACGTCATCTACATCGAGATGGCCTGCAACGGTATGTTTGGCAACGCGCCAGGTGGGGACTCTATCCAACCGCCAGATCCCAACAGATACTTCCGCCTCGACCGGGCCGAGATTGTGGCCGTCGACCCTGACGCCCGCCAGCTCCATATCGACTACTGGATCATTGGAGATGCCGCAAGAGAGTTTCCTCAGGACTCCTGGGAGCAGCACAAGGCGCTCAAGACCTGCAACGAGATCCTCGAGGCCTTTGACGTTAACAAGCGGGAGTCGCTGAAGGTCTGCCGCAAGATTGCCGAGAGCTACCTTGGCTCCCATATCAACTCGTCCAAAGTGTACGACAGTGGCAAAGAACCCGTCGTATTTGGCATTGGACACTGCCATATCGACAGCTGCTGGTTGTGGCCTTTTGCCGAGACCAAGCGGAAGGTGGCCCGATCGTGGTCCAATCAGTGCGATCTTATGGACCGGTATCCCGAATTGCACTTCGCTTGTTCACAGGCACAGCAGTACAAGTGGCTGAAGGAGCTGTACCCGTCTGTCTTTCACCGGGTCAAGAAGAAGGTGGCTGAAGGCCGGTTTCACCCGATCGGAGGCAGCTGGGTCGAGCACGATACGAACATGCCCAGCGGAGAGTCGCTGGTTCGCCAGTTCTTGTACGGCCAACGCTTCTATGAGAGCAACTTTGGGAGCCGCTGCCAGACCTTCTGGCTGCCCGACACCTTCGGGTACTCGAGCCAACTGCCCCAGCTCTGCCGCTTGGCTGGCATGTCGCGCTTCCTTACGCAAAAGCTCAGCTGGAACAACATCAACCGCTTTCCCCATACGACATTCAACTGGGTGGCTTTGGATGGCACGCAGGTCATCTGCCACATGCCTCCCTCGGAAACCTACACTGCTGAGGCCCACTTTGGCGACGTCAAGCGCAGCATGTCCCAGCACAAGTCCCTGGACCAAGATGCTACATCGCTACTTGTCTTTGGCAAGGGTGATGGAGGTGGTGGTCCTACCTGGCAGCATCTGGAGAAGCTTCGCCGGTGCCGTGGTGTCAGCGACACGGTCGGAATGCTGCCTCGTGTACACCTTGGCAATTCGGTCGACGACTTTTTCGATAAGCTTGAGCGTAAGGCCGACTCCTTTGTGACATGGTATGGCGAGCTGTATTTTGAGCTGCACCGCGGGACCTACACGACCCAGTCGAACAACAAGCGCAACAACCGCAAATCTGAAATCGTGCTTCGGGACTTGGAGCTGCTGGCAACGGTCGCGTCCATCAGGGATGCGTCGTACAAATATCCGAAGAAGGAGTTTGATACCATGTGGGAGATGGTACTACTCTGCCAGTTCCATGACTGTCTCCCGGGCAGTTCGATTGAGATGGCTGTGCACGAGTCGATGGAAGTGAGTTGAGGCAACTCATTTGTAGGCCGACCACACGCTGACCATGTGTAGATGTATGCCCAAGTCTTCAAGATTGCCGAGAGCATCTTTAAAGATGTGTCTGTTGTCCTTGGCGTCTCTCGAGTTCAGACCACCACAGTCGTGGACGGCATCGCCTTGAACACCCTGCCGTGGCACCGCAAGGAGGTGATTGACATAGACGAGAACGAGGCTGCTGTTGCGTGCGGCAACGGCCTGCTGCTGAAGCTGCGGACTCTCAAAACGAGCCAAGATGACGGCCTTGTTTCCGCAAAGCAAGCCTCCAAGGGAGTCTTTGTCCTTGAGAATAGTCAACTCAGGGTCCGGGTGGAAGGCGGTGTCATCACATCGCTCTACGACAGGCAAGCCGAGCGCGAGATCATCCCCAAGGGTCAGAAAGCCAACCAATACGTCCTCTTTGACGACAAGCCCCTGTACTGGCAGGCCTGGGACGTCGAGGTCTACCACCTCGACACGCGCAAACCCCTCCATTCCGGCGAGACTAAGATCCACGAAATCAAGAGGCATCGCGTCAGCCTCATCACCCACACCAAGATCAGCGACAAGTCATCCATCAATACAATTATCACTCTCGGCGCCGCCGTGGAAGGCCAACAATCCTACGTCGAGGTCGCCAGCACTGTCGAGTGGCACGAGACGATGAAGTTCCTCAAGGTCGAGTTTCCCGTCGACATCCGCAACACGGAAGCAAACTACGAAACCCAGTTCGGCATTGTCCGGCGCCCGACCCACTACAACACCTCGTGGGACATGGCCAAGTTCGAGGTCTGCTCCCACCGCTTCGCGGACCTCTCGGAGCACGGCTACGGCGTCTCCATCCTCAACGACTCCAAGTACGGCTTCGCCACGGCGGGCAACGTCATGCGCCTCTCGCTGCTGCGCAGCCCCAAGGCGCCCGACGCCCACGCTGACATGGGCACCCACCACATCCGCTGGGGCATCCTCCCGCACCAGGGGGCCCTGTCACACGTCACGGTCCGCAAGGCATTCGAGTTCAATAACCCGCTCAAGTTCCTCTCTGCCACCGCCAGGTCGTCATCGACGACTAGTCTGCTTGAACTCGCGAGACCGCCGGTGTATTTGACGGAGGATTCGAGCCCGGCTCTGATTCTGGATACGGTCAAGCGTGGCGAGGACGATGAGGACGTCTCGAGGGGCGAGTTGCCCGCCAAGGAGGGGCGGAGCGTCATCTTGAGGATCTATGATAGCCTCGGCGGCAGGGCGAGGGGTACGGTTGCGACGTCATGGGATGTGTCACGCGTGTGCAAAGTCAATCTGCTCGAGGATGAGCTGGAGGAGGTGGTGTTTACAGAGGGTAAGTTTGCGGTGGATTTGAGGGCGTTTGAGGTTGCTACGTTCAAGTTGCAGCTGGCGTAGGGCGGCATTTTTCCGTGACTATGTTGGTTTATGCGGGTGAGGAGACCGGGTTGTCCGTCATGTTATGTTCCTTGATGTATGCGCATGGGGCAGTTGGTCAAGAGATCATGGTGAGTTAGGCAGGCGGGTAGTTGGCAGGTATTGAGCGCGGGCATTATCCATGATTTGAGCACAAATTTATGAGTCCAGCTGAATATCATGCTCATCTTGGGGCATGAGGTGCTGGACTCTGTATGTCCATCCCTGATAATGTAAACAAATACAGGTTGCATCAAGCCAATCCCCAACCAGACACAAATGACGTTGTGCGATATATACAGCCAGGCCCGCACAAATACAGATAGAAGAACTACCTCCCCTTCGCAGCCTTCCTCTTCCTCGCCTCCTTTTCCCGCGCGTACTCGTTCGCCGCGCGCCCTTCTTCCCCCTGGATCTCGGCCACGAGGCGCTTGTACTTCTTCTCGTACGCCGCGTCGCGCTCCTTCTTAATGCGCAGATTCTCGCGCTGCATGAAGGCGGCATCCTTGCGCAGCTCGCGGAGCGCCCCCTTGCGCTCGCGCTTGTGCTCGGCCTTGAGCTTGGCCAGCTCGGCGCGCTCCCGGTCCGGATCGTAGTGCTTGTCCGGGTCGAACGAGTCCTCGAACTTGGGCACGTAGGTGCGAATGGCGAGCGGGCGGTGGTGGTGCAGCTCGAGCGGGCGACGGAAGAGGCGGGCTAGTTGGAGGAGGCGGGCGATGGTGGAGATGGTGCCGATTAGTTTGCTCGTGAGGGCGGCCGGGAGATGGGTCGAGTTTGGTTTGAAGGTGAGGTGTTGGAGGACGAGGAGCGCGGGGTGGAAGGTCTCGTGGAAAGCGGAGAGTTTGTGCCATGTCTCGGTGGCTGCTTTGAGAATTGCCGTGATGGTGCTGGCGATGGCGACTTTGAGGGAGACTCCGTCTTCAGGGGAAAGAGACTGCTTCTGCTGGCAATCGCTGCAATTCAGCTGTCGGATGGTAGTCTTATCGGCGCCTCTGATTCGAATCCCTGGTGCTGGCTCGTGGACTGGGAAAAAGCCTAGCTTTTCTTGGGGCTTCTCGGGCGCCAGAGAGCATAGTGTGTTGAGGCAGAAGTTCATCAACTCCGGGACATAGCGCTTCGAGAACTGCTGGTACTGGAGAGCGAGAATCGAGAGATAAGTCCCGGTGGCGTAATCGCAGAGTCCCTGTGGTATCTTTTGCCCGAGATAACGCGCAATGGCAAGCATTGCAGGAGTGACAACCTGATGAAAATGGTCGGACGTGGGAAAGGTTGCCCCGATTGCAGTCAAAATGACCAGATCCCCTACAGTCAGAGCTAGTGGCCGCTCTTGCTCCATCTCTTGGATGTGCGTTCGGTAAGCCTTGGCCACCTCGATTGGAAACGACTTCGCCAGCGAATGGACATGCCGACTGAGGCTCTCCAATGTGGGAAACCAATGCGGTTCGAACCTGTCGCCGAGGTATGCGATGTGTTGGACGAGAACCTGAGAGAATTTGGCGAGCCTCTCTTTGTTCTTGCTATCGAGCTTGGGGTGGTAGAGGGCCCTGATCCGTTGGACAGCTACCGGGGTCTTCGTCACGTCGATGCCTTCAAGAATCTTGAGCATATCGTCGTGAGACTGCGGACATGGGAAAGTATAAGGGATGCCATGCTCGTCGTCTCCCTTGGCGTTATCGTCTGTCTGGAAAACAGGGTCCTTGATGACGGCCTCGGTCAGTATTCCCTTCACGAACTCGTCATCGTCGGAGCCGAATTGTGATCCAGCCCCCTCCTCGTCGCTCTCTTCGCCCTCCATGTCGTCGCTTTCGAGCTCGAGGTCGGAGCCGCTGGCGACCAGGTCGTCATCGATTAGAAAATCGTCTTCATCATCGAATCCCAGCTCGGTGGCGGTTGGTCGGTATTTAACACCCTTGCCGAGACCGAATTCATCAACCTCCTCAGTTTGGAATGGATCATAGGCGTCTCCATCCGCAGCCCCCTTTCCTCCCTTGCTCTTGCCTTCCTCTTGCTCGTCCTCCTCTTCATCCTCCTCATCCATCTCTCCGCGCATTCGCTTCAGCCGCTTTTCTTCGAGCTCCTTGAGTCGTTTTGACTCTTCTTCCGCCTTTTCCTCCTCCGTCTTCGTCCTCTCAGCGGGCTGCGCGCGCTTATCCGCAGCGAGCTGCTTCACCCGAATGTCGTACTCCTTGTCAACTGCAGCTTTATCCTTGCCGGTAATGACCATGGCGGTTTCGGCGGGCTTCTCGTCCTTTGATGGAGGCTTCTGTCTCTGGAAGAGAAGTGCCTGGAGTTCGGGCATAGCCTGATCGAGTTCGGCCCTGAGTTCGTTGTCCTCTTCCTTGGCTGCTTGCCGTTCCTGCGAGTCATTAGCATGCTGGCTACTCTCACGAGAGTAATGGTAGGCGCACATATTTGTAAAGCTTAGACTTGGCAATCACTTCTTCGTATATCTCTTTCTTCGTCTTTTTCCGCTCAGGTTGTCCATTCTCCTCCTCCTGCTCCCCAGCGGCTCCTTCCAGTCGTTGGCGCTTCAACCTCCTTCTCTCGGCGCGCGAGCTGTCGGATTCATCGCCAGAGGGCAGCTCCTCCCCGTCGAAGTCGTCCTTCACGGGCGCCTCGTCCTCGTCGCCGTCGAACAGAGGTCTGCCCATGTGAGTCAATCCTCCCATTGGCTCATCGTCTTCAAGATCGAACATGGAGCTCTTCTTGTGGGCTCGCTGCTGCTCCCGCGTGTATCTCTCAATCATCTTGTCCTCGAGCGACAAATTCGCATCGTCTTCGCCGAAACGTCTGTCGATGAGGCCGCCGACCTTGTTGCGCCGTTGCATCTCAACAAGAAGGGTTTGCCGCCGCTGGTTATGGGTTGTTAGCGGACTCAGAGAATCGCGACCATGTCCACGCAAGACCCAAACCTACCCTCTCTTCTCCCATGGCCTTGGCCAGCCCGGGGCGCCCCTTGATAGCCATGGCTGCCCTGTCGTTGGTCGGCTTGTTGGTGGTAACTTCAAACTTGGGCCCTCGGGCGTTTGTTTTGAACTGGAAGGGGTTGAATTGCTCTCTGATGCTGGCTAAGGCCTCGCCTCGCTGCAGGCGCTTGTCGGGTCGTGCCTTTTGCTCCTCGGCATTTTGCCGCTTCTGCTTCTTGGACTTTTGAGGCCCAATGATACCCTGTTCCCTCAGCGAGGCTTTGAGCCTCTTGAGTTGAGATCCGGCCATTCTGGTGTTTTGACTTGATCCTTCCTGTCACTGGTACTTCGCCGAAGTGGCAGCTTTCTCGTGGTGCAAAGCGATCCTTTGCTCAGATAATTTTCAGACGGACATGCTCTGCAATCTTATCTGGAGGCCCCACCTGTCCTGTCGGGTCGCAGCTGAGGTGAATTACCCTACGATCCCGTCATTGTGGGGCATGCAACTGCATCAACCAGCTCCATCATCCATGAGCAGCAGACACCTTCATCGCCACCAGGCACATCCGCACCATGGGGTGGTTAATCAAGTTCCTCCGGGATGACCGGGTATTGTTTGGCTACTTGGCCATCAATGCAGTGGGCTGGCTTCTGGGCTTGCGCGTCCTGCTGAAGAAGTGGCGCGACGACGCCGAGATCAAACCAGTACAGCCTAAGACGCAGTACATCACCCAAGAGACCGAAGATGCCCTGAAGCTGAGCACCCTCGACACACTCCTTGGCCACTACAACCAGTCTATCCGAGAGACAGCGGCCAAGATTGTTTGCGACAGAGCCGTCAACGACAGGGAAACGGTCGACCTGCTGCTCTGGGGCATCACGCGCGGCGACTACGACGAGCGCATGAGGAACCTGAGGGCGCTCGCTACCATCACTGACCCGCGTGAGTCGGCTTGCACTTCTTAGCAGAGTACCAGACCGGACGACTGACTACCTGAAGAGAGCCTCGAGCGACTGCATAGATGGAAAGCATATGCTGCGCTGGTCAGGTGTCTCGAGTTGTGCCTCGACCCGGGACAGGAAGTGCTCGACGACGAAGATTGGGACGAGTATTCACTGCGCGACATGGCGGAGAAGCTGTGCCTGATGTTCATCAGCCAGCTGGTCAGCTGCTACGATGCCGAGAAACTCATCAAGGCCAAGTTTATCGACAAGTGGCTGGCCAAGCAGAACTGGGGGGTCTCCGAGCAGGATCGGCAACGGAATTTTGCACAGTACATGCGCTGCAGAAGTAATAGGATTACCGATATTGTCGCCTCGATTCGGGGCACGCACTCCGGGCGAGAAGCGTTGGAAAAGGCGGGGCTTTTGCCTGCATCTTCCTCCTCCTCGGACAGCGACCCAGAGGACAACCTCCCTTTTATTGAGCGATTCAGCGTCTTGCTTCCTGGCAACATCAACTTGAACAACTTGCGGGATGATGAGCAGGCGCGGCTCCTTCTCCGGTCTCTCCAACAGGGAGTGCAGACGGCCGAGGAACAGCGTGTCAGGCATCGGCATCGCGAGGCTATTGTTCTCAACGACGGTAGCCGCCCTGTGAACAGCGACGATATCATTCAACGCCCCGAATCTCCCTCATGAGCCCCTTTGGCTCTAGCGATCGAAGGATTGTTGATAGGGTTGTTTCTGCGAGGAGGTGAATATTTCCAAGCACAGTTCCCCTTATATTCTGTGCCTGCTTGCGGCGATGCCTTCCCACAGTTGCAAACGGCCTGTTACATCTTGCATCATGACTAGGGCTCTCACCCAGTACTGACCCGTATGTACTTGTTCATGCGGGCTTGTGCCGTGCCAGCGTGGCACCGTTGCGTGCATTGACAGGAACAAGCCTGCTTTCCTGCTCTCAGCTTAGTAGGTCTCATAGTCGACCGCTTGTTGACATCCGACATTGGATGAGCTCGAGTTGAGGGCTCTCAAGAAAGCAGTACCTCAGCAATGGCAATCGAGGTACAGAGCACCAAGGCCAAACTCGTCGACTTAGTTCTCAAATCAGCGTTTCCCCAGAATATCCCTCCGTCAGAATCTACAAGGTCGCAAGATCTCAATGTCACATAACAAGGGGGTTGTGACAGGAGGCATCTTCCGGAGAGGCACTGCAGAACATAGGTAGCATGTCGATAATTCGGCCACTGCTTTTATTCAGTTGCTCCCCCTTCTTATTATTCAGGTCGCGGGGAAGAAGCGTAGCAACGCCGATGAGCGACGGAGGGAAATTGGGAAAACGGCGCCGAAAGGAAGTTTACCCGGTTACTTGCAGACGGGAAGTCCTGGTCAGTTGGCATAAGTAATGTCGATGGCTGTTTAATAAGTATAGGTAAGGTTCAAGTTGGATAATGAAAGAAAATGCGGCGAAAACGGCCTTCGTCATCTCCCAAGGCCCATCTTGTTTGATTTCTACCGAGTACTTAGGCACACTCTATCCTGCTGTCGGGCGGCCCTATCCACTCGCTCGGTTATCGACTTCATCTTGGGACGGTTACCTTCTCATTTCCCAGTCATGATGTTCAACCCCTTTCATAACTGGTAACCTCTTTTTGTTGGGCCGAGGACACCCTATTACCCCGCCGATCTCATTGTCGCATCGCCCTGAGCTTTCTTCTTCCTGCTGCCAATACCGGCGCCGGCCTTGTCTATCATTCGACTCATCCGCAAAGAAAGCATCGATCATCTGAAACCGGGGAAAAGACCAGACCGATCCTTCGCTGTATTTCCAAAGAAAGCACGAGTTTCTCTCCCTTTTATTCGCCCCTGGTTGCATTTTTGACCATTTGGTGACAAAGGCATACTTCCGCCTCAAGAATAGAGCCCGTTCATTTTCCGTTTCCACGCCAATCAGTCACAGCAAAAAGCGAGCATCACTCTTGGGCTGCTTTGTGCTGTGTTTGGGCGGCCAAAAAGGGCGACCCTCCTTCGTCGGTCATTGTTGGCCCGCACCTGACCTCCAGACTATTGGAAGGTTCCAGGTTCCTGTTGTTTGCCCGTCCAGTGGCCCGTCCCGCTCGGTTCTAGCGGGACTCCCAGGCACTGGGTGCGCCCGGAGTGGGGTGTGTAAACAATAACAATAAAGAGCCATCGCCAGAGCGTTGGCCGCCACAAGTCGCTACCTTGGTTTAGCCAAGATGTCCTTAACAACAACAACCTCGACCTACAACACGACGACACGACACACCCTGTCAAGACGGCCCGGCCGCGGCGGCATAGCGACGGCGTCCACCCCGAACCTCAACCAGCTGTATACCGCGCAGTCGTCGCGTCTGGTTCCCCCGGCGCTTGCGCGCAAGGGGTCGGTCGCCGCTCTCACGCAGAACTCGCTGGCCGCCATCCCCGATGACTCGGCAGCCTACGCATACAACTCAGTCTTGGCCAGCGACACCATGCCCATGCCACACAGCCCGGGCCGCTTGGGCGGCAGCGACGAGATTGCCATCGGCGATACGGTCGAGGTGCCGGGCAGCATGACGGGAACAATTAAATTCATCGGCGCCGTCGCGGGCCGGAAAGGCACCTTTGCCGGTGTCGAGCTGCACCCTGACTATGCGCCCAGGGGAAAGAACAACGGTGATGTCGATGGGTAAGTTGATCCTCGGTGTCTGGCCGCTCGTTCACGCATCTGCGTCCTTGCGCCGAGAAGCTCGGCCATAGCGCTGACTGAATTCCTTCTTGACGCAGTGTTTATTACTTCACGACCGAGCAGCCAGGCGCCGGCATCTTTCTGCCTTTATCCAAGGCTGTCAAGCGCGAATCACCCTCAATGCCCGGGAACTCGTTTCCGATCACCCCAGCGAGCGGCGGATTAAAAGTTGCCAGCCAAAACTCGACCAACTTCACCCCGCCAACCCCCGGGCTGCCCAAGTTCAGCCAGTCTGTCGGTCCTGGCCGTCCCGGAAGTCCGCTGGGCAAAAAGATGCGCCCGTCTCTGCCGCGACCAGAGTCGCCCGTAAGGAGGCTCATGACGCCAGGCCCACGCCCAACCATCGCTACCCCAGCGCCGAAAGCAGGTGCGCCCAGGTTCGGCAGCCCGACGTCAGCAAACAAACTTGCACAGAGCGTGCGCGGGACCGCCGGTGATCATAGCAAGCGAATGCCAGGGCACGCACGGAAAGGGAGCGTCGGACCGCGCAGTGTATCAGTGCTTGGAACAACCTCAAACCCAAATTTTACCGACGACGACACGACGCCCGTCGGCGTGCAGAGGACCCAGACAAACGGTAGTATCGGGTCCGTCTCATCCTTTGCCATGAAAATACGGCCGGCATCAAGGGCCGCGTCACGGATTGGCAACCATGGGAATGACGAGGAGCTGGAGAGGCTCAGGGCCGAGCTGGAGGACCGGAATCGTCAACTCAAAGAACAGGCGACCACACTAGCCGAAATGGAGAGTAGCTTGACGGAGCTTCAGGGGCTGATCGAGAACTCGACAGGGCCGCCGGTTCAGCGGCGGAGCAGCATAGACGACAAAGATTCTGCGCAGCTTCGGGCGCTGCTCCGGGAAAAGAACGATAAGATCGCCATGCTCACGGCCGAATTCGACGCGCACCGAGCAGACTTTCGCAGTACCATTGACACACTAGAGATGGCGAGCTCGGAGACGGAGCGGGTGTACGAAAAGAGGATCGAAGAGCTGATGCAGGAGATACAAGAGCTTCAGGACAGGACTGCCGATGTTGACACCATCGCGGCGCAGCTGAAACAGCTCGAGGAGCTTGTGCAAGAGCTTGAGGAGGGTCTAGAAGACGCTCGGAGAGGAGAGGCCGAGGCACGCGGCGAGGTCGAGTTCCTGCGTGGGGAGGTGGAAAGGACACGCACCGAGCTTCGGCGAGAGCGGGAAAAGGCCTCGGCCATGAACGGCGCTAACGGCGCCGGCAACAACGGGTCCATGTCCAAGGAGCTGGAGCAAAAAGAGGACGAGATCAGGGGCCTCAAAGCCATCATCCACTCGCTCAGCAGAGACTCGGTGCCAAACGACAATTCGGACAGAAGTCCCACTCAACGTCCGTCATCGTTCCGGCCGCACCACGGCGAGTCGATCGAAGACCGCCTCACCCGCGAGAAGCTCGACCGCGAAGTCGCCGAGCTTCGGGCGCTGCTGGAAAGCAAGATGGCGCGCGAGGAGGAGCTGGAGCGCGAATTGGAGACGCTGCGCAGGGGAAGCGTCCTGACGGCCGTTGGGCCCGGCCACCGCGGGAGCGCCATGACCGTTGGCGGCGGCGGCAACCACAACAACCCAGACCGCAGCTCGATTCGCGACTCGAGGGGGACGGTCATCGCGCCACCTGCCTCTCTCGGCAACAGTGCGGAGTTGCAGCAGCAGCAGCAGCAGCTCAAGAGCCTCTCGTCGCCGCCGAAGCACAACCGCGGCGGCCGCACCGAGCTCGAGACGATGCCCGAGAGCGACGCGTACAGCACCGCGACCGAGAACAGCACGCTGTGGTGCGAGATTTGTGAGACGTCCGGGCATGACATCCTTACATGCACCAATGTCTTCCCCGATCAGAAGCAGCAGAAGGGAGTTTTGGGCGACAACGGCAATGGTACGAACGGCATCGAGAAGAGGGAGTACGATGATGATGCGGGTGTGGTGCCTAAGCCCGCCCCGCTGTCGCCTGTCAAGACCACCGCCGGCGGCGGCAAATCTATCAGCGACCCGGAACCTACGCCTACTCCGGCAACTGTCACCGCCGCCAGTGCGGGTGCTGGTGCGGTTGCAGGTGGGACGACAATGGCCAACCAGACGGACTCAGGTCCCGTCGCGGGCAAGGATAGCGGCGTGGTGGATGCGGGCAAGTGGTGTGCGCTGTGCGAGAGGGACGGGCATGATAGTGTGGATTGCCCTTTTGAGGACGCGTTTTAGGCTCCCCGGTCTTCTTTTGGTCATCGATAGGGAGGGAATGGGGTTTTTTTTTTTTATTGGAAGGGCGAGGCCAATGAAGGTATTGGGGATACGGGGGTTATATCCAGTACCTTGCTGCGTCCTTACCTAGGTGTTGTTGTGTCTAGTAGGGCTTTTGTAATTGAATTGTTTTGTTGGCATGTTCAATCTCATTGGTGTATGTAACGGCACTTGTGAATACCTCTTTGGGTGGTGCTCGACGTTGGGGGTTAGGAGGGATAGGGCGCATCGTATGTACACCTTACTTATGCCATGATACCTCTCTTTTAGGTATATTCCTTCAATCATCTTTCTCTATCGCGCGATCGTGACATATTGTTTCTTTTCTTCCACATGCATCGCGAAGCTGCTTCCGCTTGACATCCCATATTTAGCAGGTAATACACTGAAATCATCCCACGGCATGGACCCACTGCACGACTCCAATCCGTTGCGCAGGAACCTGCAACTCACCCTGGCGCAGCGGCTGACAACGCGCCAGCTCGACACTTCACCTTGAAAAACATGCTGACAAGCTGGAAGCAGTAGATACTCTTCCAGGAACACTTCTCCTTCATATACCCGCCAATCGTGAGACGCGGATAACCGAATCTTCACCAGCGGTGACGGACTGCTTCGATTTCAGTCGCAGACAGACTGGCGAGCCCTTGACGAGGAGTGGCCAGCCATTGCGAACAACACGCATGACGAACCTTTTCAACTAATTTCTCGAACTGCCCACCTTCCAGCAACCAGCCCACTATGGCGCAAGTCTTATTCGACCTCATATCCTCCTTCGGGAGCTGCCTGAACTGTTTCCCGAGCTCGCCGACGCTCAACATCAACAACCGCAGCTTCAAGATCTTGCGACTGCTTGGCGAGGTACATATACCCATCCCCAACTTCTGGAGTCTCCTTCCCATACTAACTTCTTTCCCTCCTCGTCACACAGGGCGGCTTCTCGTACGTCTACCTGGTTCAGGACACGTCGACATCGGAGCTCTTTGCGCTGAAAAAGATCCGCTGTCCGTTCGGCGCCGAGTCGGTCGCGCAGGCCATGAAGGAGGTCGAGGCGTACAAGCTGTTTGCGCACAGCCCGGGCGTCATCCACAGCGTCGATTACGCCATAGCCACTGAGCGCGGCGGTGGCGAGCAGAGCAAGACGGTCTATGTGCTCCTGCCGTACTACCGCCGCGGCAACCTGCAGGACATGATTAATGCGAATTTAGTCAACCATACCCGGTTTCCCGAGAAGAGGTTGATGTTGTTGTTTTTGGGGGTCTGTAGGGCGCTGAGGGATATGCATTTGTATCGCGGCCCCGGGGAGGCTGGGGTTGGTGACGGTACGCGCGGAGAAAGGATGGAGGTCGGGAGGGTGGTTGAGAATGGGAAGAATTCCAAGGGGCGGCAGGGTGGCGCCGACGAGGATGATGAGACGGAGCAGCAGCAGCCGTTGATGACGGAGGATGAGAGGCTTCCGGCTGCGGCGCCGGGGGCATTGAGGAGTTATGCCCATCGGGATATCAAGCCGGGTGCGTCCAGCTTCTCCTTTATTTCAATCTCCCCAAAACCGTACACTGACACAACGGATTGTTCCAGCCAACATCATGATATCGGACTCGGGCACGGAACCCATCATCATGGACCTCGGCTCCATCGCCGTCTCGCCCCTGCCCATCACCAGCCGCTCGCTGGCCATCGCCACACAGGACACGGCCGCCGAGCACAGCACCATGCCGTACCGCGCACCCGAGCTGTTCGACGTCAAGACGGGCACCGTCATCGACACCAAGGTTGACATCTGGTCGCTCGGCTGCACCTTATACGCCTGCCTCGTCGGCAAATCGCCGTTCGAGATGCGCAGTGACGAAACGGGCGGGTCGCTGAGCATCTGCGTGCTGTCGGGCGACTGGCGCTTTCCGGACGAGGGGCCTGGCGGGAAGCAAAAGGCCAAGGGGAAAGGGCCGGCGGCGTCTGCGTCGACAGCGGCCGACGACGAGGTTATCAGCGAGCCCATCCGTGAGGTGGTCAGGAGGTGCTTGAAGGTGGAGCCGAGTGAACGGCCGGATATTGACGAGCTGATCGAGATGGTCGAGCGCGTGGTGGATGAGCTGCCGGAAGACCGGCCGGCTTGAAGGGTCAATGGAACGATAGGAGTGTCTGTTCGCTGTGCTCTTTTGACTGGTTCGGGGCGGGTGTGATCTATGATGGCGTTAGGCGCCGGGAACAGGAGCGAGACCTTTGGGTTGGTGGACTTCCTTCCGTGTATTATGAATACCTCTTGAATATGTGGCTGGGAGCCTCAAATATCTTTGATCCTTGTGGGATCATCCAACACTCGAGAATCTTTCTATTCACGACCCGAAGACCATTCTATTGCCTTGCTTTCTGTCTCCTCTTTTCCACGTGTTCTGATGACCAGAGCTGATGCATTGCAGTGTACGTGAAGTCCGGCGCCCGTGTTGCCATTCTAAACATCCAGGTAAACCATGTCTAAGTCTAGGACGCCCACTCAAGGCAAGAAGAGCGCTAAATCTAACCGCGCATAGTCACCAGTTGCCACCTGCCAATTCTCCCACCCGTGTTTGCACACAGTCAGTTGGCCACGGTCTCGACAGCATCGGCAGCGGCAGCATCGGCAGCGGCAGCGGAGGCAGCGGAGGCAGCAGCGATGGCAGCGTCGGCCCTCGAGATGCACTCCTCAAGGACCTTCCAGAACAGTGAGATATCCAAGCTGCGCGGTATTCTGACGCCGTCCTCGCCGGGAGGGAGCAGGCGCGCAGTGATTTGACCGGTCCGGGCTCCGGCGCGGGCGTCTTCATAGGTGCCCTCAGTGACAACCGTCACCTCGTACCGCTCCCTCTGCGCCAGGCCGGGCTCTCCTGCCGGGTCGCAGTCACAGAAGGGGATCTCGTGCTGGTCGCCCACGCCAGCCAGGACCGCAGCAACCGCGAGCGGGTCATGCAGCGGCGGGCCCTCGGTGATACCAAAGACATCACTACCAGACCACCGTCAGCCTCGTCCTCATCTCCCTCAACGCGGAGATGAGCGACTCACCTATAAGTCTTTGCGAAGAACATCAACAACTCCACCAACATCACCCTCAACCTGGTCTTCCCCTCCCTCATCCCCGCCCCTTCCTCATTCCCATTCACAACAACCCCCTTTCCCACCTCCTCCCGCCCGTACAGCACTAAATCCCTCACATCCGCCGTCGTCAACACCAAGTGGCTCACATCAAGCGGAATCAGCGTCGTCTTGGCCGCCAACCCCGGGATCCCGCCCCTCCCATCATGAAAGATGGCCGCGGCCGCCTCCGGGTCGGCAATGACGTTGAACTCGGCAAACTGGGTCCAGTTACCCACGCGCGGCACCCCGTCCACCTCGCCCAGCACGGCGCCCGTGAAGCCGCCCCCCAGCGCCCCGCCCATCAGGCTCAGCCCCTTGACGTGGGCGACCAGATCCGGGTACTTGAGGAACAGCGCGGCGGCGTTGGTGAAGGCGCCCGTGGCGACGACCCAGGCCGTTCCCGGACCGCAGGCTTTCAGGGCGGCGTAGGCGGCGTCAATGGCCGGGACCGAGGTGATGGGCGGGACGGTGGGGGGAGGGAGGAGGTCGGTGCCGTCGAGGCCCGACTCGCCGTGGATGTCGGTCGGGGCGTGCATGGCCGGGCGGTAGAGGGCGCGCGAGGCGCCGACGTAGACGGGGATGGCTGAGGCTTTGCCTATGGCAGTGAGGATGGAGCAGGCGTTGCGGGTTGTTTTCCTGGGTGAGGGCGGTCAGTGAAAGGAGCTAATAGAAGTGGGGGAAAAGGCGATGCTACTCGAGAGAGGCATTGCCGAACACGGTTGAGACGCCTAGGATCCGGATTGCTGGATGGTAGGCTGCTAATAAGATGGCGAAGGTGTCCTAGTATAAAGTGAGTTAGTAATCTTACATATTGGATTTGCTCGCCGTGTCTGAATGGGGAATTCAAGACGTGACCTATCCGCGACTTCTGGCTCCGGCTCCGGCCGTCAAGCGATTGTGTGACACCCCGGAAGTTCGGTGTAGAAGCCGGATGTAGCCAGAGTCTTGCGAATTCATACCCAGAGATGAGAACGCTTACATCGTGGCCCGGGTCACAGTCCAGCCATATTGGGATCCGGTTGTCTTCCATGTTGATAAGTTGAGGCGATGAATGAGGTCTCGTCGTTGACGGGTTACTGGTTAGCGGCGACTGGCGACAACTGACAATGAGACAGAGATCGGTGAGAAGTTACGAATGAAAGAGTCGGTTAGCAAACGGGAGTGAGAAATGAGGGATGAGATATTCAAGATGAGATCGACTTGTCTTTTCGACAATAGAGGCGTGGTGGCCGTAGTCCGGGGCAGTGTTTCAGTCCGCAGCGGATCCACTGATGGTTGATCCCATGAGCATTGGAGCTGTTGCCAGATTGGGCAGCCAGAACAACAACCAACAAGTACCCCAGCGAGTTCTTCTGTTTCCTGACAGTCGTCATTTCCAGAGGCACTTGAAACAGTCCCTTGATGAGCCCAATCGTGAGTTATTGGCAGTCCAACGTTGAATGTCTGCTATGTTAATTGTTGCAGTGTTTAGGTGCTTGGTGCTCAAGCGGCTTGTATTCCAGGAAGACTAAGTTGTGCTTGGGAACGAGCTGTTTAATTATGGTATCAATTCCCAGGCTCGCCGAACGCAGAGTCCAGTCAGAGCCGTTGTACGACATCAACAAATACAGCTCATTCGCAAGCACAAACTTAGTCTTTGTCGAGAACAAGCCGCTTACCGAGTACCCAGATACCGTAACAATAACTGAGAACCTTACCATCCAACCAGCCTATATTTAGGCAGTCCATCACCCACCCCCTTTCTGCCTCTGTATCACCCTCATGACGTCCTCAAAGTTGTTCTTATCTCCCTTCTTCTTTTTCTTCTTGCCGCCCGTCTTCCGCTTTAACTTGCTGCCGCCGCCCTCTCCTCCATCGTCGTCGTCGTTGTCGCCCCAAGCAGACAACTTAATCTTCGTCTCTTCCAAGTCTGCCTCGTCTTCCAACCGGCTGGAGCCAAAGCCCATGTCCATGTCTTCCTCGTCTCGGTGCAACTCGCTGAGCTTCTTCTTGAGCATCTCTTCCCGCTCCGCAGCCTTCCGCTCCTCTTCCGACTTCTCCAGGGCGCTGGCAGCCTTGGCCTTTTTGAGCGCTGCCAGGAAGGCCGGGTCGTCAAGCGACGGGGCTTTGTACGTTGCTTCTGACGTGAGCGCCGTCTTGGAGTCCTTGAAGTAGTTTCTTGCTGCTGGAGCGCCGGGTTGTGGTGGCGGAGGCATCGCAGCTAATGCTTCCGCTTTGAATTCGTCTTTGGTCTCGCCTTCTTCGTCCGAAGACTCGTCGGATCCTGCTAGCTCGGCCAGGGGGTCGTAGTCTGAGCCGGCATCGTCGAAGATGCTGATTTCCTTGGCATCTTCCTCAGCCTGCTGTGCTTCCTGCTGTTTCCTGTACACCTCGGGTACCTCCATGCCAAGAACTTTGCTCGAAACCAGCATCTCCCTTTCCTTTTCTTGCTCCTCGGAAGCCTTGGGATCGAGTTTCCTGACTTTCCGCCTCTCATGACCATCCTCGTCGACGATAATCATGACCTCACGACCTTTGCTGTCTCTTTCTAGCCTCGTGCCAGGCGTCTTCTTCTCGCCGATCTTCTTGAACTTGGAGCCGAGACTCGACTCCTCTTTGGCCTTGGCTGCTGCTGCCCGTGCAGCTTTCAGTTCAGCCAGTATCTGATTCCGCGACCTTTTTTGGCCAGGGTTGAGCGTAGTGGTAGCAAATTGGCCCTTCTTTTGCACTTTCTCCTTCTCGATCGCCTTGACTTCAGTCGACGCTAGCTGCTCTAGGACAGCATCCGGGTCTTCCTCGTGTACTGGTTCTCGCGACTGCTCGTCCTCTGCTGTCCCATCCGGCTTTACATTTTCGCTCCAGACATTTTCTCCTCTTTTTATCCGCTCCAACAGCTTGAAGTCCAAACCCTTCACAAGATGTGTGCTTGAGAGGTCGCCGCCCGCTATCTCGTTTCGTAACCGGTCGTATGTCTCGCGGTCAATCTCCTCCTTCTTGAAAGACTCCTCCAAAGCCTTTAGTCTTTCCGCCCGCTCGTCCTCCTCCTCTTCTTGCCTTGTTTTGGCGCGGTCGACATAGCCCTCGGCGAATTTGCTGCCTCTGGGGACGGAGGACTTGATCTTCTTCTGCGTCTTTTCGAAAGTCTGGTTCCGTTCTGCGAGCTGCTTGGCGAAGTCCACACGCGCGCCGGTGACAGAGCGAGGGGTCATGGGAATGTTCGACTTGAGTCGGGACCCGAGTACGACGGGGGTACCTGACCCTGGGCGGGAAGTGGGAGGCGAAACGTCATTTTTGTCAGAACCCGATTTGGCAGAGTTCGCCAGCAGTAGCCTGCGGAATTGCTCGTTATTCATGATTGCGGCGGTAGATGTGAGAGGAGTGTCCAGCTCAGCCTCGGAGCGCAAGGCTGAAACAAATACGGTACGGTACGGCCAAGGACCGGCCACTGTAAGAAGCAGCGGGTCAGTGTCAGGTGATAGCGCGCACCTTAGTGACTCCACTTTAATGGTCGCGTTTCCAGGCACATGTCAGACACGGGACAACAGTGACCAGGTTGCCATCGAAAGGGCGTCAAATGCTCAGCTTGAAATCCGATTTCATTTGGCTCGAAATATGGAATACTCACCGTCTCAAATCCAGCCTATTACGAAACTTTTCCCCATCTGCCTTCTATCATGACATGAACGCGTACAATACATATCGATCGCACTCAACACGTCGCCGATGATGTCATGCTCGATTACCTGTCCGGTTTTCAGCCTTGTCCGCCAAAATCCACCATGGGCAGCCGTCTGGAAAAGAACTCGGCCGCGGTGCAGAAGCGCATAGCGAGCCATGAGTTCAACAGCGAGGACGGCGAGGAGTACGAACCAAGCGAGTTTGGAGGCTTCAGCGACTACTTCCGGAGGAAGAAGCTCAAGCTGCAGAACCTCGACGCCGAATTGCGCGCCGCCGCCGGAGACAAGCCCCAGATATTCAAGGGCATCGTAGCCCATGTCACGGGCTACACTCAGCCACCACTGCACGTTCTGCACAAGGAACTCGTCCAACATGGAGCTGGTTTCCTGCAGTACCTGGATTCCAAGACCATGGCAACCCACATCATCGCCTCGGCCATGCCGCCCAAGAAGACGATCGACTTCACCAAATACCGCATCGTCAAGCCTGCATGGGTTATTGATTCCATCAAGGCTGGGAAACTCTTGCCCTGGACTGACTACCGTGTCATTGACGACGGTCCAAGGCAAAAGACTATCAAGCTGGACGGCGGCAAGATGTTCAACCAGGCAACCCAGCAATCCCCCGTTGGATACCGTGAACAGACCCAGAATAGCTTCTATACCAGCCAGTTCCAGAAACCGACCGGTCGTCCAGAATCCCACACTTCTAGCAGCCCGTTCCAGCCTCCGTCTGCGAGAAAACCTCCCCCCGCTGCGCTCGAGACGATCGATGACTTTGACGACATGGACGTGGACATGCTTCTTGAGGATCCAGTGGTCGTAGAACAACAGACCCACGATACCGTCTTGACGAATCAGCCGCCAGATACCGGTGACAGTCGCAGGGAAGAGGAGACCGAGGTCTTTGAATCCAGCCACAGCTCCAAGGCCCCCGAGAAGCCGCCTGCCGAGAAACCCATGACTTCCGAGGAGCACAATGCCATGCTTCTCCAGGACCCCAAAATCCGGAAGTCGTCCACTGCAAATCCCGACTTTTTGAAGCAGTATTACTCCGAAAGTCGTCTGCACCATCTGTCGACATGGAAGGCCCAACTGAAGTCGCGCCTGATGAGCTTGACCGCCGACAAAGGCTTGGCAGTGAAAGCCGCCAAGCGTAAGAGCGGCGCACGCCGATACATCATGCATGTCGACTTCGACAGCTTCTTTTGCGCCGTTTCACTGAAGCACCATGCCCCTGAATATCGCGACAAGCCAGCCGTTGTCGCACACAGCACCGGCAGTGGTTCAGAGATTGCGTCTTGCAACTACCCTGCCAGGAAATTCGGCGTCAAAAACGGCATGTGGATGAAACGCGCCCAGGAGCTCTGCCCAGACCTCAAGGTAGTGCCATACAACTTCCCAGCCTATGAGGAAGCGAGCAGGCTGTTTTACGACGCCATTATGGATGTCGGAGGCATTGTTCAAAGTGTGAGCATCGACGAGGCGCTGGTCGACATCACCGATATCGTGCTCTCCGCTGCTGGATCCAAGGGCGTTGGGGTCAGTGAAGGCAGCATCTGGAGGGAGCAAGAGAAAGCCGACGAGATTGTCTCGAACTTACGGGCCGAAATCAAGAAGAAGACAGACTGCCATGCGTCAGTTGGTATCGGAGGCAACATCCTGCTCGCTAAGATTGCTTTGCGGAAGGCGAAACCCGCTGGCCAGTATCAAATACGACCGGAGCAGGTTTTGGATATTCTCAGCGATCTCAAGGTCGAGGATCTCCCCGGTGTGGCTTACAGCATCGGCGGGAAACTCGAAGAGATTGGAGTCAAGTTTGTGAGGGACCTACGTCAGACATCCAAGGAGCGCTTAGTTTCCGTTCTGGGTCCCAAGACGGGCGAGAAACTGTGGGAATTTGCTCGGGGCATTGACCGCACCGAGGTTGGCGAGCAGCCAATCCGCAAGTCAGTCTCGGCCGATGTGAACTGGGGCATCCGGTTTGTGAACCAAGAGGAAGCTGAAGAGTTCGTCTGCAACCTATGCAAGGAGTTGGAGCGGCGCCTACTGAATGAAGGTGTTAAGGGGAAGAATTTGACCATGAAAATTATGAGACGTGCGCTGGACGCCCCTCTGGATCCTGCCAAACACCTGGGCCATGGCAAATGTGATACGTTCACCAAGAGCATCGGTTTTAGGGTTGCCACCAACGATGGCGAGGTTATTGGCAAGGAAGCAGTCGCCATTTTGCGTTTCTACAAGTTCAGCCCAGGAGACCTCAGGGGTCTGGGAGTCCAGATGACCAAGCTAGAGCCCATCAAGCCATCCGCTGCTCCTGAGGGGAGCCAAAAGAAGCTCACCTTTGCCGCTATGGCTCCGCCAGCGAAGCGGCCAAAGACAGAGCAGGTTGATGACGACTCCGGGCCAGGAAAGCCCAGCCGCCCCTCTGCGCAGGAGGTCACGGAAGATCCTATCTCAGTCGACCCGCTGACGCCCAGAAAGCCCAAAGTTCACCCAGCGCTGGCCCTCGCCAGGGCGAACGCAGCTGATGAGAAGGCCAGTTCGCCTCTCAATATCGCTGGCACCCAGTTCATCATCCCGTCCAACGTCGACCCTACCGTGCTCGCGGAACTACCCCAGGATATCCGCAGCCGGCTCATGAACCAAGCCAAGAGATCAGCCGTTCCCTCGCGCGACACATCACCTCCCGTCAAGTCACGCTCCCATAGTCCTGCCTTGACAGACGACATCCCCTCCGACGTCGACCCGGACGTCTTCAAAGCCTTGCCCGAAGAGATGAAAGCCGAGGTGCTCGCCTCCTACGGCCGCAGGAAGCGCCAAGGCGGCGGACAGACGGTCCTTCCCCAATCCCCACGCAAAGACAAGGTGATCCACCGCCCCAAGGAGAAGCATACCCCGACCAAACGCGGCGGCGGTATCAAAACCCTCCTCAGCCGCGCCCGCGGCAGAGAGCGCCAGCAGGACGCCGAGGCGGGTCTGATGCAGACCAACCTAGCCCCCCTCACCCGCCCTCGCGGTCACAAGGAAGCGTCACCGGACGCCGACCAGATAGCCGACCTCGACCCGGCCGTCCTGGCGGAGCTCCCCGAAGATGTCCGGCGCGAGGTCGTAGAGGACCACGCGCGTCGCCGCCGCCAGCAGCAGCAGCAGCGGTCCGGCCTGGCTTACCATGCCCCTGCTGCTGCGGCTGCCGCCCGCCGGGCCCGCCAGGAAGAAGGCCAGGTTGGCGGCGGGCAAACGCGGCTCAAGTTCCCTAACAAACCGCCCAAGGTGATGTTCACCCAGTCCGGACTGACGTCGCTCAAGGATGTCAAGGATATGTTGGAGGTGTGGCACAATGCGACGAGGGCGGAGGGGCCGCACCGGGCGGATGTCGAGGTTTTTGAGCGGTATGTTGCGCGGGTGGTGAAGGAGGAGAAGGATATGGAGAAGGCGAGGGTGTTAGTTAAGTGGCTTGGGTGGCTTGTTGAGGAGCAGGGCGAGGAGGGGGGGTTGGGGAAGAGGTCGTGGAGGGAGGCGGTGGAGAAGGTGGAGGCGGCTGTTCAGGCGGCGATGAAGGAACGAGGGTTTGGGAGGTTGGATTCTGGGTGAGAACCTACATGTGTGTGGGCCCGGGTTGAGAGGGTCACTGTATGGGATGTGTAGGAATAGGAACAAGCCGAAATAGGCACTTGTTGAAAATGAATACAAGAGGGCATTCGAAAGGGTATCTCGGCTGGAATTTGGCCATCTATGAACAATATCGAGAAATGCTTCCCGTTCTCCAACGAGGCCCCCGAAGGGGTCATTATATCACCACGAGAGATATCGCGCCGACGGTGACCAGCGCAGCAGCCCACGCGACGCGGGTACTAGCAGCACTGGCCATGTAGACCTGGACCTGGTCAGCAGGACGTTTCCTTGGAGAATGAAACAAGGGGCTCACCGTCAGCTTCAGGTTTCCACCGCAGGCCTGCGTCGTGTTACCCTCGCACGGGAGGTCGCACGCGCCGTCGGGTAACTTTTCCGACAGGCTGGAGAGAGTCTGGGCGCACCAGCATTCTCTGTTGGCAGTTAGTTAGTTCCAAGCTTTGGTTTGTTCGTTATTTCGTGTCATTCTTCCTTTCCTTCCATCACCCGATCTACCGTCACCACCATGGCTGACATGAATTCGATACCCCGTCTAACCTTCCCAGCCCAACGACCATCGCTCTCCCCCAGCCTTTCCGTCCTGCTCATTTTTTTGGCCTCCAAGAGAGACAGATAGAAAGAAGAAGAAGAATGAAGAAGAAGGCAAAAACGTACCGCGCATACTCCAGCCCAGCAAACTTGAAGCTCGCCGTCTTGCCGCCGCTCGCGTCCCCCGCGCCCGTCCGGCAAAACGCCCAGCACGTCTCGACCGTCATGTTGCCGGCCGCGACCAGGTTGGTCCCACCGCTGAGGGCGCGGGCGCCCGTCGTGTTGGGCAGGTCGGTTGTCTCGTTGTAGCAGCCGTCTGGATACCGTAGGGGGTTGGTTACCTACACGTTAGCTGGTGGGAATCGAATTGGGTAGTTATACTGAAAGGGGAGATAGGGAGTAATAGGAGGGATAGATTGTTCTCCTTGATGTACTCGTGCTGTGGTGTGGTTAGAGGGGAAAAGAATGGGTTGACAGTACAGTAGGTGTACCCTGATGAGGGCTTGTTGTAGATTTCGAGCTGCGTGGAGGTCTGGCCTGAGGCTGTAGACTGGGCTGCTGCGAGAGGCAGCAAAAGGAGAGCTACGGGGTGCATTGTGAAGATATCAAGAGAAGGTTTGAAGGAGTGAATGAATGTAAGGAAAAGGACGTCATATATGAAAAACGCGACTCGTCACGAGGCGGTTGAAAAGGTTTAGTCAAGGAATGGCGATGGTGAGATGAAGGTCAGGATGAAAATGAGATGATAACAGATGAAGCTGCCTGACCTTGGTCAGATCTGGACCAGTCTGAACTGACCAGCATAGGGCTGAAGATGGAAATTAGCCCCACTCTAGCCATGGCAGCAATACCTTACCGACACTCCGGTTTGGGTTCCCTGATTGGACTTCTGTTCTTATCAGTCAATTCTCAATTGGGGAATTCTGCATGTCAGACGGTTAGCACCTGCAGAAATGTCTCAGAATCCAGCAGGAATAGATGTCCAAGTCAGCCTCATCGCTAACAACCAAACAATGTACTTGCTCACTTGATCGCCCGGATGAACATGGCGAGGTGCTTGGGGCCGCCAATGGCCGTCACGACCGCTATAGCATGGCGCACATCCTCTAAATGGCTTCTATGCAAGTAGGCACAGGTATACATACATCCACAATCGACCACAAGCTCCCCACCTAGACCTGCTTCGTCGACCCCCAACTCCCTACCAAGGCCATAGCCTCCTCTCCTCCCCCCGCCAGCCTCTCATCCCCGAGCACGTCGGCCAGACACCTCCACGGATCCCTGCCGCCGCCCCATCTGAGCAGACTCTCCTTCAACCTCTCCCCGTTCTCCCTCTTGAGCGCCCCGCCCCCGCTTCCCGACGCAAACACAACGTCCCACACGCGCTGCGCGAGCACCCGATCAAACAGGTAGCTATAATACGTGCTCCCGTAGCCGGACAAGTGCCCAAAGAACCCCTGCCACCTCGTCCCCGGCGGATCTGGCGGCCCGCTGCTGTACTTCCTTTGGATCCCGTGAAAGATTTCGGTCGAGTCAAACCCGGGCCTGCGCGCAAGCGGCGAGTGCAGCGCCTGGTCAAGCATGGCGAGGATGATCTGGTTCTCCGTGTCGGACGCCTCGAAGCGGCGGGCCTGGCGCAACTTTTGCACGACCATGCGATGTGGCAGTGGGTCGTTGGTCTCGTGGTGCCGCGCAAACTCAGCCAGCACCGCGGCGTCGGCCGCAAAGTACTCCATCAGCGTCGAAGGCAACTCCGCCAGGTCGGTAGCGCACCGTGTTCCCGAGACCGTCTGGAACGAGGTGCGGGCCAGGACGGAGTGTATGGCGTGGCCCATCTCGTGGAAGAGGGTCTCGAGCTGGAAGAAGCTTAGGAGAGCGGGCTGGTCGCCCTTTTTGGAGGGCTGCGGGAAGTCGCAGACGAGCGCAATCGTGGGCAGCTGCTTGATGGCCTTGCCGTGCCTCGAGAAGGCCATGCCGTCGTTGGCAGCCAGCTCGGGGTTCGCAAACACGGCCATCTCGGGATCATACCGGCTCTGTTCCCACACCTCGGCCATCTCGGCTTCGGAGATCTCGCGTGAGCACCGAACCGTGAAGTGTGCCGGATTCGGTGACTTATCCGGGCGGTAGAAGAGATCGCAGTACAAGACAGCGACGTGCCCGTCCGTGTCGGACATGACGTCCAATCGGCGCACGTCGGGGTGCCAGGTTTCGCCCAGCAAGGGCTGCTTGGGCACTAGCCGGATGCCATATAGCTTGGTGAAGAGCCTGGAGAGGCCCTGCATGACGACGCCTAAAGAAAAGTAAGGGGACAGTAGATCGCCCTGTCGTCCGCTTAACCTCAGCGTCCTGCGGAGTATGTCCGAGTAATAGTCCTTGTCCCAGGGTTCGAGCCGATTTGAGTTCGGGTAGGATTTTCGCTTCTCGAGTAATAGCTCCTCCATCTCTTGCACGGCCCTGGGTTTGTTGCTCGTGGCCAGAGCACGGAGAAATTGGTCGACGGCCTCGGGACTCCTCGCCATCATCCGATCGCGGAGGGCGAGGTGGCCGTAGCTCTCAAAGCCCGAAAGATTGGCCAGCTCAGCCCTCAGCTTCATCAGATACTCGAGCATCTCGACGGACCGGCGGGACGCGGTGCGAGAGGCGTAATATATGCGTTTCCGCACATCCGAGTCGTGGACAGTGCGCAACGCCAGCGCGGCCTGACCGCTTAACGTGTGGAGATAGACCCTGCCGTTCTGGGTCAAGTCCCGCGCCTGGACGGGGTCCATACCACGGAGCTCGCTGCTCGGAAAGGTGAGCGTGTGCTGGTCCGGCGCCATATCTTGCACGAAGGCCGATGCGACTGTGCTGATCTCCGACGAGAGCTCCACAAAGCGGTCGCGGTATTTCTGGGGCAGGTTGACGGCGGACTTGGTAAAGTCCAGCTTCAGCACGTCGGCCACTGCCTTCTCCTCCTCGGACCAGACGGCCGTGACGTCCGGGTTGGACATGGCAACCACCAGCTGGTCGTGCAGGCCCGTCATTGTGTTGAGCTCGTTCATGTACTGATACACCATGTCCCAGGCCTTGCTCGCCATGTATTGCGTCTGGCGGTCCGGGTGGGTGACGCGCACAAAATCAGCCATGTCGAGCACGCGGCAGAGGATGTCGCTGAGGCGGTCGAGGTCTCGGACAATGGCGCGGTACTCGGCAACAGACGAGGCGGCCAACACCTTGGCGACAATGGCGCGGGCTTTGCTGAGGCTCACATGCGCGAATGTAACGAAGCCCTTGGGCTCCTTCAGGAAGGAGTTTCGAAAGAGGCCGACACTGAAGCCTCCCGGGAGGCTAGAAAAGTCCCGCCAAACATGGGGATAATCGAAGACGGAGCGCAGGATGAAGTCATCTGCTCGTAGTGGTGGCGCATCGCTGGCGGGGACAATAGACGGGTCTCCGAGGGAGGACGACTTGTGGGACGTCGCGAACCGTCGCCGTTGGTGGGCTGGGGCGGCGCGCTGGAGCAAGCAGCTCGAGCAGACCCATCGTTGCCATTGCCTCGGCCGTGTTGCTGCTTTTAACATTGCGAGCCCCTATCTCGCGACGGGGCGCGAAGGCGCGGTGGGCTGGGGAGTTCGAGACGGCAACCGCGGGAGGATATCGGCTACCTCAGTGCTACTTCTGGTTTGAACATTGAGAACGAGCAATCTGTCCTCCCGGAGCGTCCACACGACGTTGGAAACTTGACCCCAGATATACCGCCGGTTCGAAGCGGGTTGGTGCTCAAGTCGTCCGGAAAGTCGGAAGTGGGAATCAATGGATTGATGGATGCCGCTTAACAAAAAACAAGCAGGACAGGGATTACCACACAGTACCGGTAGTGGATGCTGGTGGCGGTGGACCTCCAATGGTATGCCCGTTTTTAGTGCCTTAGTTTTGACGACCAGGGAATGGTTACATCGAAGTCGACTACAGACAATACCTGTTGTTGACACGCACAGGTAGAAGCAATCCTTAAAGAAGAAGGATTAGATACCGATGTTTTCTCCATGCTCGATTCTTTCGCGCGATATTGACTTGATGGCAGTCGAGATGGGACGTTCACGGCATTTCACACTCGACCCTGGGAGCTGTACACCTAGGGCGCCGTATCGCACTACTGTACGGATCCGTAACGAGTACCTTTAGTCGCACCCTCGTACGTCGTGCCTTGTACGTACCTTATCTTTTGAGGCTGACAATACGATAGTTACAACGCAAATACAATAATAACCCAAATTTTCCTCATAGCGTGGAACATGGTGGTATCTTATGGGATTTTCTTATACTTCAAGTCTACCTTTGGGACAGATATCCAGTAATATATATACTTCAAGTTCAGAGATAACTACCGTGGCTCTTAGCCGACTAGGGTTTGGCTCAGAATCCGGTACTTTGAGTCCCAGGCATTAAGATTCGAAGGGTGAAAGAATTCGACTGGAGAGAGGTTCACAACTATGTGAATTGGAGATTGAACGCTGTCAAATGTTCATAACTCAAGGGCCCTAGGCATGCATTAGATGCCACCCCAAGACTTGCCGTGAGCATGACAATCTCCTCATTCCCATATCGCGTCCTCGTACACAAAACCCCCATTTGGCTGGCACTTTCTGGGACTCTTGGCGGAAACAGCCGCATCACGGTCCACATCTCCATATTAACCATGGGACCCGGAATACTGTCAACAGTTGGAACTGAGCAAGGACCATGTCCTCACTCAAAACTGTTATCCACCCCCAGCACTCAGCGGGCTTTTCCCTTGAATGCGAGTCAACACGTGGGGTCAGTAATGGGGATTCCAGTTTGCACAACTTCAGCCAGTAACGAGTCCATCTCGACATATCGTCTCTCCAACAGTCCAGGCGCTATGACGTCCAAGGTTCGACCTGACATTGTGTCCGAGTTATTGATAGCAACGCACTGGGCTCGGCCTCGTAGATTCATCCCAGGTTTCACGAGACTCCCTGGCTTCACTCTGCTAGCAAGAAGCACCTTCTCATAGCTTTTGTGACTCTCATGACCAAGGTTCGGCAAGTGATCCGACGGACGTCCGATGGCACCGCCATCCGACGATCCCAAACATGCCTCCATGGCTTGCCTAGCGTACTGAGCAAGTTGAGCATGGTTGCATTCAAGGGGTGACACCCGAGTCGACCAGATGATCGGAAGGACAAACACAATGGTAGGCGTGGTTGCTCTGCCGGATAGAGAAAACACAACATCACCCATATCTGCTCCAGCTGATATATAAGCCTGTAGAGTCGCGAAGAGGTCGAGAATTCTGTCATGTGCGACCCTGTCCCCCATGCCACATTCCACCTTGAGGCTGAGCAGAAACATGGTAAAGGGTCTCAGCGGGCCCCCTTGGCCGTTGGGATCGGCGCCGGCTTGCAGGAGCCAACGAATGAGCATAGTGTGCACTGGTCCCAAGGTCGAAGCTTGGAAGAGGAGGACCTGGGGCAGATGCTTAACACCACCGGTTGGAGGCTGGACCAGGGAGCTGACGACTGCCAAAAAAGACTGAACCCCGCCGTGTTTGTTTCAACTCGTCAACAAAGTCGTGAATAATCCAAACAGCGTGACTCCACACAGAACGTCTTCCACATGTCACAATGAAGGTGGTCATCGCGGAAAACGCAAAAAAACGGTCCCTCGGGTCCTCGGAGGAACTCGAAGCGTTTGGGGCGCCGATTAGCCGAGACTTGAGCACTCCAAATGGTAATGCATGTTCATGAAGCGGCCAAGAGGAGGCATCGAGTGTTAGCCCGGCTGCGCAACCGTCCTATGGACATAACGCAGCATGTACTGCATCAGGCCACTATTCTGAAAGACACCACAAGCAAAAATGGATGGCGCTGGAACCGGCCATTGTCAGCAGAGAAGTGAGCAAGCCTTGGGAGGTGCCGAATCGCTGCCGAGCTCACAAAGCCGTAGAGGACCCTGCAGAGTGTTGCTTCGGTATCTCCGGCCAAGATCTGCTGGCCCAACTGGTGGATGATGAATTCCGTTAGTGGCACATTTTCCAGCTGCCGCCTGAGAACAGTGCCATAAAGTGCGGCAAGAGCTTCTCTCTGTTCGCCTCAATCCAAAGAGTTGATGGCAGACATGACACGCCGTTGTAGGAAAGAATTGTGAGGGTAGTCGAAAAGAAAGAACAGCATTGTCATCGACCGAATTAATTTGGCGCTAATCGTGGTTTGGGAGGCTGTGTCGCTGTCGATAATTCCTCTCCCCCATTGTGTTTCCACCAAGACGTCTGCCGCGGTGCGATGGACGAAATCGACCTGAGTACCAGAGCAAGCATCGCACAAGGCTGCCAGCTCTCCACCAGATGGCGCGTCGACACCGGCTGAAATAAAGGCGCACAACGGCATGAGAAACTGGTAGAATACTTTGTCGATTTCTTCTGGGTCGTCGAGCCACTTGTAGGCATCCTCGTTGTTCTCCCTTACTTCCAGCAATCCTCCGCAGCAGACTTCGATCCGCCTCCGATACTCCGCCAGTTTCCGCAACAGCTCTCTCGCTGGTAAAACCCTATTGCCCTCAAAGAAGGTGTTTTGAATATCCTGGTCGTTTACCACGTACAAGTCGAACAAGGTAACTGCGGACAGCTTCTCAAACCCATTCACCGTCATGACCAGCCTGAAATACCTTGCAGCTTCGGCACGGTAGAGCGCCTCATCATCGCCATGTATTCGCCATGCTTGCTTGTACAAGTTGCCAAGATCGCAGGGAAGCATGTTTATTCTTTTTTCAGAAGCTCCTCGTAGCTGTCGATATGGACGCTCTCTCGACGAAGGCTTCTCAGGACCAGCCTGACCAAGAGGAAGACTCCTGCGCACGTTCGACGACTTTGTTGATGATTTCCTCTCTCATTCTCCGAAAGTCGTCTTTCATTTCCCATTTTGCTAATGCAGAACTGGAAGGTCTCGAGAAGATGGTTTTGCACGTATGCAGTCATGTCTCGCTCTGTGAGATCCTGGAGCCGAAGCTTTCAGAACCCGCGGAAGGCGTCCCGGAGCAACGTTTCCGGTCAGCTAGAAATGCATAGTTTGCATTGAGCCTTGGATTCCTGCCTCAGCTGCTGGCAAGAGTGATGAAAGTGAAGCTGTCCTGCTTCTGGTCAAATTCGTCCAATCCGTCGAGGAACAGGCATACGGACCGAGTGGGCAAGTCCCAGGCCAGAAACAAGGCCGTTTCCAACTCTTTGTTCGACCAGTCATGATAGGTGGCCCTGTCTGTCCACTCCGGGTATCGAGTGAGTAACTGCGGGCCAAGGCCTGGTTCTGCCTTCAGCAGCTGGTGCAAAAGAGAGCACAAGAGCCCGTCAATACTTCTCTGGTCCACGTTGCCCGCGCCCCAGAAGAAAGACGAGAGAATGATCGGATTAGGCACCCAGTTATTGAGAGCATCCAGGGTTCGCTTGTTGTCCGCCAGGAATTTCATCAGCGTGCTCTTGCCAGAACCATGCTTGACAAAGATTCAATATATGCATTGCGGCAACTGCACCCAATCCACAAAGCTGCCCCAGGGGCCAGAACTTTCCGCCTCGAAAATCCGTCGGAACGTGTCCCCGTAGGAGTCTGCAATGCAACTCTTGCAGGAGAGCATCGTCGAGAATGTTAGGCTGCCCACAAGTTTTTCGCACTAGGCAGCGGTAGCCTGGGCGCTTCTTCTTGCCACCACCAAAGCTCTTGTTCTATCTCCATCGGCGATGATGGCTTCTCTGATGTCGGTCGTCTGGCTCTGGATCAGGTCCGAAAGTTGCTCCCAGTCTTGATCGAACCGCCGGACGAAGGCTTGCAGTTGGCTGTTTAGGTTGGCAAAGCCTTCCTTCTGCTGAAGTACCGCAGCTTCCTTTGAGAGCCTAGTAGGCTGGAGATCAGACTCACGTGTACATAGGACCAGCCGAGTAGAGCGAAGTGAAATCATACCACAGATCAGAGAGTAATGCGGAGCGCAAGGCCTGTTCGAACCCGTGCATCTCCTTTTCGGGTTGGGCAAGATCCGACTTCTGCCACCATGATCTCGGTACTTTAGAGACGAGAATCCGCTGAGCTTTTGCAGGCTTTCTATCATCACGACCCGAAGACGACTTCAGCTTGATCTTATTCAGCTCACTCTTCACCTCTTGGCAGAGGTGAGACACTTCTTGGCTGCCTTTCCCAGGCGCTGTCGCTGGTTCATGCGATGTGCGGTGTCATGAAACTCAGCCCTGGGTTGTTTGTTAGCCGGGCACATAGCCGGCCAAGGTTAGAGGGAATGGACTACACGAAAAGACTATAAGAAAACAGGAAAGGAGATGGAAGAGACATATAAATGAGGAGCAACCAAGCAGACCAAAAACAACTGTCAGCAAATCAAAAGTAAGGAAGATGAAGAAGAAGGCAAGAGATGGAAAGATGAAGGACAGGGCAAAAAAGAAAGGGAACGGGAAACGAAAGGGACTTAAGACAGATAGAGAAGAAAGTAAGACAGAAGAAGGAGGAAGGAGAAGGAAAAAAGAAAAGGAAAAGGGCTGTAGTATTAGAAACCCTAGCATATCTTCTTCCCTTGAGTCACCCGCTAACGAATCGACCGCACCCAAGGGCGCTTTGTACGATCCCAGATATGTTTCGAGATCCCCAGAGAGCTGGCTCAAGTATTCAGATTTCTCCATCAGATCAGCGTCTGGCGAGCCATCGCGCGAGACTGGTCTTGCAAGCTGCACCACCGAATTGCGAAGGGTGATGACATGGATCGCTTGAAATGCGATACCAATCGCACCGACAGGATCCATACCAGCGACTGGTAGCTTGGGCGCGGTTGCTTTTGCGATAACCGGAGAGCACTCTGCTGGTCTTCGTCGTCGCGAGCTCTGTGCAGACACGGAGCACTCAATCTGGGTAAAATTTACAAGGGTTCAGCTCTTGCATGCCTCGGGCGCTCGGTTCGCGAACCGCTGTGCCACCAGAACTTTGACGAATCATCACCAACAGCTGCATCGTCAGGCGGCTGAGTGAAGCCGCATCGCTGCCCGTCTGCCTACGATATTCAGTTTTGCGTTTATACCTGACGGTAGGATCGATAATAACGTGGAACATTTCTATTCCTACCTTACATAAGGAACACGAACGGGATTTCAGGTGGCTCAGATGGCTCTGGCAGTTTGAGTGAAACTACAGTACCTTACCTTACCAGGGTGTGAGGATACCAGGTTCCGTCCCTCCCCGGTATTTGCCGTATCCAGCACAAAGAACTGCAACGTCCGATCCTTGTTTCGGCTCACGCTCGCTTTCTCAACCTCCGACCTCAGATCCAAGCTCGCCGCCCACCACCAACCGGGAGCTTCCCCTTCCACTGTCACATCCTCGAGGCCTCGCGAGGGACATTTCAATTTCAATTGGGTGGATAATGGCTGCGAGGGTTCTGCTGAAACAGGTAGGTGGTCGCACCAACCTCCAGTTTTTGCATGTCTTGACTTCAGATCATCGAGTGGCTAACGGGCACACTGGTTTGGATACAGCGCGTTGCGCCGTTGACGGCTGCAGTGCTGGTAGGAAGTTTTGCGTTCTATCCTCGGACTGCGCACGCCGAAGCTCCCAACGAGCGCCAATTCGTAGGTATTCCCGGCTTTCTCTCAATGCGATTTCCCCCCGTTCTAACCCAGACCTCGGCACTCCAGTCCAGAAAGCCCATCTACGACGACGATTTCGACGCCGTCCCCTTGACGAAACCCGCATCCTCGAGTACGGTCTTCACCACTACCACCACCGCCATGGCTCTCCCAACCCCAACTCCGCCTACATCAACCGAAGAAGCCCTCCCCGCCGGCACCCCACCAGCCCCTTCGCCCTCCATCTTCGAGCCCACCACCACCAAGACCACTGCCCGCACCCGCGCCCCGACGCCAACCGACCGCCTGGCGACGCAGATCCGCCGTGCCCGCCTCTTCCTGTACTCGCAAGCGTGCGTAACCGAGGACGCCGTCAACGGCGCTATGGCTCGCGCGTTTGCGCTCGAGCAGTCCTTCACGTCGACCATCGCGTCGCTCGCGCCGCCGCGCGAGTCCGGCGAGAAGCTGATGCCCGGGCTGATCTACGTGCTGGTGGCGGGCATGGCGGGCAGCATCGTGGCGCGCAACCGCAACGTGCTGCTGCGCGGGGCGGCGCCGCTCGCGCTCGGGCTGGGCGCCGCGTGGGTGGTGCTGCCCGTCACGATGGGCAACGTGAGCGGGTTGGTATGGGAGTACGAGAAGAGGTTTCCTGCCGTTGCGGACGCGCATCTGCGGGCGAGGGAAAGGGTGGAGCAGGGTGTGTATATGGCGCGGGTGCACGCTGAGCTTGCGCAGAGGAAGGTGCATGAGGGGGTGCGGGATGCTAGGGAGGCGTTGGAGGGGTGGGTTCGGAAGGGGAAATGAAGGGGGAGGAGCGTCACTTTGGACTTTTGACTGAGGGAATCAGAAAAAGGGCGAGGACGGCCCATTGTAGTAGAGGATAGAGCGAGGCGAGCGGCAGATATCTCTGCTTGTATCATAGTAGAGATTGGACCGGACAGATAGATTTGCTTTGTCTTGATTGGTGCTGGGGCGGTAATGCCGCAGCGTTGTCGAAAGCCCATCAAAAAACTAGTGCCTATCTAGCCGCCTCAATCCGATGCTGAAATGTAAGTCTAACTAACGTTAACGTTATGCTTTTTACAATGATGTATTGTACAATCTATCGTCTAGGGTATCACTGTCACAAAACCTCGCGCTCACCAGCTTTCCTCCCTCCTCTGGCCCAGCCCCGTATAAAACCTCAACGCCCGCTCATAAGTCCACATGGTCACCGCGCTTGCCGGCGCCGCCTTGACTAAACTAACTGTCAACCCCCTGTACAGTCCCCTAAACCCCTCGTTCCTCAAAATAGTCCTCACCGCCCCAACGGTCCCGCCGTAATACTCTGGTATATTTTTATGCACGTACCTCCCCCTCGTCGGGCCCTGCACCTGAATGCGCTTGCGGACCAGGTCCAGCGGGAACGTGCCCGTCTTGGCGAGCACGCTGGCCACGGTGCCCGCCACGGCGCCGCCGCTGCTGAACGGCAGCTCCAGCCCGCTCAGGTGCGGCCGCAGCGTCTCGTACACGGCGAAGAAGACGCCCATGTAGGGCACAATCTGCGCCAGGCCAGGGCCTAGGCCGCGGAAGAAGCCGCGCGGCCCTTCCTCGCGGTGGATCTGTGCGATGGCGCGCGCCAGGCTGGTGTAGACTTTGTCATTGCCCTGGGCCGCGAAGCGCGTGCGCAGCAGGTCGAGCGGGTAGGTCGCTGCTGTGGCGGCGGCGCCGCCGACGGCGCCTGCGATGAAGGACTCGGCGGATTGGGGGAGGGTTTCTGGGCCGAGGGCGCCGTGGAGGAGTTGGGTTGTGGTGCGGTAGGTGGCGAATTGCACGGCGCTGTAGCACACATAGAGGAGCTCAGCCGGCACGTTGCCCTTCCAGAGGCCCGGGATGCCCTCATGGCGGAGGATGTGGCGGAGCGTGGGGAGCGTACCCTTGTAGATGGGCCCGCCCTGCAGGTCGCGCGTCGAGAGCGGGTCGGAGAGGGAGTGGGTTTGCAGCTGCAGGCGGATCTTGACTACGTCGAGGGGCGCAATGATGAAGCTGGGAGGGGAAGCCTTGGGTGTTAGCGGGCGATAGACTGCTGGCTTGAGGAAGTGCATACCGAGAGATCAGGCCGGCTGTGGCGCCTGCGGCCGTAACTTGCAGACGAGAGCCCTCATCTTTGAGGTGGTCGCCCTTGAACGACATTCATCCAGCTGGGGCGGTAGAGTATCCGGGTTCCGCTTAGACTGTTGGCTTAGGAATCGGACGAACCGCCAGTCGCGTCGAGGTCCTTTGCAGCTGAGACTTGACAGAATTGTTTTACGGAGTAAAAGTAATGATACAGAGTGGAAGTACAAGCAACCGCGTATGACGCTTGGCCGAGCAATTGTAAAATTGGATTGTTGATGAATACGTCTGGTATCGTTGCTATGTGCATCTCATATTCATGTCGGTTTGTTGCGGCTGCCGGATATCTTTGAGTGACGACATTGTCAATTGGATCAACAGGGTCTCGGCATCAGAACGGCAACTTCCGCTGCCACCGCCTGCATTGTCATTCATTCACAGTACGAAGTAGGTAAGAATCCCTCGCCAAGCACTCGCCCTCCAGCAACCACTTGTCGCTCCTTTCTTATTGCTGTTATCCGTTACCCTAAGAAAAGAAAAGCTAGTAAGAAACACTCGAGCAATCCTAATAGTTCATTGCCGACGAGCCGTTCCGAGCGAGCTGGTCGGGGGTTGACAACCGGTTACATGTAGCGTACTTGTCGCGTTACTTACTACGGTATCCGCAATGCCGAGCCTGTAATACAGTAAATTGCACAACTGGAGCGTCACTCCACCAGAAGGGTTCACGCTTCACGAAACTGGAAAACGCCCCGTGTTGATTGGGTTCCGTCCGCCCGAAACGCAATGTTAACGGTCTCTCCACTTCACATTGGCTGAATCCTGAAGCTGCATGTGCGGCACCTAAGCAACCACTCACAGGCAGCTTGCAGCTTATATGCCGCCGGGAATCTCGACAGCGGGGTATCAGGGGAGTCGGGGGGCTTCCATGGACTTGCCCTATTGTGCGAGAGCATTGATGACACGCAGGCTGGCTTGTTTCCTTTCTCTTTCATTTTTCTCATGTTTGCAGCCGCGTTCTTGTGCTTGAGTCTCAAGCTTGCTGGACTAAGCCTTAAAGGTTGTGCAAGTGATGAGAGAATAGGCGATAGATGACGACAAGGCGCATGTGATCCGAGTCCCGGTCGCCTGCCTAACACAACGCTTTTATCATATCTGGCCAGCCATTGTTTCCTCTCCATCTTCTGCTTTTACCTAAAGAATCACTCCGCAGTCGAGCCGAAATACCAGGCCCGCCCATTCGCGGTTTCCGAAAGCATTCGCCCGACACAAATCACACAGGCCGTGCCAATGCCTTCGTCTGATATCGCCAGTCCAGACATCGCGGCAATCATCGCGCCAGTGCTCTCAGCCCTGCCTGGTGCGGCTGTCTCAACAGAGCCTGCCACGACAGTCTTGCCATTTCTTACGCCAATCCTCCGGCAGCGGGTTCAAGTCTTTTCGTCTCCCAGCCAAGAGCCATCCGGTTCATCTCAGGGCTCGGAGCCATGGATTCGTCTCCTGACATACGACGCCGTGAAGGTCGCTCAGCTGACCAAAGTCGCCCAGAGTGGTAGCTTAGACCCCCATCCAGTGTCTGGTGAGATCGAGGTCGACTGGGATTGCGACATCGGCGTCAGGTACAAGAGGCTAGACGAAGAAACACTGCAAGCATTGGTGGTTTTGAAAGAGCTGGGCCTCTTCTTCCGGCTTGAGTACTGCATGCACGACTCGATTGATGGCGGTGCCGGATGGCGTGTTGGGGAAATCAGGGTCGCCGATTCCTCGTTCCTCATCTCCTTTGGCGGTTTCCCCGATATACGGCAAGCTGAGAAGGAGTTCCAGGCGGCCAAAGCGGCAGTCAATAGCCGGCCCATCGTCAACGGCAGCCTGGCGGCAAACAGCAGCCAAGGCAGTTGGAGTGCGCAGGACCCCGCAGATGATGAAGACGACGACGATGATTACTGGGCTCGATACGACGCCACACCGTCACGAACACCCGCCGCAAAGCACTCCCCTGCCCCTCGGGCACCTACGCAAGCGTATGGATCCAGTATCCAGCGCAGCCAGTCCGCCGAGGCTGAAGACGCATATTTTGCCCAGTACGACTCGGTCCAGCCAGCAATGGACAACCACGACCCCGACGAGCAGGCCGTTCTTGACGAACACGTTGAGTCACTTCCGTCGCTTGGGCTTGCAAAACCACAACCCGCCCAAGGCAACGGAACATCAACAACAATAACAACGACCAACCAGAAAAACACCACCAGCAACGACGGCCCGGCTCTGGCCCAGCCCATCCCCATCAAACCCAACTCGGTCCGCTCGTCGGCCTCGCACGGCAGCGGCAGCGGCAGTAGCAGCCAGGAGGAGTCGTGGGTGATGGCGCAGCCGCGGCCCGGGTCGAGCGCGAGCGCCAGCTCGTCCAACGGGTCTCAGACGGTCGCGCGGCTCGAGGGCGCCGCCGAGACGCGCCAGCAGGCCGAGTTTGGCGTCAGGCAGCACATTGCGCGCAGCATCCGCAGCCTCTTCCTACTGTCGCGGGCGTCGGGGATCGATCGGGACGAGTTTGAGAGGATGGTCCGGATGGAGTTGGATGTGCTCGGTATGGTTGAAGACAGTATTTGAGAGAGGCGGGGCTGTCTGCAGTGGCACGTGTTGGATCTATCTGTCTGTTGCTCGCATGTTATGGAGAGGGTTTGTGTTCGGTTCTGTCATTCCAGCCAAATGGGAGGTTTCGTTACTGATCTGTCTGCTCTGTTCTACCTACCTTAGTCAAGAGTGCATCTGAGATGGAGTTGTAGGAGTTCGTAGGAATATCTGGTTGTAACAAGCATTTATGTTAAGAGACATTTGGCCAAGCAGCCGTGGAACCACGAATAACTATCCAGTGAGCAAAGCATCTTGACTTGTGGAATTTGACACTATCTTATGAGCTAGGGATCAAGTTAGTGCGCAGGAAAAGCCAAAAATGCTCACAGTCAACCCCAAGTTGCGCCGCAGTGTTAAGTTCTTTTGTGTCATCGCTATGTGATATCTCCATGGTCTGTGGAATAAAACGTCGCATTCACGGTCCATGTTCGCGGAAGAAAATAACCACCACATGAGCAAGGGAACAGAAATGGAGAGACGGAGAGGAAAATAGAGAGTTAACGTGGGATAGAATAGAAACAAAATTCTGTATTCACTACCTAAGTAAGTACAGGGACATTGTCCAAAGCACCAAGTCGTATATTAAGCTCAGGGTTAGGGGTAACGCGGAGCTTCGTTCCAGAATAACTCTGCCTCAATTCTTAGGTGTCGGCTGCAACACCAAAAAAGTTCGGAAGGTTTGCAAAGAAGCGTTCAACGGGACGGAGGCCGGCACGACACGCCACCGACACCCACCCATCCACCGATAACCGCTCAGTGAAAGGAGACAGACCTTCTGCTCCTCTACCCGTCGACTTCCGGGCCTCTTACGCCTTCCCACACCACAGACCACACCATGATGCGCCCGAGGTTAAGGATACCGCTGCGGTCACGGGTGAGCGCGCCCTCCCAGTCGACCCTGCTGCCGCTGGCCTGCCGGACAAGGTCACTGCACTCGCTCGTTCCGCTCGAGTACGACTTGCAGGGCGGGGCCACCGAAAAGGGCATCGCCGACTTCCTGTCACCCGCCGCCTTCAACATCGCCTGGAATCAGTACCAGACACACCTCCTCGCGAGATTGAACGCCCTGGTAGCAGGCATGTTTCTGGAAAAAGCCGCTTTGGTTAGGGCGGGGATAAAACTAACGAGATATATTCCCTCCAGACTACCCCGAATTCCAATCCCGCCACGTCAAGGACATCATGCTCCGCACAGCCCGCGAACCCAGCATGGCGACCATCTTCAACCACGCCAGCATGATCCACAACAACCACTTCTTCTTCAAGCACCTCTCTCCCAACTCCGTCGCCATACCCGAGACCCTCCGCAGCCATCTCGAGAACTCGTTCGGCTCCATCGAGACCCTGCGCAGGGAAATGGTCTACACGGCGGTGAACATGTTCGGCCCAGGCTTCGTGTGGCTCGTCAAGACGGCGCAGCCGGGTCTCCCCGTCGCGTTCAAGGTCCTCGCCACCTACGCCGCCGGCTCCCCCTACCCGGGTGCGCACTGGCGGCGGCAGTCGGTCGACATGAACACCCTCTCCCAGCCCGTGCACCGCGAAGCCGACTCAGGCGCCGCGCAGGCGTCGGCCCTCGAGGCGGGCAAAGCCTACCTGGACGCGGCGGCGTTCGGCGCCGGCAAGAAGGACACGGCCACGGCCAAGAAGGTCGAGCACGCGCCCGGCGGCACCGACCTGCTGCCCGTGCTGTGCATCAACACGTGGGAGCACGTCTGGCTGTGGGACTACGGCTTCGGCGTCGGCGGCCAGGGCGGCAAGCTGGGCTACGCCGAGAAGTGGTGGAAGCAGATCAATTGGGAGTTGGTGCTGAAGGAGGCGAATATTCAGAGGCATCAGATGTCGGCCGGCACGGGCGCGCCGGCGGCTGCAGAGGCGGCGGCATAAAATGAAGGGGGTAATGTCTGATTCGTGATGGGGCATGAACTGTACAATATGGATTGGGAAAGCACAAAGGCCTATTTGCCGTTCCTGGGGTGCATCCGGATGTACTTGTACACAATAGACTCGTTGAGTGTAAGACGCGACATACGGGATTTCCACCTACATGGGCAAATTGCTAACTCTTATGCTGGGTTGCTTGCAGCCAGCTTTCTATCAGTGGTTTTAGACGTCTCCCATCGCGCGTCTAGGTGAGGGGCCCGAGGGAACATCACAACCATAAACGCTGCGGCTGGCATCTTGACCCCGTCTTACCAACCTGGAAGGCTTCAACTGTCAGAACTTAGAAGTGCACACGCTAAACAAGCCAAATAAGTGCATATACTTCTCATTATCAGCGTCAACTAACTTAACTAGCGCCCCTTCTTGCCCATCCAATCCATCCCCGACATCTCGTCGTCCATCAAGTGAGCGTGGATAATCCAAATATGTTGCCATATCTCAAATCTTCCTTCTAGTCCTTCAAATCATTTCCCTCTGGCCAAGGCATAAACAAACGCCAAACCACGCCAGGTCATGCAGTAGGATATTCAGAATGTTGGTCGGAAGTGAACAAGAACAGACAATAGCAAAGCAAAGCAAACGGAGATGAGAACAAAGGAGAGGTGGGAAGGAAAAAGCCAAGCAACCAAGGTATCATCGCGACAGACCGAAAACCAGAATCCAACAAAGACGAAGTGAAACGCATATGGAAGGAAATGAAATAAATCGACCCAGAGAACGAGGTGAGAGTGGACCAAGAGAAAAAACCGCAAGCGTCTGCAACACCCTCAGACTGAGACCAGCGCCCAACATCCACCTCACACCGCACCATCAGCGCCCCTAAATCATATTCCCATTCACACTCACCTCAAATCCCTCCCCCTTCTGCTTCTTCGCCTTAGCCAGCATCAGCTCCCGCATCCAGTCAATCCTCTCATCCCTGCTCTTGACAGCGAAATGATGAGCTTTGCCGGTGCCATTGACGGCGCCCTCGATCGGCGGCGGCGCAAACAGCCCGGCAGCACCGTCCTTCGCCCCCGCAGCGCCCGGCACACCGCTCTCCCTCTTCCTTAACTTGACGCCTCCCTTGGCGTCCTGCGGAATCAGCTGGAAGCTGAAGGCCGCCACATCCCCGCCCTTGGCCTTGGCGTCATCGCCGCTGCCGCGGCGGATGTGCATGGCCTTGAAGGCAGCGTTGAGCTTGGAGCCGCTCGCCATGCCGCTGCAGGCGATGGCGTAGTCGTCAATGTCGATGTACTCGAGCGTCTTGTTGTTGGCCGTCGCCGCGTCCTTGTGCATGGTCAGGCGGGTGCCGCGTAGCGTGAAGAAGTGCTCGTGCCACTCGTGCCGCAGCATCTTTGTCTTGCGCTTGCGCATCAGGCCCTGGTACGAGATAGCCCCGCCCCCCGTCATGTCGACCTGCGGCTTGTCCGAGATGGGCGAGAGGCGGCCGTTGATGTTGACTGTCCGGACGGAGCCCGAGCTGGTGGTACTGCTGGGGCCGGTGGTGGTGGCGGCAGTGGTGAAGGTTATGGGTGCCGAACCTGGGACTGGCGGAATCGCCTTCTCCATGGTTGGGCGCTCGGTCTGTGTCCAGGGGTATTGTACGCGCGGTGGTGGCTGGAGGGGCCGCGGGCCGACCCGTTGAGAGAAGGACCGGCTGGGGCCTTGGGTTATGGGCGTAAGGGTCGAGTTCTCATCCAGAGCGGGCAGGACTGGGAAAGATGGGCGGCGGATGGTGTTGCGAGACATGGACCGAGGAGGAGCAGGATTATGGCGGTAGTTCATGTCTGGCGGGACTGACTGAGAGAAGTCCCGAGAAACCGGCGGGAGCTGCGTCACGTCCGTCACGGTAACAGGAACATCCATCATGGAGAACGGGGTGCCGAACCGATACGGAGCCGTCGGGGTAGGAGTGCCCTCATCGGACGAAGGACTCAACTCCCGAAACGACGGGATAATCTGTGATGAAGGGCGGGCAGACCGTGCTTGCGCCGACTGTGGCTCCCGCCTTGGCGGAGCAACCACCGGCTGGGACGGGATAGCGAGCTTCGGAAGGCTTTTGAGCCCTGCGTGTGGCGTCTTCTGGTTTCCCTGTGGGACGATCTCGAAAGGCGGCGTGGGAGGAACCTCGCTGGAGGCATTCAGGTGCGGTCGCTGAAAATCCAGGAACTGCTTGACGTTCTCCTGCGGGTCTCGCGCCTGGATGTTGCGCAACGCCGCTTCTTGAAGATACTGGAGCGGTGGCAGGGCTCCCGGGCCCATGATATCCGAAGACGCAACCACGGATGGGACTGCGTCTGAGACGGGGCGGAAGGAGTCGTCGCTGGGCACTATCGCCTCGGCAGTCTCCGGATTTCCAGGGTCGCCCGCGATCATGATGATACCCCTATCCCCGCTGATAAAGGGGTGCTCTTTCTTGAACGTCTCCATTAACCGCTGGTACCGCTTGAACTTGGCGCAGTTCTCGCCCTTGGAGCAGTTGTGAGGCTTCGGGAGGACCTGCTCGATGCCCACAATAGACACCGACTCGAGTGGTGAGACGATATCGTTTATCTTTGCCCGCGGCTTCTGTCTCCGGCTGCCGGTGCTGCTCCCCTGCCTCCGTAACTCCTTCTTCACCTTCTTATCCGGTTCGTCTTCGATGGGTGTCTCGGGCATGGGCTCCGGCTTCTTAAGATCCCTCATTCTGTGAATCTCTTCCCAGATCTGTGTCCTCACTCCAAACGAAGAAATGCCGAGCTCCTTCAGGTCCTCAAATTTCAGAGTGATCAGGATGGCGCCGTTGATATCGTTCTCAACAAAGCGCTCCGACGCGCTCAGCTCAACGCCAGCGTTGAGCATCCGCTGGGCAACCATCTCTGGAGTCCACTCAGGCAGGGTCGAGGTATCGAGTTCTACGTCAGTAAACTGGAAGGGACCAGTATCGCGTCGCTTCTTGGGGAGGGATGTACGATGGACATTGTCGAGGTGGAAATCCATCATGTGCGGTTCCTTTGGCGTGATGGGAGAGAGAGAGAGCGCATGCTGAAGCTCAATCGAATGCGCCGACGACAAGGAGCTGCGAAACAGGTGAGGCCCCCTAGGTCCCTCGACTTGCTGCTTGTCATTGTCGAATAAGAACGGGCGCTGTCGCAGTGAGCTCGGTGTTTGAGCTTCGTCGTACGTTGACAGTGTCGTGAAGCTCGGTTGTCCGGACTGTGTCACAAGTCAGCATGCTACCCCTGAGCTGACTGCTTATGTCTTAAGAGGAGAGAACGCACCGAGCCAATACTGACGCGGGGAGAGCACTCGCCATCCTCGATCCCCTCCAGATCCCCAAATTCGCTGTAGACGTCCGAGTCGTCCTCATGATCATCCCCGTGCTCAATCTCGGTATCCGACTCCATGAACTCGGTGTATACAGAAAACGGCCGGTCCTTGACCCTGGATGCGGCGAAAAACATATCCCGCGCCCGACCCTTCTCTTTCATTTCTTGATATGGCCGCTCCATGGCGGCGTATTGTACTGTTTCCTGTAGCACTGTTAGTACCTCAACTGATTCCAACCTCCCTATTGCCCAGCAAGCTTACCATCATGATTGATAGATATATCGGCCTGAGGCCGGCTTCTTGTATTGCTGATGCCGTTGCCGGCGACCTCTAGTCTATACCCACAGCCGAGGGGGAAAGAGCGTCTTCAGGTTGTAGGGGCTATAGTTGGTGCTGCTACCGCCACTTCCATGAATAGACAGTACGAGGCCAGCTTCGCATACCCGCTCTACAACTGCCGAGAGGCAAAACCAAGAGTAGAGGGACCGGATGGTGGGGCGGCGGGCGGGCGCCTACTGTTGATTATGTATGGGAAAGAGCGCGATGGCAGCAGTACCCAAGATAGTTATGCGCAAGCGCCGGGATAGGAGGGAAACGATTGCAAGTCACAAATCCCGATGTGATCAACAGGGACGGTACCGCATGGAATGGCCGACAGCGGGCAAGTGCGCTTGGGAGTGGAAAACCGGAAAGGTCCCTTGAGAGGTGCGTGGCCGGCAGGGTCCAGGGCCAATATGTGTGATATTGGGGGATGAGGGAGGGGAACGGGGCGCCGTTGCCGGGTGCTTCGAGCTCGATCACAGTGAGCCCGGTTCAACCAAAGTCAGGTCTCCGGCACTTGCAGAGCACTTGCAGCAACTGACTTGGGCCGGCCAGTCTCTGCCATGGTGCAGCACGCTGGCCTGCCCAGGGTGGTATAATAATAGCAGTGTGGGTGTGCGAAAGACGTGAGACACTGCACGAATTCAGGCCGAGCGAGCGGTAAGTCGGTCGAGGGTCGAGGGCTGGTTGGGCAGCTGTGGGATGGCCACTGCTGCTGCATTGCATCCATGCGAGACTCGAGCGAGTCGAGGTGCAGTGCCCGTGGTTGCGAGTGGTCAAGGTGGTGCTAAGCATGGGGGCCATGTCTGAAGAAGTGGGGGAGTTTTGGCTGGGGTTTATGCTGCCAAGATGCGACGAGGCGGGACAAAAGGGCCGCCTGCGAGTCTCATTGGGCTGAAAATCCTGCCGTGCCTGCCATTATCGGACGGCCCCATCGTCTGATTGGTTAAAATTGAAGAAAATTCAATTCGAAAAATAGACGGCCTAAGCGCCCAACTCCGCGCGCTAGCCCGATTAGACAGCTGTGAAGGGCCTGTCCTTAGAAGTCAAGGCGATGGCGGGAAGGAACCGGGAAAGGCCTTGGCCAGTCGATCTACTGTGTACTCAAGCACCTCGCTGACTGTCCCGTTTCAGGAGTTCGAATGGCACCGCCGCTCACCGACCTTCTACATAACCTGGACCCGCCCATTACTTGCGTCTGTTCATCAGGTCGAAATTGGGACCGCCGGTCTCTGCAGTCGGTCGTTCGAGGTCAGGCTCGTGGTTCTTGCGCCTCATTTTGCTCTATGTGAGGCCGGGCCTGGAGGGAGCCCAAGTCACCTGAGCTACGGAATGAGGCACGCCGTATGGTTCAAACCTTGTCGACGGCTTCTCGAGACCGGCGAACACTACCGTTGTTGCACAGCCCGAGACCTGCTTTCGCGTCTCGCACTATCGCGGGGCCGAACAGGCTACATCTCTCCATGTGCCAGTGTGTGCGCTGTGGCCGTCATTCAACTACCCCGGACCCTTCCGAGCCTAGTAAAGCCCAACTAGGTTGACAACAAGAATCCACCATTCAATTTGGCCGTCCGAGAGATCATGATCGACAGCTGGCACGGCGTTGTTCGTTCGGCCGCGGAAGTTGCGGTCACCATGGGACGGTCCGGATGACGTTGGAGTTATCAATGTAAGGTAAGGTTAGTTCCGGCCACCTCAGGCCGAGGCAGGTTTGTGGCGTTGCGGAGATCGAATTCCAAATGCACACGACCGTCCATGCAGGCTAGACATGGCCGGGTTCCCCGCCTTGAATTACTAACTCTGGCGGAGGAGGCAAGGCAAATATGACCTCGAGGAGGCACATGATAACGACGACATGCCCTGTTCAGCGCGGCTTTTGACCAGCCAGAACTGAGATGAGATGGCTTGGGAAGTGGGCGTTTGCGGTGAGCTCATAATCGGCGTCAACATCCGTTGGCGGCGGTGCCCAGCCGTCCAGTTTCGGAGAACACCGGGAGAGCACAGTTTCGCAGCAGAGCAGCTTCCGTCGCACAGAAGCAGGTCCTGTGCGCCAAGTCCGACATCATCGCGAGCTCACTTCCATATTCGGCAACCAGGATCCTTCTGCAGTCGTTTTGTCTCCTTGAAATGCACTATCAGCCCACACTTCTGCATCCTTCATGGCAATTCCCCTTGTGCAAACATGTTATCAACCTCACCGGAACTCTTCTCTCAAACCATATCGGACCATAAAAGCCGCACAGGACATGGTTACGGATAGCGTGTGATGCTTCCCCACTGCGGAACACTCACCCCTCATTGAACCCCAGTTCAAGATCAACTGTTACTGATGGCGGGGTATCCATTACATGTCGAGTCACCTTGATGCATTGTCCCACGTGGGACACCGCAAACTGAGTGCTTGTGTACTGGAAGCTTGCTTGGAAGGTAATTTGCTGTTTTCGAAGAACATTGTGTGGCCTTCTGTGATTCAAGGCAACGGAAACCCAATCAACAAGTCGACCTCGTGCGATTCAGGGGGTCGTTCCGGTCCACGGCTACCTGCACCGATAGACTTACACAGATGGCTCTTTCGCGGTTCTGGAAAGTCGCTGGAAGGGAAGAGGATTGTGTCACTGGCCGTGTGTGTAAGACTTCAGCATGCCATTCATGTGTGGGAGTCAACGGTCGGTTTCGGCTATGGAATGCACTCAACGGCTCGCTGCATTTGTCCCCAAGTTGGCTGACCACTCGGACGTTGCCTTGATGGGGCCGCTCCCGCGTTCTTCTGACCGCCTGAACGCAGGCTTCAGATAGTGCCATCTTAGTTCATGCCCAACGGCTGACGGGAGGAGACAGTGAAGAGACATGCCGTCGGCCGTTAGAGTAACTTTACTGCCGTCATGCTTCGCGACGAACTGCGTGCGGAGATCCGTGCCGCTATCCGAATGGGCCAAGACCGACGGTACCCTCGAAAACCCTCACCGAAATCCTCGAATATACCTTGGATTCTCAAGGTACTCTCTTAAACCTCAGGGGCGAATCGGTCGTCGAGGCCCCTCGGTGGATGTTTGACTTATTCACATGACCTTAAGGGACTGCGACCAGTGGCCAGCCAGGTGTGGTGGATGGTCCGGCTTGAAGATGGCGACGAAGTGCTGGCTTCGAAGTGTGAGTGGTCAGCTTTCAACTGAGAGCTAGTTTGTAGCGTCGCACTGCCATGGACCCCTAGTGTTGAGCAAGGTCGAATGAGAGCGGGTTCCTGGGGTCTGAACACGGAAGCTCGCCTGAACAGCTTTGCACGTGTGTTCCTTGATTTCGCGATCACAAAAGCATTGTAGAAACAGAGCACTCGAGCTCAAAACACGGGTTTATCTTTTTCGGCCCGTCCGAGATGTGATTGATTACTTGATATGATCGATATCACGTTTTCTAGACGTGACAGGGAAATTAAATAACCCTAAATACTCATTTACACATACACCCCCCCTGCCACGCGGACATCTCCATCTCCACGCTTGTAATCGGTCAGAGATGATCCATGTTCCCCGCGACGGAAGCTATCGGCGACGGCGTGCATTGGTGCATCGCGATGTGGGGCTGCTAGACCAGCCCATGCGATTCTCGCTTACGCATCCTTGAAAGAGTTCGAGATCCGCACTGCAAGCACTTCCAAGATTGGAAGGGAGTCACTAACACGCGATGTTCAGACATGAATGTGGCTGTTGCTGAATCATTTTCCAACAGACAAGTCTCGTTATGAGTCCACTGATCGGTTTATGCTTGAATTGCCACAGCGCAGTCATTGCGGTCAGGTGAGCCAGTAGTGCAGCCATTGCCGGAGCTTGGTAGCGGCCGCGCAAGAGAAGAGGCGCAGATGGGTCTTCAGCCGAGTTCAAAGAAGCCAGGGTCAGGTCTGGCGGATCATTTAGACGGCAAGGCGATCTGCTATTCAGCTTGTGCGGCCGTCAATGCCCTTGCCATCGAGTTCAGCGAGCGGACGGGCGCAGAGCGGGCATTCATGAAGATCTGCAATGCCGTTTGTTCTCTTCCGAACTAAACACACGCCCTCCCTGTCGACATCGCTGGTTGCTCGATTTTGCGGGCGAAAGTTCCGCCATCACCACTTGTTTCTCAGCCATTTAGATCTCGATAGCCGGTCTGTAAAAACCATTGCGCCGTGTTCAAACAGGTAGGCTGAGCATGCCCAGAGTTGAGGACCAGGCAGGCGTGGGGTTGTGCGTTCTGGACAGCTTAACGGTCAAGGCCGCTCTCGGCAACCGCGGTCAAAAAGCTGAAATTCGCCGGCCCGCTCCACCTTCACCTCCGAGAGGCCACAATTTGCTGATAACTGCGGCGGAATAGTCTCGCGAAAAGTCGGCCGACGTCCGCGTCGAGCAACAATTGCTTCTTGGCCCCAAGAGTAGTATTTCTTGCCAAACCCGTCGGCATCGTCATCAGGCCTTTCTTACATTTAGCCGTGGAGCCGGTGTTGATGATGGGGGATGAGATGGTGGCAGATACCAGGGTGTGATAAATCCTCAGGGTTGCGAAGAGTTCGTGCAACTTTGAGCATGCGAGACTTCTTGGTGCTGCGACCTTGGCGGTGGGGAGCGTCGGAACCGTGAAGCTCAGATCTCGGAGTTCTCGGTCAGCACCGTGCGAGAAATCTTCGAAATACAATTAGCCCAAACTTTTGATGTACCTAATTAGTCCTACTTTTGTAGGTAACAGTCAGGTGAGCTAAGTTTTCCCTAACTGGCCTAATTTGGTCGAGTAAGAACGAGGGTAAAAATAGCATGCTCTAACGGAATGAGTGCAGTCACTCACTCAGCACGTGGGTTTCTTGAACATAATTAGTCTGACATTAAAGTGGGCTAAATTCATCATGCGTGTAGGCAATTTGCTCGTCCTTGAACAGACTACCCAAAACGGATGGACGGCGGCTAATTAGCCCTGTTTCCCTGTTCAGCGGAGCCATACGTTGCTGACCACCATTCCCCAACACCAATCTGAACACATCATGGCCGTTGAATCCTCCGATGGTGACAATGGGATGGGGAACCACCCACAGCCACAGTCTCTGAGCTTGTTAGCATCTCGATACAGCTATAAAGACACAACCATTTCCAGCAGTTCCGTACGGTCAATTGGTCCCGTCCTGGATGTCTTGCGTCTCCCTGACCATCCACGGCCTGGCCCGAGACGCCGAAGGACTCCGAAAAGCGAGAAGTGTTGCCCAATGTCACTCTCACTTTCACAATCCGTATCTGATTTTTCTATCAGCTGAAGAATTTCTCAACAGGCGTCTTGCCTTTCTCACTGGCAGCACATTACCGATAGGCACTGGAGATTCCAGAGATCGGACCTGCTCATCATGCAAGGCTGTCGGCCGTGCCTCTTCATGGGGAACGTCAGATTGGATGCCAAGGCTGACGCTGCACTCCAAGCGGAACATTTGACCAGATCCCCGAGGCTTGATCTGTCCATCTCGAATAACCTGTCCTGCCCGCGTCATTGGTCACAGCGCCGTCCACTAGCCTAATAATCCCTGTCCAAGACCCCGGCTGATCTTGATGCGCGAGCCAATCTGGGTTGGTTGCCGCCTCGCGGGCCGCATGTTGATATGCACGAGGGTTTGTCCATCACACATCTGGACCACAACGTCCATCGAATCAACGTCGTTAACCGCATTCTCGTCTCTTTGCAACCAGCACACCAGCGATGCTTGCCTGCCACCCGAAATTCCGCGGCCTTCGGGAATGCTACATTGCTACCTCCGTACGCCCATTGCGCACACAACATGGCGGGATTCGCGGCAGGAATTGCGCACAAAAATTACATCGCCCTGGTTTGTACTTGCGGTAACACCCGATCGCGAGCTAATACCTTCAGCCTTCGCCGACCAAGACCTGGCCAGCCACATGAACCAAGTCGGGCCAGACAATTCCATCGCTGGCTTTGGGAGGCGACGAATCCCAGCCCGACTCCGAGAGAAGCCCAGTTGATATGTGAGAGCTCAAGATTGGGGCATTTCATCGGCATCGATGAAAAGGGAAGCCGACGTCGCTATCTGAAAGAACCGTTGCTGACATCAGAGTCATGCGAGGCCGAATTGCCCAAATCGATAGCTACCGAGCCATGTCTCTCGCTCAAGCTACCTCACAATTCACCGTTGTCGACAGCATTGCTGTGCCGTATCTTGGTGGGCACAACCAGGAACTGCGGGAAGCCGGGCCCTTTGCCGTGGGGGCCAGAGGCCGGCTCCGGCGTAAAGCTGGGCGCCTTTCCCCGCCGATCACAACCGTATCTTGCGGGCAGGGCTGCAGGGTAAATCGGCAAAAGAAGAGGGCCGCCTCGAGTATGGAGTAGGTATCCGTACATTGTGCGATGACGGACTCGCAGCAACCGTCGGCGCCGCCCTGCCCTGGGCCTTCGGACTCGCTGAGACCAGACGGCTCTTCACCCAACAATAGGCCTTTATTATGCGGCTCGACCGCCGAACACTGGGTCAGGCTGTCATTGTGTATATGGAAGAGTCAACTAACTAGTGGACGCCACTCAGCTGCTCGCATGCTTGCAATTCTCCATTCTACAATGTGTAGCTCGGCCGTGGCATCTCGACAGTTCCCCTCCTTTCCACTGTGTCCAGAAGCCTGCAGACGGGCCTGAGCCCCGTGCCAATCAGAAGCGGCGGCGTCCAGTCTCGACGGCATCGGCTGCCTGTTTAATGGCTCGGCGAGCTTCCACCCTTGCAGCGACCCCGGCGGCCGGCGTGGAGAGGTGTACCACCACTTTCTTGGGCCCATGTCCACCATGGCACCTGAGGTTGGTGAGCAGGTGGGGTCCACGTTCTCGCACCCTTCTGAGGGGAGAGACATGCCGAGTGGCCGCGTCTTTCTTGATGGCACCAATAATCGTGCTTCTTGACCCCCCCTGCCTCCCAGTGCGAGCGAACAGCAGAGACCAACCTCTTTCGATCGACGGACGGATGCACATGCACGCACTATGGGCTGCAAAGTGGGCAAATATCCCAAAATGGGCCAAACACAGGAACCGGTCATTTAGCCCACAATGTTCAAAAATAGAAACAGGAAATCGCTGGCACGCAAGCTTGGTGGCTGGCTCGACGGCGCGCTGGGATATATCTCTGATAATTTGCCCACTTCTCGGGCTCACTCTGTTTTCCCCTCCTCGAGCAGGCCCAGAAACGAGGTTGAAGATCCAGGTGTCGTCCAGTCCAGTCAACAGTCCTTCGACTCTCTCCATCTCTCTCTCTTTTAATTACACTTATTATTTGCGCCGTCCAACCAGATCAACTGGTATCGACCCGGCCGCTTTTGATCATCGATCCACTCTTCAGATTCCAGACAGCAAGCAGGACTTGCTCGGATATCCAGTCATTCACTCACGGCATTACAGTAATCTAATAATCTCGACAACGATCTGAGTTTCCAAGGAGTGCTTGGAGGGTTGGGAGAAGTCGACTTCCAGGACAAGGCTCCCCTTTTCCCCCCTCCCCCCTGGCATCCGGACCCTGACGACAAGCGAGGGCCCCTGGCTCACCTGCCCTCCCGCTTGTGCTCGGCCCAGCCCCAGTCTCACACACCCCACCCCCCTTGTCCACTCCCCAGAGGTTCACCCCCACCCCCTGGAGGCATACAAATGTCAACACTACCCTCCAACCACCAAGGACAACGCTTGAAGGCCTCGCAAGTCAACATGGTTGCTGCTACCACGACGACGACAACAACGGCAACAAAGGCCAAATCGGCCTCCAAAGCCGGCGCCAATGCCAACCCCAAGCAAAAGACACAAATGCATCGGCGGTCCAGGACAGGTACGTCTTGCTTTAACGCATACGCTAGTTGCCCGATCTGGAAACTAACCTGGATGGTGGTGAAGGATGCTACACCTGCAGGTTACGGAGGAAAAAGTGCGACGAGGGCACGCCCATGTGCACAGCTTGTAAGCATCTAGGTCTGAATTGCGAATATAAGCGGCCGATGTGGTGGAGCAACAACGACATGCGGAGGACGAAGAAGGACGAGATCAAAATGATCATCAAGCGCAAGAAGCTGTCGGAGAAGTCGACACATACGCACACGACGCACACCATCCAGACCTCGGTCGGGTCACCGCCAGGCCTCTCACACTCGCTCCCGACCTCGGCAACCTTCTCCGACCCGCTCGACCGCGCTCGATCTGCCTCGATTGACTCGCACTTCGGCTTCAACTTCAACAGCCCGCAGAGCTCGCACGAGTTCGGGACCTTCACGCCGGGGATGCATCCCGAGTTCATGTTCTCGCCATACTCACCATACGAGATCGACGTGAAGACCGAAAGGCAAATGTTCATCAACGACATCCCGACGCTGCGCGAATCCACGACGTCGACATTCAGCACCTACGCCACCCCGCCGCCACCGGGCACCGTCCTGGGCCAATTCCCTCTGGAAGGCGAATGGACAGAACAGGTGTACTCGGAGCGGAGGGAGTCGTTGAGGGAGGAGACGCTGAACGTGAACTTCTTTGACTTCTCGCACGGGCCGTCCACGGCGTCGAGGCAGGTGGCCATTGAGCTTGACGAAGGCGACCAGCGGCTGCTCGACCACTTTATTCAGTTTGTACTACCTACCATCTTCCCGATCCTCGAGTCAAACCAGCACGGATCCGTCAGCTCGGATCTCATCCTTCCCGCTCTGCAGAACAACAAAGGCTACCTACACTGTTGCCTGAGCATCGCCGCGCAGCACTACAAGGCGGCCATGGGGCTGCAGGGCGACGAGATCGACGGCGACATCATGCGCCACCGGTACGCGACCATCTCTGCGCTATGCGATGCGCTCAACAAGGACGAGAACCACCAGCAGATTCTCGAGGCCGCGTTGGGTCTCATCTTCTTCCAGTGCGGCGTCGGCCGCTTCGACGACTCGCTCCCGGACATCCCCTGGCACCAGCACTTCCTGGCCGTGGTTTCGCTCGTCCAGAAGCTCGACCTGCCGCGCATCGTGTCGGACCCGACCGAGCCGCTGACCCAGACGCCCTTCAACATGACTCTGACCGCGTGGATCGACATACTCGGGGCCACCATGCAGGGCTGTGCGCCGACGTTCGCGCACACGTACCGCGAGAAGCACCTGTCGCCGACCAACCCGTCGCTCGGGCTGCGCGAGCTCATGGGCTGCGAGGACCGCGTTATGTACCTCATCTCGGAGATTGCCTGCCTCGAGGCGCTTAAGAAGGACGGCATGGACGACATCACGCTCTGCCAGCACGTGCACGTACTGGGCGACCAGATCGGCTTGACCGAGATGGGCGAGGGCGCGCCCGTGCTGCCCTTCAACGCGAACGGCTCGCTGTCGCCCAAGCAGCTCACCAAGAACATCACGGCCGCCTTCCGCCTCGCCGCCCGCATCTACCTGTGCAGCCTCGTGCCGGGCTTCTCCCCGGCGCAGACGAGCTGCGTCGGCCTGGTCGAGAAGCTCACCTCGGTCCTGCAGCACATCCCCTCCGGCCCGAGCGCCAACGGCTTCGACCGCTCGCTGAGCTGGGTCTATCTTATTGGCGGCTCGGTCAGCCAGCCGACGTCGTCGTTCCGCGCCTTCTTTGAGGACCGCGTCGCGCAGCTGGGCGACCTCGCCCACTTTGGCAGCTTCGGCCGCGTCGCGTGCCTGCTGCGCGAGGTCTGGCTTCAGAACGATGCTCTCAGCCAGCAGCCGCAGCAGCCGGCGGCGTCGTCCTCCTCTGGGAAATCGTCATCACCACAGGAGGCTCCACAACCACCGCAGCGGCAGCAGCAGTTCATCCACTGGCGGGATGTCATGCACATGAAGGGGTGGGATTACTTGCTCATTTAAGCAAAAAGTAAAACCCCCTCATTATTTGATTGCTGCCGATTTGGCTTGTGGCGGGAACGGCCTCCCTACTCCCCCCTACACTCAGTTGCAAATCACTGTTTCTTTGTTACAAACAGACTACTGCCTTTCTTTTCTTCTTGTCACTCGGGCTACTAGAGGTTGCCGCGAGGCAAGTTGGTTGGTTGGTTTGGAGGGAGATGGAAGAAGATGAAGAAGAGGGGATGTTGGACAATACTACGTTCTGGACGACACTGGATGGGTGGAAGAGTTGGGTGAGAGGGGGAGTAAGAGGACCCGGCAGCTACTTTTGGACTGGTGCTGTTGAGGACCCTCGAATTCCCAGTTTCCTTTTCTTCTTTATCTCTTCTTTCATTCTTACTCTGTTCTTCCTTTTTTTTGGGGGGGTCTTGGTTAATATGTGGTGTCTCCCCGGTATATATATATATATATATATATATATATATATATGTATACAGGGTTGAGAAGCATGCATGACGTGGAGTTCTGGTCTTGGGTTTTGGGATTTTGATGGGGATACCACTGGTTTGTTTGGACGATGAGGAGCTTGGGTGGGATGAGGTGAAATGTATAGTAGTTCTGGGATATACCCGCCTCATGGGGGCCGAGATCAAAAGAATCAAGAAAGCCTGATCAATATCTCTTAGTGCCTTCGCCTTGTGATTGCAGGTGGGTTGAAATGGGCAGAGAGGATCTGAGTGGGACTCGGGAGACATCGCTGAGATTCAATCCATGACCAGGATCTCCAATGGCTGCTCCGGTCTTTCGAGGGCAGAGCGCCAGTTCATGGTAGACCAGCCGACTCATACCATAGGCAGCTACCCTCCACCGTGACATGCTCGCCGTGGCTGTATTGTACACCAGTCAGAGCCACCACGATGATGCCGGGTCATTCTACGAGGCGAGTCACATGTCTCCGGTATCGGCAACTATGATGCACCTTGCCGTCTGGACGTTGCAAACTTCATGACAACGTGACGCAGGGACAGCGGTGAGCTCCAGGGGAACACAGCTAACGGAATACGAACCGGCTTCAGGTCTCAACGTGCAACTCGGATATGCTGTGGCGGCTCAGGCGCGGAAAAGCAGCATTTTGGCGCTTAAACCAGGGCATCTGGGTGAGTCTCTACTGCAGGTGTCCCTGTGTAAATTCCAGCCGATGAGAATTGTGCGGGTTGTTACAGCGCGGCAGTAAGAAAAGTGATGTCTTTCCTTCGGTATGACTCTGGAATGTGTCTATAGCACTCAGCGCTGACGTTGATGCTGTCGAGGTCGGACCATCTCAAGATCGGGCGAGGGCTGCAAGTTGGTGGTGTATTGGCCACCCTTTTGATGTCAGAATGCCAGTGCGGCGACATTCTCTTCTTAAGAACTACCATTGAGCTGTTTCAGGACTGAGAACGTCCCAACAATCTAGGTAATCAACCAACATGGGCCGCTGACTGTCCAGACGTTCCGATTGAGGCCTGAAACAAGCGGCCTCGCTGCCTTCCAAGTACCCGGGTCGATCGACTGCCGACGGCCGGGCAGACGGCCGCCTGGATCCAGATGCCCAAGATTCGTTATGCTGTGTGGCTGTCCATCGCCAAACATGGTGGCTGCCTCACATCCCTCGGTGAGCGAGCGGCTGCGATGCCGACTTAAGCCTGAGTGTCCATCATGTAATGTCGAACATGAAGTACAGGCGCTCTGGGCCGGGAAGACGCCCAAGCCACAGTAAATATTTCCTCGTGGCAACTTGCAAATTCCGACCATCAGGCGGTCATAGGAGGCCTCTAATGACCGAGCAACTTCATGGGTTGGGCATCGCGGACCGGCTTGGTCCCAGGTTGTTGACAACTTGCAAGTGTTAAGCTTTCCGTAAACAGTGCAGGCGCCAGGACAAGCGCCGGGACGGCCTTCAGCGGCAAACGGTGGGCTGTGCGAGACATCCAGGGTTCAGCGGGCACGTGCGTAGATGGGGCCAAGCACAGACCAGGCAGATCCTCAGCCGGCAAACCTCATCCAACCGCTGCAAAAAAATAGAAGTGAGCCTGATGACCGCCCCAATCAGGCGGCCTGCCCGGGCCAAGCGCCGATCGTTTCAAACGCCGTTGCAGGGCCCAACTTCAAAGAACGTCGTTCTCACCAGTCGTGCATCTTTCAGAGTCATCTGGCCTGTCGAGGGAGAAATTGGCGCTTCATCCCGGCCTGTCATCGACCAGAAGCGAGAAATCATCAAACAACGAACAAGGCACCGCCTCAGTCTGTGGCTCTCCGGGCCCGGCTGAATTTGCCGTTCAGGCTTCTGGGCCTTTTGCTAGGCTTCATCGCCCTACCACACACCCTGCTTGGACTGGATTTCACATCCAATCCTCCTGGAAACCGGTGGCTTTTTCTACGGAATCTGACCACCAGGGACTGGACATATGCCGTTGGGTCTTCGTCGCACTCGGTCACCCACCTCAATCGGCATGACTGTGGGCTCGTCGGCATGGCCCGCGACCATCTCGCGGCCAGTCGATCTGCACCCGGCGACCTTGTCGAACACGCTGGCCACACTACTCCACCACAGAATGACCTGGCTGTCTGGAACTGGCTTGACATGGCGTTGGTTCGCGACCAGCCATTCGGCCCTAGCCTGTTGCTTCTTCGCAAGGACCAGCTGCGTCATAGGTATCTGGCCGTGAGCAGGATATGCCCCAAGTGTCGTATCCTGTCTGGAATATACCTCCGTCAAGCGCTGAGGCCATGGCTTTTGGCTCTTTCTTTCTTACTCCAAGCTCAGTCGAGCTTGTTCTCCCCTCGCCGTCTTCATCTCTTTCCTTTGCGAGACTCCTTGAGCAACTGAACTCAACTCATTCCGCGCCAACCACAACAAGAGATTGACTGCTTTGTGATATCAGCTACGCCTCACTCCACCCCCTACCCGATCTACCCTATGTCTTTATCGTCGAGCGGGCCGACCCAACTCCAGGGACGTCATTGTTCTCACTAACATTGAGACGTCTTGGTCGACATAATTTCAGCGGCACCCCCTTCTTCGGGCGTCGATCTCGAGCCACAGTCAGGACATCAAGAAATTTTTGGACGCACAAAGTCAGAATGCCCAGGCGCCGGTTTGCGCTTTGGGCGGCTTCAGCAGCTGCCGTACATACAGCCGCCTCAGCGGTACCAACAAACGAGCTGTTTACGCGACAATCATCTTGCGCGCCAAGCTTCAGCCGATGCGACAATCCCAACTTCCCAAACTATTTCTGCTGTCCTTCCGGGCAGAGATGCATCACCCTCGCTGGGAACACGACACTACTGTGCTGCCCAGAGGGCTCCGACTGTCGGAGGATCAAGCCAGTACCCTGCGACATCACACTGCAAGATGGCGAGAAGAACCCCGACGCTGTCGTTAAGACTACCGCTCTCGGGGGTACTTTGGAGCGCTGCGGCACTCAATGCTGCCCGTTTGGGTACTCGTGCAGAGACGGCCAGTGCGCCATGGACCAAGACCAGAAACCAGCCCCGATACAGACGAACACGGCAAAACCAAGCGCTACGTCCACGAGTAGTGCCAGGACAAGCGCCACTTCAAGCGCCGAGTCCACTCAGACAGCAAACCCTACCAGGTCAGCTGACGACACGAGCACAACAAGCAGTTACCCCGATGAAGTGAGCAGCTCGGACAGCGGGCCCCCCGTTGCCGCCATTGCCGGCGGCGTCACTGCCGGCCTGGTCGTTCTCAGTGGCGCTGCCTTATTAGCCTTTATCTTCCTGAGGAGGAAGAAGAAGAGGGAAAGCCAATCGAGGACCCCTCCCAAGCTGTCCCGCTCGACATCGTCGTTTGGCAACTTCATCAGCGCTCCCATCATGCAGGAGAATGCCTTCCGCAGTGACTTTAGCAGAGCGTCACCCCCCCGCGAGGCCGTCGAAGAACCCGCCTCGGTCACGGCAGCTCTGATCGACTCATCAGCGAACTCGCCAGAAACCGGAGCAACGCTGGCCGTCCCGCCGGCTGCGGCGCGGGCCTCGCAGCGCCTGAGCGGCGTTGCACTCGTGGGCTACGGCGAGATCCAACCGTCGCATTACGCACAGCAATACGAGAATTCACCCTTTGTCGACATGCCCTATGTCGACCACGACAGCGGGTCCGTGCCGCAAACGCCCCCGCAGCACCGCGAGCCCAGTTCGGTCAGCATCAACGTGTTTGCCGACCCAAACATCACTCCGGACAGGACGCCCGAGAGCAACGTCGACCGCCGGTACACCAACATGACCACCTTCACGCAAATGCTGGATAAGGCTGACCTCGGCGGTATGGCGCGGGGCGAGTCTTATCTGGCCTACGATCCCAATAATGGACAGGCTTCGCAGACGCCGAGGAGGTGATGCCCCTTGAGGGGGCACACAGAAGTTCGAGCTTGATGCCGAGGACCGGTGTGGCGCTGGTTCTGAATTTACCAGTTTTGCATAGCTACAGAGGCAGTTTGGGGTTGGGTGTGGCGTCTGGTTTGGTCCAAAAGGAGGAGGCAGCACTCATTTGCGCTTCCATCGGGTACTCGGCATGAGCATGGAGCGGTTGTAGAAGGGGCAAGATTTCATACCCAGATAGATACTTTGCCAAGTTTGACTTCACTCTGTATATATTTTAATGACATTATTCATGATTGCTTGAAATGTTTCTTTGCCCCGTCATGTCTTACATGTACCTCGCGATGACTGTAACGGACCGAGTCACTTCCCGTCGTCCATGGCCTCGATGAAGTTGGGTGCAATTCAGCTTTACATGCCAGCATGCCAGACCAAGCTGCGATGCACAACAGCAACGGCTCAGCCAGCCCACTGGCCTGCAAAGATTGTGCTTGGTGAACGGAGAGCTTATACAGGCACCTCAAGGGCCATAATCGAGTGCACGGCGTCGGGCTGATAGGATGTTGAAACTGTTGGTAGGACTGAAAGTAAACAGGCTTTTTGGGAAACCGAATAACAAGAAGCTCACTAACCAGCCCTATTCCCGCGCCGGTCGAAGAGAGGTGGTTGGCTACGAAACACCCCAGGGAGTTTTGCTCCTTTCATCGGCAGTCGAACCCGGCGATTTCGGTTGCTGAAGTTCAGACCAGAACTCCTTCCAATACCGCTGAGCCAAACTCGGTATTGGCTCATTGGGAGGAGGTGGTGCTAGTGTGAGCGTGAATACTGGTATGTGAAGCTCTGGCGGGGCAGGCATGCAGGGTGTGAGTTCGGATGGAAGGTCAGGAAGCCAGGTAGCCATGCTCGCTGGTCGGACTGACGCCGGTAGATACACTTTCCCTTACATCCAACAAATGCACCCATCACCCCCTCGATCCAACATGCACTCCCTGGCGAGATAAACAACCATCATGACCACGTCACACCTTCTTCTTCCCGGCGACCGCCGCCCCAGCGGCCTTCCTCTCAGCCGCCTCCCGCTCCGCCTTGGCGTAATCGTCCGCCTCCTTGCGCTCGGCATACCACTGCCCGGCCTGCAGCACCAGCACCCCAACCAACACCAGCGCCAGGATCACATGGCTGGCGCTCAGCACCCGGAGACTATCCTCCCGACCCAGCACCACCTCGCCCGTCAGCGGACCGCTGTGCACCGTGCCCTCGAACCTCTCCGTCCTGTCCCCGGCTCCGGACACGGCCGCCGCCGCCGCCAGTCCACCGGGTTGGCTGACTGCCCGCATGCCCTTGACGATGTTGCTGAGGTAGACGCCCGCACCAATGACGTACAAGATCAGGCTGCCGCCGTCAAAGAGCACGTTGGCTTCGGAGGGGCGGAAGAGCTTGATGAAGAAGCCCAGGAAACCGACGAAGGCGATGATGTGCAGCATGCGGGCGATTAGGGGGGGCGACTGGTGCATGAACCGTAGATGGGTCTCGAGGTGGTCGAGGTAGGACGGCGGGATCGGGTCTGACGTCCAGAGGAGCGGGAAGTCGTAGGGGAAGGAGGCGAAGAGCATGCCGAGGCAGAAGCATACCGCTGGTGAGTTGGTTAGTGTGTGAGGAGGGATGGGAGGTTGGGGAGGGGGAAGGGGTTGGGGGAGACGTACGGCCGATGATCAGAAAGGTTGCGAAGGATCCGGACCCGCGGTAGTCTTTCGACCGGGTCGTTTTCGACCAGTCTACCCACTGAGTGGGCATCTTGGCGGTGGTGTTGGCGGCGGGCGACGGGCGACAGGTGACAGGCGCGCAGTCCTCGGGCGGTGAGGTTGGATGTTCGAGATTGCTAGACTGCCGCTGACGTCGTTGGTCTCGGCGTTCAGGGCGTTCAGGAGATAGCGTTAACCAACGACAGACCCGGATAGCTTCAGGTGACTTGTGCCGCGGCGCGTCGGTATGGAGCGCAGGAGTCCTATTAATGGTCCTTATTAACACCACTGGCTGACACTGCGCTTGCAACGGAGAGGGGATATCGGCGGCGTTGGCGACTGGGGACACGATGTCGTGCGGCTGGTGGAGAGCTCGGAGATTGGAGGCTTTTGAGCTTGCATGTGCCATGTGGTGCCAAAATCTCCGAGATAAGATGCCCCACTTTTCATTGTGCGGATAGCGGTGTTCTGGTTAGCCGGGTGTGAATGAAGCTGACTACACTTTCGAGACCGTTACACTGTAGTGGCTCCGTTTCTATTCACCGGTAAATTACACGGTACGGGATACGGTTGTCATTTTCCAAGGGAACAATATCCTGTTGCTTTCGCATCATCGTTGTTGAACGGGCACATCTCGACTCCAGCTCTTACGCAGTGCTCGTGTCGATATGCTTCATCAGGTGCTCAGGGTACCTGGTGCCCACCGGCGAAAACTCCTTCACGATTCTCTCCAGCTCGACCATGTCCTCATCGCTCAACTCAATCTCGACCGAGTTCTCTCTCACCCGCTCGGGCTTTGACGCACCGGGGATGGGAATGATCCTGGGCATGCCGGGTCGCCGCGACAGGGCGAGAAGCCATCCGATGGCTACCTGGCCCGGCGTGCAGCCTTTCTTGGCCGCCAGCTTCTCCACCTCCTTGACCATGCGAAAGTTGCCCTCGAACACATCGGGCTGGAACCGAGGGAGGTGTCGGCGGAAGTCACCTTCGGGGAGATCATCGAAGGACTTGATCTGGCCGGTGAGTATCCCGCGGCCGAGGGGGGCTGGACGGGGCCAGCTGTAAGCAGGCTAGCCTTGTCTGCATTAGGGGGTGTTCTTACAGTATGCGAGGATGGGTATGTCGAGTTCGGCACAAGCCTGCGCGATGCCGTTTTCGAGCGGGTCAGTTGCCCACAGCGACATCTCAACTTCTACGGCTTCGATCTTGGCCACCCCGGCTGCCCGACGGATGGTGGCGGCGCTGACCTCGCTAAGCGTGATGCCGCCAATGTTGCCCGCCTCGACCTGCTCCTGCAAGGCGGCCACGGTGACTTCAATCTCGGTGTTGGGGTCCTTCCGGGCGGGCTCGAACTGGTCGATCCGGCCCTTGCCGCCAATCAGGCGGACCGAGTTCTCGACACTCCTCTTGACCCCCGCAGGCGAGCCGTCCGGAATCAGGGTGGTCAAGTCGGCGCATCCCTTGATGTTAAGCACAATCCTGTCTTGGTCCTCGGGATACCTTTCGTAGTACTTATTCAGGAGTGTAAGTGAGTTGTTGTCCTGCGGGCCGTAGAACTCGCCGCCGTTTATGTAGTTGCAGCCGCTCTCGAGGGCGATTTTGATAGTGGCGAAGCTCTGCTCCTCCGGGAGCCTGTCGGGACGCCATGTCAGGCCTGTTTGCTTGTCAGACACCGGCTTTTGACCTGTATCAAGTTGTTCGATGAGGGCTTACCCATCAGACCGAAGCCGATGTTGCCGACCTTTTTGCCGTGAATTGTGTGGCCCATATTTTTGTCTTGTTGCTATGAGTATGAAGGTTGGCTATTCTGGAGTATGAGTTCCCAGATAAGGTAGCGAGTGGTTTCCGTCCCCCTGACCGGCTTCAGAATCCCCGTATTTATGTTTGAGGGCGAACAAATCCAGAGGATGGATCATCCGGAGTTAATGGTCTTAGGGAGAACAAAATCGAAGTAACCCTCATTGACCTGGCGGGTCCCCGTTGTCGCCGTCATTCAAGAATCAAGACCCCTCCCGGATAATGCGGAGTTAATAGCCAGCAGGCCCCAACCAGTCAAGACCCTGTTCTCGGTCGGTGCCCATCATCATGTTACAGCACCTTAATGGAAAGTAGAAAGACTGTGATGAGAATCCGGACGATTGAGAGTTGGTGCCATGGCGAGGACGATTTCGGAAGAGGAAGCCGTGTTAAGGCGGTTGCCATTTTTGCGAGTCAATCAGGCCACGCCACTGTTTCTTATTGAGCACCGAGCGAGTTGTGGAAACGTGCTGCTGCCGGCGAACAGCTCTTCCTGAGTGCTCTCTCATGGCTAAGATTGAGTGAGGATGCATGATCCTATCCTAGATGCAGGCGTTCTTGTATATGGGATCAACAATATGGTGTGTATGCTAAGTCTCTAGCATAGCCTCCACGGTTAAAAATGGCGATGTTTGATTCGCTGCTTGAGGGGAAGGATCTTGTTATCCAGTGGTCTGGGCGAAGTCCAGTGGGTAGAAATAGGGCCTACGGGGCACGTGATAAATCCAGGCCATGCATCATGATCACTTCCACTCTTATCAGACTATGACGTACGGCCATCTCGAACCACGAGAGCTTCACCTTCGTACCTTAGTACGGTATTTCATGGGTCAAGCTCCGAAACAGGATCTGACAACACAGTGGATGCATTCTCTCACATTGCGGACACCAGTCGCCATCCGCGGCTGCTCTAACGCCTTCTATACCGTCGATGCCGTGCCGTGTCGCTTCATTCCCGGATAGCCAAGCCAGAACCACAAAGAAGGTGCCAAGCAGCAGCTTCCGATCATACCATGTCTGCAAATGATGCAACCGCGCCTGCGCCTGCGCCTAGACCCAAAAGCTCGACTCTCCAGCTGACAGGACGGAGATCTTCGAGGGATCGCATTCGGGATATTCTCGAGGTTAGTTAGTTGCTCTTTATTGAGCCCTCACCTTAGTTCCGGTGTACTCTGGGGTGCGGCGTGTGCGCCCAGACCATCCAATTGTTTCCCCACATTTGGTCTTCGATTCAGCGCGATCAAAGACAGATCTTCCGCGGGCCGACAAATTATTCAGGTCGGCATAGATGGCTCGCCTTACTGAGGCGGTATTTGGGCCCTTGGTGAACACTATCTTTACCCTCACTGTTCGTACGCCAACCAACAATGTCTCGCTGATGCGCGCCACATCCGCCCCCACGCAGCACGTGCTAGGTGCACTACGGGTGAAAGCTGACCTGTGTCACCTCACAGGGCGCCCGCGAACGAGCCGAGTCCCTCGATCCCATTTCAGCGAACGTCAGCCCTAGGCTTCAGCCTCTACTCGGGCCTCGGCGCAGAGCCAGCGACCCCTTCGGTTCCATCTCACCTCCCGAACTCGCAGACGATGGACCTGGCGTGGTGACGTCTCAGCCGGAACGGCAACAGAGCATCAACTATCAAAGTACGATTGAGTCAAGCCCGGCAGTACGAAGGAGATCTGGGCAAAGCAGGAAAACTTCAGGCCAGCAAGGCCAAGCGCCGTTACAGCCACCTGCGCTGGGGGGAGACGAAACTGAGGAACAGCGGCAGGTTGAACCTCGGTGGAAGCGCAGCTTGCGCTACTTCAAAAGCATCGAGCTCGAGAACAAAGGGAGTGTTGCGCGCGATCACCTGGCATTAGGTGGGTTCGCTTTTGTATGGGGTCTGTGAGGGACGAGCTGACCGAGAGACTCCTAGAACGCACATTTCTCGCCTGGCTCCGAACCTCTCTAGCCTTTGCCTCGATTGGCATCGCCATTACACAACTCTTTCGTCTGAACACGTCTTTTGCGGGTGACTCTCAGCGGGCCGAGTCGCTACGGCGCCTGGGCAAACCTCTCGGCACCACATTCTTGGCCCTTAGCATCCTGATCCTGCTCCTGGGATATAACAGGTATCTTCAGGGGCAGTACTGGATCATCAAAGGCAAATTCCCCGCGAGCAGGGGCACTATTTTGATAGTATCGTTTACCGCGTTCGCGGTGACCCTGGCGTCCTTGGTTATAATTCTTGTGGTGCAGGGCGACCACCTGTGACTAGCGGGACGTCTTCAAAACAAACCTTTGTCACTACGGCATCGGGTTGAACGGGCTTGGCTGGGGGTGGGTGTCGATCTGACTGTGCAGACGCGGCATGGCAATGCTCTATGTGGTGGATGGATGATGAGGGTGGAAGGGAGCCGTACTATGACAACGACCTTGTAAGTGAAGCCGAAGATGAGCGCTAAATATTCCACCAATGCTCAATATAACATAATAATGAAGAAATATCTCGATCAGTCAAAACAAATCTTGATCTCGCAATTGGGTTGTTGTCGCAGCGTCTGTCAAGGTACCCAACCTTGCACATGTTCCACCCAAACCGTCAAACCCACCTTTTCAACAGCCCGCATCCAATACTCTAACAAACACAGCTCTCTCAACTCAATCGTCACCACAGCCGCCATCAACCGTGCGACTCAAGTGAAGGAGAGAAACCTATTGAACCCTCATTCTCAGGGAAATCAACGAGAAAAAGCCAAAGTGAAAAAAAATAAGAGAGAAATGACAATCGACATATCCCAATTCGCCTCAACCCAACTGTCCCTCCTCGCCAGCGAACTTGCCGCCGAGATCGCCGAGTCCTCGGCCCTCGTCTCCCTGCACTCTCCGCAAGCCCTGCAACGCGCCGGCGTCGCGCTGGCCAACCTCATCGTGTCTGCGCAGCGCACCGGCCTGGGCGGAAAGACTGTTGTTGAGCTTGCGCCGGATCCTGCTACTACTAGCACAAGCACTAGCACTAATAGTAGTGGTGGTGGTGGTGATTTACCTGAGCATGGGATTCGGGTGGGCGATATTGTGCTGCTGGCGGAGCAGGGGTCTGGGAGGGAGCGGAAGAGGGAGGTGAGGGAGATGGAGGGGAGCGGGGTCAAGGGGGTTGTTACGAGGGTTGGGAGGGCGGTGGTTGCTGTTGCGGTTGATGAGGGTGGTGGGCAGGGGAAGAATGAGGATGGTGAGGGGTTTGTGGCGATGCTGGGGGAGAAGAGGGTTTGGATTGTCAAGGTGGCTGATGATGTTACTTTTAGGAGGTGAGTTTGTCTCTGATTCGGGGGGAAGGGGGGGTTATACTGAGGAGAGGGATGCTGATGAGACAGGATGAATGCTACAATGGAGAAGCTGGCCAAGATGGAGGAGCGGGAGTACAGTCCGTTTATCAGGGTTCTGTTTGGGCTGTCGTCTCCGTCCCCTGTGCCGGCGGACTTGGAAAGGGATGAGGAGGCAGGCGAGATCGAGTGGGTTGATCCGACGCTGAATGACAGCCAGAAGGACGCCATCCGGTTCGCGCTGGCGTCGAGGGAGATTGCGCTCATCCATGGGCCGCCGGGGGTGAGTCGCTGATGGTCTGCGGAAGGTTACCAGCACTAATTACATTCAGACCGGCAAGACACACACCCTCATCGAACTCATCCTGCAGCTCCTCAAGCGCAACCTCCGCATCCTCGTCTGTGGACCCTCCAACATCTCGGTCGACAACATCGTCGAGCGCCTGGCCCCGCACAAGGTGCCCCTAATCCGGCTGGGCCACCCGGCCCGCCTGCTGCCCTCGGTGCTCAGCCATTCGCTTGACGTGCTGACGCGCACCTCGGAAGCGGGCGCCATCGTCAAGGACGTCCGCGCCGAGATGGACGCCAAGCAGGCGTCGATTCGCAAGACGCGCAGCGGCCGCGAGCGCAAGGCCATCTACGCCGAGCTCAAGGAGCTGCGCAAGGAGTACCGCGAGCGGGAGCGGCGGTGCGTGAGCAACCTGGTAGCGGGCAGCAGGGTGGTTCTAACGACGCTGCACGGAGCGGGCGGGTTTCAGCTGCGCGACGAGCAGTTCGACGTGGTCATTATTGACGAGGCCAGCCAGGCGCTCGAGGCGCAGTGCTGGGTGCCGCTCCTGGCGGCGAAGAAGGCGATCTGCGCGGGAGACCACCTGCAGCTGCCGCCGACGATCAAGTCGCTTAATTCTAAGAACAAGACCACGAGCAGAAAGAGCAAGGACGGCGCAGAGGTAAAAGGGGCTACGCTGGAAACAACGCTTTTCGATCGCTTACTGAAACTCCACGGGCCGTCCATCAAGAGGATGCTCACGACGCAGTACCGCATGCACGAGAAGATCATGCGGTTTCCGTCGGACGAGCTCTACGAGGGCAAACTGATGGCCGCCGAGTCGGTCAAGGCGAGACTGCTTATCGACCTGCCTTACGACGTCCAAAAGACCGACGACACGACGGAGCCGCTCATCTTCATTGACACGCAGGGCGGCGATTTCCCGGAGAAGAACGAGGACGAGCAGGATAGAGGCGCGAGCAAGAAGCTGACCAAGAGCAGCCTCTACGGGGACAGCAAAAGCAACGAGATGGAGGCGGCGCTGGTGAGGCAGCACGTGCGCAGTCTGGTGGACGCCGGGATACGGCCCGAGGATATCGCGGTGGTGACGCCTTATAATGCTCAGGTGCGTATCCCCCCTTCTGCCGCTGTTTCCCCCGACGACATCTTACGGGATGTTGGTCTTCCAAGTCATGCCGTGTGCGGCGAACCGGATCCCGATGGTTGCATGGCATAGGACTGACAGAAATTGGGACGAACCAAGCTTGCGATTCTGGCACCGCTAAAGGAGATGTTCCCGGGCATTGAGCTTGGCAGCGTCGACGGCTTCCAAGGCCGGGAGAAGGAGGCCGTCATTGTCAGCCTCGTGCGGAGTAACCCGGACGGCGAGGTCGGCTTTCTGGGGGAGAAGCGCCGGCTGAATGGTAAGTCAAGTATCCAGCAACCAGTGGGCATTTATGAATGAACGCGGATCACCGCGGGTCACATCTCGCCGCATTCCCATCGATTTCCGTCAGTGCGGCGTGCCGCAGCCGTGTTGTGGGAGATTAGGCCTGTTAATGCAGGGTACAGTGGCCATGACACGACCCAAGCGGTCGTTGACAGTTATTGGGGATTCGGAGACGGTCAAGAGGTGAGTTTTCTAGACCCTCTGGAGCCAACTTGAACACGACAACTGACTCAGTCACGTTTCCGTCTCCCGTCAGGGGCAGCAAGTTCTTGAAGGACTGGATGGAGTTTCTGGAAGAGAACGCCGAACTCCGGTACCCGGACTTGGCGGCCCTGGCACAGGAGGCATGAACGGAGCGGGGCGGCGGGATCGAGAACAGAAATTCGTGACCCCCAATGTTTATGCAATACATCTATCTGGCCGAATGTTCGGAACGGGTCTGGAAGCTCCGGTGGAAGCTGTTCCAATTGCAGGAGTAGAAATTTTCTCGGCATCTGATTGCTTGTCCCACACAAGGCTTGATGGTGGCATTCCTGCTGCGTTGCTGTTCGACCGCGTGGAGGTGGGCCGTCCGAAAACCGGTGAAACTGGAAAAGGGTTAGGGTCAAACCGCATTCTTGCGCGTCGCACTTTATAGCATAGATAGAGTTGCCGTGCCGCTTGCGACTCTGGCAGTTCATCTTGTGTCATCAGTCATCGGTTGACGAGTTGACGTCGGACGGGAACAACGGGAAGGGAAGTGGAATTCGGATGAGGGTGCGCTTCTGCGGGAACCTTGCTCGCCTGACCCTAGCGTTTCAGACCCTGGTTCTTGGAGCTAAGTGGGGAACACGTGAGCCTCGAGAGCTGCCAAGACGTGGCCAGGCTTGGGCTTTGAATGCCCCTTTTCCTGCGCCAGACTCGACTGAAGGGACGGGAGGCCATAAAAAGTATCTTGCACCTCATCAATGGAAGGCAAACTCGCAGTGTCTCATGGATCTCAGTGGACCTCAACGTTAGTTACAGGTCACGGCATCAACTTGGGGATTCCGCACCCTGCGGGCTTCGCCGTTGCTTGTAGGCAGCCTGTTTCCTGCCGTCTGGTTGTTGAGGCCCGAAAGCGCACCTGCATATCCTGGACGTCGTGTAAACCAAACAGCCGCGCTTGAGGTGGTGTTCTGTGTCTTGGATTGGCTGAATTGCTTGTGTCATGTTCATGGGCAGCAGAATCCATCGAGGCACCTGGGCATTGCATGCAGTTTCAAGCCCGGTTGGATTAACTCTCCAACCTGGTTGGCAAGGCTTTCTGGCTGTTATGAGCGTGCGTATGCGGGCGGCGATAGCAATTTGGTTGATGCTGGTTACGGGCACGGCCGGCGTTGCTAATTGTAAATCAGCCGGGCAAAGCATGTCCAAGTCCACGACACGGATACGGCGCCCGGCTCCCAGATTTTTTCCAAAGTCTGGAACGCTCGGGGTCGAGCAGATCATAGATGGAAGCAAGTCGGCGATAAGATAACCTCGGCGAATTAACTCGCTACCTCGTACCTACCTAAGTTGAAATCAAACCGTGAGACAGAAAGCACGTTCTTACATCGCGTACCTGCTCTCGCACAGCAGCTTCAAAGTTCCTGACAGACAAACAATTTTACCCATCCTTCTTGTTACGGAGTAGCACTCGATTTTCCAAAGGTTTTGAAGCAACTCTCAGAACGGAATAGCGCAAGACTTGCATCGGGTTTCTCGACCGAAATGGTCAACGCCCACGGCCACCAACAAGGACCCCGGGGTTGATGGCAGTGCAGCTCAGTCGCTTTTGAAGACTCAATTCAGACAGTCTCCTGCATCCAGAGCTGAGCCTGTTCCCTTTCCCCTGCAATGGCCCTGTGAGGGTCAAACTCAAGCGGACGCACGGACACTGAGCTCTCGTGCCGCATTCAGTCAGTTACGGATACTTTATTGATGAAGCCGGACAGAGACAAGGCTCACACCCTTTCCCCACCCTGCGGCCCCTCATGCCCCCCCATTACACCCATCACCGTCGCAGCCATGCCATCCTTGCACCTGCATCGCCAGCTTGGGGCGACCTAGGGGGTCTCGGCCGGCGCAGCATGTTGGACATTAATATCCGCCATTGGTGCTGCTTTCTTCGCCTTCGCGGGGCTGGTATGCCGTTTATCTCGAGGTGCTGCTGGTTTGCGTCCCGCGCCCTCGCGTCGACCAACCAACCCTTCGCCAGAGTCGATCACGATACCCGACGCAGCGGACCAGGGTGTGCTGTGCTTTTGAGCTTCGTTCTGTCCACTTGTTGTCCATCAACTGGCCTGACCGGATCATTCCATTCCTTTTTATAAGCCGCCACCTCGCTGTATTGTACCACTCCGAGTTCCCGCACAGCCAGCAGCCATTCTTTCTCGACAGGTGGACCAGCATTACGTCTCTTTGGCAGGGACCAACTTGCTCTGGGAGCAGGAACAAGGAGCCGCATCGCTGGCCATGCGGTGCCTGTAACGGTGGCACATCGCAAGGGCTGTCATTTCCCCCCAGGATCACCCAAGCAAGGCGCACGAAAAGACTGACAGACCTGCGACTCGGTGTGCCTATTTTTTGCTTGGTTGTTGCTCGGTGGTGCGCAGATGGCTGCTGGTGCACGGCAGCCTTATCAACCCCCTCTGTCCGCTCTCATCCGCCCACAGGACCCTTCTCCTTAGATCCGTCGCTATACACAGCGGACCTGTACCGTCCAACGGCCGCCGCCATGCCGAGCATCTTCGGGAAGTCCGGCTCCACCGCCAGCCGTGCCAAGATCCGGAACAAGTCCATCCGCGGAACCATTTCGGCTCCGATACCGTTACCCCGGAGTCCCGAAGACGACGAGTTTCCAATTCGGAACTCGAAGCCGGCCAAAGCGTCAGTGGCGGCCGACGATGAATTCCCAATGCGGACTCCGGGTACCGGAATCGCCATACCTCTGCCGCCGCATCTGAGTCCGGGACCATCGCCAGAGGAGCCAGTTGAACAGCCAGGAGAGCCTGCGGTCAGAGAGCAGCAGAGCCAACCGACCGGTGACGGAGAGCCTGGCTCCGATAGCAGTACGGAACGTGAGCAAGATCAGAGGAAACTGCAGGCCCCCGCACCTGCCGCCGCATTTGCGTCAGTCAGCGGCAGCTCAAGCGACAGCCGCACGGATTTGTTGGCACGGGAGACCCGGCCGGAACCTCCCTCCACTCCGCCGCCGGAGCCTCCGCAATCTTCAGCATCTCGCCCAACATCGCGCCCAGCATCACGGTCGCCCCCAACCCAGTCTTCAAGGAAAGATTCGCCGTTAGCCGTCTCTCCCTCGCCGGTTCTTCCACCAACGAGGAGAGCCACAAATCCTGTTCTGAGTACCATGAGATACTCTGTTGTTAGCGACGCTCCCAGCAAGCATACCGCACAAAGCAAAGATGCTCCGCAGCGGAAGAAGTCAACACTGCGATCCGCTCTAGGAAGACTGTTCGGACGTGGCAGAAAGAAGAACATAAATGGAAACCAAGATTCTGGTGCGGCATCTGCGCGCGAGTCTGCACCACTGGCGCCAACTCAGCATCATAGCGTGAGTGTTTACCGCCAGACGTGACTGGGTAAGTCTTCTGACTGACAATTTCGACGCGTAGGATCCCACTGCACTTGTTCGACCCAGCCGAGGATCACCGCATCGCTCAGCCTCGCTCCCCATCAGTGAGTTTGATCGACCCCTGCGGTCCCACTCCATTGGCCTAGAGGACATCATGGCCATTGAGAGTGCGCGCAACTCACTACACGCTGAGACCGAAGCGCCTGGGTCTAGCACAGGGGCCGGTATCCGGCGGCGCGCTGCCACTACCGGCGGCCATACCTTATTGCGCCCCCACCTGTTCAACCGAGAGTTTGGCTCTGGCTTGTCTCCCCGGCCAGCCAGTGCACAGGGTCGGGCGATCCGGGCAGACCGGCGGCCCGAGGCCGAGGATCCCAGCGAGATTGGCCGGGCAATCGCAAGTGACAGCGGCGGGGGCCTTCGCCGGCGGTCCCGGAGCCTTTCCGGACTGCCAAACTTCGCCAGCGCGCAGCCCATGGGTCGTCGGCGGAGCGACGAGATTCGCTACTGGCGCGAGTCATACGACCCGGGATTCATGTCACCGCTGTCATCAAATGCACAAGACGATGTCGACGACACCGCCATGGCCGATGTGAGCGCGCCCGACAGCCCCGCTGTCGAGAGGCCGCCCAAGACCCCTCCTCAGCCCTTCAACTTTGGTCTTCTCCAAAAGGAGATGATTGGGATGAAAATAACGCATGCAGCCGACATGGACACGCGCCTCGTCAACCTCGAGTCCCGTACTGTGCAGCTGGAACGAGTGGTGGACCACATATGCCACGCAGTCCCCGGGTTCAAGACACCCGCCGGCCAAGTGGACATGTCTCAGCCAGGCAGCTCACGGCGCTCGATAGAACCCGACGCCTGCTCCCAGGTCTTGTCGGGTGAATACCCCGCCAACACCGGGTCTCTGTATCCGACCTCACCCTCTGTTCCCCAAGCCAAGGCCCCCATCCCATCCGCAACGCCCCTCGCCTCGAACCGCCCTGCATCCGGCTCCACGGCCCGTGGCGCGGCGAGTTTCCCAACCCCGGGGCACGGGCCCAGCACCACCACCCCCAACACCGACACCAAAACCACACGCAAGGACGTGAACGAGGTAATCGCGCAGCTCCGAGCCGACCTCGACGCCGAACGAGCCGCCCGGCAAGCCCTCGAGGCGCAGGTCAAGAAGCTGTCGGAGCGCGTCAACACGCTCTCAACGACCATGTTCGCCATGGTGCGCCGGGCGCCGTCCGAGTTGTCGCGCTCCTCCCAAGAGCGGCTGGGGCAGCCGGGGTCGTCGAGTTCAATGGCACTTGGGAGCTCACCGCCCAAGGGCTGCAGCAGCGGTCTGCTCGTCGTACAGTCGGCGCCGGCGCCGGCACCGGCGTTTATGCTGCTGCCGCAGGAACAGTTGTCTGTTTTCGAGGAGACGGATGATGAAGATGATGATGAGAATGGCGAGGGTGGAGATACCGAGGGGCGAATTGAGAAGAAGAGGCAAGAGTCGTCATCGCTGACGGCCCCGGGCGGGTTGGAAGAGGAGGGAGAGATTACCGAGGATGATTTCCAGACGCCGAGAGAAGAAGGGACGCCGTTTGTGGTCGGTTATGGGGTGTTGGGTGAGGACTTGGGGCCTGTCGAGGATGATGGTGATGATGATGGTCGCGAGGAGGGGGAGGAGGAGGAGGAGGAGGAGGAGGACAATTTGCGGGCGAAGAAGGCGGCAAGGACGCTCAGTCTGAGCCAGCTCACGCTGGGGAAGGGGCAGCGCACTAGGATATGAGGGAGTTCTGCGTCGGGGTTCGCTTCCTGGGTAATGGGGTCTAAGACGGGGAGCCGGTTTTCGCCTGGCTGTTTCCATGACACGAGGCCGCTACGGCCGCATCACAACCAGCGTACGACACGTCTGCCTTGACCAAGCACGAAAGGGCGACATCTCCATGGCCGATCCTTTTGTATTAGTCAATTATCTCATCCTATGCATCTACGCAGCGATCTCGACTTGCATCTAGCGGTACGGCGGCGGCGGGCGGACCTTTTCTTTGGCCCAGTAAACGACGCGTATACTTTCTCCTTTCCACTGTGGTTGTCATCATGGCTTTTGGTTCCTTGACGAGCTGTCCTTAATCATTGTACACTAGATACTCCTCCTGAGGATTTCCAGGCGGACGCTGACTAATTTTGGCTGTCTCTTTTCTTCCCTGGGTGGTCATCGCCTGGTACTAGCAGCATAGCGAGCGCAGAATGCCATCCTTGGTGTCATTCGTATCGTCATGTTGCCCATGTTTACTAGACAGTCGACTGCCAGGTGGTTTTATTTTTTCTGGCTTTTGAGGGAGAGCCTAATCAAGGCCTAACCACAGGGTGTCAGTTTCGGGCAAAGAATGACTCGTTATCGCGAGCATATGGATGTCCATGAGGGACCTTGACCGTAAAGGAGGCGCTTGTCTTCTCGGCTCTCCTGCGTCAGCCAAGAGACGGATGTGACTGAAGCCAAGAAGCTTGCCCTATGTAGACCACATTATCAATCTTCGTGAGCTACCCGACGTCTGTGACGCTCTGGTTGGAGATGTGTATACATTTCCCGTCTGCTCTCCCAGTTTTCCTTCTGTTTCTTCCTTCCTTTCTTCTTTTGCAGTGGGAGAGAAATGCTGATCATCTAGCAGTGCCGGTCTAAGCATCGAACAGCGTAAGCCCGCGACACTCGCCGTTGAGCTTGTGACGAAGCCTACGCTCCTTTCCCTAGCGAGCCGATTCCGGCCATGATGGGCCATTTGCCTACAGCGTTGTGCGCTTCTTGAGACGCCTCGTTGACGGCGGCCGAGCGGTCCTCGTAAGAAACCCTCCCCAACCAGATTGCTGTCTCACTCTTGACGGTACTCGCCATCAAGCCTTGCTAGTGCTCAATCCATCAAACTCTCGGCCGTGCTCTTCGAGGCGTTTGACTCGCTTCTGCTCCTGGCCAAGGGTGGCCGCATGGCTTATCCTGGAGAGAGTGGGTGACCGGGTAACCGCTTTACTTGCTCCCTATCACAGCGTTGACCTCTTATAGTTGGAAAGGACTCGGTTAAAAGTCCTCGACTATTTCGCGCGCAATGGAGCCCCATCCGCCGAAGACACAAGCCCGGGACGACCACATTGTGGAGGTCATCTAGGGAAATAGCGAAGTCAAACTTGACTAGGTGGATATTTAGAGCCGATCTCTGGAGCGTCAGCAAGCACTCGGCAAGCTCATGTCCCTGAACCAGCAGAGCGCCGCTTCGAGCGCGGACAAGGACCCAGAGGTCGGTTCAGAGTGTGCCTCTCCGAAATGGTTTCAGTTCAAGATGGTTATGCACCGACTAGTGATACAGAGAAGGCCTAAAAGCTTGCAGCAGATGGCTTCAATTCTACGAAACGGGCACACAAAACACCACGTAACGGAGGTCTGTCAAAGTCTTGACAAAAGTTGAGAGCTGTCCCTACTAGGGCACAATATCTCTCCGTATAGGGTGGGTATCAAGAATGTGGTATTTCCACAACGCTAAACGCTACCACTTGAAAGTAATAGTTTTCGTCTTAACCCACTCCGACAATCCATGCCCCGCATTAAACCTCCCATACCCCGACGCCTTGGCACCGCCATGCGGCAGGGCGCTCTCGTCGTGCACCGTCATGCTGTTGATGTGCACCGCGCCCGTCTCAATCTCCTTGGCGAACCGCAGACCCCGGCGCAGGTCCTCGGTGAAGACGGCCGACGAGAGGCCGTACTCGGTGTCGTTGGCGATCCGCAGCGCCTCCTCCTCCGTCTCGATCTCGATCAGCGACACAGTCGGGCCGAAGCTCTCGGTCTTGTAAATGTCCATGTCTGGCGTGACGCCGCCAATGACGACGGGGCGCATCCGGGTGGCGCTGGCCTCCTCGGCGGTATGTTTGCCGTAGAGGAGCGAGGCGCCCTTGCTGAGTGCGTCGTCGACAAGTTTCTTGTTCTTGCTGACGCCGACGGCGTTGATCAGGACCGGGGTGTCCGTGTGCGCGCCAAACATGTTGTCGATGGCGCCGATGAATTTCTTCTCAAATTCGGCGCGAATCTTCCTGTGCACGATGATGCGTTCTGTCGACATACAAATCTGGCCCGAATTGAGGAACGCGCCCATGACGCACTGCACGGCCGCGTTGTCCAGGTCGGCGTCCTCCCACACGATGGCGGGCGCCTTGCCGCCCAGCTCGAGGAGCACGGGCTTGAGGTGCTCCCCGGCAAGCTTGCCAATGATGCGGCCGACCATAGTGCTGCCGGTGAAGTTGACCTTCTTGATAATTGGATCGGCGATAAGCATCTGAGTAACGGCGGCAGCGTTAACAGGCTCATGGAAAAGCAGATTCAGCACGCCGGCCGGCAAACCAGCCTCATGCAAGACGGAGCAGAGACCCCACATGGTCCGCGGGCACAGCTCGGAGCCCTTCAGAATCGCCGTGTTACCAGCGGCAATCGGAAACAACACTGACCGAATGCCAAGGATATAGGGGGCATTCCTAAGACGGTGTCAGTTATATTCATTGCCGGTACAGTTGGTTGGTAGCTTACCAAGGGGCAATGGCAAGGATAACGCCAAAGGGTTCCCTGAGAATCATGGCGCCAGTGTTCGGGTCCGCTGCGGTGGGCATGCTACCTTCCAGGGTAACCAGCCTGCCCGCTACGTCAAGGATCATCTCTCTTGCCGTAGAGACGTTGAATTCGGCCCACCGGCGTGGGCAGCCTGTCTCGTTGATCATGTACTCGGTAAGTTCCTCTTTCCTCCTCTCCATAACCTCAGCGGCCTTCAGGAAGATGTCACGTCTCGTCCTTGGGAGCGACTTCCTCCATGTCTTGAAGGCCTCTGCCGCTGTGTCAAGGGCGGCGCGGACTTCAGTCTCCGTTGCGCTGGCGGCCTTATGGACAACTTTGCCTGAAGCCGGTGACACAACGTTGAACTTTCTCTCCGGGTGTACTTCTTCGCCGTTGATGAAGAAAGGGACCGGGGAACCCTCGGCGGGGGCGCCAGCGGGTGTGGACATGATGGGGAGAAGGAGTGGGAAACAGAGCGGCAGTGATATCGGGTGACCGTCAGGGCAGTAACGCAGTCAACCCCCGAGTGAGTGCAGGGAGCAGAGGTTGAGCGAGAACAAGCAAAGAATATCGTCGAAAGACGGAACCCAAAAGTCATCTCTAGTTCGAGGGTGGGGTAAGTACCCGGGTGGTTTGAAATCCAGACCGGGTCAACGTTCGGCAAGTGGAGGAGTTTCATCAACGGTGTGTTCTTCCGTGGCCACGGTTGGCCTTCCTTGGTCTGGTTGATGTCCATCCCCATTAGAAAATCCCTCGCCATTTACCTTTCACAAAGAGGGATCGGCCGAACTGCGGAATTCGGTAGGTGCTGAAGCAGCCGTTGAATTTCGCAGGGGCGAACCGCCTCCATGGCGAACTGCGACACATCCGAACGTTGCAATGCGGGGTTCAGGGTGGAGACTTGGAGATGCGGAGCGGAGATTCGGCATCTGCTTTTGATGTCGGGACGGGACTCGCCCCGGACGAGCCTACTTTGGCCCGTGCTACCAGCGATGCAGTTGTGGTCTCGAGTGTGGCTCGAGGGAATGCCGCTTTGAGAGCAAGTTCAAGAGCACCATGCAACGCATGGTTGAAGGACGAGACAGGATGCGAAAATCCATCAGCTGGAGTCCGTCGTCGACTTCCCCAAAATAGGGCGCTAGTAGATCCTCGGCCACGTGCCGATTAGGGGCAAATCAACGTCGTCGATCGAAAGAGGGGCTCATCGGAGTTAGTCGGCGATCCGCACCGGGATCTTCTGAGGCAAAGTGTGTAAAGGTCGGAGGGTAATATTGGGAGAACGGGCCCTCAGACGTTGAAAAGCGGATCATGAGACACAGGTCGGAGTATCTTGGCCGCTTGCCTGGCTCGCTGGGCCCCAAGATGTTTAGATGGAGAAGGCGCCGTTTGGATTCACAAAGGGGTGTGGAAGCGTTGTCATGGAAACCTGCCGGTACACCACTGCGAATTCTACCGTAGGTAAGTAAAAGCGAAAGACATTCGTGATTTGATCATCAATAGAGCAATGTTGTTGCCTCTTACCTTGGCTGGTCCCGGGCACACGGATTTCGGTTTCGCTTTTCATCCTCGCAGTAGTGTACGACAAAGCCGCAGATGGCCGTTGAGGAGATCGGAGCGGCCCTTTGATGAGTTGTTTTGATGGAATTGTTGATGCCATGTGGATGGTGCTGGTGCACTCACCAACCATATCACCCATTCCCAGGCTGGTGGTTTGGACAGTGGACAAAAGCGCAAGGAAACTTGGTTTTGGGCTGTCACAAGCAACAACTGCTACCAGCTGCGGGATGCATGCCGTCGACTAGAATTTCGGCTCCCACTAGGCGCACAAGCGGGCGCCCACTAGGGAAACGGGTCCGTATCCTTTGGATAAGCATTTCAATTGCATAATCACTCAAAATGCATCTAACAGACAGAACGTCTGCCCCACGCCTCCACTCTTGCCAAAGCATCGCCATCGCCATCGCTAAAGCATCGCCAGCGCTATGGAGACCTTCCCAGAGGCTGCCTTCCTCCCAAGGTCAAGTACTAAGCGGGAGCCCAGTCAGTTCGAGGTAGTTGAGGCCAAGGTCCAGGCAGTGCGACCTCGCCGAGCTCCGAGCAAGTGTACGAAGTGCCACGCATTTGGCCACACAAGGACCTCAAGGGCATGCCCTTTGCGGTATTCAGATGTACTGTAATGTGGGCGGATGCTGCGATAGATGCATGTTTAACGATTATGTAATCCGCTTGCTTATCTAATGCGCGCGGACCCGCGCATCTAGTGGGAGCCCGCGTGTGCGCCTAGTGGGAGCCTAGAATTTCCCCTGCATCGGGTAATCCGGCACCCCATGACCACGGTCAATTGCCAGGTTAACTTGTCCCAATGCAGAGGGTGTAGACGCTCAAAGGACACAGGAGACAGTCAACGCCATCTATTCCCGTATCTACGAGACTGCCGACCCTGCGGCACCATAAAAGAACAAAGCATTTTGGCCCGAGAAGATACACGAAAAATATACACGTTTCAGAAGAAGAAAGCCTGCAGTGCTCCTTCCTGCCAAATTGCGTCTATTCATCTACAGCTCCGGCTTAGGCGCAAACCCCAACTGGTGGCCCTCGACATCAAACACGGTAAACTGCGCCTTGAGGAACACGTCACCGTAAATGGCAAACGGCATGCCGCTCGAGCTCTGCACCCCGCCGTAGCACACCGTCGCCGTCTCGAAGTCGTCCGTGTCCGCGGGGGCGAACTTGATCAGCTCGCCGGGGACGACGGCCTTGTACGTGCCGATGTGCAGCGTCAGGTCGGGCAGCGTGGCGTTGCAGGGAAACACCCAGCCGCCGACCACGGCGCTGCTGCGCGCGCTGGGCACTTGCCAGTAGTAGGCCTGGGCGATGGCGGCGGGGAGGAGGAGCAGAGTGGTGCCTGTGTCGGCGATGGCCGAGTGGGCAACGGGGACGAACATGGAGGACGTGTTGGAGCTGGAGTTGGCGTTGCTCTGGATGGAGAAGCCGGACGCCTGGAACTCCCAAAACTACTAACAATGTCAGCCGTGAATTTCCTATCCCAAAAGTCTCTAGAGAGGTTTCAGGAGCATATTGCGCTGTCTCGGGAACAGGACAGCTCCTGAGACAGCCATAAAGGGGTATAAACAGTCCACACAAAAAAAAAAAAAAAAAAAAAAGCCTGCTTACGCCTCGGGTCGTGTTGACGTCGATGAAGGAGAGCGGGCCTGTGAACTCGGTCTCGTCGATGAAGCCGAAGTTGTAGTTGCCGGCTGCGGTGGCTGTCAGTTGGAGGCATGTACATATTTGGGGTTTGGGACCCAGGCTTACGCTCAGCTTTCTTGAGGTTGGCGGTGAAGAGGCCCATCTCCAGCGACTCGAGCGCGTTAGAGATGAACGTTTTTTGCTTGTTCGGGCGGACCTGGTTGATTGAGTCAAAGGCCAGGCCGAGCAGGCCGGACGAGGCGGCGTCGGCGGTGAAGGATGATGAGACGGTCGTGGCGGACTCGACGGCCTGCTGGAACACGGTGACGCCGCCGACGCTGACCGTGTCGAGGTACACGTTGCCGGCCGAGCGGCTGCCGTCTCCGTACTGGATGGACCAGGTGTGGTTGGCGAGCCGCTTGGACGTGGTGCTGTCCTGGATCTGGTACAGCTTCTGGCCGCCCTGGAGCCGGCTGGGCGTCTCGCTGCTGAACACCCACAAGTCGGACGAGCCGGTGTCGAAGTTGAGCATCAGAGTCTGCGGCGGCGTGCCGATCTCGACGGGTGCCAGATACTCGACGTCGAAAAGCTGCGGAACGGCAGAGACCTCGCCTGTCCAAGAGTTAGCAGGTGAACTTAGAAATCGAGTGGGCAGCAGACGCACCTTGGTCGTCCGTCTCGTTGGTGTAGGGCGATCCGGCGCTGTGGGACTTGAACCCCGGGACCGTCTTGAGTGTAGGCTCAATGCCCAGGTCCTCGAGGATCTTTTGCAGAACAACAACCAGCTCCTGCGGCATCTCGATCCCGTACTTCTCGTAGACCTTGGCGAGGGCCCTCGGGCCTTTGCCATGCTGTCTGAAATTGTCATTGTGAACCTGCGGCAGCTTGATTCTGGCTCCGCCAACCCTTCGGGGCCGGATGTCTGAGGGATGGACCTGGACGACCCGCGGCGCGCCAGCGACCAACACTGGGCCGGCCAGAGAAGCCGCAAAGGCAAGGGCGGTGAGCTTCATGGCTTTCTTGTGGCGAGTGAAGATGTTGGGCAGAAAGATCGGCAACAAACAAACGAATGGTAGAACTTGGTAAACCGAAAGAAGTGAATGGCGCCTGCAGGAAGAGAGAAGAAAGATCGTCTCCTAACCGGCGTGAAGTTATCGGTAAAGAACGACGCGAACTTGTAGAAGAATATGGCACTGGAATGGGACGGGATGAAAAACACAGCGAAATCCAGATGCCAGTTGAGCTGCCGCAGGCCCCATTTCATTTATGCGATTCCGATTTCCAGGTTCCCCAGGAGGCCCCCAATCAAGGGGAAAATGGGGCTTTGTTGCCGATCAGTTTGTTCCTGTCATGGCAGCACAACACACAATAACAAAACTTCAATCAAGATCAGACGAAGTGCATCCCCGACGGTTGCGAGAATTCCTTGGCATCGAAACATTTCCTGGTCACGGCAGCCGGCAGCCGAGATGCGGGAAGGGCGTCGACAAAAGTTCGGTCGGCCGAACCTAGGCGGCTCTCGATGATTGCCAACCGTTTGAAACGCCGCGTGGAGCCCGCCACGCTGTGCGCTGGGCATCCCAATCTCCCGCTCTGCTTGCGATGGAGAGAGGGTGGGCCCTGGAGTGGTGCAGCAGGGAAATGTAGAAAGCCGATGCCACCGCAGTCGCCGGGAGTGTTTGTATGGTTGGTCAAAAGTGGTTGTTTGTCGGGCGTGTTTTTGGCCAACCGATGGGTGAGAAGCTTGTCAACCTGAAACAGACCCTTCCAGAAAACAAGCTCACTACTGGCCCCACTCATCGCATGTCTCTGCCGGCTCCGGCCGGGCCAAGTCCGTTCCTGGCGGTCTTCATGGCTCTCAATTCGGTGCGGTCGGGTCTCCGGTGCGGATTCAGGAAGTGGGGACCGGGGCCGGCGATTTTGGATCTCCAGATCCAGCAACAAACCAAACAGGGAACAACTGAGTCCCGTCAAACAGGCCTTGGAACGAGCTTGGTACCTTAGATGCCATGCAGAACTAAGTATTTTGACTGCACAGCAATCGCACCTGCATCTCTTCCGTATGAAGAATTCGAACAATGTTGACGGAACGGTGCATTGTGCAGGCTTGAAAGCTCGCCAGGTGGCCGGCAGCTGCCTCGCCAGTCAAATTTACTAGGTGTGTAAGCAATCTGATTCGACCCTGGGACCGCTCTTGCCTTTCGAGGCAGGCAGGTCCAGGTGACGCGTCGCCAACATGACTGTGAATAATCCACGAAAGCGTCGGATTTCTCGTTTTCAGCTTGTTCCGTAGCCAGCGTTTGGGTGTTCCAAGCGTTTCTTCTGCCACGTCCTTTGCGATTCCATAACTGCTTTTGTTCTACCCGGTGGCACTTTTCCAGGTATTTTAACCTGCGTCTCAGTGCCACTTGATTACTTCTTATTCATGAGCACGTCTCTCCAGCTCCCGCCAAAGCACCCAGAAACATACACCCGAGACAACGCCTGCAGCAAGATTGCTGCACATGAGCCGACATCGATCCTTCAGAGCATCAAGGCGCACCTCGTCAAGAACAAAGCATGACCCGAGAGATCGACCCTGTCATTCATTCATTCACCCACCTAAAACACTACCCACGGGAGGATGAGGCTCTGCACTTCCTCAAGAGGATCGCTTCCTTGGTGAAGCCGCTCATGCGAGCCAGAGGATGGACGGTGAAATCGCTCTCTGAGTTCCATCCTGACCAAGCCAACCTTCTCGGCCTGAATGTCGGCAGGGGCGAGCAGATTCTCCTCCGACTCCGGGAGCCGTTTGACAGCACCCAGTTCCTGCCCTTCGAGAAGATGGTCGACACGATGCTGCACGAGCTAGCCCACATTGCCCATGGCCCGCACGACCATAAATTCCAAGCCTTGTGGGACCAGCTCCGCGACGAGCTTGACGGCCTGATGATGAAGGGCTACACCGGCGAAAGCTTCCTTGGTAAGGGCCATCGCCTGGGCGGTTGGAATATCCCGCCTCGCGAAGCCCGCCGCCTAGCTCGCGCACAGGCCGAGCGGAACATATCAGCCTCGGGATCGCGAGGCCACCGACTCGGCGGCGCGGCACCACAACCGGGCCAGGACCTCCGTAACGCCATCCTTGACTCCATCAAGCGGCGGAACCGAACCACCGACCTCGGCTGCGCCAACAACAACTGGACTGAAGGCGAAATCCAGGGTATCTCGCAGACATGGACGAGAAACGGCTTCCGCACCCAGGCCGAGGAGCATGCGGCCAACGAAGCGGCCATCGCACAGGCCCTGTGGGAGCTTGTGCAAGAGGAACAGCGCAGGTGCGGTGCTCCCGTCGATCTCGCAGAACCTTTTCACAGCAGTGGAGGCAACACTCCTCCTCCGGAACTGCCACCCTGCCCCTCCCCCACGCCCCACCACCCACGATGATGCTGACTTCCTCAGGGACGCCGAACGCCCACCACCGCTGCCTATACCCACTGCCACGCGGCCACCTCTACCTTCCCCACGGCGGCCGCAGCCACCCGAGCCGAGAGAGTACTGGGCGTGCAACCTTTGCACGTTGCACAACCCGACCCACGCGGCTGCCTGCGACGCTTGCGGAAGCCCGCGGCCGGTGGACGCCGGGCTGTCTCGGAATGGTGCCAGTACTAGGTAGGTGTTGCAACGGCTGTTTTGTTTGTTGACTGGGGTTTGTCTAAACAATCAATCGTGTATAGTAGCCGCGAGGTGATCAATCTCACTGCGAGTCCGCCCAAGAAGAAGCCTAAGCCAGCTACTTCCTCTTAACGGCGCCGTCGCCGCCTGTTTGCCCACGGTCATCAACCTGGAAGTGCTCATTTTGCCCTTAAAAGTCGCCTCTCTGCTCAAAGGGGTCCGGAACGGGTAGTGGGGTGCCTGTCGCTCTGCTGCTTGATAGGGCTCTCGTTACGGGAGGAAATCTTCGCTTGTTTACATGTAACTCCTTGGGGCTTAGTAGCGCCTCCTATTAAAGTTAGCGCTGAGGTTCTGAAGTGCTTGGACGAAGCCGATGTAGTTGGTTGGCATACCTTGCTGGCTGTATAAGAGCTCCGCTAATTCGCTGTTTAGAGACCGCTCGAGGTGGTCGATTTTCATGTCGTCTTGCTAGGTGGAATCGCCGCTGTCTGAGTTCCTTTTCAACTTTGGAAGGTTTGCTGCAAAGTTCTCCTTATCCTTTCGCTTTAAATGCGCTAGTCTACTGCGCCCCGATCGATGGATGTCGGGGTCGGCGAAATGGTAGGTTAAGTGCCTAAGGAACTTGTTGTGTAGATTAGGTAGGTACCTAGGCACCGTTAGTCGAGCTGCAGGTAGAAATCTGATCGCGTCTGCCGCGGGCGGACGCTCCTTGCCTCACTTGCATTCCTTACTTAGGCTCCGCTGCGTTTTGATTAAGCCAAGTTGACAACTCAGGGCACGAAAATGTCGTCGCCAAACGACGAGAGGCAGTACCAGAGGTCTGGGCCGACTTGGAACTCGGCATACAAACCAACAAGGTCATCGACCCTGACGCGTCTTCTCAGATCCCACATCTCATCCTCCTTCAGTTTCTGCGCATTATCGAAATACACACCCTTCTCTCGACTCTCTATTCTGTTAAAGACCACATTGTTCGCCCTCACCACCGTACAAAAGTACCCGCCCCTCTCCCTCGACTTCATATCGTCTACCACGCTCTCCAAGCTCTCCTCGTCGACGTGGAAGAAGAAGGTGTGCATCGCCGTGCCAGCCCTTGCCATGGTCGGCTTGAACACACTGCCCGCAAGCTCCCACCCGCCCGGGCCCCGCTCCACCCACTCGACGACCCGGCGGCTCGTCTCGACATTGTCAGCGCCGTCGAGCGCGGCCGGGTCCTCGAAGACCGTCTAGCGCATGCGCGCGTAGACGTCCATCAACCCGGCTAGCTCAAAACGCTCGCGGGCGTGCCCCCGGACGAAGGCGACAAACTTGTCCCACTTCTTCTGGGACCGGTACGTGCAGCAAAACTGGACGAGACTCCAGGTAGTGAGCCTGTATAACTCGAGGGCGTCCTTGATGGTGTGGGCGCCGCCAAGTGGGGATGCGACAAGCTCGCGCGTGGACTTGGGCTTGTCTTGGTGAGCCGGCTGGGCCTCCTCCGTATTTTGTATGGCGGCGGCTGGCAACGACGACGCTGTAGGATCGGATCCAGCTTCGATGGAAAAAAAAGGCGGGAGCCCATATATGAAGAGGAATGAGCCGCCGTGGGAAAGAGGTGTGGGCACGGGGGAGAAGGCCACGAACTGGCTGCAACCGCGCTATTACCGTACGTGGGAACCTGAAACCATTATGTGATTATGGCTGGGGTGACTACCTTTGACGTGTCGGTAGAGGTGTGGCGTCGCGTTCGCATTGCAGGTTTTTGATAGAATCAGCTTTGGCGATCAATCAATAGATATCACACTGGTCAGACTGTGAAGTTTCTGCAAAAAAAAAATAAAAATAAAAATAAAAAAAAAACTAAAAAAAAATGGATCTAGTTGACGAAATGCCATCAGAAGCGTCGCAGGGTTGTAGAAAAATCGGTGTGAACTGTGAAGCAGAAGGGCTGTTAGATCAAAGGTTACAAACAACTTCGACTAACTAATGTACTTAGTCTTCTCCCATGGCGATCAACAACCGCACAGAGAATCAAACACTTTTACCACCTTTCAATTCAATCCACTGCTTTGACGGGGAGAGCTTCTTCCAGCGCATATCTCAGCGGTCATTGCCCTGCAGGTTTCAACACATGATAGACGTCCTGACAGCGTTGCAACTAGCGAGGATATTACTCGATCGTATCTCGGCTATATTCGCACTAGGCGGCCGACATCGACTCTAGAAACCGCACGATATCGTCCAGCTCCTCCGGTTCCTTTATCCAGTGTCCTTCTTGATCTGCCCCTGAATACTCGTGCCATTCAACGTTCAGGCTAATTTTACCCAGAACAACAGCTGCCCGCCGCCCCAAACTGACATTTACATAAACATCGTCAGTTCCATGGCCTAGGAACACTGGAACTGACAACAAGCCATGCTGGGAAGCACTCGGTTCCTGTAGCGTCCTCCGTGTTGCGCCAGCCATTTCCTCCACGAAAGCATCAGAGTCAGCCTCTCTGGCGTCAGCCCGGATGGTGTCTTGCTGCGCCTGAGCCTCCTGGCCAAGGTGCCGCTCAAGCTCGTCAGCGAACGGGAGCCAAGTGCTCGCCCCAACAAATCCCCCCAGACGTCCGGCTGAGCCGTCGGCACCCGCACAGAGCAAAGACCACAGCCCGATAGCACCTCCCTGGCTCATTCCGCCCGGCACCACCTTGCCAGAGGCACCGCCCAGCCTGTCAACCTCTGCCTCAAGCAGTCGGGTCAGGTAGCGCACCGAGTCCCGGATCCCAGCCTTTTGCAAGTCTCGCCTGGCCGTGGGGTCCGTCAGGGAGTGCGCCCCAAAGCACGCCGGCATGTCTTCCTCAAACACCGTGCTCCACAGCTCAGCAGACGACGGGAAGACCCAGCGCCAGGACCCGAGGTGTTCTTGCAGTGTCTTACCGGTGGAGAGCTTGGACTCAAAGAGCTCCTCGGCGAATTCTTCGCCAGTACTGCCGCGGCCGTGAAGGATAATGATAGTGTGGGTGTGCGGAGCGCGAGGCTCTACGACATGGATGGGTCCGAAGTTGGTCATGGCTGGTTTCTGAATGACGCGGCGTGACGGCGAGCTTGATGTGGCCGTGTGGAAGGCGAAGTTGAATTTGACCAGGTAAAAGGAGGACTGGAAGTTCGTCAAGGCGAGACTGTGAGAGCTGGCGGCCTAAGAACGTAGCGGACTTTGGCACCTAAGAATGGAAGTCGTGTGGGAACAAAGAGGGGCACTGCACAGGACAGTGTACTGTATAGTCGCTTCGTGATAAACAAGCGCTGGAATTCATGGATTGAAGCCCACTCTGCAAGCGCCCCGTCGGCTGTTGGTCCAGATTCCTCGAGCAACGAAACCTTGCTGCGCGCCAAAGTTGGTGTTTGACAATGACCGCCTGCCCGCTTTCACTGTTTCATCCTAGCCACCGGTCAAGGAGTGGTCTCAATGGAATATTCAACTCGCCATAACCCAATGGCGTCTGTTGGCAGGTATTCAAGCCAGTCGGACAGTTTCCCATGCGCGTTGATTGTAGAGAGAGCTTTGACAAACTTCCAATGCTCCGGATACCAGCCGTTCAGTTCCCAATCCAGGAGCATGGTGACTCGGATCTCGCTTTCAGTTTGGTCAGGCGCGCTTCCCCTTCCGTCGGCTTCCCACTTGACCATGATGTTTCTTGGATGTAGATCGCCGTGTGTCATCACGAGCCGGTGGTCGTCTCTCATCGCGGACCGGATCATGGTTATCCAGGCAGTGGCAGATCTCCCAAGTTGGTGACACAGGAAATCGTTGAATTGCGCTTCAATTCCGATCGCGCGCTCACTCAGGCGTTGCTGTCTCCTCATGTCCTTGCAGATCGCGGATGTGAACCCGCCAAATCTTGGCCTGTCGCCCAGATGCGGATCTTGCTCTTTGGGCAGCCTTGCCTCGGCCAATGGCCCTCTGTTCGTGGCACTACCGCTAGTAAAGCTAACTTGACCGAGTATTTGGGTTGGTTCTAATTCCAAAAAGTAATAGTGCGATACATCTTTGCCTGTTGTGTTCGTTTGCACGTAGGTACCAAGTGTTGGAACCTGCAGGGCGACGACCGCTCAGATATGCGCTGGAAGAAGCTATTCCCAGTCAAAGCAGTGGATTGAATTTTTAAGGTGGTAAAGTGATTGATTGACCATGCTGTTGATGGGCATGGGAGAGGACTAAGTATGTAAGGAAGAGGGGTTGCAGTGCTGCCACCAATCAACCACCGAGGTCCGTTGAATGCAGCCATCAAGGCGGCTTCGTTCCGACACCAAGAAGCCCTGGAAGTAGGGCGGAAGGCATATTGACAGCAAGACCAGGACCCCTCGTTATACGAAATAGGAATCTCCACTTCTCAGTGCAGATCATGCCGCTGCGTCGGTGCCAACCGGCCTGACGCAACTCTCCAAGCTTCCGTTCGTATGTCCGGGCACCTATCACTCCGTTAGCTTGGCTTCCACCAATGAGAAAACGAGATGTGAGGAACATGAACCCACGTCATGGACAATCGAAAAGGGATCCCAGTTGGGGTCCGTGTGCGGGGCGTACTCGATGCCATTCATAGTCCGAGTGAGCACCGGGTCGTTTTCGCCGTAAAGGTGCTTCAAGAAGGCGTACATCATGTCGATTCCTAACCATATCCCATCAGCCTTGTCACCATCTGCCTCTCTGCTTTGAGGGAGAGCTGGCTGGCTCTTACCCGAAGCCACGCCGGAACTGGTCCAGATCTTGCCGTCCTGCGTCCACCGGGCACTCGGCACCCACGTCACGTTCGGGCCCTGGCTGGTCACCGACTCCCACGAGTTCTTGTTCGTCGTCGCCCTGTGCCCGTCCAGGAGGCCCGAAGACGCGAGGATGCCGCTGCCCGTGCAGACGCTGAGCAGGTACTCGAGCGAGGCGAAGCGGTTCCGCAAAAAGGTCTGGATTGCCTTGTCGTTGCTCTGCTGCAGCGCCACGGTGCCGAACCCGCCGGGCACGAGCAGCACGTCCAGGGCCGGCGCGTCGAGAAAGGTGTGCGTCGCGGTGAGCTTAGGCTGCAGCATGAAGCCGAGGTCCATCAGAGGTTGTCCTGGGGCCATGAGGTGTGGCGGGTAGCCCGCGCTGACAGGGCCTGTCTCCTTGGCGATGATTGAGAGGGTCATCTTGTAGGTGGCTGACATCTATGGTTGGGATATCAGCTAAGTCGACCAACGCTTGCGTGATATGTCTGCTTCAGGCGCTGGGGGCATGGATTCACCGAGAACAAGAGCTGCAACGGCCCAAAAACATCCAACGGTTCCCATCCAGGAAATATGACCTAGGTGGCCGAGTCAGGATAGCTCAAATCCAGTCGATATCAGCTCGTTTGACTGGGAAGACAAACAATTCCAAGGGAGAGTGTCCGCCGTCTATTAAGCTCGTGCTCTGTTGTGTTCTGTCCAAGGACAGAGGAGAGCAAGAGCCCTTGCATAAGAGCCAAAACGATGATGCGCATGTTTCTGATGAGCAATCCTGAACCCAAGTCTGAAGATGATAAAACAATAAAACGGCGTCTCGGTTGAAGTAAGATGAAAAAGTGACAACAGCTGTCGAGACTCGAGAGGGGGACACATCCGGACCATGCTCTTTATACTCGAGGCGGTAGTCAGCTCTTCTTCGAGTTCCTCTCCTGATCCCTGGCTACAACCTCGTCCCAGAAATCAAAGCAGCGTTGCAGCGCTGCGGCATACGCATCTTGGCAACGCCCGTCGAGACCTGGTTGAAGCCTGGCGTCGTGGTGTCTCACATGATTTCTCAATACACTTCCAGTACTGTTGGAGCGTTGCAATGCTGCATTCGTGCCCGGTGCCAAGCAAAACATGCTCAATCTTGCTCCCGCTGGCGGGCGATGTCCGCAGTTGATTCTGTACGTAGTAAGACGGCGCAATGTCCTCCTGGACTTGGGAATACCCGACGTGGATTAAGCGAGAGCACGGTTACCGAGGCACATATGTAGATAGTGGTTTAAATCCTCCTCGGCACTCCCAGATTTGGGTCATTTGACCACCATGCGTTGACCATCCCTCCTGTTTGTGACTTCTGTGGTAAGCCTGTCGTCTTCTGCGAAATCAGGCGCATCTGAAATCCTCCAGTGCATCTCTCTCAACTAGTTCTAGAGTGGTATGAGCCAGCCTCAACTTTCTTGCCAAGTTAGCATGTTGAATTGAATTCTTGTGGCAACTGCATGGACATCTCACATTCTCGGTCATGTCATTTTTAAGCCGCCGATATGCCCCTCATGATCGAGACCGTGGCCAGTGACGCCAGGACAACGCGTAGCAAGGAGGCCCTCTGGCTGTTCGGCGCACTGGAGTGGAACATGATTGAGCTGGAGATGTTCGGATCGCGGTCGTTGACTCTCAAGCAGGACCTGAATTCGTGCTTAAGGGTGTCGTCCGAGGCATTGGAATTGATTCCGACACCAGGCGAGATTTGACACCATAGCCAGCAGGATTCAACAAGCTGAACCGGGTATGGATCGCAACAGTCGGCTATCCAAGAGTCCGATGCGTTTTGACCTGGGATGACGGCATAGGTGATGTTTTCTGGGATGGCCAGATTCGCCGGGATCGAGTCCTTGGGGCAGTTGGAGGCGCTGAGAGACGACATGGTGTTAATGTCGACGTCGATGTCGATGCATTCGATTGAGGGAGAAGGTGATGTTATTGTTGTGAAAGCTCAAAGAAAGAGGTTGAAAGAAAGGACTAGAAAAGTTGGAAAAGCTTTGAGAATATGAACAGATCGGTTCTGTTGCGTTTGCTCGCAGAACCAGATGATAGTGAAAAGTCATGTCTTGTGCTCCCAGACAAACCGGCTTTGCGTTGGACTTGTGGTTTGATACGGAGATCCATGGGGCGAAACCAACAATCAACACAGCCAGCAACTTGCTCCCGAGTTACTTGAGTGGCCCGAGACTAAGCCTCGCAAAGATTTGTGTTGCACCTTCCTGTAATGGCGAAGTCGCCATGTTCGCGGTGCATTAGGTTGCGCACGCGCACAGTGCAATCACTGCAATGAATGCCATCATCCATGGATAATGGATGTTCTTCCAGGTTGGGCAACGCGAGATATCTAGATCAGCCCAGGCATTGATTACACAGACAACGCATCGCCCCTTTGTCCAACCCCTCTTGCAGACTACTGATGAGAGAAGTACCTAGTACACGGCATCACCATCGGCATACTAGTGTTGCTCGTCGGAGTCACATCATGTCCTGAACCATCAACCTCTCTTGTCGTGACCACCTCAAGATGACACAGATCCGTAAGGCGAAACGTTCCTTCAACTCTCCGCATGCTGGCACGAGCAAGATTATCAGATATAAAAAGTTGCAAGTGTCTCAGCCAGCGGGGCCTTAAACTAATTCACTAAACTTGAATAGTTACCCAAGGTTTACTTTCTTTAGATACGCGGTGAGGCTACATCCCCGCAGTTTGAGACCAGTCTGCGGGACTCTACAACAATGAAGTTTTCTGACGCGCTGCTCGCCATCGTTCCAGTCGGCTTTGCCGCTGCTGTGCGACACCAGGTTCGTCAAGGCCCTCAAACGGTCAATGTTGTCCTGCAGCTCCGCAAGGCCTCCACCGAGGCCTCTATCGCGGTGCAGAACGCAGACCGTTCCGAAATCCTCCATTATGGTTGCGGCACCTCTCTCAGCTCCGGTGCTTTCCAAAAGCACCCGATAGCTTTCAACGTGGACCGCGACGGCAATGGTGCAGGCAACCTCAACATCGGCCCGAACAGCTACCTCATTCATGAGGACCCAGAATTCTCTGGAGGCATATCCTGTGCCCGCCTGCATAGCAACACCGAAATGATAGTGACATGTGCAGTCACTCTACCAGCGAGCGTTCACCTCGAGCCAGTCGACCAGGATCAGAAGAATTTGCCCTCTTGTTTTCCAACCAGCACCTTCAGCTTGGCTGGCATCTTTGAAGCCCTGGAAAGAGACGCCTTGGACCGGCCGCCGGCGGCAAACATCACCACCGACGGACTACTTCCTCCTCATGGAGCCTCGGCAGGGCTCGATAAGCGCCAGGGACCATGTGCGATCTGGACGCCCGGGACCAGGAGAGTCGGAGACGGCAACCCGCACCAGAACCCTTTCAACATTCAACTTAGCGTAGGCTCGGGCTCAAGCTCCTTTACGATGCAGCTTTCTTCAGGTTAGGAGGCAGGCTAACAGCGTCAAAGGAAAACATGCAGTGCGATGCTCAGCGCACCTGCGCGATCCAGTACGGCGAGTACAGGTCTTTTACCGTCGGCTTCAGCGCCAGCGCCCAGCTTACCCAGTGGATCAGCGGCGGCTTTGCTGTCGAGCAGTCAGTCCAGACCGGGAACAAGTATACATGCGACGGCAACCCGGGCGATTTTTTCTGCGTGTGGCGCAAAGTCGGGCAGACAGCATACACGGTCCAGAACGTCTTGTACAATGCCTGCACCGGCGACTCGCCCAGCAGCTCCCCTTTTATTCTGTGGTCGCCCAACGCAAACAACAAGGAGGGCTGGTTCTATTGCGTCTATGGCCGACAGTATTGTCGCAGCGCCGGTCAAGGGTGGCTGGACACAAGCGGGCGTGCTGGTGGCCCCTGAGCTTCCGGGCTACGGACCATGGAGCCAAACTCAACGACGGTTCCATGAAGCCTACAAGTCAACCCTGGTTTGTTTGTTAGCGCGGAACTTGAGTAGTCCAGGCATTCTTGGTGCAGTCATGGAACGGAGAGCATTTTCAAACTTCCTCCGCTGATATCCCGTCAAGCTCAACGTGATGTGATGTTCCAGGGTTGGTGGCAACACGGCGCCCCAGGCCCGGCTTGACCTACCTTCGCCGAACTGAGGCCATCGATAATTCCGCCCATTACTGGGACCACTCCTCGGCTGGCCGGCTGTCGGATGGATCGCTTGGCGCCGTCGGCGGGCCGCGGCGGCACCGACGGGACCCACGTGTATTGCCGGGCTCTACCACCAATTTCATCCCGTTACCTATACGGTCCACCACCACGACTACCAGTAGCACCAGCAGGAGCTACACAAACCACAGACTTTCACAGCAGCCCACCTGCTACCCACACCTTCCCCGCCAAATCCCACCACAAACACCCACACCATGGGCCGTCCAGGGTCCAGCGAACCTCTCAGGGAGCGACACGGCAAGGGGTCGATCTCGGCATCTCCACATCGGCGGCCGCTCGCCGCGTGTACTCCGTACAACGAGGCTAGAAGCGGATCTTCAGTAGAAGCTGGCTCAGGCCTCACCTGACGCTCGTCTGCCGTACCTGCCACAAACCGGTCGTTGCCCGAGCGAGATGCCATGGGGCTCTGGAGGCCTCCCTCAGGTCGGCCTTTGATCTGACCCTGGTCTCGAGATGGAAGGCACTGCAGGCGGGCACTCCGTTGGGTGAGGAGCATAAGTAGTCCCAGTCCTCTCCCGCCCTCCTCACCCGCCGGTCTTCTTCAACAATCTTCCATCGCATCGCAGTCCAACAAACCCTCTCCATTTCGCCGCAGTCTCTAATTCAAGACAAAACATCATGTCCTTCCACGCTTCAGCCCAGGACATCCGTGTCGACGACGGCCATATCCTCAGAGCCCGCCTCACCAACCTAAACGGCGAAGAGGTGGATGCCGAGCTTGATCTTAACGATTATATCGGCAACAATGATGGTAACGTGGACTGGACACCCTCGTCCATCGCCCACTTGGTAGGAGCTGCCAACTTATGACATACTCCATAGGCTCTTTCGAGTGGGGCGGCGTGAACTTTTCCGAGAGCGCCGAGGACATCACCTTCTCGCTTGAGGGCGGCGATTCAGTTCCCGTCCTCCGTGCTGGCCTCAGAAATGCCGACGGAGAACTTGTCTACCGGGACATCAACCTTGCCGAGCGTATCCACAACAATGACGGCAGCTTTTACTTCGGTGAGTCACGTTAGCAGTGCGGTCAGTGGAAGTGGCCACCGGTGTGCTAACTTTACCTAGAGTAAGAAGACCACTGTCGAGGAGTATGGAAAAGGCATGAGCGGAGCAAGGAGTTAGTATAGTGTGGTCAGATAGCGCTGCAATAAGGTGCCCGAGTTAGGGTTTGAGCCATGGCCCAGTCAAAACAAGATACAATTCAACCCTGGTTTATTTCGTTGAGTGCGGAACTGAGGTATTACACCTCGTCTTCATTCACTTTGGTCTTCTTGTATTCTTTCTTCCCTCTTTTCTTTCTTCTTCTTCTCCCTCCTCTTTAAGATAAGGTATCCGTAACCTTGAGCTTGTTGAAGGGGTCAAGCTTGGCATTCCCGGTCACTGTACTTTTTGAGGTTTGGTCATGGCAAGGGTTAGGGTCTTGGCATGGGTGCTTTCAACACCCCTATTTTCATTCATTTGCGGGGCGCTCACACATCAGAGCTTTCCTTTGCTTGCTTGGATGATGCATCATGCAATACCTCTCCCATGGGGCGATGACGAGGCTTGCAGTGTTGAGAATCAACATCTGCCACTGGTGGGAGACTAGCACTGTGCAAGCGCACATGTACAAACGACGTCGCGTGGAGGTCGCGTCGCGCCCGAACATCCTATAAAGCTTTGCCCAGGACTTACCTCAGCTGCTTTTTCTCCTTTACTCTCCATCTACCTTCAAACTCTTGACAAACGAAGCCACATCAGCATTCAATCCTCATCTCTGTCACGGACCAGCATAACTTGATCAACAATAAGCATTCTTGTCCACCTCAACCGCCATGCTTCGTCGACCACTTACAGTTTTGTCCCTCTCCCCTGAGGACATCGCCGACTTTGAAGACCGTGCCGCCGACCGAGCACGCGCTGCCGAGCTCAAAGCACTCAGACAAGCTTCCGAGGCACGCGCCCGAGCCCACTATGAGGCATCGTCCGCTGGTGCCGCTCTCCGGAGACACGTGCACACCACACCTACTGTTGGACCTGCCGCCATCAGATACAACAGGGTTACTGGCGCTGTCGAGCACCAGACAAGGAGGCCGCTCACCAGCCCACCGGATCACCAATTCACCAACGACGAGGAGGAAAGTGAAGACTCCGAGGTAGAAACCTCATACTACGCCAGAGCTCAGGCGCAAGCTTCACGCGTCACCAGCCTTGGGCGGGGTCAGATCTCGCCGGCACCACCGCCCGCACCACGACCTCGCCGGCACTCCGATGAAGAATATGACAGCGGCGTTCATAACGAAGCGCCAGGCCGCACGCGAACGCCAACCCCGCCACAGCAAACGTCACCCCCGCCACAGCGGGAATCCAGGCTGCGCGGCCCGCCCATGGCTGCATTCGATCGGGGAGGAGATGCGCCTGCAGCGGCTATTCGAGAAACACGCCCACGCGGTGCACGTGGACATTCAGCTGTAGCATCATCCCCGCCACCGCGCGAGAGGCGCCTGCGCGTGCAACAACAACATCAACAAGACCAAGGTGCCGCAGCAACCCAACAACATCCCGCAACGACTGCCGAGCCACGTCATCGTGAGCACCGGCGCGCAGCAAGCGGCCTGCCGGGACCCTCATCATCAGCGCCATCAGCCACAGTCACAACACCAAGCACCGAGCGGGACCCACAGGCCGCCGCAGTACCACCACCACCGGCGCGTGAGACGCGCTTCCGCAGCCACGCGCCCACGACATCAACAACAAGTACTTCTCGAGCAGCCTCTGGTGCGTCAGCACCAGCATCAACAGCATCAGCAACAGCATCAGCAACAGCATCAGCAACAGCATCCTCAGCATCAGCAGGAGCACGCCCCACCGCTCCAGCCGTCACGCCCGAGCAAAGGCCGTCGCAGCGGAGCAGGGAAGAGCGCATGGCACCTGCTGCGCCGCGGAGGGGGAGGGGCCACATGCGACATCATCAGCAAATGTGATCGACACTCGATGTTCCCTACACCTCTCCACAACGAAAACTATTGGGAGATATAGATTTGGAGTGACATGGTATGGTTATCCGAAGGGAAAGGGATGGACGGAATGACAGACGGATTGGTATTATTTGACCAGCGTACGGTTATGAGATTGAGGAGTTGGATGTGTTGTCTTGTTGAGAGAAAGATGCCAGGGTTGGGTTCTTCAGGAATTTGCATACAACGGCTTTTCCATTCGGAGGTCATTTCTACGTGTCTGGCTAGATTCGGCCTCGTGTCAGGAAACTCGGGGTTAATGGGAAGGGTTCGGGGGCATGGTCGGATGTTCGGAGGGCCAAGGTAGTCAAATGAACACGCACTTCAATGCATTTCGGATGGTTTTATGATGGATTTCGTCCTAGCTGCTTCCTTGCTTGTGTGAAGCTGCCCTATGAGAGTTGTGCTGGCGGGTCTGGAGAAAGGTTGGGAGCATCTCGCTGGTAGCAAGAGCAAATTATTGTTCCATCATCTGGATCAGGCTTGATCCTATATCGAGTCCTCGTCTCATGTTTTTCAGGTCCTCAATTCAAGGTCAACAATCTTTGTGTAACCGTACTTCAGGAACAAGAATTCAGCTACGACACCGATGGAACATGCAATCTGACACGACTCTTCACTCATATACTCACACACTAGCGCACAGCAGGTCACCACACTGGGTATCATTCCACCATCACCTAACGCAACTAAAAAACTGCTGCCGCTCCCGTTGCCAAGCGAACAAACAAGCAACGGCTGACGCTGGGTGCTTCATGTCGGCAAGCCTCCCTCCAGCCAGGCCCGACCCCTTGAGACCATCGCAGCCGGTCAGCCAGGTTCTGCTCGCTCATCTCGACAACGCATCCACCGAGGCCAGCCCGTTTGGGCCAACCTATCCACACAGTTCAATTCCAGTCCAGTCTAATTCGATCTTCTCTAGACCCGGGCTTCCCATCTCGACCATTCCCCGCCCTATCAACAATCGCCCCCAAACCCAGCCAAAAACCACCTCTGGCCGGCGGGTCCTTCATACGAAGAAAGTGGTATTACAAGAGACTGTACCCCAAAGCCATATCCCCATTCTTTTATATGTACCCCGACCCGTGAAGACGCTCTGAACAAGAACCGGGAGCCGGAAACCGAAACGCCTTGCTGTGATGAATCGATGCATACTTATGGAGTGAATGGGGCCTGGCAAGGACAGAAGCCCAAGTGCCTAGCTTGTCAATTCCTGCTGTTTTCGAGATCGTGTTGTTTCTGGTGCCACTCGCTCGTATGGCCAGCTGATGAAACAGAGGCAGGCTGGAGTGCCGCGAGCCGAGCTAAGAAGCTCCACACTTTAAGGATCCAGCAATGCTGCGAATTTGACCGGTAGACAGGACTACCAGACACCGCAACCCCCTTGGAACCGCCATATTTATCACGAAACGTCGCGGGACCGCAGCCTCCCCATCTACGGCGATGTCTGCGGCGGCGACGTCTGGGAAGGTGCCTTCAGTTTGAGCTTGATAACGCTCTTCTTGGGCTCAGCCGTCTCGACCCTACCGACCGGCGTGCTCGGAGGCGGCGAGTGATGATGTGGGGCAGCCGAGGGGAGCGGCTTACGCTTCTTATTCGCGGACTGAACCCCATGGATGATTCCCGGTGACGGTCGCGGGTCGATCGCGGGAGTGCCCAGAGCTAGCGGTCCCGCGGAGGGGGGGAAATCGGGAAGGGAAGGGAGCGGAGTGCGCTTTGCACCCGTTGGCGTCGCAACGATTGTCGCTGAGATGGCGGGGGCAGATTTCTCGACTTGCAACTTCTCCTTGATGTGGGCCGGCAGCCTGCCCCAGGCCCTGAACGGCACCGTGACTATTTTACTCGCTCGGCCATTGACGCCATTTTCAACCCGTGGCACCTTCTTTGGCCGGTCGACGCCGTCGCCCTCGTCGCTCTTCCGCTTCTTCGGCGGCTTGGGGCGCTTCTCTGCCGCCTTGGCTGCGCCATTCGGCTGTTGGCCGTGCGTCGCAGCAGGCGCAGGAGGCGACCCTGCCAAAGGTGTAGAGATCCGGGCAACAGGCACGACAGAGATGGAGTATGAACTCGAATGTAATGGCTCCATTACGGGGGTGGCAGGCATCGCCGGCCGATGGACAGAAACCGATATTGAGTCTTTCCGAGCAAGGCCACCCGGGGTAGGCGGGCCATCGTTGGGGGGACCGCTGAAGGACGGCCTGGAGCTGAGCTTTATTTTCTTGACCTCTGGTGGCTTGTCCCATGGAACAGGCGGCAGCGCGGAATCCATTAAGACCTTGTGCCGAGGATGAGTGCGGTAGTGCGTGGTAAATCTGATGATGCACTGCTTCTTGGCATATGGCTTGGCCTGGTTGTTTGGATCGAGTCTTCCTTCAACAGGAGCTTCTCTTGTGCACCTCCAAACCTTTGGATAGTTAACCGTCATGAGGAGCGAGTCGTCAGCCTCGAACATGGCCGAGCAGAGGGTCAACAGCTGGAACTTCTCCTTAACACCGATCACGGTCGACTCCAGAGCCTTCCACATGGCGGCCTGCAGCTCAGTGTTGCCCTTCAACTCCTCCTTTAGCGCCGCAAGCGCTGCCTGGATGCTTTGATTTCGAGTAGCGGCGAGCTGTCTCTGTTGGATTTCAGCCTCGCCCTGCTCGACGACCAAGCCTAGGGACTCCTCAATGGCTTCTTCGGACTGGATTTGGGCGGCCTTGCTCTCACCCAAGGCTACCGCCGCCATGCCTTTGCAGAAAATCTTGAAGAGACGGTCGCGGACAAATGGCGAGGGGTCAGTGCTCACGCACGCGAGGAGCAACTTCATAATCGACACCTTGGCAAGCATGCCTAGTTCGACGAGACACTCGAACGCTTTGATCCTGATGAAATCGTAGTTCCCGTCCTGCAGGTACATGAGGAACTCGAGTGGTTCGGTGCGGATAACCTTGGCCTTCATCAAGCGCATCTTGCAGTTCAGCGCTGTCGTCGTCCAGATGTTTTGGAAGGTTAACGTCCACTCGTCCATACGGCGGTACTTGTCGATCTCCTCGATTGTCTTCTCGATGAAGTTTTTGAATTCCATGTCGTCATCCTCGTCCATCCTAAGGCTCGAGTACAGGTCCTTTTCACTCTCCCACTTGTCCGGGATGATGGAGGTGGTGAGTGCGTCAAGCAGCGTTGCAATGTAGAACTGGTCGGAATAAACATTGTCTGAGTTGTCGTTGAATAGGAGTAAGTCGAGGAGGAAGTTACGCGCGTGCCGCGAGCAACGGCCATTCTCCCTGGTGCGCGCAATGGCGCCGGGAAGAGCACACTGGATTGCGTACTGAGCCTTGTCAAAGAAATCGTTGGGCGCCGGGGGAAACGTGACGTTGCCGTTTTTTCCAACCATTCGGTCGCAGAAGAAGTGCCGAAAGATCAAGATAAGTTGTGCCGTGCCAATGTAGTTGAGATCCGGATCGGCCTGCTTGGGGAGGTCGTCAATGGCCATCTTGCGAATGCCGTAGAAGTAACGGCGGTCAATCGCCGTCCGGGTCTCAATGGTGGAGGCAACGCCGTGCCGTTTGCCTCGCTGAAAGAACAGCATGGCGTCTTGATGCGCGACAACGTCCCTGTCTTGTTGCAACTGGGCCAGGTACATGTAGCCGGGCATGTCGGTCACCATTTCGCACAGCCATTCGAAATTGCAATCGAGCCGTATCCACTCGTAGGACTCCTGGTCCATGGCGGTCTGCACGCTTTCGGACCAGTCTTGGAGGCCCCAGTTCTCGATGTCCCTCGGAGTCGTGAGCACATCGCCTAGCATATTAAAATAGACGATGTCATCCTCCTGGATATCGTGCTTATCGGCGGCATTGCTGGCGGCGGCGGCCGTGGCCTTCTTGGTACGCTTCATTCGCTTGTACTTGGTATTGTAGGCGATTTGAAGCGTGGTCGCCACCTTGTCCTTGTCCGTGATAGCGAGGTAATGCTCATAAGGTGTACCATCGGCTTCGTGGATTCGGACGGTGAACGGACCGGTGAAGAACTTGGGCACTGTGCCAGCCCAGACCTCGTGCACCTCTTCCTGCAGCTCCTTCCAGAACTCGTCCTTCGTGATGACCTTGGGCCCGTTATCCCTGGCCTGCGTCTGGGCAATGGAGATGTCCACATTCAGGTTCTTCTTGTTGAAGCGCTGCTTAATGAGGAGCTTCGGGCATCCTGCGCCGTGCACCCACTGCTGCCACAACTCGTCGGGACGGTACTGGCTCTTCTTCTCGCATGCTTTCCGGAAATCCGCATCCGATAGCGAAGTACTGGCGATGGTGGCGTTGATGTTGGCGTTGGAAACGATCTGAGAGATGACGCGGACGATACCCATCGAGCCCGGAATCTTGGACATGCGCTGGTCGAGAATGAAGAGAACCAGGGGCGCCTTGAGAGACATAAAGTCCAGCTCAAAGTCGCCAAGGTGCAGGTACTCGCCAAGGTCATGGAGCGACGGCCGGTGGATATCCGTCTCGACCAGCTTATCGGAAAGGGTCTTGAGGTGGAATCGATACCAATTGTTGCCGCAGATGCTCCTCATGAATAGATCCGTCATGAACCATTGGATGCCGACGATAAGCCAGTAGTCTGACCGCTGGTTTGGCACGATATGAACGCCAAAGTACTGGCTTGCCAAGGCGTGCACCAAGGTTCTAGTGACGTCGGTCTCGAGGTCGATGATATCGTCCGGGTAGAGCAGCCGGTTGCTGCAGAGCGACATGGATGTCGCCGCCACGGTGTCCGGGATCATGTCGTCGACGAAGCAAAGCTTGTAACTTTCGAAGGGATACCGGCCGAACTCGGGCGCAAAGAAATCCGCTGCTCCAACAACCGGATCACAGGTATTGCGCACGTTGTCGGCCTTATGTGGGAGGCAGTAGGCATGAATCTTGGCCGCGTTGGCGCCGAGCTTCTCGTCGGCTTCCTCTGTGCGGCACTCCGACCACAGCTGGATGTGCTCAAAGGGACCGATGGCGAAGGCAATGTGTTGGGCCGCCGAAAGCTGCGACTCGAACGTCATGATCTTTTTCTTGTCATCTTCCGGATCAATCTGCTCCCCGGCGAGGTTGCCAGAGCAAACCACCGTCATCTCCATCATCTTGTCCTCTTCGGCAAGCTTAGGGGCAGGAGGAGGAGTAGCAGGTTGGTTTCCAAACTTCCTCTTCCTAGTCCCATTTGCCTGTTGCGGGCTTGCTGGCTGCGCGGCCATGGGTTGGTCAAACACGTCACCAAGGGTCCTTGGGCATTTGATCGAAATCTTCCAGGGATGTCTAGATCCCGGGTCGTCGACACATGGAAAAATGCAGGATGCAGTTCCGGGCTCAAGCGAGTGGCGTGTGTACACGTGAGTGTATCTCAGATCGCCCTCGTCAACGCCAACAAAGTGCAGGCCGTCGCGGATCTTCTTGGAGCGGAAAGGAATGGAGATCTTAATGCCACTCAAATCGTCATTCGGATCGGGCCTATCGAGGGTGGCATCTTTGTCGCTCTTCGAAGTCTTGATCTTAAGGGTCCGCCGAGGGCCGTCCTTGAACATGCCATCGGGGCGTAAAGACACCTTAAGAGCGCGGTCGGCTGGAAGGCAGCAGGGGTACGAGACTCGGTCTTTGGTAGGGACCTCGGGGCGCCGCGCGGGCCTCAGCGGCGCCATCCGCCTCCTCACGATGTGATGCTGTGCTGCACCGATCTGCCAATGGCGCGGGGTTTGAGAAAGATCGCACGGGTCCGCAAACGACGCGACCGTCTTGAAGCCATCCACGGTAACATTTTCAATGTCCACGTCGCATTGTCGCGCGTCCAACCAAATCTCATCAAGGTCCGGGTTTATCGTGAAGATGTGGATAGTCGAGACGCCCATGATGCTCTTGTCGCGGAAATTGACCTCGAGTTCGACATGCTGCTTCAAGACGACAAAGGGCTCGGCTCCAACAGGCAGCTCGGACACAACGGCGGGCTCGCCCGTATTCTCGCTCTCTATCGCGCCCGGCATCTTTTGAGGGTATTGGCGTGGCGTTCAGCGAGCTGAGGCGAAATAGCTGGCGCAAAAATTGCGTGGTTTGTGACTAGAAGACGAGCGGAATCGGTCGGTCAGCCGGCCTTTCGAGGCTCGAAATTCGGCGCGGTTCACTTGGTCATTGCAGAAAGTTGAAAGCGCCAGAAAAGCAGCTGGGAGCGGAAAGTGGGAGACTCAGTCGGATTTCGTTTGCCTCTTCCGAGCTCTCGCAGCGGATCGGTTTGCCTCTCGAAGGTGCGGGGACTCGAGGCAAGCAGATGCCGGGCGAAGACGAGTCGGCAATGTCGACCTGGCAAGAATGAAAGATAGCTGTAAGCGCTACAGAAGGACCCAGCGGGGCACATGCGAAAAAAAGGCCGCGCAAGCACTGGTCCTGATATACACGTAGCAGCACAAGCCAGCAACGCTGGCGTGACACGGATCCAGTCAAGCCACTCCTCAGCAACGCTTGAACGAGCAGTCCGGGCGCCGCTCAGTAGGGACTGAAAGACCCAAGAATGTCCGGTTCAAAGCAAATGACTAGTGAATGGCGAGATAGAGATGGGTCGCCGTCCACGGTGGACAACAATGACCCAATGGATAGTACGTGCAAGACGCGAGATTTCGCAGGTGCAGTGACGTTCGATAACGACCGTGCGCTAGCGCTCAGGCTTCAACTGGAAGCCGAAGCTCTGCCGCTCAGCGCCCCACATGCTTAAGTGGGCCCAATGTTATTGGTTCAATCCCCGCATAGTTCTACTCTTCACTGGAGCAACCTTACCGAGGTCCGCACCATCATGGATGCCACAGCTCGATCCGCAGCTGCAGCTACCAAATTCAAGGTGCTTATTAGTGCCGGCTCGACATTGGAGACCTCCGGTACAATTTCAACACTGGTTTGTTTGTTAGCGTGGAACTTGAGGTATTACACCTCATCCTCGTTCACTTTAACCTTATTTTATCCTTGCTGAGAGGAGAACAAACACACCATCTGAGACACGTCTGGAAGAAAGGCCTGATCAAGTTGCGAATGGGCAGCACGTGATCCGGCGGTATGAAAGAAGATGAACTTGGGACGATAGATATGATTACACCTATCTAGAAGAAAATACAAGGAAGGGCTTGATGGTGCATGAGGCTACATCCGATGAAAGGATTAGGGGGACCAAGGTGACGACTGAGGCAAAGCAATCAGAATGCATGAAGGGGAATTATTATAGGAGACACACACTTACCTGAATTGATGGTTTGCCGTACCAAGCACCAAGGTTCAACTCAATACCTGAGCTTGCAATCCCCTATGCTAAATAATTGAAGAGACGAGCAGGGCTCGAGACATACAGGGCAACCTACGAACATGCCCTGCTGCCTAGACCTAGATGGGAGGCTCCAACAGACTTCTCACATCACAGGTTATAGCCATCAATTGCCTCTTCCAAACGTACAACTGCGTCAGGTCAAGTGCCGTAGATAATGGACAGCATAGTCTTCCTTTTAAGAGGGCTGCCACAGCAAGCGTACCTTGAACGGCACGAGTCCATTTCTGGTTCTACGATGCTAGAAAGCGCCCGTCCATTCCCCCATCCCCGGCCTTAGAACCAGCTATGATACCCTCAATGTCTTTAAAAACAACGACCAATTCCTATACCAGGACACCAGTCCCAGCAAAAACAATGAATTCCGATATGCGAACCAGTGTTTATCACTTCCTCACCACCCTCCTCCTCCCCTTCCCTATCGCCGCTTCAAGCTCCTCTCTCTCAAACACCTCAGCAGGTAGCGTAAAGTCTCTCTGCTTCAAAACCGGCACAGGCTGGCCCCAGGCAAGCTTCTTGCGTCTCCTCGCGCGGCCGGTGCAGTCCTCGCCGAGCGTGATGACGTTCTGGTAGGGCGGAGCAAAATGCGACAGGTACTCCTCCGGCGGCAGCAGCTCCTCGGGGACCAGTTGACCAAAGATATCCCGCACCCGTCGCGGCTTCATTCTCGACGGCGCCCGCCTCCCGTTCCTGTACGTTGTCCGGCTCGCTGCGGCCGCCAGCACTTCCTCGCGGAGCTGCTTGGCGATGGAGGCGTCCACGTCGGAGACCTCGTCTGGCGGCTCGCCTTGCACGACGCCACGGCGCTTGCCCTGTTTCTCCTCAGCCTCAGCCTCATCCTCTTCTTGTTGTTCCTCCTCCTCGTCCCGTGCCTCCTCCTCTTCTTCTACCTCCAACTCTTCCCCACTCCCCTCCTCTTCCTCTGCCTCCACAACCGCCACCCTTTCCGTTCCTTCCCCAGCAACAGACCCCTCCCCCTCTTCCTCATCCTGGGGACCAGGCCCCCTCTCCCTCCCCTTTTTCCTCCCCCCAATCTTTTTTGATATCTCCTTGACCTCCAACCGCCTCCTCTTCTCCTCAGCCGCCCACCGCCGAAACTTGTCCAATATCCCCTCGCACCCCTTGATAAAATACCCCCTTGCCGGCTGGAAGGCTTGCCTTTTGCTCTCCGTCACGCCGCTCACGCCCATGACGCGCAGCCAGTCGTGGCCCTGCAGGGCATCCAACAGGCGCGCGATCTGGTCGCGTTCGTGCTGCGCGCGGCCCTTTTCCGTGTTGCGGATCGAGCGCTCCGAGCGGGCCTCGCGCTTGTGCAGCGGCCAGTAGAGCGTGTCCGGGAGCGGGTCGACATCGGCGGCGGCGGTTCTGGACGTTCTTGTTGTCGGAGGTCTGTTGTTATTGTTATGGTTGTTGTTGGTGAGGAAGCTAAAGTCGATGCGCTGTGCGTCATGGAGGTCGGTGAAGAGGGCGTCACTGTAGCTGCGGATGGGGTAGTAGGTCGGTGAAATTGTGGTGGTTGTTGTATGGGTATGTAGCTGTTGCGGGAGGGAGCCGTCAAGCGGAGCTGGGTCGGAGAGGTCGACTACGATGGGCGTGTCCAGGTTAAGAAGATCTGTAGCAGGTGGCAGAACGGTTAGCATCGATTGAATAGATCAGCAATTAATAGAATGCCACGTACGAGTCTCTTTCGGCTCGTTTCCCATGATCTGGTCGTACTCTGGGAAGTAAGCTGAGAGCTCACTTTTGAAGCGACTGCTTTCTTGTGACCTCAGCTTTCTGGGGCCATTGGCGTCGGTCTCAGTCGGCCGTAACCTGTCCAGCTCGTGCTTCAACCCATTGGCGACCTTCTCTTGATGTTTTGTAAGCGTCGGTTGCTCGCGGGAGCTAGCACGAGTGGGTTTCGGGCCATTGGCAAGAGAATCGCGATGGCTCGTTGGAGCTTTCGGGGCAGTGGTACCGGCACCGGCAGATGGTTTCTGGGCAGCCGGCACTGGTCTCGCGTCGGCAGTGTCCTTTGCGAAACGGGTATGTGACGACGGCCTCGCTGGAATCTCTACTGCAATTCCCGTCGTGAACCTGGCCTTCTTGGTCACGATGGTGTCGGAGTCGCGTGCCGAAGGGTCGAGTTGGCGCTTTGGGCGGGGTGCGCGGTGATCCTCCGAGTTGCCGAGCAGTCGACTCGCGAGACGGAGACCCTCTGTCCGTCTTGAGCGGATTACCGATGCGGTCATTGTCATTTTGGACAATTCCTTTCGCTCCTCGCGATGCTTGGAGCCAAGACCGGCATTGCTAGATGAACGTCCCATTTCAGGGTCGGCAGTGCTGGGGGCTCCTGCTGCTTGGCAGCTTTTTGAGGCCTGAGCAGAAGAGCGCGGTTGCCGTTTCAATGGGATCATATGTAAGGTACCTTACGCTTTGATCGCTGACTTGTTATGCAGAATTTTGTCACTGGGAGCATTTTATTTGCACAATTGACCTGGCAACTATTCCCTATTGTTTTGCCCGGTCGTCTATTGTCATTAAGCAGTATACTTTGGACGGTTTGCTTGGTCGGTGTAGCTAACGCTATAACCCCAACCCTTGAATGACCACCTTTAGTTCTCGTGACAGCAGTTCGAAGCCGCTTTTGATGACGGCGCGTCTGCCTCAATGTACTAAGAAAAAAAAAGAAAGTCAAAGTTTGGAATGTATACAGACTTACAATCGTGTAACACGCCTCCTTCCGCTCGGTCATTATTGATTTGAAGTTTTGCTGGCAAATACATGCATACAAACACTGTCAAGTTTACACCACGACTGCCTAATTCGGCACGCGCCTTCCGGACTACGACCAGAACAAGGGAGAGCACCAGTCACCTCTGCGGTTTGTGATGAGCCCAGCCAAGGTTGGTACCTGATACGATATTACATGCAAGGAACTCTATACCGAGGGACGACGGACAATCATGAGCTTAATCTCAATGCATTAAGATAACTATTAACCTCCAACGCCGCCCATCCCAAGTTTTCCAGTTTCCCCTGTGATGCACCGAAGCCGTGACAGTCATCCGATCCAGTCGTAACGTCATCAAGCCCAGCCATACAAAGCACATCCATTTATGTACAAGAAAAAGGGCCACCCAGTGGCCTGTCTATCGTGGACGAGTCACAGACCCTCCAACTTTTCCCTTCCCCAATTATAGACACAACCAAAATGGGGAAGAAGATTCGGAAACTGGAATCCCAATCCCAGTTCTCCCGTGTCCTTTGCTCTCTCATCAACAAGCGCCATACTTAACCCCCCTCTTGCCCACCTCCTTGCGCCCGACAGGACACTCCGGCAGGATCCACCCCCTCGCCCTCTTGGCCTCCCTCTTCTCAGCCAGCTGCGGCTGCGGCATCCACGCGTCCCTAGGCAGCGCCTTGCGCCGCGTCCCGTCGGCGGGCGCGCCAATTTCGGCCTTCCAGTGCGCGTTCCCGGGCATGGACTCGTCGCCCGCGAGCATGCACAGCCCCCACAGCGCCAGACACGCCGTCATTTGCGCCTGCTCGGGCTCGACCACACCCCCATCACTCTCATCATCGTCATGAGAGGCGGCAGCAGCGAGCTGCACAGACCCGACCTCGAGGAACCCGAAATGCGGCGTGCCCTCGGTCCCGTTCCGCACAAACACCAGCTCGATCTCGGTTAGGATAAACCCGTACCGGCACCCGTGCTCGCGCATGGCGTGGTGCAGGTGCGCCAACCCGCGGAGATACTCGACGCGCTTGATGTTGCCCTCGACGCGCATGCCCGTGTTGAAGCGGTCGAAGCTCTTGACGAGCCCGACGACGCGCGCCGACGGCTTGCCGCCGAAGATGGCGGCCGCCGAGGATGACTCGCCCGCCGCGTTGGCGACGAACATGCAGTCGGTGGCCATGCCCAGGCTGGCTGACGATGACGTCGTGGTCTTGGGCGGGACGGTCAGCTTGAGTGGGCGCTGGGAGCAGAGGGCCAGGGCGGCGTTAAGCTTGGGGAGGTAGTGTGCTGCGTATATGGCGTGCAGGGCCGATTCGGTTTCTGGGTGCCGCTGGGTGGTGGTAGGGATCGGGAGGAGAGCGGGAGAGATGGGTGTCGAGAGGCAGGCGGAGGCGCCGGGGAAGGAGAGGATGGAGGCGGCGGTGAAGTTGGTCCAGGGGCGGACCTGCCGGACGTCCCACCAGAAGTGCTTGGTGTGGGGGTCGCGGAGCGGGAAGGAGAGGCTGCGGACGAGTGACGGGGCGGGGTTGGGCGAGGTCAGGTAGGAATAGAGGGTTGTGGTCGGGGCGGCCTCAGGCATGATCGGGGCGGCGGCGGCCAATGGCGAAGTAGCACGCGGCACAAACTGCTGGTAGAGGAACGGCTCCGGCTGGGGCAGGGCTTGGGGATGCGGCGGAGGAGTGGGGCTACTGCTGGCCCGGGCCGGCACGTAGGCGGGCATTTGGTAAGCCGGGAAGTAGTTGTCAACGGTGACGTTGTCAAGGCTACATGAGGATGCCCGGCGGGAGTGCATCACGGATGATTCAGGGGCGAAGCTGACGGGGGAGCAGAGCAAAGGCGCCGGATTGCTGTCCTCGGCGAACGAGAGAGCAGTCGAGTATGAGATGGTCTCCGGGTTGGTGTGGCTACGAGTGTGCGTCGGGCGGTAGGCACTCTTGTTCGGACGATCCGGCGCCGGAGAGGTCCTGGCACGCTTCGTTCCCCGGGGAGCAATGGCGGAGGGGATGATCGTCTGGTCTTGGCTGCGGATCTTGGGGAGGAGCAACGGCCCATGAGTCCGGATGGGAGACCGCGCCGGAGTGGTCCGACGGGTGCTGGGGGCGGTGATCGAGTTAGAGGGCGACGACTCGAAGGAGTAGACGGATCCATGCGAGTGGGAACGAGCGTGGCCAAGGTTGTACGGGATCTCAAGGAGAGACGGATCAAAGGTGAAACTCGGAGGGGTAGTGGGATCGCATGGTGGGAAGGTGAAGTCGAAGGGGACACCCGCTGCCAGACTAGTGGATGCTCCGTCAATATCTGGCTGATACGGTCAACTCGAGAGCAGGAGACTCACGTGGACATGTTTATGACTGGTCAAGGTGTGTTGACGGACACACACACAGCCGATTACAGATTAGTGTGCAAGAGATGAAGCTCCGTGAGGAGGTAAGTAGGAGACCGGCTCCGTTGGTATAAGTGATAAGGAGACGGAGAAGGAAACGAGGTGGTCTGAGATTTGGACCGGGCCTCTGCAGACAAGTCCAGATGTTGGGGGACAAAGAATGGTATGTCTGAGGATGGGCTGACGAGATGCGACGAGAGGAGGGAAGAGAGGTGATACTTATCCTCGGCGACAATTACGGTCGGAACCATAGGCTACAGATGGCCGCCGCGATGCGGGCCCATGATGCACCAGCCGGCTCCCAGAGCGAGGACTGGATGCGGTGGTCTGGACACGGCTCATCGCATGTGGGTGTGAACCGTCAACCGTGGACCGCGAAAGAAAGAAGCGCGGAGTGGACCGCGATCCTATTCCGGGCCAAGGACCAGGGTCGAGAACTGGTCAAGCTTGGAGCTGGTACGTACCCGTCCTACCAGAGCTGCAGCTGGTGTAGCCCTAAATTTTTCGCAGATTGCTATTCGATCAAAAATAAAATCTGAAACACGGAGACAAAGCTTGCCATTTTGTGGGGTTGAGGGCGGATGTTGCGGCCCACACAGTAGCATGGAGACGCCCAAAACGTCGGACGACATGTTGAGACGTTGTTGAGGCGGAGCGCAAAGAGGGGTACGTACCTTGCCGCTGTCTACACGTGTACAGTATTCAGCGGCTCTGGGGCGTCAGATTAACTTCGTGGTTGCGATTTGGCCCAGGTGTGGCATTGTGGTCGCCCTGGGCCATGGAGATCGAGGGGATCATGGGGTGGTGGAAATCTGGATTCGCCCGCGTGTGATGTGAAGAATGCGGTGAACATCCTGATCATGCCCAAATTTGCAGAATTGACTGTCGAAGCAGGTGTCTGGCCCAAGCTCCTCCTTCCCGATGCGTCTTTTTTTTTTTTGTCATTCCCCCACGGCCGCTCACCTCCTCGAAAATCGAACGAACGACGAAGCAAGAGTCGAACATGACCTGAGCGTCGCAAGAGAGTCAAGTCTATGCACCTTCCAGCTCTCCCATTGGCTCGACTTCAAGTTAATGCAAGCCGCCTCTGGGCGTTTAGTGACTCATATTCGGACACCTGGCAAGCGTTGCATTAGTAGGCCTTGTCGCCGTGCGCCTCCACACCCTGCAAATTGCCGGGCGCCAATGGGAACTCAAGGACCACGGCGCGCTTGTGCCGCGACTTGGCTTGACATTCGCGGCTTTTGAGACTCGGTTCACGCTCCCGCGCGGACGTGGGCGTGTGTGGGACGTGGGTCGCGGGGCGAACGAGAACTCCAACGTCGTCATGGTGTGAGCAGCCACCGCTGTGGCTTTCCCCACGCCATCAAAGCTTCCCTACATTGCATTGAATATCGAGACATCTAAAGAGAACGAACAACCCCCCCCAAATGAACCGGAGCATCTCATCATTGAGAGTCCCTGGGCCGCGATTGGGCACCATCCCGCCTCGTAAAGGACCTTGGGCAGCTCTGCTTCGCAACGCAGTGCTGGTCTTTGGGTCTCTACCAGAAGCCTCTCCTCCTTTCGGCCGAAAACAACACGGGGATAACCCAGACCCCTCTGCTAGAGTTATTTTTGGTAAAGAATCTCAACGCCAGCATCCGCTGATCGAGATCTCATTTCGGCTCTGTCCGCTCGGACATTGAGGCTCCTGCTTTAGGGCTGACGGGTAGGCCTGATGACTTGCTGCAAAGTTTGACAGCGGTTACTGAGATTGCCACTGTTTGATGAGTGCCGGAGGCAGCCCGTGGTTGGGCGGCTGGAGGAGGAAAAGGTCACTTCGGTAGCCGCCCTGACTAGCCGCGGGCGCTTGCAAAGAGCTCAAATGTTTCGGCCCGTTATCCGCTGTTAGAAACTAGTGTGCTCCACCGGGCGATTCCCTAACAGAATCTATCCACGCTCCAGCCGAGTAAACCGACCAGACACGCGTTGTCTGAAGTTACCTCGATGAGTGCCACAGTAGACGGGCGGCTGCTGAATCCACCCCGAATCTCCCAAGCCTCGGAAGATTCCAGGTCCCTTTAGTAAAGATCCCCCTCTTTCAGATCCGATTGCTTCATCTTCCCGCCGTTGTTGCACTGCCTCATTCAGCTAACCGGGCGCTTACTCGACGTAACTACCTGACCCAAATGAGAGCTCCACCGAGGATCACCTCGGTGGCCGGTCAAGAACGGGAAGTCGCGTCAGCCTTCCTCGCTGAATCCGCGAGAGTCGACCTCACAGCACGGAATCACGTGCACCCGCGCATCTGTATCGGACGCCCACTCCCCGATTCGTCGACCCTTTCCTGCAAGTCGCCATGCAAGTCGCGCTGCTCGCTCAGCCAATCCGGTCCGCGCAAGCCCCGAACTGCACCTGTTAAGTTCGCGATTTGGCTCGTCGATTGGCTGTCACCGACTTTCCGCTGCTCAACATCCTCCACCGATGGATGACTCTTCAACTCTCGTCCTGCAGAAGTTCTCGTTCCATCCGGTTCTAGATGCATACGAAGATCGTTTCCCTCCCTCCAGCGACAAGAAATTCCCGCATCCGGCAGTCTGTCTCCTCGTTTACTCGTTTCGTTTCTCCGCCAGCACTTTCCCGCTGTTTGAATGTTTCATGTTTCAACCTCCATGATTTCCACATCGGGAAGGAAACCACGCACACCATCACATGCAAGTCAAAGATGCCTTCGTTTCAGGTTGGAGATGCAAGTGCAGGTCTTGAATGACTCATTGATGGTAATTCGTCATCTCCATTCTGCGGTTCGGCACATCGGGACATGAGGCAGTGGTCTATTTGCCGGAGTTGAGTTTGGGGTGTGGGCAGTCACCGGTGAACAAAGACCGAGGGGCAAAGTGTTTCCTCGTTTGTCTCGACAAAAAAGACAAAGACAAACCAAAATCAAATGGGCGAAGACTTGAGGGCCGATAGAGACATTGTTCTATTCTGCGGAGGACTCGTAACTTGTCACCGAATATTCCCAGACGTCCGATGCCGCAACATCTCAACCAACACTTTGGATCAAACCAGTCTGCTACATGTCTAAACTCTCGCCCTCCACTTCAAAGATCTTGGAAGCGAAGACAGTGTACACCGGCAATGCATTGATTGTCCATGTACCTCTACTGCCCAGGGGTATCCTATCCACCCTTCACCGCCATGGAGAATCAAGAAGAGAAAAAAATAACGCAACAAGTGAAGTTCTTTCAGCCTGCGGTGTACACGCATACTTGGTCAACCCGGCGATGTAACCCCGGGCAAGCTCCGGGTCCGAAGGCGGTCTCGACTCTCCACCCCTCCAAACGCGTCCGTCGCCCCGGCGCGTCACCGCCTTTCACAATCCGTCCGTCCCCACATTCCACCTCGCCACTGCACCGCCCAGGTCGGCCCGTCGGTCACCAAACCCCGCTCTCCTCCCCCACCTGCTCACCATTACCATGGGCCCCATTAACAAGCGGTGAAGAAGAGGCCGAGGAGAAAGGGGCAGAAGACGAGGAAGAGAAGCGACCACCCACCTCTACAGCCTTCGCGTTACCACCACCAACAACCCCCTTCTCCCCAACACCAGACCCAGACCCAGACCCATCCACACTCTCCCTAACAGCCCTCAAAGCCCTGACCATCCCCTCCAAACGACACCTCTCAGCAATCACCATCCCCCTCGCGAGCTCCCTGACGGCCCTCCTCCCAATGCGCTCATGCATCTCCCTCCACCCCGCCAGCTCCCCCGCCACGGTCTGCTGCGCATACCTCAGTTCCCTCGCCAACTTTTCCGCTTCGCCTTCGCTCTTTCTAGCCTTCTCCTCCCGCTCCTCGTTCATCCGCTGCCTCGTCTCGTCCAAGACGGGCAGGCTCAGCCCCAGCGGCCAGCGCGAAGCGCGCGAGAGCGAATTGTAGCTCCGCTCCACGTCGCGGCGAACGGCGAGTATCTTGGCGATGGTCTGCGGCGGGCGTGCGAGGGCTTTCAGGACGGACTCGACGTTGGAGTAGAGAGTCAGGAAAATTGTGAAGAAGGCTGCGAGTGGCGAGGAGTGCGATGGCGCGAGGGCGCGGACGTAAGTTGCGAAGGCGGTTGTGTGGGGGGCGGGGAGGAAGCTAAGCGTAGAAAGGGTGCGGGAGAGGAGGGTTGAGGACTCGTGAAGGTCTGTAAAAAGGTAAAAGCGGTAAGTATCCGTGCTATGTAGAGATTGCAAAAAGTGAACTCACCCGCGACCACGTTGGCGACGACATTCGCCCGCCGCGCGACACTCCTCGTAGAGAAATGCACGCTCCGCACCATGTCTCGCGCATGATCGATAAATTGTTCAACCTCGCGCAGGTCTTCGACCGGCTCGAACTCGTCGTGCACCTTCTCCATCAGCGCGTCCGCCTTGAGCTTGCTCCGTTCCGCCATCGTCTGCAGCTGCAGGTCGGGCACCAGAAAGAACTCCCACAGCATCTCGTGCGTGGCAAACGTCGGGTGCTGCAGCAGCACTCTCAAAAACCAGTCCATCTTGACCTGAAGGTCCCTCAGCACGGCCCGACTGGGCCGCGACGGGATTTGGGTCGGCGAGCGCAGGTCCGCCAGCGAGGGTATCCACGATGCCGGGTTCTCCATCTGTAGCAGCCTGGCCAGATGCTCAAAGTCAGAAAGCGACCGCCGGCAAGTCGTGACCGCGAAGCTCTGCTTGTCCACCGGCGCACCCGACTTGAGCACGAAGCGGACCGACGCGTCCTCGACAAAGTAGGCGCGGACAACTCCGGTGGTCCGGGAATCCATGCTAGGCATCTGAGAAAACAGCGTCAGGTCGTCGATCTTGTTCCGCACCTCGTCGTCCTTGGCCAGCTCGACGGCCGTCAACCCCCGAAGCTCCTTGGCTGCGGTGTCGACGCGGGGGTCGCCAAACAGCGTCCGGACCATGTCAAAGCGGCCGTACTTGCTGGCCAGCATCAGGGCTGTGAACTTCTTATCGTTTGTTGCGTTAACGTCGACGTCGCACCGCTGGAGGATCGTCATGGCCAACTTCGCATCGTTAACAATGTGCAACAGCGTGTTCCCCTTAACATCCACATGGTTATCCAAATGCAGCGGCTGGCCGTCCCCCTGAGTCTTGGTGGCCGCATCCAGCGCCTCAGAGACCATGGTGGCATAGTTCGGGTGGTCGTATGATCGGCACAGGGCAAATAACGGCGTCTGCCCGTTCTTGTCTTTTTGCCGCCACGGCAGAAGCCTGCCTATGTGCTGTATTAGAAAGGGGGCGTGAAACATGTAGTGGGCGGCGCTCCTAGCCCAAATGTCTTGGATCGCGAGGTAGTCTCGAAGTCGATTGTCGTCTGCAGCCTCCAGCAGGAAGTCGAGGATGGTGTTGACGATGGTCTCGTCTCCCAGCTGCACAGCCGCGCTGAATAGGGTTGTCCCTTCGTTATTCTGGTCGCCTAGTATGACTTCAGCGGAGTAGTACTGTCTCAAGGACAGCAGATACTTCAAAGCTTCCGGCTGCCTGTTTTGGATGGCCATCATGATGACCGACTCCCCAAACGCATCTTGCGTTTGAGAGAGGCGCTCAATGGACGTATCGCCTTCGATACCACTCAATGTGCCGATGCTCATGGGCATCGAGCGGAAAGATATCTCAGACGAGCTCGACATGCTTCTGGTGTCCATGGCCACCTTTTTGGTGCGTTTCGGGGGAGGAATGCTTCTGTCCGCTGTGTCCGTCCCATTCTGGAAAGGAAACACATGGCTTAGGCCTGACCCCAAAGAGAAACTCTCCGATAGAGTAAAGCTCAACGACGACCGTCTTGAGGTCCCGTTGGTGAAGCTCCAACCGCTGGACGACTGCGTCCGAGAGTGAGTTGGCCCGAGCACGCCCCCGTCATCCTCGATGGCTTCCTCGTCCGGCTCCATAATCCTTCGTAGTTCTGGCAAGTCGCCTTTGGATACAGCATCCCACAGCGCTCGATTTCGCCAGCTCGCTCGCCTCAGCCCCCCGGAATCGCGGTCCAGGTATGACAGCACTGCCTCGAACGTGCTAAGGGCGTATCCCATCTCGCCGCTCTCGACGTCATCAATGAAGATGAAGCCCTGAATGTAGCTTAACCTCGCCTGCAGATGCTTGATCTGTGCTTTTATCACGACGTAGAGTAGCAGAGACACCAGAGTGTCGGCGTTGATGGTCATGACCGGTTTCTCAGACGCTGTCCCAGGCGTGTCCCCCGGTTGCGGCCCATCCGTGAGCTGGGTGGCCGCCTTGGTCGTTGAAAGCAGGATCTCCATCATTTCCTGCGGACAGCTGGCGTTCGGCATCTTCCTGAACTCCTCGACGGCCCGCCCTAGCCTGCTGACGACGTCGCGTTTGGCACGGTTGCCTCCATCAATGACGATGCCCAACTGCGAGATGTCGATGAAGTCCATTTGCCTGATTTTGGCTTCCAACTCCAGATCTTCCTGCCTCCTAAGCACAGCGAGGCGGGGGAACAGCATATGGTGCACGTTCTCGGCGATGTAGCGCTCAATCAGCCGCTCGACAAGCGGTCCCGTCAAATCCGTCGTCGCGCCCAGCAGCGAAAGCTGTTGTCTGTCGACGGTTTGAAATAGGTCAATAGCAGCGGTAACAGCCGTCTCCAGAGCAGTCCTCATGGCGGTCTCATCGTCTTGCCAAGTCTCGGGTACTTGACTCCCAATGACCCCGTTACCAGTCCTTTGAGCCACGTCACTGTTTGACCTCGCTCTCCTCAATGCGGTCATTATCGGCCCATCGGGCTCGGGATCCGGAATATCGCTCGCGGAAGGCGGCGGAGGCAATGGCCGCTCAAACACCTCAGTAAACTCGCGGAACAGCTTCTCCAAGCCCGCTTGCATCTGCTTGGCGATGGACGGGAAATGGTTGAGAAGCTCATGGAAGGTTTTGATATCTTTCTTCCTCAGCGATCCGGCGGGCTGCTCTCGGGCGTCCGCCAGTGCCTTGACCAAACGATTCTCGCCTTCCCGAGCAGGTGGCAACACAGCCGGCGGCACCCGGACTTCCTCCCATGACCCAACGAGCGGGCGCGAGATGTAGTAAATCAAGAACGACCGAGGATCGAGGGTGTCGGGGTACCAGATGGCATCGTGGAGCAAGTTGGCCTGGATGAGCGACTTGAAACCTGCATCGAGACCGTCAGCGTCCTCCATACGAGGGGAGCGTCCAGCGCATACCCACCCTTGTTGGTGTAGATGGAATTGTCCTTGATGACAAGACTCCTGCCGTTGAAGGTGGAGTACATCTTGGGTTTCCCCCGCATCTCGCGGGGATTCTGCGCCGCGGCATCCTTCCCGGCGGTCCCTGGTGCTTTCGGGACAGGTATGCGCAACACGTGGCTTGCAAGGAAGTCGTCGGACGCTATGGAGACCAGCAGGGGCGCGCCCGTCTCGGTGTCGCGGGAGTTAAGAAGGACATCGGCGGTGGGGACGAGGAGGATGTGCTGTTGGGGCGGCAGGCACTGGGCGAGGATGGGGCTCTTGGAGAAGGCGCTCAGGAATGGGTTTAGGGGTGGCATTCATTCGACTGGTTTCGCGACCGCGCTGAGTGAAGGCGTCGCTAAAGGGGTAGCCACCATTGGGCAGTTTTGCGAGACGTAAAACCATGCAACGGGCGCTTTGCTGTGGCCCGAGATCCTCGATCGGTATCACACTTTTGGGGTATCGAACACCGGGTGGCGCAAGCGAAAGAGTAATCGATTTCTATTTCACTCTCGACGATTTGGATCTGGTTTGTGTGGACGTATTCAAGATAGGCGGGCGTTGTTGAAGTGTCACGGAAGGTCGGGTATTTCTTGAAGAGAAGTACAATGCAGGTGGAAGTTCGTGTCAATCTGATCGCCGAATGCTGCATTGAGAGACAGCTGGAGCTTGACGCGGCAGGCATGTTTCAGGCAATGTCCTCGGAGCCGGTCAGTGCACGGTCCACATGCAAACATCAGCCAGTAACGGCGATCTCCGGCCCGTCGGCACAGTGGGCCTCTGTCCGGAAGACTGCCACCGACGGACTCGGCGATAACAAGGGAAACATGAGCCTTGAATGACTTCGTTTCAGCTCATCCACAGTGGATCCGTACCGCCTTGGGACAGCATCTCACACATTAATGCATTGCAAGGCTGCGTTGATGGTGGCTGCTCTCCAAGTTTACAGGGCTTGGGCTCTGCGGATATTCCGTCTACCTAATTCACGGAGCTACCAGGTACGGCTGCGTGGGTTGCGCCATTGGGCTGCGAATGTTTGCATGTGCAGTGTAGTGCCTAGTACCCACGGACACGCTGACAGCAACCACAGGATAGAGCTGTGATCTGCCGCTTGATTGCATTTTGCTCGGCCCAGCCTTGCATCGCGGACTCCATCTCGCATGATGGCCATCGAGACGCTCATGCCTGAGCTCTCATTACATTTACTCCACATCCAAAGTATGGCTTCCATGGAACCACATCAGCGATTCTAACATAGGTCGCGCAGCAGCCCAAGCATGTGTCAGAACTCTCGTACCATTGACCTGGGTAGCTTTAGGCCTTGGCAGCGCCAGCCTTGATCAGCAGGATGTCGCCATCCTCGACGACGTAATCCTTGCCCTTGGTCATCATCTTGCCCTTCGCCCTCACCTCGGATTCGTCGCCGAGCTCCTTGAGGACGTTGTAGTTGTACACAATGGCCTGGATGAATGTCTTCTCAAAATCTGTGTGAATGACGCCAGCTGCTTGCGGTGCCTTGGTGCCGTTCCGGATGGTCCATTGCCGGACCTCATCGGGGCCAACAGTGAAGAAGCTGCCCAGGTTGAGGGCCTTGCGCATCTGGACAATGACCTTGGGCAGCGCGGATTCCGCCCCAACCTTCTTGCACTCTTCCTTGGCCTCCTCCTCTGTCTCGAACCTGGTTAAGCGCTCCTCGAAGGAGACAGAGATGGGGATGATGGGGTCTCCCTCGGCATGCTCCTTGACCCACTCGACAATCTTGGGAAGGTGCTTATTCTTTTTCCTGATGTAGTCCTTCTCAGAGAGATTGACCAGGAAAACTACTGGCTTGGCCGTCAGGAGGAAAAGAGGATTGATGACCTCGACCTGAACAAAGTCAGCGATCGCTTTCGAAATCATGTGATATGTAGCAGTATAAGAGTAGAACAGCGAGTGGTATCAGAACGGAGTTTTTATCTCAGCAGGCACTCTGCGTTGTTGTGAGGCATTCGACGAGCTGGGTTATTAGATCGGACCATTGGTCCTTTATCATCATGGAGAGGTCTAAACGAGAGTAGGAAAATGAACAACGACCTACCTCCTTAGGAGCCCAGTTGCCCTTGCGGACGTCCTTGCCATCCTTCAACCAGGCAAGGATCTTCTCAATCGTAGCCTCCTCCTCCTTCCACTGCTTCATCTGCAAACTTTGACCGCCCTGGCGCGTCTTCTTCTTTTGGTTCTCGAGCGCCTTCTCGACGAATTCAATGTCCTTCAACCGCAGCTCCTCGCTGATGATGTCAAGATCGCGGATGGGGTCGACGTCGCCCTCGACGTGGATAATCTCAGCATCGTCGAAACACCTCACGACTTGGAAGATGGCATCGACAGCGCGAATGTGGGACAGGAAAGCATTGCCCAGGCCGGCACCTGTCGAGGCACCACGGGTCAAACCGGCAATGTCGTAGACTGTGAGGTTGGCGGGCACCCGCGACTTGGGCTGGTACTTCTCGCACAGCCAGTCAAAACGCGCATCAGGGACGATGACGCGAGCCTCTTCCGGGTCAATGGTGGCATAGGGGAAGTTCTAGCGGTGGAATCAGCAACGGGCCGTCTTGACAAGCGCTCAGAAAGGTTGCTTACCGCAGGGTTACCCAGGTTGCACTTGGTGATGGCCTGGAAGAGCGTAGACTTGCCAACGTTTGCTAGCCCAACCTGTTCGCCGGAAACAAGTCAGCGAGGCTGAAGAGTCGTCGTCCGCCCAAGGCAACCCACAATGCCGCTCTTCAGGTTGTTTCCAGGACGACCCAGGAGAATCTTCTCCTCAACCACTTGCTTCTTGGGAGGCATCTTGGTTCTTCGTTTACTGTAATGACGAGCGGAGATGTAGATGAGAGTGCAGTCAAGCACTGGTTTCTTGGAAAACGCAGAGCTACCGGTAGCTGCGGAGGTTCTAAGGAGGGCTAAGGGAGAAGCGAAGAGGAATGATCGAATTGGAGGTGCCGTCGCGACGGCGCTCGTGGACTTAGTGCCACGAGCTGCGCTGTATGGAAGGTCGCCTGAGACAAGCGAATGCCTAGCGAGTGCTGATCGAGCTGGCTTTAACAAAGGTGAGAGTCCAGATGGGATCAATGTTGAGCCGGCCTTCTCGAGATGCTGTTGTGTTTCTGAGTGAAAATTTGGCCGAAGCTTCTTGCATGGCGGGGTGAAGATGTGGGGCATCTCAGCTCCCTGAAAATGCGCACAAGCCACCTACTCACCCTGATTCACTCCCGTCACTAGTTCCGGGTTGTGGGTCTCTATCCACCAAGAATCGCAGGACCTTGAAGGAGGCTGCGATCCTGCGTCAACAAACCAAACTGGGCCAGCTCATTCTCCGGATTGTGTACCTGGTCCCCATAATCGGTCAAGCCCTGTTGTACTGCTTACTTACCGCTATCTATTTTCTTCTTCAGCCTTGCAGATATCATTGCAGCCTCGAAATTTCCGGCGGCTGGACGCTCCCTATTTGTTCCCAGAGGTTGCTTGGCAGCCTGGTCTCAGCTACCGATGAACACCCGACGACACCACTAACTCACCTCTTCCGCGCAGCAGGAGCATCAATTACTCTCGACTTTGTTCCTCTGACGTTCCTCCGTACTCAATACACCATCCTCCATAACCTTCTCGCACCGCATAACCCACCATGTCGACCCGCAAACACCAAAAGAAACCTTCCCGAACGCACCGCTCGACCCTCTCCCTCCAAAAGACCGAAATCCTCATCAACATCTACGACCTCCTCCCGCCGGGCCGCATGGCCTCGTTCCTCTGGCACATGGGAACGTCCCTCTTACACTCGGGCGTCGTGATCAACGGCAAGGAGTACGCCTACGGCGGGCACGACCGGCGCGGCCTGACAGGCGTGTACTGGACCAAGCCGCGCACCGAACCGCCCGGCGGCACGTTCCGCTGCGAGTACCTGCACGGCTTCACGTTGGCGCCACAGCACGAGATCGACGCCATCATCCGTGAGGCGTCCGAGGAGTTTCTGGGCACCGCGTACAATCTCCTGACCAAGAACTGCAATCACTTCACGTCGTATCTGTGCGAGCGGTTGACGGGGAAGCCCGCGCCTAGGTTCCTGAATCGCGCGGCGAGTATCGGCGTCGCGCTGCCGTGCGTGGTACCCAGGGAGTGGATCGAGGTGCCAGACTTTGAGACGGCCGATGGGGCGTTGTTGGAAGAGGAAGAGGAGGAGGAGCAGCAGCATCAGAATCGTCGGGATAGCGAGCGCGCGAGAATGCTGAGATCGTCGGAAGAACAGCCGCGTCTGGTCGGGCAGGAGGAACGGGATACAGAGCAGGAGTGGGATAGTGAGGAGGAGCGTCGGCGGGGTGGGAGCAGCAAAGGCAAGGGAAAGGCGTCCATTAGGGACTCGGCGGGGAGGATGCTGCCTCTTGCGGAAAGGGCGCCGACCGCATGATGTTCGGTTGACTTACTCTCATTTGGCGTTGCGTTGTTTTTGCATTGGTGGAGTTGGGATGGAATTCAGCGGTTTTGAAACCTGATACCCCGGCTACAGGGGGGCTGGCGACTATCACGGCTGGCGTTCTATGGAGGTTAACGGGCTTTGGTCTGAGTCAAACAGAATTGGATTGATGTGTGGTTTGGAGGGTCAAACTCTCAGATATCGCGTGGTGTCAGATGAGGTATCCCTTTTTGCTTGATATCTGAGTCTCAACTCACGCACGGCTCAGAGGCCACGTAATGAGGGCTCCCCATATGTATGTACGAGGATTCGGGTAGGACGGTATCACGCAGCCCGGTGAAGCCCCTTTCAGCCTCTCCCTTAAGTATCCGCCTTGCGTTCCTAGGCAGTCGCATTGTTCACGAAGCCGAGAAGTTTCACGCCGCCAGCCCGGCAGTATTCAAGGCGGCCTTGGCCACTGTCCCATCCACCCCCCCTCCGACATCTTCCACGGCCTTGCCTTCCTTACCATTCTCGCGGTTCCACTCCAGAATCTGCTCGCAAATGCCCTCAATCGTGGTACACCCGCCTCGATACCCAATGCCCCCCTCCGCAACACTCTTCCGCGCCAAGCTGTCGTCGACAAGCGTGTGACACGACACGGAAAATACCGAAGGCTGGAGCATGTGGATCGGACCCGACGGCTCCCTCCAGCCGAACCAGGCAGTCAGAAAGGGCAGCCGCGCCAACAACAGGCACCAGGCCTCGATGGCGTGCGCCAGGAGGAAAAGCATGATAGGGTTTTGCTGGGTTACGCGCACGGGCGTGGCGGACAGCGTCTGCGCCGCACAGTAGACGTCGGCAAACGATGGGGGCGGGCCGAGGTCGGTCACATTGAAGGTGCGGCCGGCGCAGGCGGGCATCGTAGTCGTGGTGGGGTTGGCGTTGTTGGGGTTGCCCTTCGGCAGGGCGAGGGCGGCTTCGAACTGCAGGTGAGCCAAGGCGACGTTGCGCGAGTTGACAAAGTTTTGGACGATGTGCGAAATCCAAGTCACGTTGTCCCGCATGCGGAGGACTATGCCGAGGACGGGATCCGTCTTTTGCCCGTAGATGGGGTTGCCCGGGCGGATGGTGCCCGTACGGAAGGTTGGCTCGTTGGCGTTGCAGACGGCGCGCTCGGCTTCGGCTTTGGAGTAGGCGTCTGTGCGTGGGGTCAGTCGGTCGTGGTTCTGGGATAGGTACATCGGACAAGACATACAGTTGGAGAAGAATCGGTCGTGAGGACGTAGAGAAGCGTCGAAGTCTCTTTCGTTGGCGATCTGCAAGTAGTTTACAGGAGTTCTCTGCCACGGCCAGATCCAAAACTTAGGAGGGACGATGCTGACTGAGGCGGACGAGGTGGCAATGAAGATGTCGGCACCAGCTGCGCGGGATGCTTTAAGAACGTTGACGGCGCCATCTCGGTTGACGGCGCTGATGCGGTGGTAGATCAACAGGCTGCGCTCCTGGGGCCGGACAGCAGCTGCTGTGTGGAAGACGGTCAGGGGCTTCTTGACGACGGACTCGGGCCATGGCTTGGAGAAGGCGGCGTCAACAGACGAGCGGGAAGAGATGTCGGCTTTCACAAAGTCACATCCGGCGACCTTTCCAATCATGTCCCTGCGGTTGAGGGGCACAAAGTCGACAACTCGGATGCACTCCGGTGACTCGCCGCGCTGGAGCAGCTGCAAGACGATGTCTCCCCCCACGAGTCCTGAATGAGGTCAGCACAACTTCAGGGTTCTGCAATGTCTCACTTCAATTGGGCCGGACGACGGGGCTTACCAGATCCGCCAACGACGACATACCGCCTGTCCAGGCGTGGCGGTAAGAGCTTGACAAAGTCAAGTGGCTTCTGTTTGAGGCGCTCGTACGTGTCGCGGAGCTCCCGCTCTGTCCAACGTCGGGGCGAGGCTTGCCGTGCGCTTTCAGGCACACTCTGCATTGCCGCGTTGATCCTCCAAAGCCATGCCAACACAATGAAGGCGAAGGCGCCTGTCACCGCCCAGAACATGATGGCCCTTCACCACGTAAGGCTACTTTTGTAAGATGTGACTGCGTATAAGGAGGACAGAGCATTTCTAGGGAACGGTAGGCAAGTAGGGCATACTCAGGATGATCAAGGGGTGTAGTTAAAGGGACGAGGAGAGCACAACATCCGAGGTGATGTGAGAGCGGTGGATTTGTCGAGATGTTCATGTTGCCGAACACTAGTATCCCAACTTTCTCCCCCGCCTGCTTGCGATTGGCCTGTCCAAGGGAACAGCGGGCAAGCTGGAGGGAACTTTCCTCTCCACGTTCTGTCCGTACCGTATTACGGCGAAACGCCAGTACAACTTGGCATCAAGGAGGAAAGGTCCCCTGGCTGCTCAAACGAGAAAGTCATTAGGTGGTCTTTTTTCGGGTAACAGCGCAAGCCCAAGTTTGAAATATAGATGAAGATATAGACGGAGTTTGGCGCACATGTGTCAATAACATCGAGTTTGGTTTTTTACGCAAGCATTGTGTTAGTATACCCATCCGCGCGGTAGGACAAGTCAGGTAGGAAGTACTCTTAAGGTTACGGACATACGATATGACCGTTGCTTGGGCAAATATCGGGTCAGGTTACTCAACAATGGAACCAAGTGATTCCGACTCGCATGAGATGCGGGAATAACGACAGATAAACTGGATGTGGAGTCGGTGCGTGCGTCTTCAGATCTGTGGGGTTCCCGATCATCATGCAGCACGGGTAAGGTGTGTGTTGGAGGTGACCACGGGACGAATGCTTACCTCATCACTGAGTGTTCTGCCGACCTCATCCCAAGCCATTGCAACATCCGAGACCATCGTACGGTGGCAGGAGTGCAGCCAGAGCGTGTGATGAAACAGCAACTCTTCGGCGAAGGCACGATTGCCCATGTTTGGAAGCCGGGAGCGACAGCACAGTGGGCCGCCTGTCACCTCTAGCCGGATTCACCGATTCCGCCAATTCCTTATCCCTCAAGCGACCATATCTGTATCTAGGAAATTATCCAAGTGCCTGCCCGCCGCTCGCGTCAGCCAGATGGTTATCCGTACAGAGGTAATCTGTGAAGCAAATGCCAACACGACATGTTTTGGGCACTGCCAGGGCCGGAAAGGCCGCTGCCAGATCTTGGCCATGGGACATCAATGAAGCAGGGGGCTGGGAGCGAAGGCAGGGACGGGACACGGTGAAATCCACCCACGATGCACTGATCCGGCCAATCACGGCCTGCCCAGCGTTCTTCAGGAACGACTTTCCCTTGGTGCTGAGACAGGCAGCTGCCAGTTTCGGAGAGCTCGTTTGATTCCGCCCGTCCTCTTCTCCTTCGGCAGCACTCGAGTTGATCGGTTTTTCCACCGTCAGACAACAACAAATCGTTGTCGGCGCATTTACGTGCAGTCTCTTACTTCCGCCAGTGCTTCATCGCCAGCTAGCTACATTTTGTAGAATATCCATTTGAGCATCAGTTTTCTCGGCCACCACAAAACCTTCACCATGCGCCACAGCACTCTCTTCGCCGCCCTCTCGGCGCTCGCTGTCGCCGCTGCCCAGAACTTCACCATCGATCCGAACACGGTCGAACCCGTGCTGAAATGTATGAATTGCTGACTGCAGTGCTCATGCGCTTAGGCTGACTCCGAGGGCTAGCCCAGTGGTGTGGCGCCGAGTACAACAGCTGCAAAGAGCTTTGCGGCGGCAACCCAACCAAGAACGAGTGCGATGTGGTATGCTCAATTGTCGCGTGTTTTGTTGTCGGACATCATGGACTAACATGCCGTCACAGAACACCCTGTCCTACAACTGCACATGCTCCAATGGCACGGCTCCGGGCCTGCAGTACTACATTCAGACAATCCCGACTGTAGGTCCTCTCATGCGGTCAAGATGGAAGGATGAAACCCACTAACCCCATCTCAGTTCATCTGCGAGAAAGCCTACACTGACTGCATCGCGGCTAATATTAACAGCGCGAAGGCTCAGGATGATTGCAAGACCAACATCAAGAACAAGTGCGGTACTCTGGATCCCGCCAAGGCCGAGGTCAACACGGGCTCGAGCTCTTCCAGCAGCAGTGCTGCGCCATCGTCCACCAGTGCTCCGTCCCAGACCTCGGCTGGTGGCCAGAGTGCTGCTCCCAGCTCCTCTTCCTCCAGGGCCGCTGCCGCCGCTACCAACATCGCCTATATCGGCAACGGCGTCGCCGCGGTTGCTGCCGGCGTCTTTGCCGCCCTTCTCTGAGAAGCGCTGCACCGCATTGGGACACTGCACACATGTCACACAGAGTGTGGCTGTCTCGCAGCAGTGACGCGGGGCGTTGATCATTCATCTTCTTGCGTGGATTTTTCGCCTCGATTTCCCTCTGGACAGGTTTTCGCATCGGCGACAGCAGGACCTGCAGGTACATAACTCGCCGTTATGAGGTTGATCTTAGCTCAAGAGCCCTAATGCGAGCGTACGACAAGACGAAGTTCCGTTGATGATTTCAGGATGAGGAATGACGGCGGAGAGAGAGCGGGCTTAATGGAGGAGGGCGGGGGCAGAGTCTGGGGGTGAACCAGGGTGTTTAGGAGCTAGAGTGCACTATATCCATTTGTTTTTCAGGTTTGGGTTTTCGGGCTGTTCAAGACGTAATATGACCGGCCTACAGCTATTGTGTGAGCATGGACAATGTTCGGATGCTGAACAAGCGCTCCATCCTTTGTCCACTCGCACACAATCAATCCGCTTGTCCTAGGAATGTTTTGCTAAGTATATTAACAGGTCTCTCGCATATTTCCCCAACTACCAAAACGGGCAGCAATGAAACGATTGATTTAGTATATATATCCATCTAAACCGTTACAGAAAGCCATGGCAACCAAATCGACAGCCATGGCCGCCCAACCTTAGCCTCAATCCACCTCTCCCAAACCCCAAACCATCCTTCCGCCTGAAACCATCGCCAAAATCCTCACCTCGAGCATTAGCCACGGACCCACCTGTGCCGTCTCTTTAATATGCCCGGAATGGAACCTGTGCGCCAGGCGCCATCGCAGCCTCGAGGCCCTCCTCCGCACCACCCTCGACGACACGTACACCCTTCCCCTTGACCCCTTTCAGCGGGGCTCCGTCTCGACGACGTTTGACCACAGCACCGAGGAGCACGCGTCGTTCTGCCTGACCCTTCTCGATGACCCGCGCCGTGTGGGGGAGAATGGTTGTGGGGACTTGATGCTGACCGGTGCGCTCCCGGAGTCTTATCAGCGGGAATTGGCCAGGGAGTGGGCGTCGAACAGTGTGGTGGTTGTCGGGCAGGAGGTGAGCTCTGTCGGGCCGTTATGGAGGAGGGAGATGAGTGAGGAGGAGGTGAAGGGGATGGTTTTGTTACGGGAGCCGAGGGCTGTCCGGTCGTTGCCGCTTGAGGAGGACTCTGCGTTTCCTCCGCCGCCGGATTATGATGAGGCGACGCCGAGGTGGGAGTGGATGGCTTATGGGATGGATTGTAGGGAGAAGGAGAGGTTGCCTGTTTTGAGGGAGGAGTGGGAGGGGTAAGCGGGTCAGGGTAGCCCGAGGTACTTGTATCAGCGGATCAAGCATCTATTGGTGAATTGCGTGCCGGCCCTGGCGGAGGTGGAGGGCGGCAGATGTGGGGACGACGCCAAGTACATGGGACCCGGCCGCCGCCAGTAACCTGGTGTGGCCGAGTGCTCGGTTGGGTATGAGCGGAAGGCGAATCTGTGGATTCGCTGGGATGCCATGGTGCGGCTTGAGTCGCTCTTCCTGGATCTCAGAGGCTATACGGCTACGAAGAACCTGTCTCTCAATGTTGAGGTCGTGTTGCGACTTCCGAGGTCGCTCAAGGGAAAGGGCTTAGCGCTCTTGGTCATTACCGGACTGAGATCCTGCTCGCGGTACCATGGTCCGGACCTGCTGCCGATTGAAGAGGTCGAAGAGGCCGTCTAGGATGCTCAGTGGAAGCTGTGGGCTAGCCGGAAGCGGGGGAGAGGCATCAACTGGTTTCTGATGTTTGAAAGAAGCAGTCAGGCCTGGCGGACGGCTTGCCTCCGTCGACAGGTCGGATGGGAATATGTTGAAGCTGCTCCGGCCGCGTGCTCGTCACGGGGGTGATGCTGGGTCACTGAGGCCAGGCACCGCGGTCGCGGCCTCAACGGCAGCTGGTCTAACGTGGACCGTTCCGGTCGTCAGATGCAAGGCAGGTAGAAACGTTGAATACTCATTTGCTTGCTCGCAATGTCGAATTGATACAGTCTAATTCCATAACTTGCCACTTCAGTCCATCCTGCTCATTGAGTTCACCCTTTCCGTATTGGGTCAACATTTCGTTTCTGTAACTCATCTATCTCCACCCAGTAAGTCTATTTCGGCCATCATCAGGATGAGTGTTGCCTTCTGATAATTACCTTGCTGAAAATGGCAGCACGCTATATGACTGGGCTGCCAATGAGGGGTTGTCTGAACTCATTACAGCTTCCTGCTGCTGGGTGCCGCCTGGGCTCTGTCGGCACCCATTGCCCAATACGCAGCCGCCGAAGGACATGCCATTGGGATGATTATTCATCACCGTGTTCGCGATATACGGTCATCCCAGCACGGGTCAGCTCAGAATACACGGTCGTACGTAGACGCGATACTTCGACATCCCCCTACGTTCCCTATACTGAACATCACTGACGGGAGGGCATCTCGCTCCGTCAACCATATATCCATCCCAGCCGGCCAGTTTCACACAATACACAGAATATACCAGATTCATCCGCTCAGTCGTGCATCAATCGCCTTCAGTCTTTTCTGTTATCAGGTGGCGTGTGCTCAACGCTGCAGGTTCACGTACGCCATTATCAATACCCCTTTCCACCTCACTAGCCAGACTTTGCGCCTTTATGATCGTATATTCCCTGTCGCTCCGGAGCTGACAGTTCCGCCCAAGCTATAGATGAGTGCGTCTTCGAGGTGCGTTTTCAGCATTTTACCTTCCAGTCACTGACAACCTGGTAAGATACTGTTGATTCTATATCTCCTTTTCCACGACTCATAGTGGCAGTGTTCGACACCTACCTGAGACCAAGTGACTATGGCGGCAGGCAAGGAAACACATACCGGGATCATATCAGGGTCCACTGCAAAGCCGGGCTTCAGCAGCAAAGCCTGGCTCGTCAAGTGAGCTATCACGGTCAACACGACACCCCATCTCGGAACCGCCAACAAATCCAGTGCACCATATGCCTCGAAAAGAAGAATCTGAGCGGTATACCTATCAAGGTCACGACGCTCTACATGCACCGGCCAATGGTGTGCGAAGACTGTCTGAAATAATGGCTGCAATTAGACGTCGCACGCGGTCACTGGAGCAAGCTGAAGTGTCCTGTCTATATGGAGTTGCTGGAGTGGCAGGACATCAAGCGCTGGGCCCGGAAGGAGACGCTCGAACACTACGACAACTTGCTCCTCCGAAGCCCGCTCGCGCAGCACCCGGGTTCCATCCCTGTCTCTCGCGAACCTGACAGTCGGGCCAGATCTACGAGACGAGGTGCCCACTGTTCGACTGCGTCGCTTGCAGCAAGTCATACTGCATCGACCATCGTGTCGCCTGGCACATGGGCGAGACGTGCGAGCAGCACGACAGGAGCCAGCTACACAAATCTGCCGATGAGGGTATCTGAGGGGTTTATCGTACCTCGACACAGACCTGCTCACACTGCAACAGGCATATACTGAAAGAAGACGGGTACGACACCTTACACGTAAGCCACTCGTCCACTCTTCACCTCCCGCTTAGCCCCAACCCCGTCACTAACCATCATGACCCGCCGCTCCTCGGGCATCTGCGGCCATCATTGGTGCTACATCTGCCTGGAGCCCTACTCATGTTTTGCACCTGGGTGCGCTTCCGCATCTGCCAGCACAAGGTCAGCTGCCCCAAATACCTCCCTCCCCCAACCTCCCCCCCCCCCCCCCCCCCCCCCCCCCGGCGCACCTTTCAAGAATGCGCGACTCCCCAACCCAGCACTTACGTCCGTACGCCCATCGATCCTGGAGTAAATAGGTTCCTCGGATCAACTAAACAACGTTCTAGACCCTGCCCGACGTGAAGCATTCCTCCAGCTTATTTTGCTCCTCCCTCCACTTCGCCGTCGCCGCCATCACCGTCGTTTTTTTTTTTGGCCGAGACGGACGGGCGGCGGCGAGGGCGGCGGCCCCTTCGCCGTCGGCGTACCAGCGTCACCGACACCGCTATAGCGGCGGGTACCGCGGCGGGTATCGTTAGGGAGGAACCCGCACGTGCGGTTGCGAGTAGCAGCCGGCGTAAGACTATGGAGGAGAGGGCCAGGGTGGTGGAGAGAGATGTATGATAAAGAGGGTCTTGGGGGAGCCGTCGACATGCTGAGATCTAAAGCTGAGGAGGGGAGAGGAAATAGGATGCTGATGCTTAGAGAAAGGATTACCTTTGATACTTGTCTCCTTTTTCTCCCCTCTTTTCACTTTAAGGTGTTTACGTAGATGGCTAGGGAGGATAGTCTTGTATCGTTACTCGGCACACTGTCCTGGTAGATATAGAGGAATCCGGGATGTATTGTTGTCTGGCTTTGTTATATTTCCTGGATAGCTTGTAAGAATGGGTAATGGAGTACCGCGTTCGATCAAAGTCAACTGGATGCGACTCTGGTGTTCTTTTCTCATTGCGTTCGAGACGTCCTTACAAGTTATTGTTTTATCCACCGGAGGATGTTCACCCGGGACTCCACAAGCCGGCGATACGGGCGCCGGTGGTCAGCAGTGCTATGCACATTCTTAGGACTCCTCTTGCCTGTAGCTAGGAGTTGATGATACAGTCGGTCAGGTGCCTAATAGAGCAGTAAAAATACCAGGTGTAATTTGTTCCGGTGATCAAACACATCCGGGCTCGGACTTGTCAAATTCCCGGTCGAGGGACTCCGGGTTGAGTAGGGTGAATCTTCGGAGTCAATCTCATCATGCAGATTCACTGGATTGACAAGGCTATGCCGTTATCGGCAAATGGCTGGCTTTTGTCACATCTTACAACGTAGAACATTGTCTTGGAGAGATGGGTAATGTCGCTGCTTTGGTGGGCTTTGTCTGGGAGGTGGGTTCCAAGTGCGGCATGGTGTAAGACAGACCACTGGGACAGAGACGGCAGATGGAAGACGGGAGAACAGAGCAGATGCGAACAATGCCAGAGGGATGAAGCCGACAGAGATTTTATAAAGCCCGAATAACTGTCGCGGCAGCATGTGCTGCCTACAAGTACTGTATGTACAATACAACCACGTTAGCAGGGAGCACCGATCTGCCAAGGGGGAGGGAACCCTCCATTGCTTCAATGATGACCGAACCGCCGATCACAACCTGTGGTGGAGTCTGCCGTGCCCAGTGTTGAATGTCGAGCTTTGAATCGAGTTCTGGCAAAATCGTAACTTCGAATGTCTGCCATCCGCAACACCGTGTATGTTTGTCTTCGGTACGGTTCGAATTCATCCAGACAAAGTTCTTTCGGGTTTCTGTGTCAAGCAAAGCGGCAGCTTGCATTCTATAGCGTTTAGGTCTTGCACAACGTAAGAGACGCGAAAGAATCGTCCTGATGAGTGGCTGTTACTGCGTACGTACAATGCAATCAGCAACTCGAACTTGTAGGCGTCTGCTTCTTTCCAATTTCATCAGCGGCAGGATGCAGAACATCCAGTTCCCCACCAACTCCGGACTGCAGCTTGATTGGTTGATCTCTGTGGCGTAAAGTGGGACTTGCAAGGTACAGCTCCTTATCCCTGTGAGCGGCGGTCAGCGCTTTGCCCAAAGGGGATTGGGACTGTGCAGCCCTGGCGAATCGCGGCGCTAACACTGACGGCCACTACTAACCTTACTCCTTTTTCTGCTCCCTTTCTTTCGATCGCCCTTTAGCCTTTGCCGAGCCCTTTCGTTGCTGCCATCAATGTGCTAATCAAACGCCAGTCGAATGGGGGGTTAAAGCGACAGAGTCACTTTTATGAATGCCACCATGGCTGCTCCTAGTGTTTCCTCCGAGTTGATGAGAGACACAGCGTCAACTGCGCACGACGAACCCGACCTCTGCGATTCCGATCCTGATACGCCAACTGCTTCGTCTGAGGTCGCTTCCGCTCCATCACCCCCTCGTCTGGCCACCCTCCCGGTCTCCCTCGAAACACACGACCACACGGACGCGTTCCCTGAGCTGCCACGGCTGCCGTCCAAACATACACTGCCGAGCCCACGCAGCGGCCGCTCGTTCAGTCTGGCCCAGATTTCGGGCCCTATCAAGCGGAAGCCGTTGTCGTCGACCGCCTCTCCCGCTGCCGTCCGCTTCTCCAAGGGCACTGCATATGCCGACGTCATTGCCGACCTCCCCAGGCCCGAGCAGAGGTTCGCAAGATCGTGCTCGCTCGACAGCCCGACACTCTACGAGTTCCCTGACCATCGGACTCTGCTGGCCACGGCGAGTTCGCTGAATACCGTCGTCGACTGGCCAGCGAGTCGCGACACCAGCCAACCGTATGTGCAACCAGAGTTCGGACCGGCTAAAATGGTGGTAATGTGTCGGGCTAACCGGGTTCTTCCCGACAGATCATCTCCCTTCACTGATTCCTTCAGCCGCCCCGTTGTCCCGGTTGACGGCGCGGGAGACGTGCATTCGAGTAGCATTGCGGGAAGCAGTCCTGCAGCCATTCAAACATCACACACACCTGTCGATGACAGGAGCTCTAGCGCCGAAACAGCCAGTGTGGTCACTCAGGAGTCGGCCCCGTACGAGCCCGACGATCTGTACTCGAACCAGGGCTCCCCCGAGCCGCACGGGTACAAGCGCTTCACCATCACCAAGACTAATACCAAGACTATGTCAATGTTCGCCCGAAAGTCACCTCCTCCGCAACTTAATCTTGGGCCGAACACCAGAGATGTGCCAGATACGACCTCAGCAACAACACTAGAACAAACTAATCTTAATAAGCCGCTCCCGAAGTCCCCAGCCTCCTCTAAACTCAGCACCTTTCTTGGATGGGCCACCTCAGCGTCGCCCACAACCGCGACCGATTACTCGGACAAGAGTTTTTCGCCCCTCCCGTCACCCGAGTCGCCCAAGCCGGCGACTGCAGTGACCGAGTCCTATGAGACTCCGATTGCTTCCAAGGGTCCGACCTTCGCTAACCCCACAGAGCAGAACTCCCTACAGTACTGCGAAGCCTTCCTTCAGACACCAGCGGACAGCACAACATCACTCGGCCAGCTCGAAGAGATGGAGGATGAGCTGAGGGCCATTAGCGCCGAGTTGGCCTTGTCAATCCGGCGCGAGATAGATCTAGAAGATTTAGTAGAGAGACTGCAGGAGCAAATTAGCAACCCGCAGGCGCCCGGGAGACGGACGAGCGACTACTTCTCCGATTCCGGCTATAGTTCGGCCAAGTTCAGCGACTATGATCAGGCGAAAGAGGAAATCTCACAGATTCAACGCAGGGCTGAGCAGGAGAAGGCACGGATACGATTGGAGCTCACCAATAAACTGCAGGACGAGCGCTCCAAGCGACGGCTGTTGGACCAACAAATACAGGAGCTATCCAGAAAGGCGTCGCAGCTTGACATCGCCCAGCTCAACAACGATGACAGCGGACGGGTCAAGGAGCTTGAGAGCATGTGCGAAGACCTGAGCAGGAGGTTATCCGAAGAGCGCCAGGTCAAGAGCAATTTTGAGGATCTCCTTGGCGCCCTCAAGGGAGAGCTGCAAACGGCATCGAATGAGCGAGACAATCTACGCGATGAAATCGTCCCTCAGCTGAGGGCTCGCGTCGAAGGCCTCGAGGCCGAGGCCGCCGAGCATGCGAGGCTCATCTATGACACGTCCAAGATACAGCAGGAGCTTCAGTTACTCAGGTCCGAGAACGCCGAGCTGAAGCAGACGATACCTCGCATGTCGGTGGGTCTGTCCAGGTCAGCGTCGGTCACGGGCGCGTCATACGGGAAAACGCGGCCGCTACGGCAGCAATCCCTCTCGCGGTCCAATACAACGAGATCGAGCGAACCTCGAGATGTCTTGGCGGAAAGATTAAAAGATGTTGAGGCTCAGCGGGACGCTCTACATAGTGCGCTTAAGAGTCTTCTCGAAAGACAAGACCTCCAGAACCGCGAGAATGCCAAGAGGATACGGCAACTCGAGATGGAACGCGATCGCCTTCTCACGGCCTCGCCGAAGAAGGCCGGCTATGAGAGGGAGGTGTCCCTCCTCCGCGACGAGATCGGCGTCCTACGCCGCCGCGCCGAGGAAGCCATCGAGCAGAAATGGCAGGTCGAGAAGGGCCTTGCCGGACTGAAAATGGACCTGGACCGAGCTGTGGGCGAAATCGCCTCACTACGGAGCCTGCTCCGGGAAAAGGATATACTGATTCCCGAGGCTCTGGCCCGGCCAGGCAGCAGCCACAGCGTAGACGATACCCCTGTCAGCTCAGACTCGCTCGAGCAGGCCTATCAAGACCTGCAGACCACGTACCTGGATGCGCTAGAGCGCATCAAGAGCCTTGAAGAGGGCACGCGCACCGACGAGAAGACGCAGCTTGCCATGCAACGCCTCGAGCAGTCCCTCTCGGCGGCCGTTTCGGACCGCGACCTCGCCCGCACCGAGGCGTCCTCCTACCGCGCCCAGCTCGAGTCCCTCCAGACACTGGAGAAGCAGCACCTCGACACGGAGCGCGACCTTGCTGCACAACTACACGAGTCGGCCCGCCGCGTGGAAGAGCTCGCGCTGCAGGTCCGCTCGCAGCTTGAAGCCAACGCGACACTACGCACCCGCCTGGCCGACACCATCGCCCGCGGCGAGGCCGAGCAGCGCGTCAACACGGACCGCATCGCCGGCATGCAGGCCCGCCTGCGCGCGCTCGAGGACGAGGTCGTCGCCGCGCAGACGGCGGCCGAAGAGCGCGTCGCCCGCCACGAAGAAGACCTCGCTGCCCTCCGCGACGCCCACTCCACCCAGCTCCACCGCCTGCGCGACGCCTCGGGCTCATTGCGCGGCGAGAGGCGCGTCTTCCCGCCTAAATCGCCGCTCTCGCCCATCTTTAGCCTCAACGCTACCCGCCAGGGCGGCGGCGGCGGCAAATCGCCGTCGCGCATGTCGACGCCTTCACCCCTGGTCAACTCATACGGTACCTACGGCCTCCGTCCCCGCCCGGGGACACTGAGGCGATCGACGACGGAGCCTTCGGCGGAGGACATGAGCGCGCAGATGGAGACGCTCAAGCGGCGCGTGGCGGAGCTCGAGGGCGCGTTGGCGTCGGCCGACGCCGAGATGCAGGAGGTTGTGGGGCGCATGAGCGCGGCGCAGATCGAGGTGCTGCGGTTGCAGGAGGAGAGGGAGGAGGCGGTGCGGGAGACGAGGAGGTTGAGGAAGCAGCTGGAGGAGGAGAGGGTGAGGGTCTTTAATGGAAGGTGGAGGGGGGTAAGTGAGGCGGGGATGGTGCAATAAGCCTATCTTTCTCACTTTTTTGGGATTGAATAAGGGACAAGTTGTGTAGTTGAGAGGGATTGTGGGTGTGGTGCGGTTGCATCAATCGGCGCTTGTTAGGGTTGGCTGGTTGGGTTTCGGGTGTTTCAGGCTGAAATTTTTCTTTTGCTTCTTGCTTGGCTTGGGTTGGATTCGATTTGCGTTTGGATACCGGCACCGCGTTTGGATACCGGCATAGCTTCTGGAATACCTATATACCCTATAGCATCTTTCTTTCCAACCTTTTCCTACCAAGGGAATGGGGCTTTTGTTCTTCGTCATTGGTACTATACATCATCTGCGCTTTGCATGGCATGCGGGGTGGCTGCTGCAATGATGCAGTGCTTCTTTCTCTTCGCTTCTTGAACTGCGGCCCCAAGGCGGCTCGCGATCACCCATTTCTGCATCTTGTTTAGACGGGACGTAGACGGGCTTTGGACATTGGATGGTATATGAACCTTAATGTGTAGTTGTTATTGGGCATTACCTGCAACAAGGAAAGAAGGGAAGGTGTGGGGGAGGGACAAGCAGTGCTTGTAAGGAGCTGGAGAGGGGGTCACCTTACTGCGGGCTTGGGCGAGTTGTTGGTTTAGTTGGTTCTGTTCAACGCTAAAAGTAGGTCAAGTAACTGTCTGGATCTGCCCGTAAGTGGTGGTGATTACTTACTGTGTAGTTCTACGCTGAAAGAGAATCTGGTTATTGTAATAGGAGTCTCCCAGTCTAGTACCAAAGCAAGTCAAGTATTTGCTTGTTCCAAGTTGTGCAGTCATGCCCCCTTGTGAGGAGCTCCTCTATGTCGAAACTTGTATAATGAAAGACTCTCCTAGGAATATGTCGTTTGGTAAGGCAACAGTTCCAGCCCTTTGTCAACGCGGGCACCTGGTGTATTTTAAAGGTTGATTCAGCCACAGTACTCCGGATCCGTAATACTTGACAGGACATGTTTGGAGTCTTGAGATGATCCTAGAAGGCTGGTTTACAGCTTGAGACGAGATGTGATATGGATTATATAGATTGATCCGTTGGAGGGTATGTTGCCTGGCTGACGAGCGAGGGGCGAGAGATCTGAGGGTCTGTCGGCGGAGGACTGTATCCCGCGAGCGTAGTGGGCCTCATATTTCGGAGGTTGATATTACATGGCTTACGGAGGTACGACCAGGATGCTGACCTCAAAGCCTCCACATGCTTGCAGCTCCCTCTCTCATTATTGAGTTCTTGGCTGAGCCGCCGATCTAATAACGTTTAACGTGAGTAGGTAGGGATTATGTTTCGTGTGAGCGCTATCCGTAGGCTGGGCACGTTCGGCACTCGGAGCCTTGCGGAGGGCAACAAGCATCTTGGTGATACCCTTTTGTTGTTTGTCTGCGGAAACTATTACCAAAGATGCCAGAGGATCAGTAGGGTGCTATCGTACAGAAGCAACCGTTCTGGGGTTCGTGAAGGGGCGAGGCTGAATGCGCATGTACGGAAAGGTAGTTCGATAAATGCATACGGATCCGTATAGGATATCGCCGGTTTTCGTTCCCCTGTGAAATGGCGCCCAGCCCCTTGCAGATTCGTTGGCGTTACACAGCGTCTCTTCTCAAGCATCCCGTCCTACTCCGTATGGGGCAAAACCCAGGGGCATGGTGTTGGTGGCTTCTGTGGGGGGGCAATTGTGGTACCATCGAGATCCTCTGCAGCTCAACCCAGTTACGGCACGGCGGCGAAGGAAGCCAGTGATTGTTCTGGCATGTGAGTGAATCAGAGTCTATCTTGCTGAAGCGGCCACTCCATGAAGAGAAGGGATCGACTTTTATCATCCTTGGGCATGATTACATCCTCTCGGCATAGGGATCGCCATTGATACAGACGGCCTCTCATGATCTCATCACGCCTGCAAGAAGCAGCCACACCCGTGGTTGCAACCTGGGGAGTTCGAGCTGAGGAGTGTGTGCCTCGTGCGACGCTCACGCAGGAAGGAGTGAAGTAGGTTGTGGGGGCGCCCCCACGACTACCCCTGACCCGGAAGGCCGGAACATTCGAGCCACTCAGGACGCTGGCCGGTTATCTTTACAAGTGGGTTTTAGCAGCCTCCTGGAATCCACTCACAGGATGTTATCGCTTCTTCCCGCTTTCAATCCTCGACCCACAGCTGCACCTCACTGCAACTCCATCACTGTTTTTGAACAGGGACGGCCGAGTGGCTTTGATGGACGTCGAGCCTCGCCGCCGCCAAGAGACGACTTTGCTTTTTCTCTCAATCGCAACCGTCTCAACTGCCCTGTCCGTGGCGCTCGGAGGGGCTGCGGGAAGAAGGGGGACAGTTGATGATGCTCGACAGCCGAGACCTCGTCGAGACCGTTCGCAAGCGTCTCCCTCTTATCTCAGCCCCTTGTCGCTTTCACTTTGCGGTCAGCAATGCTGGGACATGCAGATGGGGCGCGGGGTCATGTCTGCGGCAGTTATTACGGAGTACCATCGAGAGATAAACAGAAACCGAGGAAAACGCTCAATGATAACTCGCGCATCGTCTCGTTTCATGACCCCGTTTCCTTCGCTGTCGGCCATGTTTCCTCGAGTGTCCATTGGTTTGTCGGTCTCTCATAGCACATTATAGGTTGCCTGTCCGGCCGAGAAGCCGTCCTCGTGCTTATATATGGTTTATTGGCCACCGAGACTTGCTTCTTTCAAGAAAAGCATCTAGGTCGGCCATACCCCGATTCGAATCCTTGCCTGACGAAACGAATTTGACCTTCTTGTCCCTCTTTAACTTTTCTTTCCCACTGTAGTGACCCGTCTCCTTCATTATTGTCCCAACCTCCTCGAGTCTCCCCCACCACCCTCGGGTTGAGAGCAATAATCTGAGCCAGGAGAGCCCGATACCTTCAATTGCCTGGTCCAACATATTCCTTCATTTGCAATGGCCAGCACCGACCAGAGTGGCCTTCCCTACGTACCTCTGGTGCCGTATAATGGCACCGGCGCCGCAGGAGGCGAGTCCTTAGCCGCCAACCTAAACATCTGGTACCAGGTCCGTCCCATAACCCCTTGGGACACCCCAGACAAACTCACGATTAACACCCCCATCCCACAGGCCGGCGACATAACCTTCATCATCTTCGCCACCGCCCTTGTTTTGTTGATGGTGCCGGGCATAGGGTAAGTCAACCCCCTTTCCTCCTATTCTTCCCCCCACGTCACCACTGACAGGCGCGCGCAATAGATTTTTCTACTCAGGCCTCGCCCGCCGCAAATCCGCCCTGTCCCTGCTTACCCTCCCGCTCCTCTCCCTCGCCATAACCTCGCTGCAATGGTTCCTCTTCGGCTACTCGCTCACCTTCTCCCCCCAATCGTCCCGCTTCCTGGGCGACTTCTCGCGCGGCCTCTTCGCCAACACGCTCGCCGCCCCGGCCCCGGCCTCCCCCCGCGTTCCCGACCTGCTCTTCGCCGTCTACCAGGGCATGTTCTCGTGCGTCACCGTCGCCCTGGCGACGGGCGCCGTGGCTGAAAGGGGGAGGATGCTGCCGTGTGTGGTCTTCATGTTTGTGTGGGCGACCTTGGTGTACGACCCCATTGCGTGCTGGACGTGGAATCCGAGGGGGTGGTCGAATCGAATGGGCGGGTTGGATTTTGCCGGCGGCACGCCGGTGCATATTGCCAGTGGTGCCGCGGGGTTGGCGTATTCCATGATGCTCGGAAAGAGGAGGGGCCATGGGACGCAGGAGCTGAATTATAAGCCGCATAATGTCGGCTATGTGGTGGTTGGGACGGTGTTTCTCTGGGTTGGGTGGTTTGGGTTCAATGCTGGCTCGGCCGGGGCGGGCAATTTGAGGGCCGTCATGGCGGCCGTCGTGACGAACCTGGCCGCCGGGGTTGGCGGCGTCACGTGGTGTTTGTTGGATTGGAGACTGGAAGGGAAGTGGTCGACGGTTGGGTTCTGTTCCGGGGTGGTGGCTGGGTTGGTGGCTATTACCCCTGGGTCAGGTCCGTTTTTTTCTGTTTCGTGTCCTTTTCCCTGACCATGACCGGGCGACTAACGTCTGCTGGTGTAGGTTTCGTTCCGGCATGGGCAGCTCTCCCCACCGCGTTCCTCGGCGCGGCCTTTGCCAACTACGGCACGAAGCTCAAGTTCCTCCTCCGCATCGACGACGCCCTCGACATTTTCGCCGTGCACGGCATCGGCGGGCTGGTCGGTAACATCTGCACCGCCTTCTTCGCGGCCGACTACATCGCCGCCCTGGACGGCGTCACGCAGATCAAGGGCGGGTGGCTGAACCACAATTGGGTTCAGTTGCCGATCCAGCTGGCCGACTCCTTCACGGGCGGGTGCTACTCGTTCGTGCTGACCTGCTTGATCTTGTTCGTCATGAACTTGATCCCTGGCCTGCAGCTGCGGGTTAAGGAGGAGAGCGAGATCGTCGGCATCGACGACGCCGAGATTGGCGAGTTCGCCTATGATTACGTCGAGCTGACCAGAGAGGTGGGCAACGATTTGGCTGCGGCCGAAACTGCAAGCATGTACTCGGAGCAGCACTCGCAGTACCCGGCGATCGGGAGGGAGAAGACAAGGATGCCTGCCGTCGATTTTCGAACGTACGGCATGGGATCAACAAGCAATTAGGGAAGTGGAGAGGTTGCCGTCATGATTCACCTTTATCTTGTTTCTTCTTCAATGTTCCCCGTCTTTCTTTCTTGCTTTTCCTTAATTGCACAATACCTGGATATGGCTCGGGAGGATACTGACGAATGGGGATTGAACACGGCCTGGTCTTTGTTAGTATGAGCGGCCTGATGCTTGCTTGTTAGCGTTGGGTTACGGAGGAGCATAAACGACTGGACTGCTTGTCGAGATGGGCTGATACGGAGGGAGGCACTTTGTATTCGACTGCTATTATCGATGGGACTGTTGGAAGATATCCAGGGAGGCGTACTTTTTGCTTGGACTCGACCTAATACTAAATTACCTATCTGAGGATGACAAAAGCAGTCAGTCACACCCAAATCGCTGAGCCAGGTGACTCACAGAAGTTCGAGATTCGGCACGGCGCTTCTAATCTCACCCCGACCCTCAGACAACGTGGCAAGAAGCTGTTGCTCTTGTTTTCTTACCATGCGCCAAATCTGGGGTATCTCACATAAATTCATTAGTCTCCAAATCCTCAACACCACCGCTCCCACGGCTCGCGCCACTTGACCCCAAGCAGCTCAAAGATCCTCTTCTCGTCCCGCCCTTCTAAAAGCTCGCCCTCAGTGACTTTGACCCTGTTTCTGCCCCTCATAATCTCCTTGTACAATCCGTTTTGGTTTAATCTCATTCCTTTTTTGGACGCCAGCAACCGCATGCTCCGGTTGAAGATGTCGTTGCCCGTAAAGTAAATCAGCGCTGCCCCGTACTCAGACTCTGGAACCAGTAGGAAGTCGATGCGCCGCCAAATCTGTCTTCTCGGTGCACCTCCCGATTCGTCGTCTGTCGATTCCCGAGGAAGCACGCAACACCCAAGCAATTTACTGCCCGGCCCGTCTTTCCCCGGGCGATGCGCATGCAGCGCGGCAAGAGTAGCCACGAGAAAGCCCTTGCGCGTAAGGATGGCCACCAGTTCCTCCAGGAACGGCACCAGCTCGGCCGAGGAGTTTGTGCCCTTCTTGGTCACAATGATGTCGATATCTCCTGAGCTCTCCGACCCGCGGCGGTAGCTCCCGCCAACAAGCAGCTCAACAGCAGAATCGACCTGCGCCGCCTCGCGCTGGACGTATGCAAAGAGAGCCGTGACTTCCTCACGGGGGATGCGCGTGTTCAGGTCCTCGTAATGCTCGATGCCGATGCGCTGGTTGGGGGTCAGGTCCGCTTTTTTGAGGAGGTCGTCGAGGGTGCGGAACCCCTGAGAGATCCACTTGTTTGCCCGGCTGGTGCCAACGTCGTAGATCTTGAGAAAGACCTCAAGGACTTGGTCAAGTGGCTCGTCGTTGGCGTATTCGAGGCGGCGAAGCTTGTTGGTGCAGGCGATTTCTTCGATTTTTGCAGCAAGGCGGCGACCAATGTTGGGGAGTCGGTAGGCTTCCTCCTCGGTCGTGATTTTGACCGTCTGGCGGCGGAGGGTGGTGATGGCTTTGCGGTAGGCGATTGTACGCCAGTTGTCGTTGATTCGCTCGTAATAATCGCACATGCTTTGGAGGACTTTAATGGTCCTCGAATTCGGGTTTTGGGCCTCGGCAGACTTGTCTTTGGTCCCTCCGCGGTTGCAAGCGAAGCGGTCCTCGAAGCAGGTCTCTTTTCGCGCACCGCGGCGGGTTCTGGCCGTCCTCTTCCCGGCTGGTTCATCCGCGGACCCTTCTTTCAAATCAGAGTCTGAGATTGCCTCTTGAGCACCCTTCCCGGGCTGGAGATCGTCATCCTCTTGGTCCAGGGGAAGGCCTTTGTACTGCTGCAGGAGTTCGATATACTCCGACAGCTCGTCTGTAGTACTCGACCTTCGGCGAGGCGGCGAACGGTCTTTGTGAGGGAGATTGAATACCTGCTGCGGAGGGCTGCCTTCTTGAACCTGCCCACCATGCGGGAATGGACTTTGGGCGACATTCGAGTTCTGGTTCTTGGAAGGTTCCTCTACAACGCGGGATTCGCTTCGCAAAGATGACTGTTCGCTTCCCGGTGGGGTCTCCTCGGAGTCTCGTCTCTTGAATGTTGGGACCGGCTTAACCTGCAATGAGCGCTCGGAAATCTGTGATGACACAGGTGGTATTTCTTGAGCGGTGGCCTTCTCCGTGACGAAAAGGCGACCTGCGACCCTATAGCGCTGCTGGTCGGGGTTGAGCAGTGTACGAAACTTGATGCAGTCAATAGGGTACTCCTCGTTGACAATGACTAGGGACGCTGCGGGCTCAGCACCGAGGATGTTCTCGATGTCTTTGTGTTCCAGGTGCTTGTCGACGATGACATGACTGGCATCTACCAAGTCCCGAACCCATCGAGCGCCGTACTCTTGGGCCTTGGCAATGCGCAGCTTCCTTGCAGGAGCGATGTCATTGTTCGGAATGTAGTAGAATGAAAGCCCCCGGAATACCTGGGCGGATTCGGGCACTGATTTGGTCGAAGGCTGCCGCTTGCGCTTCCTCGAGGCGGTGCTTGCTAAGGGAGACTGCTCGGCTGCTGAAGTAGCAGTAGCAGGCAGTGGAAGTGTTGTGCTCCTCCAGAGAGTTGCAGGCAGAGGACGAACAGTATCTGGAACGGGCGTCTCCTCCACGAATGAAGTGGTACGGTCTGGTTCTGCAGGCATTTTGCTTCTCAGCTTCCGCGTAGCGGGTGTTGCTTCGATGACCCGTGCATGTGTTTGCGCAACCGCGGTCGGCAATGATGCTGTCCGCCCAGGCTGAGAAGGAGCTCCATCTCGGATTGGCTCTGGTTTCTTCCTCGAGTTGAAAAACGCCCGACACTTGTTCCGATGGTCTTGTTCCTTCTGATTAACCTCGTCGTCGGCATCGCTTACATTTTCGAGCGCATCAAGTTGATCAAAAAATACGATTTTCTCATCAAGCGACGGAGACTCCATTTGTTTGTTCTGGTGTGGGGGAATTGAGCTGGGGATGGTTTGCCGGTATTGGGATCTGAAATCCGGTGTCAGGCCATCCCCCATGCACACTCCTGAGAAATCGAGCTTCCATGGTATAAATGCATTTCACTCCTGCTTCGTGGAGTAACGACCGCTGCTGCCTGATCGCGATGCTCAAATGCAAGCAAGAAAGCGACCCCGCCTCAATCAGACTTCTTGGCAGTGATGGCGAAAGTCGTTCAAGGCTGCGATTCTCGGAACTTCACAGGTTCATGAATGCCAACTGAACACGGAATCACGTGTAGCCGTTGCCAAGCCATTGAAGCTCTCCCCTGTCTGGCCCTGATTGGCCCATTCTGCAGTGTTTCACTGCTGCCCCTTTTACTTACATCGCTGGGTCATGACAATGAATGCATTGAAGCAAACCAATTCATGAACCGTCGCCAATGCCGCAATAATCACCGACAATAACGCACGGCCGTCCTGACATTAGGTCAATCCTACTCACTGCTATTTCTGATTTTGATTTCACCGGCCTGTGCACCGCCGCGGACGACCGGTGAAGCAACAATAATCACAGCGGCCACTATTTGCCGGTATTCAGATCACGATGTCCAACCTCTTCTCCGGGATGTGAGTTTTCCCCATCATTTTGTCAAGTGCCATAGACATGAAGAAGGTTCAGTTTTGCTGTCGCCCGAACTACCTGTTGCATCTAAACCGTGGATGGGTTCATAACAATGAGGAGTTACTAACAGCGCCCAGCAATGCCCGGTTGAGGGGAGCTTCGAGCAAGCAGGCGAACAAGAGTCCAGTTTCACCCACGTCCGAGGATGGCCGCCTGAATTCGCCTGGCGGGCTACCCCACCGGAGCAAGTCGTCAAGCAACTTATCGTCCAAGCTACCCCCATTGCCTACTTCACCAGCCCTCTCTCAGACCATCAGCACGACGTCCACTGGCGACGAGGTCCTCAGTTCATACCGCCTGCCGCAACCGCTGCCCCTCTGGCTAAATCCTGCTTATGCGAAGCATATCGTAAGAGGAAACTTTATGACGCTCAGCAGCAGGCCGAAAGCTGTAGACCTGGGCGAGTGGATGGCACACCAAGGTATCATCTCTTCGCTCCGTCTTCTTCGCGTGCTGCGGCGCTGACCCTGATAGTGGTTGAGCACTACCGCAACCTCTGGAACTTCGTCCACGTTGTCTATGCAAAGGAAGTCAACGGCAGCAACATCTGCAACGCCACCACATGCCCTCGCATGTCTGCTGGACCGTAAGCCGCCTTTCGCCCGCTACTATTTAAAGATGCTCAACCCAATTCTCACAGGAACCACTCGTATACATGGCTGAACAAAAAGGGTGACGGTTACGAGCGTGTTGAACTGCCAGCCATCGAATATATCACCTTGATGCAGCGCTGGATTTCGGGAAAGATAGACGACACCAACATCTTCCCGACCGACCCGGCCAGTGTCTCCTTTTCACACAACCCAAACGTCGCCAATACCGCGCTCCTCAACAGTCCCGATGAGTGGGTCGGCAAGCGCAGCGGGTTCCCCAAGGACTTTGCTAGCATCTGCAAGACCATTTTCCTGCAGATGTTCCGGGTCTACGCCCACCTCTACTGGTCGCATTACGTCGAGCCCTTCTACCACCTTAACCTCGAAAAGCAACTCAATAGCTGCTTCAGCCACTTTGTGCTGACCGCCACGGCGCTCAACCTGATCACGCCGCAGGAGCTCGAACCCATGCAGGCCCTGGTCGACTTGTGGGCTGCGAATGGCACGTTCCCACCCGAATCAAAGGCATACGAGTATGCCAACCTCAAAGCAGGAAACCGCCTGTTGCAGATGGGGGGCATGGCCTGAGAAAGTAGGAGACAGGGAAGTTTGCGTTGCCCTTCACGTTATGCCAGCATTGATTGGTCTTTGGGGTGCAGCGTCTGGAGTTCGGGTTCTGGGAGGACTACATAAACCCGAGCGATATATGCGCTTTTCGGTCATGTACAGGGGTTCTTTAGACAAAACAAATAGGTAACCGCTGCTGCTAGACCGTTGCACGGAAGCAGACGACTACGTACTTCTGAATCGGCCGAACCAGATGTTGAAGTTAGTGGCACGAGACAGGCTTCAAGTTAACATTTTTAAAGTCCAAGAACGGCACTCAATACCAAACAAGGGAACTTGTAACGGCCCGAGCGATTGATAAGAGGTGAAGGCCACCATTCAACGAACCTCAAGCCCTTATCCAGGACAACCCATTTCGCCCCACCATCCAAACTCCTCTCATCGCTCCTAAATTCTCTCAGTATTTTGCCAAGGTTGCCATTTTGTTGGAGGACTAACACATGGTATAGGCTTTCCTGCATCTTCGATCGATCTGCTGGTTGCCATGGGTGTCCATCAGGCTCCCATAATTTACCCTAACCCTTCCACTTACATACGGTACCAAGGCCGAGACTTTGAGGGGCAGCACCCCACATCCGAGAGCGGGCCGTCTTGGAATTTTGACCCAAATTCTCTGCGCAAGGCGAAGCCGTCGAGCATCTGGGCTTTGCTATACCCCCCGAGACCTCCTTGCCCAGTCCAACTGTTTTTCTGGCTCTCCTCAGCAAGTTCGTACTCGACACAAGTTCTCACGTTCCTCGCACGCGGTCTTCTTCCTTCCTTCCACTTTCTTGCCGATTACAATGGCTGGCGAGGATATGGACATCGAGGTTGCCGAGAAGCAGCTCAAGTCGCTAGACCACGCGGAGCAGCACTACTTCAACAGGCAAGTCTGTCGCGGTCTTGGTTCGTTAACCGTTGCATATCCATGCTAATTGTCGTGCACAGCTATAACCACCATGGTAAGAGAAGCCGCTGGATGATATGCCAAATGTTCCCCCTTGGGCTAACCTTTGCGACCCCGCGATAAGGCATCCATGAGGAAATGTTGGTGTGTACTCTCGCTGTCCCCGCCACTACTACTGCACCTCACATCCCCTGTAAGGCTCTGGCTGACACGCTCGCGCCCGTTTTCAGAAAGATGAAGTTCGGACGAGGTCGTACATGAACGCCATCATGCAAAACAAGCACATCTTCAAGGACAAGGTTGTGCTGGACGTGGGATGCGGCACAGGCATTCTCTCCATGTGTGTCTCCCCCTGCTCAGCGCGGGCCGGAAGGCAAGAGATTGACAGAGAATACTCAGGTTCGCCGCCAAGGCCGGTGCGAAGCATGTCATTGGCGTCGACATGTCAACCATCATCTTCAAGGCCCGCGAGATCGTCAAGGTCAACGGTTTGGAGGACAAGATCACCCTTATCCAGGGCAAGATGGAAGAGATCGAGATGCCCTACCCCAAGGTCGACATCATCATCTCCGAGTGGATGGGTTATTTCCTCCTCTACGAGAGCATGCTGGACACGGTACTCTACGCCCGCGACCGGTACCTGAATAAGGACGGCCTTATCTTCCCGGACAAGGCCACCATCTTCGTGGCCGGCATCGAGGACGGCGATTACAAGGAGGAGAAGATTGGCTGTATGTTCTCCCTTCGCTATCCTTACCCCTTCCCGTCCAAATTGCCCAGGTGCTTACTGACACCCCACCAGTCTGGGACAACGTCTATGGCTTCGACTACACCCCGCTGAAAGAAACCGCCCTCTCGGAACCCCTCGTCGACACGGTCGAGATGAAAGCCGTCGTGACCGACCCGACGCCAGTCCTCACGCTCGACCTCTACAAAGTCCAGCCCTCGGACCTGGCCTTCAGCTGCCCCTTCGACCTGACGGCGCGGCGCGACGACTTCATCCACGCGCTTGTGGCCTGGTTCGACATCGAGTTCACGGCCTGCCACAAGCCAATCCGCTTTTCGACGGGGCCGCACACCAAGTACACGCACTGGAAGCAGACCGTCTTCTACCTCAAGGACGTGCTCACGGTGCAGCAGGGCGAGAAGGTCGAGTGCTCGCTGCACAACCGGCCCAACGAGAAGAACAGGCGGGACCTGGACATCAAGATCCAGTACCGCCTCGACACGCAGGACCCCAACCGCCAGGCCGAGGGGACGTGTCTTTACAAGATGTGTTAGTTTTGGTCGGTCAAATCGCCATCGTATGGTGGAGGCCGGTATATACCAAGTGAAGAGAGAGCGAACCGGTGAGAGGGAAAAAATAGGCTAGGCCTTCTGATGATGGTGGGTTAGAGGAAACGGGAAGGCGCGAGTTTTGCGATTCATATGCCGCGGTGCAACGGCGCAACGTACCGGTAGCGCACGGACGGCTGGCGATTCAATCCTCGCAAATTAGAGAGAAAGGGTCAACTGGCGTTTTCCTTGGCTCACTATCGCTGCGCACTTGAGAAGCTGAGAGTGGGAGTGAGAAAGAAAAGAGACAAAGTGCGTGACAACCATGATTGTGGTACGAATCTGGACGGATAGGGATACCCGTAAAAAGGGGGAAGGGGAAATAGTAGACGGATTTCAATTCTTGCATCTCAAGAGGCGCACCGTGACGTGACGGGTGAGGGCTGTGCCAGTCACGTACTTGCTTACGACATAGTCCATACCGAGGATACAGAGGCATGCAGATGTCTGGAGACACTCCATTCCTATCGACGGACTCGTAAACTACCCTACTGCCCCGGTTCTATGAACTCCCCGTGTTCTTTCTCTTCCTTTCCTTTTTCCCATTGCCCTTCAACGGATCCCATCTAGCAAACCAACTAGCCAGCAGCCAAAGTTATCATCGTCATCGTCGTCGTCGTCGTAGTCGAATCATCGTTATAGTCATCAAACCTCTCTTTCCCTCCTCTCTGTATCGGTGTCCGCGCCAACGTCACAATTCCAGAACCTAAACCCAACCTGAACGAAGTAGGGAAATAGAGGCAAGGAAGCAATGAAGGGCAAACAACGAGACGCAGAAGCAGGCAGACAGACCAGGCAAACCAGAGCAAAAGGTGAAAGACGCAAGTCAAGACACCGGTATCTTTTTTTGTCAACTCTCTTTTTTTCCCTTTGTTTTTGCCAAAGTCAAGGTCAGATGGTGCCCCGTCCGTCAACCCTACCAGCCGTGCCGTTGGTGTTGCCGCTGCCATTGACGTCGACGCCGCCGTTAAACTCCTTTTCCTTTGTCTCTTCCTTCTCCTTCTCCTCAACCTTTTCCTCTTTCTTCCCCTCTTTCTCTTCTTCACCCTCCTTCGGCTTCAGCGCCCCGTACTTCGACCTGGAATGCCACGCCTTCTCAAGGAACGAAAATGATGGCGTCGACCCAAGGACGGGCGTCACCTCGCCGCTGCTGCAAACGTCGTACTTTTCGACACCGTACTTGCTCTTCAGCTCAATATCCTCTTCCATGTCAAACAGCAGAGTCTCCTGGCGGCGCGGGCAGTTGGGGGGGTGTGCGAACAAGGAAACGCTGCGGTTGCGGGTTATGCGGCTGTGGGTGCGGTTGTGCGGGTGAGGGCGGGTGGTGGTGGTGGCGGTGTGTATGCAGATGGGAGACGGCGGCCTAAAGGACCGGGGGATCGGGGGCTCCAGAGACGAAGATGAAACAGCTCGGACCCGGGCCTACAGGGTGCCGTAGCGCTCAATGATGCGAGCGACGCGCTCAGCGAGCTCGTTGGCCTCGGAGCGCGTAGCCGCCTCGGCATAGACGCGGCAGGCGTTCTCGGTGCCGCTGGCGCGGGCGAACGCGCGTGCGTCCTTATATTTTTTGACAGCCTGGTCGATCTCGTTCTGCGCGCCTTCGGGGTGCGAGAGCCGCCGCTCGGCGTCAGTCGTCTGGAAGAGGTCTTTGTTGGCGACCTCGACGCGCACAAGGCGGTTGGGCAGGTCGGCGTACGTCATTGCCCAGTCGCGCAGTGTCCAGTTCCTGTGGGCGAGGATCACCTCGACCAGGAGCATATCCGAGATGGCGTCACCGACGGTCTGGTTGATCAGGTCTCCCAAGGCAGCCAGCGTGTCGAGGGCGTCCTTTTGCGCGGGCGACTGGGGTTCAGTGTTCCGGAAGGCGCTGAGAGCATCCGGAGAGAAGAGGACCGTGCCGTGGCCGTTGGCTTCGAAGTACACGCCAATGTCGAATCCCTGAGCCACATGGTGGAGGTGCTTCACGCCAGTCGGGGTGCAGATGACAGGTAACTTCAGGTGCTGGGTGATGTAATTGGTGCTGGCGCCGTTGGCGTAAGCCGTCTGCACGACACCGATGCGCAGCTCGTTCTTGAGGCCGGCGCCCTCGACCAGGTCTCCGATGAAAGAGGCAGCGAGCGACGAGATGCGGTCGCCGTCCAGCATAACGAAGCCGCTCTCCGGGTCTACCCAGTAGTAGATCAATCTGTCAGCGTCACCGTCGAGCGAGCAGCTCCTGACGCCGGGCTGAGGCTTGGGTGAGGGCGGGGCCCTCTGCTTTGTCTTGACAAAATCGGCACCGCACTGAAACGTAGTTTAGCAGAGTTGAGCTGAAGTGAAAGGGGAAGAGCACATACGTCGAGGTTGAGAACTTCGGGACGAAGGACATCGTCGTTGACGACCTTGACATCGAATTTGACCTTGTCTTGATGGATGTACTTAAGGAACTCGGACAGCTTTGGACCGCCAACTCCATTGGCGCAGTCGACCACTAGTGTCCCGTCGATCCGCCTGTTCCGCATGGCACGCACGAAAGCCTCGGCAAGTTTCTCGTAGTAGCCGGCCTCGCTGACCTTGCCGTATGACAAGGGCGTGCCCTCGCTATTGGTGGCCCGCACGAGGTAGTGAAGCTGAGGCGTGGTGAGGATCTTGTGGTCGACGGGCTCTGCTTTCGTGGCCTCGAGACCATCGACGAGAGCCGTGACCAGGGTGTGGCCCGAGGGCCTGGTGTCCCGGCCATAGATAACCTTGGCAGGGATCTTGAGATCGATCTTGAGGTCGGCGGCCAGCCTGTTGTAGACGTCGACGAGCTGCTCGTCGGTTGGCGCGTTGACCAGGGCCGTGGCATAGCGTTCCCAGTCCTGCTCGAGCATGTCTCCCATGGGGTCGACGATCTTGACGCCATTATCGGCGGCCGGGTTGTGGCTGGCGGTGATCATAACACCAATAGCTTGGCTGTTAAGCTTGCGGCTCCGAAGCGAAGCAAGAAGGCCAACCCGAAATGTGATACCGTCGAGCAAATCCGCCTTCATGCGGAAACCAGCAGTACCATACGTGTAGAACCGACCCTTCTCCAGAGGCACGATCGGGTGTCTAGCCGAGGCGGCCAGAATTGCCTTGTCGTGGTTCTCCATCGCGGGTGATGGTGCTGTATCGCGAGATGAATCGGGCGTGGTGCGGGGTATTGTGAGGCAGAGTGGGAAAGACACGGGTTTTTTAAGCCGGAGCTGCAATGATGCAATCGTTGCTAGTCGGTGACTCGATTGTGGCCCTCAAGGTGCTTGCGAGGCGGGGAACGAGGGAGAAAGGAGGCTATGGACAAGAGAGGAATGGTGGTGCTTTTGTGGCAGGGCAAGCGGTGGAGGGAGAAGCTGAGATGCCATGTGCCCCGCGCTGTTAGTTGCATTGGAGGTAGAAGTGGGGTTGTAGCTCGGATTGGGGGTCCTTGGCATGTGGAGCTATCGCGATCTAGCCGATTCGGGGAACGTGCCTCGTACTTTGCCGACCCGCATGGCTTGCCGAGCCCTGGTTATTGGGGCCCGGGAACGCGTCGTCGGTCTGGGAACCGCGACTGCCTTGTTCCTTTCCGAGTCATGTCCCTGCGGTCGACAAAGCCACAACACCCAGGGAACGACAAGACAATGCATCGACAAACGGTGGACTGAGTCGCAAGCGACACCTCATTTCTTGGTCTCACTGGTTGATTTTGCTTTTTTCGCTTTCATCCCGACCTTTGGTCGATTGCTGAGACTCAGCTCCCCGTTTATTGACTTTTCTTCACTTTGCTTTCACCCCTTGCCCCTTATCCCGCCCACTCGAGGCTGTGCCCTCCCAATGTCTCAAAACACGTGTGCCAACCCGTTGCTTCTTGAATGGGTCAAGGAGTGGTGGGAGACAGCTCGAGAACGCAACTTCAAAGGCGTCACCACGTACAAGCATGCCTACGACTCGCTCAAGGCCTGCCCGATCACCTTTGAGCATCCCTCGTCGCTCCAGCAGCTGAAGGGCTTCGGGCCGAAACTGTGCGAGCGGCTCACCGAGAAGCTCAGAGAGCATTGCGAACAGAATGGCCTGCCCATGCCGCCACACCCGCTCACGAAGAAAAAGCGAGACCGACAATTAATTTCTGCCCAGGATGACGCGGACGATGAGCCTGCACGGCCGGCCAAGAAGGCAAAGAAGCCCAAGGCATATGTGCCCGCCTACCGGTCTGGCGCATATGCACTGGTCGTAGCCCTGTCGAACGCAGGGGAAGGCAACACGGGGCTGTCCAAGGCTGACTTGATAGAGGCGGCTCAGCCGCACTGCGACTCGTCCTTCTCAGCCCCGGCTGATCCCACCAAGTTCTACACAGCATGGAACTCGATGAAGACGCTCCTGCAGAAGGAGCTGGTGTATGAGCGCGGCCGGCCTTTAAAAAGGTATTGCCTGACTGATGAGGGCTGGGAGGTGGCCAAAAGGATCCAGGAGGCGGCATTTCCTAGAGCCAGCGCTGGCGCGACCAACCCAAGCATGACAAGTGCCGGACCAAGTATGCCAGCTGCGTTGCCCGCAACGAGCTCTAGAGCAGCAATGGCCCCTACCGTTGTTCTTGACGACGAAGATGAGGTTACCACTCCACCACAGACGACCACAGAGTTCAAAGACGTAGTAGCAGACGGAGCCTTCGTACCCAACGATGTTGCCCTCCCATCGTTTACGCCAATCAGGCTGACCCCTGGCTCATTTACTGTCGAGTTGGTCTTGGACAACCGGGAGATCCGCGCCAAGACGGACCGAGACTACATGCAGGAGGAGCTCGCAAAGCGAGACATAAAGCCCACTGTGCGCGCTCTGGAGCTGGGCGACGCGTTGTGGGTTGCACGGTGCAAGCAGCCTGGCTGGCTGGCCCGCATGGGCGCAGAGGGCGACGAGGTGGTACTCGATTGGATTGTGGAACGGAAGAGGCTGGACGACTTGATTGGTTCCATCCGAGACGGCCGCTTCCACGAACAGAAGTTCCGACTCCGGCGTTCAGGGGTAAAGAACGTCATCTACTTGGTGGAAGAGATCAGCATGGACGCGACCCACTATCAAAAGTACGAGGAGGCGGTGCAGTCTGCCATGGCGTCGATGCAGGTAGTTAACGGCTACTTTTTGAAGAGGACGCAAAAGATGGACGACACCATCCGCTACCTGGCGTCCATGACGAAGCTGCTCAAGACAGTATACGAGGGGAAGACACTCTACGTCATACCCACGGGAGTGCTGACGACCAAGAACTATCTGCCGTTGCTAAAACATCTTCGCGAGACGCAGCCGCTGGCCAGCCACCACATCAGCTACCCAGCGTTTGCCTCGCTTGCGTCCAAGTCTAACAACATGGCGCTGCGGGACCTGTTTTTGAAGATGCTGATGTGCTCCAAGGGGGTCACGGGCGAGAAGGCAATCGAGATCCAGAAGGTGTGGAAAACACCAAACGAGTTTGTCAAGGCGTTTGAGCAGTGCGGCTCGGACGAGGAGGGCAAGAGGCGCAAGATGGATCTCGTCTCGAGCAAGCTGGGACACCTCGTCGGGCGCAAGAAGATATCCAAGGCGGTTAGCCATACTCTGGCCGAGGTGTGGGGAGATCCATGATGGACGCTCTACAGTTAAGCGCACCTCACTCCCCAATGTCAAAACCTAGATACCCTTTAACGCAGTGCAACTCATCATACCACTTTTCCTTAACGAGCTCATCAAGCCGAGTCTCCCTTAACAACCCTCTCCACAAACTTTTCCAACAGTCCGCCTTTCCCCTCCTCCCCCAACCCAGCCAAGTACCCTTGCAGGCTCTTCTCGACATACTTGGCCGTCATATCCACCTCGACATTGACCGTGTCGCCGACCTCCTTTGCCGCCGTCACGATCCGCTCCTGCGTGTACGCAATCAACATGACCTCCCACCACCCCTCGGCGTCATCCACCTTGGTTACCGTCAGGCTCGCCCCGTCGAGCGCGATGAAGCCCTTGTACACCACGTACCGCAGCACATCTCTGCTCATAGGCGCGAACCGGAACGTGACGGCGTTGCCGTCAGGCGTCTTGGACAGGATGGTGGCCGTCGTGTCGACGTGGCCCTGCACAAAGTGGCCGCCCATGCGCGTGTCGGCGCGCACGGCGCGCTCCAGGTTGACGCGGGACTGGGTCGTGAGGGAGCCCAGGTTGGTCAGGCGGAGAGTCTCGGGCGCGATGCCCACCGTGAAGGACGGGGTTGGAGAGGGGGTGAAGGAGGTCACGGTCAGGCAGACGCCGTTGATGGCGATGGAGTCGCCGAGATGGGCATCGGAGAGTAAGGAGGAGGAGGGCGGGAGGGTGATGGTCAGGGAGGTGCCGCCGGTTGAATCGGAGGGGTTGAGCTCGGCGACGGCTGGAGGGGTAATAAGTGGGTTAGTTCATATAGTGGGATAAAGTGCTGTAGGGTACATACTGCCTATCTCTTCGACGATGCCAGTGAACATTGCGAGTGTTATTGTTACCTCGGCTCTCGAGTCGTGGGTGAGATGAGAAACTGGCTGGAAGATGAGGGGTGCTGTTCGGATTATGAACAAGCGAGTTCAAGTGAGATTGAGGATGTCAAATCAATTTGTCTTTGATTCTAATTTCGTCTCAGCTCCTGATGGAATCTCTGAATGGAACACTCCCAGGATCGAGTGTACAAACTTGACGGTGATGAGTAAACTCAAGCATCCGAGCTGGAGCAAAAGATGGTGGGGTTCTGACGGGCTCACTCCGTAAGCCACCTACATGCGGGTTAGGGTTTGATGAGCACTGGAATGGAGGAAAGGCACCCAGCACCGAGAATGATATAGGGTGGAGAAAGGTCATCCAGAAGTAGACCGGTCTTGAAGACTTCACTGACTTCCTTAGAGCACAACATTGAATGTGCTTCTCCAATTATCAGACATATAACGTTGTGTGTTTGATGTTCCCGGTTGGGTAGCTGTGCGAGACCCCTTTGCCAAGAGGAATGCTGTTGCCTGCCGCCACTCCACATGTGTGCGACGGCCCCTGGCACGCTGCAGCTGATGCTTGGCATTTTCAATGCAACCCTTGCTCTCAGGGCCCTACTGCGGCCTGTCAGCTATTTCTCCTTCAGGAAAACGTTGACATCCAATGCGCTTCCACCTTGAATCTTCATCATCTTCGATTTCGGGGATGAGTCGATAGAAAACGTGAGCAAGAACCGTGTCGCCAACGGACATGACGACCCAAACACCATGTTACGCAGAACGAGGCAGCTATGGCGCTGGATACGGGTAGTCGCCGTGGTTGGCATCGTCTGGCTGATCCTCAGCGTGGCCCGCGACAGCGACCCCTTCCCGGCGGCCAGCACGTCCTGGTCTCGCTCCCGCCATGACCCCACCGACGACATCTGCCGCCCACACGGCTGGAAACCCTCCCGCCCCAAGGATCCCTCCAAGCCGCGCAAGGTCTACGACCTAATGATGATCAACACCGAGCTCGACCACCTCGAATTTCGCCTCAACACCACCTTTGCCGAGGTCGACTACTTCGTCCTGGTCGAGAGCCGCAAGGCCTTCACCTACCTCGACAAGCCCCTGACCCTCAAGAAGAACCTCGCCAAGTTCCACCCCTACGCCTCCAAGATAATCTACCACGAGATCGAATTCCCGCCCGACTTCAGCCCGCGCACCACCTGGGACATTGAAGACCTGCACCGCAACGCCATGCTGACACAGGTCTTCCCGCGTCTGCGCGGCGCCCAGGCGCCTCAACTAGGGGACGTGCTCGTCGTGTCGGACGTCGACGAGATCCCGCGCCCGTCGACGCTGCGCCTCCTCCGCGCCGAACGACCCTCTACTCGCGCTTTTACTATTATTCGTTCCAGTGGCTGCACCGTGGGCCGGAGTGGCTGCACCGTGGGCCGGAGTGGCCGCACCCGCAGGCCACGTACTACCAGGGCATGGGAAAGACGCTGCGTCCGAACGATCTGAGGATTGGTGATGGCGGGGTGTGGCCGTTTTGGAATTGGGAGACGGGCGCGGTAAGGAATGCGAGCTGGCACTGCTCAAACTGCTTTGAGACGATGGGGGAGCTGTTGAACAAGATGGGGTCGTTTTCGCACATGAAGTTGAATGCCGTGAAGTACCGAGACCCGGGGAGGATTGCCGACAGGGTGAGGAACGGGAAGGACTTGTGGGATCGGAAGGGTGAGGTGTACGATCGGGTCGAGGATAATGTGGATGTGCCGCGGTTTTTGTTGTTGAACAAAGAGAGGTTTGGGTACATGATTGATCGGGACGGCCCTGAGGCGGGGTTCACGGATTATGAGGGGTGATGTCATACAAGGCTTCGGAGTTGGATGGTACGGTATAGATTAAATGCTGCGCCCCAGCCGTGCGTCTGCTGCGGGCGAGTGGATGGTCGGATAAGGGGTGGTGCGTGCGGCCGAGGAGGGATATAACGCCCCATGTACAGTATTTATGTGCCCGTGCACGTTAGGCCTCGCTCTGTGGACCGTTTAGCACAATGTGACAAGGCTGTCTCCATTTCCGATAGAGGTAGATGATACGGTAACCTATAGCCTTTGGCCCAGACGACTGTTAATCCTTACGTACCGCAAACAGGGCATGCATCCGCTGGCGGCTTTCGGCGAGGTATTCTTCGGTCTGGATATCCTGGGGATGGGGGATTGAAAGACACTCGTAAGAGAGCAAATCTTCAGTGCACCAGCAAGCAGTTCATATCACCCTCTGCGGAGAGCTCTCTTCCCTCAACTGGCCGAGAGTGTAGAGAGGCCGAGCTCCCGTGGGACTGAGCACGATCATGGAGCCGGATCAGGGTCGAAGTAGTCAGGCCCTTCCATGTGTGTTGCGAGACCCAAGGGGACGGCGTCTGTCATCGTTGCTTGGACGATGAAGCGAAGGCATCTGGCCGAGTCTTCCCAGCGGTACCTTGACACCCATGGGTTGGCTGCTGCAAGCGCATTGGCAACAACAGAACTCTCAAAAGTATGTTAAAGAAATGAATCTATCTAGCTCCTTTCCGTCTCCAGCCTTCAAGCCGTGTCCTGCAGTCGAGATGGAGCCCTGTTGGTCATCTCATAGCCACCCATGCTATCTGAGTCTTCGTTAATCTTCGCCCTGTCCTGCTCATGAAACTCGACAATGTACTCGTTGGTCTGCACGATCTGATTGCCACCCCCAACCGGCCGATCCAAAATGCTCTTGTCGCTGTCGTCGTCCTTGATGGCATGCGATCTGGGCCCGTTCCGGGTAACCGTCACGGTCGTTGTCGCGCCTCTTGTCGCTCTTGTCCCCTTGACATGGGAAGCATCGCCGCTGGGCCCGTACCGCTCGGACGAGTATTTCCTGGCCGACGACTTGACATACTGGAGGAGCACGCGGAGCACCGGGAGGCTGGCGGCCATGATTGTTGTCGCGGTCTCGGCGGTGGCCCAGATAGCCACGTCCGCGGCGTAATCTTTTGCGTGACCGTCAGCCTGCTAGTGGCCGAACCTGGGGCGTAAGGGCCTGACTTACAGGTAGGATCGCCATATTCGAGTTCTGGGAGCTTTGCGCACTTGACGAAGGCGGTTCCTCCGGCGCTTTTGAGTCACGGTTAGATGCTATGTCGGTCGAGAAGAAGACGGAGCAGATCATCTCACAAGACTCCCATGCTCATGGCAAATCCGACACCGATCTTCTCCTTCCTCTTGATCTGCAGGTTAAAGAGAACCTTCCAGGGCAAGAGAGACAGGGCGATGTCGCCAACTCCCGAGATAGCTAGACGTGATTTATCTGTCAGTAATCTGTAATAGGGATGAGGTACCCTCTTGGAGCGGACCGACCAGCCGAGAAGATATCATATTTTGACGTGCTAGAACTGTCCCAGCACGTCCCGGGTATCGTGCGATCCCAGGTCTTGCGGGGCGGGTTGCACTTGATCCAAACGAAAAGCGCTGTCAACCACATGGCGCTATTCATGATGGCGATGATGACCCAAATCGCTATCTTAGTATAGCCTTCGGTGATGCGGAGGAGAGTGAGGGCGAACGATGTCTTGCTCAAGACAGCTGCCAAGACGGCGAATGTGCTCGAAACATTGCTGTTCAGGCCGAGGGGGGCCAAATTGGCCGGGTCGACGGCATAGATATGCCTGCCGAGGCCCAACCTGACGCTGGCGGTGGTGAAACAGACAGCGATGAGCTGGAAGACCTTTGTTTACAAGTCAGCCAGCTGCTTGTGTGCGAAGAGCACTCTCAGGAAGCGCATACCCAGGAGACGATTAGGACGTGATCATCCCACCAAAGAGCTCGATGTGTTCTGAACTTGCAGAAAACTCGGAGACCGAGGAAAACAGCAGACAGCCCAATCAGCAGCCAAGAGACTATCTCGACTTTCGGCCCTAGGTCGTCGGGCGTAGCGTTTGCGGATAGAGACGCCATGCCGAGCCCGAAAGCGGTGCAATTTGGTGAGTGTCGTTACCGTCTCGTGCGAAAATACACGCACGGAGAAGAGGCGGGAGAGGCGGGAGAACAGAAGCAGCCCAACAGGTCAGAAGTCATGGCCATGGCGGAGGGGGTCGACGACATTTGCCTTTGTGCTCCATATATAAACAGCCTTCAATCAAAGTTTTCGAGCTGCGGTGGTTTTTCCGGCCTGGATCCAGCTCGTCCTTCTCTCCTGTTGGAAAGCATCTTCTATCGCTATGCCCCAGACACTAACGTCGACAAGACAGGGGGAACGGGTCTTGTCGGTGAGCCCAGTCCGCGCTGACTCGTTGAATCGTCCTTCACCTCGGGCGGAACAAGACCCGGGTGGGTGGATTGAGCATGGATGCCCTTTGGCAGAGCAGGCATCTTCCCCAGCGGTCGGCTGTCCATGAAGGCTTGGAACCAATAGTCCTAACTTCCATTATTCTCCCCGGCGGTCAGGTTTGACCCACCTCATCCGTGCGCTGGGCTTGAATATTAGGGTGACCGGTGAATGCCGTAGTTTGCAGGAATCGGACCACAAGGGGCTAGTTTCTGTGGCGAATATATGCATCGCCGGTTTGTCTTGGCCAAGAGGCTTGGACGGCCCGCATTAGAAATTGCGAAGTTATTACATATCCACTGCATGCAGGTACCCGGCTTCAGTGTACACCAGAATGCTACCGGGTAGACGGTTCTTCAATACTTACAGGACGGGAAGGAGATCGATCCAGGAACCGGGGAACGATCGAACGGAGGAATGTCGGATGGCATGGCCCACCCCCTCTGCACATCAGTGGGGCCTGAGGTCGAGTTTATCCATGTCTAGGGAAAGATTGTGGGGTGTCGCATTGGAACTGCATTGGCGATAGCGCATTAGCGCATTCCAGCGCCCGAGGATAGAGACGTCGACCCACCAACCAGTCCCCAGAAGGAAGAAAATGACCCACGAGATCCTGGCCCAAGTCTTTGGAGAAAAATTTACGAAGTAATCAAAATAACCAATGTTCATCTCTGCGGCAGAATGATGCTTGGCTATGGCAAAGTTATCGCTCGGGTGAAATTGTCCCGTCATGCGACAAACCAATAGGAAAGCGGGGGTGACACACCTAGGTCTGGCTCCACTTGCTGGCAGCCTGATGCTGCCATAGACACTGCATTTTGAACTTGAATGCAACGGAACCTAGAAAGATCATGTGAAGGAGACGGCCAGCTAGGTAGGTACCTTCGCAAATGAAACTTGAGAGTCATTTGCTGCACGCAACAATAGCTAACCACGACTCATGCGACACTCATTTTGGAATGCCCTGATGTATAAGAAAAGGATGTCGGTTCGCTCCATGTTGGTATGACGGGACTTCTTACCGTCGCAATATTGCTAACAGGCTAAGTATTGCGTACCGATTGCGATAGTAAACGGCAAAGGAAGGCACTCCGAAGTGTCGAAAGATGGATCTAGATAACTTATACACGCCGGCTCGGAAGGGCATTTTGGCAGCATACCAGTAACAACGGTTCGCAGGTGGCCATATGCCGGAGCAGGGTTCCGGACACAGGTCTACAAAGACGGCCTTGGCGGCCAATGCACCGGTCTCTCCCCTCCATCGATCCGGCCGGTGCACTACCGGCGATGATACCAGTTAATTACATGCCTCGACTACTCCATAGTGTGTAAAGGTATGCTTGCTCTGCAATTTATCATTGGCGGTATTTTATACTGGTTCGTGGACGACTAAGCGAAATCTGCGCGACCAAATCCAGTCACAAGCTGGCACACGTTAAGACGTTTGCAGCGCAAACCCAACAATTTGGAAAGTCGATGAGAAAAGGCAGTGCATGGGAGGTCCGGCCAATCATAAGACAGTGCGTGACCGTGACATTAGTATGTAGTTGGTGACGACTTGCTTAGCCTTGCGCCCCGCATGGGCACCTCAACACCACTGCAACCTCAGGTCTGTCCAGCCAACTTACCTTATCCATTCCTATCTGGTTCGGCATTCAAAAAGAATCGCCCTAGCGGACCATCTACAAGCCTCCTCTCGTATCTAGTAGGCAAGTATTAGAGAAACCTTATCCACTCTTACCGATTCCCCAATCCGTTCCACCTCAACTCGGCTCAAACGATTGCGTGGTTCAGAACAACGACATCACATACAGCGCCGAAACATCGGTCCTGTCAGCATCAGTTCAACACCAACTCCGTCATCCATCCACCATGGGCTCCGCCAATAGAGACAGCTCGGATGAGGCCATCACGGTCCTGATCACTGGCTTCGCAGTGAGTTGCCCCCATGTGCCAAACAAGCCCTACATTGCTTTCACCTCACCCCAACTTCTCATGCCCACGCAAAATCCTTCATCAATCCCAATCACAACCCTCACAACTACCTACCGTAACTAACACACATGACGCAGCCCTTCAAAAAGGAGTACCCCGTCAACCCCTCCTGGGAAATTGCCCGCTCCCTGCCCGACTGGCTGCCCCCACTGCGCGCCAAAGCAACCCCGTTTTCCCAACATGTTTACCCCAATCCTCTTTTCCCCTCCTCCATCTCCTTTTCCTCACTCTCTTCTTCATCCAGGTCCCCCGGCGATGTCGCCCCACCACCAATCCCACCGGTCCGCATCCTAACCCACCCGTCGCCGATCCGGGTAAACTACAGCACGGTACGCGACCTCGTTCCCCAGCTATGGGACCTCAAAGGGACGGTACACCCGGGCCGGCCCAGAATCGACGCCGTCATCCACATTGGTATGGCTGGGCCGAGGTTGTTCTACTCGATCGAGCGGCGCGGCCACAGGGACGGGTATCGCATGCCGGATGTGGACGGGCAAGTGCCGCAGGATGGGACGGCCGTTGGTCGGGATAGGGATGGGGAGGGGGGGTGGGAGGGGGAGAAGAAGAAGGAAGATGGGAAGGAGGAGACGAAAGGCTTGTTGCCGGGGGAGTTGGAGAGCGATTTTGATGTCGAGGACGTGTTAGAGAGGTGGAGGGGGTATGCGCCGGTGAGCTTTCTTTCTTTTTCTTCTGTTCAGCTTCATTCCTGTTCGTTACGAGCCGGGATGATAAACTGAAAATGGAGAAGCGAATCTGCTGACGGGCGATGGCAGAGACACTTGGACTTGAGAATCTCGGAAGACGCGGGGCATTATTTGTGTGATTTCATTTATTTTTCCAGTCTGTCGCACCTGTACAAGGCTGGCGAGAAGAGGAGGGTGCTGTTTTTGCATGTACCTTCGGACGCGTCCACGCACAGCGTGGCCCTGGGGAGGGAATTGGTGCTGCAATTGGTGCGGTCTGTGGTAGAGAGTGAGATGATTCGGCAGGGTAAGACAGAGAAGAGCAGTGATGGCGGTAGCTGATCAGGTCCATGGTGAAGGCATGGGCATATGAAGGATGGTGGCACCAGCCTTCTGAACGGTATCTATTGGATACCAATGGATGGACAGTTGTTGGGATATGTTCACATCTTCATGACAGAAGACAAGATGTAGCATTGTCTAGGTTGTCTGATCATCAATCATCTCTAGTAAAGCCCCATTCCGTTTTAAAAACACCAAACACCATCCGTTCGCACCACGTCTAAACCCTCATCGCTCCATGTGCAACATCAATAAAGAAAGCTCACAACCGCCCCTTCTTGATCGGCGCGCGGTGATACTGCACCGGCCCAGCGACTTGCACACCTAGCAGGGCAGCCGTCTTGAGCACAAACTCAGGCTCCCTTAAGAACTGCCTCGCAATCAGCACCAAATCCGCCCTGGCCCTCGTCCCGTCTCCGCTCTCCACCTCAATCTTCCTGTCTTGCTCCCCCGCGAGTTTCCCGCCCTCCTGCACCACACTCCTCGCCATCTCGGCTGTGCTGATCATGCCCACCGCGCCAATCTTCAAGGCCTCGCCCTTGCCCTCCTTGCGCAGCAGCTCGCGGATCTCGCCCGCCATGTCGGCCTGATAGTACGGGTGCACCTCGATGTGCTGTTTTGGGTTGTTGCCGCCGGAGCTGACGTCGAGCAGGTCGACGCCGAGGTCCGCCAGCAGCAGCGCGAGCCGCTTGCTCTGCTCCAGGTCCCAGCTGGGCTGGCCACTGTGCTCCATCCACTCGGACGCCGAGATGCGCACGAGCAGGGGCATGCCCTGCGGGATCACGCCGCGCACCGCGCGGACAATGTCCAGCAGCAGGCGGGTGCGGTTCTCAAAGCTGCCGCCGTAGGCGTCGGTGCGTTGGTTGGTGATGGGCGAGAGGAACTCGGTGATCAGGTAGCCATGAGCGCCGTGGATCTCGATGGTGTCGACGCCGGCTTGGATGGCGCGCTTGGCGGCGTCGACGAAGCTCTGGACCAGCTCCTCGATCTGGGCGACCGTCATCTCCTTGGGCGTCGGGTACCCCTCGTCCCAGGCGATGGCGCTCGGGGCCCAGAGGTTGTCGGGCCAGCCGCCGACGTCTGGACCGGCGACCTCGTGCCGGCCCGGAGTGACGTGCCAGGGGCCGAGGGTGCTGGCCTTGCGGCCGGCGTGGGCGAGTTGAATGCCGATCTTTTGGCCCTGGGAGTGGACAAAGTCGACGATGCGCTTCAGCGGGGCGATTTGGCTGTCCTGCCAAAGGCCGCTGTCCTCGGGCGAGATGCGACCATTTGGAGTGACGGCGGTGGCCTCGACGATGGTCAGGGCGGCGCCACGGAGGGCAAAGGCGCCCAAGTGGACCAGATGCCAGTCGGTCAAGTGTCCATCATCGGCAGAGTAGGTGCACATAGGGGATACCACGAAGCGGTTCTGCAGGACCAGGTCCCGGAGCTTGATAGGGGTGAAGAGCGTGGGCACCTCGGCGCCGGTGTCGAGGGCGGTGCCGGCCGGGAGGGTTTGCTCGGGAGTGTAGAAGGGAACCCCCCGAGCGGGCGTGCTGGCCGTCAGCTTGTTGACAGTCATGTTGGTTGTGTATAGAGTGTACGATAACTCCGGTCCCCGCGGTGGTAGGCTGGAACTTGGAAGGGACTTTGAGGGAGAGGGGTATCTTATGCTCAAAGAAACAACACTCGGCTTTTTAATACTTCTGTTCGGAGGGCCGAAGGCTGAGCACCGTCAAATCATATAAATACCTATCTCAGGGGAGAGAGTGTTGCCTGCACATCATCGAAGCCGTGGCAACTCATCGTAGCTGATGAATAATCCGACAGCGACAAGGGGGGCTATTACACAGAGGGGCGAACTATTTCCCGCGTCCATCCTCGGAGGGAATTGAGCCTAAAAATTCCAATTGCGGGATGGATTTTGACAGTTGGCTCGAGTTGGATCCAGTCGGTGACTCGGGTTGTTGCAACTGTCCAGGAAAAAGCGACTTGCTGAGTAAACCAAGGTCGCGGGTGGAGACTGCGGGCCAATCTCGGTTTTACATGTCGGGGGTGGCGTGTTGGCAATAACTGAACTTACGACAGTACCCGAACTTGGATATGAAAAACTTTGGTCGAGTACAATCTGCATGACATGCTGACCCGGCTTTGCAGGAATTTGCCTGTCCGGGCTGGAACTAACGTTATGTACTTGCGTCGTGCGAACGTCGTCTGGTTGCGCAACGGGTCGAGTTCTTTATCATCTTAAAGGAACAAAGTGAGAATAAACAGAGCCAGATGACAACAGCACTGTCCAGCGGCCTTCGCTCCGTAGAACCTGGCGGGAGACCGGCTGGATTGTCGCCGTTTGGCATGCTGATTTGACTCCGACAAGAAACTTCCAAATGGTTACCGGAGAAGCCCCCCGGGAAGGAAATGCTATGTCCATCTCATTCATCATCTCGAATCAAGACCGTTGGACTCCAGGATGGGCATGTATCGTAAGTGTACTTCTGTATGGAATTTACAGTACGCCGTCTCCACCCTTTTAACCTTATCATTCAGCCGCCACTGAAAGTGGGATCCTCCCCAGGAGGGGACAAGCCGAAAAACGCATTGGCCCACAAGTGCCCCTGCGCCGGTACCGGGTGTCATCCGGGCAAAGCTCGAAACGAAACACAGGGGATGCGAAACCAGAAACAATGTACATAGCTCGCTTCATGTTTCCGAATGTTACCCTCTCTGAATCCAGCCATTGCCTCCTGCACTCAGTGCAACATAACATTACCCTGAGAGAGTAGCGACTTGTCGGGCTGGAAATGCCGGGATGAACTTAAGGTTTCAGGAGCAGATGATGGCACGGCGGACAAGACGTCTCAGGTAGACCAGGGCAGACTTGGGATGACAGCCCCACAGCACCTTCAAGACCGTCAAGAGCGTCTTCTACGGTCTGTTCCTCGACAGAGAACCGGATTAAACTGCGTTGCTCCTTCACGCTAACAGAGAACGCTCGGCTGGTTATCCAAACTGACGTCGACGTGGAAGACCAGAATGAGGTGGAGCACCAGCAAAGCCGTAGTCGGGTCGTAAGTTGCCTTACGGCGGCATGGCATCGAATAAAGCAGCTAATTCAGGCGACAGGTTTGAGGGATGTGAAGTTGTGAGGGTCTTGGTCGGGGAAGAGCAGCGCGACTTCAACTTGCACAGAAAGCTGCTCTGTGACAGCTGTGCCTTCTTTCAGACTCACATCGAGACCATTCCATCCCCATCAAGTTCGCAGGATGGTGATGAAGACGAGGACTCGGTCCTATGGCTACCAAATGAAGCACCCGACATGTTTGAGATTTTCGTGCTCTGGCTCTACCAGCGGCGGAAATTCTCGTCTTTTATCGAAACGGCCACCCAAAGAATATCTCCCGATGAGTGCCGCACCATGCGCACTAATCTTGTCCACCTCCACCTCTTCGCCGCTGTCATCGACCTCCCCGCGTTGCAGGACGCCGCCATGGACGCCTTGCAAGATACCTACCTACGCTTCGACTGGGACATGTCGCCGCGCTTCCTCGCCTTCCTCTACGGGGACTGCGACGCCCAGCACGCCGTGCGCCTGCGAAAGTGGGCGATAGCCATGCTCGCCTGGACGCTCCACGGCGCCGACGAAAAGGCAGCGGTCATGGCCGGTCAGCTCGACCGTCTGTTTGCCGCCTACCCGGACCTGCAGGCCGACTACCACATGCACCTGCACAAGATGGCCCAGAGCCGCGCCGACGTGCGCATCAAAAACCCGCAGCTACGCCTGCCGGCCAACAAGCTGCGAAGCGGCGAGCGCCTGTTTGGCTTCCGCCAGTGTACTTTCCACAGCCATCGGGCGACGGTGGGCGAGGGCACGTGTCCGCATGCGCTGGCGCTCGGCCACGCGCTGGTTGCGATGCCCGTGCGGAGGCGGGATAACAAGGACGAGATCGAGTCGGATGGGTCGGATGCCGACCGCCTGATCATTTCGCCCGTGAGGGACCTGAATGAGATCTCTTACCTGGACCTGTCATGATACCAGAGGAGCCTTCCTGGCTGTCTACGGGACCTTCCATCGACAACCTCACTTTTCGGTACACAGACCCCGGACGCCGCTGTATGGCTCCAAGAGAGTCGTCGGAAACGTCAACGGCCCATCGACACATCCTCACACGATCTTGCAATCAGCCTCTTTTAGAAATCAGCACCTTGGGAAACAGACATTTCTGGTTGAAATACCGCCATGGACGTCTAGCTGTGGCGTAATGACCATCGAAGGCAGGTCCTAGGTGTTGGGAAACATGCTGAGGCATCGGGTTGGTAACCTACCCCACGCAACTATCGACCGCAGACGGCGAGAACGGATCATCAACTCAGAGATTGGCAAGGAGCGTCTACTACTAGGACGAAAGGCTATGTGCAAGGGTTAGACTCAGATTCTCCATGACATACCTAAATCGGCCAGCAAATAATACCAATGCATTCATTCCTTCAGCACTCTCCGTAGCCGCATTCAGAACGCTGTGTCCAATCATACATAAACCGCGAGTTGAGGAGGACAAAGAGAAGTCCGCTAGGCTCCGGATGCCTGTAATGGCCTATTTCTGGAGTAAACTACTGTCACCTACTCTTTGTTCGTTTACTTTCCCCTTATTACTCCTCCCCGAGAGAAATTCTCCTTACCGGCCTTAAGTGCGAACCCGTCATCAAGCAGTTGAGTGTTGCCAAGTCATGATGCCGACAACGTGAAGGGAGCCTTGAAATCACGATGCAGTCACCAGCTAACTGCTCACCAGGGCTAGGTCGTTGTTCCGGTGCGCCATCTCTCAACCTGGAATCTGCTCTCCAGGGACACAGTGTGCTCCAGCATGGCACTGCAATCTACAGGTTGCTCGACTGCTTAGCCCAAGGGTTCGGATTACACTTTGCCGGTGATTGTCCCTTTTTACAGCACTTCTTCTCTACTACTAACTGTTCGCAGACTCAAAGAGGTCTATAACTCGACCAGCGAAGATGAGCCTCTTTGTTGATGAGCTACGGTGCTAATGGGCGCCACCTGTGTTGAAACGATCCGACAAAGGGAAAGCCCTGAATGCTATTGTTCAAGGGATGTCAGAACAAGCCCTTTCTCGTCGAAACTCGCAGTCAGGTTCGTGTTATAAGCTCGACTCGTCACCCTCGGCATCGCGTCAAGTCCCAAGCGTTGGCGAATCCAGACGGGAAGGTTAAGCTTCTGCATTTCAATTCCTTTCACCCTGATCAGGGAAGCACTATCCACATATCTCGTTGGGATTCAAAAGGTTGAGTTAACTACTGCGGCGCAGACTGACAACAGCTCCAGCAAGAGTATCAACAACTGCTATATACACACACCATTATATAGGAGTGCTGTAATAGCATCACAGGGAGCGCCTATTCATTCACGAACCACTACTATTATAGGAATCCGGCAGATTACCATAACCGCAATACACCGAGATGTCCAACACGCCCACGTCCAAGAAAAACGAGCTCTCCTTCGGCGTCGAGGTCGAGTTTCTCTTCTACTTCAAAGTCGCCCGCCTGCTCAACGACGAGCTTCGTGACGCCGATGCCTCTGTCTCCGAAACCCCTCTTCCCAGCAGCGGCCAAGACGAGGAGCACACGCCACGGTTCTGGGCCACCAAGGTCATCACCGAAGCCATCATGAGCGTGCCCGGCGCCAAGATGGAGGGCCAGGCCATGCCCAAGGACACGCCGGACAGGTACCGGGCCATGTACCTCGCGGGCAAGGGGTGGGATGACCATTTTGGGTGGACAGTCAAGAACGACTCGTCGGTGCGTGATGACGGCATCAAGGTCCGCGGGCACGACTGCCTTAGCTTCGAGGTCACGAGCCCCGCGCTGTGGGACAGACCCGAGAGTCATCGGCATGTGTACCGGGTGATTGACGAACTGGTGAAGAGGTTCCGGTTGCGGGTGAATCTTCGGACGGGGCTCCACTGTCACGTCGGAGCCGGGGCGCAACCGGTGACGGAGCGACGGAGGACGGACACGCCGAAACCGTCGGGGTGGAGCGCGGAGAGGGAGAGGGAACTGATGATGCAGTTTGACAAGGACGATACTTGCGGGCGCAAGCAACCCCCGAATTCCTTCAAGCGGGCTGCGGCGCTCATGTGGGCAGCAGATGGGTTCATGTGCCATGCCCATCCGCCCGAGCGCGGGTTTAGTTACTACGCACCGCCGATCCGGCTTTGTTCTAGGCTGGCCCATGGTCTTGGGGTGCGCCTGGTCCAGGATGAGTTCGGGGCGACGAAGCCGAAGGAGTTCCCCCTAGACGATAACGTTGAGGCGCCGAGCAGAGCGGACATCCTCCCAAAGAAGAAGCTGCCGTCGTATAACTTTTCTCGCCTCGACTACACCCTCTTTCCCGCGACGCGCCACATGGAGCTGGATGACGAGGCGCGAAGGCGATTCTCGCCCGTCTCCGACACAGGATTCATCCCCGTTCGCGTCGAGCAGCTGCCCAACCGGACGGTGCGCAGCGGCGTCGCGCATATCATGCGGTGCGGCGCCCGCAGCGAGGTGGCGGATCTGCTCACGCCGCCCGAGATGTCGGGCTTCTCCAGTCGGCCCAACTACAACCTCCGCAGCTACCTGGTCCCTGACTACCATGGCAGCATGGTCATACCGTCGGGCACGGTCGAGTTTCGCGAGGCGACGGGCAGCGTGGCGGCCGAGTGGGTCATGACGTGGGCCAGCATCTGCCTGGCTTTCTTCCGCTTCGCGCGCGACGCGTCTGAGGAGAGGTACTGGGCGGTCATCCAGGAGCTTGGCAGAGCCGAGGCGCAGGCGCAGCGCAGGACGCCCGAGGGGCATGGCTATGACATGATTTCGCTGCTGTTCGACATGGGTCTCTTTGCCGAGGCCTTGTTTCTTGAGAGTAAGCTGCGAAGCGACCCCGTGCGGTTCTGGTATCCGTGCCGCCTCGCAAATCCGCCGGAAAACGGAGTGTGCTGAGGAAGGAGAGCTTCTAGATCCGGGATATTGGGGCGGGAAATGGCGGGGACCGAGCCAGTCGCAAGACGGCAGTCACTCTTTGTTCGGAGATTCTAGCCTGGGAGGGCAAGAACGGGACCAGCCCAAGGATGATGAGGTGCTCGGCTCTGTTAAGTCGTCCCCTTTCATACAGTCTCCGATCGGCATCTCGTTTGAGGAACAGCAGTCTGGCACATGGGGCACGGCTGATGGACGGGGTCGGCCGGAGGACGGTGACGGGCCTGAATCTGGTAAGTCATCCACTCGTACGGAGCCCCCGACCGAGGTGCGGGTCGAGGTGCAGCAGCAGCAGCCCACGGCGTGTGTCCCGGATAGCAGATCTGAGGACGGGAGCGGTAGGTCGACGGAGCTAGGGGAGCCCAAGAGTTCAGAGAACCCTAGCGTTGAGCAACCGGCAGCGGATCTGGCTGTGACTGGCAGCACTGAGGGCGGCGGGACTGTTGATAGACAGTCTAAAGCTGGACAAACCTCTCCCAGACTACCTGCTAGCGGGAACTTGGACTGGTAAGTGGCACTAACGGTAGGTATCTCAACTTTGCCTGGCGTCTGGTATTGCGCTTGGTTAACGAAAGCGGGAAAGGTATGTAAATAGAGTGAGTATTCAGTATATGAAGGGTTTCTTTCAGCCAAGGTTTCTTCTGAATCCAATGATTGTTATGGACACCGGAGAGGTAAACGGGAGGTGAACCCAATCTCGGTATAGAAGGATTGTGAATGGGGAAGGATAAAAGGCAGTGCTGAAGTAGTCCACTATAATACGCAAGCGAAGCTCCAGGTGACAGACCCAAACCCTCCATCAGACATCAACCTCCCCCCGAACGAGTTACGAACTCGGTCCCTCTTTTTACAATCACGCCCAGCTTATCCTCGCCCGCACCTTCACTTCGGCGTCTACTTCTCAATGAACAATGCTGTACACACTACTCAGCCCCATCTTATCATCCCCATCCCGACCAACCCATCGCCCAGTCTCTCCCCGCCCCAACCCCAGCGGAAACTCTCCCTCACCCACACCCCGCAAAATGCTCACACTGACTTCCCCCGTTCCCCATCCATCACAACGGCAACCGCACCGGTTTGTTGATGTCCACAGGCCTCTCGAATTAGTTGGCATCCCCGCCTTCAGACCCGGCAGCCCTGACCGACGTTGTCGCCTTGTCGTTGCCCGGGGACGACACCTCAAACACACCTCGCCGCACCCGGGCCAGCAGTTGCACTTGTTTCTGTCGTACTCTGCCGTGTAGGGGACGCGGGCGTTGAGGAGCCAGACGGCGGGCATGTCGTTGCCGTCGGCGTAGACGCCGTTCGAGTTGGTGTGGGTGGTGTTGTGGGGCATGAAGAAGTCGAGGAGGAAGATCCTTGAGGGGCCTGCGAATCCTTCTGCACAGGTTTTTTTTTTTTTTTTTTCCCCTTTTTAGCACTGTAGATCTTTAGAGACTGGAAGGGAGTGCAAGGGGAGAAGAGATGGACGTACTATAAGCCACAGCCCCCCGCTGGATGTAGCCGCAAGTTTCGTCACACGGCTGGTCTGTGACGAGGGCCGCTTCCTGTGAGGAGAGGCGGTGCGTGCCCTTGAGGATTGTCGGGCCTGAGGCGCCGCCTGTGCCGTCTACTTTGAGATACGAGAGGCTGTTGCCAAATTTCCTGCTCGTCAACGTCGGTCAGTTAGTCTGTGACCGCGAAAAAGGGGGTAAAGGGGGAGATGTAAACAAGCATGCTCCGTATATATGCCGGAGCCTTGGCCATCGTAGTTGCCCAGGAACATGACTCCCTCGGCCTTTTGCTGGCCTGCATTGTAGTAGCCTATGCGCACAAACTCGTGCGTGAGGGCGCTGCCGCCGCCGGGGTTCAATACGGGAGAGGCGCTGGGTTGAGGGCCGCTGACGGGCACAACATTGTAGGATCTAATGCTATTTGTGAAGCCGGGAACTGGGCTGAGTATGGATCTGGATGTAGGATTGTAACTGACACTGGCGCTAGATGGAGGACGGCGGGGACACCGTGGTATTGCCACACTTCGGGTAAGGGGACCTGAGTCCGAAACAACACGGTGGTCATGGATGGCGTAGCAGTCGCAATTCCTGCGCTGCTCGGGCTGCCTGAAGATACCGAGCTCGTCGCAGAACTGATGCCCGAAAGCAGAGTGGTCATTGAGTGTGCTTGTATCGTAATGGTCCCGCTGCTCTGCCCGCCAGTAGCCTTGGCCGTCGACGGGGAGGTTGTAGTTGTCGTAACGACCATTGTAGTCCTTACAGTAACTGTGGTGTCATACTGATCGCTACTGGAGGTGACAATGAATGTGAACACTGAAGTCGTGGTTTCAGTAACTGCCGTGTTTTTTGGTGTCCCGCTTCACAAGCGCCGTCGGGGGACCGGGTAACCTGTAGATTGGGAGCCGGGAGTGTGGTTGGCGGGCAACGAGACGTTTTCGCCGTGTGGCAGTGGATTGCTGTAGTTCCAGTAGTCGATGACCGGAGGAGTCCACTGTGTCTGGTTTTCAGACCCCTCAACATGTGGTTGGTAGTGGCCAATGGCGGATCCCCGGCGTTGTTTCTCGATGGAGGTTGAGCGTTGCCTCACTAAGGTTGGGCCCGCGCTTGCTTTTGTTTTGCGATGTCTTGTCCTCTTCAGGGACACGAGGCATATACACGGCCATCTGCTTCAGGTTGAGCGGCTCGCGGAAGTGGAGGGATAACTAAGACCGGTCAAACACCCCTTTTCCAAGTACAACTGTATGTCCATATACTTACAGGCGCAATGAAAGGCGCAAAAGGGCCTGAAATCTGTCTTAGGGCAAACTGGCACTTCCCGATTTGCTGATCCATGTGAGTTACCTCTTGGTACTGGCTCGGCTCGCCCAGCATGCCCACAATCTCATACGTAACCTGCTGCACTTTCTGGCAGTAGAAGATGCCTGCCTCCAGGTAACTCGTCCCCTGACACAGCTCTTTGCTTGGCTTAACGGCGCTCTGTGCTGTGCCAGCCATGGCCAGCATGGCGGTCAATATGTCGTCTCTCATGTTGTGCTGTTGATGGTGTATCCTGGTTGTTCTGGTGGGAATCTTTGCAAAGAGCGGGAACAATAGAACGAGCACTCTGCATGGAACTGTGGACATGTTTTATAATCCGGTATTGAAAACGTGCCGGCTGTTGATAACTTGCTCCCTGATCAACTGACAACGCCAAGGCCACTTTGATTCAGACGAAGAACTGTATCATGTGGTGGTAGGACAGGTGAAGTAAGGAAAAGGGTTGTAAGAGCGACAGCGGTTACAAAGGAAGCCATCAGGCGACGAGGCTTTCCAGGAGCAATCCGCAGGAGTGCATGAGGTCGAAGCGCTGAGGTTGTTTACTACACTGCTCATCCTCACCCTCAACTCCACGGCCCTGCTCAAAACTACGCAAGGTCCCCATGACGTTAGCAGGCAGTGGGATATAACTGGTGAATACGAGGGTGATTTACCAATCTTCAAGAGATGTTCTAACTCCAGTAATCTCCTCCCCGGAAGGTCCGACTTATCAAAACCAACCTGTTCCCGTCTCCCGGCAACTCCAGCGTGGCCCCGTTGAGGGGCCGTTCTGACTCGTTCGAGAGGCCGTCCCACCACGCCACCGTGTTGTCACTGAGCTACCCCTATTCCGCACCACATCACAGACCAGATGAGAGCTGAACGCTGATAGTACATGCATGTACAATACCTAGCGTAGGTAAGAGCGACGGCGCGGGGAGGTGGCCGCGTTAGATGCATTTTTGTGGTGACTAATACAATTTTGCAAAGAAATGGAGTATTGGTGTCATTGTCCCGGAGGATGACCAACTAACCAAGTAACAGGAGGAGATCCAAGACGCAAGTTTTTTTTGCTGGCGCCGCTGGAAACGATACCCTGGGAGGGGACTGAAAGCGGCAAAAGCAAATGATCGCTTTGCCAAGGAAGTGGTCAAGCTTCGGTATTGCTAGGTCCACAGCGTTCAGCACAGTAAACACCGCCCGGTCAACTGCGCGCCGTGAACCAGGAATGGTATCCTTATGGCGCTGACTTCTTCCCCTTCCCAGCTGCCCCGCCAGCCCTCTTCCTCTTGCGCTTTCCCTTCGAGCTTGCCCCTTCATCCTCATCCTGGTCCTCGTCTTCCACCTCTTCACCCTTGCCGTGCTTATCCGGCCCATCATCACCACTATCATCGGCTGCCACTCCCTTCGCTTTCCGCTTCCTACCCTTCTTCGGGACTGGCGGGGCAGCCACAGGGATCTCCCACCCCTGCCCCGGATCCCCACCGCTGCCACCACCAGTCCTCGCCCTCAACCGACTAACCGCGTCCGCCATCCGCCTACTGCCCGCCGCCCCCCTCTGCCTCGGCGCAAACGCCTCCTTCACCCCGACGCCCACCGCACCCCCAAAGAACCGTGTGATATTGCTCTGCGTCCCCTCCACATCCCGCTTATTCATATCCCGAATCACCGGCACCAGTACTTCGTCGGTCCGTTCCTGGCTCCAGCCAATGGTGCTCATCAAGAACCTTCTAAGCCCATCCAGGTCCGGCACGCCCCACTGAAACGGCTCGGGATTACTATCGACCTCCGGGTGGAGGTACGCGTCAACAACAGCCGGGTTGGGCCACCCGAGCGGGAGGAACAGTTTCGTAGCTTGGGCCTTGCGGAACTTGCGGCGGAACGGCGAGTCGGCGTCTGCTTCCTTAGGCCGACCACGGTTTTGCACGTCGTGCCACCAGTCCCTGAACTGCGCGAGGCCATCGCGGCCGGGGAACTCCGAAAGGATTTCGAGGGCCGTGACCGGTCCGACGCCGATCAGCCCTTCGGTGTAGTCCGACCCCAGCAGCTGGGCGAGCGAGATGAGCTGCTCACGGGACAGGGACAGCTCCGCTTCGAGGTCCTGCGCGAGGTAGCACTCGACGTACTTGTTGCTGTTGAACATGTTCTTGTAGACGCGGGTGCCGCCGAAGAGGAACGTGTCCGAGTCATCGGTGACGATGCCGTCGACGAGGTTGAGGCGGACCAGCTCGGCGCATTGCGCTTCGGCTTCCATGGGCGCCGTGATGTATGGGATGCCGAAGAGGGCGAGGAGAGCCTGGCACTCGGCCACCATGACCTGCGTGACTTCGTCTGCGTCGCGCCGGTCCTTCTTTTGCTGGGTGCGGAGCGCCCGCAGCTCTTGCTCGTAGGCGTCCTGGTTTTCCCGCTGAGATTTGTTGTTGAGCTGGCTGGCAAACCGGGCGTGTTCTTGGGCCTCCTCGGCCATCTGTGCCAGAAGCTCCTCTTCTTCGGGGTCACTAAAGTCCTCGAATTCCTCGGGGCCGGGAGCATCTGGGTCAACAAGGGTATCGTCGTTGGATGAGGCCAGTCCTTCGGTCCGTATTTGTTGCGCCGGAGGGAGCGTGTGGTTGCCAAAGAGTTCCGCTTCAATGCGCGCTTCTTCAGACATGTCATTATCATGGGTAGGCGCCTCGGCAGCCCGCTCAAGTTCGGCAGGCATGGTCACATCTTCAAACTCCATTTCTTCATCCTCTGACTCGTCCGCAACCAGTTCAATCGACTCATCGCTAGATTCATGACGTTCTGGGCCCGCGAGCGTTGGGTTCAGTGTGTCCGCCGCGGCAGTAGAACTGACGGGTTCAAATGCCTGAATCGACGCCCCAGGGCTTTCCTTCGCCGCATCATCCTCCAACGAGGGGAGACTTGCTCCTGGCAAGCTAGCAAAGGTCTGCCTAGCTTGAGGAGGCGCATCCAGAATCTCAATGTCGCTGTCATCGTCGCTGGATGACTCGATCTCGATGACGTCGTCTTGGCTCTTGCCAAGTCGAAGTTCATCCTCTTCGGTCTCCTCATTCAACTGCCTCTCTAGCTCTTGCTGCTTCCTCACGGATTCTCGAATATCCGTGTCATCCGTCAGCCATGGGGGCAGCGGACGCGGCTTGTCGTTCTTCTTGTCCGCAACGGTTTCTTCAGAGGGCTCTTTTTCGAATCCCCCAGCCTCATCATCCGACACAGCTTCCAGGTCACCAGTCTCAATCTCCTGAGACTTCTTCGGCTTCTCTGTTGACTGACGCACAGGTTTCCCGCCAAATGCAGCGCACCAGTCGAGCTTTTCAAATGGGAGCGGCCCATCAAAACGATTCTTCACGTTTGGCTTGATGGGTGCTGGTGCTGGTGCCGATTTTGACATTGCTTGCGCCTTTGGCTGCTTCTTCCTCGCGGCAGCCAGAGCTGACTGGAGGTCGACGTCACTGTCGCTGCTCTCGCTGCCCCGGCGCTTAGGCACGGCAGCGCTCGCTCGGTTGTTCACGATATGCGCCACCATTCGCCCAGTGATGCTAACGATGGGCCTCGGTGGCTCGACCGCCTTCTGTTTCCATTCAGGGGCCGGCGTCTCCTCAGCTTCCTCATCTTCTTCCTTATCCTCCTGGTTGGGCTTCTCAGCGCTGTGCTGGTTCTGTAGTGATAGAGCGATGGCTCGACTGAGGCCCTCGTCTTCATCCTGTTGGACCCGGTCATCGTCGAAGAGGCTGCCTTCATTTCCGTTGTCGACGAAGAGAGCTTCGTCTGCATCATCGACTCGAAGCTTGGGCAGCCTATTCAGACCTTCAATGGGAACGTCCTCAAACTCCTCATCTTCCCACTCGTCCTCATCATCCTGTCCCTGGTATTGGAATTCCAGTTCGTCAACGTCGATTGGTTTGTGGATCTGGCCCCTGTCCTTGTCTTTGCTAACAACACCGAGCGCCCAGCCTCCCTCGGCGCCTTCGTTCTTGACAAGAATGTACTCACGACTCCTATCACCGGCGATGCGGTTGACCCCCATGGTCAAGTCGGTGCCCGCCATGCCTAGTTCGTACATCAGGCGCTGTGTGAGGTGGTTTCTCTCCTTGACTCGCTCGATCTGGAACCTTGAGAAGGCCATGCGGTCTGGGAACATGCCGTCGAGCTGGTCCTTGCTCAACCCCATTCTCAAGCGGCTCCGTATCCTCGCAGCATTCAGAATATTGTATCTGTCAGCAGCCGGAAGGCTTTTGAAGAATTCGCCGTCAAAGTCAATCTTGCTGAAGTCGTAAAGGTTGATGTCCTCGCCGTTGTGGAACTGCTTGGCGTATTCCTCCAATTCCTCTACGCTCATGATGCGCGGATCGTTCGGCTTACCCATGCCTTCAATGCCGTTCTGCAGGTCTGGCAGGTGATAGGCATCCTGCTTGTGGAACCGCCGGTTCTTTTGGCGCTCCTGCTTCGACATGCCCAGCTCGTCCGCGTACACGATCTGATCCATGCTGGGGAGCTGCTCCTGCTCCTCCTCAACCTCGGCCGATGCAGCCGCCGCGCGTCTTCTGCGCTTCTCCTCTTCCTCCTCGGCAATTCTTTGCATCTGCACAGCGAGGAGTTTCCCTGCGGTGCGAGCGGCATCCTCACGGCGGCCCTCCCGCCTCCGCCGGCGCCCCTGCAGCGTTGCTCGTTTCAGGGCCGGAGCGCCGCCATCAAAGACAAAGACGGGTTTTACCCCGTACCACAGCAGCTTGCAGATGCGGCGGAAGAACCCGACGATATGGCTGTTGCGCAGGGCGTTGCCCTCCTTGTCGCGGACGGCCTTGAGGAACTGGTAGATCCAGATGGAGGCATCGACGGCGAGACGCCGACGGTTGAGGGTGGCGAGGTTAGTCGGGCGGGCGCAGGGCTGCACGACTGTCCAGAGGCCTTGGACACCCATGGCAGCCTAGGGTATGGGTCGACGATCTGAGTTGTCTGCTGGAGTTGATTAGGGGGGCCCTTTCCCGGGTCACGAAGGCGGCGGCGGCCTTCATCGAAGAGGTCCCTATTCGAAGCCTCATTAAATTAAGATTAAATAGTCAGAGAGTCGCCAAGTGGATGGGATTTGACGACATCGCTTGCAGATGAAGAGATTGCATGGCAGGACGAGTAGAGGAAACTGTGAAGTGAAGCCATGAAGGTCGGTGCATCTTCACGCCGATGACAGCATGCCGCAACCCCTGCCCGCCTGCCTGGTTATCGTTATCGGTCGAGTGTGATTGGCCATTTATCCTCCGACTTGACCCACCATGCCCAACCCCCGGTACACTTGCTTGTCTCGCTGCATCTCGAGTCTCACAGATGGATTGATTTGTCTTGACAAGTTTCATGGCTCTCGTAATACCTTGCATGAAACGTCCAGCTTGCGCTTGGAGGATACAACTATCGGTAACCGCGAAACACTGAAACCCAGTTTCGAAATTCTCAATCCACTGTCACGGCCCATAATCAGAGCTTTTAGACGGGTCCTTGATAACTGCAGTGTCTCTCCGGCAACAACTCACAACCTCTGCAGCCATATTCAACACCATAGATATTTTCCCGTCGACACCCCTCACACCATGAGCACCTCCAACTCATTTCTAAACCCACAATCTGAGAAAGATGAACTCCTCACCTTCCTCCGCTCCCTCATCAACAAGAACCTCCGTATAACCATCACCGATAACCGCATGTTTTGGGGCACCTTCAAGTGCACCGACGCTGTAAGCTTCATCTCCCTCCAGGCTCCATGTCACCACCATCCTCCAACTGGACCACTTAAGCTGATGAAATCAAACTCATGTTGAATAATGACAGCAAAGCAACATAATCCTCCAACACACCTACGAATACCGCCAGCCCTCAGCCCAGCAAATATCCGAAGCTGCCGCGGCAGCTACCGCATTACCGTCACCACCGAGGGCAAACCCACCACTTTCAGGAGAAGGAGATGGTGCTGGTGATGTCGGTCCTGGAGAAGAATCAGGTCATGGGAAAGATAGAAACAAGAGCAAAGTAAAATTGGACATGACGTCACGGTATCTTGGGCTGGTCGTGGTTCCGGGGCACGTTATCACGCGGATCGAGGTCGAGGAGTTTGTGAGCCAGATGCGCGGGAGGGAGTTAAAAGTCTTGGGGGTTCGGGAACACGGGGTAGCAGTGAGCTGAGGAAACGGGAGGTTAGGTTGTGCTGTGAGTAGCCGGGCGAAGCAGGATAGTGTTGGGGGAGGTATAACCTCGATAGACGAGTCAGTTGGGACTATCGTCTCTGCATGGGCAGCCTTGCTGGGTGAAAGGCCACCACCAGGGAGAGGCATATGATAGGACAGGGCATGTACAAACACAGTCCAGCCAGAGGACGACGAACCAAGATTGTGTCGACGAGCCCATAAGAACCGACGCTAATTGTCTACAAAACATGGGCCGCAGAGATCATCATGTGCTCGAGCACCTTTCCCATTCCTCACCAAATCGAAACCTTGCCCTTTGTATGGCATTCCGCCCGTTCTCTCGTATATCATCAATACATCCCTTTTCCCGGTTCATCATTACCTATTACGCGTAATCGATGTCGCGGCAAGCAGCGCGATTCCTGCAGAATGAAAAAGCGCCTGTCCTCAGCATCCCAAACTCCCACCACGCCACTGCCCACGCCCTTCGTTATTATGCCTGCCCTCATCAAACAATCCAATCGAGTAAATAAAATGGCCGCAGAACGCGCATTCGGCGAAGCCCATCACTATCAAAGGCTAGGCATCAACCGGCTCATGATTGCGCCCGCGATGCTCGCCATTCAGACTGGCCTCGGTATCGACAACCGAGTGGCTCGGCGCATCCAACTCTTCTTCCTCAGCTGTCTCCTCCTCATCACCATACTCGTTGTGCTGGCCGGCTGGCACCCACACGTCGCGGTCGCTGAGCGGGGCATCCTGCGCCGACAGGTCATGGCCGTGGGCCTGTTGTAACTGCCCGTCGGTACGCGCCCTGATGTTGTTGCGGCGTCGCTGCGACAGGGTTCGAGCCCGCGTCGACAGCTTGGCCGATACGGCGGCGTTCTGCGTCACCCAGTTGGTCAGCGCGTCCTCGCAGTCCTGGATGATGGCCTTGCTGGCCTCGTAGCCGTCGTATGCGGGGCGCGTCTCGCCAGGTGTCACGGGGGTGTCGTCGATGAGTTCGAGGAGATGCTTGCCGTAGCCCGCGATGATGGCCACCTTCTCGCAGTGCTCGCGCAGGGCATCGAACTGGTATGAGTATGCCGCCTTGATCTTCTCGCGCGTGATGTTGGACAGTTGCGCCTCGGCGACGAGGGATTCGGCTTCCGCGCGGACGAGCTCCTGTTCAAGAACGACAATTTTCGGCGAGTTGGGCTCCTTGTATTTGAGCTGGGCAATCTGATCCGTAATCTTTTGTTTCCCTGGCAAAAGTCAGCATCCCGATGTCCTCTCTGACTGGGAGTGAAGCACTCACTGTCTCTGCTGGGCTGCACCGAAGCCTCGATATTTCTAATGCTCTTCATGGTGATGCGGTATTGGTCGTATCGGTCGACGTATTGGTCTTCGAGCTCGCCTATCTCGTACAGCAGCACGCCAAGCTTGTCTGTGACGTCCGAAACATCTTCGTCGCAAGCCTCGCCCCAGAGCGACAATTGTTGCTGCCGGGCGTCTCAGTCAGCTGCCACGAACAGCCATGTACAGCGCGGGATCACGTACGGCGACCTCCATCCGTTCCTTAGCCACCAGCTCCAAACTCCGCATGACGTTCTTCTCCATCTTGACCAGCTGCGACAGCTTCTTGGCCAGATCAGGCCCGAAGGCGCCGGCCGCATTGCGCCGGAGCGCATGTCCTAGACCACCTGTTAATGTCCAAACATGAGTCTCCCGCCCAAACGACGCCACTGCGACGTGTCGCATAGGAGGGGCGCAGCTCACTCAGTCCTCCCCGGCCAAAGAGGCGGCCTGATTTTGTGCTCGACGGCGGTGGTGGCGGGTTCTGGTTGCATGCTGTCAGCGAGACGGTCCTCATCAACCCAATAGCAACGCCAGCCGGCAAGTACCTGAATTTGAGATGCCGTTGGCGCCCTCGTGGCGCGCATGGAATATGTGCGATGCATGGTATTGGTTGCCCGACGTACTGCGTTGGAAGAGTACGGAGGGTGGGTGTCAAAGGTGTCTCACGAGGCGTGTTGAGAAATGCGCCCGCTCAATTGCGCGTCTGGGAAACTCGAGAAGGGAGCAGAGAACTAGGAGGCGGTGCAGACGCTGAATATCCGATTTCGTTGGATGTTGCGAGACAAAGAGAAGTGCTCGGTTGCAGACGAGAAACAGGCCGAATGAATCGGATCCAGCGGTTGTTCGTGCGTCGATTGCTTGGCGGTTGAACCGTCCAGCGACATGACGTCGCCATGCAACCAGCCTTGGCACTTGGGTCATGGCCCCGTCACCTCAAGCCTGCCAAAGCCTGCCCAACATTGGAACCCTGAAATTGGTCCGTGCGTGGATGCACCAACTCTCAGTCCGGTGGGGCCCAGAATCGCGTGGCTCGCGTCTTTCGCGATCGTGTTCCCCAGCGGTCGAGGAAGCACGCATCACCAGCACAATACCGGCAGCCAGCAAACACTCAACAAAATACCTTGCAAAGTACCGGATTGAGATCTGTGAGAAACCGGTGTCGCTACAGCATAACCGATTCCGAGGTCAGGTGCCAGCATATCCGTTCCGGGTTGCCCTGTCCCCGCTGCAAACCAAACTGCAAAAGACATAAAACAAGTCACCAGCCTGGAAATCGAACAGATGGGGTTGCATGGTTGATGCAGACAACCACGAAGAGCGGGGGACAACCGACATGCGAGACCGGCCATGGCCTCCGGCTTTTCCGACCTTGTCGATTTGACAGTGGAGACGTCATCCGACGAAGGTCTAACCGCAGACGACGTCGTTGTTGTCACCGCTGCCCGGCTGGTCCAAGTCAACCGCGAAAATGACAGCGCTGCCGTCGCTTTTCCGGCTTCCATACCGGCCATGAAGCTCCTGTCACGAAATTCCGACGTTACGACACGACCGAGTAGGGCACCGAGCCACGCATCTACGTTGCGCAAACATTCCCCTGAGAGGTTGCCTGGAAGAACCTCGGCGCATGCCCGCGATGGTATCCCTTCCCATGCCCCGCGCTTTTCCGCCCGAGAGGAAATCAGGGACTCGCAATCTCCTCCGCCCAGCATTAAGTCCCCCGCCCGCCCGCGACAACCTACCCCGCAGCCATCAGCTCGCCCGTCCAGAGGCCACCAGACGCCCAGGAGAATGGACTGGACCGTCGACAAGATAGCCAGCGCCCTGGCCGACCTCTCCGAGGAGGTCGGCGAAGGCCATGCCCGGCTCGTCAACTTCGTGCTCGAAGAGGCCGACAAGATGGCGCGGCAGCCCAGGCATCTCAGCACGGTTGACACGTTTGCCAGCATGTCGTCGATTGCCATTGACACCAGCAATACGTTACCGCCGGACGTGGAGACCATGGCTGTTAAGTTTAAGGCGAGTCGCACCCGTGATGAGGATTGGTGTTTATCGCGGCTAAAGCTGACCCTTCGCAGCAACACAGCGGAGAGTATGGCAAGTCAAAAGGCAACGGGCGCCGGGCTGAATACCCCGTGACCTGCATCAAGCCAGACAGGGAGCCCGTACCGAAGTACAGATTCCACCACGTGGAGATCCGCAAGAACATCCTCGCTCCTAACTCGATGCTGAATTTTGTACCTCATCTCCGCGACGTCGACCCCAATTCGGAGGAGGAGCAAAAGTACGCTGCGTGGCTTAGGGATCTCGAGAACCTCGACAGCAAGTCCGGCTTCCAGATCCAGAACCGGACCCAGAAGATGGCCAAGAGGGCACAGAACGAATACGCAGCCACCCTCGCCCCATACCTGGAGCCGTGGCTTCGCAAACTGGCCATTGATGGCTGCACAAAATCCACCTTGATCCGCTACATGGCGAACCAGCCGCAGAACGAAGACGCCATCACTCCACAGCAAAAGTCCAACTTGCTCGACACGCACACCGAGAACATTGGCACGCCTCACGCCGCAAGGGGAGCGCAGCTATTTACAGAAGCCTTCGACCGCGTCTTCAACAACAACCGGAACCTGCGCCGCGTAGCCTTGCGCAATATCCTGATGCTCGACAGGTCCGTCGAGCCCATCCTGGACAACAAGCGAGCCAAGGACGGCCCCGGCTCCCAAAGACCTCGCGATGAAGCGCTCATGCAAAAGATTGTGGAGGCTCTGGGAAGCTACTCAACCCTAGGATGTCTGATCTGCTTCAGCCATGACTGCGAGCACGGCGAGATCGAGCGGGATAACCAGAAACGGTGCTTCTCGCTTGAAGAAATAGGAGGCCTCGCGCCAACCCTCAGGAGAAAGTGGGCAGCGCAGGTCGAGGCCCAGAAAGACGGCCTGCTGAACGGCACAGCCCGTAGGCCATCGCACCAGCCTTGCAGGAACCAGTGCTACCGGAGCTACAACACCGGCGATCCTCATCGAGATGTTGAGCCTTGGACTGAGAACGAGATAAGCGTGCTTGAGTGGGTATTCGCGACTATCGGCTACAGCCCGTCACTGAAAGCTCAGTGCTTTGTCGGTGCCGTGCTGGGCCGCTATTGCTGGGATGTCCACCGCAAGCTACAGGAGTTGGATTTGTCGCTGCCACCTGTTGAGCCATGCTCCGAGCCGCCCAAGCCCAAGGCGATACCCTGGTATGACCGCAAGAAGAAGCAGCTGTTGGGTGACTGGCAAGACGCGACCATCACGCACGAGCACGCAGTGCGCGAACTCTTTGCGCCATGCCATCATGACGGCCCTTGTACCGCGGCCAACGGGTGCCCTTGCGCTTCAGGAGGTTCTCACCCAGTGCTCTGCGAGCGCTTCTGTCTGTGCACGGCTGAGGAGTGTGCTCTCAAGTTCACCGGATGCGCCTGCCACTCCTCTGGGAAGACATGTCTCCAGCGGCAGAAGGAAGGGAAGCCATGCATCTGTGTGCAACTCAACCGGGAGTGCGACCCTGTGCTCTGCAGAGGGTGCGGTGCCAAGGAGAGGGCCGACCCGGACAACGCATACGACGAGCAACTGCATTCGACCGGGTGTCAGAACGTCGCCTTGCAGCGCGGAGCCCCCAAGGCGGTCCTGCTCGGCAAGTCGCAGCTTGAGGCATGTGGCTATGGCCTGTTCGCCGCCGAAGACATCGCCCAAGACGAATTCGTCATCGAATACACCGGCGAGCTTATCAGCCACGACGAGGGCGTACGACGCGAGAACCGTCGGGGCGACGTCTTTGACGAGCAGAATAAGGTCTCGTACTTGTTCACCTTGCTGGAACAGGAGGGCATCTGGGTTGATGCTGCCATGTACGGCAATCTCAGCCGGTACATCAATCACGCGTCCGACAGTTGCAACATCATGCCCCGAATTATGTACGTCAACCATGAGTTTCGCATCAAGTTCATCGCGCTCCGCGACATCAAAGCCGGAGAGGAGCTTTTCTTCAATTACGGCGACAATTTCCCCAACCTCACCAAAAAGCTCGTCGAGCGCAATAACGAGAAGGCGGGAGATAACAACAGTTCTGCTGGACAAAGGCGCAAGAGCAGCGGGCAGCGTCCCACTGCCCGCAAGACCACGTCCAAGGCGGAGGGCGAGGTCATCGATCACGGCCTCAGTGGACGCGACGATGACGACGACAACTGGCTCGGCGATATACCCGCGATAGATGACGACGACGTAGGCGACGAATGGGGCCACCCCACACAACGCCGCAAGAAGCGCGGCGGCAGACGACCAGGAGCAGGCCGCAAAAGGAAGTCGCACCAGCCGCCCGTCCCGGCGGATACCCGGGACGAGGTGAGCCCTGGGTCGCAACTACGCAACGAGAGCAGCGGCGTCCAAGGCGAGAGGACCAATTCTGACACGCCTAGCCGGCCCAATCGCCCTCATCGGTCCTCGATCAAGCCCTCTTATACAGCTTTGCTAAACCCGAAACAACAAGGCGTCGCTGGCTCCGGATCAGGTTCCAGTGCCCCGGCAGAGCCCATCAAAAAACCCTCTAAGCGAGGCGGTGCCCGACCCGGCGCAGGCCGGAAACCGAAGCATCGACCACACGCACAGGGGGCAATGCCGGGGCACCCAACCTCCTTGGCCCACCGCCCCAGCCAAGGCAGTATCAGCAGCCTCAACAATGACACGGATAAATCTACCCCAAAGAAGGGTGGTCAGACCGTCGTCACGGGGTCAACCCCAAAAGGGTCAACACCGAAGAGACCAGAGAGAGCCGCCACCACGACCATGTCCACGCCAAGACGCGAATCACACCGCAACAAGACTCCCGTGCGCTCGAGCGGCGGCGGCGGCGGCGGCACAGGAAGAAAGCGCCGACACACCGAGGTCGGGGCGGGAGATTCCCGGATCGACAGCCAGCGCAATAACACCTCGGGCCTGTACCGTCAAGACACCTTCCAGCCGATCGACGACTCGGCCTCAGCAGCCGGGAGTCGGGGAAGCAGAGGCAGCAGAGGCGGCAGCAGCCGGGGACATAGGGGAGGCTCGTTGGATGACGACGACGATGACGTGGTCGACCGGTCGGCTAGGAAGAGACAGAAGCCGTGGCGGTATCGGGACGAGGAGGAGTAGGCCTTCTGACTCGTCCGTCACTTGCGCACGGTGTGGCTGGGCTGTCGACGTTCGTCGGGCGGGTGGCGAGAGATTTATTCGAGGCTACCTCCAGCCTGTTAATGGCATCACAATTGTATTTGATAGAAGCTTTGGAGGATGGAAGGGCTTGGAATCTATTCGGCGTTACTCAATACCGATTTCAGAGGGCGCACGGTGCAAGGGTTACGGAAGTTCCTGAGCAATATGAGTATTATCCGATTCATTTGCTGCCTCTAGTCTTCTCCAGCCTTCTCCCTATTTGCCATCTAGTTAACTTCTTGATACATCCCAAAGCTCCATCCCAACTCCGCCAACCATCAGCTTGCCAGGGGCAATGAGCTCCAAATCCCCCGCGTCAGCCACCGAGCTGTATCGATTATCCACCAAAGCAACCCGGATCCCGCCCCCGACACTTCGCTCAACCCGCCAGAGCTTGACCCGCTGATCGTTGCTCACCGTGGCAACTTCTGTGACGCCAGACTCTTCCCCCCTCACCACGCTCAGCCCGGTGATGGCAGCCGCGTGCGCTTCCCGGACTCGGTACCGGCCCAAGACGACATACTCCTCCTTTGACTCGTCCCAGATGAGGTCCAGGAACCCCAGCGCGTTGTCATCGCCGCCTGTCGCGACAAACCACCTCCCGCCCGATCCCTTAGCTCCGGAGGACGGGGAGGGGGAGGGGAAGGACAGGTAAAGACTCTTGATGCTGCTCTGATGCAGCCGCACCACCAGCGCCAGCCGGAACTCACCTGGTTCTTGCCTTCCGTCGTCACGGCTCCGCCACACTGCCACGTGCCCGTCGGTAAACGCCGTCAGCACGTCCACCGTCCCTGACGCGGCATCGGTCGTGAGATGGCGGGCTTGTGTCGGGCAGGCGCCTGTGTATCGGCCCGTGGCTAGGAGCTTGAATACCCTTCCCCGCGAAGCAGAGCCGGAATCATGCGCCTGGTTCGCGCTGCTCTTCGTGGTGTCTGGGGAGTAGATATAGCTGCGCACGTTTGAATCCGAGAGGACCATGGTTATCACCATTCCCTCTTCATTTCCATCATCATTCCTATCATAGTTCTTCTCACTGTCCGAAGCGACATCTTGATCTCGATCTTGCTCTCGACGTGGACTCGGACTTTGACAACGAGACCAAGCAGCAACATCAAAGTCTACAATCCTCAGATCCCTGTCAGGTGACTGGTCGTCCCAGACCGCTTCCCGCACCACGGCCAGGGCGTCATAGACGGGCGAGTCGATGCGTGAGATGCGCCAGAGGAAGAGCTCTTCGCTGCCGGCGCTGCTGAGGAGGTAGGCAGGTCTCGTGCTGCTGCTGTTGGAGTTCAGGTTGCCGGGGTTGGGCGGGCGCGGAGCGGGCGAGAAGAAGCGCAGGGTTTGGATACCTGCCGAGTGGCCTTGAACTATGGCAAGGCAGTCCATTTTGGTGGTCAGGCTAGTGTTCTGGTTGGCTGCGGAGGCGGTATCCTCAGGGCGGTAAGGGTGCCGCCAGATTCGGATGGTCGTGTCCTCTGCAGCGGTGGCTACCAGGATCTCTCCCTCGTCTGCTGTTGAAGGGGTAGAGAAACCGATATCCGCCTCGGGCGATGTAATAGGGAGACGATAAGGTGGCGTGGAAGTGCAAAAGTAGGACGACGCTACGCTCTTGATCTCCCTCCCGTGACCGCCGGATCGCAACACTTTCTCGCCTTCCGCGGATTGTGAAACAACCCGCAAGTCGCCTGCTTTGGAGAAGACGAAGCGCATTCGGCCGGGGTTACTGAGAGAGCAGAGGGTGGCAAAGGGACGGTGGGCGCCGCCGCAGGGGATGGAAGACAGGATTGAGCGGGTCGAGTCGTTGTAGGTGAGGAAGTTGGGGCCGTGGAAGCCTTGGAGAATCAGTTCGCTCTTCTTGTGCGGTGTGGTACTTGTTGGGGCTGGGGAGGGAGTCGTGAAAAAGGCTCCTTCGAGTGTATTGAGCGGCGGCGAGATTTCGTGCTGCAGGGTGAAGCTCACGGACGCGGTGAGAGAGAGCGTATAGATGCGGTATTTGCCGTCGCGGCAGGTGGCGAGGAACGAGAACTGGCTGGCGGCAACTGGGATGGGTACGATGCAGGTAATGGCGTCTCTCGTCTTACAGTCCTTGCGGGAAACGGCAGGAACCAAGTCGCCTGTTTTGGCATCAACTGTGCAGGCCGTTAGGGAACCAGTTCGGGAGCCAAGGATGAGTGTGCCGTCGTAGAGAGCCGCTGCCGTGAGGATGCAGTGTTCCGGGAGTCTAATCTTGCGGGAATCGATAGTACATGTGTTGGTGGAGGGGTCGAATTGGAGGAGCAGGGCGTGGTCTAGGCCGAGGACGTTGATGATGACAGACCATGGTTGCTCAGTAAGAGCATGGCTCGGAGCGTTATCGAGCAGGATAATGTCGGATACCTTCGCGGGAAGGGTGGCTATTGCGCGGACCTCATCTTTCCGGACAAGGTAGACCTTTCCACTTGCGCTCCCCAACAAGACCGTGTCCCTCGCCGGGCTCTTGACCACGTTGTACGGCTTGAGATCGGCAATAATGGCTTCAGGGAGGGCGGCTTCCTGCCAGGAGAGAGTATCTCCCATGGTTGCCAGGAAGAGTCTGCCAGATGCTGTGGTTGCCATGACCGTGTCCGACAGGAAAGCGTAGCGCTGAAAGGCATGTTTTGTGTCCTTGGTTTCGGGCGCACGGGCGGGTTGCGGTACACTTCGCAAGACCTCATTCAAGGACAGGGTGAGGTCCAAGTCTTGGTAGTAGTCGGCACCCGAGCTGCCGCTGTGTCTGCCCGAGATGACAATCTTGCCATCTGCTCCTCCAGTCGCTACCAATGGTTCACTGTCCCCCCTGTCCAGCACAGCAACAGACCAGATGTTCTTACCGCTGTGGCAGGTACTCGCACCGCGATGCCTCAGACTCCCGGCCCTCCTTTCAGACAATGACCTCCCTCCACACCACCACTCCAAGTCCACATCCAGCTCCCATCTCTGCCTTGAACAGTCCTCCCCAAAGGAGAGCACCTCCACCTTCCCCAAAGCCCTCATCCACCTCCCGAACTTGACATGCCAAATTCTCGACACATGTCCCATAGCAACAGCTACGCACCGCGCCCCATCCTCCCGATTCGCCCTCCTGGTCTCCGAGTTCTCACTCCCACTGCCCCCAAACCCCGTCTCCCTGGCCTCGTCCAGATCCACCTTAACCATGCTCTCGCTCCCATCCGCCGCCAGTTTCCCCTCCCACTCGGTAATATCCCACACCCTCACAGTCCGATCATCACTACAGCTAACCAACAACCTGCCCCCTACCCCACGCCGCCCACCGATCCCCTCCACCTCAGGCGAGATACTCACCCCAAAGATGGAACCCTCGTGTCCCGTAAAGACGTACAGCAATTCCCATTGGCATCCTTCCCTGGCAGCCGCGCTGCCGGTGCCGAAACCGGGTTTGGTGAAGCCATCGACGTGGTACTTCCACACAATGATCTCGCCGAACACGGTGCCCCCGGCCACGAGCACTGTGTCGGGTGTCAGGAGAGCGAGGTTGGCGGAGTAAAGAATCGGGCGGGACGGGGAGGTCAGGGGGCCGAAGAGTAGGTGATGATGCTCTTTTGGGGCAGCCTTGGGAGGGAAGGAGAAGGGGAGGATCTCGTTGCGGGCTGTTACCAGGGCGCCGGTTGGATTGGAGAGTAGAGATGGGTTTGAGTCTGAGTCCGAGGGGAAGAGAATGCCGTCGTAGATCCAGTCGGGCGTTCTAGATTCTGTGGGTTGAGGGGTAGGTTGGCCGGCGATGAGGGAGGTGAGGGAGGAATGTGGGAGGAGGGCGACGGAGTGGCCGCCCCAGATGAGGATTCCGCTTGACCTTGAGGGGTGGGCCTTGGGCTGGGAAATGTGGATGCCGTGAATGGGCTGTGATGAAAAGATATTGAGTTGGCCGAGGAGCTGAGATGTCTCGACGTCGTAGACCTTGAGCCAGGTGTCTTCGCCAGCGAGGAGAAGCACTCGCTCGGGCCTGAGCTCGTAGAAGGCGAGGGCGGTTATGGGACTGATTGCGTACCTATGCTGCAGCCGCATAACGGCCAGGCTCTGAGAAGAGTTAGTGGGCATTTCTCTCACAATTAATTTAGGGGCAATGGTCGGGTTGAGTGAGTCAAAGTCTCGAGGCGATGTCTTGCTGGACGGGAAAATACCGTACCTCTGAAGCCATGTTCGTCAAACTGATCTCGTGCCCACAAGTCCTCAGCTTGTTTATCCGAGTGGTATACTGTAAGAAGTCAGGATCTCATCCTGACCACTCTTTCCTCATTCATGCCCTTGAGCTGTGAAATCTCTTGGCTCATGAATCCGCATTTTGCAACTTGGACTTGGTATATAAACCCTAACCCTGGAGATTCCATCTCTTTTGGAGACTTTTAAAAGGGAGAGATGCGGGACTTTTCGATGCTGATTTATTATTACCTAGGTAAGTAATGCTTTACATCTCGAAATCGTGGCTAGTTCTCCTGGCCCTGCCTACTGGTCTTCTCTTGGATCAGCCAGTCGGGGGAGATGCGGGTGACATAGTACGGGCGCTTACTCGGGTGCACACGAACCCCCATTCCATCTGAATACCCTCAACAGACCCTTCAGGATTTACCCCAACGGGCAGAGATCGGAATTAAGACACATTCAATTAACGAAACCCGAAAGCACGGAGGACGACGAGCAGTTCTCACAAGGTCAAGAGCCCGGACAAGGCCAAGTGAAGAATGTGTCATCATATTTCCACTCATCAAGAACCCAAGCAGGGTATCATTGCCAGATCCTCATCCATCGGCGTCTAGCTGCCGGCCATCAAGAGTCTTCCCAACCCAGAGTACCGATTCCGAAAAGTAAAAGAAATCCACCTAACGCCGACTAATGCAAATGATGATATGAAACGAAATATATGGCCATCAACATAATATGCACAGAGAGCAGAACCCAATCGCCCCTGCTTGCTGCGTCGAGCCACCACCCCATTGAATTTTCTTGTTTTGCAGCAAATCACCTTCTATCTACCCCTTATCCTAGACCCGCGCATGCGAATACGGCTCGTACGCGCCAGCATGCTGCACCGGCCCGTATGACTGCCGGGGGTACTGCTGGGCATAGGCGGCACCGGCACCGTGGTAGCCGTTGGGCTCGCTGAGGCGCTGGTAGCCGGGGCCCGAGGACGGGATGAGCTTCTCGCTGTCGGCATGGCGGCTGCGGCGGGACGAGTGGTCGGGCTTGCAGCAGCAGATAGTGAACATCCAGAAGAGGCCGGCGCCCCAGGCGAACGCGACGGCGAGCCAGACGGTGGCCAGGTAGCGCGAGTTGAGCTTTGCCTGGACGCCGTAGATCTCGGCCGAGGCCTTGACGGCGCCGACGACGACGGTAGCGGTGGCGGTGGCCAGGCCGGCGGCGCCGCTCGTCGCGACGGTCGCGACGGCCGAGATGAGCCAGGTGACGCACGAGAAGGCGCGGCTGCAGTTGGCGAAAAGGCCGAAGAAGAGCTCGATGCCCAACGCGACGTAGGCGATGACGAAGACAATCTGGGTCCACTTGGAGACGGTGCCAAAGGCCTTGAGCGCGTCGGTAATCTCCTTAGGCAGCTCCACGTTCAGGCCCGTCGACGTCAGCATGCTGTTGAAGTCGTTCGTCGTCGCGTCCAGCTCTTTGGCGGCCCAGTTGAAGGCCGGCTTGATGCAATCGCGCTTGCCATCTTGGGTCGTATAGCAGTAGTTCCAGACGTTGACGTCGTACAGGTCATAAAGGCCGAGGTCTTTAGCCATGATGTTGGTCGTCTGTGCCTGGCGCTTGCTGATGTCGATGTTGGAGACATCGATGTCGTTGAGGTTAGGAATGTCGATGCCGCTGCCATCGAGGATCTTGGAAACGGAGAGCGGCGAAATTTCGAGCTTGGTTACGTCGACCTGAAACATGTACAACCCCTTGTCGGCGATGCCAGACAGACCACCCACCAGCAGCGCAACCAGCGCTGCCAGTGTCAGCAAAAATGGCACCAAAACACACACAAATCGCCCGAAGTTGGCCATGGCGTGTGTACTGCTCTGAAAACGATTGTTGGTAGTGTTTTTGATGATGCGGGACTCGGAGTGACGTAAGTCGGTTAAAGGTCAAGAAAGATGTTTCAGCGAGAGGATACGGCGCTGAGGCGAGGTATTTGAGGAAAGATGTGCAGTACAACCCCAGAAATCAAGGAGGGGAATAATGACAAATTTACAATGAGGAGATGGGTTGGTTGTTTGGGAATGGGGCGGTTTGGGCTAGATAAATAAAACCCCAAGACCATCTGGCAGCCTGCCAGCACGTTTTCCATGTCCCCTGCGGCAAGGCTGTGTTCTCGGCCGGTAGGTGGCACAGTTTTCAACACCCTGCAGATGAAAGCTAGACCCACTTCCCGGTGCCTAGCAAAACAGGACATGATTAGAGAGGATGCCGATCCCGGTACAGGGCCTCTCCAAAAGCCAAGCAATTCCCGGCCCATCCAATCTTAGCTTGACATTGTGGCCCAGCACAACGGAACACCTGCCTCAAAAAGCCCATTTCGAGGCGATAACAATACTAGCATCGATGGGAAGCTTCAACTCAAAATGGGAAAATGTTTCCCAAAGTGATCTCGAGCCACTTCGCGCGACGTTGGAAACTGCAGATCGACAGCAGGAACACGGCTGCCTTGGTAGGCCCCTTTCCATGTGCATCTCATAACAGTAAGAACCCTCTCCGCTTCTCATCAGCACACGTTGTTGCCCTGGTTCACGGAGGCTCGTCTTCCCGCAGTCAGCCCAACAACCCAGCGGTGTTATTAGTGCATGGCCAGAAATGGCAAGCACCACGAAATTTCCCCTCACATACTCCATACGGATAGTTAGTCTTTCAAATCTTGTGTACAAGTTTGGTGATTGGCATCTTCTACTAAAGGAGGTTATAAACTTGCCGAAGTAAATTAACAGACCAGCTGAGAACCTCCGTTTACTTGTATGATTCGAGACTTGAGTCGGGTTACTTATTTTCGTACAAGTACGTTCTGCAACGATGCCCTGTGTTCAAATATCTCGCACTCCACAGATGGATTGGACAAGCTCAGCTGCAGCCACATCATGAGCAACATCGACGCATCTCACACATCATGGACGGAGTAGTATCCCCGTCACCAGCACCGGAAAGTTGTGGAGTCCTACCAACACAGTATGAGCGCCTGGCGGGTTCGGGAATGTGACCGGCGAGCCTTGCGAGCCTCACACTTCTTGGTGCTCCAGACAGAGTTTGCCATGGCGGGGACATGATCCTGTTTCCGTGTCGAGCTGACGCCAGCGCCCAAGGCTGAGCCTGAACACAGCTCGCTTGTGACTTGACCTGTGGACAATTGGCAGCCGTCAGGACAACGCAAATCCCCGCATTCTTTCCATGCAACCCATCCAGGTTCTGTACTTCGCGAGAATCTCTCTGCTAAACCGCTTTGTCCTTGCTAACCACAGCACAATTTTGTTTTCACCGCAAACCCAGTTTATCAGGTCCAACGGACTTGCGTGATGAGCTTTGAGTTGGTAACTTGCCGTGTGGCTTGCGAGGGTGGGTCGTATGGCGTCTGGCTGTGTCGTGCGGTGGCTGGGTTGCCGGTGTCCCACTAACTATCCGTAAGAGGCAGGGCAGAATTCTAAATTTGGAACAGGAGCTCTGGGGCAAGGCCAAGCGGTGAGACGAGTTACCCAGCGTTCAGAAATCCCGACGCCGATCCGATGAGGCCCAGCCTCGCCGCTTGCTCCGGCCTCGGCCCGGCCACCGATGTTGATGGGGTCGCTCCTTCTGGGCCGGTCGACGGCCGTGTCCTCTTCCCAAACGACAGTCGAAACAACCGAAACAACGGCAGCTCTTGGTTGCGAAAAATACCGAAACAAAAGTCAGAGCAGGAAGGCGGCAAGTCCACACTCACAAACGAGGTATATCCGTACATTTACTCAATCTATGGTGTCCGGGTGCAAACCCGAAGCAGTTATCCCGAATGCGTTGAGCGACCGTTCGCTGCCGAGCCGAAGATAGAAACGAGGTATGGACTACCGGAGGCCGGCTCGATGACCTGTCGGCCACCCCCACCTTTCTCCCTTCCCGGCGTCTTGCAGATGCACATTTATGCAGCGCCGGAAGCGAGATCGCCGCTTGGGGATGGCAGGTCGAATCATGAGTCCTCGTGGAGAAAACTCTTCCTCGTCGAGTGATCTGAATGCCATGTATTCGATTGTACACACCGCTTCCAAGAGTCACAGAGGGTCAGCTGAGTGCGCCGCACAGAAGACAACCAGGGTAACAATACAGCCAACAACGGCCCTGGCTTCTATCTCAGGTAGGTCGAATCCCAGAGCAGAGAGTCTTCGGCTGCGGGAGGGCTACCTTAGCATTGCACATCCTCCCCAGCAGCCTCCTGGACCGCCCTGGCGCCGTCCAGCTTTGTCTTCGAGAATGTCCCGACTATCATGAGATTGTGCTGTTGTATCCGTATACTGGAAGCTCTTTGTTATATCAGACTGTTTGCCTTTACATACCTGTTGTGAGTTCGAGCTCAAGCCGCACCTCTGGCACCCCGCAATCTGATCCGGAGTGCTGGGGATACCGAGTCCCGGGTAGCTGTAGCCTGGCCAATGTTCATGGCAGGACCAAGACGGCCTCTGTCTCACTTGGGCCGCAGCCAAGCCATTCTGAAGCCCACAGTGATTGAGTTTCCTGTCCGGGATGTTTCACCCAAAAAGATGACTTCGATATCGCATTGAGGAGGCCTGGAGCTATGACCCTGCTATCTGCTTGCCGTTGATCCATGCATGGACCGCTCTGGACGCCAGCAGCTTCACGAAGGTGCAATGACACCCGACAGTGAGGTGCGGGGGGCTAGCCAAGAGAGCAGCCACATGGGAAGCTCAAAAGTGAAAAGCACCCGGACTACAGCCCCACTCGGACAGGGCATGAGGCACGTGGCGTTCACTTTGCCATTTGTTCGTGGAATTCATTCCTGCTAGTTAACGTTATGAACCTAACATCTCACCTGTCAAAGCCGCATGGCACATTCCGTCTTCAGCATTGCATCTGTCTGAGTAGAACATCAACTTCACAGGCAGGAACCATCCGCGTATTGTCGAATTTGTCGTTACAGTACAAGCTGGCCGTCATCCCCAATTGAACCAGCTGTCTCCACTACCTTATCTGGAACCACTGTTCAGTTAGCTTGAGCGTATGGAATACCACTGAAAGCGCCCCGCCAATCTCTGCTCATCCCACTCCCACAGCCGCGTCGTCATCGCCAGCCTTTTCCCCAGACCCGCCGCAAAGGTTGCTGACCCGGTGACGATCTTCAATCGACTCACCTGTCCAACCCATCACCTAGTAACCTTAACTGGTCCCTTGTATCACCCTAGATTCGCCTGGATTTCTGGGTCATCACGATTTCCTTTTCCCGTCGATGCGCAACACCTACGTCGGCGCTTCCATTTCGTCTTGAACCACCAACCGGTATCGCCTGTCGTGGCGATCGACCCTGGTGGCAATCCTCCAACTGCGGCGCGCGCGCATTGGTTTAACAGGCATCCGACCTTTAACCCTTCTCCTCGACAATTTGTACTCGGTTTTCCCCCTTCTCGACCCTGTCGTCTTCCAACCTCAATCGCGGCAGCCCAGCCAGACAAGGTCGGCTATTTCCTGACAAGGCATCTTGCACCAGCACCCGCCTCCTTCAGCCTTGGCGGTACCTTTCTTGGTCAATCCCGCCCTCTTATCGGTCGACCGAGTAGGTTTTTTTCCCCGAACTTCGTCTCTCGTGCATCCCCACATTTCATACCTAAGTTTCGCTCTCTCCTCGCTATCGTTTATTTGCTTTTCTCGGGTTTTGCTGTTCGGTTGTGCTCGCTGTTGCTGTTTTGTCTGCGGATTGAGCTACCTGAGGCTGACATCATCTTACCTTCAGGGGGGAGTTAGCCACGCCGGCCTTGAATAACCCCGACTCGACTCATTCCACCGAACCTTTGCCCGCCCGTTAATTCCGACATTCCGGCAAACTACCACGGTGGTCCGACATTCACGCCCTCTTCCGATAACCTAAACTTTCCCCGCGCAAGTTCTCAAGTCTTCAAAAACGGAACACTCACTGTGCCGTTGGTCCTCCGCCTCCATCAGCCTGCTCTTCCACCTTGAGCGCTTCTACCACCCTCCCTAGCACCTTTGGGACACGCCAGATAGACAATCGCTTCTAGACGGGTGCAGCGGTAGGCTGTGTGGGTATTCAAAGGCAACCCTGCCGGTACCACAACCTGACACGCGCACGCCGTCCAGCCCCTTGGACTTCTCCGTACCAGAGTTCCACTCTCTCTGACATCGAGAAACCATGGGCAACCAAAGCTCCAAAGATGCCGGCGCGGCGTCTTCCAAGCCTGCAGGCAGCCATGACGATGTCCTGCAGTCATACCCCTCCTTCAGCAGGTCCGACACGAGGGACTCGTCCCGCTCCTTCCGCTCGCTCCGCTCCAAGATACCTGGCTCGGGCAAGACGGACAGCCCCCGGAGCTCGGCCATGCTGTCCAACGGCGATGCGCCTGAGAGATCGGATGCCGCTTCGGTCAAATCTGGGAGGAGCGGGAAGCAGCCCCAAAGCCGGGTCAATCGTTCCGACTCGCTCCCGTCGCCAAGTTCCCCTTCGTCGGCCGAAATAGGTTCTCCGCTTGCCGACCCTCCGCCGTCACCCATTCAGTCAGTGTCTATGAGGGCGGGGATTCATGACGTTTCGGCCGCCCAAGCAAGTGGCGAAGTAGACCACGTCTCAGACCAGCCTCCCTCCGGCGCCGCCAATGCCAGCACTATCGCCCAGCAGCCAGGTCAGAGCATCCTTGTCAAGCGTGAAGATACGCCGATTCCTGTCTACGGCACAGGCACTCTTATGCAGGAACCCGTCAAAGAAGAGTCCCCCTCGGGCATTGCAATGAGCGACATCAAGGACATTGACCTCGATGACTTCATCAAGCGCCTGCTGGATGCCGCCTATGCCGGCAAAGTCACCAAGAGCGTCTGCCTCAAGAACGCAGAAATCGCGGCGATTTGCCACCGTGCCCGAGAAGTCTTCCTCTCCCAGCCAGCTCTCCTCGAATTGGATGCTCCCGTCAAGATCGTCGGCGATGTCCACGGCCAGTACACGGACCTCATCCGCATGTTTGAGATGTGCGGCTTCCCGCCCAAGTCAAACTACCTATTCCTCGGTGACTACGTAGACCGCGGAAAGCAGTCTCTCGAGACTATCCTCCTGCTGCTGTGCTACAAGCTCAAATATCCCGAGAACTTTTTCCTGCTGCGTGGCAACCACGAGTGCGCCAACGTCACGCGTGTCTATGGTTTTTACGACGAATGCAAGCGGAGGTGCAATGTGAAGATCTGGAAGACCTTCATTGACACGTTCAACACGCTCCCCATAGCTGCCATCGTGGCTGCCAAGATATTCTGCGTCCACGGGGGCTTATCGCCGGCTCTCAGCCATATGGACGACATTCGGAACATTGCCCGCCCGACAGACGTCCCTGACTACGGCCTCCTGAACGACCTTCTGTGGTCCGATCCCGCTGACATGGAACAGGACTGGGAGGCCAATGAACGGGGAGTTAGTTACTGCTTTGGAAAGAAAGTCATTACCGACTTCCTCGCATCCAATGACTTTGACCTGGTCTGCCGAGCCCACATGGTGGTCGAGGATGGTTACGAGTTCTTCACTGACCGAGTTCTGGTCACGGTTTTCAGTGCGCCCAACGTGAGTCTCAACTGGGCAGATCGCACATGTTGAAGACACCGGCTGACGACTTTTTAGTACTGCGGGGAGTTTGACAACTGGGGTGCTGTCATGTCAGTTTCGACCGAGCTCCTATGCAGCTTTGAGCTGCTCAAGCCTCTGGACTCGAATGCGCTCAAGAACCACATCAAGAAAGGCAGGAACAAGCGGAACCAGATGCTCAACAGCCCGGTATGTGCCGTCCAATCTCGGGAATTTCCCTCGAGAGTTAACTAACACTTCTGCAGCCCGCGGGCCTGTATCCTCAGAGCGTTTGATCGCGTGCAACGCAACGGAGCAGCAGGCGCTACGGTACCTAGCATCGATGCCGGGTCACGGGTCACGGCGTACCTATTACACCAAACGAAACTTACCCGGCCGAGTCGCGAGCTTCGCCTGGGGAGGAACAGTGCTACATGATAGCAGACGGGCGGATGAACGGGTCAGAGACAAGAGAATACCCACGGACCATACAGGGTTTCTTCGGACGCCGGGAAGTGAGTACTTCATACAATCATGGCCAGAACTGGCGAAGGGAATACGGAAAAGGTTGGACGCCAATACTACGCATGGCGTCAACTCTAATTACTGGAGATTGCACGATAGGGAGCTATGACATTCGGACGAGGACTGCATTGGCCACTGCGACCTGAATTTCTGAAGATCCATCTGGACATTTCTCGCGTTTGCGGCTGCTCCACGGCGGACACACATTGCATTTACCTGGAGGGGTGGGGCCACACCGGTCAGTCTCCGGCCGGCAGTTCGAGATTCTCGAATGGTGGTCCCTGGGAAAGGGACTGTACAGCAGCCGGGCCTAATGGAGCATAGACGGGCTGAAACTGACGCGAGGAATTGGGCTGAGGTGAATAACAAAACAACTTGGGCAGCGCATATATATGGGATCCGCGTTCTGCTTGAATGGGAAAGCCAGCAAAAGCATCTCTTGTTCTGGGCTTCTTTGTTTTCGGAATCCTCCTCGCCCTTTCGCAACCCTTCGTTGCCTTTTACTTTGCTCTCGACCCTAATACATCTGGGCTCTTCTCACGGCTTTGTAAGTAGGGGAATTGTTTGTGCCATTATGGCCTGATGGCGTCTGCAGCGGAGAGACAGTTGGTAGCCCACGCTAATATATGAGGAATGTCTTTTTGAACTGCTTATTTGTTTCGTCAGTTCCTAGTTGGGTTGATTTGTCCTGTAAGATACCAGGATCTGTCATCAACGCCGCAACCAAACAGATCACAGTAGGTAGGAATAACAGTTTGATCAAGAGGGTAACACAAGTCACTGTTACATAGGGATCAGGGACTATTCTATCTCGCCTCGACAGCAGCAACACCTCGCCTCCCGCCGGACCCGCCCTCTTCTTCTTTCCTGCTCCTATCCACCCTCCGCAGGATATAGATCCGATCCACCATCCGCGGACCGATCCACCACCCGCCCGTCAGGGCCCGCACCCGTCTCCGCCACGCGCCGACTGTCCTGCCCAGACCAACAATCGGCGGCCCCATTTGGTCGTTTTCCTCGTCATGATCTGTCTCGTGTGTGTCGTAGCTACCGGGCTTGACAAGCTCGATCCCGGCGTAGGCTTGCACAACGCCCACCTTCTCCCATTGCCCGCCCGTGGGCTTTGCCGGGTCCTCAAGGAGGAGGTAGGTGAATTGGGTCCAGAAGGAGGGTAGCGCGAGGAGGGACGGGGATTCCGTTTTGTCGAGGGCAAGGATTGGGCGTGGCTGAGCGCGGTGGTGGCTGCTGGGAGAGGTGTGCATATGGCTGAATTTGACGGTCCCGGTTGTTGTGTCGCTACCATTTTCGGCGCTACCTAGGTTCAAGCCGGTACGGCGAATCGAGAGAGCGGCATCGGCTGCGGAGGAGATGGTCGAGGCGGTCGAGGTGCCGAACAGTGTGACGCCTGTCATGCAGGATAGCACGTCGGCGTGAACCGGGACGATATCATAGCCTTGGGAAGAAGAGAGGATGATGGTGCGTAGGTGGGCCAATGCTTCGCCGCCCGGGTAGTTGAGGGCGCTTAGTGTTAGCATGCCGGTGCTCGCTGCCAGGGAGCTGATGACCGAGAGGGTGATGACTGCGGTAAGGAGGGGGAAGAGCGGGGACTTCTGCCACCGCTGGCGGCTCGAGATGAAGTTGGCGGAGAGGGCGGCGGCAGCGGTAAGGGGAGGGACGACGTAAAAGATAAAACGGGTCTCTTTGTGCGGTTGGAGGGAGTAGATTGCAATGAAAAGCACGGTGGGGATGACGAGGCGGGATGCGCCGCGGCGGAGGGCAGGGTGGTAGAGGGAGAGCGGGATGAGGAGGGTGTAGCTGAAGGGGTTGAGCAGCAGGCGTGGTATGGCAGACGAGAAATAGTAGTGCCAGGAGGAGACGCCCCAATTAGAGGACGACCCTTGAATGACGTTGTAGTAGAAGCCCCAGAGCTCAGGCCAAAGCGGGCGTTGCCAAAAGTAGCTGTCGATCGTGACGGAGGTCGCCAGGGCGATGAGAAAGGATGCATTGAAGGGGAAGATGACGCGCTCGAGAGAGAGAGAGGGCATGACGAGTTGGTGGAGGATGGTGGTGACAAGGAGGAGGGCGACTTCGGAGCGGAAAACGACGGCGGCGAAGACGAACATGGTTATGGAGAGGCGCTGGCGGTGGGCGGTAGATTTGGGTCCGCTTGGGTGCGGTAGTAGGAAGGAGAAGGCGAGAGTTGCTGCTGATGTTAGTGAAGTGAGTACCTCGAGGAGGGGGGGGACATACTCAGTCCAAAAGCAAACATGTTTGGCAGCGTCCGGGAGGCGTAGAAGATGATGTGGAACTGGCTCGCTTGAAGGAGCAGATACCATCTTGCTGTGCCCGCGCCATATGCCCTCCTCAGACTCCAGGCAAAGATGAGCAGACAGGCTGCATTGAACAGTCCCAGGATGGCCCTGACGACGAACTGGGCATGTTGGAACCCAACGAGGCCAACAATCGGCTGGGCGAGCCCGGCCAGCAGCACTGGGCCTATGAATGTCCGGGGAACTGCACCCGGAAAAGTGAAGTGATCATAAGTGGTCGACAGCTTATGGTAGATGTCTGAGGTCGGTGTCCCATAGACGAGCACGTCGTGGGCTGCTTGAATGTTGAAGGACTCCTCGACTTTGGTGTAAGGGGCGACGATGAGGTGGACCAGGATGGTCCCGGGAATCAAGATGTGAAGGAGCGCATCTGAGACGCTGTCAATGATGAAATCAAAACGAGAGTGATATGGAGGGTGAAGCTCACCCAATATCCGTAGTTGTGTTGCTAATGCTCCGTTGTTGCTAATGTCGTGCCTCGAACTTCCGCGCTGACTATCCGTGGCTGGTTTGGCGCCGGGCTCCGTTTTTTGTTGAGCCGCCATGTAATTGATTTACAAAAGACTCGCCATAAAATGAATGGCCTTTCGAAGGTAAGTTATATCGAGACTTGGTGTCAATGTTGCAACGTTGTTCGCTCCAAGTCACATGGAATCTGGGGTCCGAGTCAGTGGAGGATTGATGATGTCCCTTGATGAGCAGGGTCCACAAAGGCGTCCAGAACCTTGTCCGCTGGCCCTGGCGTGCACGAGCCTCTAGCCCCGCCATTTCCCATGCAAGCTGCGACCCCGCGACGCCGAACATAACTGAAGATCGAACCCAAGACAGCGTCCCAAGCCGAACTTGAGCAGTCACCTCACAGCCAGCGAAGATGGCGACCGCAGACCCATTCGACTCGGCACTGTAAGTTTTGGTTTTCCACCCTACTGTTATGGCCCCGGGGAATTGACACCACGCTCCTTTCAGCGACCTCCTGCGACGACTCAACCCAAAACATACCTCGGAGCACCTCAACAACATCATCGCGATCGCGCCCGACCTGACCGAAGACCTACTCTCGTCGGTCGACCAGCCGCTGACGGTGCGCCGCTGCAAACAGACGGGGCGCGACTACCTGCTATGCGACTACAACCGCGACGGCGACAGCTACCGTTCGCCCTGGAGCAACCAGTTTGACCCGCCGCTGGACGAGGCCGGCGGCTTGGGTGGTGTCGGCGCTGGTGGCAGTAACGAGGGCGCGGGCGAGGGCGCGGTCCCCGGGGAGCGCGTGCGCAAGATGGAGATCAAGGCCAACGAGGCGTTTGATGTCTACCGGGACCTGTACTATGAGGGCGGTGTGTCGTCGGTGTACTTGTGGAATCTGGACGATGGGTTTGCTGGAGTGGTGTTGCTGAAGAAGGGTGAGTGAACAAGCACACACACACACATCGTGGGGATTGCCTCCCAAGCTGATCGACCGCCTTCTTTTGCTAGCCTCGCCGCAAAACGACGGCGCATCATCAGGCGTGTGGGACTCAATCCACGTCTTCGAAGCCAGCGAGCGCGGCCGCACGTCCAACTACCGCCTCACGTCGACCGTGATCCTCTCGCTGGCCACCAAGGGCGCCTCGCTGGGCGAGGTCGACCTGAGCGGGAACATGACGCGCCAGGTCGAGCAGGACCTGCCGGTCGAGAACGACGAGAGCCACATTGCCAACATTGGCCGCCTCGTCGAGGACATGGAGCTCAAGATGCGCAACCTGCTACAGGAGGTCTACTTTGGCAAGGCCAAGGACGTCGTCGGGGATCTGCGCAGTATCGGGAGCCTGAGCGAGGGCCAGCGCGACCGCGAGACACAGCGCGAGTTGATTGGGAGTATGCGGAGATGATGACCGTGGATGAGATACCTATGAATTATGAATGCCCAACCCTGTGCCTTGCTTCACGGTTTATGTTATCCGTCGATCGTGTCAGCGAGCCTGGCTCGGAGGCCGCTTGTTCCTCCACCTGAAACGGCACCGCTCATTGCGAAGTGACCTAGGCGCCCTCGGCACCGTGCCCTCCGGAATGTAGGTACCCAGTGGGCCCGTTTCAAGGATGCACATCATCGCTCTCCCTGTGTATTTTCCAGCCGCATGAAGATCTGGATCATCTTGGGAGCTGCAGGATTGCACCTCAGCATTTCAACCCTCGCTTCGGGAAATAGATCGTTTGCTGGCCTGTGCCGCCTGTCACCTTTGAGGGCGGCCGAACCGGGATACCTCACAATGAGCTGTTCGCGAGACATTCATTACATACACTTTCTGACTCCTGAGGCGTTTGGTAAAAGATGAAATGATGTTCAGTGAGTGAGTTACCTCTGCAAACATCGGAATGTGATTGCTTCTTTCGAGTGCCGATCGTGACCTCTGCTGGCTATTATTTGCCACCGGGCTCGACTTGGTTTTCGTTTCCGCTTCACATCCTGCACGTAAAAGGGGCTTGAGTTCTTGGTGGTGTCTTCAGACGTTTCTGTGTTGAGGACCGTGGTGGTGTGGATGCAAAAACTCGGACATATTATGTCTACGGGTATTCCGTCGGTACTTGTACATGTACAATCTGTACAGACAATTCATGGTCATGGAATCGGTATAGGAGCGAAAGCGGGTTTGTTCCAATCAGGAAACGTTCTAGAAAAACTTCGATGGTCTGCTCCCCGGGGCCCGAGATTGGCGAGCTTGATGGGTTCTTGGCGGCCGTTATGAGCCTTCATGCTGTGCAAACAACCCTTTCTTGACCATCTGGAAGGGCCAATATTGGTGGGCGACAGCTCAGACTGGCGGCAACCTGGGAGCTCAATCTGGAGTGTGAGTTCCAATCAGCTCGGACAATTATTGAGGCCGCAAACAGAGACAAAGACCGGTGACAAATCGAGCCCTGGTGTTGAGGGATCTCCTCACGGGTTGAACAGGGGTGCAATTGACGACTCAAAACAAGCAAACGCACGGCACAACGCATCACAGACCTCGCTTGTGCAGCTGGGTCCGGATTTGGGACAACTTACGGAGTGAGATCTCTTGCACACCGAGACGCAGCCTTGTCGTGTGACTCGTGTCATGTCAGGGCGGTGAGTGTCTCTCTGTTAATGACCTCCTTCGGTTGGCTCAATGCTAGGATAGTTAAGGTAGGTAATGTGTGGGCCAGGGTCGGCGTCGGCTGTGGAATCTCGTCCCGACGCCATGTTTCGCGTCCACGCCATATCGACATGTCTCACCTGCAATGCCGTCCCCCTTGATTGAAGTTTCTTCCAAAATAGTGTTGGGTGTTCGCCCCGGCAGCCCTTATTGGTCCCCCTAGTATAGACGACGAGGAGCTGTCAGGAAGTCGAACTGGGCCATTGGATGTCTCCACTGGATTTGGAACTGGAAGCTGGGCCGTGCGACCGAGAGGAGCCAGAACATGACCAGTTCAGACGAACCTGGTTCCTGAGAGAAAGCATGACACAGGTCGGACGGGATACAAGAAATGGCAGGCAGACCATGTCCGGACGAGATATCGGTTCGATTGGGCAAAGGACACCTGCCAGGGCGAAATGTAGTGCCCGCAGACCCTGGGTCTCGAGACAGATTGCGAACATGTTGTTGAACACACTGAACATTGAAGTCGATCAAAGAACGTATGGGAGGCTTTTGACAGGCAAGCTCCACTTAGGTGCAGGCGCTGTCAGCGGCAAGTTGCAGTCGGTGGGCAGCACTGCAAACCGCCTGCAGTCTGTACCGTGCAGCTGCATTCCAAGGTTGACTTCCACGTTATAAGATTTCGATCAAAAAACTTAAGCCTCCACTACACTTACCTCGTAGTTATTTTCAACTTGAGGCGACTCCCATTCCAGTTGTTCGGTTCTGGTGATCCTTGCGGAGGAGCGTCTCCAGCTTTTCTGGGACATCCCGTCCCCCCCGTTCCTGGTTTGCTCCCCTGTTCGTTCCTTGCCGAGCTTCTCGAAGCCTGCCGAAGTCCCGCCCACCGCCTCCCTTGGCCTCCATCCCTTTTGTCAGTTATCATTTTTATTCGAAACATAAACCGGCGAGCTGAACCACAACCCCGCCCCGGAACAGAGTGGCCCTTTTGGAGAGAATTGCTGAGTCAATCGCACCCATTGACTGGCACTTTCGCGTGCAACGGCCGCTGCTCAAGACAACTGAGGTGTTTCAGAAGGACGACACCGACTCTCGACGTGCGACCCCGCGCCGGCCTCGTGAGATCTAGCCCCATCTTCTCTCTTCGGACCGGTCGCCGGCCTCACCACCACCGCGCGCCTATCTACGCCACGAGCAGAGAGCACGATGGCGGAGAAGCCGTCGGTGTTGATTATCGGCGGTCTCGGCTACATTGGCCGTTTCCTGGCCCTCCACATACACCAGAACAAGCTCGCCTCCGAGGTGCGCATCGTCGATAAGGTCCTCCCGCAGCTGGCATGGCTGCCCCCCGAGTTTGAGGAGGCGTGTGCCGGCCCCAAGTTTGTGCAGGCCGATGCGAGCAGAGAACGTGCGTTTTTTCATTATCAAGCGTGATCAACCGTTCCCTCAAATCTCTGTCACACCTCCCCCCTCATCCCCGCTAACCTCTCACCTTCCCCGCAGAATCGCTCCCCAGGATATTCGACAGGGCCGACGGGAAACAGTGGGACTACGTCTTCAACTGCGGCGGCGAGACGCGCTACTCGCAAGAGGATGAGGTGTATAAGCTGCGGTCGCTCAACCTCTCGCTCAACGTGGGCAGGGAAGCAGCCAAGCGGGGTGTCAAATGTTTTGTCGAACTGAGCACGGGCATGGTCTACAAGTCGGACTCGGCGCCGAGCAAGGAAAACGACAAGCTCAAGCCGTGGAGCAAAATTGCCGTGTTCAAACTGCAGGCGGAGGAGGAGCTGGCAAAGATAGACGGGTATGTTTTCTCCATCTTCATAACTAGAGGCTGCAAAGGGGGAGAATATGCCGGTATACTGACGGGATTTCCAGACTAAATCTCGCCATCGTCCGGCTCCCTCATGTCTACGGCCCGTACGCGTCGCAATGGGTGGCGACGGCGCTCTGCATGGCGCGCGTGTACAAGGCGCTCGAGTCCGAGATGAAGTGGTTGTGGACCAAGGATCTGCGGACCAACACGGCGCACATCCATGACGTGGTGCGGGCGCTGTGGGCCGTCGCGGGCTGGTACGCCGGCGGCGGCAAGGACACGTGGGACGCCAAGGCCATGGGCAGCGCCGTGCCAATCTTCAACGTGGTCGACAAGGGCGTCACGACCCAGGGCGTCATGGCCGACATCATCGGTCAGGTGTTTGGCATCGAGACGGGCTTTCAGGGGCAGCTCATTAGCACTTTCGCCAAGCTCAACCTGGACAGCGTCGTCGACGACGTCAATGACGAATTGCTGGGTCCATGGGCCGACCTGCTTGCGGAGGCTGGCATCACGCGGCCGGGCCCGCTGACGCCGTTCATGGAGAGGGAGCTGCTTAAGGATACCGACCTCAGCATGGACGGGTCGAGGTTAGAAGAGGTGGTTGGCTTCACGTACGAGAAGCCGAAGATCTCTAAGGAGCTCGTCGAGGAGGTGATAGAGAGCTACAAGAGGATGAACTGGTGGCCTTGAAAGGCGGTTCAATGGGTGGTGATGGCGATGGGTATATGTGTCTTGGGACTGGACATGGGTACGCGACCAAGTCGAGATGGACGGGATGCTCAGAGAAGTAAGTTACCGGTGGGTTTGTAACAGGACTAATGTGGACAGGTCCGCTGAGGGGAAACTGGGGTGTAATACTAGGATATCCTCTTTCAACTAATAATACCAGGCGAAGCGCTTCAAACAACACAACCCGGCTCGACACTGCAGCCCCAGACCACATTAACGCGCGGCTTTCATGTGACCCCGAAAAGAGCTGAAGTGAAATCTGGGAGCCAAAACCGAGGTCCGATAGCTTGAGTATCAATTGCTTCGAATTTGTCCGCTACAAAGCGGTGCACTAAACTGAGCTTCTTATGTCCCCGACCCCTTTGGAGTTTCGAAACTTCAAATCACATGAAAACCTCGGAGAGCGGGCGCCTTGTCATTCTACCCCGCACTAAAGTACTTGGTGCCCAAGGACGGGAACAATCTCGCAAGATCGCCGACTGGGCAGGGGATCTTCTTGATTGTGCAGTGAAGCAGTTTTTCGAGCAATGCCAGTGTGTAGTGTTGCAATGATTCCAGTGTTGACTGCAGATTTTCACATGTGTCGAATCGTGTAAGGGGCAACAGTCGTGGAACGAGCGGGAAGACGCTGCGGAACGATCCCAACCAAGAGGGGCGGGTTCAAGCCAGCTGCGTCATGCTCTCCCAAAGCTGGGGTCTCCGCAGCTTGGAAACGGAGGCCGTCCGAACTGCAGCCTTCCGTTGGCAGGCTAGTCCAGGGCGATGACATCCCGCGGTCGCATGCCTCGGCCGCTAGCCTGCTCGACTCCTTTCCTCCTACCAATCTTGTGACAGTTGTTCTTACCCCGCCAGGAAAGTTGAGGACGGCGTGTTAATTTAAGATCCAGCAGGGACCTACCTGAACGTTGGGCCTCGGTTTCCTTTCCCCGGTTTGTCTCCGTCTGGTGTCTCGCCTCGATCGACTCTTTCGATCTGTAATCTTCTCTACTTCGTGCAACAAACACTCCTCTAGAAACTCGGAAACATCAAGCCACAGAATAACTGCCCACCATGGCTGCTCCCACAAACAAGACCATCGGCGACCTCAACGGCAAGTGGGTCATGGTATGTTCACCGCAACCAAACGCATGTGACATTTTAGACGGGCCCGACCCTGTCGCTGACACGTAACCCGCGCCAAAATAGAACAAAACCCAATCCTCCAACATCGAGCCTGGCCTCGCGCTGCAGAACATCGGCTGGGTGACGCGCAAGATGGTGTCCATGGCGACGGTGACGCTGCACGTCAAGCAGTACGTCGGCCCGCCATCCCCGCCGTCGGACCCGGTTGGCCCCGAAGTGACACACGTCGAGATAGAGCAGACGGGCACGGGCGGCATGAAGGGGTCGACGGAGAAGCGGTGCCTGGACTACGCCTTCCGCGAGCACAGCGACTGGCTCTTCGGGCACGTCAAGGGCCAGAGCAAGTGGCTCGCCGCCGACGAGATCACGGACGAGTTTCTGAAGGGCGGGTGGCTCGAGGGCGACGCCGAGAAGGGCGGCCCCAACGGCGAGACGCACCTCCTTAGCTACGTTGAGAGTCTTGACAGCGACTGGACGGCGACGCAGGTTTGGGGGTTCAAGATCATTGACGGCGAGCGCAAGTATGTGCGGAACGTGGTGATCGCCAAGGGTGAGGAGCGGGTTGAGCTGCAATTGGTGTATGACTGGGTCAGTGAGTGATCGGAGTTGCTAGGGGTGCTTCATTTTGAGTTTATGAGACGGGTTGTATCGTATTTATTGGGGGGACAGCGGTCATTGGCGCCGTATAAGCATGGTTTTTGGCCAGAGTCTTGGTTCTGTTGCAACCCGCATCCGTGGTAGAAGCGGTTCTGCAGGAGTAGCAACCAAGTTACTATTACAGGTGCCGGCCATACATCCATCACTTCCCGGCGGAACTCACACAATTGAACCCATTTGTTTGCACTTCGTGTATCGTCGACAAAACCATGAAAAGCCGACGTAGCTTAAGCTCCGAAGGGAATCTGAGCGTTCTCAACCTTCCTCGGGTATTGAACCGCCTCTCACGAGTGTGCTATCCATGTTGAATGCCCCATTACCGCTGATAGAAACTGCAATGCCAGAACCAAACGCCTCCGTATGATAGATATTCCCCCTCACCCATTAAGCCTCATCTTTCCTTTCCGCTCTCAACGCAACCCCCTCCTCGCCCCGCGATGTTCACGCCGGCCTCCGTTTAACAAATTCCTCCAAATCCCCCCTTGTCGCCACCCCAAGCACAAACCTCCTCCCCTCATCCGTGATGACGGCAAAGTCCTGCTTCTGCCCGCCGGTCTCATAGCCCTCAAAGAAGGCCTCGAGCTCCTCCAGCGGGGTCTCCATGGTGATGATCTTGTACTTTGCGCCGCGGCGCCGGAACCGGATCATGGCCGTGCGCACCTCGTCCTCGGGCTTCACGCGCCCGGCCTCGAGCAGCGCCTGCAGGTGCGGGATCGAGAGGTACCCCAGCAGGGCGCGCGTCGACGAGTCGACGATGGTCAGGTGCGTGTAGTCGCGTTCGAAGGCTGACAGGAGCGCGAGCGAGATGGTGTCGGAGGGCGTGAGGGAGAGGGCGGCGGGCGGGTCGAGGTCCTCTACTGTTGCCTGTTGCAAGGGTTTCCGGGGTGTTTAGTTGGGGGGTTGCTGGTGTGGGATGATGAATGAGGTGGGATGACGGCGGACTTACCCCGCGGTATCTCGAGGCCCATTTGGAGACAAAAGGTTGAGACTCGGAGGCTTGGGCCTGGGATGGTTGCGCCATTATATCGGTCATTGTCAAGCGTAGTGATGGCTATTTTACTTGTTGTGCGCTCTGGCGATCTAAGACTGTCTTCCCCGTGCATGGGTAGGCTGAAGTTTGAGGTCGCTCAAACGGTTGGAGTCTTTCGCGTTCCATTGTTACTGCCAATCACATGTTACAGCGCGCTGAAGAGTGGGTCTCGCTATGGTCTCACGACCTCGCAGGGGGCTCAACATCGAAGAAACCTACAATCTAGAAGGGAGAAAAAATAGAGAGATATGAAAGAATAACTACCGTAGAGCCAGCTGGACACCATAGTAAGAAAGTGAGAGTATTAGTGACTCTGGGGCCATACTCCGGAAAGGGTGCAATTGCCCAACGATGCTCTCGTCTAACTAAAGTACATGTTGCTTGGCGGGTGGATCTTAAGTGGAGGCCCTGGATAGTCGACAGTCTCGGAGACATTTCCAATAGCTCTCACTTGAGAAGAACATGACTTGTGATGTTCTGTTCAATTATCTAGGAACTATGGCCATACGTTACTGCTATAATGACGGGAATCAAAGATCTGTTCAAACCGGTTTTGGGGTCCGGCGGCGACAAGGATGGGAGAGATCGGGATTGACTTTGCGAGCGCGAGCTAAGTGAAGTTAACGGTTAATTACGTCATCGTCCGAGAAGCGTTCTGTAGCTTGATTGGAAAACATCTGCGCAGTTCAGATGTCATGACAATATATTAGATGTACACCTTAGCTTCTTCAATATGAAGGAACTATGTTCCTACTCGATTGCTTTATCAAGGGAATTGCCGTTCTTAAGAACTCCCGTCCAGGCTTATCACTCGTAGCTCGGGAAAACTCGCCGGTGCCCCTCCACCGACTCGGGAAGGAATGCTGTTTGTGGTTGGTCTCATCGGGAAGGCCAGCTCCTTCCTTCGCGGTTACTGTGTAGATGTGTGCCCCTTAGGTCCGTTAAATCCGCTGTGCAAAGCAAATTGATACAAAGGACCTTAGGTACTTGACATACGCCATAGATCAAAGGCTTACCTAATGAATCTTGCCAAAGGACGGCCAGGAACCTGTTTCATCAACTTTCGGAGACTTATTCTCTCACCTCCCATTCACCGCACCTTAGACAGCTTTATATCATAGCAACGGACGCCGGTCTCCCTTTCCGAGATCCCTTTAAGGAAATAGAAGATCGTGTAAGTCCGTTCCTCGAACACACAGACACCCCAAGAACCGGGATTCGCTTCGGTGGACGCCGGACTGCCTCGATAACGTCATGGGCGGCTCTTCGCAGCTCCGAGCCGCTTGACATGTGCTCGGATTACTCAGACCCATTAAACTGGGCCACTTCTTTCAAGATCTCAGCTTGCTGACAGGAATGTAGTTGCCAGCCACAGTTCCTGACAAAGATGCCGCTCTTCCCCAACTACGACACCCTGCAGAACACCTTCGGCAGCCCCTACCGCCGAGGCCCATCGCAGAACAAGGCCAATGCGAGCGGCCCAACGCCGCACCAAGCCCGTCTTGAGCTCTACCCGGCGTACTCGGTCATTGACGATGCGAAGAACAAGGCGCAGAAGCTGAGCGCGGAGGCCGCTAAGGAGTTTGAGGCGGCGAGTCAGAAAGCGCAGGCCAAGGCAGGCAAGATGGAGCTGTACTCAGGGAAATACTATGCCGCTTGCACTTTTGGCGGCATGATGGCCTGTGTGAGTAGTCTTGGGCAATGGCTCACTCGCCTCCCATGCTGACGATACGCATACAGGGCTTGACGCACACGGCTGTGACGCCTTTGGACCTTGTCAAGACGCGCCGCCAGGTTGACTCGAAGCTGTACAAGGGCAACTTCCAAGCGTGGGGCCACATCTACCGCACCGAAGGCGTCCGCGGCGTCTTTACGGGCTGGAGCCCCACCTTCTTCGGCTACTCGGCGCAGGGCGCCTTCAAGTACGGGTGGTACGAATACTTCAAGAAGACGTACTCTGACCTGGCCGGGCCCGAGGCGGCGTACAAGTACAAGACGGCGCTGTACCTGTCGGCGTCGGCGTCGGCCGAGTTCCTGGCCGACATTGCGCTGTGCCCGTTTGAGGCGATCAAGGTGCGCATGCAGGCGACCATCCCAGCGCAGTACAAGGGCACTTTCGACGGGTTCAGCAAGATCACAGCCGCCGAGGGCGTCAGCGGGCTGTACAAGGGCCTCTACCCGTTGTGGGGGCGGCAGATCCCCTACACCATGATGAAGTTTGCATCGTTTGAGACCATAATCGAGATGATCTACGCCCGGCTGCCGGGGACCAAGAGCGACTATAGCAAGGCGGCGCAGACGGGGGTGTCATTTGTGGGCGGCTATCTGGCGGGTATCCTGTGCGCCATCGTGTCGCACCCGGCCGACGTCATGGTCAGCAAGTTGAACGCGTACCGCAAGCCTGGAGAGGGATTCGGCGCTGTCACGTCGAGGATATACAAGGACATCGGATTCAGGGGGCTCTGGAACGGCCTGCCGGTCAGAATCGTCATGATTGGTACACTGACCGGGCTGCAGTGGATGATCTATGTGAGTCTTGTCTGGAGGGGAGAACTTAGATGATAAGACTGACCGCTTTGCAGGATTATTTCAAGATCTTTATGGGCTTCCCGACGACAGGCGGTGCGCCGCCGCCGGAGAAGGTCAAGCAAGAATGAGCGGAGCCGGAGAGTTCAATGTCAAGCAGCAAGCCACGTTGATAACCTGTGCGTTATGTGTGTATTTGTCCCTTGATTTCTCATTTCCATGGCAGTTGAATGGTTCGGGGAAACGAGAGATGATGCGATAGTCAAAGGTCGGTTCCACTACAATTGCCAAGCTGCCCTCTCCATTCGGTATGGCTCGCCAAATCTGGACATGATGACGCGGTCCACGCCCGTATCATGCATGGCGCAGCTGTACGGAGGCATGGACTGTAGCATCATCTGAAGCCCTGTGTGCCCGCGTATTCCAAAACACGCGTCCCGTCGATTCCACTTGGTCGTCGACGGATGACATGTTGATGGGAGCCATCACAGGTGTGCAGTATCCTAAGCTGCGGTGCTGCGGCATACATTCTGCACTGTGCTTCAAGGGTTAACAACTTTCCGGCTCCCCGCCCCGTGAAAAGGCATGTTGACTGCGTCGTCCAAAACTTCAAGTTTAGAAGCAAGTTAAAAAGCATTGCGGAATTGAGCTTGAATTCAATCCCTCGCCAGTGTCAAGTACAGTGTGGAGGCACTGTGGGCACTGGGCGGTGCCGAGCCAGCTTGGAAGCATCGCCTCACTTGACTGCCCATTCGTCTAATAAAGCTTGTGCCGGTCATCGTCCATTGGAGATGGGGGCGGGAGCTAAGATGCAGACGCCGCTGCCGTTACAACGATGACAAAGCGATGACCGGGACTTCAAGATTCCATTGTCGACTTCCAGCAGTATCCGTACCTCCGTATCTTACCTGATTTTTTTTTGGCTGCCCTGCACGACCATCGTCGAGGCACAAAAGAACTGGACGTTGACGCATTACCCCCCCCTCCCGCATGCTGCAGTGCCTCGCCAACTCAATCTCATCCAAATCTGACCGCCTTACATGACCTCACCCATCAAAGTGCTCTCACTCGGTTACCTCCTAAAGCTGAGCACTGCCGATACAATGGCCCCGCGTGTACTCCGTTGAAACGAACCAGGATCCAGACCAACCTTCAACCTCAGAAATCACATGTAGTTGCCTTCCAACCTCTTACTTGTTTGTTTGACGCCAGCAATCCTGTCCGCCGGCCTTTGCACCTTCTCACCACGGTGCCCATCGCCCCATGGAGGAGTGGATTGCCTCTGCTGAAGCATACCGTCGAGCCCTTGAAAGTCGCCGAGAGAGTTCCCCGCCAAATCGAGCAAGTCGTGCGAATATTCGTAGGGAATCAGCTCCTCGACCAAATCCGGGCTTGCCCTCCTTCGCAATGACTGAAGGCTCGCTTCCGCGGCGGATCACAGGGAACACTCGCCGTGGGAGGACCAACGCTGTCCCCATGGACGAGGACTTCGAAGACGCCGACGTCGATGTTGCACCCCCCGCCTACGGCGAACATCATGACCAACTGCAGTTTTCCCGGGCCGGCTTTGCCGCCGATGCTGCCGTTACAAGTGAGCGAAGGACATCATGATTCTGGCCTCTCTCTTTACATGAGCAACTGACCAAACTTGTCCAGCCGACGGTCGCGTCAATATCCATATCAATGAGAAGAACCAGCGATTATCGGAGCTTCTAACTCCCGCCCTCACGAGGCAGCTCCGTGCCGAGACCCCGTTCCCTGCTGGACCCCTCCCGCCGGCCTACATCCCGCCGAGTCTGGGGGGTCAGCCCGGCCAAACACCGCCGCCCCGACTGAACGTGGTGATTCAGATCGTCGGGTCAAGAGGCGATGTTCAGCCCTTTGTGGCCTTGGGACAGGTCCTGCGCGACACGTACGGGCACCGCGTGCGCGTGGCCACACACGCCAACTTCAAGTCCTTTGTCGAAGAGAACGGGCTCGAGTTCTTCAACATCGGCGGAGACCCGGCCCAGCTCATGGCTTTCATGGTCAAAAACCCGGGTCTGATGCCTGGCTTGGAGACCTTAAAGAACGGCGACATCCAGCGGCGCCGCCAGGAGATCAAGGAGATCCTCATGGGGTGTTGGCGGTCCTGTTTCGAGGCGGGTGACGGCATGGGTATTGCACCGCCGCAGCACAAAAGAGACGAGCCCCTAGATGAACGGTTCTTATTGCCCGGCGATCCGGGGCATCGGCCTTTCGTGGCAGATGCCATCATTGCGAATCCGCCCAGTTTTGCACACATCCACATTGCCGAGAAGCTGGGTATTCCACTGCATATGATGTTCACGTAAGTGTCTTGTTTTCTTATCGCCAAAGTACACCACTGACTCACAGGAACGCAGGATGCCCTGGACACCCACGCGAGCATTCCCACACCCCCTTGCTGATGTGGTCGCGACCAACGCCGACGCCGCCATAACCAACTACGTCTCATACGCTTTGGTTGAGATGATGACTTGGCAGGGACTCGGCGATCTGATCAACCGGTTCCGATACAACATTCTCGACCTCGACCCTATCTCCCTCCTGTGGGCACCGGGCTTGCTCACCCGGCTACGGATCCCTGCCACGTACTGCTGGTCACCCGCTTTGACCCCGAAACCCGCAGACTGGGCGCCAGAGATAACCGTATCCGGCTTCTTCTTTCTGAATCTTGAATCGAACTACACCCCTGAGCCGGAGCTCGCCCGGTTCCTCGCGGCCGGGCCACCGCCAGTTTATGTCGGTTTTGGCTCTATTGTCGTTGATGACCCGGATGCACTCACTCATACCATTTTCAATGCAATCATCAAGTCCGGTGTACGGGCGATCGTGTCGAAAGGATGGGGCGGCATAGGCGGCGACTCGGCTGATGTGCCCGAGGGCGTCTTCATGCTCGGCAACTGCCCCCATGACTGGCTATTCAGGCACGTTGCTGCCGTGGTTCACCATGGCGGTGCCGGCACGACCGCGGCCGGCATCAGAGCTGGAAGACCGACGGTCGTGGTGCCGTTCTTTGGAGATCAGATATTTTGGGGCTCCATGGTCGCCAGATCTGGAGCTGGCCCAGCCCCGATCCCGTACAAGAAGCTGACGGCCGAGAACCTGGCGGCTGCCATTGAGTTCACGATGCGGCCCGAGACACAGGCTCGCGCGCAAGAGCTGGGTGAGAGGATCAAGCAGGAGAAGGGTGTTGATGTTGCCGGCAAGAGTTTCCATCAGTTTCTCAATACTGACAATATGCGGTGCTCCCTGGCTCCTAGCCGGGTGGCGGTCTGGCGGGTCAGGAGGTCCAAGGTCCGCCTGAGCGCTCTGGCCGCCGCCATTGTGGTGAAGCAGGGCTGGGTGAAGTATTCGGATCTTAAATTGTAAGAACACCAGGGCGTGGGACACACTGAGGGCGCGTTGCTAACTTTTTCCAGATATCGGTCGATCGACTACAATACTGATGAGCAGCCTTGGGACCCCATTTCAGCGGTCATTCTGGCAATTGTCGGAGATGTTGGTGCACTGACCATGGCCGTGGCGGATTTCCCTCGAGAGATCTTTAAGGCTCAGGGGAAGAAGGACAAGGACAAGGCTGCCCCTGAAGACGGCACGGCGAAAGCGGAAGACGCACACTCCATCTTGACCGCAACGCCATCTGTCGAGAGCGGTCCTGCGGCTCACCAGAGGGCAGATTCCCGCTCCGCTCCGGCTAGCATCTCTTCACATGCTACAGCTCACGGATCAGCCGAGTTGTTAGCGATCGTCCAATCCTCCACGCGTTCGCTGAGCGGCAGCCTCTCTCCACAACCGTCCGGAGCCCCGGCAACCCCTCCCCCTGTGCCGTCGCGAACACCCACTAGCCTCGAGTCCCCAGCTATGCCCTCGGCGGTCCCATCCAGCACCGTCAACCTCGACGTAGCCATCGCAGCCGGCAAAGGCGTCGGCCGCATCGTCGGCGCGGGTATGAAGTTCTACTCCAACTTCTGCCTCGGCATGGCTCGGGGGTTCCGCAACGCCCCCAAACTCTACAACGACGACACAGTCCGGCCGCCTGAGAAAGTCACCGGCCTCGTCAGCGGCATGAAGGTAGCCGGGAAGGAGTTCGGCTTGGGGGTGTACGACGGGACGTCGGGGCTGTTCACGCAGCCGTGGAAGGGCGCTGAGAAGGAAGGGGCCAAGGGGTTCGTGAAGGGGTTCGGCAAGGGCGTCGGCGGCCTCTTCTTCAAGAATGCCGCGGCCCTTTGCGCTATTCCTGCGTACACGATGCAGGGCATCCAGGCCGAGGTGCGCAGGAAGTTCACCAAGAGCTCGGTGAATTACATCATCACGTCGCGCGTGCTGCAGGGAGAGGAGGATATGGCCGGGGCGACGGCCGAGGAGAAGCACGATATCATGACGAGGTGGCATGCCAAGCGGGATGAGCTCAAGGGGTTTTATCTGCTGAAGCAGAAGGAGAGTGAGAGGGCGAAGGCGGCGGCCAAGGCAGCGGCGGAGGTAGTCGCTACCGCTCATAACTCAGCGGAGGTGCCGGGAAACACCATTGGTACGCCGGAGGGCGGTCCCTCGGCGAAGACAGGGCGGCTGAGCTTGCCGTGGAGCAGACGGCGAACCGCGAGCAACGTCAACGGCAACGTCAACTCGCCCACTACCTGGGCGGCGACGCTCCCGCCCACCACGGCCAGCTCTGCGTCGAGTAATTTTTCCTTTGAGGACCACGAGGCCCTGGAGCGGGCAATTCAAGAGTCGGTTCTGCAGACGTCGACGGGCGATCCGGAGGAAGATGCCAGGGTCGAGGCGGCGATCAGGGCGAGTGTGATGGAGATGCGCAGGGCTGCTGAGCAGCAGCAGCAGCAGCAACAAGGCCATCCCCAGCACCAGACCCCAAGCCAGACCTTTGGCGGTTGGATCGCTGATCAAAAGATTGGCCCCGGCGACTCTGGCGAGCTGTCGATCGAAGAGTGGACCAACATCACCGACGAGGAATACCAGGCGCTGGTTGAGGAGGCCGTCCGAAGGAGTCTGCTGGAGCAGGAGCTGGAGGAGCAGGCACACCACCTTCAACAGCAGGATGAGCTGCACTTCCAGCAAGCGAACGACCACTACCAGAACTATCATTCCAACACAGCAGAGGTCGCGAGACAACAACCACAACAGTCGACCGTCAGGCTCGTGGCCGACCAGCAGCAGCAGCAGCAGCCGGCAGTGGCGGAATTGCCGGGCAACCACCACGCTCCCTCAACAACCACAACAACGCAGAGTCCCCCCCACAACAGGGAAGAAGGAGACGCGCAAGGGGGAGAAGAGGAACTGTTGCGTCGGGCATTGGAGGAGTCGGAGCGGTTGCACCGCGGCTGGACCGAGGCGATGGCGCGGCAGCGGACCGAGGAGGAGATTGTGCTCGAGTATGTCATGAAGCAGAGCCTCGCCGAGGAGGAGTTTCGGATGGCGCGGGAGGCGGCGGCGGGGAAGGGGAAGCAGCCTGTTTCCTCCTCGCGGGGGCAGGGGCAGGGGCAAACAGGTGGGAATGAGGGCCAACAGGCTGGGGAGGAGGACGAGGAATTGAGGAGGGCGATTGAGGAGAGTTTGAGGATGAGTGGGGCTAGGGGCAGTGGTGGTGGGAGTGGGAGTGGCCTGGGGGTGGGACCGTCGAGGCCGAGGTGGGAGGGTTGAGCGACGGGTTAAGTATGAGAGGGGTCAAGGAATCTGGCGTGATTGTCTTGATTGTGGGCGCTTGATCTTATGATGGATTTAAGGCGAAGAATACCCTGGTAGAATGTGTGCCTGGCTTTTCATCAAAGTCATAATTTGTACCGTACGGTACAACTATACTGCTCAGTTCTTTGTGAGATCTGCCACCACAGTCGTATCCCCCCTGTCCCACTTCTTGGTCACCTTGTACTTGGAGATCCGCCACGGATTCTGCCCCTGCTTCTCGAGGTCGGCATCACAGATAAGATCAGCTTCGAGGAGGCCCTGGAATTGCTGGTCAGCATATTCCGCGTTTTCTCTGTCTTCGAAAGAAGAAACAAATCAAAACATACCCCATTCTGCGTCAACCGCACCGTCGAATCGCCACCCTCGCTCTTGCCAACCAAGTTCCCGCCCACCTGTGCGTAGACAGTCACCTTGTCGGGCCGGGCGACTCTGGCGCCGGGTTGCGGGAGGTGGATGATGATGCCGCTGTATCATTATTGTCCGTTAGCCTCTTCGTTTCCATCCGTTGCATAGTTTTACCTATGACTGTGTGTAGAAAGGAAAATTACGTTGTGACGTGCTGGCTGGCCGCGAACTTGTTGAGGATACCGCCCACCTCGTCGATCCAATCGGCGCGGGACACGAGGCGGGGTTCGCCGCCGAGGATCGAGGTGTAGTCGATTTCGATGGTTGGCGCGTAGACCTCAGACTCGAGGCCGGCCAGGTTGTGCGTGTCGTAGTAAAGAGGCTGGTTTGTTTTTTTGTGTTGAGAAGACATGCTTCATGAAAGGGAGGTGGTGAGGGAGGGACATACCACTTTGGTAACGGTGTCGTGGATGTTGGCGCGGTCGAGAAGGTATTGGGCGATGTCGTACGAGGCCATTTTGTTGACTTCGGCGTGTTGTAGTTGGTTGTTGTTTGATGTGAGGTGAGAGCTGTGGGTTATTGTAGAGTGAAAGGTGCTGTTTTGCTGTGCAGTGATCAGGTTCGTTTGTGTCGTGGGATGGATGGAATTGATGATGTTGGGATCTTGGAGACGGGTTGAGGATTTATATAATCGAACGTGTCGCAAGTCAACCGTAACTCCGTAACGGCGCCGACATCATTCCGGGTGAAAGACCACCGTTCCGTTCTCATCAATCACGAATTCCGGAACGATCTTGAGGACATGTCCCAGCAAGGTAGTCCTTAACACCGTAAGCATCCGGGCGGGACTCCACCAACCGGAGAGATAGTGGGGTCGCCGGACTTAACGTAAGGTCATAGGAGGCAGGTACCGGATCAGGCAAGCACACAGCAGAAGTTGTCTTATGATTGGCCAATTGCGGCGATAACTACGCGTGCAAACTCCGAGATCGTTTCACCACTTCTTGGCGCTGGCGGGCCAAGCCTTCGGGCCTGATGAACTCACCATGGAGTTTCCAAGTTAAATAGAGCCTCACTTCCTTTGCCGACTCTGACGACTCGGATACCGCACAGCTCATCTCACAACTCAGTCTCACAATTCAGTCTCAAAGACTCAGTCTCAGTCAGAACACCCGACAGTCACAAACACAAATCCCACGACCTGCACTCCGTTTTAGTATCATTAAACGCCAAACCACCACTACCTTAGCTAGCCTTAACCCCCACCAACACGATCATACCACACCATGTCCTCCCAAGCCATCCTCGTCCTCGGCGGCACCGGCACAGTTGGCAGCCGGATTGTCCGACAGCTCTCATCCTACCACTCGACAACAAACTCACCGCCCTACCACATCCTCATCGCATCCCGCAACGGCACCTCGTCATCAGAGGAACAACCCCAAAACGTCCGACATGTTAGCTTCGACTGGCACAACGCAGACACCTGGTCCAGCGCCTTTTCTGCCTTTCCTTTCCCGGTCCGATCAGTCTACCTGATCGCACCACTTTCGCTGGACGCCGACCGCCTGATGACCTCGTTCGTCGACTTTGCCCGCGAGCGCGGCGCCCGCCGCTTCGTGCTGCAAAGCGCCTCGTCCGTCGAGCCTGGCGGACCGGCCATGGGCAAGGTGCATTCCTATCTGAGAGAGCTGGGCACCCGCGGGGAGCTGGAGTGGGCTGTCTTGAGGCCTACCTGGTTTCAGCGTACGTTTTCTCTCTTCTTTTGGGAGACGAGATGGGATTTGAGCGTCGCTGACGGTGGAAACAGAGAACTTTGCCAACCAGTCTAATCACGTCAAGAGTATCAGGGAGGAGAGCAAGATCTACTCGGCTACCGGCGAGGGCAAGATCCCTTGGGTCGCGGCTGATGACATCGCGGCTGTCGCGGTCCGCGCCCTGACGAATAAGGTGCCGCCGAACACCGAGTATCTGGTTCTCGGGTCCGAGCTGCTTTCTTATGGCGAGGTATGCCTTCGACTATCACCACAGCGTTGGGAACCCTGCTGAGCCTTTTGACAGATTGCTGGCATCCTCACCGATGTACTCGGAAGGAAGATTGTGCACGTCGACCTCTCGGCTGAGGAGCTCGAGCAGCGCCACCAGAGATTCGGCATGCCCGAGGACTACTCCAAAATGATGAGCGCCATGGATACCGCCATCAAGTTCGGCTCCGAGAACCGGACGAACGATGTGATCTTGGCTGTTACGGGGGCTGCCCCGAGGAAGTTTAGGGATTTTGCCCTGTCGGCCAAGGATGTGTGGGAGACTGGCAAGAAGGAGTAGCCCTCTATTGCAGCTGTAGCGTAATTTAATGTGTGCATAGTCATGAAAAATGGGATCGATGTGAAGTACAGCGCCACATTCCTTGATCACAAATTATTGGCATGTCATTCTCCAGCCGATTCCATCCGCTGCACATCATCTCCTTCTGTTCTGGTCATCCTAACAGAGGCAAAGAAAGAAAAAGGACATCGATCCGTTCGAGAATATTTATCTCACCACGACTGTAACTTAAGATGGCCGTCGTCCTTTGGACTCCCGAATTCAGCCCATGTGCCGTCGACCGTGTGTAGACCGGCGCAAGTGGGTCAACTGCATCCAAGAGGCCGGGCGGCGTCCGGCTTGGCCCTGATCACAAAAACAGCCGTTAGATTGTAGATGCCCAATCGAATATGCGATGGCGCACAAGAAAACTACGGCAAAGCGGTTTCTTGCCAATTGGGCCTGCTGGGTGTTTGCTACTCTCCTGGCCTCTCATAGGGGAAGCCCGGGATGGGGTTCGGCACAAGACCCGCCGGGGTGAATCCTTATGACATCATCCGTACCTGAACTCGGGACCATTCAGGGAAAGGGCCACGAGACCATGAGACGGGACGACGACGCGAACTTCGAGAGACCGTTGTTTCCGCTTACAATGCTTATCATGTCGATTGCAACACAGCATTCAGCAGCAGGAATGCTCATTCCGACTTCCTACATGCCAGTTGTAACACACACCTAATATACCTACCCTACAGAATCAAGCAACACCACACAAGCTTTCAATGCTCACGTCTTACAACCTACGGCACCTAGCAACACAATCTCAGATTCCGACACCTACATCCTCCATAACGACCAGCAACAATGACCTCATTTCCCCGACCCTCCCCTTGCCGACCATCAGCTGCCCCTGAGCCGCGCAAGACCCTTCGAGAGCACATTCTGCACTCCCTGCCAGCATATACCGGCCCCTACCAAGTAGGCTTCCTCGAAATTGAGCTGCCCGCCGCCGACCCGCGACCCTTTGCCCCGCACATCAAACGCAACAACGAGTTCGCCCTGAAGCTCGACACGGTCCTGTTTGCCGTGTATTACCCCGCCGATCTCGAGGCCAAGACAGGGACAGCAGGAAGGACCAGGCCGCCATGGCTCCCCCGCCCGCGACCCTCGACATGCAGGGGCTACGCCAAGTTCCTCAACATTCCCCACTGGCCGGTGACGGCCTACATGGCGGCGACAACCATGTTTACCAAGCTGCCGGCATACCGCAACGCACGCATCTCCCAGCGGTGGCCGGACGAGGCGGGCCATGACACTGGGCGCGGGAGCGGGAGCGGGAGCGGGAGCGGAAGTGGGACGCATCAGGTCTCGGATGCGGAGACGCTCGTAGAACAGGAAGACGAAGACGAGGACGTTAACGACAAGCCACGGTTCCCCGTAGTCATCTTCAGCCACGGCCTGGGTGGCTCGCGGACGCTATACAGCTCCATCTGCGGGGAGCTCGCGAGCTACGGGCTGGTCGTGGTGGCCATGGAGCACCGCGACGGCAGTGGCGCCAGGACGTTCGTCAACAAGGCGGGCAAATCACAGGATCTTGAGAGCGATGATGTCGACAAGACGGCAACCCCCCCCAAGAACGAAGAAAAGACACCTCAGCGCCGGCAAAAGGACGCAGAGGCCAAACCGTACTACAAGATCGATTACCTGTTTCCCAAGGACAACGCGCAGGATACGTCGCCCCGTAACCCCAACGGAGTTGACAAGGAACTGCGAGGAGCTCAAATTGATATGAGGTTAGCCGAGATTGAAGAGGCGTTCCGCGCCCTGGACCTGATAAACAGCGGGAAGGGGAGCGAGGTGCGCCGGGATAACCTTCGGAAACCAGGCAACGTTGGCTCCAGCTCGATGGGCCTAGAAGACATTGAGTGGGAGAACTGGGTCGGCCGTCTTGACCTGGAGAATATCACCATTATGGGCCATTCCTTCGGCGGAGCAACCGCAGTCCAGGCGCTGAGGTCTGGTAAGCTCCCCTGGATTACACAGGGCGTCCTGCTTGACCCTTGGGGCCCCGCCACCCCGGAATGCACCGAGCAGCGCTCGGTCCACAAGCCGGTATTGTCCGTCGGCAGCGAGGCTTTTATGCATTGGGCCGAGAACTATGACTGCGTCAAAAAGGTGTGCGACGAGGCCCGGGCGGCCGGCACGCTGTCGTGGATGATGACGATTCGGGGGTCGACACACCTGTCGCAGACCGACTTTGCAATCCTTTATCCAAATTGGATGTCGCTGCTCATGAAGACCATCGTGAACCCTGAGCGCGCCATTTCGCTCACGGTGCACTCGGCACTTGAGTTCCTCAAGCTCACGCTGCCCCGGGCGCAAACCCGGTTTGCCAGAGCGTGGGCTGACGAGCAGCTGTTGAGCCGCGCCAATCCAGTAGCCAAGGTTGAGTCGGATTACCGGCCTGACGACAAATGGGTTGCCGCCCGGTTAAAGATCCCAAACGAATTCTCGATGCGCCTTCGAGGTGTGCTCGGTTGGGGCAGGTGGTCCAACGGATTGGTGAGCCACGATGTCAGAGACGAGATATGGTGCCATCAATCGCCGGACAAGGATGCCGTAGAACGATATGTGAGGCGATAGTCCCGGTTGTCCACCTCGAGCTATTCCGGAGGGCACCATCGTGTGACGGGTTCCTGACTTGGCCGGCGATCCCGGTCAGACGAGTCAACGCTACTATCCACCGAAGTGGGAGAACGGCAAGCGCGCTGCAAGCCCGGCATAGTTGGGCGAAATCGGACTCTGCTGCTTGAGCATACTCGGGGGGGGGGGGGCAATATGCTGTCCTGGGATTACTGTACAACACAAGCCAGTACCGCACGTGCCCTGTGAGCAGGATTTGGGGTGATAAGTCTGCGTCCTCTGTCCATCAACTTACCTGGTAGTGTTGGAAGCATAGTGAAGCAGTCGGTTTAGTGGGGGGAAGTCATCAGACCGGCAGAAGTTGGAGCTTCACCCTAATGTCCGCTTGCCGACTGCCGGTTGAGTCGCCCATATTAAGTGGCCCAACTCGGTCAAGAATAGCAATGCAGGTATTCCCCATGGGGTTGATGCATGTCGGAAGAACCAATGGTGATTGAGCCCGTCCCCTCATGCTCAGCCGGCAGACAACAGAAGGAGGAAAGCTGGAGCGGGTGGAGAGTTGGGACGGCAGGAGAATGAGGACATTCGAAAGGCAGGACGCGTAACCTTCAATATATGAGTATTTCGTCAAGAGGGCCGACGCCATTATTCCGCAGCCTCGGATGCTGGCTGCAGTGGGAAGTTAGTTTCCGCCTTTAGGGAAAATGTGCTGGATAATTTCGCTGTTGTTCCTCGACCGGGAAAGTCAAACGGACACGGACAGGACGGCTTTGGCACGCGGCGAAGAGATCCGAATCACCACCCCTCCGCAGGGCACCCCAGCTGCACCACAGAGTTCCATCGGCGGGTGACAACACTCTGCCTTGGCAACCAAGGAACCTCAATCAAGCTCTTATCCAGGCCAGCCGAGCATTTGCCCAGACGCGGTCCGAAGAGACAAGAACAGACAAGCAACTCGTGGCGCCGCAGCCCAAACAAGGCTTTCCGGTAGCGTACACATCTTGAATGTCGGGGGCGTTGTTTTTTCTTCTCAGGATCGCATACGAAGATCGCCAAGGATGAGGTCGTATTCCGGACGGAAAGCTGGAGCATCGCGAGTGGCGGCTACGGGCCGGATATCGATCGAGGGCTGCTGTGCTCGCACTGGATGGTGCCATCTCTGGCTGCGATTCACCAGTCGTTTTGTGGGCGAGGGTGTCACAGACCTTTCTATCTACCTGCGCGCGCCCAGCTAATTTGTCAAAATTTCCCCGAGAACCTGTTAGGAACGAAACAGCCCGATGGAAGACCGAATCGAATTTCCTTGTCAGTTGCTGCAGATGTTTCGGCCATTGTGCTGCTGCTGCGCCGACATGTGGCCATCGACCTGGTCCTGGTATGGAACTTCCGAAGGGCCACTACACGGGAATGATGTTAAGGCTTGGCAGTGTCTCTCTCCAAGATTTCCTAGTACCACTGCATCCATCGCAATGACTTGCATGCACCGTCGAAACGGGCTGCCTCGCGCAAGCCATCATGTTGTCCGGGGAAGGATACCTTAGGAGGTGGGGTGGCCGGAGTAATTGTTCTCGAGGCCGTTGCCGTTGGCCCACGGTCAACCGATCAATGAAGCATCTCCTGGAGCGGCTCAGGTCGATTCAAACGGAACATAACACCGGGAGGGTAAACAACCAAGACAATGAGGGGCGTGGTGTAGAGTAGGCATAGATTCAGGCTCGGGAGTTAACAGTGGAGTGCTTCTGTCTCGGCACCCAGCTGAGCTAATTGTGGTGCGAAGAGAGCTTGTGTGGGTCTTCCAACGTGGACCTGAACTCCCGAAGTTGCTGTGATTGGACGTTGACTCTTGCGGTGGGGCCCGTTTGGAAAAGCGAAGACTCACTCGTCCGTTTGACAACGACAATGGAAGTCGTGGCTTCCAACCTTCCAAGGCAAACAGGCTGAGCCAGGCAGCTCCGAGCCTCTGTGCTTTTCACATAACCAACCGGCAGGGCTTTACCTTAGGCAGTCCGAGTACAATTCATCTCGTTCTTTTTTCCCGCAGCCTGCGACTTCATGTTCCTGTTTGACTTGTGTCACCATCGCATTACCTAGCAATGTCTCCTCGACACCTGGGCTTGTGATACAAGAGCCGAACAAAATAGAAGCGCGGCCGCGGCTCACCTAACACACAACTGCAAGGCGCCGCGTTCAGCGTTCCGAGAATGGTTCTCGGTACCCGGATGTGAAGCGGTGAATGGCTACAGCCCGCCAAGCCTTCGTGTTGTTGCCACCTGCATCGCGGTTCCTGGCGCTCTACCATCAGCCTCCCTTTCTGATTGCTGCGATGGAGATGCAAGTCGCATCTGCTGTGTCCCCCTGTTGTCTTGTTTTCATCTTTCTATTTTCCTTCCTGCGTACTGCACCTCCGGCGGACCGACTGCCATGGGGGTGATGGGGAGCGTTGCGCTGCCGCTCGGAGCCAAACGAGGCCCAAGTTCCACAGCCAGCGAGCTATTCTTTTCCTTCTTCATCAATCCGGACGAAGCACATCCCGCGGATCCCACCATCGGCGAGATGGTCCAATGTATGTAATAACAGTCATCAGGAATGCGACCTGCAAGTGAGCTCGCCACCGGATGAAGACTGGGATGGAGACAAGGCATTTTACCCGTAGCTTCAGACACGGTTCGGTTGCCATTCACCCAGCAGCTGCGGCTACGCGCGCCCGAATATCAGGTTTTTACGGAGCTACAGAGTACTTCGTCAGATGTGGGAAATCATGGTGCTTGACCGGGCAACAAGAGCTACTCGTATACAAGCATATACCTACACACCTTCTCCCTGTCTGCTCGGACGCACCCGAGGGACGGACGTACGGAGCGCTGGCGATGGCTCAGTCCCGTCTTGTTCCCTGACCCACAGCGTACTTGTACATACTTAGATCCGTACCCTGCCCAGGCCTTGCAGTCTGACTACGGTAGGTGGTTTGCTTTCTGGAGGTTCTCATCTGATGAAGGCGTCTGCCTTCATTTATGCGCTGCTTCCCGTCGCGGCCTCTCATATCGGCTTTTGATGGACATCCTGTCCTCCCTGTCCGGCGTCCCGGGCATTCCCAAGGCCGCCATGGTTGAGATGGAACAGAGGACGGAGGCCTTGCTCAAGTCCAGCAGCTTCCAGGGAATGCTAGAGTTGGAAAAGAAGTACAAGGTACGTGCGTCCCCTTCGGCCTCACCGCTTGCTTGTCGGCTTGGTCCATGTCTTGATTGCCACATATCATGTCTTACACCGAGCTATGTCCCTAACACTGTGTCGTCTCCCTCAGGTGGAGCGATTGCGAGCAGCCCAATCTCTTCTCCCTTCATCCCAACACGCAGCACAACTCAAAGGCGCCACTCCCCCTCGGCCTGAGCGCCCAGACTCTGGTTTTCCACAAGAGCATTTCCTCATGGTCAACGCTACCAGACGCACCACTTGCCCGCCTCCGCTCTCCATCAGTGTACCCCAAGCCGTCGACAGCGAAAGGCGGGGTCGACCAAGCGAACGGGAGGATGAGCGTGCGATTGAAGAAGATACCGATATCGCGACTCCCACGAATAGCGAGCCGTTTCAGAAGCAGGTCAAGTTCCTCGCGACAGACGACGACCACGACGAGGAGGACGGCATGTCAGAGCAGTCATCCATCTGCCAGTCGCCCAGCTGGGAGGGCTACGGGCAGAGAAAAAAGGAAAAGAAGAAGGAGGCTGAGCAGCGGAGGAGGGAGAAAGAGCAGGCTGAAAAAGACGTCAGAGCCGCAAAGAAAAGGAACACTGCACGGTTAAGCAAGGCCCCGCCAGCCCCAGCAACAGCTACCCGCAATTCTCGCCTTGTCGGCTTGATGGCTGCAGATCGCTCCATGTCAGACTCGTTACTGGTCAGCCGCCATCTACTACAGCACACGCAACCCATTCAGCGGCCGGAAGAGGTCGGGCGAACTGTCTCGGCTGATGATATCCAAAATAGCCGATTGCATCGACCTGCAGTGACCCAGGTCCTCTCCGGTTCTAGCGACAATTCTCGGCGCGCTGGGGGTCCCGCTGGTGGCAAACCTTCTCCTTCTGCGATACCTCATCATTTGCTGTGCGACAGCGACTTAGCTTCAACCCACGACCTTCGCAGGGCCACGCCAGACGGGCCAGAACCTTTAAATCACCATGCGTCTTCAACACTCCCGCCTAGGCATGGAAATCGGTCTCCACGGGATGCGGCGTTTCCACCCTCGGCTTCGAGAACTCCTAGGCTGCGACATATTTCTCCTTCTGCTGGTAACCGCAGCAACGGCATGCTCCAAGGAACAACAAGCGCCAACCACTCACAGGAATCATTGTCTGCCGGTCCTACCGCAGACAGACCCCGAGGCAATGGATACGTGGTTCACCAGAGGGCACAGGCTGCAGAATGGGCTATGGCAGGGCTCGCGGATGAGCAGTTGGTTGGGAACGTCGGCCAATACTACCCCCCGTCAAAATCCAGTTCTGGACAGACTCAACCCACAAGGCGGTCCTCTCTAACGCAGGACGCCAGGTCTGTGGCGATGAAGCTCGTGGGGATGAAGACGCCGTCATCTGGCAGGGAAAGTGCCAGTCAGGCCAATTATTTGACTTTCAAGGCTATTGCCTACTCTGATTGCGGTGTTGATGCCTCGGCGTCGGTGGCAAGCATGCCCACGTTGCCCAGAAAGGTAGACGGTGAAGATCCATCAACCTCTGAAGCGGCCATCATGGGCAGCGATAGCGAACTGCATGAAGCCGAGGCTGCCCTTCAACGCCCTACCACGTCGCAGAGCTCTCTTAGTTCAAGTGGCCCATCCCTTACCGGTTCGGCACCCGGCAGCCGGAGCAAAATGGCCCGGAGCCTGAAGGATGCCGCAAAAGCCGCTCTGGCTATGTCCAAGGGCTCGCAGATACCCACAGATACCTCCACGCCAACCATTTCAATGCCGCCATTTCTTGCACTTCGAGCTCGTTTGCATTCTCGAACATCGGTTCATACAGAGAACAAGGCATCTCGGGCAGCCGAGGCTGCTCGTGACCCTGAATTGGTATGCGTCCTCTTGCATTCAGCTTGTCCGCCACTTGGGGTCGGTTTTGTTAACAGCCGCCAGCATCCCCGCCCAACAACCTCAGTTCTCGCATCCATCAAACCACAAGAGATCGACGCGCAAGAACCTTACAGGGCATCTGAAGGCTCTTCCTCATCGTCCGCCTTCGAAGATGGGTCACCGCTTCCGTCTCCCACGACCACTCCAGACACATCGCGGCCGCAATCAGCAAAGGACATTCCATTGGCCACGAGCGACCTCACCAAGGTGAACGCCCAGCCTGATGGGCTGCAGGACGATGAGCAGACGCTTCGCCAGTCTCTGGATTCCAGCAAGTCAAGCACCCCTCGTGTTGGCGACTCGGTAGCACGTGAGAGCATCCAGGCGGGCGCCGAAGACCGGTGGAGTAGGACAGCCTTGCCCATCGACATGGACTGCGATGCCCAGTCTTTCATGACCACGGTCTCCCACTTTGACAACGTGGATACGGAGCAGCTGTCTTCAAACAGCCCATCGTTACCCCCGGCGGGGTCTGGACAGCCGAAAGCCCTGAAGCCAGTATCCAGAAGCAGCAGCCGCTCTGGAGATGCTGAACCCGCATTATCGATTCCTCCGCGGTCTCGGGAACGGAATCAAGCTACACCAGTGGGTTCACCAACTGTCTCCTCTTCTTCCGGAGATGAGCGGCATGGCGGTGTGGTAACAGAGCACACCACGCTGGACGTATCGGTGGATCTTGGGGAGACGCCCAGTATCAAAGAATCGTCGATGTTCAGGGCCTCGACAAGCTATGCGAGACCATTTCAGCAGGGGGAAGAGAAGGAATCGGGTTTGAGAGTGTCGGAAGGGCACAAGGAGCGGCACCGCGAGAAGTCGACAAAGACAGCAAGACACGACAATATGTTGGGCGTCAGAGAACAGGAAGAGGAAGAGACAATCGGGATTGCTGCTCAAAATGTTTCGCAGCGTGAACAGATGCCAGGTTCGATATCCGGGCCCAGTTCAGTTGGGTCGATGTCTCCAGATGCTCCCAGCTCAGAGTTCCAGGTCTCCAACAACCCTTTTTTCGCAAATTTTCCCGAGACATTCAAGCACCATGGAATTTTGAGGGAGATACCAACTCCAACTGGGCCTCCGTCTCCGGTTTCCCTACCGAGCCCGCTTCACCCAGTGCCTCCGCAATCCGCAGCGCAACCTCGGGCGAACTCTGCTCCATCTCCGTCTCTAGCATCAACAGCAACATCAAGAACGTCTACTCCGTCGGCTAGGTCGCCAGGAACGCCGCCCGTGTCGATCCTGAAGCAGCCCAAGACTTCGACATCAGAGCATAGACCCCAAATCCTCTCGGCGCTCCCCAAGCACATGCAGTTACAGACGGGCTCGCCGGCGCGGCCACCGACGACATTGGCCGAAACACGGATGGCGCCGATTGCCAAGATGCTTGTCGAGTGCTGTAGCTGCAAGTTTTACCACGACATGCCGTCCAAGATCTACGAATGCATGGCCAAACCGGACGCCGTCATCGAGGACAAGCTGCTAGGGATATCGGGCGCCATCACCACCATGGTCAAGTGCCCGTGGTGCCAGCACAATATGAGCAGGAATTGCTGTGCGGGGTATGCAGCCGTGGTGTACTTGAAGGAGAAGTTGCATTGATAACAAGGAGTTTATTTATTTTTTCTTTCGCGCTTCGGTCAATCTCAATTGCTGGTTTACCTTTTGTGGCTCGTCGCCCTCCTTGCTCTTTGTTTCATGCAACTCGTCTTACTGTCTTTCTCGGTCTCATCCCTTGAACCTTTGTTTCCAAGTGGCTTTTCTTGTTGCTCGAGCATAACATCTGCACAGCATGGTCATGCGTACTCTTAATATCTTTCCTCTGTTGCAGCATAATATGGTGCAGAACATGAGAGACAGAAGCGTGGCCTGTTTTCCTTTTTCTCTCGCGAAGTATCTGATAGTGTATTTGCTTGTATGTATGTACAACAAGTGATTGGTACGACAAAGGGTTGGAAGTGAGATCCTTCTCTGCATTCCAGCAACGGTGAATGAGCATACAAATAGATAGCAGCAACAATATTGCAATTGAATACAATGTGCAGAATCCATCATGACGTATTCTTTCTAGGTTCGCTGAGTATCTCTCCACCTTGCCCAACAAATAGGCATGCATATGCAATGGTGCTCTGTAATGAATGGCGAACCCTCAAGATCGACTCCTGGATCTTTTCACTCAAGAGCAAGTCCAAGAACATTTCATACCGCTCAAAATAGAAATTAAGCAGGTTTGTCTACTAAAAGTAATAGAGCCCGGTTAGCTCAGCTGGTTAGAGCGTCGTACTAATATAACATTAATGTTATAGGAAGTCATGCGAAGGTCAACAGTTCAATCCTGTTACTGGGCATATCTGATCAATTTTTGAGGCTAGTTAACTCCCGAGTTGATTTTTTGACCTTTTTTCTTTGTTTGGTTTAGGCATGAGGCTAATTAAGTGAGGGTGGGTGATATGATAGGTAAGTTCAGCTCGTGGTTCATTGAATGATGACCAACAATGCCAGATGGCTGCCGCTTCGAGATAGTTTTGGGCACAGTACTCTGTACGGAGCACCAATGCGGCTGACGTCGCCTACGGAGTACTGTGTAGAGTGCTGGAAGAGTGGATTGAAGAAGCCGGGATTTTGGGGAGGATCGAGTTTCGCAGGAATGTATGTGGTGCTAGTTCAGGTAAGTAATTGATCATGGCCGGTATTCTTGAATGTCGATATTCTAAAAGCGATAGCCTGATCTCCATGATCATTCACAAAGGAGCTTTGTGAGCTTCTTGAACTGATCTTCGCGTTTCATGAGAGATAAGATTATGTGAAGCCTCCGATGATATAAGCGTCGCAGTCGGCTTTAAGCGGCCCATGCCCTGTCGCATTGTCTCTGTACCCACGGCCTGGGGTGGTCGAGAATCTTCTTTTTCGATGACGCCGAGGTCTCGCCTGCTATTGCTCGCCTACCAATTGAGGCAAACTTCACCTCCGGTTCCGCGGACTTCGGAGCTGCAACTTTTCGCCTGCTCACCACCAGTAGATACACCAAGGACAACTCTTGTTTTGACTTGGAACAGGGAGACATTTCGGCCACACAACCGGCGACGAACGCTTCCGGCTCCACACGTGTGTGTGAACTGGACTGCGCCTGAGGGCCATTAGCTCTCTCACGCCCCCGCAACACCCAGCGCTGCCGTTCGTTGCACCGCCGGATCATGACAAGAGTCGCCTAGAATACAGATCCGGGATGGCTTCGGTTGCACACAGCGTAGGGACACAGGGCGCCGGTCAGAACCATGACAGGGCAGCCGACCATGTCGAGCTGGGCGCCCCGGGCGACCCTCCGAGCGACCCATTCGAGATCACGGCCGTGCAAAAGATGCTTTCGGCGACCTCAGGGAGCTTGTTTACAGCTCTATTAGGTAGTGTTCTATCCGTCCGCATACGAGCACCCAGCAGAGTGCGCCCAAGCTAACTCCCACCAGCGACACCCCTCGACGTCGTTCGCGTCCGCTGGCAGTCACAAGGCATCTCCCAGCCGCCGCCGATCGACTATACTAAACTCGCCATGCCCACCACCATTCCCGGCGGTACCACCTTCCGCCCCTCCAACCTCGGCGTCACAGCCTGCTGCCGCGAAGTATTCTTCACCAACAACACCTCCGAAGTCTGCGTCGTCGGCCCCCGTCCCCTCAACAACAACCCAATAACCTGCGCCGTCGAGCAGACCCAGCAACGCACATTCACCTCAACCTTTGACGGCCTCCGCAAGATTGCCCGCAACGAGGGCGTAACCACGCTCTGGCGGGGTCTCTCGCCGACCCTCGTCATGGCCATTCCGGCCAACATAATCTACTTCACCGGCTACGAGTGGTTGCGCTTCAACCGCGCCAGCCCCATCGCCCGCACCGTGCGCGACGAGTACGCCCCGCTGGTCGCAGGCTCCGTGGCCCGCATCCTAGCCGCCACCGCCGTCTCGCCCATCGAGCTGTTCCGCACGCGCTTGCAGGCTGCCCAAGGGGGCGGCAGGCCTCTCGCCGACACCTTCGCCGGCATCAAAGACATGGTCTCGCTGCATGGCTACCGCGCGCTTTGGCGCGGGCTAACGCTCACCCTGTGGCGCGACGTGCCCTTCTCGGGCATGTACTGGTGGGGGTACGAGACGATCCGCGGGAGGCTGGGCAACGCGCGGGAGAAGCGCCAAGCCAGGGGCAGGAGCTCCGAGTTGCTGGATCTGGACGGAGAGAGCGACGCAGCTGCGGCGCCGCGGCGGCGGCGGCGGACGTCCTTGCGCAGCCGGAGTCGCGGTCGAGAGAACGAAAACCATGCCGATACCTTCACCGACAGCTTCATCGCCGGCGCCGCGTCAGGCGGTTTCGCCAGCGTCGCCACCATGCCGTTTGATGTTGGCAAGACGCGGACGCAGGTTTTTCGCGATTCAAATTCCCATTCGTTATCGTCGTCAACAATGACGGGAACGACGGCGAGGAATGTGGACCAAGCTGCCGCTGCTAACGCGGCGCCCGAGGAGCGCAACATGGCCCGGCTGCTGTGGCATATTTTCCGCACCGAAGGCGTGCCGGGCCTGTTCAGGGGGTGGATTCCGCGCACACTGCGGGTTGCGCCGGCGTGCGCCATCATGATCAGCAGCTACGAGGTTGGGAAGCGGGTGTTTAGGGGTGTGAACGAGCGTGCGCTGCTTGCTGAGGGGAAGCTCAAGCGTGACGAGCCTTGATTTCCTGCGTTTACCTCACTCTTGCATGACATCTGGTTAACATGTCTATTACTCCAGGCATTTTGGACGTTCCCGGCAGCATGTTTGGCATTTCTTTCTCTAACCCCGTTCCCCGTGGCTCTTGGAGTTTGCTTGCTTTACGCTCGGTTTCTTCGGCATTTCACACAGCCGGCAAGGAGTTAGGGTGGCATGTAGGAAAGGTTTGCTTGCGGAGGGACATCTCGACTCAAATGTCGTGGCGGAAATAAACACGGGGGACCGCAGGTAGTGGAATTGCGGCTTTTAGAAGGGAATGAGCAGTCAGTATATAGATGAAGGATGGGCAGGCCTGCAACTACTTGTATAGTAGATACGTTACACGTGCGTTATGGCGGCGTGGAATAAGTGGAGTTTGTAAGATGAGAGCAGCATGCTTGGTATGATATACCCGGAGATGGTGAGGCGAAGTTGTATCAAAAGATTAAGGCGATATCCATGTATGGTTTGATGTACGGTCGAGTAGCACGAAAATGACTGCTGCTGTAGCGTTGTATAAATCCACACCATGATGTCGCGGTTCATGATCCAAAAGACAGCTCTAACTGATGGTCCAGAAGAAGGAGAGAGATTCCATTGTAACTTGCTCGGCTAGCCCGCAAACTCTCTGTAGTGGGTGGTATCATCGGGGAATAAGCCCAAGCCAAAAATACAACTATAACAGACGGCGCAAAGTTTGCGCAACCATGGCGAAGAATTAGTCCAGCTCCTTGCCGACAGGTCGAAGCCAGGAAGAACTGGAAGAATGGTATATTACGAGTGCCGGTGTCGAAGGTCGACTGGGAGCCTTGTATCCATCGTGAGTGTGAGCGCGAGAGCAAGTAAAGGAAAAGGGGCGGCCCAACCCAATGTGGCCAACGAATAGCGGGGAAAACAGAGAGAAATGAAATGAATGCCTTTTTTGAACAGGCATGCAAAATAAAAGCGATTAGCCTTCGGTTTCCGTACTACTTCAGCCTCTCGGTTCTTTCCCATTCATCCCACGGGCCAGCTCCAGCGCCAGCACGGAAGGGCTTTGATAGCTTGCTTCAACCGCGCCGCTACGGTAAGCGACGGATCGGGGGCGGCGGACCGCGCACGCCACCGGGTCCTCCCATTCCCTCGGCGCCGGCAGTCAGCTCGGCGACTCGGGCCTTGATGCGGGCGACGCGTGACTCGATCGCTGAAACAACACACATGTTAATTTCGCGCTTGGCCATAGTCTTAGACTCTACTTACTCTCTTCGCTGCTGTTATCGTCCCCGATCAGGCTGCCCGATGCCCTAGCGGGTTGCGCAGCCTGGCGCTGGGCAGCCCGCTCGGCAGCGTTCTTGCGGATCTGCGCCCACCGGTCTTGCGGGTCCACGGCGCGAGCCACTGGTGCCGGCGGGGGTGCGGCGTCGTCTTCGTCGCGCTGCTGCGGCACGGACGGCGACGGGATGCGAGGGGAAGGATGTCTGGCGATAGGAGGCGGCACTGCGTCGTCAATGTCATCACCGTCATCCTCCGGGACGAATGCGGGCTGGTCGAGCAGCGGGCCCTGGTCGAATCGGGAGAACTCGTCCTTGGCCTGGGCTGCATCCCTCGTGCTCACGGGCGAGACCTCCTGGGGCACGGGCGACTCGGGAACTGGGGCGGGCTCAGCAACTGGCTCGGGCTCCGGGACCGGGGAGCGGACAGGAGGGGGCGAGGCGGAAGAGGGGGCCGGGACTGGAACGCGAGCCGGAATGGCCTGGGGCTTTTGCTGAACGGCAGACTGCTCCTTTGGCGGGGCAGCCCGGACCTCGCGTTGCGCAGACTTCTGCGGCGGTGCGGGAGGGGCGGGCGCAGCAGGTGCAGGTGCAGGGGCAGGGGCAGGGGCAGACTGCTCAGCAGCGGCAGTGAACGACTTTAGCTGCTCCGCGGCGTTGTCGGGCAGTTTCGAGTTCCGGTTCTTGTTACGGCCGAACAGCTTCATCAAGCCGTTGCCACCACTGGGCTTTGCCATGTCTTTGTGAAGCTTCTTTTGTTTCTGCCGCTCGGGGCTCATGTCCGGCTCGGGGGAAACCATCTGCTCTCGAGCCAACTCCACGCTCCCCGGGTCTTTCGGCAGAGGCAATGGACTCTGCGCCCGCTCGACTGCCTGAGACTCTTTGAGCAATTCCACTTTTTTATCTTCTTGAGTCGGTGTTCGCGGGGCCGGTGCCGCCGCCTCGTTACGTCGCGGAGCCGAGGACGAGCTCACCGTCGCGACAGGGGCCGGGCGCGGGGGTGATGCCGGTAGCTTGGGGGGGAGTTCCGGGCGTTGTTCCTGCTCGCTTGCTGACGCCGTGGCGTGCCCATTGGTAAGCAAGTTCGCGCCTGCGGGACCACGGCCGGCGTTTGCATCGGCAAGATAAGCATCACGTATGGCCTCCTTGTCGTACTTGCTGGCCCATTTGACCGCCGGAGATGCCTCGTTGAGGATGCTCGACTGGAGGGTAAGAACACTGTTGGTCTTGTCGTTCAGCCAGTCAGTGTCCTTCCTACCCCTTCGTTCCTGTGCCTGTTGCTGTGTCTTCTGCTGAGCCTGCCTCTGGAGCTGCAGCGCGGCAGCCTGGATCTTCGCTTGCTGATCAGGACCAATGCTCGTCTTGCTGAAGCCAATGGTGGAGCTCCCTTTCAGATTTCCGTCACCCTTGTCCAGGGCGTGCTTCCCCGTGGATTTTCTTCTATTGATCCTGCCGCGGCGGGTCCAGCTGAAAAAGCCCTTCTTCTCGGCGATGTACGCGCCGTCCTCCGGATCAGGCGCTGCCCCCTTGACGATCTCCTCCATGACAAGCCAACGGCCAGTCCGGATGATTGTCTCGATCACAGCGCAGCGCCCAAAGGCCGCCTTCCGCTCCGGGGTCTCTTCCGGCGCCAAACTGCTCATCCACACCCACCAGAAGGCGTCATCTAGGTCAAAGCGAACAATGCTGGCCAGCTCGCCTGGCTCAAGCTGATGGTCCGTCTCCAGCCTCGGTTTGTGAGACTGAGAGCTCCTCTGCCGGACAACTCCCGTATCAATCGGTGGGAGCACCTTGTCAGGGGGCAACAACACGTTCGATGTCCCCCGCTCGTCCACGTGAAAGCCGGAGGAGAGGAAATCCGCCCACGATGGGGTGGTTGGTCGCCCCAGATCGCCGTTACCTGATGCGGGCGTGGTCCTCAGACCCTGCTGCTGCTGCTGCCGTCGCCTCAAGGCAAGCAATGAATCCTCGTCTAGGTCGTCCTCCTCGAGCGCGCTCGTGAAGCCGATATCTTCGAACCGAGACCACGATGCATCACGAAGGCTCGTGGAATGCTTCGAACTCGACACGGCCTGTGACTGGTTTGCCGCGGATATCGCCCTAAGAACTCTGCGGCACTCCTCTGTCAAGGCCTGGATGGGATCTTCGTACTCGGACCATTCCTTGAGCGCCCTGTCTTCGTCGCGGTACTGGAAATGGTTGGCCCTCCGCAACAGGGCGAACGGAGTGGACGACACAGTGTCGACAATCATGGCCACCCTATAGGTCGACGTCTGCAAGAGCGCTGGTCTCTGGGGCGGGTATTCGGTCTCCTGGAGGAGCTTCTGCAGCGACATGGGTAGTAGCGAGATGGCGCCGCGTGTCGTCGGCTCGGGCGCGAGAGATCGGAGATATGCGAAGAACAGATGGCTCGTGGCGTCGGCCGCGCTGCCAAGCGCCGGTTAGCGAGACATACAGAGCAAGATGCGAAACTTGCATGTCGCGGCAACACTCACGTGAGCCATGATTTGTATCCGCCCTCGAACCCATTGCCGTTATCATTGTGCTCGAACGCCCACCAAGCAGCCATGCGCGAGAGCTTGCGCCCACCAAATCCGTTCATCTTGCTATGGGCGGCGATTGCGGAGAGAAGGTCGAAGAAGTCGAAAATGATCTTTGAGCGCGCTTCGTTGTCTACGCTGAGAGGAATAAAAGTCTTGAACGAGTCCCTGGCCATGTGCGAGTCTGCACCGCGCGTCAGCTCAACCGTGATGCGTTACGTACGCGAGTGTTCGGGGCATACCTTGCTCTCCGACCTTGAAGAGCTCGTACGAGTCCCAGCCAACGACGCCGCCCTGTAGTCGGCTCCAGCACCATTTGACCACTCCTGAAATAACCTGTTACCGTCGTTAGCACTGCAAATGTGGGCATGCGCATGCGACGCGTGTGATTACTACGCGACCGTACCATTGGCTCCGTCATCCGTAGCTCTTGAGCCAGGGCCTCTCCACGAAGAACCTGGCCGCCATCTTTGCCGTCGAAAAAGTGTCGTACAAAGGTGCGGACTGCGCTGGGATCTGAAGTCGGTCGGAAGGGAAGGAGGAGGAAGGGGAGATCGAGGGCTGCAGGTTGCCGTTAGCTTGCTGCTGCTGTGGCACAGGGCGCGTCAGGGGAGCGCCTTAGCGTAAGACAGGCGCAGCAGGCGCCCAAGGTCAATGTCATACCTCGGGCCTTGAGCTCTTCTGTACAAAAGCGAATCAACTCTTGCACCTCGTCGGGCTCGATGGTTTTGCGAGTCCAGGCATCATCCCACCGAGGTTTCTGCGGTTGCTGATTTGCGAGCTGATCGAGAGCGCCTTTCTTGGACTTGAGCTTGCCGTTGCCCTTCAGGCGCGAGAAAAGGCCGGGCATCTTGGGTTTCGGGCGCCTGTCTCAGAAGACAAGAGTGGAACGTGTAAGTCGTGGAAAATAGCCCAAGAGGTATCCCGGGAGAAGAATCAAGCGCTGGGGTTCAGATTGCCGAGATGGAAGAGATCTGGTTTGAAGCCATGTACTGACTTCCGACAAAGGGAAATAAAGAGTTTTGTTCGCGCGAGATTGCTGCTCAAAAGTTTGTAGATTTGCAATTAAGTCTCCTGTTGTGCACGTCGTAAGGTAGCATTGACCGGGTGACCTGGAACTAAGAAGATGGATGCTCCAAGGTACCTTAGTCGCCAGAACGATGGCCTGACAAGGTGGCACTGGAAACTGGCCAAAGAGTATCGAATGGATAGGGTACAAAACAAAGGGTACGCTGAAGACCGACGACGTGAGAATACAGACCCAAAGGATGCGAGCAAAGGCGAAGAGAAAGCAATGGCGTCGAGAAAGTCTTCAGGGGCTCGCGTTCTCAGCCAGGTCGCGCCAGGAAATTGCTCTCGACCAGGTCATTGCTCAGGTCAAGTCCCGTTTGGCTGGCACTAGCCGCAAAAAGATACCTGCAGTCTTGGGTACCAAGCTGGATTGGGATTAGGCTCTTTCGGAACACCAACCTTGGAACTGCTAGCGAATTGCTGCAGCCCATCCAGGAACAGGAACAGCACATTGGGCGAACACAAGACCGGGCCTCAGGCCGGTCTGCTATGTCCCAGCTCTTTATCATTTGAAATGAAGAAGAACCGCTGTCAGGGACAATACTGGTCTTATAGACTGCTTGCTGCTTCCCGGTGCCAGCTGGACGATAATGCCTTACATCTGCAGTGATTGATAACTGAACACTTCATTGCATCACTGGCGGTTGATATGCCGTATCTTTCTGGCACAATTTTTTCTTGAGTTTCAGCACTACGCTAAATCCGTTTTTGTCTGACTCTTGTGGGGTCACGGAGCGGGAGGGCGGGTGCAGAAGCAGTGGCGGGGTCGGATATCAGGGTCTACCAGCGAGCCCTCGTTTCACCCTTCAAGAACTCCACAAGATCGATCTCTACTCTCGCAGTCTTCACGTTAATTCGCATCGCTCAGCAGTAGATAGTTAACCACCAAACCATGGGTGTTTTCCGCCAATTTAGATTTCAATATCTTCTCCTTCGACATAGAAATTCGAGACCCGACCACTTCTGTTCCTGATTGAGTGGGCACGGCACTTGGTTGGACGTTGCACTGGAGCAACACAAGCCTGCAGGATCAGATTTCGCCAACGTCACTTCCGAGTATCCCAGAATTGTGGTGTAGTTTGGCGAGAATCTGACCCGCAGGGTGCACATATATGGCTAGCTCTTCTCTCATCGTGCCAATTGCCGTGGGTAGTGGGCTCCTGCAGCTTTCTTGCATGATCTGGTCAGTGCCAACTCATCACCCCACGTCGACAACAGCCAACAAAGACCAAGGCAACTAAATCATCGTTGATTGACCAACCGCAACGGAGGACATCTGAGCAGGGTCTGAGTTGGCACTGGCGCGTCAACGAGCCAGTGCCCAGCGTTTGGGGGAAGTCAATCCGGGCAGCCAACCGGACTTGAACGCATCGCACTGAGACATTGGAGTGGATGATCAGGCTGCTGCCAGTCTATATATTTCCGATGCGATGTCGGACATATTTCAACCAGCCACAGCCAGCGCATACATACATAGAACTTGTTATCCTGTGTTACCCAGCTTCACTGTCCATCTGACGGCTCCTCCAATCAGGCTTTGTATTCGGGTGGGCGGCTTTCCTATCTTGGAATCCTGCCACAAGACAACACTCCTTGTCTTCCATCTGCGTATCTCTTCTGTTTTCTCTCCTCTCTTTCACATTTTACTTTGTTTACTTTGGTTCACAAGAGCATTTGCTAAATGCTGTTCGCTCTATTCGACAAGTCTACACTGTTCCATGTCAACGGACGGCACAACTATGCAACTTTTATCACAAGCAAGCATGGGCTGTATGATGGCCAAGGCCCTCCATGTCAAAAGTCAATACTGCTCTGCTTACAGATAGGGTATGATGGGACAGCACATGAATCGGGAGACACAACTTTGTTCCCAAACTCGAGCCGAGGACTCAGAAACTTAAGACAACAGGCCAAAGGACCTGAACATGAATCAGCGCTTTGTCGCACCAATGTGACCAAAAGCATCCTTCCACGGATTTGCCTGGGATATGACGAAGTGAACTACGAAGTATAGGATTAAGGACATCCGATTAGAAATAACGGGCAAGACTTGAACGAGCCGGATTGAATTTTCGAAAGGTGGGAAAGTTTGGCGAAGGAAAACGAAAGAGGGGGGGGGTTGGGGTTTATAGGGTTTCGTGCTTTTCCATATTCAGGAGTGCTGAACACACCTTCTTTGCCTCATCAACAGCAGTTCAACCCGGACGTCACCTAACTATGAGCAGTGGAAATACCTGCCTTCTGAATAGCAAGAGCAAGAACGACCACGAAGGAGAAGAAAGAGGATGGAAAGCTGCAACCAGCTCTCAACCACATGCTGCTCTGACTCCTTGGACAGCACCTGGTACTAGTGGGATGACATTCGGACTATGATCTCACCATCCAAGAGCTCCGGCGGTGCTGCTAGTGGGCTGAAATCAAGGCTGCAGAGGTGATGTCACGGTGGCATACTTTACAAAAAGGAGCAGCAGAGGGTGTGAAATCACCGCGCCATCGACGGAGAGGTTTGGAATTGCTGTTAATGAAGGAAGGAAAGTATGTGTTCTCGGATTTCATTCATCTGACGACGCAGAGTCACCACTCTTCCGCGTCGGCTCGTACTGTTTCATCATCATCATGTCTACCAACATTGTGGTTGAAGTGTCGTGCTCCGTACTTAACGTTTGACAACCTATCCCCCAGGGGTAGCCTCAGAGAACGTACAAAACCGGCGCCTCATCCCTATTTCCCAACTGTAGTAACCAACATTCGAAATGACTGATCCTGAGGCATGTAGCTGACTGGCATGGTTGGACAATATAACATACAATAACCCAAAGGCAGACAGCGGTGACCCCAACACTCACTGACGCATGACATGTATGCCCCAGACGCAGGCGACCTCATACCCTCTCGTCGACTGGATTGAACAAGCCAGTGAGCAAAGCTGACCGTTTTCGACACAGCGATAACAAACAAATCCAGCTCCAGATTATGCTTGGACCTCGGGCGCCGCATTCTCATCGTCTTCCGCCTTCCCAATCGCGCCCTTTTTCTCCACGACCGTCTCCTTCGCGCCCGCATTGGCCCCCAGGACCGAAGCCTTGACGACCGCCTCAACCTTCCGAACCACACTCCCCTCCACCGCCTCACCCTCCACCTCCTCCTCTTCCTCTCCTTTCTTCTTGGCCCCATCAACCCCTTCCTTTTTAGTTTCCTCTTCAAAGACACTCGCGCCCTCGGTCAGCGCCCAATCCACCTTCCCCTCCACCCCATACCTCTCCATAAGCCACTCATTCGCCATCCGAAAATGCCCGCACGTGAAGAATCCTCTCGCGGCGGAAAGCGGCGAAGGGTGAACACTCTTGAGCACCAGGTGCCGCTTCCCGTCGACCTTCAGCACCCTCTTACCCGCGGGCGTGCCCCACGCCATGAACACGACGCCGCGCGTCCGGCGCGCAGCGACGAGGTCAATGACCTTTTGGGTGAAGCGCTCCCAGCCACGATTCGAGTGCGAGTTGGCCTCGTGCGCGCGCACCGTCAGGCTCGTGTTTAGCATCAGCACGCCGCGGTCGGCCCAGGGGGTGAGCAGGCCGCCGCGGTTCGGCGGAGGGGTGAAGGACGGGTAGTCGTTCTTGAGGGCGATGTACATGTTCTTGAGCGAGGGCGGGGCCGGGGTCGGAGGCCGCACCGAGAAGGCCAGGCCGTGGGCTTGGTTGTGGTTGTGGTAAGGGTCTTGGCCCAGGATGACAACTTTGACGGTGGGGAAGGGGGTGTGCCGGGACCTGGGGGTTGGGTTAGTGTGATTCGTGTTTGGGAAGGGCAAAAGAGGAGCGGGTTAGGCTCGTACCAGCTGTAGACGTCCTCTTTGGGAGGGAACCACTTCTTCCCGGCGGCCGTCTCGCGGTCGAGAAACCTTTTCAGCTCCAAAAACTCCTTGGTGACGAGCTCGTCCTTGAGCAGGGCCAGCCAGCTCTCGTGGAGTGTGTCGATCTCGAGCTGGAGCAGGCTCCGCTGCTCCGGGGTGAGCGAAGCCACCCATTTCGCCTTGTCAAATTTGGGTGCTGCGGGCTCGGATGCCGGAGCCACAGCCGCAGCGCTGTTGCTTCCACTTGCGCTTCCGCTGGTGGCTGACGGCTTGGGTGTGCCAAAGAAGGACATGATGTTGCCCTGCTTCGCCTTCTTCGGCTCGGCACCGGCTTCGGCGGCGGACTTGCGCTTAAGGGTAGACATGCTGTAGGCTAGAGGCCGGGGAATGAAGCTGAAATAGAGTGGAGTCGTTGATGAAAGAGCTAGTCGAGCAAACCGACTACTGAGACGATGATGGCGGGTGGAGAAGAGAGATAGTGAAAAGGCGGAGGCTGAAGCCTTGTTGAAGTTGGGAATTTTGTGAGACAAACGGGCTGAAAAGCCCTGTAACAATTCTTGTTTGGTCGGCAACGAGAAATGCAAGCTCCGCAGGAATTGGCAACCGAGTTGGAAGTTGAAAGTTGAAGAGGTCTGAAACTGGATTTCCTCGATGCAGTTCAGACGAAAGCGGAGATATCGAGTGCCAAAAACCGGCAACAGAAAGGCGGGCAGCTGGAGATGCAGCTCAGACCTTGCACCTTGCAAGCTGCAGCCATGGAAGCCTGGATGGCTGGCTGGCTGGGCGACCAATTTCAGACTCCGTCCAGCTAAAAACGCGTTTCCGGACGCGGATTTTGGCGTCACTCATTAAGAGGTTATGCAGGGGGCGGCAGGGGGGAACATGGAGCACTGCCAGTGACTTGATTCCCTCGCTCAAAGCTCCAATGATATGTATCAAGAAACAGAATCCCTCTACGAATATCAATTTCAATTTCCGACTCTGTGAGCGCTTTCAATGCCTGATTTGTTCCCAAAGTCCAACAATCGGCAGGAACTGTCAAGCTTTCAAAGGTAGGTGGAGCACGCGATTGGTGGGTCTTTCAGCCCCAGGCGCGCCAAACCCAGCCCTACGCGACGTCATTGGCCTGCTGAGCCTGCAACCACTTACGCGGAGACGGGTAGCCTTCCCAGAGTGCGTGTCATTACGATGCCTTTCAAGAAATGGTGGGCCGAAGACTCGCGGGGGGGGGGCAGGAGTTGCTCATGCGCTCCATGCGCTCCTTGCGACCAAACAACTCAATTGTCATAAGAAGACACTCAAGAAAGATGATGAAGCGATCGAGTGGACAATTTACAGACAATTTAAGATCGGAGACCAACCAAAATCCAAAAGACTTTGGAACAGCTTATCCCACGGTATGCTACTCCCAAAATGCTACCTACCCCTTATACGATGCATTACTCCTGAATATACAAACACGCCAACTCATCAACACACATCATCCCAGGTACTATACAATCCCTACCGGACTTATTCTATGGCATATGGACAGCCTGGGTACATAACTTACCCCTTCCACGCCAACCACCCAAAGAACCCCACCACCATCCACGCAACCCTCCACACGCTCGTCCACAACTCCGTAATAACAACTCCAAAAGCCGACACTGGCCTTCCCCCAGCGCCTCTCGCCCTCGCCTTCCACTTGCCCGCCTTATTACCATAACCCCCATAGTCTTCCTCTTCCCCTTCACTAGGAATCTCGATCCTCGGCGCGGCCCTCGGCCTCCCCGCCCCAGCCCACCCCCACTTCCCGCCGGACCCCTTCCCATAGCTTTTCCTCCTGCCATGTCCCGACCTATGCGCTCCGCTATTCCCCGCACCCCTGGGGCCGGCCTGGCCATTCGGCGACGACTTCCCCAGGCTGCCGGAGCGATCGCGCGTGGCGCTGCCGCCAGGGCCGTTAAGAAAATGCGACGCCGAGAACCCGCGCGGTAGGGCATGCTCGTCGTAGTCTTCAGCCTTGGCTTTAAAGACGGGTAATATACTCCTCCGGCCATGGCCGGACGATGATGATGGTGGTCGTGGTGGGGTGTCAAGGGGGTCGAGGGCGAAGGGTGTCAAGCCCAGGAACGGGACGAGGAGCGCGCGGATGGTGAGGAGCACGATGCTGAGCAGCGCGAAACTGACGTAGTGGAGGTAGGTGGACAGCTGGTTCGGCAGGAGGCACAGGTGGGTTTGCAGGGTCGGTTGACCGGGACTAAGAGGCTGGCCAGTGGCTGGGTCGATGGGGTTGTACAGGCTCACAAGCAGGAAACCCGGCTTGGAGACGCCCATTGCCATGCTGATGCTCTTGACGGTGATCTCGGGCACGTTGCCTTGGGCCGGGGAGTGGACGACGGCGCAGTAATCGTGGTCGTCGCCCGAGAAAGCGTGGACAACGTTGCCAACTTTTTTAATGAGCTCTTCTGAGTCCTTCTCACTGAGCACGTTTTGGTATTGGTAGCCTCGCGATACGGATATGGCGTTGCGGTCGTCCGGGAACACGGGCTCGGTCCGGCCCTTTGGGGGCTTCGTTGGGGGCCACCTCTCGCGCAGCGGCCCGCAGGGTGTGCCGGGTGGTCGGTAGAGAGGCACGTGGGTGAGTAGGATGGTTGGCAGTTCCGGCGCGTTGCTTCCCCCGTGTGGTTTATCCTCAGACTTGGCCATCTCCGCGTCTTGAATTTTGTGCACGAGTTGGCCCTCCTGGGTTTCTCCCCGGAGGTACCGCAACTCCCTGTCGATCGCCTTCTGCTTGGTCCCGTTGAGGCCGTTGAGAAAGCGATGGACCGGCTCATAGATGGGTCTCAGATCGTGCCGCCCAGCCTGCGCCGAGGAAGCGGCGCTCATCGACACAGTGTCGACGGACACAAACGTGTGGTTGCCGACCACGTCCACCCTGTTGCCCTCGCCAAAATAAGTTTCAAACCGATCCCTCACAGACACTTTGATCTGGTCGCCAAAACCCAAGTCGTGATTCCCAGGCAAACTGGCAACCAATTTCCGCCTGTTTCTCTCGACATCCCGCCCCGCTCCCGCCCTTACCCAGGGGTTCAGGAAAATGTTCCCGAACCGGGCGTACTCCTGCAGCCAGTAGAACTCGCCGTAGGTCTTGTGCCACTTCTTCAAATACTTTTGCTCATGCTTGGGGTGCGGACCCCATTCTGGATCCTCAAACTTGCCGTGGGCCGTCTTCCACTCCCTGCCCCCGTCGAAGAGGTCGCCCAGAAAGAAGATGCTGTCGGGGTCGAGCTGCCATTGCAGCTGATTGTAAGACCGGCGAAGGTAGTTGTCGGTGACCAGCATCGTCAGCGAACTCAAGGGCCACGGCCGGCCGGGGTATGAGTGAGGGTCGATCAGCTGGGGGTCGGCGACGAGCGCTACTCGGTGGGGTTCTGCGCCGGCACGCTGTACGGCAAGCAAGCAACATGTCAGCACCTCGTCACGTCGCACAGCTCCCGCACTGGTGCTGCCTGGCTTACCCATTTCTCCCAGTTACTCCAGTGGCAGCTCTCCACCTTGGAGTGGAACGTCCACCTCTCCCCCCAGAGCAGCACCACCACCCATGCTGCCACGAGAAGGTGCGGGAAGCTCAGCAGCCGATTGTAGGTCAAATTCTGGCGCAGGCGGTGCGCCAACGAGAGCATGGCGGCGAGGGCCATGCGGCGTCCGCGATCGCGCCAGAAGCGGACTAGGGCGCGGATAGCCTGGGCGAGCAGTGCGCGGAGGTCGTCAAACAGCGATGTGGAGTTGTCCGGGTAGTACCGGGGAGGATAGTTGAAGTCGCTCCTGCTGCTATGCGGCCGAGCCATGGCGAAGGCTCGGTGTAGCCATTCCCCAGGGTTGTGCTTGCCGTTGAAACGGTGGTAGTTGAAACAGGTCCGACGGGTGTCTGGATTACCTAAGGGAAGATATCGAGGGTATTCATCAACAGGGCCGCGTGTCAATCCTTGAGCGTCAGTCTAAAAAGAGCGATCAATGCAGCTGTTTCTCTAAGCATCAGGACCCGAGTAGGTGGAATTGGTAATGAATGGTGCCGAGTTGAGGATAGGGGTTCTGCATTTGGCCGAAAAATGCTGAGCCGAAGTGGCCGGAAGCTGAGAACCTAAGAGGCCACCCCATCACAAGGTACCCTGCAACCCCGGCTTGCGGGTCGCGCCTAACAGCCGGTGGGGCAATGGTTTGCTAAGACCCCTGGCAGCCTACAATGCACTACACAGCTGGGCTTTGAGGGTTTTGAAATGTACCGGATATGCCCTGATACTTAGAACCACACTGAGGTAAGGTAGTCACGGTTCTCTTTGGTCTCCTGTTTGGCTAGCATATCGAATCAACATCATTAACCTCAAAATGCCCTTCATATCAGGGCCAAGCCCTGAGTGCTGAGCTTCACGTTCCATTCTAACAGAATCATCTCGATACTTAAATATGCGGGCACGCTACAAGCTGTTGTCTGCAATGTGAGTTGCCGTTGTAACTGGCCACGGCCATGATGATAGAGCAGCAGTGGTCTCAGGTGGAAAAAGGAGGCCGGTCGTTCCAGAGACAATGGATACTAAGAAAACGGGACTGCCTTTCTGTGCGAGTAGTCAGCGGGTCAGTATGAGACGGACTGATGTACAAGAAGCTCTCGATTGACTGTCAGTCTGTTGATGCAGTGGACGTTCCGTCTGTGAATTGAATGCAAGGAACTCCGTTCTCCATCGCAGCCCGCTACAAGCAGCCCTAACCAGAAAGCAGGCCACGACATAGAAGAACTGGAACTACAAGAAACACCATAAGTGGTGGATAGATGAAGCGCAATCCTGACCGGCTCATCCTCTTCGCCGGTCGAAGAGAGCTACGTAAAGAAGTCGGCTACGAAACCCTCGGGACGGTTTACTCTTGGGGGGGGGAGGGGGGGGGGGGGCTTAGAGTTAATGACATCTCGGTCGTAACCGAGATTCTCCACGTTTTGTCCACGAAATAATACCCAAACTGCCAGTCACGAGCTGCACTTCATCCCGTTCACCGTTGAGTGGTAATTCTCTGGTTCCTAAGGAAGCGTTGGAAGCCCGTGAAGCAGACCTCGTTCTCTATCAATGACCGCCTGGCCGCTGAGGTACGTAGGAGGAGAAGACGGAATGCAAACCAAACATGCTAGAACAGTCGTTTAGTAATGGTGTTCAGAACAACCATGTACAGCTTGAAGAAAGATGCGATAACGTCTTGCCCGGCATGTCATCCTCCTGGTCGACCACCAGCTCAGAAAACCCACGAGAATGTCTCCTTGACCTCAAAAGCGACATCATACCTATCACACACACGTTAGCATAGCCGCTCCCACAAGAAACAAACAACACAGAAACAATCCGAAAGAAACCCAGAACCACATACTTGATATCAGCCGCCGAAGCAGCAACCAATACCCTAAATACCCCAGCCTCCGCCACCCACCGCCCAACCGCCGCGTCAAAGTACCCGACCGCGTACTTATCGATGCCCATCCGAAGGTGTTTCGTCTCGCCGGCCTCCAGCTCGACCTTGTCAAACGCAACCAGCTCCTTCTCCGGCCTCGGCAGCCGGCTCTTCTCGTCCCGCACGTACACCTGCACCGTCTCCCAACCCTTCACCTTGCCCACATTGCTGATGCCGACTACCAGCTCAAGCGTGCTGTCGGGAGTGAGAACCTTGCCGCTGAGCGAGGGCCGGCCGTACTCAAAGGTCGTGTACGACAGGCCGTGGCCGAAGGGGAACAGCGGGGAGATGCCGACCCGGTCGTAGTGCCGGTAACCTATGTAGATGCCTTCGCCGTAGACGACGGACTCGTTCTCGCCTGGCCAGTTGTGGTATGCGGGCGTGTCTTGCAGGCGGCGGGGGAAGGTACACTATCCAAGTTGGGTCACTGTTAGGATGGAGAAAAATCACGGGGTGTACTGGAGTGAAAAGGTGAGAAAGGTGGGGGGCATTACCGGGAGTTTACCGCTAGGGTTCTGCAAGCCAAAGAGTACGTCGGCCAGTGCATTGCCTGCTTCCTGACCTTGGTACCACGCCTGCAGAATGGCTGGCACACGGTCGGCCCACGGCATGGTGACGGGCGAGCCGGACTGGTTCACGACGACGGTGCGCGGGTTCGCCTCGACGACGGCCTCGATGAGGCGGTCCTGGCTTCCGTCCGAGGGGAGGTCCATGGTCTGCCGATCGTAGCCTTCAGACTCCCATTCGGCGTCCAGGCCGACGATGACCACAGCCACGTCGGCCGCCTTGGCGGCGTCGACGGCCTCCTGTAGGTAGTCGATTTGGTCCTCGGCCTTGAAGCCGATCCGGCAGCCGCCGTACTTGTGCGTCATGTTGAACTGCTGCTGCTTGGCCAGCGGGCGCAGCTCGTTGGTCATCTCGACGCGGAGCTCCACAGGCCGGCCGGCCTGCATCTCGACGTCGACCAGGTAGTCGATGGAGCCGTCGAACATGGCCTCGCCTTCCTCGGTCCAGTCCCAGAGGTCTAGTGCGAGCTTCCCGTTGACGTATAGCTTTCCCGGGCCAACAGACATGAAGGAGATGGTATGCTTGCCGGTGCATGGGGGCGTCAGGTATGTCGTCACGACGGCCGACCACTCGGGCCCGACATGGGTAAGCGGTGCCGAGTCCCAGAGGAACAAGTCAGTGTTGGTCCGATGCTGAATCACCCCCGGCTGCCCCTGGAACTTGTCGCCCTTGAACCACTCGATCGACACACCTTGCTTCCCCGTTTTGTCGGAGCAGTAGGGCGAAGCAACAGGAAGCCACTTATAGATATGGCATCCCTGGCTGTAGGTGACGGGTTGCTGGGCGACCTTGCGGATGCTGTCAAGGGGCAGCGTGTTGTAGTACGGGTTGAGGCTGGCACTTCCCCCACCCCCAGCAATTGCCCTGTTGGCATTTGGCCCGATAACGGCGACCTTGGCCGTTGCAGGGTCAATAGGCAGGATGGACTCCTCGTTCTTCAGGAGGGTGAGCCCCTGAACGCCGGCCTCCCGGATGAGATTCCTCGTCTCTGCACGGTCATCTTCCCTCTCCTCGGCCTCGGGTGTCAGATCGCTCCCTTTCGTCCGCTCGACGAGAGTGAGGACATTCTCGGCGGCCCGATCAACATCAGCCTCGGTCAACCTCCCATCCCGCAGGGCCTCATGCACCTTCTCGAAGCGCCACTTGGTAGAGAAGGGGAACTCGACATCGCACCCGGCCTTCAGCGACTCGACGGTGGAGTTTAAGCCACCCCAGTCCGAGATGACGGTTCTTGTGGGGAAGCGTCAGTTGATCCTCCCGTCCTTGCTTGTCTTCTGTCTTGGCCGAGTTTGCCACTTACCCGTCATACCCCCACTCGCCGCGGAGAATATCTCTGAGCACGTGGCTGTTCATGTCAGAGTGGGCGCCGTTCACGAGGTTGTATGAAGACATGAGAGCCCATGGCTTTGCCTCGCGGACTGCAATCTCGAACGGACGCAGGTACAGCTCGCGGAGCGGCCGTTCGGCGATGATGGAATTGCTGGTCACCCGCTGAGTTTCCTGCTCATTGCCAACGAAGTCTATCGACAGTCAGCACTCCCCTCATCTACAGTGTCCTCGAACAGCACAGACGTTTGATAGTGGCAGCCACGCCCTTCTCCTGGAGACCCTTGATGTACTGCGCAGCGAGCTTTCCCGTGAGGATGGGATCCTCGGAAAACGACTCGAAATTTCGCCCTCCTAATGGGTGCCTGTGCATGCAAACAGTCGGCGCCAGGAGAACGTTAGCTGACCGAGCCTTAGCCTCCTCGGCGAGGTGCTGGCCGACTTGGTAGAGGATGTCCTTGTTCCATGTCGCGGCCAGTGAGATACCGCAGGGAAAAAGGGCGGCCTAGTTCGATAATCAGATATATGGAGGGTTATTGCAGCCGGTTTCGAAAGCTCACTTTTGTGCCGCCGACGAAGATTCCACCGCGAGCGCCGTTCGGTCCGTCACTTGTCTTGACCGCTGGGATGTTCTTGGATGGGATCGCCTTGGTCCTCCAGAAGTCTGCGGCTGTCAGGAGAGACACCTGCTGAACGTCAACCATCGGCGTCCTGGAAAGAGGTTGGGAAACAGCAGACTTTTTCCTCCAGGGTCAAGGTGGCTAGCTTCTTCCTCGCGAGCGCCCTCTTATCCTTGGAGGGTTTCTCCTGCTGTATCGGACTGTCCGGCGGAGAAAGCTCGGTGTATGGTGTGGAATCGGTGTCGATGCTGACGACCGGCGACGGATTCTGGTCGATATCATGCCCGAGATCGACACTGTCTGCTGGCGTAGGACTCGTCATTTTACCGTCTCCTCCAGTCTCCTCGTCCAATATGCGGAATCCAGAAGCGGTATAAGCGGCGCGTTCACCGAGCTACGATGACAGCACGAACTGCGACGTGTGTTCTCGGCCACTGGATGCTTTACCAACGAATGTGGCGTCTGAGAACGGGGTATCACAGCACAGTTGCTCTGATGCATCCGGCATCAAGACTGCGGCCAGGGGAGAGGAGACAGGGGAGAGGTATATACGTCAACGGTAGCTGACAACGGCCCAGCACTTGGGGTCTGCATCTTCCGCACATTAGACGTGGAATATGAAAACGGTCTCCATGGAGGATCCCTCGGGTCGAATGGAGCCGGCCCTGCCAAGATGAAACGAGGGTAACGGTGGGATGAGGGACAACCGAAAGACGAACACTGGGAGAGATGGACGGTACAAAAGATACCCGTCTTCCAAGTCACCCACGGCATCTTGCGGTGTGGGAGCAGCCTAGGCAAGGGACTCCGAAAAGATGCAGCACCATGGGGTGGTGGGGTCAGGAAACTGGAGAGTTATTCAACGGCTTTCCATTCGTGATTCCAACTTTTACTGCGGTAATGACTGCCCTCGGGTGTAAATAGCCAGATCGGTACGAACGGACCGGGTGAGCGGTAGCAAGTTTGGCACCCGCTGACAGGCTTAGTTATTGCCAAATCGCATGCTCCGCGACCCGAATAAGGTGAATTTGACCAACCTGGGTGGCAACAGAGACAGGCGTTCCCAATGAAGGCACAAGCTCAAGTATTGTTAGATCCCTGAAGCCAAGCAGAAGCCAATCCATGAAGCAGTCGATGCTCACGGGGCTCCGAAAGGCGATGACGACGGTTCGGTCCAGAGAAGGCGTTTTGGGCACATGCCCCCACAAACCGGCTCGTCGCTTTAACCTTGTCCAGAGAAGCCCGCTTGGCGCCAACGGCCTCGAAGGACCCATAATACACAGTAAATGGTCGCCAAAGGTCCGCACCCATCCGGGTTCGCTGTTCCGACCTCTCACAGGCGGTTGCCCGGTACTCCGTAGAATCGTCGCTGCTGGCAGGAAACACCTGTGGGCGTTCGTTGGACATGGACCGCCTGAGGGCCTCTGTGACCTGGCCAGCTCCCTTGAGCCTTTTCCTCATGCTGAACGAAAGTCGAGAGCCCACTCTCGTACATTCAGCACGGCAAGTAGTCGGCAGAACGGCACTGAGGTTGGGCCCTGTAGAGTCGGAAGATATCATAAAACGCGGCGGACGTCGAATCAAGAATCGAGGTTTTGCAGACTCGGGGCAATTGTCGGAATCGGATTCGGCGACGCCTTTTGTGGGACGGAACGGCGGCCCGAGTTCCTTGGCAGTGGGCGACACCGGCGGGACGGACTAGCTGCCGCGGAAGGGCATGTTATGGAGCTGGGCGTGGAGCGGGCTGTGTCCCTGGCTGTTGTCGCACCGTTTTTCTGTGCTGTACGGTACACGGAGTACCTATTCCGCACCCAGACCTGCGTTGTTATCTTGCTGGTACGGACAGGTTTGGGTGATGAACAACGGTGGCACATCCGCAGCGCCCAGCTTACAATCCAGCCCTGATTTTGTTTCCGTTTCCTAGTGCGAGACCACGACAAGGTCCTGGTCTCAGCATCTCGAACTCAACAGCGCAGCAACATATTTTAAATGCGGAAAGCTCACCTTGATAGGGCTTATCTCGACATGCTCTACTATGCATTGCATTTTTTCGCACAAAAAACGGGCTTTTGGCTGTTGAGTTGAATGTCTGTGATTTTTGGACTAGGGTCTCGGTGTTGGGTCTCGCGCTAGGAAACAAACTAATGCTGGATTGTAGCTTCATGCAAGTTCACGAGATTTCCGGGTGGCGTCGGCGGCAGGCGCTTGCCGAGCCACGTTCACGACCCTGCATCCATACAAGCAATGCGCGTCGGTCCCGCCACAGTGCCGTGTTACCGTCCAAATTTGTTCGTAGTCCGCCGTGTAAGCAAACGAACATGAGCGAGAGCGCCACGGAATTTCCCGCCAATGGCCACGGATAAACGTCGGCCAAATCAGACGAGCCGGCCCGTCATCGAGAACTAACGGCACCGAGTTGACCGAACCCGATGACCTGGTTGGAGAATACTGTGTACCCGAGGGATAGCAGGCGGCCTAGCAGGCGGCCTAGCAGGCGGCCTGACGAGAGTCTATGTACAGCGTTTCATGCAGCTACGATGCCAGCTAGTCTTTGTACACCTACGTGTAGATCGCTGCACGAGGTCTGTGGATTTCGCCATGATGAAACCTTATCTTGTCTGTACCAAATCGGAGAATACAACGCATCAAACCCTGAGCAGCACGAACCGACCCCGCCGCCTTCCCTCGATCCATACAAAGCATGGCAGCGCAGTTTCATGCAAGTGCCGTTTCCACCACTCGGCCACCGACCCGCAGCTCCATCCTCGGATCATGCAACGTTGAAGAGAGCCGCACGCAGCCAAGCCTGCCATTCCCTGGTCACCTAGAAACCTGCCACGCACCCAATGGAGCGACATCTCCCGCCTCAGGACGACCTTACGTGACCTCCGCATATGCGAGCCAAGCAGATACATAAGGTAGATGTGCTGTAAAGTAGGATGGCTAGTCCCAATTTCAGCGACTGATCCGCCTGCCATCTAAGTGTGTTGTACACCGTCTCTCGCTGACTGCCCGTTACGTAGGTACGGGACGGCATTCCGGCTCGCCAGAGACGACCGGGGTTCGACTGATAATCTGTTCATTACTTTCTCGTTTTGCTCGTTTCCACTCACGGCAGCTTTGGGCTACCTCGAGGCGTCACCCGAGGCAGAACTTCCCCGGCCCGGTGCAGGATTGGTACCCTTCAAAACACAACGTCCTGTCGCCAAGGCCCTTCGAGAATGTTTACCCGGTGTAGATTGGCCGCTGTGGCAGGTCTACGGGCATGTTGTTTTCGATGTGATCCGGCTCAACTTAACGGTCACAGGGCGATTGTCTTTTGAGTATGCGGATCTCGGGCTCGTCATATCCAAACATTGCGACAAAGAATGTCAGGGCAGCCCAAAGAAGTCACCAATGGTATTCGTAGCCTTCAGCCTAGGATGATCATGATGGGCCCTGAAGCTCCCCTATGCTCCATCGCAGTTCTCGGACAGCCCGTCTCTCAACAATCAGAAGCGGCAAAGCGTTCCAGTCTTAACCACGCCGTCTTCCCACACTGCCATCTCGCGAATCGGAAAAGCGTGCCGGGGAAACTCGGACCTTTGATCGAAGCGCCTCTTCCCTCAGCCTCTGACTGCCCTCTGTGGGCTCAGGTGCCGTCGCTTATGTTGTAGAGCCATCACTCGCTTACGAGCCGTATAGATTGCGTGCATCGAGGGAGCTGCTTGCGCATTTAGGCTCTGCAACCTCGCTGCCCAGGAGGCACGCAGGCGCCTGTCCCATCTGCAGTAGATTAGTATATAGTAAGATATCTGCAACATGGGGGGCTCCCCCCAATAAGGCGTCAGGTGCGGACCGGGGATCGGTGTTGCTTCGACAGCAGCTAATAACTTTCATAACGCCCAACAGAAATTCCGTCCGTATCAGATCTGATCGGATCTAATCGGCTATGTGCGAGACATGGGCCGGCACTCGTCTGGTTATCGACAAAGTTGGGGAAGTCTCGTCCAGGATTGGTCAGCTACCACCGCGATCCACCACCTGGTTCGCCCACTACGCAGACACGAGACCACCTCATGTGGCCAAAGTTGTGAAGCGCCGATTTGCTTTACAGCCAAGTGACGCTTCGTGAGGCGAGATTTCTGTGCCCGCTTCCATGCTGATGGTGGCAAGTAGGCCAGAATATGGTAGGAATGCTTGGTCTGATATGTATTGTGCCGTTATACGGACCACGTCCAGAGCTCCGATGGCGATGGGTGATACATTGAAGCGGGACGAGGTGCCTTTAGTCACAGTCGAGTGTCACCTCTGGGCAGTAGACGGTGAACTTGCGCAAGCATATACAACCTGAGATGGGTTCGTCTCATCAGCCTGCAGTCGGTCTGTCTCGCTGAATTGAATGTTGCCAATTGCAACATAAATATGGCCGAGGCTCGCTCCATGGTGAGCAGTGAGTGGTAGCATAGTCATCTGCCTCCGAGTTTGTTCGAAAGAGTCGAGAAGCGGGCAACCTGAAAGAATATCGAGATTGAACTTCCAGTTTGAAGCTACCAGAGAAACCTCCAGGGCTAAGAGAGACACTGTCAGCTCAGTCCCACTTTAAAGAGCGATTGACCAATCACAATTGCTGTAACATTTTCAACTCTACTGCATCCATTTTCCCATCCAAACCATCAATTACCGACCTCGCCAGCGACGGACGTCAACTCTCACGCGTCGCTCCTCGCGGGCACCTCATCACCACATAAAGCACTCAAAAGTAATTCCGACATGAACCGGCACGGTCTCCGGGTCGCCCTCAGGCGCTCCACACCCTCCACAATCGCCCGCGCCTTGCAACTCCCAATCAGCACGACAACTCCGATATCCTTCTTCTCAACCACGACCTCCCTCCCGGCAGGCGACGACAGCAACAGCAATGGCAGCGCAGGGCTTCGCTCACAATCCGCCGCGGCGGTCGAGAAACTAGCCCAGCTCAACAAGCAGCGCCAGAACACCACCAGTCCAGACGGCCGTGACGGGTTCAGCCGGAGCAGGCCGACGCAACTCGGGAGCAGCCGCAGCGTCTTCCGCAACAGCGGAAACGGCGGCGTCGACGCTCGCTCACTTCGCGTTTCACCCGCAGCAACGGCCGAAACGGGTTCGTCTTCGCCCGCTCCCAAGATTCTCAACGTCCGCAGCCTGCGCGGCGGGCTGCGCTCCCGGACGCCGTTTGGTCGGGGCGGGCTGAGCGGTGGTGGGCTTGGTAGCCGCCTTGCGGGAAGAGTAGAAGGAGGCGGACCGCGGCCTGGGTTTGGTCGCGGTCGACGCGGGGGGTTTGGAGGAGCGAGAGCGGGTGCCGCGGGTGAGGGCTCCGGGCCGCGCGGCTCGCGCTCAGCTCGGCAACAGCAGATCAAGAGCGCCAGGGATCGAAACAAGGGGGCCAGGAAGGCTACTTCAGCGGGAAAGAAGCTGGAGTGGTCGCGCGAGGAGCAGGCCGTGCTCGACCGGTTGGAGAAGGGCGAGGTGGTGCCGTTCGACCCCAATGTGACGCTCGACTCGCTGAGCGGGTACGGCGCGGCGGTCGCCACGGACGCGCCCATCGGCCAGGTCGAGACGGCGCTGCGGGCCATGAGGCTCATGACGGGCGGCATGGCCTTCAACTCGGACTCAGGCGTCACGGCCGACCTCACCGACATCAAGAAGCGGTACCTTAAGAAGATGCCCATTTTCGTGCACAGCAAGAAGGAGAAGGCGTGGATCGAGAGCAGCAATCCTAAGCTTCACCTTGTCGGGCCCGACGCCGCAACCAAGAAGGCGATTGTCGATACTGCTATCCTTGGAAAGTACGAGGCGGCTGGATATGCCGAGATCAGCGACGTCAGGGGTACCATCGCCAACTACCACGCGCGGACCTTCACATACATGGCGTCAGACTCGCAAAAATTCATGGCTAAGGTGCTTTCGCTGCTGCCTGCGCAGGGGGCCAGTAAAGCCGCTGCTCAGGCCAAGCGCTGATGGGAAGGAGAGAGTAAAAGGAAATGAGCTCCTAGGGCCAGGAGCACCTTGTCTATAACTTATGTAACAATACCGTCCTCGGCCCAGTGTTCTATGAGTCTGTTGTACAGAGGTATCTATCACATATGAAACACACACATTATTCTAAATCACCTGGCCTTTGCCACGTATGACCGACTCCCAAACTGTATACCTTTTGCTCAACACGTCATTGCATTCAGCTTCCCCTCGCCATAATTCCCGCCACAACCTCCTTCTCCTTCACCAGAATCACCTTCATCATCTCATCCTGCAACTTCTGCAGCTTCTCCCTCAACTTATACATATCGTCATTCAGCACCAACTTCTCTGCCCTCCACTTCTTATGCAACTCCCCCCTCTTATGCGCCTCCTCCCTGACCCTGGTCCTCCACGCCTGGCACACGTCCTTGGCCCTCTTGACGAGCGCCTCGGCCCGCTCGGGCTCGACCGTCATGGTCAGCTCGAGCGGGTTCTCCTCGCTGCGCTGCGGCTGCTGGTTGAACTCGTCCGACTTTTGCACCGCGCTGATGATGGGTTTCACCGAGGCTTCCTCGAACGCCAGTATGCTCCACCGCCGGGCCCCCAGCGGCGCCACGGTCGCCAGCTCCCGGAGCGGGAACGTCTGGGGGGATTTTTTGTCGGGCTGTACGCGGATAGCGCCGACCGTGTCGGCGTTGAAGCGGCCCCCCGTGCGTAGCTTCTTGAGGTCGTCTAGATAGCGCTTCTCGGCGCGGTCGAAGGCTGTTTGCAGGTCGGTGAAGTCGAACGGGTTGAGCATGTCGGCGTCGTCGACGGGAGAAGCTTTGGAGGTGGAGGTACGAGGTGGGGGGCCGGTGGTGGTGCTATTGTACTGGTGGTTGGGGTTCCCGTCGACGTTGTTGTTGCTTCCGATCTTTCGTTTTCGGTGTCTGGTGGGGGTGTAGCAGAAGGGCCGGGCTATTATCGGAGGCTGCCATGGTGTGGTGCTGGTGCTGGCACTGAGGGGAGAGGGTGCCGGTTGAACCTCATATGTTCTCCGGTTCTGAAGTAGAGCTGAAGAGGTCCTGTGACGGGATGTCAATCTGGGTTGTGGGTTGGAGGGCGAACCATTGGGTGGAAGACGGACCTAAGTGACCTCCCCGGGGTCACATTGCCGCGTAATAGGCTGTTGGCAGCTCGTGAAGGCTTCATGGTTTGGTCTTGTCCGACCTTTTGTGTTTATCGCCTGCTCAAATCTGGATGCGGTTTAAACTTTCAGGTTTGTTGTCCGCAGGGACCTGCATTGACAGGAGCCAATCACCTCAGGCCGGGCTGAAGCCAGAACGCCCAAAGCTTTGTCGTATTCATAGTTGATTATTAACAAAATAAATCAGTTGGCTGTGTGGCCCAGTGGTTAAGGCATCTGCTTTACATGTAATCGCAGTATCGCAGAGGATCGCAGGTTCGAGCCCTGCCACGGTCATCCCTCGAGTCTCTAAATTTAGAGATTTTTTTGTGCAGATGTGTCTTTGCGACAAAACCATCAGCTCAGTGTTTGGGGTAGTTGGCTCACGGCTTGTCTTAATCTAGGTAGTACCAAGTCAGAGTTCTTGGAATGGCTATCCGGGGGTTGCTTTGCATTCCGGGCACAAGTAACAGGGAAACCGGGCCATCATCTCAAATTTGATTCGAAGTTACAGACTCCGGGCGGCAAATGGAGCATAACAGAGCAAAATTTGAATACCTACTGTAGACAAGGAAATACCATGGCTTTCGCCCGTTACTAATTCAAAGAGAGATTTCACAGAGCCGTATTGCAAAGCGACCCCGAAGAGCCACTGGAGCACCCCATGTGGCACCTTTTGCTCCAGTTCCAATTAGTGAAGTCTGCATGCACTCTCACATAGACCACCCATAAACTTCTCTTCCTCGTCCTTGTGACCACACCCTGCAAGCGCGGCCGTTGAGACATCGCCTTCATCTCCCGCCCTTCACATCAACGGGCGATACCGCGAGCGATGATGCAGAGCTTCGGCAGCACCAAAGCCCTCTCGACGCCGCTACCTCCTCCTCCAGCATCCTAAGCCGTCTCATATTCGGGATCGTCTTCCCCTTCAGCATCCGCATCCTCCCAATCGGCGTCGTACGCCCCATCGGCGTCCCCGTCCCCAAACCCCAAGTTGTCGACCCCAGCCTGACTCACGTCCCCTTCCGGGGCCAGAGTCGGCCACTAATTGACTTGGTTCCCACAAAGCAGGCACTTGACAGGCTCTGTCCACGTCTTTTCGCCGTCGACAACCCCCTCGCGCAGGTCCCGAAACTCAATCAGCGGCGGGCCCATGTCAGCCGTCTTGATCGTCGCCGCGAACAGCCCCTCCCACGGGCGCGAGCTCTCGCCGTTGGCTTCCGCACCCTTAGATTTCCGTGGCCTGCCCGGCTTGCGGCCCGCCGTCGACTTGCCCGCGGTCGAGGGCTTGCTCGGTGTGTCGGTGATCTCGCTCGTCGAGCGCGGCTGGTCGGCGGGTCGCAGGGGCAGGGAGTCTTCCGGCGCAGCTTGGGCATCTTCGTCATCGGCGGGGCCCTGCCGGACGTCGACGTTGTCTTTTGTGCTGACGTGGACAGAACCTCCTTCGGCCTTAACGTCGATCGAGTGTTCCGCAGACCCCTCGGCACCCGTGTCTGAGGGGCTCAATGGGCGCTTCCCCTCGTCGCCGGTCTCCTCCTTCTTTGTTGAGACTGGGGGCAGGTGTGGTTTGTCGGTGCCCAAGCGCTTGTATGCCGCCCGAAGCGCGTCGTCTAGGATGCACTGCTCGTGCATCCACTTCTTGCACGATTCCATCGTGCACCCGATCAGCATCTTGTCCGGGTTCGCGGGGGTGTTGCAGCTGCAGACCAGCTCGACCGTCTGAGCGAGCAGAGTTAGCATGAGACTCGCTGAGCGGAAAGAAGGCAGGGGCCAGCTGCATACCGAGAGCTCGTATGTCCGGACGTCAAATGCCTGCCGCCAGTACAGCGCATTTTGTATCTCTTCGTCGTTCTCTTCGTACCACTGCTTCACTTGCGCCTGTTGCGTGACGCTCACAACGTTGATGATGTCCACTGCGCCAACGTCAGCAATGCTCGTGCGGTATGCTAGTGCCGCAGCCAGGGTTGCTCACTGTGGTTGGAGGCGACCAGTTCGTTCATGCCGTGGTATGGTTGGCGGCCCTGGATCACCTTCTTGCCGTCGTGAGTTCCCTGCGGGAGCTCGTCCGGCCAGTACATCCAGTAGACTCGTGCATAGACGTGGTGCTCGTCGCTGGCGCGAATCTCTAAAATGCGCGCAACCCAGTCGTCGTCCGACTTCTTTCTCGGCTGGATAGGCTCATTGTTATTGACAGCCTTTTGGCGCTCGATGCTGGAGTCATTCGCGACATAGATGAAACCCTCGCTGAAGTACTTGATTCCATTGACTGTGCGGCAAGGCGAGCGCGTGGATTAGCCAACGCGTTCCCGGTTCGGCGTGGGCAGGTTGGGAAGGCGAGGAGTTGAACTTACGGACGAAGCTGTTGTATCTCGTCATGTCTGTCCATCTCTTTGCCGGATCGACTTGGTAGTAGAGGTCCATCGTCTCATGTGTCTTAAACTTGCCGGAGGGCGCAAAGGGCGACATTTGCAGGTTGACCTTATGGGCGGCGTCGTCCTCATCACCAGTCTCAGTCCGCTTGCGCTTCTTCTTCTTCTGGTCCTTATCCTTGGGATCAACAATCTTGATCGTGAACGGGCATTCGGCCCGGTTGTCTTCGGGCTCAGTCCGGGGCCTCTTGCGCGCCGATGCCATGGTTGCCGAGTGTTGCGACGGTTGCGCCGAGATGGAGACGGACGGCCCGTTTTGGGATGGAAATGCGGCGGGTTCCGTGAATCCTGACGTATTCGACGACAGAGTACTACGCGTCTCGATAGAGAGTACTAGGGAGCTAACGCGTATGTATGTCTTTCCTCGAGAGGGTGGTTTTGTGGGTGTTCCGGAAATGCGTCAGCTCGCAGGAGTTGGGTGGTGGCCCCAAGGTCCAGTGGGAGGGAGGGTCCTGGGAGTGTGGCCACTGTGGTGGCTGGGAAATCTGCCGGTACTATGTATCCGTACGGACCAGGAAGGACAGCCTGGAAGACACAATAAAGCTCACAGGCGACTGCAAATAGGGCTTTTCCCGGCGTGCAGAAGGCGGGCGCAACTTTCTGACGACTGCCCCGGCAGTCTCGGTGTGCAGATGAGCAACGCACCTGCGTCAATGGGCAATGGCAGTTGTTGGCGCCGTGCGTTTCGTCACAATGGGATCGAAGATGGTAGCAAAAATCACAGATCCATGTCCCCGCTAGCTGCCGTACCCGAAGCCTGAAGTTGAGGAAGGACCAGCCACGTGATTCCAACGAGGCCCGCCGGAATTGGAGGAAATTGTTGTGGCTGGGCGCCTCGGATGCACGCCAAGGTTTGGGTGGGGCTGACCTTGAGCTTTGATTTTCCCTATCACGGGAAAGCACCAAGCCGGGCCTTGTGAGCGCTTTTTAGCTGTGGCCTCAGAGCTGCACTGCAAATTGATTGTCGAGCTGTTGTTCGACTGCGCCGCTAACAGCGCTTTTCCAAGAGGGGTGTTCTCAAATTCTTTTCAACCGCAAGAAAGTGCGCCAGGCGCATCGGATACTATTAAGACAACTTTTTGTGTGACAGCTCCCATATCTTTCTTAGATACACCATGAGAATCGTCTAGACAAGTCCAGAACCAGCCATACAAGCAGCAGCAGCAGCAGCAGCAGCAGCATCCCAACAAACTCAACAAATGAAAGACCATCATCATCACGATGAAACCCCGACACAATACGCCTGACCGAGCCAGAAGTTGGTCACACAGTCCCGGCTGACAGCAGGGTTCCAGTCGTAGAACTGGTTCAGCGAGATGCCATTGTCTTGCGCCATCGAGGCGCAACCATCCCCGGGCTGGACAACATCCCATTTGCTGCAGTTGCTCGGCTGGCCCGTATGCGTCGGCGCGGGGGGAGTTGGTTTGGCACTCGTCGTCGCCGCCGCCGTAGAGGTCGGTGTGGGTGTACTTCCGCTTCCCGAGACGCCGACGCAGTATGCCTGGCCAAGCCAGAAGTTGGTCACGCAGTCCCGGCTCACTGCCGGGTTCCAGTCGTAAAACTGGTCCAGCGAGATGCCATTGTCTTGGGCCATCGAGGCGCACCCATCCCCCGCCTGCACAACATCCCACTTGTTGCAGTCGCTTGGCTGGCCGGGGTGCGTGGGCGCGGGAGGAGTCGAGCTGGCAGCACTTGTCGTCGTCGTCCTCGTGGATGACGACGTGGATATGGTTCCGCTTCCAGAGACGCCGACGCAATATGCCTGGCCCAACCAAAAGTTGGTAACGCAGTCGCTGCTAACTGCAGGGTTCCAGGCTAAGAACTGGCTCAACGAGATACCATTGCTCTCAGCGAGGGAGCCACAGGTATCGCCCGATTCCACAATGTCCCACTTGTTGCAGTTACTTGGCTGGCCAGCGTGCGTCGGTCCTGGGGGGGTCGGCTGGGAAGTCGTCGTCGAGGACGTCGTCGTAGCTGTGCCGCCTCCGTCTCCAGAGATGCCGACGCAGTATGCCTGGCCGAGCCAGAAGTTGGTCGCGCAGTCGCGGCTGACCGCCGGGTTCCAGTCGTAGAACTGGTTCAGCGAGATGCCGGCGCCGTCGGCAACCGACTGGCACGAGTCGCCCGAGACGACGACGTGCCACGTGTCACAGTCTGCCGGCTGGCCCGAGTGCGTCGGCGCAGGCGGGGTCGGGCCTCCATTGCCGGTCGTGGTCGTCGCCGGAGCCGTCTCGGTGACGCTGCGTGTGGCCTGCAGATTCCAGGATCCGCAGTACCGCTTACCGGCCACGAAAGAGCAGGCCGGATCCGTGACGTTGGTGGCGAGGGCGTTCCAGGCTACAAAGTTGTCGTAGTCGGCGTTGTAGTTGCGGGCCGCGAGCTCGCAGTTGCTCTTCCAGTACCCCATCTGGTCCGACGGGAATTGGTAGTCGTCGCCCTTGAAATAGTGCACGCAGTCGTCGCGGACTCCCGTGGCCAGCGGCGCAGGGGTGTACGGCCGCGAGTAGCTCGTCACAGTGGCATTGGGGAGCATGGTGAACGGAACGCCGGTGAAAGTGGCACTGGGATCAATCGTGATGGAGACATGACCCGGCCGGCCAGGGTATGTATTGACTGCATGGAGAATCGAGGGTCAGTACAAAGGGGCCTATCAAGAAAGTTGAGAGTGAGCGAGGGTGGCTTACTGTCTCCCACTGGCTGTACGCAATAACTTTCTCCCGCGTACAGATTGGTGCAGTTGACATTGATTCCTGTGTTGAGAAAGAGAAAGTCCTCTAGGGAGATGGCGAACTTGAGGACCACGAGGTTACAGTAATCGCCCGCTTCGACGTCGTACCAGCGGCCGCAAGGCTTATTTGACCCCGCGGCAGCATCGCTTGGCACAGGGGCGGCCGTAGTCGGGGTCAATGGTGGGATATTGGTCGTCACAGGAGGAGGCAGCTGAGGCCCGGGAGGACTGATGCAGAGCGTGGTGCCGTTCATCATGTTGATGTTGGAGCAGACGGGGTTGATGACAGGGTTCCAGGCGTTGAGCTGGGTCTCGGTGATGCCTGCAGCGTCTGCGATGGCGGCACACGTCTGGTTGACTTCAACAGTCACGATGTCGCAGTTGTTGGTGATACAGAGACTGCCTGACGTAGGGACTGCTCAACAAGGTCAGTCATGGCTACGAAGCGTGACTCGGGAGCAAGAGTGCTGATTTGGGGACAAGGCGACTCCGTGACTTCGAGGCATTTGGAGAGGGGCAGAAAGAGCACGGATTTGACGTACAGTCGGCACAGTAGGCGGCCAGATTATTGTCTGCGAGAAGCCAAGCGGTGCCAACGCCCTGGGCCTTGGAGATGCTGTAGCAGTCATCGCCGCTCTGGATCGCATACTGCGTTCCGCCGCACACAGCCTGGGTGGGTTCCGGCTGGCTGGTTGAGTAGTCGATGGTTGTGGTGGTTACCGGTTTGCCCGTAATGCCACAGCTCAACGTCATGCTCTCATAGAGCGACTCGCTGGCCACGACGGGGCCGTCGAAATAGGGCGATCCGGCGCGCATGCGCAGCCTGGTTGCGATGCAAGCATCGCAATCGCCAGGCTCTGTGGCCCCCTCCGGGGCCTCGCTGAGATAGTTGAAAGGTGAGACTGTTGGAGTTGTCAGCACGCGCCACGGGAAGCGGAATCAGATATGGACTAACCTCCAGGGTCTCTGAAGACGGCAGCCAAGGCGGCAACAGGCCCGCAAAAGGTGTTGTTCTCGCGCAGACACGTAAAGTGGAACGTGTGCTCGAGAGTGGCTGGAATCACGACCGGCGATGCGGGAAGCTCAAAATCGGCGGGGACGCTCACGCCGTCGCCGCACGCGGACCGGACCGATGCTGTCCACGAAGACAGCGCCGCGGCGCAGCCCGAGGTACACATGCGCTCCAGAGACGCAGGGCGGTAGAAGAACTCGGGGCGAAGATCCCGCACGAGGCGGTCACAGGCTACGTCGGCCAGCAGAGCCGCAGAGCAAGCCGAGGGGAGATCATCGGGCAGGCTGTCGTCGTAAACCATTGTGACACCGGCCACGGGCCGAAGGCTGAGTAGAGCCCCGAGGCCCAGGAGGCGACAGAGTTGTACCATGATGGTGACGGCCGGAACCAAAGAAGGAGAAGTCGAAGTTCTGGCCTGACTCATGGGTTGTGGGAGGAGACGGAGAGCTGGGAAGTCGAGTGATTAAGTGACATGGGTGAGTTCAATGACATCCCCTCTGCCGGTCAGCTCTCTCGACTCACATCTTGAGATAGATTAGGATCCATCAGGGGCCCCTTTTCCTGGCACTTTCGAAGAAGACAAACGTGCCAGGGGTAGGTATTCAGGGGTAGCCGCTATTCCGCAGGACCGGAGATGGACAACCCGCGTTGGGCGTGTTCAATATTTCCTGCAACGTGCGCTACGCCGCTATATCGCATGTCAGACCGGGTGACACCTTCTTGAAAGGACCGAGGATACATACTGGACCACTCTCTCCACCTTGCGCTGACCACCATCTCAAACTACACGCGCACCACTAATACGCGAACGGCATGCCCGAACAAGCGTTTGCCACTACAGGTCGAAATGACCGACCTGACCGACAGACTTATTCATCACGGCGGGCGGGCCGAACCGACAGAATGCTATACTATATTACTACCCTACAATCCACCGTCTGGAGACGGCCAATCCCTCATCGACTATACCCGCCTTCCCCTGCATGACAAGGGTTAGGATGACAGTAGGGTAGCAGCACAATGTCTGTACCTGCAGGAAGGCTGTAAGGACCTAGTCAGCTGAAGCGGGACAGGATACTCGAGCAAAAAGGGGTTGTAGTGAGAATGTCTTGTTCGACATTTGAATAGCCACGCCGGCGAGATGGAGCACGACGTCCTCTGATCCGTTAAGTGACCAAGGGCTCCCAGGTTTCCTGTCATTTCTTGACGCTTGCTTCCGTTCCCTGACCATAGGGGCTTCACTCTTTTGCCCCCCGTTCCTTCATTATTACCTTAATATCCTTTCCCTTTTTGCCTCAAACACACCTCAAGACGGACGGCATGGGGACACGGTCCTGGCTGTTCTTGAGCACTTTGCTCCTGTTGACGTTGACCACACGCAGTATCGCGGGAGTCATCAACATCAAACGTCACGTTGAAGACCTGCCCCGTCAGCCCGAGACGACGTGTAGAAGCGCCATTTCGTACGTCTGAATGCATGCAGTCAACTGAACCTCAGAACTGACGGCGCCAACAGGATCCTGGACTATTCGGCCAAGATCCGCCGTGAATATGAGCTGCCAGTCTGCAGTACTGGCGAGGCTCCCAACGGCGAGTCCCTCGTAGGGGAGGACTCGCTGTCGTTGCTGTTCGGCAGACAGGTCGTGGGAGGCGACGACTATTCGTGCGGCCCAGACCGTCCCTGCAAGAACAAAGCGTGCTGCCCCAAGGAGACGCTTCAGTGTAACTATGGTGAGGAGTATGTGTTGCCCTGTCCTGTCCCAACCATCTTTACCTGATATACACGCTGACTCAAGATCCAGGTACTGCGGCACGTCGGGCATCTCGCCCAATGAAGTCTGCTGGTCCAACTGCGATGCCAAAGCAGAATGTGGCAAGAACGCCAAGGTCCCTGGCCAAAAGTGTCCTCTCAACGTCTGCTGTGGAAAGTGAGTGTTGTGTTCCAGTCCTCGGCGACTGGCTCGGGAGAACAATTGGCTAATGGCATGGCAATCTGTGAAGATGGGGCTTTTGCGGAATGACAAAGTGAGTCGACAAGTCCCCCCTACCCTTTTCCCGCTTGTCTTCTAACACCAAACCGTCAAAGGGACTTTTGCGAAGTGGAAGATCATGGCGCCACTGGCGGTTGCCAGTCCAACTGCGACCAGCCAGGGCCCAAGGGCAAGGACTCTGAACAGCTGGATCGTGTCATTGGATACTACGAGGCCTGGCGATACAACTCTGAATGTCAGGGGATGGTGAGTGCCATCATCAAGATCAAGTCCAGAGAGCTTCAAAAACTGAGATGATGGCGACACAACACACAGCCCCTGAACGACATACCCATCAACTCGCTGACTCACCTGTACTTTTCCTTTGCATTCATCACCCCCGAGTTCAACATTATCGGCATGGACGGTCTGCCCTCGGAGCTCTTCAGCAATTTCACCGACCTGAAGAAGGGCAATCCGAGCCTCAAGGTGATCATTGCCATCGGAGGATGGACACACAACGACCCAGGTATACGTGGTTCGTCCATCTTGTCTCCTATACGAGCTAACAAGGCTGCCCAGGACCTCTGCAGAAGGTGTTTAGCAACATGGTCAGCACGAAGCAGAACCGGTCGACCTTCATTGAGAACCTGATGGCCTTCCTCCGTCAATATGCGTTTGATGGTGTTGACTTTGACTGGGTACGCAACGCCATACCCGTCAGATCGTTCTGATGACTGACTAGAGTGTCGAACAGGAATACCCCGGGGCTGACGACAGAGGTGGCGTGCCCGAGGATGGCGTTAATTTTACCCAGTTCCTCAAAGAGCTCGAAGAAGAAAACAAGAAGCAGCCGAAAAGATACATTGTGTCTTATACCGCGCCAACGAGCTTCTGGTATCTGCGCCACTTTGACCTGAAGTCGGTCGACTATGTCGACTTTGTTAATGTCATGTCTTATGAGTACGTATCAACCGGCCACGACCCTGAGCGAACTGGTATACGACTGACCCCGTACAGTCTGCACGGAGTTTGGGATCGTGACAACCCGATCGGATCTCACATCTACGGACACACAAACCTGACGGAGATGAGTCTGGCGTTTGACTTGTTCTGGCGCAACGATGTGCCAGCCGGCAAGCTGAACATGGGCCTTGGGTTCTACGGCCGAGCCTTCCAGCTAGCCGACCCGGCCTGCAACAAACCCGGCTGCGTCTTCAAGGGAGGCGCAACGAAAGGGGCCTGCAGCGGCGAGTCCGGCATCCTCAGCTATCGGGAGATCATGGAGATCATCCGAACCAAGAAGCTCAAGCCCGTCCACGACAAGGTGGCGGGCGTCAAGTACATCACTTGGAACACTGACCAGTGGGTGTCGTACGACGACAAGGAGACGTTCAAGCAGAAAAAGGACCTGGCCAAGGAGCTGGGCCTCGGTGGGTTCCTGATCTGGGCCATTGACCAGGACGATGACCAGCTGTCGGCGCTGTCGGCCGTGCTGGACCCCAAGCCGCTGGGCGATTTCCGGGCAGACAAGGCCGACGACAACTGGACGGGCTCCAACGAGATGTGCTACATCTCCAAGTGCGGCGAGGGGTGCAACCCCGGCGACATCAAGATCACGCAGCAAAAGTGCGACAAGGGCAAGGAGAGCAAGCTCTGCTGCCCGCTCTCGGGCGCCCCCGATCCCAAGGACTGCACCTGGCGAGGCGGGCCCCCCTTTTGCAACGGGCATTGCCACGACGATGAGGTCATGACGCACATGAGCAAATGGGGCGGCGGAGCCGACTGCTGGGACGGTCAGATGGCGCACTGCTGCACGAGTCCGCTCGGCGAGGAGAACACGTGCTACTGGGCCGGCGTCGCCGAGGAGTGCAAGGCGGGCCATCTGCCCTTGACCTTCTCGGGCACCGTGCTCAGCATCCTCGACGACATTGCCGAGGTGATCCTCGCCGTCGTCGGCCGCGCCGTCCCACTGGTCTCGCTCACCGGCCGCCTGCTCCTCGAGGTGCTCGACCAGCTCGACCTCGACACCAACAAGCTGTACTGCTGTCCCGAGAAGGACCTCGAGCGCTGGAAAAACTGCGCCTGGTACGGCAAGCCGGGCAGCTGCTTCGACGGCCACTGTCCCGACATGAAATTCGTGCAGCTCACCGACAGCTACTTTGGCGGCGGCGAGACGTGCGGCATCCAACTCTCGCGTGTGCGCACCTTCTGCTGCGAGTCGGCGGGCGATCCCCTGTTCCTCCCCGTGCCCCTGGGGAACCTGTTTGAGCACCCGCCCGACGGAGACAGCGTCGACACCGACTTCAGCCTCGAGACGGACAAGTCCTCGGCGAGCGGCGACGACGACCCCAACGAGGCCGCCTTTCAGTTCGTCGTCCTGGCGTCGCCGGAGGAGCTGCAGGTGTCGATCGACAAGCGCGACGGCTCCCATTGGGACGTCTTTGGATGCGACGACGCCGTCACCGAGGGCGAGCACACCGTCAGCATGGTCTGCACCGACTTCTCCGAGAACAGCAACTGCCACAAGATTGGGCTCGGCCACGGCGTCCCCGGAACCATCCTGCAAATGCCCCCTGGCTGCGGTCCTGGCAAGTACGCCGTCGCCAAGAGCATGGAGCCCGCCCCGGGTGACGACCACGCCAAGCTGCTGCCGCGCCGCCTCACCCACCTCGCGCCCCGGAAGCCTGTGGTGTACTCGCTGACCTTTGACTACGACTTCGCCCGTGTTCCGCGCGACCTCGGAAGCACCCAGATGCGCATCGACTTTAGCAACCAGGACGACTATTGGGACACGGTCGTCGCCGGGTCTGTGTCCAAGAAGAAGAGGGACCTCACCAAGCGCACGCTCGCCGACGTGGGCGGCAACCACGTCAGATGGCTTGAGGAGGAGTTCCGAGACGATTACCACTTTGGCGGGCTGGACAAGCGCGACCTGCACGAGCGGTGGTTCGGCACGAGCATCCTCGAGTGGCTCGCGCAGCTCGTCAAGCCAGAGATCAAGCGCGAGTTCATGCACAGGTACGACGACACTCTGACGGCCAAGCTCATTGACGAGACGTGGTCCTGTTCAAAGGGCGACGTCAGCTACGAAGGCCACCTGCTCGCCCAGGCCCTGCTCAAAGTCAAGGTCGAGTCCAGCTTTGGCTTCACCCTCATCGTCAGCAAGCTCAGCCTGCCCCTCGACCTGAGCCAGAGCTATCTCACCTTTTACAACAAGGGCGAGATCACGGGCGTTCTGACCCTCGAGGCCGTTGCCAAAGTATTCTACGAGAAGAAGAGCGTCATTCTGAACATTCCCTTCCCCGGCGCCTCCTTCAAGATCCCGGGCATCGCCACCATCGGTCCCCAGCTCACGGTCGAGGGCAGCATCGATGCCTCCCTCGCCGTGGCAGGCACCATTGAGACCAAGCTGGAGATTGCCAAGTGGGAAGTAAGTCTCCCTTCCATCCTTTCAGAGTGCGCATCATCTTTGCTGACGTTGGATGTCCCCGTACCTTGTCAGGTTCGCCAAGTCGTGCCGGACAACAACGACGATGCGTACAAGCCCAAGGAGATCGGCGAAGGCGACACCAGCCTGGACCGCACCGGCAACTTTGACGGTATCAAGAAGCCTGAATTCTATGCGGGCGTCGCCGTTCAAGGCGACGTCACAGCCCGGCTCTCGGCTGCCGCCGAGTTTGGCATCCGGTTCGCCGACAGGTGGGAGGTCGACCCGGCTGCCGCCGCCGTCGTTGGCGAGGCCAGCGTCATGGCCAAGCTGACGGCGGGCGTGTCGACCAACGCCGTCTGCCCCTTCACGTACAGTCTCGACGTCGGCGCCCGCCTGTATGCCAGAGTCCAGGCGCCGCAGGTCTTTGGCTGGTCCGGCGGCGAATACGACCTGACGCCAAAGTGGAACAAGGGCATCATCGAGGCAGGCACCTGTCCGGACCTGGGAGCCATCCCGTCCAAGAGAGACCTGGGCATCGTCGGGGCCGCCAACTATTCTGCCGCCGACAGGCATGGCTACTACGGTCTGCCTCCTCCGCTGGAGAGCGCCGGCTTAGTCGACAACGACGGAATACAGCGGCGATCCAGTCATCATCTGGCCAAGAGAGGAGGCGTGTACGGTCCGGTGCTCAGCCTCCCAATCGGCAAGTTCTTCTGCCCGCCGTCCAACGATCCTAACGAGAACGAAAGCAGCTCCTGTGCAGACGTTGAGCCAGCATGGGACAAGGACAAGTACCTCAATGAGGATTACGAGAACATGCGCAGGAGGCGGTCAGAGGACGCTATTCCTGATGGCCACGATGATGATCTGGACGACGTGGAAGGGGAGATCCTGGCGCACATCTTCGGGCGGGCCATCAGCAGGAAGCCCGTCAAGGCATGCAGCCTCAGGACAACCTTTAGCTACCCGACGGACGGCTCGCTCGCGACCGGCGCCCTCATCTACGGCTGGGAGCAGCCCAACGTCTGCGGCAGCTACGACTGGGGCGGCCCGCTCAACGCACGCGTTGCCGGTACTACCTACCACTCGGAGCATATCCTCGAGGCCCAGATGGTGTCGCAGTTCTTTGCCTACATGGACGAGAAGACTGCTCCCGTGGCCAACCCGGACCCCAATGCCCCCGTCAACAAGAGGACCATCTCGTTCTGCGACTACGTCAACGTCATGTTCGACATCAACGCCGTCGCGGCCCCGGGCATCGACACAGCCCAGGGTTTCGCCGCACAGCTCAAGCCCCTCGACCACATCGCCGCCCAGTTCCCGACACACCAGTGGAAGACGGACGAGTACGTCTCGCTTGAGTCCGTCATCAACACACCCGCCAAGGGCAAGGCCTGGGGCACCGACGACAACATCATCAACACGTCGTCATGGCTGACCGACAAGTTGCCCAACGCCGCGGGCGCCCGGGCGATGCTCAAGGCGATGCGCTCCCTCATCGGGTCCCGCCTGTACCACAACGACTGGACCGTGCTGGGCATCCTCCGCGCGCAAAAGGCCCGCGTGGGCGCCATCCTCGGCCTGCTCGACACCACGGTGCTGCCCGCCAACCCGCCGCCGGGCCTCGCCGCCTGGCCGCAGCAGGGTTTCCAGCTGCAGGCCGAGTGGGACACGTTCATGAAGGGCGAGTTCCTCCTGATGCAGACGAAGACCATGAAGGTCATCAATGATTTCATGGGGCCCCTGAGGGAGCAGTGGACGAGCGACGCCGTCAAGCAGGCCAACGAGGACCAGCCGGGCGACAGCGCCACCGTCCTGGCGACCAAGCAGGGCGTCAGGAACCTAATTGATGACATTGAGGCCATGAATGACTACCTGGCGACCATGCCTGCTTGGCAGTGGCCTTTCTGAGCTTCCAGTCTTCCTCGGCAGATGGGGGCGGGAGAGAGGGAGGCCCAGACACTATTTCAGTCTTTATTATGTAGACAGAGACTTGGGGAATGGCTTGAAGTGTACCTTACTCGTGAAATATTGAATTTGTGCGTCTCATCCCAATGATTGGGCTCTGCTGCTCTCTTCCTGCCTAAGCGACAATATGGGGCTTGATGTTCCTTTCACGCTCAAACTCAAAGTCCAGCCACTCCTGTCGTCCGAGGTTCTCAAACAGGTCCAACACGCTCTGGCTCGGTCTCCAGTCACCGACCTGCCACTGGACCGCGGCTTGAACTGGCCCCTCGTCCCCATTCCCATCACCAGCGAGGTATCGCACCCCCCACCTATGAACGCCCTTTTCACTGTCGTACGGCGCCTCGTCTCCGTACTCGTCTGCTCTGCTCTCGGAAGGATACCAGGCCAGGTAGGCGAAGAGCTCCGCCTCCTCGAGGGCGCCCATGTTCTTCACGGCCGAGGCAAAGGCCGAGAGCAGCGGCTCAATCCTCTCGGCGAGCGGCTCGGTGCGGAACACGTTTGGGAAGTAATCCACCTCCTCGCCGCCTTGGGGGTCCTCGTCCCACTGCTCGTCCACCTCCTCGTCCTCCGCCGTGGTTTGCAGAGGCGGATAGTGGTCGGCTTCGGAGATGGCGAAGCCCTCGGGATGGGGATCCTCGCCTCGCGGGCCGACGAAGTACCAGCTGCCGTCCGGTCGCAGCGGGTGAAACTCGATGATGAGCCGCCGCATGCGGGACCACTGCGCCGACGATGGCGCGTCGGGGGCCGGGAAGAGGTGCTCCGTGACAAAGGCTCGGAGGTTGAGCTCCTGTAGCTGGGCCGCCAGCACGCGCAGTCCCACGGACAGGGGGTCCTGCTGCGCTGGTGCCACGAGATCGGGCATTGCCAGGGCCTGGTCGTCGTCGCAGGCAAGCCTCGGCTGCCAGAACCACAGCCTGGCCTTGCTCAAGGTGGCGGGGATCCGCAGACCGCCCAGCAGCTCCTCTTGCTTCTCCATGGCAGCGCCAAACTCGTGACGTGCATCGCGCCAGGGCCCTTCCCAGACGCGCGTGAAGTGGCGGATGGGCCGGCCTGCCGCGGGCACGGGGAGCCACTCCCACAGCCAGGGGCAGTCGATCTCTGCAGCACCGGGGAGATGGACGAGGCATTCCAGGGGCACTCGCAGAGACACGGGTCGGACGCGGTCGAAGTGGAAGTCCTGAAGCGGGTCGGAACCCTGCACGATGCGAAGCTTGCGCACAAACGGCAGCGCAGGGAGCGTCTCGGAATTCTGCAGCGTCAGGCGGCGCGCGTAGTAGATGCGATGCCGGCAGTGCGGGTAGCGGTCGAAGGACTGGCACCCGATCCTGATTTCGACCTCGATGCCCTTCTCCTCGTCTATGGGCGCCAGCTTGGTCTCTGCCAGCGATGCTGCGCTTCTCGCGTGGTAGGCGGCCAGCTGCTCGTACAAGGCGTGAAACTGCGCCGAGAAGTGTGCGCTGACGGCCGTGGTCTCCTCGACCGACTCGCGGCAGGGGAGAGGGTCTTCTTGCGGATTCTGGAGAAGCGGCATGTCGACTTTCTGGTAGACGTGCGCGAGCATGCGACCGACCTCGGCGTGCCCAGCGGCGCTCTCCTGAATCGAGGCCTGGGTGCGGCCATTGACGTCGGGTTCTAGGATGATGATTGCCATGATGGGTTCAGCATGAGAAGCAAGGTGATGATGATGACGGCAGGTTGGAACCCACAGTGTAAGAAATCACACATGACTGACCTGAGAGTGCGACGCGGGGATGCAAGGTGACCAACCGCCCTGCAGGACTGCAACTCAGTAACAACGTCCAAGGAGTGCAGGGATGGTTTTTATGCTGCTTCATTTCCCGGTCTTCATCGTTACCTGCAGTATATGTTGACACGATGGATATCTGTGCGCTCTAACTTCAAGATGAGCCTTACTCTTGGGAATTCAAACCGGCTCATCCGTGAACGCATAGTTACACCCCAGCCTTGCACAACCGTTTGCTTACAAGCCGGCCCCTTTCTCTTCCGCAGATTACATTAAGGTTAATATTGGGGGATAGGAAATTCTTCCAAAATCGGAGTCCAACTTGAGCAGAAAGATGTGAGACCCTGCCCGCCAACAACCAGCGCGAGAGACAATTAAATATGCAAGTAAACGCCGTCGCTATGCATAACCCAAGCGCAGAAACGAAATGTAAACAGAGCGAGCATGCAACGAACCAGTTGCCGCTCTCCATTCCCAAACCGCACCCCATCACCGATCCGTCTCCTCATCATAAGCATCCAAAATAGCCCGGCTCTCCTCATCGCCGTCCCTCTCCTCCTGGGCGAGTTTGAACCCCTCAATGATCTCAGCCAGCTTCTCCCCCTCACTCCGGCCCCTCTCGACGTTGATACACCAAATGAGCGGCGCCGGCAACCCGACCAGTGCGGCAAGGAACCAAAACGCCGGCCTGATCTCGCCCGAGGCATCGATAATTGCCCCGACAATCGCCGGCCCAAACACGCTCGACCCTTTATCGGTGATCGCATACAGCGCGTAAAACGCCGCCTCGGATCCCGGCGGGATTAGCTCGCCGTACAGCGAGCGGCAGTACCCGCTCAGACCCCCGAGCACAAACCCATACACCGCAGCGAGCGGATACATTTCCCACGGCTGCTGCAGCCCAAACACGCCCCAGCTCCGGACGAAGGGGAGGTATCCCGCAAGACCGTACAGCGGGATGATCTCGAACAGCGCAATGCACGCGAGGATGGTCTGGTGCGCCTGCAGGCGGAAGCGGCGCGAGATGGAGGACCATGAGAAGGCGCCGGCAATACCGGCTGTCGTTGAGATGACGTTGATCATGCCTAGTGCCCAGGGTTCCATGTGGAGCTGCGTCTTTGCGAAGAGGATGGCCGTGGAGGAGGTGGTGGCGATGGCATCGGACAGGAGGAACCAGCCGCCGAGGAAGAGGACAATGTCAATGAGACGTCTTGCCAGCTGTATCGTGCGGAACAGAGACTTCCACGCGTAGAGGGTGGAGGAGACGAAGCCCCGGATCCCTTTGTGGTTGGATGCTGCTGGTAAGGGAGGTCCCGGCCGAGGACGGAGCCACATGGCTGCGGGAATGGTAAATCCGGCCCACCAGGCGCCGATGACGAAGAGGACAACGCGCTGTGACCATGTTGTGTTCTTCATGCGAATGAGAATGAAGATGGCGACGCATTGCACGAACAGGGCTGCAATGTACCCAATCCCGATGCCCTTGGCTGAAATCTGCGTCGAGAGGTTCAGCTCCTGTGACGTCAGCTCCTCGCGCGTCTGCACCCGGGCCATGGGCTGCCCTTCCTCGACAGGACCATTGGGCAGTAATGCCGCAGTTGAGTCGGCCAGTCCACTCTCAACTCCGACATAGTCGTGACAGCCGAACCCTTGACCGTTCGCGGCGAAATGGGCACCCTCGGCTTCAGCATGGCTAACTTCGGGATGGTGCCTGACGAGAAGGGGGAGAAACGAGTTTAGAAGCACAAATGAGGCGCCGAAGGAGGTATTCGAGATGATAGCGAGCAGGGCGCCAAACAGATAGAGGCTCTTGGAGACGAAGATGTAGAGCATGACGCTGGAGCTCCCGATCCAGGCAAACGCGAGCAGCAGCTTCTTGCGGTAATTGCCATGGTCCGCGGCGCAGCTGATGCTCACCACTAGAAGCGCCTGCAGCAGGACGCTGACGCTGAATGTGTACATGGCGAAGCTTGCCGTGTTGATCTCCATGCCCAGCACATAAACGATGCACTGGCCGCCATCGGTTGTGTTCTTGTTAGAGCTAGAGCCACAAGGCGTTTTCCGGTCGGCGAGGAGGACGCCATTTTCCCTGGCCAAGCTCTCGAGTAGTATCGGAATGAACGAGGCTGTTATCTTGTCAATTTGCTGCGCAGTGAGATAGGTACAGCATAAAGAGCTGTTGGGCTGTCCCAGCCTCCTGAAGGACGGGGGAAGGCGGAGCTGAAGGATGCGACGACATACCAATTCCTAAGCGTTTGATTAGCTCGCTTTGCACCACGCAAGTACTGATCGATCCCCATGGGCCACTGACCGCAAATCACGTAGACCTCGGCGGCGAAAGCATAGGCGTACCAGCCGGCGAGCTCCTTGGAGCTTGTGGGCCTTGTATCGTCCCCTGGGTACCGCGACGGCGGAATGCCCAAACTGCTGCTGCCGCTGTTACTTCTGCTGCGACTCATCATGCCGAAATCTCCCACGGAGGCGGTGCTGGATCGCTCGTCGTCGGCCTCGAAGGAAGATGAATGCGACAAGAAAGAGCGCTTCGACATGTGCGACAGGCGGGAAAAGAGGCGCGGCGCAGGCGGCGGGCGCACATTCCGCAGTGGCTCGTTCTGGGGCGCCATGGCTGTCGGACAGCACTAGTGGGGTCCCCGGCAGGCAACCACTGCCCTGAACGCACAGATCAGCCGATCCCTAAAACGACGTCACTTCTCCAGACTGGGGCCTGGAGGCAGGTCAACCCAACCCAGTGAACCCACTGAGGTGACCGGATAGCAGGAGCCGTGCTGCCCGCTGCGGTAGAGCTCAGCCCTTTCGTTCTTCCACGTTCGAGATCAATTCGACTTCGGTGTCCGAGTCGAGTTCGAGCGGTTTTCTAAAAACCGTGGGCCAGCCCAGGGTGCTGAATCCAAGTCGAGGCCGATGGTGTCGCAGGCGCATGGGAAACCAGTCGTCGTGGGTTCATGATTTGGACGATATAGTCGGCCACTGTTTGTCCGCCTGCATCGAGAGCCCAGGTGTTCCGACCCGACGCGCATGTCGATAGGCCAGCGCCAAGTTAAGTACCGTGGGCGTCAAGGAGCTCGGCAACCTCCACCGGCTGGACGGGGTTAGTGTGGAACTGGGGACGGTGTGGGTGTTGATGATCGCCATCCTGCGGTTGCCGACTACCCTCCCAAACGTGAGTCAATTGTCAGGTGAGGCAACGACTGGTAATCTCTTTGTAACCCCCCCCCAATAACGTTATCTCTCCATCCATTCTTCATGAAGACAGTAGTTCCACTTCATAAGTCACTCAAATTCCCATCGAAGCACATTGACTGATACCGAGTTTTCCCAACCTCGACGCCGGCATCAAGTCCAGCTTGAGACCGATCTACACACCTCGGCATGCTGCATGCCAGCCTGACCCCGATCACACTGCCAATTAAGTCGGCTAGTTTCTGCGGGTTTCCTGCGCAACCTGTCGATTGCATGACACTAACCCAGAATCGTAGGCGCTGACCAGCTGCATCAACCCAAACCGGCACCGTCCCTCTCTCTTCTCGGTGGGGCGCCCACCGATCGCTTACCTACATTAACTATCCGTACACCGTCTATCTCCTCGCCGACATTCCTCGGCCAACGCTGACGCATAGGATTACGACGTTCCCGGCTTCATCACGCAATCGTGGCAGCCTTCGTGTCTCATTTACCATCTAACTCGAGCTTAAAAGCGGATATGATGGCAAGCTGGCAAGAGAATAGGTATCACCTGCAAATGGTGTTAGAGTTCGCTGCACACTAAGCCATGAGAAGGCAGACACCTCTGGAGAACGAAGGTTGCACATTACGGATATTCCTCCCACTCCTTTCCATTACTGGGTGGTAGTTCAGCACAAATTCGACTCAACTCAGACTGAGCCTTGCCAGTCCATTAGTGGTATCAGGGCATAATGACAAAACAGCAGCACAAAAGCCAAGCAGACCCAGCCCCCCTCTCCCCTTTCCCATCTCCAAAGCGGAAAACATCCCCAAGCACGCTGTACTTCTGTATTCTCTCACTTCTTACTGAAAGCACCCAAGATCCTCCTCTTCAACTTATCCGCCAGGCCGACCGGCGCCGCGGGCTTCCCCCCTTCCGCCGGCTTGTCCTTTTTGGCAACGTACTCATTGCCCGCCCCACCTCGGCCTGTGTGATAGTCTGTGTTTTCGGTGCTCGGGCGGATAGCGGCCTCAGGAATCAGGTCCTTGTCCGCGCGCGCGGACTGCTTGACACCCGCGTCGGCGATGTTGGCTGCGCCTGTTTGTTTTTCAAGGGAAAATGATTAGCGGCCTGACACGGGCTGACTCCTGGGATTTGATGGCCAGGAGAGCTCGCCGAGTTTCTCCTTATCGCGGGCTGTGGCTTGGCTTGGCGTGCATTGTGGGGGTTTTGGGATACAGGAGATGGGAGGGAGAGGCAGTGTTGTGATAAAAATACTCGGTAGTTGACGTGAGCATGGGAGTCTCGAGATGGGTTGGAGTAGTTGCTGTTCCCTGTTTCCTGTGTAGACGTGGACGAGGGACCTTGAGCTACATACCTCCACGACCAGTGCTGAATGCTCCGTCTCCGTGGCTGCCCACCTCCCCAACACGAACGACTTCGCCATCAACATATTTCGTGTCGTCCGGGTTGATATTGCCAGCGCCACCGCGGCCGTGAGAGACTTCCGGAGCTGTCATGTCGATGACCGTTACAGGATTAACCGAGGAGCAGGTTGTTTGTGTGAGAGCGGACAGAGCAGCGGAACTGTGGTTGGCGGGCTGAGTTCAGTTTTAGAGAACCCAGAAGCCCAGGAGACCAGAAATGGAATCGGGAGGCACCTTATAATGCACTCCAGCGGCAACGCCCATCACCTTGCAGCACACACAAAAGCATGGCTTGAATTCTGGTTCCAGGGTCGGAAGACGAGAATCATGGCACCTTGCCGAACTGATAACAATCACAGAGATAAGATAAGAAAGCAAGAGGGAGCTGGGAGCATGGGATCTGACTCCTGCATAACACAATATTCGTTTAGCATTACATGCGAGCTCGCTGACCCCCACGTTCTCTAGGAGCAAAAGCTAAGTGTCGAGAGATGCAATACGACAGGGCTTAAGCCTCAAGGCTGGGGACACTCACTTACACATGCAACTATCCGCAAGCAGGTGCAGATGGCCCGTGTGCGACGAACTGTGGGGTGGGTGTCTCTGCTACCTCTCAGCAACAGCCAACCAAACAGCATTACGTACCTAGTTTTCGCATCGCGATATGGAATTCCTTCGACGAACTACTGTGTAGATGCCTTTCCACGTGCGTCCTGCATCGGCTGGAAGCGTGCCCGCCCTCTAAGGGGTGACTCGATGGAGTGTTACCGGGACAGGGTCGCGGCCAGGAACCCAGACCGAGCGGCATCCGAAAACTAGGGCAGTGGAGAAGCGGAATGCTGAAAGCATGTTGTGTCAGGAGAATACCTTACCTTGCACGTACGGATGCACACATATGTTGCCTCCAAAGCTTCCAGGGTCCGTAGTCAGTCGTCCATTTCCATTGAGTTCCCGACTTTCCTCAACGAGAGGGTCAATTTTCCAGGCTGCGTTTCCCCCAGCCAACAGACGATGCTGCGAGACATGGTCGGGTGCGTGCGTCTGGACTTGGGAATGAGAAACCGGTCTACGCGTGCAAGTCTTGGGGCTTCTGCAGTACCTCCTTCTTGCCCTGGTGAGGCATGGCACTCCTTGAATGCACCAGCATTCCCGACGACCAGGTACTGGAGGTATGTGTGTACATACCTAAAACATTGTGAGGTACATGTATGTAGAAAGTAAAAACAATTCCTTCTCAGGGCTTCATCCCGAATAGGTTATTAGCGCGCGCCGAGTCGCGCCATGACATCAGCGAGGGAAGTCGGCGAACCGCGGCAAGGGTCCAAGTGGAAATCCCCAGCGAGGCTGTCGGCGGGACCGAGCAATACGAGACTGCTAACAACGTGGCAGCCAATTGCAGCTGGGAATGGGTAGGGCTATAAGTATCTGGGGTTTGTGTCGGATCGAAAGTCTCAGCCCGGCCAAGCACGGGTGACTGATTGGGGTTCCTCGGCGTTTGTTGAGTCCTCGTGATTGTCCTTTTGGGGCATCTCTTTCTCATCAGCTGCCCTTCCCATTCTCAACGCCTGGTCTCCTCAACGAGCCACCCCGTTTCTTGATTCGCAGCCTAGTTTCGCCCTTTAGCCGCAGGGCAGCCCGCCGAAGCTTCATCCATACAATTAGACGGCCCAAGCGATTCAACGGTCCGCGCATGCAGGACTTGCCTTAGCGTTGGATTCCGGCTACCAAATCGTGCTTTTTCAGGCCGCCCCCCAGCCTCTGCTTGACCTACATTGCAGGCGCCGGTCTCGTCTGTCTTCACGTTGCTTTTAGAATCCGAAGAGGTTCCATTATCGTGCGCTCGTTTCGCTGCGTGACCCTGGCGCATTCCCATTCAAACAAAAACCTGCTCCCCCGAGCCCCGGAGTGCCGGAAACAGCAGTCTAGGCGTGGCTACCCGGCAAACCACAATACCTCAACAATCTCGGCTTACAGCCTGTGTAACGAAAAGCCCTCTTTCCCTCCTATCCACGCTGAGCACATTTATACACACAATCCCGGCTGCAATCACTGGCCGCAAGGCCGCTGCACACCATACAAAAGCGAGATAAATCTTTGCCGAGGACGTTGGCCACCCGTCGACCATGCAGTACGTCAGAAACTTGAGCGATTCGGTCTCGACAGCATGGAACTCGATCAACCCGGCCACCCTCAGCGGGGCCATTGACGTGATCGTCGTTGAACAGGAGGACGGGAGTCTTGCGTGCTCTCCGTTCCATGTGCGCTTCGGCAAGTTCTCGCTCCTTCGTCCGTTCGAGAAGAAGGTCGAGTTCAAGGTCAATGGCGTCAAGCAACCCTACGCTATGAAGCTCGGAGAGGGTGGAGAAGCCTTCTTCGTCTTCGAAACCAGCGATACCATCCCAAAGAGCCTGCAGACTTCGCCGCTAGTGTCACCCGCTTCGAGCCCCCCACTGGACCCGATGCGGTCCGGTCAGCCACCGCTGCAGGAGCCCGAGTCGCTTGACCTCAACGACGCTGTCGGAAAGGCCCGGTCATCGAGTATCGCTCGGCCTCCTCCTACGGTCCTTCATCCTATTGGGAGAGATGGTATGCAGAGACTTCTGCCGTCAAATCGGGGCTATTGTTAACAGGAACTAGGGCTGCTCACGCCGAGGTCAACGTCTCCTGAGCTTTCTAGAGGCGTTCCACCCTCTCCTGACGGCCCGCCCCAGCGTCCTCATAGCGATGATTTCCTGCGGCGAGCAGGACGCAAGCAGCCCAGCGAGAACGGATCCATCGAGGGCGACAGTCCAACATACTCGGAACGGTCCCACAGCCCGCCACCGCTTGCGCCAGGTGAGGCTATGCAAAGGGCTATCAAACTGTCGAGAGAACTGGCCGCAGTCAACATACCGAGCCATGTTACCGAAACGGGGGACTTGATGCTGGATATGGCGGGGTTCAAGAACAACGACGAGGACGCTATCAGGGCAGAGATCCTTGCTCGCAAAGTGCTCACCGAAGAACTCGACGGCAACTACGACATTGGGGCTCTCATTGGCGTTGACGAGCGAGGAAACCTTTGGATCTATAGCAGCGAGGAGGCAAAAGCTGCGGCCATGAAAAAGGCAATGGAATCGACGCTACGGAGCCCGCCTGGTTTGGCCTCGGATGCTGTTTCAGATCCTGGCTATCAGAGCGACAGCAGCGACGCCACGGCTTCACCGAGTGCCTCGAGTCACAGGAGGACCGAGTCAGACCTTGGGCAAACGACTCTGCAGACCCCTCCGAGCTCCCCGGGCACCTCGGCAGCCGGCGACCCTAACCGGAACTATGCTAAGACGCTGCGGTTGACTAGCGACCAGCTGAAGGCTCTAAACCTGAAGCCAGGTGAGAACCACATGAGCTTCACCGTTAACCGAGCCACCTGCCAGGCGTACATGTACCTGTGGAAGCACGAGACGCCGGTGGTCATCTCGGACATTGATGGGACAATAACCAAATCCGACGCGCTCGGCCACGTGTTGAACATGATTGGGCGGGACTGGACGCATGCAGGAGTGGCAAAGCTGTACAGCGACATCGTCGCAAACGGGTACAACATCATGTACCTGACCAGTCGGTCCGTGGGCCAGGCTGACAGCACGAGGACGTACCTCGCAGGGATAGTACAGGACGGATACCGCCTCCCGCGGGGCCCGACGATCCTGTCGCCGGACCGGACCATGGCCGCGCTGCGCCGAGAGATCTACCTGCGCAAGCCCCACATCTTCAAGATGTCGACTCTCCGCGACATCCGCAGCCTGTACGGGCCAGACCGGTCCCCATTTTACGCCGGTTTTGGCAACCGCTTCACGGACCAAATCTCGTACCGGTGCGTGGACGTGCCGCGTACCCGCATTTTCACCATCAATTCCAACGCCGAGGTATCGCTGGATCTGTTGAGTCTTAACCGGATGAAGCTCAGCTACGTCAACATGAGCGAGGTCGTCGACCACTACTTTCCGCCTGTCGGCACCCTCGTCAAGGGCGGCGGCGAGGACTACACGGACTTCAAGTACTGGCGCGACACGCCGTTGGAACTCGACGAGTTCTCGGCAAGCGATACCGAGCGCGAGCATGACGAGGGTCACGAGGTTGACGATGATCGCGACAGCCAGTACGCCGAGGACGATGACGAAGATGCCGGCGACGGGCTCGCAGACAGCTACTTCTCGCGCAACTCTGCAGACGACTACGGCGAGGGCAGCGCGCTGGAGGAGAGCTATGATGAAGAGCGAATGATGGGGTCCATGATGGAGGACGAGTATGCCGATGATGAAGAGGGCGAGATGGACGAAGCAGATGAGGATGAAGAAGACGAGGAGGAGGGGGAAGGGGAAGAGCCGACTCCAGACGGCAAGACTAAGCCAGCGTCTTCGGGGGAAACAGTTCGTGATGTAAATGCTGAGCTGATTACAGGCGTGAAGAATTTGCGGGTGGACAAGAAGTAGATTGGCGCAGTTTGTCGCTTCCGAAGGAGCATGTGACATTGGAAAGGGAATTGGCGCGCATAGCATGAAGTATACTATGGGTCATGGACCGTAGATTAGTGTAGGACGACTTTTGTCCGCAGCTTTGCATAGCGTGGCGTACGGCGGATACATGGATATTTGCAGTTTCAAACTTTTATCCAGGAATGTTTATTTATCGCTTTCAACGAGGCTTTCCGTGTCAAGGTGATGGTATCTCTGCAGTCCCGGCATAGACACTCAAAAAACTTATCTGACGCGGAGTGCGGATAGAGTCTCCGTCCGGCCCGATCTTTTCACATCAATAACGAACCTTCCAAGAACACCATAACGCCTCCCATGCTGCCTAGAACAGCCAATTCCTTAGCTCTCCGATACAGAGGGTTCCCGATGCGCCACACGATTCTGTCGCACAACCACCTCAGGCTTCAGCCATCTCCTCATCCTCCATGCCCTCATCCCCAAACACATCCCCGATCGTCCCGCCCTCAACGCCATCTCCGCCAACATCCTCCGTCTCCACCTCCATCGCGTCCGCCCCTCTCCTTTCACCGCCGTCGCCAGGCCCGTCAACCATCATCCCTCCGTCCTCCTCCTCCTCACTACTCTCCTCTTCTCCCTCCTGCCCGGCCAGCACATCCCTCAGCCCCCAAGCCACTCCGCTCAGCACAAACCTCTCGCTGGGCAACCTCACCCCCCACTCGCTCGGCGCAACCCTTGGCAGCGCATGCTTGTTCGTCTCCCTCGCCAGCTCCATCATCCAGTCCTTACTCGCGCCACCACCCCCGCCCCCTCCAATCCCGCCACCCCCGCCGCCCCGAAATTGAAACCCCAGCCGACTCGCAATGGCAAGCTGCACCGCGTTGCTGGTGATGGTCGCCTCGCCGACGTTGACGGGCGCCGCGCCCGACGCCGCGCTGGGCCGGGCGCCGGCGTGCGACGTGTACGGGTCTGCTGCGAGGTGTAAGGCATCCGAGAGGATGGACGACGTGTGCCGGTAGGCAAAATCGAGCAGCAAGAGGGGCACGCGCTGCTCGAAGGAGGTGACGCCCTGTGCGGTCAGGAGAAGCTCGATTGTGCGCGCGTCGCGGGGCCGCGGGGCGGCGGCAGAGGGGTTGGTTGCGGCGTGTATATGGGGTTGTTGTTGTTGTGATTGTTGGGGTTGCGGTTGGCTTTGGGAAGGGCTTGGGTTTGTTGCTGGTTGGGACTGGGATTGCGGTGGCTGTGTGTTGGTAAGTGTTTGGGAGGTTGGAGCGGCGGAGGAGGGCGGGATCCCGTTGGTTTGGGGCGCCGTGACGCCAGCCGCGGACATGGTGATGAGCTTCTATGCTTTGAGCAAAGAGGAATGTCGATGGGGATGGTCGCTGTGGGATATCGACTTGATGGTGGATAGGTCGCGCCTGACTGATCGTGGTGGTCTGCGTGAGAAAGTGGGAGTACCTTACGGCTATAGTTGGAGCTTCAGAGCTTGTTAAGGTCCGCACATATTCGACGGCAAATGTGGCAAGAGTGCAACTGCGGAGAGAGGTCGGTCGAAATTGAAGGCTATGAACAATCGGAAGTGTGGCTTCCCCGGAGTTGCGACTTCAAATCGAGAGCCGCGACAATTCAATTCAAGCGCGACGGGAGTGCCAAGCCCAAGGCCGGCTCGCTGCTGGCCGATGATTCGGAGGCTAAATGATCCGTTCTAGAGCCAAGAACAAGCGCATTGACCAAAGCTTATCTTGTGAGACCCCTGCCGAAAAGGTTTCCTGGTCTGAAATTTCAGAATGCGCAGCGGGACGTCAGGGCAATGGAGGGGCAGATGGGCGACCCCACCTTGGGCTGGGCCGGAGTGGATGCCGATACAGGAGGGCGACCGCGAAACTTGAAATGACTCCAAGTCCTCGCCAATTTTCGCCGTGGCTGCCGGGGACTTACAAGTAGAAGAAAGAGTCATAACAGGCTCAGCCCACTGCTTCTGTACTCTGTTTCCCATTGTTCCGCAGCCACACCGACACGCGACGCCATGGAGACGACGCTGCCGCTTCCCTTCCTCATCAGCGTCAATGTCCCTCCGGGGCTCGGCGGCGAAAAGGAGGGCCTCAGCCGCGAGGAGGTGTCGTGTCTTGGTTGCGTCTTCTTCGAAGTTGCGCCACAAACCGTCGACAAGATCCTGCGCTTCCTTGGGCGCCATAACACCGAGTTCCAGCCCTTCTTCGACGTGACACGCCTCGAGTCCCGCGACGATGTCGTCAACCTCCTCGACGCCGGCGCCCGCAAGGTCTTTGTTCGCCCCGAACAGCTGCCCGATTTTGCCGAGTTTGGCTCCCGAGTTGCTACCGTCGTGGACGACAATGGAGCAAGCCAGGTGTCTTCCGCTGCCACGGAGCACGGCTTGCTCGTCTCGGGCTTCGACCAAACAGCATCTTCTGCAGTGCAATCAATCGAGGAGATCAAGAACAAAAAGATCGCGCCGCTCTTCATCAAGCCTGTTGGAGGAACCGACTTGGAGAAATTCATTGCTTTCGCTGTCCAGTGCAATGCCATCCCCATCCTGCCTTCGACAGGGCTGAGCAGCACGACGCAGGCCGGCAAGCTTGCTGTGCCCAAGATCCTCGCCGCTACCTGGAAGTCAGACCGTGCGGACGGCTTGATTCCCACTGTCGTTGTCGACGAGCATGACACGGCGCTCGGCCTGGTGTACAGCAGTGAGGAGAGCGTCGGGGAGGCACTCAAGACCCAGACAGGTGTCTACCAGAGCCGGAAGCGCGGCTTATGGTACAAGGGGGCAACGTCCGGCGACACACAGGAGCTGGTCCGGATATCGTTGGACTGCGACAACGACGCCCTCAAGTTCGTCGTCAGGCAAAAGGGGCGCTTCTGCCACCTGGAACAGTCGGGTTGCTTTGGGGACTTGAAGGGTATTGCCAAACTGGAGAAGACGCTCCTGTCGAGGAAGCAGTCAGCGCCAGCAGGTTCCTACACTGCTCGCCTCTTCTCTGATGAGAAGCTGCTGCGAGCCAAAATCATGGAGGAGGCCGAGGAGCTCTGCGACGCAAAGACGCCAGAAGAGGTGGCTTTTGAGGCCGCAGATCTCATATACTTTGCCCTGACAAGGACCGTGAGCGCCGGCGTCACTCTCGCTGATATTGAGAGGAGCCTCGACGCCAAGAGCTACAAGGTCAAGCGCAGGACAGGAGATGCCAAGGGGAAGTGGGCGGAGAAGGAGGGTATCAAGCCTGCGGCGAGTGTAGCCGCCTCGGCGCCAGTCAAGGAGACACCCAAGGAGGCGGCGTCCGAGAAAATTACCATGAAGGTCTACGACATGGCTAACACTTCAACGGAGCAGCTTGATGAAGCTCTGAAGCGGCCCTCACAAAAGTCGTCGGAGGCCATCATGAAGATCATTACGCCCATCATCGACGACGTTCGGAAGAACGGCGACAAGGCCGTTCTCGCATACACTCACAAGTTCGAGAAGGCGACCTCACTGACGTCGCCCGTCCTCAAGGCACCGTTCCCAGAGTCTCTCATGCAGCTGCCTGCCGAGACCATCAAGGCGATTGACGTATCTTTTGAGAACATCCGCAAGTTCCATGCAGCCCAGAAGGAGGAGAAGCCGCTGCAGGTGGAAACCATGCCTGGTGTTGTTTGCGGCCGGTTCTCGAGACCAATTGAAGCCGTGGGTCTTTATGTTCCTGGTGGTACTGCCGTCCTTCCCAGCACGGCGCTCATGCTCGGTGTCCCCGCCATGGTCGCTGGTTGCAAGAAGATCGTCCTCGCATCGCCACCGCGTTCGGACGGTACCGTCACCCCCGAGATCGTGTACGTGGCCCACAAGGTCGGTGCTGAATCTATCGTCCTGGCGGGTGGCGCCCAGGCCGTTGCGGCCATGGCGTACGGCACCGAGAGCGTGACCAAGGTGGACAAGATCCTTGGCCCTGGCAACCAATTTGTCACGGCAGCCAAGATGTACGTCAGCAACGACACCAACGCTGGCGTGAGCATCGACATGCCAGCCGGTCCGTCCGAGGTGCTCGTCATTGCCGACAAAGACGCCAATCCGGCGTTTGTCGCCTCGGATCTCCTGTCGCAGGCGGAGCATGGCGTCGATAGCCAGGTGGTCCTAATTGCGGTGAACCTCACCAATGCCCAGCTGGCGGCCATTGAGGACGAGGTCCACCGGCAGGCTATGGAGCTTCCTCGGGTGGACATCGTGCGTGGCTCGATCGCCCACTCTCTGACAGTGCGTGTCAAGACGGTGGACGAGGCGATGGAGATCAGCAACAAGTACGCGCCCGAGCATCTGATTCTCCAGCTCAAGGACGCCGGGGAGGCGGTGGATAAGGTCATGAACGCCGGGAGCGTGTTTATCGGCGAGTGGACTCCCGAGAGCGTGGGAGACTACTCTGCTGGTGTCAACCACTCACTGCGTAAGTGCTACCTAACTCTCTCTTATTTTCCTCTTTTCGCCCTTCCGCCTCTCGATTATTTTCTCTTTCTGCCGTCGTACTAATGGCTTGTGTAGCGACGTACGGCTATGCCAAGCAATACTCGGGCGTCAATCTTGCGTCCTTTGTCAAGCACATCACTAGCTCGAACCTGACGGCCGAAGGCCTCCGGAATGTGGGCGAGGCGGTGATGCAGCTTGCCAAGGTGGAGGAGCTCGAGGCTCACAGGAGGGCTGTCAGCATCCGGCTGGAGCACATGAGCCGGTGACATTGGATATCATCTCTTGCTGTCATTCGAAAACCACCTATACTCGTCAATCGATATGCATGTCCGCACAAAGCATGTTGATGCAAGTTGTTCATGGCTTCCTCCAGCTTCAAGCTAGCATTGACCAGCAGGTGCCGAAACCAGCAGGACTTGCAGATAACGCGGACAATTGGCCACCACCTTTTGAAACGATAGTCCGGAACAACGGCAAAGGTACTATTTCCATGACAACTCAAGCTAGATGTTGCGCCCAGGGCTTGGTCGACGAGGGATGGCAGTACACAACAATGGCAACCAGGCCGGTTGGCTTCAAGGAAAGTTGATCGAGCCAATCCTCTCCCCCCGTCTCTGCCAGCAAAAGTTGCATCCCCCGCCCTCTCTCTCAGATCTCCTATCCATAATCCGTGCAAGCACGCAGAAAAGCTGGTTTCGAGCACGAGTCAATCGACCTTCTCCTCAAAGGCTTTCTTCTCCTGGTGAGCCGGCTTCGGCGGGAACTTCAGCTTCCCTGCCGCATCCGGGCCCCATCCGCCGTATCCCTCAGCAGTCATCATACCTCCCAGCCCGGAAGCTGGCCCCATCGCTAGCGAGCCGGCTAGCTGGTTTCCAGCAACACCGGACCGGTCCTTGGACCATTCGTTCAGCTGAGCCTTGGTCATGCCCGTGTACTTCCGCAGATCATCGTCCGAGATCTGGTTGTTCCGTCCCGTTCTGGCATCGACGCAGCGCTGATAAAGTGATTTCTTGGGCTTTGGGCTTGCTTGACCGTTCTCGGTGGGCACCTTGTCGGTTGTTCCTTGCTGGCGCTTATCGGTACCCTCAGGAAGGCTCTCGGTCGTCTTTGCTGATCGAATTTTGTTGAGGATGCCCATAGTGCTCGAGTAAAATCTGTCACTGGCTTGAAGGAGGACTTTTAGTACCTTGGCTGAACAGCCTTGGACAAAGATGTGGGCAAGTCGTACGTGGTAAGAAGAATCGAGCAATCCCAGGTTGTTTACAGGCTTTATAGGCTAAACTGCTTGCCAGTGATACAGAATTCCCCATCGTCATGACAGGCCATCACATGATGTTGACTGGATCGCCCCGCTGCTTCGATGCCGATTCGGGTGTTGGTGCGAAACTGGTTCTTCTCGTTGGTCATTCTATGACAAAGGCTGACCGCAAGGCGGTTTGATGACTGGTGTGGTTTCTCAATTCAATAAACTGGGAAGCTTGCCATGAGACACAGCCATTATTAGGCAAGATTGCGCCCTGCTGCATTCACATATGCTCAGGTCCTCAACCTTGCTCACGTTGCCCTGTGTAATTCAGCTATTGCTGTCTTCCGCTGTTGGTCAAGACTATCTTCATGTTGCTCTTAGACTTATAGCAGGGAACTCGTAATCTGCTAAGCTGCAGGTTCATCGCTTGTACATGTAACAATACCTTCTGATTTCAAGCAGTGGGCGTTACACACAAGCTAACCCGTGCAGACATGTGTCTTGGTACCACTCGATGCCGGGTTGGATGCCTACATGGTACCTAGTAGGATCTCCGATCAGGACCATGGACCTTGAGTGACCGGGCGTGCCGGGCAATCGAAGCGCAGCGAGGCTATGCGATGATCCTCCTGTGCAACCAACAGGTCGGCCGTCTTCTGCTGTATATCACGTTGCTCACAAGGCGCAGTCGCCTCCGCCCGTGGATGCCATTGGCTAAGGTAGCCTGCGTTTCTCGGTCGAAGCCCGAAGAACCGAGGAGCGGTTAATCGACGTTGTTCCGCCTCCTTTGATGTGTAGAAGTGGGCCGATTGGAGTCTTCGGAGTTATTGGACACGCGATAGCATTATCAGCTGCAAGAACCTGGGGGAGGAACACGTAATAAATGGGCAACTTTAAAACGACATGGGATATTCAATTCGACAAGCCGTCAAGACCATACATACGTAAGAAGGGCAAAGGAGTTTGTTCGGGGTTCCTGGACCCTTGAATAGGCATGCGGAGAAAAGTTGAAGTGATTGAAGTCGGGTTGACAGAAGCACGAGCTTCAATGGAACTCTCAGCCTCCCTTCATCTCAACATTGCGGAGCGTATCCCCTCGCCGCTGCCACGTAGTTGACATATGGGTTTCACAGCACGATATATTAAATTGCGGCTCAGATTCTGGGCTATCACGACTAATTCAATAAGACTAACGCACCTTACCTAGCCTAGTGCAGGTGGTCTTTAAATTTCTGAATGTCGATGAGCCCAGGCAGGTTTAGGAAGTGCTCAAATCAAGGGTTCGGGTTAGGTGTGCTATACTCGTCCCAGCTTGTCTTAGTAGATCATACCAGCATTTCGCCCTACATGCCCCCTGAAAAAATGGCTAAGCTTACCTTAGACCTACCTGGTGTTCTGGAACACTCAACAGTAAGACGGTACGGAGTAGAAATGAGTTACATAACAGAAGTGGTGGAATGTGGAAAAAGGGGTTGAAGGTTCTCGCAATCACGTTTGCCCACGCGGCACTATGCCCAAATCGGAAAGACCGGCGGCCCAGCGCGACACGAGCTGTTCTGCATCGGGTTAACCACCCTGCCAAGCCTTAGACAGATCATCTCCGTCATCCCAGTCATCGAGAGTCCGAGACGTGCCTCAAAAGGCAAATATTAGACATTCAGGAAACCGTTGCACATCCGAGGTGTCGACCAAGTGTCATGAAGGATCCAACAGGTTCCGGCGAGAATTGGGCCGGGTCAGACAACACAGAATCGCCTGTTGTACCAACTTCCAGGCCCACAGGCGGCGGGTCGTTGGGCAGGTCCCTGGGCTGCATGAAACACGGATGAGAGAACCTAAAATAAGATAACTTCAAGTACTCCGTACAGAGTACACAGTCTCTGACAGGCCGGAATGTGCGCCTCGTCACCTCGGTACTTATTAGAGAGACCTGGTTTGTCAATTAAGGTACCTTAACTGACGCGCTTGAGTGGCAGAAGGCAAAGAATGCCACCACCAATACACGTATTCGACAACACGGCGGCCTCCCTTGGGTTGTTGCTCCCTGCCGGTCCGGGCCATCCGTGCTGGACATCCACCTCCTTCTGAAGCCTCTGTACATACTCCGTTCTTGTGTATACGCTGATCCATCTCCCTCTCAGCATTTGCCGGTCCCATCTCCAACCACGAGTCGCTGTTTCGAAAATCCAGCCCGCGGCCAGGGACCTCCGTGTTGTGCCGTTGTTTTCTCACCGGGCTTCTGTTCTTCTCCGGATCCCCAAATTCGTTAATGCCCACTTCCGTTGTCGTTCGATCGTCCGATCACCATCACGGCTCCTACCATAAGGACTCAACACACTTTCATTCTCAGAAAAGTATTCGGCTCCCTTGCAACTTGATCTTGGGTTTCCACTCACTCGCTGGCGCGAAACCGCCCACATTCGGTTAGCCCAGGTAAATAAGCAGCCATGCATCTCTACGACATTCTCCCGCTCACTCTCCTCACTTTTTTCACATCCGCCGAGCTCATCAGGATATCACGGCGGAATGAAGATTTGACAGTCAGCCCGCGGGCACGCCCCGACGGGCCCGGCGGGGGCTATGCGCCGGCCGAAGTGCCGTGCCCAGACGAAAGGCCCACCGTCCGCTTCGCCAACGAGCTTTCTCAGAGCGAGATAGACTGGCTTGCAAAACGCCGCCCACTCACCGTCGACCCAATGATCGACTTCTTGAAGCGGGCCAACATCGACGGTTTCGATGCGGAAGACTACATCAGGAAGGTGGCTTCGAATGTCAAGGACCTGCCCAACATTGGCATCGCTGTGTCCGGAGGCGGCTACCGTGCCCTGATGAACGGCGCCGGGTTCGTCGCTGCTGCTGACAGTCGCACCCCGGGCACCACGGGCACCGGCGGCATTGGCGGACTTCTCCAGTCAAGTACGTACCTGGCCGGCCTGTCAGGCGGTGGCTGGCTGGTCAGCAGTATCTATGCCAACAATTTTTCGACTGTCGAGACGCTGCGGAATGGGAGGAAGGACAGCAGCATTTGGAACTTTGCAGACTCCATCTTTGTCGGCCCAAACTTGCCCGGCGTCTTCGACACGGCTAGGTATTGGGCCGACGTCGCCGGCCAGGTGAGCGACAAGCGGGACGCCGACTTCGAGACGTCCATCACGGATTATTGGGGCAGAGCGCTGTCTTACCAGCTGATCGACGCACCTGACGGCGGTCCGTCATACACCTTTTCCAGCATCGCCGACGACGACGACTTCTCGAATGGTCGCGCCCCGTTCCCCATCTTGCTCGCGGATAGTAGATACCCCGGTGAGAGGATCATCTCGCTGAACGCGACCGTCTTCGAGTTCAACCCCTTCGAGATGGGCTCGTGGGACCCGACCACCTTCGGCTTCGTCCCGATCAGGTACCTCGCCTCCAATTTTTCCGGCGGCGTCGTCCCGTCCGGTGGCCGGTGCATCCGCGGCTTTGATTCGATCAGTTACATTTTCGGCACCAGCAGCTCCCTCTTCAACGCCTTTTTGCTGCAAAACATCAGCTCGATCGACGGTGTCCCCGACTTCCTGCTCCAGGCCGCCGTGGGCGTCCTCGAAAGCCTGGACGACTCCAACAATGACATTGCTCAATACGTACCCAACCCCTTCTTGGGCTGGAACAACGGCACCAACCCAACCTCCGACACCATCGCGCTCGACTTGGTCGACGGCGGCATGGATCTGCAAAACATTCCCCTGCACCCTCTCCTCCAGCCGCTCCGCGCCGTCGACGTCATCTTCGCCGTAGACTCCTCGGCCGACACCATCTACTCCTGGCCCAACGGCACCGCCCTCCGCGCCACCTACGACCGCTCCCTATCCCCCATCGCAAACGGCACCCAATTCCCCCCTGTCCCCGACGACAAGACATTCCTCGCGCTCGGCCTCAACAGCCGGCCGACCTTCTTCGGCTGCGACGCAGCCAACTTCTCCTCCTCATCCTCCTCCTCCCCGCCTCCGCTGGTCGTCTACCTGCCTAATGCGCCCTACACGGCCTTCTCCAACGTGACGACCTTCACCCCGTCCTACCCGGACAACCAGCGCGACGCCATCATCCGCAACGGCCTCGACGCCGCCACCCAGGGAAACGGCACGCTCGACGGCCAATGGCTCACTTGCGTCGCGTGCGCCGTGCTGAGCCGTAGCTGGACGAGGACGGGCACGGCCGTGCCGGCCGCGTGCGAGGCTTGCTTTGAGAGGTACTGCTGGAACGGGACGACAGCGGGCGCCAGCGCTGCGGTGGTAGGAGGGGGCGGCGGGGCCGAGTACAGTCCTACGTTGAAGATTGGGGGTGGGGATGGGAGCTCGGGCGAGTCTGGTGCGTCGGGCAGTGTTAGGGTGGCGGTGGGCAGGTCGGGGCGGGCGCTGGCTGTAGGGTTGGTGGCCGCGCTGATGGTCTTGTGAGACTGAGCCATGAAGAGGAGACCTAACTTCTTGGGTTATTGGCATTGCAGGAAAACGGCAGGTTGCTTTATCCGGTATTCTTTCCTTTCTCTTTTTCTGCCTTTTTGTTGTCTTTCCCCTTTCTGTTCCCCTCAATCTGCTGCAGCGTTTCCTGCTGACCGTCGCTGCATGTACCAATTTTTGTACCATGGTTTGGGAGATACCACTAGATTGGGTTGTCAGCTTGAGCTCCTTTTCCGTTTCGTCACCTTTTCGGTCATTCCTGTCTTGGGAATTCTGACGCTGGTGGAAACAGAAGGATAGCCTGGAGGTCCCGGAGTGGACGTGATTGCGGTATAACGGGAGAGAAGGACGTGTCATCAGTGCACATTAAATTGCTTCTTCTCTATTCTTCAACAGAGGAGAGAAAGGGGTATGCTTCTGGTTCGCGGCGAGCCCGCTAAACAAACCGCTGACCGGGATACCCCCTCCTTAGAAGCTTGCCTCTCTCAATATCTTCCACTTCCAGCTTGAAGGGAGAAAGGACTCAGACACACGAGTAAATCCCTCCTCGGTTTAACCGAGGCATGAGGTTGCGGTCGTAAGCTCATCAAAATACAGGAGGAGAGTCGTAGAAGCGCTGAACATGATGCAGAGTAGACTGAGATGTCATAACATTGGCCAAATGGGTAAGAAACGTTTGTAGGGCATTCTGTGTCCATCCACCCAAAATGGTGAGACACCCGCCAATTGTACCCCAGGCTCCCAGCAATGGTGCCGCGCGGGAGCGGCACTTCCACTAGTGTCATTGAAACGTATTGCGATAAGGTCCATCAACCCTCGCTTCTGTGATGCCTTCGGGCATCGAGCGGAGCCATTCGGCCCAGCTGTCCATGTTGAACGCGTCGTCCGCCAACCGAAACGTGATGCTGATCTGCGATCCGCTTGAGGGAGGAGCAGGGGCTTCTCCGAGCCGTAGGGGAGCGAGCAGGATGGATGGCAGCGTTTTGGTGCCGGAGAGCTGCATGCTCAGCGGCGTGGGAAATTTCGAAACGACCTCCCTCTGGGGATTCTGTTCTTGTATTATCCTTGGATACAATGAAAGCAGTCTGGAGTGAAGTTCAGCTGCAGAAAACGGCTCCTTGAACGGCTGTATCGCCCTCGTCCGGAGCTGGTCGGTCAGAGCGCGGGTGAAGGCGCTTCTACCGAGCAGCCCGACGTGATCCTCGCCCGCGGACGCAGCGATCAATTCCAGCATGCCTTGCCGTCGGACAGTCGTGTAGGACGGGAAATACGCACAGTCCATGATGAGCAGAGCGTCGGCGCGAGCGTTCTCAAAGTATTGCTGAATGGCACTCCAACGAATTGCCGAGACATGGTCGGCATGCTTGGAGCTGAAAGAAAAGGAGTGAGTATGAGCACCGACGGAACAGAGTGGAGGAACAGAAGACAGAACGGACCTGGCAAGAACCGCGTCTCGGTTATCGTCTAGGTAGCTGTACCCATTGTAATAGAAGATCTTGAGGCAGTCGCGCTGGTTATGGTCTGCGACGAAGTCTGTGACTGCCTGGGAGAGCCATAGCCAAGGGCTCCTAGATGCTTCGGTCGATGTAGGGATCGACTTGACTTGGACTGAGTAATTGTAGTCCTCGTGAAACGTCTTGGCCAGCTCGTGGATAGCGCCCTGGGCCCCAGTATCCGGGTCATCCTGCCATCCTACCAAGAGGACCGAGACATTGGCGTAGCGGCTGCGGTAAGGGCTGGCCAGAATGCGGTCTGCACTTCCCTGCAGGTCCGCTCTGAAAGCCTCAAATCCGGGCAAATGGGGCATATTCGCGTGCTTCTCTGGGCGTGGTGCCGACGGGAGGGGAGTCCTGATGCGTGACTCGCTCAGTGACTGGGGGTGCTGCTGTGTTGGCGAAGTATCCAGATCCATTTCTCGAGGGTCCTGTGAGAAGGATCCCCGAGGATTCAGTGGCGCCGGGCTGAGCTGCGGTCCGGCGAGCGCAGATAGCGTCTGACTGGATGAATCGACTGATCTGAACCTCTTTGCAGCATCCTCCCACGTCATGTTGTGATGGTTCGGGTGGCACTGAATGGAACGCATGTAAGCCAAAATGACCGCGTCCTAGAGGAGGGGAGAGGCTTACCGCGACCCGCCTCCGACGACAATCCGAGCAAGCACCCATCTTACGGATCAAATGAGCCCGTTCGCGCTGGACGGCAGTGAGGGGCCCGGTCCTACGGCGGCTAGCACGGCGCTGCGGGGCCGCATTGCTACCGTCCCTGGCGGAGAACGCACCGTGGGCTGCAAAGGTCGGCGATGACGCCACGCTGCTGTATGGAGATCCTGGCGTATCATCCGTGACAATGGTTGCAGAGGTCATGGTGGTTGCCGAAGTGGATATCGACGAGTTGGTGTCTTTCCGCGCGGGCGGAGAGGTGCCGTCGGACGAGACATGGTTCTCGGGGGCATTCGAGCTGACATGGTGTTTGGGGCTGGTGGCCAGGGCACCGCGAGAACTGTCACTGTTGGGCGGTGCCTCAGTCAAGTTGGAAGCTGGATGCATCCTTTGATTTGCACGCACTTTGACAATAGCTGCGTCAAACACCCATTATCAACGGCGCCACGCTCGGGTGAGTGAGAGACCAGAGACTAAACGCCCCAGGGCACAAACTTCACGCACACCTGCTCTTCTCAGCTGCGCTATGGGTCTGCAGTCACCGGCTGGAAGTTGGAGCGGGCCAATGCGTTCCAGGGATGGGCCAGACCTGCCGGCTAGCGATGCTTCGGTGAGAACAGGTGAGAGCCACGGCAAGAATCCACCAGCTAGCGTCGTCGGACACGGCAACCACGCGCAGACGGGATGCGTGACGGTGGCTCGAAGCCAGAGTCGTGGTACGCCGGGTTTCCTCCGAGGGCCGAGTCCGGAGGAATGGCGGAGCAAGGGCCGATGGGTGGGCAGACAGGTCGGTCTCGGGAAAGGGATGCGAACGAAATCCCCAGAAAAGTGGTGTACAGAACTGAACCAAATAAACAATGATTTCGATACAATGAGGACAATAATATTAAGTCAAAGCAACGGTATACAAAGCTCTAGAGGCGTCGAGGAGGCCGTTGAAGTCAAAGACGTCGCACAAACAATAGAACCGATGGGTCTCGTCAACCAAGAATCACCAGCAGGTAAAGGTAAGGTATGGAAGGTACTCGAGGTAACGGGCGGGTTGAACGACCGGGCTCGGAGCCCAGAGAGGTTGCTCTTAGCGCGGCAGACAACGGGAAAGAGTTGGAGGAAGGAGCATCACTGTCAGGGGCCCAAGGTATTGATGAGGTCGTTTCTGCAACCGTAGACCGAACTCCGAGAGCGGGTACTCAAGGTGGCTTTCTTTCCGTTTCTTATTTTCTTCTCTCGATTCCCTTTTCAGAATTAAATTCACCCGCGATAGGCTGTCCTCTTGAACCTAAAAACTCGATTTGTCGTTAAAAAAACCCAACATGACAGACGCAGACCACGTGGAGCCTGCCATGGCCTTCACCGCAGACCGGCGACCAGTGGAGTTGCACTTCTGATCCCGAGCCCTCCACCTCGGCACCCTGTTGCTGCCCGCGTCGTCCTTCCGGTTTGCTTCATCGGGTATCTCCAGTGGGCAGCAGTCAACTATAGTTGGGCTAGCCTCAATTACACAGTATTCCACACCTCCTAAGGCCCCTGAACAGAATCATTTATGAAGAATGAGCATGTTGTAAGCTGACATGATGGTTGTTACTGTATTTTTACTGCTCGTTACAGGTGGGACCTAAGATACCTGATACTTACACAGGTCGTTCAGAATACTTAACCCCCACGCTCGTCTGCCGCCCACTCTCCTGCCTCCCCACAGAGCTAATACCCTAAATCCCTAATAACCTCATGTGACATGCTGGGTTTCCAGGTGAGATCACAGGCTATACATGGGACCCAGCTCACACGCACCAAAGGTCGCGTTATATACAGCGGCCCCATAGCCATACCGAATTTGACCGGATCTAGCCGCTATCCTCACCGTGACCGGCTACCCGATTGGCCGTCGGGAATGTTAGGCAAAACCCCGGCTCCACAAGCCGAAGTCCTCCATAGGCGAGATCAGCAGAGGCTGTCAGTTTTGGCTGGAAGTTTTCGTAAAACCACACCAAGCACTTGTGACCAACGATATTGGTCTCTGGACACTTGAGGGGTAGCAACCTACAGGAAGCCACATCTTCATCAAGCCCTAATGCCTCCAGCGACCTCTTCTCCCCCGATGCCGAATACTCGGCATGTCTGAATCGGCCCCATCACTGGCCCTGCTCGCCTGCCGCTGTGGTGCAGCCATTCGCTCCGATAGCTCACCGACACGTAGCGCACAGGGTCTCCCAAGTAGAAAACCCCTGCAGATGCGCGAACCGCAAATCGTGGGGCACACTGTCGAGGATCCATCGTGGTCTGCACTCGAGTGCGGGATTGTGGGTTGTGCTTTTTCCCGCCCTATCAGGGCCATCCAGACCCCTTTCCAGATGCAAGGTTGTCCCGCCTTCTTTGGTGGCTCAGGCAGGAACGCCGGCGAGGTGGAGAGGAGTCTACAACTACGGGGAGCAACCAAACGGCCTCAGCACTTTCGACTTCGCAGACAAGTGCACTTCTCCCCACCCTCATCCCACCTGTTATGCATTGATACCTGTGCAACCAAACCACTTCGAACTGGGTCCAATCAATTGGCCCCCCAACCATCGACGGCCGTGGTATTGCTTCTTTCCTCCCCAACTCCGATCACTCTCGCGGCTCAATCACTCGCTGGTGTACATTGCCCAAGAGATCTTACCTATCCAGACACTTGGCAGACCGTCTGGTGCGGCCCGCTGAAGGAGACCGAGGGACAGAGAGACTTTATCAGGCCGCGGTTACATTCTGTCTCCCGGGGCTGCGCCTACCGGGAGAACCCAACCACGGGACAATAGCAGCTTGTCTCTGGCAACCGGGTGCAAACACCAAGACACTAGGTACACCACAGCCGCTGGGCTACTATCTTGGACGAGCAGACCCCGTTTTCGACAGTATCGCCACTGTATCAGGCGAGCACCCGGACCTAATCCGCGGAGAAACCCGGGAGTAGCTTACCACTCCTACGGCCAACGGTGAGGGATTTCCCGGCCACTTCAAGACTTCCAACGGCGAGCGAGCTCCTTGGCTGTGTGCCACTGCCAGTCGCAATCGGCCGGAACCGAGGAATGTCGCAATCGGGTGTGAAGCCCAATGGGTACGGGACAGACCACCAAGACGGCACATTTGGTGCTGAATCTGGGGCTGCTTTCAAACGACTTGGTGTAGACTGAAGTCTCGCGAGTGTCGCTACAAGATTGACCGGTGAGGCTGCTGGAGCGAAGCCTCAACTTATCAGATGCACTGATGCAGGGAGCTTGGGGGTCACTCTGTCGAAGGAGCCAGTCATTATGCCTCTCCCGGCATCAATTCGTCCGAGGGATGGCCAGGCAGACAGCAGGACGAGACACTATTCACTCGCATTGCCCAATCGCCGAGGCAAAGACCACGCCCGCCCTCACACGACTCTTGGTGGCATGCGCGACAGCTCAGGTTGCAGCATGCGTGCGACCCCGAGTGCCAACTGAGCCCATCTCGCCCACCATTGGACCCGCGTCAAGCAGAGTCCAGGTCTTCTCCGCGACCCATAACCTACCACTGGACTATTCATTGGGAAGATCGGAGTTCTGATGCATCAATAGCGATGCTCAGTCCCGATTCTACTGTACAACAAGTAGCTCAGTTGCTCGTCGTTTCGCACACTGACAGATTGCAGATTACGTGGTGTCCAATTCCGGAGAGACTATCCGTTCTCCCTCTTGCCTAATTCTAAAGCCCAACCCCTATCACAGGGCCTAAATCTGGCGGTTATGGTTTGCAACTTGTCAGTCACCTCGTCCCCCAGGCAGCCATTGCGCGAGCTATCCAGGAACACGTTTTCCTGCTCCTGCAGATACGCTTTGTCGTCAGCAGAAAGAGCAAGAAGCGATGCCACAATCGATCCCTTGACTGTCTTGACGTCCCATACGGTGGTTTGGACCATAATGCCCAGTAAGAAGCTGACCACAAGGGCGACTTGGACGGCCAAGAAGGTCAACCAGCCCCATTGAACGTGAACATAAGTCTCCCTCGAGAGGACAGTGCCCTTCGCCGAGGCCGAACTCATGGCGCGAATGCTAGAGACAAGAGTCAGCACAAGAGCCATGCATCCACCCTTTTCTCCTTTGTTTTCCCCCCTCTCTTTCCCCTTATTGTCTTTCTCTCATAGCAAGATAGCAGGAGCGAAAGGAAGATATCCAAGTAGAAGAGACGAAGCGAGGAATCTACTTGCGTGTTCGTCAAGCTGATGGCCACATTGGTGGTCAGGTTTTGAACCACATCGCGCATTCCGTCGTCATCAAGCGGCGCACTCCCGAACATGGCGAGTCCCAGGGCCTCGCTTATGGCCGTCTCGCCCGCGGTGGACTTGCCATAGCGGTACGAGTATGTCCCCGAGAACAAGGACAGGATATAATTGTTGAGCAACTTCACATCGCCCCTTTCCACTGAATACACCTCCTTTACGCCAGCCGCACGCAGGCGGACACGCCGAGATGAGGACGACGCTTCGCGGGCCCTGACCAGAGCGTTGCTCGCCTCGTCCTCTGTGGCAAGCGTGGATAAGTGGACGACCTTGCTTGTCGACACCCCACCAGTGGTCGACGCCTCGTACGTGTTGACGCAGAAGTGCAGCAGGACCTCTGCGGCGCGGAACACGCCTAGCTGCTGCGAATCAGACGCGAGCTCGCCCGTCTGGCTGGTGTAAACGAGGAAGAAGTTGGCGATGGCGCTCGATATCCGGCCGTCCCGCTCCGGGAAGGCGATGCTCGTGCGGGCGGGCAGGAAGCTCTCTCGGCCGTCGGTTTCGTTGGCTCCGCCACTGGTGCTGGAAGAGCCGAGTGGCCAGGAAACGTTCAGGTTGTAGGTGGTGGTGCTGCCAACTAGAAACAGGCCGTTGGGGAGGCGGGCCTCGCGTGCCAACTCGTTATTGGCGCCGCCGAGCGAGCCTCCCAGAATTGTTACTTGGTTAGAGACGGCGAGCCGGTCGGATACGTCGGCTACGGCGCTGCAGACGGCCAGCGAGCTGAAGTTCTGCCATTGGCAGTTGCCAGTGCTGCAGAGGGGCTGCAGGGGCGGCACCTCCTCGTCCACTGGGTGGTAGATGCCTGAGTGGATCGCTTGCTTCTCTCGGGTGTCCAAGTTGTCTGGTTGGTTGGGTGCCAGTTCAGCACTTACTGTTGGAGGGGATGGCCGCAATGGGGTTTCTGCTCACCATACGGCGTTGGGTGCGAGTACGATTCGCTCCTAGCGACGGCGGCCGTGCCGCTCCCTGCCTCGAAGCTCCGTGTGGGATATGTTATGGCGCCTTGTGTGAGTGGGGAGAGCAGGAATCCCGTCAGCAACGCTGTGGCCGCAGTCATGCCGAGTGCCCTATCAATGTCGATCAGCGACCTCAAACCAGAACGGAACGTACGCGCCAGGCTTGAGAGAATCTAGCCACACCTTCCCCTTCTTCTGCAAAGCAGCATGGCGCTCCCCACGGGCCCACGCTTTGCATCCTCAAAGGTCTGGAAATCGGCCAGCGGCTTCTCACCACGAGCGAACGAGTTCCACTTCAGCTGAGACAACCCCTCCGTCAGGGGCACAATCAGAGCAACCTGACATATCGCAGCCAAGAACGCAATCAACGTGTTGAGCGAAACAGTCAATGGCCAGTCAGCCAGGCCCCGTCCGTCGTACGTCTTCAGCACCACAACGATGACCACAAGACACACGATGCTGAGAAAACAACACGCGACTTCAGGCAGCCAGTCTATGCAGGATCGCAGCAAGGCGCCACCGCCCCGGCCTCCTCCTCTACCACCACCGCCTCCCTGACCCCCATGCCCGTCACCGTTTCCCGATTCCATCTTTTTCCTCCGCCGTCTGCGCTGTCGATCCCATGACCGTCTCACCTTTGGCCGGTTCATCTCCTCCGGTATAGGGGGAAATGTGTCCCCGCGCGGTACCCCGATGTCTACTTGCGATCCGTCCTTGGGTTCGGACTCGGGCTGCGGGCCGAAGTAATCCAGGTCTTCGTAGTGCATAAACGGGCCGCGGCGGTTACTCTGCACAGCTTGTCCCTGGGCACGGCCAGAACTTGGCTGACTAGCCGCTTGGCTCTGCTGCTGCTGGCTCTGCCATCGCAAATACGAGGGCGCCGCCGGCGCTGGGGTAATTTCGTTCTCCGCTGCGTTGAGTCCCGGTGCCGGGGACGCAGACACCGCGGCGCGCACCAGGCCCCTTGCGTATGGAGTTCCGACGGTACTCCGGCTGGATTCTAGCGCCCGTGCTCGTGCCTCCTGCAGTTCCTCCATATCTCGGCTTCCGCGCCAGTGCTGTGGTTGGGGATAAGGTATCTCGTCTCTGACGGAGCCGGTCTGCCAGAGTGATGGCGCCATGTCGCCGCCGGTCTCGTCCGCCTGTGCTGGGCCGTGCCACGGCCTCGTTTGGCCTTCCCAGCCGACCCATCCTGGTGCTCGGTCCGCTCGGTCCTGCCGCGGCGGGGAGGGCGATAACCCCGCTGGCGCCCCATACCCGCGCGCCTCTCCGTCGTCTTCATGGATCGAGCTTGCTGGTGAGACTGTGAATTTGTCTCCGCTGCTGACAGTGCCAACGGTGACGACGGTGCCCTTGCGCTGCGGTATTCCGGCCTGGCTGCTGCCTGAGCGCGCAAGCTGTCCGTGGTAGGAAGGCTCCGGAAGCGAGATTGGTGCTGGGTGGTCTGTGGCACCACCTACCGCGCTTCTCTGGGGTGCCGTGGCTGATTGCATATAGGAAGTATCGGTGGTATAGGCACCATGCTGGCGGTGGTAGTGGCCACCGGGACCAAAGCGGGAACCAGGACCGGACATGTCGAGCTGCTGCTGGGCGCGGACCGAGGGGCTTACACCATTCCAGTTGGTGTGGGAATCATCTCAAAAGGGAACGAATTTCGGGTATGGGTAAGTATGACTGATCACATTTTGAAGCTCCCTCCCAAGTGTCTGGCACAGCAGGCTATGCAATTTGAACCCAATCGCACCACGGGGCTCAAGACAGTGGAAAGGTAGGAAGTCAACCCGTAAGCGCAAGGGGGAAGGCGGGATTGAAGACTCGAAAAAGTTGAGAAGCTGTGGGTAAGCAAGGTAAGATACTTTTGACCCGGCCCATCAAAACCAGGGTTCGGAGCTGAGCACTGCGACATTGGCACTTCTCCTGTGTCGATCTCAACGGCCCGTAGAGCGGGGGCGGGGAAGCGGGCGAACAGAACCGAAACCAAGCTGGGTTGTGTTGTGTGTACCCGTGTATTCCAATGCTGACGCCATGCCGGAACCGGGTGCGAATATGGCCCGTCTTTGACCCTTTCCGTTCCAGGAATCTGGGAGTGCCAAGGGTCGACGGAACGGCTCAAGGTACATGTACCTTGACTCCAGAAGCTAGTATCTCCCGATCTTAGGGCAGACAATGCCCTGTGTAGCATCCAGCCCTGAGAATCCTTGGGATGAAATCGACTGCGTCAGGTACTATACAACCTCCCGACTTGGGGGCTATGGTTGGGGAGCTCGACTGAGTGCCGGTCCGTTGTCTGCATCTCCAACCTATTTGGCGTACAGCCCGCGATGGACAAGCAAAGCGTGCTGGGGTACTAACGCCCTGGAGAGGTCTCGTTTGGTTGAAGAGAATTGTCGAATGGTGGCGCAGAAAATGTCGCTGCCTGGCGGCGCGAGTGGGTGGGTTGCCGTTGTATTACCCACCAGCATGAACCACGGTTCGCAATGCGGGGGGGGGCGCACAGATCAATCTGTTCTTGAAAGGAGGGACAATGACCTGGTGTATCTGGCACTTGTCGATTGGCACAATGTAGTGAGGAGACACAACATCCATGGAGCTCTCCCTATGTGTAACGGAGAGATTGTTGAGTACTGACTTCAGGTCTAACGAGAGACAAGAGACAATCCCAAGTCAGACTCCTATATAGTTCTACAGATAGGTGGGCTTCCGACTTAATTACCATTTACTTTCCCATGATAGTATTCGCAAGTATGTGATACGGCTGGACTGGAGTTCACTTTACCATGATTCTTGCCTGGACGACGCTATAATTAACACGAGAGGCGTTGTTTCAAGCTCTTCTATTTTTATGCTCCTTCAATCGGTCGGATCTCACCCGTAAGAGGAGCCTGAAATCCTCCGCTTCCTGACGATCGAAACCCGGTCCGGACCTCCATATGCCGGGTGGCTTGTTTCCGACACCACCGAGTGTCAGGGGATTGGAGGAGTGCTGGCACCGGCAAGCGAGGGACAACGGTCAACTGCTGGCTTGCAGGGAGATTGCAGTGTTCTCGCTTGTCTTGATGCTACTTTGCTAGTGTTTACAAAGAAGCCATGCCAGACATATCCCTCTCTCACCGACTGGTCGTGAAATCAGGGCACAACGATCATGTCATGAGATATCGTTAGACAACTGATAGATCTTCGCACCAAATCTCAGCAAAGGACCAATTATACACTAAGCCAACATACAGCGGACTGATGAGTTCAGCAACTTTGTTGGAAGTAACGGTAAAGACAACGCTGAATTGAGACTGCCGACCTCCAAAACTCCAATGCCCATCCCGAAACTGGACCAAGAAAGCCTCCTCACCCGATGCAAACCTCCTTCAACGCCCACAGACCCAATGATGAACTCCGGGAGCCAAAGCAACAGAGACGCGGTATCGCGACGACACAGATTTTGTACATTGGTAAAAGACGATAGTCGCTCCTAGTGCTAGTGATCCTCATGATCATGCCCATGCCCATGCCCATGTGAATGCCCGCTGGCCTCACCATCGTGTGTACTCTGCGGCCTCGAAGTGGGCGCCGAACAACAACCCATCCCCACGCAGTCATCCACGCAATCGAGCAGGCACACGTCCCCCTCGATGCTCCCACACCTGGCCTGTTGCGCAGCAACCGCCGAGGCCCCGTCCATACCCATGGTCGGGGGGGCGGCGTCGTCGTCGTCGCAATCAGACCCCTGTTGGGCATGCGGGTGTGACCGGTCGAGGCAGAACTCGGGCTGGATCGTCGCGCTGTGAATGCCATAGGCGTGCAGGCACTTGCGTGCCATCTTGGACAGCTCCATGTACTTCTCTCCGTTGGCCTCTGTCAAAGGGAAGGCGACCTGAATGTGCATGGACGCGATAATCTTCGTGTCGGACAACTGCCAGATGTGCACGTGGTGGCAGCTGATGACGCCCGGCAGCGCCTGTATGTCTTCTCGGACGTCGTTGAGGTCGATGTGTTCTGGCGTCGCCTGAAGCAGGATTTTGGACGCCGCGACAGTGAGGGGCAGCGCGGAGCGGAGGATGATGAGCGTGATGAAGAGGGACACTGCAGGGTCAGCGTAGTAGCGGCCCGGCCAGTCCGTCAGCCAGATAATGAGTGCGGTGGCGATGACTCCCACGTTGCCCAGCGCGTCGCCGATGACGTGCAGGATCATGGCGTTCATGCCCAAATCATCGTGGCTGTGCCCGTGTTTCTTGCCCGGCTTCTTTGGCTTGTTGTGGTTGTGCTCTTGGTGGATTCCGGATCCGCGCCGGGCCCGTTTCGAAGTTGACTGCAAGCCGCTGCCAGCATGCGACTCGCCTGTTCTGCTAAGCAAAGGAGTGTCCTCGCGCGACTCATCCTCGTCAACAACAGCCGTTTCGTCTTCAGTGTTGCTATCACTGCTGAATTCTTCCTCGGGCTGGGGCCGGCTGGCGTCAATGATATCCTGCCGGAAACTGGCGGGATGAATGCTCATGTCGCCGATGCTCGCGAGGCGGCCGTGCCGCCCGGCACCCTGCGCACGTCGCTCCCTGCGTCCAGATGTAAACCTTTCGGACTCGCCCTCTCCATTTCTGAATTGGCTAGAAGCCCTGTACCTCGCAACGGCCGCTTCGGGGAAGACATCCGGCCCATCTCCATGATCCGCGATATCCTGGTCTGGGGGATGAGAGATGCGCCCCTCTTCGGCGACGCGGTCAGCACCATGGGCATGCTCATGCCCTTGCTCTCCAGGGCCATGCGAGTGCCCATGTCCTCCAAGAACAGCGAAGCCCGCAAGATTTGAAGCCAGTCCCAGGCAGCCAACAATCAGGATGAGCTGAGGGTTCCCAATCTCCGGAGGGTCTAGGAATCGAGTAAGGGCTTCAAGGACGATTGACACGCAAAGGGCGATGAGGAACACGGCGTTAAAGAATGCGCCTAAGATCTCGGCGCGGAGCCACTGAACATGTCAGGTCAGCAGATGCTTTCCACCCAGGTCCATCCTAGCTGTTTTCAGAGCACTCACCCCATACGAAAACTTGTCCGTCGTCGCCTTTCTCGCCACTGAGACTGCCCATAAGCCGACCAGCAAGGAAATGATGTCGTTGAGCTACGGAGAACTGGGGTCAGCAACGGTGGCTCCCTTGGACCGACGAAAGGGTCTCACCATATGAAAGGCATCGGCCATGAGCGCCAGGGAATGGACAGCGAAACCAGCACCCAGCTCGAGCAAGAAGAACATGAGATCGATGACGAGCATCACCTTGATGCGCGTCGACTTTGACCACCCCATGTCGAATTCTTTCCTGCGCCTGTTGCCGAGAGCTTCAAGATCGTTGACAGAAACAGGCGCAGCGACGGTAAGATTGGCGGTTACGCGGTGGGTTTAAGGGCGGAGCGGACAATGTTGGGCGTCTGGTTTGCGGCGCGGTTTGGGGTTGTTGGACCCTTCTTTTGTGGCTTTCAGGTTTGGAAGCTGCCCCTTGCCCCTCGCCCTGGGCTTGGCAGATTTGCGCAAGCAGGTGATCCGTCACGCTAAAGATGCCCACTGTGAATGACATTGTGCAGGCCTGTTCTTGGCCAGTCAAACAAACCTTGGCAGGCCAAGAGAAAGGGAGGCAACATCCAAAGTGACCCGGAGCCACAGTTGAAGATCAGCAAGGAAGACTTGCGATTCCTTTAGACATTCCCTCGAAATCCAGAAAGGTGATAGTTATTCCGGTTCCGTGACATCACAGCAGCCCGGGCCGTCCCCGCCCCATGCCCGCCTGAGGCCCGCAGCGCCTAGAAAAGCCCTGATCCAGCCTCCCGCACCGATCCCCTCGTCCGCATTCGGCAGCTATCCGGATTACAATACAATTCAATCCTGATTTATTTGTTAGCGGACACATGGCTAGCACTGTAAAGTACGTATACATGAATGGAGAAGACGAGATTTGGAGGAAGACAGAGTAAAATTATAAGATAGTGAAGTGAAAGAGAGGAGATGAGAAGTGAAGATGATTGATCGTAATATAAGTCAGTTAAGTTGCACGCTAACAAACAGCCCAAGGTTCAGTGAGGGGTCAAAAGTTTCCATACACCCCACCAAAACCAGCCACTGTGAGAGACAAGCGGCATCATGGCGAGGCATTGGGCGCTGCAAATACCGACTCAATTCTGCTAATCGAAAGCTAAGGAAAGGAAGAGGGAGAGTAAACGGGGGTCCCTACCAAAAGTCTTGCTTCACCGCGTGTGTTAAAACTTTTGATAGGGACATCCGTACAGGATGCGCGTCTGCGACGCGAGAAAGATGAGTGGGCGCACAGGCCACCCACCGATGACCCACCCACCGATGATCCACCGATGGGAGCACGAGTCCAGCGTGCGCTTTCCGTCACACCACCCACATTCTTACCTTGAATCTTTAACAGACCATATCTCAACAACCGTAATAGATAGGCAAATAGTGTTGTATTCAAATAAAAGCCCAATTCCCAAGCATTAATGTTTTGTATACCAACCTCGAGCTTTCTTCACAGCCGCGAGCCGGCGAGGCAACGAGTTGATCAGCCTATCAATCAGAACTTGATCTACAGCCCACCATGCCGTACGCAACTTCTCCTCGAAATGTTTAATATTGAGCTCATTCCCTTTAAGTTCCCAGAGATCAGGGAACATTCTCTTCAGGGTCCTCTGTAAAGCCGCCTAGATATGCTCAATGGGATTTAAATCGGGGCTGTGCGGCGGCCAATCCTGTAACGGTCTCAGGTAGTATATTGCAACTAGCTGATGACGACTCTACGAGTACACTGAACTTGGAGAAGAAAAGGAGAGACGACAGACTCTGGTAGCTCGCAAGCATACTTATCTTCGTAGGCGCGCTGGTCTGAGCGCGTTGCTAGAAGGTTCGGTGTGCTGTGGGGCGAGTGGGAATAGCCTCATCAGGGGTCTTGGTATTTGCCGAGAGTCGCCGAGGCTCGCACCGGGCCCAACCCGTTACAAATCCTTCCACTCGATTACATACTCGACAAGCCAGTTTTGAGTGGCATCGGAGATATAAATCTTAGCATTGTCTTGCTAGAGATGCCTCGTACCGTTCTAATAAGGCAGGAGACCTTCTTGATTGAAGAGCCTTTTGGTAAGACTTGGACGTATATCCTCTATGAGGGGCGTCTTCTGCCACGGGTAGTGACAGTGTGAGATGTTCATGTGCGCAACTCCTGGTGTCAGGTGACACACACAAGCTCACCAAGGAAGATGCACCGAATCCTCAACAGACAGCAGCAAGACGACTGTATTGTGCGTGCACCCCTAACCACTGACTGATCCTTGAGAGAGGGAAGTTCCAAGTTCCAATCTGAGTCTCCTGCTCTCCAGATATCCTCTCTCTGCTGCGAGTCATGTCGCTGCGCCGTGAAATCCACAGTGTTTCGCCCACCAATTGCCCAAGTGTAGGGCTCATGGTGGGGGCCGTGACACCTGGTTTGACTGGAACAGTTCGAACCACGGTCCCTCTTTTAAGGGTGTTACGCAGTGGTCAGTTGCGCCGACCCTTGACATCTTCGTCTCTCTCTATGATGAGCAGCTCACTCTGGCCACCTCTCTAGACTATTCCCCAGATTATGATTGTAAAATTCGCCTCAATATAGTTCTTCCAGTTGACAAACCGCTTACCAAACTTCTTAGAAGGGAAATGGAATACCTAAGAAGTCGGATTCAAAGTGTTATTTAACATGTATACTTATTGGCAAAGAGTGTCTAAATCAGATCAGTAAAGGAAAATGATATATCAAACCGGGGCTTCGAACTCTGAACAACTCTTCGGTATGTTCGAGCCGTAAGCTACAGCGTAGCAAAAGGCTACACGAGCGACAGGTGATGATTCCTCATTCCGACCGCGATTTTCCGTCAATTTGGCCCCAAAATCAGCTAAATTGAGCTTCATGATGTTAAGTTGTTGCGGTTGGAAGAGCATAGGGGTGTCGCGACGCGTGGAGAGTCGCGGTTATTTCGGTGGGGTGTATGGAGACTTTTGGACCCTGACTGTACGGTTATACTGTACCGAGAGCAACTTGCCGAAGGTTTAGATAGGTAAGCTCGATTCCCGCTCATCAGGCTGTTAAGATCTTGCTACTCAAACGTACGGAAGAGCAGACGACTTTGAAACTTAGAATTGCTCCCCAGGGCCCGGGACGGGAGTTCTAAGCATTTCGGCTTCTACCTAGGTACCAACCTCCTCACAGAAAGCAAGAAAAAATGGCGTATTAGGGTCGTATACGTTCGCGATTGACATCCCGCAACGACTGGTCAGTCGACTGGACGCGGCCTTGAATTGAGAACCGGCTTGCAGCGCGTAAACCCAAGGCACGATCATGCGGCTAGCAGGTCTGTATCCAACGTATGTCGTATGGAAACTTTGGTCAAATGGGCATGGTTGATTGCCGAGCCAACTGCTGGAAACTACAAGTCACTCTGGGTGTCATCAGGCTGATGGTGACACGTATGCGGCAGTGATGTTAGACGGTCATTCTTAGGATGTGTGATGGGATATGGCTCAACGGTTTCTGAATTCTCTTCTTTCAGGTAACTTTACCTACGATGTGCCCAGATGGATGGTTGAATGTTACTATAACTCAGTATTCAGCTATGAATTTGAGAGATTATGTGATTGGTCAAACCGTCGAATCGAACCCCTAGTAGAACAAGTCGTGACTAAGCCTTTTGATCACCGTACAGGTAGGTAATCTGGCAATCAATTCTTCTAGCTCCTACAAATCATCAGATGCTAACAGACCTCATCCAGCGTCCAAGGACATGGGCTCGAGAGTTGATCTCAGATTCAATTCACTTCAAACTAAAACGTAGGTATCTATCAAGCACTGAATCCTGTCCAGAAGGGTCGATATATCAAACATAGAACTGGCAACCCGAGTTAAGAGTCTCTGACTATGCTGAAATCCCTTCTTTCTAGTATTGTATCCTGTTTCGTTGTCTTCCCTTGCCGCCTTCTTTCAGTAGGTCTCTTTTCTCTCTTAGTTCCTGTTCTCTCTTCTCTGCTTCTTTATGAGAATCACATGCTTCAAGCCCAAGTTGAAAGTACTAGTGGGCCGTCTTAACCTGTCTATCATTTATGGTACGCCATTGAACATTCACAGGTGATCTGAATGAGGGTGAGGGAGCAAATCCTCCCAGATTGCAGCGCTATTACCTGAAACGAGCAATTGAACATCCCCGTCCCTCAATATCAGTAGGGGTGATAGTTCCCGTTCAATTCATTCGGCATCCGTACCGGGTCTGAATTCGTTTCATCCGTCCATGTACTGACGGTACTCCTTATTTGAAACTGTGATCACAGTTTCAAGCACGGCACCGTCCAGGGACTGGAGTGCTCGGCCTTGAGCTTAGCCAGCAGTTGTACGCGGCCTTCCGTGATTTGATGCCCAGGTGCCGTGTTTCGCAAGCCTCGGTGAGTTCTTGCATAAGCTAATTGGAGCGGGTGGTCGCTCACAGACGAGAAGGTACAGGCACAGGTGCGGGTAGTGGAACTCTGAGTAACGAGATTTGTCAGCCAGCGACATTGACCGAGCCAAATGTGCGCCAAATGCAGTAAGTCTACTTACAAACTCCAAGCATGCTTCCTAATGATTTCAGACTGCTTAGAAATATGTTGCTGTAAACACTGTTACCCTGGGGTCAGGCGGGCGTCGTCACCGTCGTGGTTGAGCGAACCTGGTGATGCTTCGAGAAACGCTTCATGTGCGCATCATGGACAATCTAAGGTATATAGGGGCTTGGTAAAGCCCCCTTCTTCTCTCGCCACTCACCCTCAAACAAAGATCCATCCATAGCATTTTCCATAAGCTTGGCCCTGCGTCAAGAAGAACAAACACGCGAATCAAGCAGCAATGACGTCCCACAGCGACCTCAAGCCCATCAAGGTCTATGGCAAGGGCGGACCAAACCCACCCAAGGTCGCCTTCATCCTCGACGAGCTGAACGTTCCCAAGGAAGTCGAGGCGGTTCCGTTCAGCGATGTCAAGAAGCCGGCCTTTCTCGCCATCAACCCAACGGCCGCTTGCCCGCCATCCACGACCCCAACACCAACCTCATGCTGTGGGAATCGGGCGCCATCATCGAGTACCTGATCGAGACGTACGACAAGGACCGGAAGCTGAGCTTTGCCTCGAGCTCCCACGAGGCCTACCACGCCAAGCAGTGGCTGTTCTTCCAGACGACAGGGCAAGGCCCCTACTTCGGCCAGGCGGTTTGGTTCACCCGGTATCACCCGGAGAAGCTGACGAGCGCACAAAACCGGTACCTCAACGAGATGAAGCGGGTTACGGGAGTTTTGGAGGCTCACCTCGCCAAGCAGAAGGACGAGCACGGGGCCAAAGACGGGTTCGACGGCCCGTGGCTGGTTGGGAACAAGCTGTCGTATGCCGACCTGGCCTTTGTTCCCTGGCAGAACTATGTTCCGTTGGTCTACAAGGAGGCTGGCCAGGAGTTCAATGAGGCTGAGTATCCGCTGGTGACGGAGTGGCTGGCCAAGATGAATGCGCGGCCATCGGTCAAGGCGGCAATGGCCTTATAATCTCGGGTCGGGGACGTACTGCGTGATCCTTTCGGTCTAGCCATTGTGCTTCCTCTATTTAACCAGATATAATATAATCAAACTGCAGGTTGCAAGTTGACACTTCCAAGCAAGAATGTGAGAAACCTTTGACGGGTGTCAGATTAGGAGATTGGGAAAATCCGAGTAGAGTTAGATGTTGGGCTCAGGTAATCAGATACGCGGGAAGCAATCATATGGTGATCTCTGGCAAAAGAGTGTCTTGGTGTTGAACCATTGAGCCGGTCATCAGAGTTACCCTAGACCAGCAGCTGTTCGATGAGCCACTGCTTCTACTACGGCCCATGTTTCTCCAACCATGACCCCGCCCGCCTCCAACCACACCCCGCCCCCCCCTCTTCCCCTTCTCAAATCTACTTGTCGTCTCGGCACAAAGAAACCAATGCCAGTCGTCACCACCGCAAGACACCGTGCTGCTTTGCGTAACACTCCTCAGGTTTGGGCCTAGGTGTGCCAGATATACCACCACACAGCCCAACCACCTGGCTCGCAAACCATGGATCCTCTTGCCCCGACCCTGCCGTCGCGACCAAACTTGGCAATAGAGTCCCTGATAAGATCCTTCACATCAAGATCTCCAACCGCGATTCCCCAGTCAGTGACGGTTCTGGCCATAAACCTGCAGGTTCCATAGCGGGCGAGTTCGGAGGTGCCATGCCAAACGTAAATGAACCAGTCGCCGTTGCCAGAAAGGTTGTCTGCGAGTCGCTGACAGTCGGAACTGAGGGGCGAGCCGCCAGACGTTTCGTCGTGAAACTGGGAGTTGCCGCACCAGTTTTTCCGCTTGACAAGGCCGGTAGTATCCGGAGACTGGGGGTTTGCAGACTGAGGGTCCGCAACAGGTGCGCATTGAACCTTGGCCGCTAAGACTACGGCAAGGAGAGCGAGGGCTCGCATGAGTTGCATGGTAGAGTATTGTGGTGTAGCTGGAGGATGATGTAGAGGGTAGACCGAAGAAGTCAAAAAGACCTTGGGATGGCGCCCGAGCTGCGTCAATCGTCTTGAATCAAGGAGGACAGGATGGATGTTTGGAAGGCGCTTGCTGAAAGTTCACTCAGTCGAAGTTCAGGAGAATCGAACAGGGTCTTTATACTCGTCACTCTGGCCCCTAGCGCCCCTCCCGACACCCTCTCTTCCCTTTCCTCCGCTCCCTCCCGCATCCTCTCTCCTCTGCGGAAGTCGGACGGCGCTTGGAAGTTGACCACGAGGGCGTGTGATTTGTTGGGCCGCGAAGGGACGCCGTGTACCAAGAAACCCAAGAATACAACTGTTTGGTAGAGCCCGCAGTTACGGTGTCATTCATCCCTCGGCATGAGCTGCTGGTTACCCTCGCCCAGGTAGGTGTGGATTCAGGTAGCGATCTGAGCGTTGGCATTGAGCATAGGGACTGCCTTCATGGTCCTGTATCCGATTGCCAGCTCCGGTTGCCCTCCAAGAAGTCCTTTGTCTCTTTAACAGCTTGTCATTGAAACCTCAGGGGCCTCTTCCTGAGTGCCTTGACCGGAGAGAGCAACTGTAACGGAATCTGTTGAGGAACTTGAGAGGATGGAGCAACCGTGACGGAAAAACAACATCACCGACGACGGGGAACTGTCTCGCTCACCGGTCCGGCCCGCCGATGCCCAGCGCTGCAGTGAGCGTGTGCTGTGAATTGTTGCATGGTGATATTGGATTCAACCGCAAGCCCGCAACCAACAGAGCTTGGCACTGCAGAAGGTAGACTCAGCCCCCAGATATTTTAGCAAGCGGCGACGAGAGAGAGAGGACGTAGCAATGCAATGCGGAGGAACGCGCTGGGGTTACTGCTTGGGATCTGGATTAAGCAAAGGCCTTCCCCAACATTCCCGGTCAGAACGACCATGTAGTCCAAACGCAATACAGGAAGTATTCGGTGACTCTATAAGGGTAACGATGTGTTGACCGGCATGACCAACCATCTTCGCAAGACTCCACCTCTGATTTGTTATGCGGGCAGTCCTCCCGTCGTCTCCCCGTGGCGGCGTGGCCTAACGTTGAACAGACTGGAAACGCTCCGTGCTGCTGCGCCGGCAATTTCCTGCATCCAAGGGCTTGGCTGTGGTAGATGGCTGTTGTAAATAGCGAAATTTGGAAGGTCGAACGTTGTCTTGCACTGCCCAGGCGCTGTTGGCTCAGCAAAGGTGCGCCGAGAATTCGAGAGCGGCATCCGTTGCTGCCTCCGTGCTCCGGACCGGACGCGGCATCGGAGTCCTCCACTTGCTAGGGGTGCGGTTCAACATCCGATTGGTCAATTGAGAAAGGAAACCATACCCCCCGGGCCGGTCACTCGAGACTCCGCTGACTGCGCTCGGTTACCTAGTCGTGAGCTCGGCTCGCTCGGTTAGTCATGCGTGCCGAGGCTTCAATCAGTGCCGTCAGTGTTTGGCGCTTTCTGCTGGATCAACCATCAACCGTTCAACAACGCCATTAGTATTATTGACGCGTCTCGAACTTCTCGTAATCGCAATGCGTCTGTCGGGTCTCCAAAAAAACGTGCTCGCCTTGTACCGGCAATGCCTACGCGAATGCCGCAAAAAGCCCGAGGCAAGCCGCGAGAACTTTCGAGTCTTTGCGAGGTGAGTTTTTTAGGTGGTTGGAATACCTTCCGTTGTGATGGGGGCCCTCATGCTAATTAAGGCGTCAGAAACGAATTCGAGAAGAACATCAAGATCGATAAGCGTGATTTTGGCGCCATCGAATTTCTGCTGCGCAAAGGCCGCCGACAGCTCGACATGTACGCCTCTCCAGGAGTCAAGGACATCAGATGACAAGGCAGCCATGGACGTTGCCCTATCAGGATGAGACTGCATCAATACAAGCATGTGTGCACACTCCCGGCAGACACGACGAGACATCGGGAATGGGCTATCTGCAATTCGAAAGACCGCGACGACTGATCTGGGTCTGTGGTGGCCTACCTTAGCGCTCGCATCGTTACCCTCGCCACAGAGGCGCCTGCCTACGTGAATACCGTTGGATTACGAGTTGCGTTATAAGGTACTATCCGACACAAGGCGACTGGTACAAGCAGCCGACCTCAGAGCCGCAGGGCAGCGCGGTACGAGGCAGACTTCTCGAGCGTGTGTCGCCAGCGTGCTAAAGGGGGACCATGCGGGCGGACGAAGGTCCAACATTGGCGCCGATGACCCTCAATCCCGCCCTCTCCGTCACGGATGTCATTCATGACAGCCCGTATTGGGCTAGGACGGAGGCCGAGATTCGACTGATCATCGGGGAAGGCGGGGTCTGAGAAGAACAAGCGTGCGGTTTGCGATTTCGACAGGCGCTGGATCTCTAGCCACCTGTGTGAAACGCACCACTTCCACCGCCGCTGAGCTCGACAAGGGTTGGGATATTGGGGTATGGTCCGTAGCAGAGGCCATTGTACGGGGCTTCCGGCATCGCCTCAGGAACGACTCGCAAGGGTCATGTTGGGTGCCCAAGCCTCAGCTACTAAATAAAAGTGCGAAGGCTGATAGCGACACTCTTCGGAACATTCTACCACTACGAATTCAACATGCTGCCGCTCTGCACCTACCGCAATATCTCGGGTTTCTACAACGTAACTGCGCCTTTCTGCCCGCCACTGGGGTGATGAAATGTCTTCTGTGTGGGATCAAGGCAGAAGCGCGATGTGAAATGGAACTCAATGACGGATCACAACGCCAGAAGGGAAATCCCAGTTTCAAGCCATCGCAGGCGTTCCCAAGACCATGGACAGCACTTGACACCAAACCCTCAAACGCGTGAGAACAAACCTACTCCGTCATGATCTCGGTTGTGTGTTCCCCAGACGCCCGCCCGAGCTTGACGGCAAGCCTGTTGTTGATGGTTCTCATGGTTCTCCAGTGCTGTTGTAACACTGTTTCATGACACAGGAAGGCATGTCCAGAGCCATCAATCACGGGGGTAAGCTGGACCAGAGATCAGTAGTGACTGGGAAAGGCTAGCTTGAGGTGAGTGCTATGCATAAATTGCAAAAAGCTCACCATCCAGCTCCCTGAGGAGGAGGGTGGTTACGAAAACAGGTACCACGGTTTGTGCCGTAAGGCTCCCGGACAGATACCAATGACCTATCCAACTTCACATCCTCCTTCTTCAAGAGACGATGTGCATGTTGAGGATGGAAGTCTTCGCTTCTCGCTCTCTGCGTTCTTCCTTGCCGCTGCTGCTCCTGAATTGGGCACACGGAGGGCCGGGTTATTCCTCTCTGGGGATGCGCAGGAAGCACACGGGAAGCGCGGAGACGGGCTGGAGGAACCGCCAACTCGGTATTACTGTGGAACTCGTTGCAACAGTATGCAGTAGGATGGTGTGATGGTACGCTGCAATGTCATGCTGGGAAGAACATCTACCCGCCGTGAGACGCACGAGGGAGGGGCAGCTTTGGGAGACTAGTGTTTGGTCTCGCCACGGTACCCAATATTACATGCACACACTGGACTATGGGGGATGGCAAGGGATTGGATTGTACAAGACATGCACAGTACTGTACTTGCTGCCCCTCAGAATCTCTGCAGGTTCAGCCGCGCGCCGCTCAGTGGCCGGGACAATAACGGGCAAGCGGATCGCGGGCATTTTGCCGCTGGGGAGAAACAGTGGCATGTGGAGAGGGGTGTCTTCCTGTTGTCCTCTGGCGACCATTCCTTTCGCTCTTGGAAGCTCCAACAAGGGTTCTTTGCCACCCTAGGGCAGCTGGACATCTGCCTCCCTTCCAGACCTCCGATCTGATGGACTGAAGAAGTCTCGGCCCCATCGAAGCCCGTTTTGTGTGTGTCGGCCGCCTGAGCATCGGAGGGGCCACGAGCAGGGACGAGCGAGGCGGATTAAGTAGACCGGGCCTTGTAAACCTTCCAGGTCAACACCGCTGACTGCTTTTCGTGATGGCAGTGAGGGCAACCAAGGTCTCCGGACCAGTATGGAAATGTACTGTATTATGCATGTTCGCTGCCTGTCTCCAAGACGCAAGACTCCCACGTCCGGGGACTTCCTGCTCCTTGGCCGCGTGAACCGAAGTTGACTGTGGCTCTTTCTCCGTCCGAGAACCGGGAACTATGGAGAGTTCTCCGCCCGATGCCCTGTTTCTATTGAATATGTCTGGTGGGTGTCTGCCTCGTCAGTGGTTTTATCCAAGGTGTGTACCGTGATGCTGGGACTCTCCACCTGGATAATTACAGGGTGCACTACTTTGCCTTTACCCGGTCGATATCCGCGAGGATGATCGACCACAGCTGTGGCGTACATAGCACGGAGCAAGGGTCACTAACTTCACCACAAGACGCCGCGCGAAGTCGAGGAGTTAAAACATCCCAGGGTATATATTTCATAAATTACCACATCATTAACAAGACCGCTGTGCAACCCGATAACGTCCATATGGGTTCCAGCCGCTTCCCCCAAAGCAAAGGAGCAAGCCCCGTGATTCCAAGCCACCCGTCCCAATCTTAGAGGATTCCATCGGCTGCCCCAGATCCAAGAATGGTGGGTAGATGAAACATGGGTTGTAAGCGCCATGCAGACGCGAGATGGCCGAAACACATAAGTGTTTGGGTGTTATCCAAGACAAAAACGGATGCAAGCTCGAGTAGACGAAACTGTCCTTCGCGTTGGGTACGAGATATACCTAACAAACAACACAGGGGAAATTTTCTCCCAAACACATCGCACAACTCGCAAGCGAGCCCAGAACCACCAAACAAGCCTGCCGAGAGAAAGGAATATCACCCAACGAGGGGAAAAGCCCTTTAAGCGACCTTCTCCTCGTTGATGTGGGTCTCTTTCTCGACCTGGCGGATGTCGATGTGGGCAACCGCAGCCTCGTCGCCGTCGATGACCTTGGCAAGCTCCTCGAGAGTGGGGCCCTTGGTCTCGATGTACATGAAGTACACGAAGCAGAGCTCGAGGAAAATCCAGCACTGAGAAGCGACGAGTGAGCGACGAATTACTGAACGAGTGACTTCTGGGCAAACTTACGGTGTAGATGAGGTAGAGCTTCCAGGCGTGGCCCTTGAAGTGCTCAAAAGCGAGAGGGTTGGCATAGGTGTTGAGGGTAAGAGCGCATTGAACCGTCAGGTTCATCACCATCAAGCCCTTGGCACGCAGCTTGTATGGGAGAATCTCAATGGAGTAGCCGACAAGCAGACCGGACCAGGCGAGGGAGTAGAAGACCTGGAACAGCCAGATGAAGAAGATCATGGCGTTGCCGGCGCCTGAGGCGCCCTGCTCCTCGTAGAGGCCTGAGGTGAGGGTCCAGAAGATGAAGGTGCCAAACATGCCGCCAGTGGCAGCAAGGAACATGGGGCGACGCCCAATCTTGTCGACGAGCGAAGCCATGGTGAGGGAGATAATCAGGGACATGCCCGTTTGGCCAGCGCTGAGACCAAGCCTCGCGGTCGAGTCCGCGACACCGGCCGTGATGTACAGAGTGTTAGAGTAGTTGGAAATGATGGCGTTGCCAGACCACTGAGAGAAGAGACCGAGCGAAACGAGGACGGCAAAGCGGTAGCGGTTGCCCTTGGTGCGGAAGAAATCCAAGTAGCTGCTCTTGCCAGCCTCCATCTCGAGACGAATGGTCTCCTTGATCTCGCGGAACTCGAATTGGACGGTGGCGTTGTTGATGTCGCCGTTGGCGTGGTACTTGGCGAGGGTCTTAAGGGCCAGGTCGTGCTTGTCCTTGGCCATGTGGTAACGAGGCGACTCGGGGACCCAGAAGATGCCGGCCAGCTGGATGACCGACGGGACACCCTGGAGGAGGGCTGGAATGCGCCAAGACCATTCATTGTAGAGGAAATTCGTGCCGAAGGCAACCCAGGCGACGACTGCATGGTGTTAGCCGGGCGAGTCCCTCTTTTCTGAACACGAGAACCGAGACTTACTCAGGGCACCGACGTTCCACAGGCAGTTGTAGACCGTGGTCAAACGGGCACGATGCTGAGGGTGAGCGATCTCGGTGAGAAGCATGGGCGAGCAGATCTGGGCCAGGGAGTTGCCGAAGCCAAGCATAACACGCCCTCCACAGAAGGCACCGTAGTTCTGGGAAGCAGCCTGGATGGCTGCACCGATGATCATGATAACGCAACCGACCGCGATGGGGATCTTGCGACCGAGGTTGTCGGCCATGATAGGACTATGTAGGGTAAAAGTCAACCGTCAGCTGCCATCGTTTGGCACAGAAGATCTCAAATGTCCAAACTTACACGATAGGGATGGAGGCCAAGCTACCAATCTGGTAGAGGGCGCCGAGAAGACCGAGATCGGAACCCTTCGGGTAGCCGAAGTAGCTCTGCCACGAGTCGAAGTTCTGGACGCTGTTGAAGAACATGCTGTTGACCCAAGGGAGGCAAGGTCAGCAAGTCGAGACTTCACGACGCATTGCCCAGCGAGTTTGTTGACTCACCCATCGTAACCGGTGGTGGCAGAGGCAATACACAAAATAAAGGCGTAGAAGGCAAGCTTCCGGAGGCCAGGATCTCTCTTCCAGTCGACATGCTCGAACTCGGGCGCCTCCTCCTGGGCGGCCCTCGTCGCATCAGCGTTCGGCTTCTTGTCCAAGATGCCCATTTTGACGATTTGGGATCGTTATATCGACCTTGGCGACGGTAAAGTCTCAATGACTCTCGGGTGAGATGTTGGCGATGTGTACGACCCGTCTCCTTGGGACCCGTGACGAAGAGGCGGGAGAGAAAGGGAGGAGCAGATCGACGGATGGATGCCAGGTTTATAAAGACACGAGAGGCACGCGCAACCATTCTGGGGTATGGGGAAGCAGGACCAGTCGGCCGATCGGACCGTTCAAGCGACTGGGGGCGGAGGCCAGGGGGATAGGGGACGACGGGGGTAAGCCTACGGGTAGACCAACTGCAACGAAGCTTAACCAATCTGTGCAGCTCCGAGAAACGAGTGAGCCTCCACTTCTGCATATAGTGTAGCTTGGGACACCGAGATCCACAAGGATGCGCCCATCTGACAATGTACAGACTGGTATCCGTACATGAGCATCCATGCGGGGACGGGGCGGCGCGGCAGCAGATGACAGGCTAATATCGTAGCCTCGCCGGTCCTGGGGCGTCTGAAGCCATGCCAGGCCAATACGCTGGCGGCTTCGCCGTCGCCATCACGACAGCAGAGAGCCAGAAGCGAATTGCGCAGGGCGCGTTCGCGCCACAAGTTGCAAGGTTCCAGGTCCTCGAGATCAGCCTTCGCATGGAAACCGGGGGCGAACAGTAACATGGCCCCTTCCACTCCGTGTTGATCGCCAGGTCTCCAAACTTTCCCCAACTTTTTCTCCCCACACAGCAAACGCCCCGGTTCACCCCAACTGTGGGCTCCCACACTCTCCCTGCCAAGACTTGGCGGGCCTGGGCCACGAGGGGACACCCCAGAAGGGGCACCGGACCGGCTTTGCGTGCGCTGCTGGTTCAGGCAGGGTAAGCGAGAGCCGCTAAGCAAATGAGAATAGCGCATCTGTAGCCACACGGCAGCCAACAGATTCGCTGCCGGTGGAAGCGGACCGATCTCGTTATGGACGTGCTGCATGCATTCAGAAAGTGGCGTGTTCGAAAGTCAAATCGACGATCTCTTTCAACGTTGACTCCCACGCTCTGGCAGAAGGATGGCAGGCGCCGTGCACGAAGTGTAGGTGCCTCTTGACTGGAAATTCTCTTCCTTCAAACCCCAAAGCATTGCACATGAAGTCGCGGGTGGATTCTGTGCAGATCCACCCTGGCAGAGAGTCCCTGGTCAGGCACCAGGGGGAGTGGGCCGTGTGCCGTGGCAGGTTTATGAAGTTGCACTACACGTATGCAATGCAGAATCGATATGAACAGACACACGCGAGAGTGTTTGGCGATATCCCGTTGCTGGGACAGGCTGAGAATGACTATGTAGAGAGCGCCACACGCGTGCGGAGTGACCGTGTTGGCCGCAACGGGGCATGGAGAAATCAGCCGAAAAGAGCGTCCACGACTGGCCTGCCCAGTCAGCTGGCGGGCCTGAGAAAACGCCACATGCGCCGTTGATGAAACGCCCTTCGACATGCGAGCCGGCCGAGCTGCGAGTGCGGGTGGCTTCGAGGCTGCGATTGGGCGGTAGGAAGCGTCCCCGTAAATCCGGGCCCAGCTGTTCCCTAGGCGAGCCCTGGGTCGTCCTGCATGTGTGGGGCCGGCCTGGAGCAGAAGCCAACAGGTGAGTGGCTTGTTCGCTTGTTCCCCCAGGCTTCGAGAAGGACTGTGAAGGGAGCAGAGAGTTCATCGTCCAATCACAAGGCGCGCTTGCGGAGACGCCAGTCTCACATGGTGACATTCCTGCATGATGGCTCCCCTTTCGGGTGAGGCCCTGCGGCGTCGTTTGCTAAGGTTTGCCAATTTCTCATTACCCGTCTTGGCTGGCAATTAGCCTAAAGATGTCGGCTGTTGGAGGGTGACGCTGGCCTGGCTCGTCTAGGCCTGCAGCCGTTTGCCCAGTCCCTTTTGCTTGTCAGCTCACTTCAGGGCTAACAATGCGCAAGTTACGGAGCACTAGTCCGTAGGGGTAGCTGATTCGGAGAACATTCTCAACCACGTACCGGTGGACTTGGGCAGTGGCCCTCTGCCGGAGCAACGCCCAATCGTGCGCATATCGGGCGCTTGTCTTCCTCACTTTAGCGTTATCGGCCGATCATTGTCTTCGGCTGACCGACCAGGGTCAAGACTGCGGCTGAATGCTTCTGGAACAAATCATGGCTAATAAGATCGAGTGGTCTACACGTAAATCGTCGGTGATGCCGTCGGAGGGTCGTGGGCGGGCAAAGGGAGGAGAAGGACAGCCATTTGAGTCCGTCGAAGACGCGGGAAGGAGGGAGACAGATGCCAGACATAAAGAGAAAAACTGGGCGAACACCAGCTGGAACTTACTTTACTAACTAATGCGGAAATGGGTGCTGTGTGGTGCTTCATCGGCCTTTCCACCGCAGTCGTGGCCAGTACGACCTACAAGAAGGGAAGGTGCCAACAATTGACCACTCACACGACGGGACGAATCTCGATCACCAGTTGTGGAGTCCCCGCAAGCTCTTGGGTTCTGCATCCAGTCTCCATTTGCAGCGCGCATCAACAGACAGATACCTAAGACGTTGCTTCAACGATAACAGAGTGCTGTGGCTGGTGACCGCTATTTACCTTATCCATTAGCTCTTGAAGAGTCCTGAAGCCTACAAATGCTTTCATCCCACCACAGACGAAGACGAGGATGTCAATTAGGAGTTGAACACCAATCCGACCTTGTTGTTTGATAGCAAATGATGGGGGGCGCGCCGAGCGGGACGGAAATTCTCCCCATGTCTGCGCTGCGACTCTGCTCCTCCGCGCCATGGTACGGTTGCGTCCGCGCGACCATGATACTCCACATAATGCGCAGTCATATTGCGATGTGGATCTTGTAACATCGTTGTTGGACGAAAACATAAAATGAGGAAATCGTTGAGCTGCAAAGTACCTGTTAAGAAGCTTGCGAGATCCTGAAGGATGAATCGTTGGCGAGATGCGCTCCGAAAAGCCAGCAGTGAATGGCTTGTTACCTAGGCTCGCCAGTTAACCACAATCTTGTCGTTCGCCGACGGAAATTAATGGTCCATTGTTGGCGGATCTCGGGCTCGAATTCCAGACACCAGATTCCAGACTCTCAAGCCCATGGGAAAACATGTAAAATGGGGCAGAAGATGGACTTTGCACTAGTGTTAAGTCTCTAATGTCACGTGAACTTGTACGGCCTTCAATCAGAGGACGCGTCGAGCGCGTCTTCGGGTGGACTTTCCAGCCAATCGAAGGGGACCGCGTTTGGCAGATTCCGGTGACATCAGCACACTCGTCTCGCCAACCCATCCATTAACCGCACACACCTAGTCATGGCGGGTCCCTCCCGACCTCCCGAGAAGAGGCAGGCCTCGCTGACAAGCTTCTTCACCATCAATGGACTGAGCAAGAAGCACGCCGGTTCCGTGGCGAAGGGCTCTGCAACGAACAGAGACAAGGAGGATGACAGCATCGAGTCCTCATCCGCGTCGCCCGATCTTGAAACCAGCCGAAAACGGCCATTACAGGGGAAAACCGGCAATGGAACACAGACATCCAGCCGCGCAGCGAAGCGTACGAAATCGAACCCCGACGATGATGGTTCCGACGGAGCCTCCACAGCGCCCGCCATGGCACCGCCCGGTCGTGGTTCCGTGGCTGACACCTCGAGCACCTCGTCCCGGACGCAGCGCTACGTATACGGTGCGGACCGCCCGGCCGGCGATGTGCCCGGTGACGAAGGTGACGATGAGGACCTGGCAGCAAAGCGGAAGAAGGAGGAGCTACACCGGAAATTCGTAAAGAAGCTCGGCCGTCCCGACAGCCTGTCTCTGTTCGGAAGACGCGAGCCTCAGAATGGGAGTGGGAGTCCAGGTCCGGATGGAGAGGATGAAGAAGGCGGCGGGAATGAGGTTGAAGAGGACGAGCCCGCGCAATTGGTCAAGACTAAAAAGAAAGGCGCCAAGACCGGCAAGTTGACTCCGATGGAGATCCAGTTTCTCGACATCAAGAGGAAGCACATGGATACCATATTGGTTGTCGAAGTCGGCTACAAGTTCAGGTTCTTTGGCGAAGACGCTCGGATTGCCGCCAAGGAGTTGAGCATTGTCTGCATTCCCGGAAAATTCAGATATGACGAGCGTAGGCATCATTCATATACTCCGCGATGCACTTGGATGCCCGCTGACAGCTTGAAAGACCCTTCGGAAGCCCATCTCGACCGCTTTGCCTCGGCAAGCATTCCCGTCCATCGCTTGAACGTCCACGTCAAACGACTCGTTGCCGCCGGCCACAAGGTCGGTGTGGTCCGTCAGCTCGAAACAGCGGCGCTCAAGAAGGCTGGCGACAATCGTAACGCGCCATTTGTCCGAAAGCTCACCAACGTCTATACTAAGGGAACCTACATCGACGAGACGGGCGAGCTGGACCAGCCCGCAGAAGGCACTGGTGCTCCCGCGGGTGGCTACTTGCTCTGCCTGACTGAGTCATCAGCCAAGGGCTTGGGAGCAGACGAGAGAGTCCATGTGGGCATCATCGCCGTCCAACCGGCAACCGGAGACATTATTTATGACGACTTCGAAGACGGCTTTATGCGGCGTGAGGTGGAGACCCGTTTGCTTCACATCTCCCCTTGCGAGCTTCTCATTGTTGGGGAACTCTCCAAGGCGACCGACAAGCTGGTCCAGCATTTGGCTGGCAGCAGCACCAACGTATTTGGAGATAAGAGCCGTGTGGAGAGGGTCCCAAAAACCAAGACGATGGCTGCAGAGGCTTACTCTCATGTCACCCAGTTCTACGCCGACAAGGCCAAAGGCAACGACGAACGATCAACGGCCCTCCTTGACAGGGTCCTGCAGTTGCCCGAGCCTGTCACGATATGCCTGTCCGCCATGATTACACATCTGGCCGAGTACGGCCTGGAGCACATCTTCGATTTGACAAAGTACTTCCAGTCCTTCAGCACGCGACAGCACATGCTGATCACGGGGACTACCCTGGAAAGCCTGGAGGTCTACCGGAATGCGACAGATCAGACTGAGAAAGGGAGTCTATTGTGGACGCTGGACAAGACACGAACGCGCCCTGGCCGGAGACTGCTGAGGAAATGGATCGGTCGTCCATTGCTCGACCGGGAACGGCTGAAGGAGCGTGTCGTCGCTGTTGAGGAGCTGCTCGAGAACTGGTCCACGATCAAGGTTGACAAACTAGGCGGTTTGCTTAGCTCAATCAAGACCGATCTCGAACGGAACTTGATCCGTATCTACTACGGGAAATGCACCCGACCGGAGCTGCTCTCGACTTTGCAGACCCTCCAGCGTATTACCATAGAGTTCTCGGGGGTGAAGTCGCCAGCAGACACCGGCTTTACGTCACAATTATTAAGGGACGCTATCTGCGCTCTTCCTGGTATCGGCGACGTCGTCACCACATACTTGGACAAGATCAACCCTGAGGCGGCAAGGAAAGACGACAAGTACACCTTCTTCCGCGATAACGAGGAGACCGAAGATATCATGAACCACAAGCTGGGCATCGCTGCTGTTGAGACGGAGTTAGATGCACATCGCAAGGACGCCGCGGCAAAGCTCTCCAGAAAGACCCCGGTTACCTATGTCGCTGTCGCCGGTATTGAGTACCTGATCGAGGTGCCGAACACCGACCTGAAGCACGTTCCCGCCTCGTGGGTTAAGATCAGCGGCACGAAGAAGCTCTCCCGCTTCCACACCCCAGAAGTCATACGCTTGATGAACGAGCGCGACCAGCACAAGGAAGCCCTCGCCGCAGCCTGCGACACGGCCTTCACCGACCTTCTCAGGTCCATCGCAGCCGAGTACCAACCGCTCCGCGACGCCGTCGCCTCGCTCGCCACCCTCGACTGCCTCCTCTCCCTCGCCCAAGTCGCCTCGCTTCCGGGCTACAGCAAACCCACCTTCCTCCCCTCCACCGCCCCGCCCACTATCACCATCACCTCTGGCCGCCATCCCATCGCCGAACACACCCTCCCAGACGGCTACATCCCATTCACCACCTCCCTCACCTCCCCCTCCCCCATCGCCCAGCTCATCACGGGCCCCAACATGGGCGGCAAATCAAGCTACGTCCGCGCCGTGGCCCTGCTCGTCCTCCTCGCCCAAATTGGCTCCTACGTCCCCGCCGAGGCTATGTCCCTGACCGTAACCGACGCAATCTACACGCGCATGGGCGCGCGCGACAACCTCTTCGCCGGCGAAAGCACCTTCATGGTCGAAGTCTCGGAAACAGCGGCCATCCTACGGGGCGCGACCCCACGCTCGCTCGTCATCCTCGACGAGCTGGGCCGCGGCACCTCTACCCACGACGGCGCCGCCATCGCCCACGCCGTGCTCGACTACGTCGTCCGTGAGACGCGCTGTCTCACCCTGTTCATCACGCACTACCAGTCCCTGGCGCGTGTTGCGGAAGGGCTGGGAGACGGTAGGGTACGGTGCGTGCACATGCGGTTTGAAGCGACCAAGACGGCCAACACCAAAAGCAAACCCGGCCCCTCTGGCGATGGCGACGGTGATGGTGCAGACGAGATTGACGATGTAGACGACGAGGAGATCACCTTCCTGTACGAAGTCGCCGACGGGGTGGCTCACCGGTCGTACGGGCTCAACGTGGCGCGGCTGGCGCGGATTCCGCGGCGGGTGCTGGATGTGGCGGCGCGCAAGTCACGCGAGATGGAGGAGGCCGTCAAAGCGCGGCGGCTGCGCGGGGCGGCCCGGTTGCTGGAGGATGTGGTCAAGGCCGGCGAGGGTTGTGGGGAAGTGCAGCTGGATCACCTGGTGTCGAGTATTGAGCAGTTGTAGGAGGCGCACAGTGACGCGGTATTTGTTGAAGGGTTGCTGGCGCTAACGGCTTTGCTGTCAATGTTGGCAACATTGTTACTCGTTAGCTATTGTCTATGTATTTCTAGTCCGTTTGTCTTATAGCGGCAAATGAGGGACTCACAGGAGCCATTGTCGGACCACGGGATGCTAGCTCAACTATCATGATAGACGTCACGAGTCGATGACGTTTGTTTCATTTTCACGCTTAGCCTGCCACTGCGGAGTACACTCAGCTGATGTTGTCAAGTTCCTCGACGCCGAGTGAGCATAATACAAGGGTCCGGTAGCAACTGGGGCACATTCTGCAACGACACGTCGGCAGACGCCATGGCTGAGGCAATCAAGATATGTGATTTAAGACTGTAGCCAGTTATCGACCAATGTCCCTTGCTAAATACGACCAAGTAATGATGGTGGTCCCAACCGAGTCCTCGCCCGCCATGCAATATGTAGAAGATGGAGGATAACGAATCGAAAAAAGATCTGCTTCCTGGCGCCATAGTCCCCCCAACCTCCCGGTGTGGTCGCTAAAGACCCCGTGATTTGCCCTCGAAATGGCATTGTGAGTGCTAGCCGCTGCCCAGAGCAGAACTCTCAGCGCAGGAAGGGTTGGATCTCCGTGACGCCTGCACTCCCGTGCCAGATCGTAGCAAGTTTGTGTCCGTATTGTTACACACACAGGGAGGTCTAAGAATGCAACGTCTCTACCATGATGTGACGGTTCCATATCCCCTCGGGATCAGAGTTCAAAATCCTGATCAGCACGCTCATTGGTCGAGTCTGACGCAAACGGTCCTCCAAAGGCGTTAAACGCCATGTTGCTCAGATTCATCGCGTTGATCGCCTGGAAATTGGCCGTTGACGGCTTCGTCTCGTTGCCAAAACTCGAATAGCCGTAGGGATTGTAGTAAGCACCAGCGGCACCTCTGGTCTGAACGCACAACGGATTAAACGATCCGGCTCCCAAGCTGTGCTGGTGCGGGAAATAATGGCCGTTGGTGACAGGAGGTTGCGCTGTGAACGTTGTGTCGCGAGGAGGCATATAGGAAACTGGCTTCCCAGGCTTCTGTCCAGTCGATACCATGGAACGGTTGGAGTTCAAGGGTTGAAGCGCAGTGCGGCGGCGAAGCTCAAAGCTGCGGTTTGTTAGAACAGGAGAGTAGAATGAGAAGAGCGAGAACATTTACCCAGACTCCCTGAGCGGGCTCTCAGTTTGAGCTGCTGTCGATTAGCACCGAGCATTAACCGATCGTTGGTGTTTCTCCATACCAGAACTGCGCTTCGGCGGGTCGCGGAAAATGTCGTAGGCATCGCCAGCGCCGGAGCGTCTCTCATCATCGTCCTGTCGACCCCTCCTGCTCTGGGCTGCCTTGTGACGGGTAAGTCTGGCAGACGCTCTCGTGCGACCTCGGCCGGACGCCACAGTGGTCGCAGAACGACGGCCCCGCCTCGGCTTACGGTCATCAAGATCCTCGAGCTTGCGGTCCTAAGGAGGAAGATTGTCAGCACAAGGTGCTCATACCGAGGCTGGCACAGCGACGTGGAGTGGATGGGTACAACTGACGGGGCTTCCTTCGACCGACGGAGTGGCGTAGATGTCGCGGACCCGTTGAAACTCTCCGTCCTCGGTCCAGACAAACTCGTTTGGCTCAATTACAGAAGACGTCTCCTCCATCTGCTTCAACACAGAATCATCCTTGCGCTGGTTCCGCATCCTTTTCTGCACCACATCTGCCGAGTCAAACAGACCCATGCCCGGATATTTTACCCCCTTCAGCTTGTTGGCATCATCGTCAAACTCAGTGCTCTCAGATCCAAGATCAAGAGTGACGCTGGCACCATCCGCGGCTATTTCCGCCTCCGATGGCCACCTCCGGTAATACATGACGCGCTTCCCGTTCTCCGGGGTACTGGGGGCTGACTGATCTGGTGGAGAACGCTTCAGATTTGGGGTGTGATAGCTGGAGTTGTCGAAATGATCGTGGTAGCCATCTTGATGATGACCTGGGGCGGCAGACCAGTGACCTGTGCCTGGCAGGGGCTCATATTCATCTGGGTCAGGCTTGACCAAAGCATGGTGGCTTGCGGAGGTTTCGGGCTCGTTTTTCTGTCGTCCCCCATGAGTCCGGCGCCCCTTGGCTCCATCTAGGCCCGCGGAGTGACTCACAGTCGTGTTTGACGGCCTTGGTCTCCTGCCCGTCTTCTTCTGCTCCTTTGCAGCCATGCGCTCCGCCAGAAGAGCATTGACGCCGTACCGCTCACACCAAGTATCATACTGTCGGACCTGCTCGAGGGCAGCTCGGTCGTCGCGTGCTTTCAGCTCGACTTTGAAACGGTGAGCGAGGTGGCTCTTGGACGAGATGTGGGTGAGAAGATGGGAAAGGTCCGAGAAGTTGGGCTTCTTTGGGCAGATGATGCATCGGAGGGGGATGGAAGCCGGGTCGCTCCTCACAACCAAGTCCATGGGTGCAACCGCAGCCATGTCCTGAGAGACAACAGTCAGCATCATCAGCCAACCTATTTGGTGGGAACTCACGGAAGCGTAGTGGCTGTGTTGGCAAGGTCAACCGTGGAGGGAGTGATGCTTGGGAAACGTAAGTCGAGTCGAGAAACGGGTTAACACCAAAGGGGAGCCTCAGTCTCTGTAAGGCAGGAGAGACTTAGGTTCTGGACATGGAAAATCCAGAATGCCAGCACGTCTCGTGAATTCGGCGTGTAAGAGCGGCAATAGCATAGGCGCCCAGAGGTTAGGTGTCTGAGCCTGGTAGGAGGACAAACTGATATGGCTCTGGAGTGAAACGGCTATCTCAGGACGGGCTGAGCAGTAGGTACTCCGTCCCAAGATACTGATTCCTGAGCGCCGGCTTCGAGAAGAATGAGTTGTAATGCAGTCGCAGCTCTGACGAGAATCGACGGAGAAAACCCGAAAAAGAGAAGGCCAGCGGAAGTCAGAAGAAAGGACGATAGTAGTGAGTGACTGGGACGAGATTGGAAAGCGGCCACTGAACTCGCCACCACTTGTCTCTCTCAAAGGTGCGGTGGAAGGAGCTACCTGCCAAACATGGGTTGAATGCGTGCTTTGGGAGTGGATGCCTAAGGACGGCCTTAGAGAGGGAAGGAACGCATGAGGCCTGGAGAGGGAAGGAACGCATGAGGCCATGGAGAAAGTTGTTTGAATCGCAAAGAACCGCACAGTGATCAACAACTCGGGTTTAGTTCACTCACCGTGCCAGTGTCGTGCTCATTTGATCAATGATTGCCCACGAGTCTTCTCAAGACTTGCTAAATGCGAAATTTCGTCGCAAGTCGGCGGGGTGAAGCGACTTCTACGATGGAGGCTAGCAAGTGCAGCTCAGAACTGAATCAGAGATATTTTTCTTTGAAGATTTGAAAGCTGGCAGCCTTGAATGTTTAAAAAGTGACCTGGTTATTATTAGTGAATGAGTCTAAGAAAAGAGAAGCAATTTGATTTGAACAAAACCTAGAGGAAGTGAAAGGGTGTTATAAAAGAAGTTTTCGCAGAACACGCTAAGACATCTTCTGGTGCAGAGAAGGGAATCAGGAGGATCTCCATACCCTTAACTCTCCTCGCTTGAATCTGAAGCTTGTGATCGAGTTTGGTCAAGGTCGGACGTCCTAGCAACGAGACGATCATGAACGGAGACGGGTTTGCCCACTGGAATATGATTCTCTCGCACGAACCTATTGGGAAACATTCACACGAAGGACCCGTGTGGCCCTCCCCCTGAACGTTCATGTCGGCTCTGGTCAATAGATTCAGCGGAGGGACCCGCTTCAAGTTTGTCACTGGACTTCTTGCGACTGGCAGGTAGTTGGCGAGATGCAAGAAAGCGAGTATATACGAGAACTCGGTTCTAATCAAGCAGCCAATGGCAACCAGCGGTCACTTGTGCCGGCACCAAGATGATCCAGTACAGAGCTTATATTGTGGGCCGGCAACAACAAGCTTTGGGGTTGGACAGTGCCATAAAGCTGGGGCTCTGTGTCGAATTGGTTGGAAGGCCAGAGGGAGATGGGAAGGAGGGATACTACTGATCGACCAGTTAGTTGTAGTCAGGTACTCAAGACAGAGTCCAGTAAACCTCAATGACAGTTTGTCTCGAAGTACCCGAGACCCGGGTTACCTGGCATAGGCTCGAGGCAAATCAGCTTCTAGCGTTGATAGTGATAATTATGTTCGATGAAGGCTGTGGACGTTTCCCTGTGGATAAAGTGGCTGTACCTTACTAAGTACCGCCTAGATGAACACCATTGAACCGAGCATAGCCAAACGATCTCAGAATGGGACTATGAGAGTGAGGTTAAATTAAGGCATGAAGAACATATCTTTATCCAGGGAAGCGCGCCACAAGCTAAAAGCCTTTTCAATGTGGCTACACGCAAAGTTGAAAATCCAACATAGTCTAGCCATGACGCTCAATCCAAAGCTCATGTACTTCGGCCATGAACTCTTTTTAGATTAGAAACTCTCCTTAGCCTCAAAACTCTTGTTAGACTAGAAATTCTTCTTAGATCAAATAGAACTGGCCCCAGTGTGGCTGGAGAACCATGGATCCTACTCTCCCGTGAGCAGGTGACTCGGCTTCCTTACAGGACGTCAATTCTTGGCCTTGGTAGAAATACACTGAAACGGAAACCCAGTAGCGAAGTCATGAAATAGTAGCTACATACACTTGACGTGGACTAGATGTTCGTGACCAATCTGTGCCGATCAGCTTGAAAAAAGGCCAACGACAGCAAGGATTGGTGCCAAGTTGATCTTCTCTTGCCTTGTATCCTGCCAACACTGAGCGTACTGTTGAGAGGTTATTAGATTGCAAGAGGCTTGGGAAAGACAAAAGCGAAGTTCAATCGAGTCCGACTGGGAAAACCGGGATCAGACAGCCATGCCAGAGGCAGATAGTAGATTGATGCTCATCTTCCCAACACCCGCGCGGTGGCAGACTTGGGCATGCAATAGACCTCATCGACGGGCTGCAGGCCCGGATACTGGAGCAGGCTCAGGCCCGCGATACCAAACACGGTGTGCCAGACATCGACCATGTCACCAGGCCTGTCCGAGATGCCGCCCCGCTCTGGGTCCTGGCAGCGCAGGATAAAGGCCACTAGCTGGTCCCTGTCGATCCAGTGCGTCTTGCCAATCATTTCCAGGCTGCTCAGCACCCACCAGCTGTAACATACGTCCTCTTTCTTCTCCGGCCGGCCGTTGAGGCCGCCTCCGGCAATCTGCCTTTCGCTGAGCCACCGCCCGAGCCGCTCCTTGTCCACAAGATTCTGCCTGCCAGCGATGGTGAGGGCGGCCACGCATGTGAAAATCTGCCCGGCGTGGGACTCTGCGCCGGGGCTCACCCCGTAACCGCCGTCAAAGTTGGCACATGCCGCGATGTGGTTAACCGCCTTGTCCACGTCGACAAGATTGAGGAGCCCCAGCAGGGACAAGGCATTGAAAGCGCCGTAGAGAAACCTGGTGTCTTCCTCCCCCCACTCATCGCCGGCGAATGTGCCGGTCTCGCGGTTTTGGAGATTGGCGATATCTAAGCCCAGAATTAGGTCAGCATTTCAGACGGGTCTCTAGATGCGAGCACTGGGCGACGCACATTTTCCCACCTGCGCCTTGCCCTTCCCGCGCGTATCCAGCTCGTCAAAGGCGTCGATCATGGCGAGGATTTGCACCGCACTGACGGTAGAGAGCATGTGGGCGTCATGGCCGGGGGCGGCGCCGAAGCCGCCGCTGTCGTGTTGACATGACAGCACAAAGTCGACGGTCTCGGCGCGTGGCAGGGCGTCGGGGTGGCCCAGCAGGTGCAGGGTCGTTAGCCCCCAGTAAAGCCCATTGAGCCGGAGATGCTCGGTCAACCAATAGTCATACTCGTCCTTTCTTGAATCCAGACTTTGGATGTATTTGACGTGGGCTGTCGTGGCCAGCTGGAGCTCCTCGGGGAGCTCGGGGAGCTGATTGAAAGTCTGCGGCATGGTTCCCGGTTTGCGCAATGTTGAATTTCGGAAAAATTGCGGGGAAGAGATCGGGGCCGGCAATCAGAGTGGCCAACGACGGCTCCCACTAGACTGACGGGTCCGTGTCGCTTAGATAAGCACAACGATTATCTAAGCACCCAAAAATGCATCTAACGCGGCCACCACCCCACGCGCGCAATACCCATGCGAAGCGCGGACACGACCGCAGACACTATCGCCATGGCCGCCTTCCCAGACGACTGCCTCCCTCCCGAATCCTACTTCGAGTCGCGTGAGGCCTTATTCGAGTCAATCAACTCGTGGGCTGGGCCAAGAGGCTATGCTTTTACCACTCAAAGGTCAACGAAGGAGAAGAATGGTACTACGACAGTTATCTATGCATGCGATCGATCACGCAACCCTCCTGATAGCTTGCTGGAGCGTCAGAGAAGAACAACAACTCGAAAGACGAATTCGTGTTCTCGGAGGCTGAGAAGTGGAAGGAGTTCTACAATTCTTGGCACTCGATCATCAACTCGCCTACCGAGAAAAATTATACCAAACGCCTTGCTGAGTTTCAGCAGAACTACGTTCCCGAGCACCCGGAGGAAGTCGGGTATATCAAGGCTACGTGGCTTATTCCGTTCAAGGAGAAACTCGTACGTGCTTGGGTCGACCAGTCGACTCATTTTGGCAATACAGCTACCTCGCGAGTGGAGGGAATTCACGCGCTCCTCAAGTCGTACTTGAAGAGATCGACATTCGACCTTTTCGATGCCTGGAAAGCGATTCGCCTCGCCCTCCTCAACCAACTGTCCGACTTACAGTCAACTCAGGCGAAGCAACAGACCCGAACGCCTCTTGAGCTCTCCGGGGCTTTATACGGAGCTGTACGAGAATGGGTGTCGTCGCATGAGGCGTCAAGGAAGGTCGAGGAGCAACGCAAGTTACTCGCAAGGAGGGACCCCCCTCCATCTCCTACTTGTACAGGCACTTTCTCTCGAGTCTATGGGCTCCCATGCTTACACGTCTTAGATGCTCGTCAAGGAGAGCCTCTTCTTCTCGACCACTTCCATTCGCACTGGCATCTAGTACGCAAGGGGGCTCCGCAGTTACTCCTTGAGCCTCGCCAGCGCATTGAGCCAATTCGAGCTCAGAGCTCACTTCCAAGGTCAAGTACTAAGCGGAAACCGAGCCAGTTTGAGGTAGTTGAGGCAACGCAGGCGACACGGGCTAAGCGGCCAAGTCAATGTACAGCTTGCGGTAAGGTTGGCCATACAAGGGCCTCGAAAGCATGCCCTCTACGTTATTCGGATGTACTGTAGGAACTGTAGTTAACTTATCTGTTGGCTGGTGTTGCGCGTGTCGGGTGGTGGCCGCGTTAGATGCATTTTTTGAGTGCTTAGATAATCGTTGTGCTTAGCTAAGCGACACGGACCCGTGAGTCTAGTGGGCGCCAACGACGAAGCTCATCTTACATAAGCAGTCACATACTTCCATTCCTGGACACAGGAGAATATGAGAACATGAAATGGCAGATGTTGATACTTCATGATGGATCAGCTTCACGCTTTGCCGGGCCATCAGCTTTGTGGACTTGTCGGTTCTCCTGGGCGATCGTTTACAGGACCCGATGTCAGCAACGTTATCAGTTGCATTTCGTCCCCGTCAGTGCATGGGCGCTTTGTTGCCGCCTGTTGGATCCTGTTCTACATTCGGGATGAGAATTCGGGGACGGACCTCAGCCGCCCATCCATGATATCCTTGTGGCCCTTCAATACGAGCAGGCAATGCAAAGGTATTTCTGATACTGCGCGGCTGCCGTCAACAATCGACCCATGATCCCGCCTTGAAACGGGATGAGCCCCGAGGTGGGCAAGATAATGCGCCTCATTATGATTTTGAGAGAATTGGAAGGACTGCTGGCTAACTATACCTCCAGGACCTTGACACCATGACTGAATTGAGAGTTGAGGGATAGACCGGCCGCCACATGTCTAAGTCGAGGTTACCGATCGAGGCAGTTGAAGTCTCGGCCAAGACAACAGCCCCGAGTTTCAGACCTGCTGTGTTCCTGAACTAAGACAAACACGGCTAGCGCAGAGACCCCTAGATCAGGGCGCGTGAGCCCGGACCACACCGAGCATTGTAGTGCATGTCCCAATCGGACATGAATGTGGAGAGGGCTGCATGCGAATCCGGTCGACCACGGCATTTGACCGAGGAGTCTGGGCCACAACTGTTGTCTCGCATTGAGGTCAGGTTGGCCGATGCCTTGTCTCGGTGGCAAGTTGATCCAGCCAGGAGAACAAAGAACGAACGAATCGTGATGTGGCTGACCCAAGAGTACGGATGTATGGCCCGTTGGAGACTGCCCCTTGTATTGCGAATCATTGCCCTTCATCCACGACTCGTCCGTCTTCGTTTTCGAGCCCCTCTTCTGGTCACCTCATGGGTGGCGTTCTGTGCTTTTAGTTCATGGTCAGGTAGGTATATAGCCGAGTACAACGCTTTGGCGCCGTTATTGTTCTAAGAAGCGCTCCGCCATGCATCAACTGTCATATCCGGATCACCTGAGCATCTCCCTTCTATGTGTTGAACAACCCGGCGCCTACTGTACACCTAGGGTTCAGCATAGTCCAGATCGTACTGCAAAGCTGTCCATCATGGCAGACCGTTAGACACACGGACTGTGCTCTGCTTTTGTGGCTTCCGTTTCGGGAGACTGCTTCTGGTACGGAGTCTCGAGGGAGTATTTAAGGTTATCTGAGGAGTTGCTGTCGGGTCAACTAAGATACTAACACGGTTTATCTTTACAAAAATCATCGCAACGACGAACCGATCAACTTCTGCAATGTGTGCCGCTGCCGACGACTCAACACCCGAAGGCAATGTTGACGGGTCGTCGTCATCCGTTCAACATCCTTCTCTGTCCTCGTCGGAAGGTCCGTCGATCAATAAGGCAAAACCGTGCTGGTAGCATCCCAGCTGCGAATCAAATTGCGACAACGGGGCCCTGAAAGCGGACGTTTTGGCCGAAGGGGCGGGGCTGGGGTACCCCTGGGCGGCTGTTAGCGTGTGGAATCGCGGACTGCCTGGGCGCAGCGGTGTGCCCGTTCCTTACTCCCCGTCTCTGCTGTTGCCAGTGCCCGATTTGGTGCAGCGCGGTTCATCTCGCAAGCTGCCCAGGTCTCTTCCAGGTTCGCTCTGTGCTTGCAGCTGCTCCTGCCCCTCCAACAACCTCGCCCGTGCCTCTTCGGAGAGCTTGCTCATTTGTCGCAGACGGCAATCTGCCTGTTTCCATTTTCTAGCACCCTGCCCGACCCTGAGCCGTAAGCTTCGACACTGTGTCACGGCTGCGCACCCGCAGGTAACTGCAGTTGCTGGGCTTTGTTGGTTGGCACAGGCAGATTGCGCATAGCCCAAATCAGGAACACGCTTACTATACTCCGGACCCCAGGGCAAAACTCCGTCGATTGCCAGGTGGCCCGGCTGCGCACCCGGCAACTCGTCCCACGGTGGGAATGGGTCGTAAACCTGCACCGCAACCGCTCACCCTGGGGGCGTCAGCGCATCCCGGCGAGGACTCCCGGTCTGGTGAGACAGGTCCCAAATTTGCGCGACTGCCGCCCGACACTGCCTCGCCTCGCTCTCCGCATTCCCCTTTTCGACCCGGCCACATCAAGGCAGAAACCGCCGGTATGGGAGAGCCACAACCGCTTGCCGACGTTTTGCACCAGCCCCAGCAGTCGCCCGTTCAGCATGACAAACAACGCCAACGACAAGAGCACGTAGATCCAGCCCGCGACCCGCCGGAGCCTTCGCCAAGAGATCACGCTGAGGACCAACAACAGCAGCTGGGCCACAGGCACGCGCGGCGCGGCGAAGACAAGGCCTCGAAATCGGGCTTCTTTTTCAGTTTTGGCAAGGGAGCCAAGTCGTCGGACCGTTCCATTGTGCACCAGCACTCCAACTCGCGCGCCGATATCATGTCGAGAGACGCAGACCGGCCGGTTCTGTCCAAACAAAGCACGAAGCATTCAGGTGGGCAAACATTCTGCCCCTGTGTCGTGTGTTCTATGCCGGTCTGAAATCTGGGCTCTGTCGATTCCGTATTAGAGCAAGACGGCCATAAGTTGTTTCAAGTTGTGCTAACACCGCTTTCTTGCGCCAGACTCGTCCCATCAGGACCTCGCCGTTCAGAAACCGAACACGCCATTGCCATCCAGGTCTGAAGTGTCGCTGGCCTCGACCGTAGACTACGACAGCCCGGGTAATTCGGTAGCCTCGTCAAAGAGGTCAAAGCCTAAGCCGTTCACTCTGCTCCATCGCTCGAGGTCGATCAAGGACAAGGATAGCAAGGACAGCCCGAGCCCGAAGGAGCACGCTTTAGCACCGGCGCCGGCACCAGCCAAGGTCCCCGAGCCCGAGAGGCCTTACACTTCGGCTGCAGCTCCGAGGACGGCCCCGCTTCAAGCACGCGACCGGTCTTTCAGGGACATGATGTCCTCCGCAGTCAGGAATCATTCAGCCGAGCGATCCCAGTCGAGAGAGGTTAGCGGGAGAGGGAAAGAACAGGAGAGAGAGGGCCATCAAAGGCCACCGGCACCCTCGTATACTCAGACGCCCGGAGGGGCCTTCTTCAGCAACCTCAAGCACAGCAGAGCGGCAGGCATCATCAGCAACCGCATCTTTGGTGGGAGTTCAAGACACGAGCCGCCGGCCCCTAAGGAACCGGTAGTGGACGACGAGCACTACGTCCTCAAGGTCATCAATCTGCCACTTGTCGAACAAGCACGTTTGACCCGAATATCCAAGAGGTTGGAGGATTCTCGAGACAAGACTGAGTTCTGGATGCCTGCATTTCCGTGGAGGGCAATAGACTACCTGAACTACAAGGGCAGTGAGGTGGAAGGCCTGTACCGGGTTCCCGGGAGCGGACCGCAGATCAAGAAGTGGCAGCGGAAGTTTGATGAAGGTATGTGGGCAGGCTCTGCTGTCGTTATGCCGCTGTTGCTGACATGGTTGCGCAGAACTTGATGTGGACCTTTTCGAGCAGCCAGATCTCTACGACATCAACATCGTCGGGTCAATGCTGAAGGCGTGGCTGCGAGAGTTGCCCGACGAGCTATTCCCCAAGGAAGCCCAGGAGAGGATTGCGAGGGAGTGCGCCGGGGCGACGAAGGTGCCGGACCTGCTCGTCGAGGAACTCTCCAATTTGCCGCCTTTCAACTACTACCTGCTCTTCGCCATCACCTGCCATCTAAGCCTCCTCCTCGCACACTCGGATAAGAACAAGATGGACTTTCGCAATCTATGCATTTGCTTCCAGCCATGCATGAAGATTGACGCCTTCTGCTTCAAGTTCCTGGTCTGCGACTGGCGCGACTGCTGGAAAGGATGCAAGAACGAGGCGAAGTACATCGAGGAAGAGTATGCGCTCTTTGATCAACCGCCACCCAAGGGGGTTGGCGAGAAGAAAAACAACGGCAGCAGCAGCACGCGCGATGAGGAGAAACAGCCGGAAGAGCGCAACATTTCGTCGTCAGACAGCGGCAAGAGCCTGAACCGCGGTGCAGCCGAGCAGAGAGGGCGGCTCAAGAAGAAGGCACCGGGCGAGGGCGAGAGCGTCGCGGAGACGAGCTCCATCTCAACAACCCTCACCATCAACAGTGAGCGGGAAACTCCGCCGCGGAAGTCGGGCGAGTTACGACCCCTCTCGCCCATCAAGCCGCTGTCTCCGCTTAATTTTTGAGAAGATCATTTCGCGCTCCCCTTAACCCCAAATTTTCTTCTCGCATCTCTTTTTCGTTCCTCGCCATGGGAATAGCAAGCGTCTGCCGTTTCGCGTCCGAGAGCATCATTATCCTCAACCGTCCGACCCCACGGTCTTGAAGCCGTTGACGACGTTGTTTCCTTCCGGCTCTCGCACTGGACTTGTTTTGTCTCAGCGTTATAAGACCACCTATAAAGCCGATGGCGCGAATCCCGTCCCTACACGCAGCCAGGACACACGGAGTACACAAGGCGGGATCTGGGTCCCTTACGACGTCCTGCTCGTTATTTCCTCCACACCACAGTCTGCCGATCGATTGAGCGCCGTCATTTCAAGTTCGAGTTTTCACCGTTTTCACTCTCTGCTTTTTCGGTTGGAATACCCCATGCCCATGCCTTTTCCAGTATTCTCGAGTCACAGGCAGGCTCATCTATGTTCGAGATATGGGAGGGTTGATCCGTTTGTCCGCTTTTTTCGCCATTTTCAATCAGTTCCGTTTTGCTTCCGTGTCATTATCGATACCGTTGGGGTTTGCAAAGTAATGAGGACGGGAAGGCCAGAATCAAGTGACAGAAGGAGAACTTTCGGCTGCTTCTTGTGGGGTGGCGGAGGACGAGGGTGGTCGTCCTGGGTCTTAGGATTGCATCCGTAGTATTCGGAAAGATTCCTTTGTGGCCGACGAATGAAGCATGATTGGAGGGCGGCGCCTTTTCCTTGTGCAGGAGGATGGGAGGAGTTGTACGACAGAGGTGTCTTTGATTCAGAGGAGTAATAAAACGGATGGATGTCGTGGTGAACAGTCGAGTTCCAAGGCCCAGAGATGGCATACTATAAGATGATTTTGCATCTGAACGTGCGCAAGCGAGCTAGGTCACATACGCTGCCGAATCCCTCTTTATGTTACCGAGTAGAGCCCCTACCCAACCCAGCGTTTTCACTTCCTCTCTGACCCGATACCACACGCAACGCCAGCAACAGCCGTTGAATCACAAGCCTTATCGTACGCCTCAAATTGCAATGATACAGACAACCCTTTCCCCAATCTCCTATTGCCCACCGTAACATAAGACACCCCTCTACTTCCTCCCATCGGCATTCCTCAAATTCCTCCTCATCCTCCTCTCATTCCTCTTCACCCGCTCCCGAATCTCCCGCCGCTTGTCCCCCCTCACGCTTGTCCCCTTCTCCCGCTCGGCCGCCTGCTGCTTGGCGCTCACCTCAATGATGGCGTCGTCCTGCCCGGCCTTGTTGGCGCCCTTGTACCCCCACTTGCGCTCAAACTCGCCCGTGGCCTCGTTGTACTGCAGGTTGCGCCGCTGCTCGCGCGTTTTGGGCTTGATGCCGCGCCGCTTGGCGAAAGCCGACCATTTGGTCTCGGGCTTGGGCGTCGGAATGGGCTTCTCGCGGGGTAGCGGGGTCTGCGGAGGCGGGAGGGTGAGGAGCACGCCGTCGCGGTGCGAGGTTATTGTGCAGGTTGTGAGGAGCTGGTTGATGAGCACCTGGGCCCCGTCGCGGGCGACCGAGGTGAGGTGGGTTTCGAGGGAGGTCCGGTCGGCGGCGGCTGTGGGCGGGATCGAGACTGGGTTCGGGTCGTTGGCGAGGAGCAGGCCCAGGTCGAAGGTGTAGGGGGTCGGTTTGTCGACTGTGACGGGGAGTTTGACAGGTTTTTGCGTGGCGGTAGACATGACAGCGTTGAATGGCTCTTGGGTTGGTGTGTTGATTGAGAGCTGGTTATTCGAGTGTTGTGATGCTGTCTGCGCAAACGCCCGTCCGAGCAAGGCATCTTCAGTGAGGTTTAGCCGAGAAACTTCCCAGAATTTAGGCGGTGTGGCACTGCAAAATGTGCAGATCTCCCACTTTTAACGATCTTGATCTAGGCATGGCCCGTGCTTCGACTTCCAACGTCTGTGTCCGATTTTGTTTCGGCAGCGACCCGCGATTCTGAAGCAGCCTCGGTCAGCAGCCATTGGCGACTCGGACGGCACCCCACGATGCAATAGAAAGTCGCGGTTGCCGACAGACGACACACACTCAACATGTCGGCGCCCAATTGCCTGCGCTGCCTCTTGCGGCCATCGGCGGGAATTCCAGTATCTTCGCTTCCTCGATCAACGCCGTTCGCCCTCGTCCGCGCAGCTCCCTTCACAACGACGACCGCAAATCCACGCCCCAAGAAGGAGGCCCAGGCCGACGGGAAGCCGAAGAACCACACCCGCGCCGGCAAGAAGCTGAAGCTCGGCAAGTTCAAGAAGGAGAAGGTCGGTGACAGGGGAAGGCCCCCGCTGCCGGGCGAGCGCAAGGCCTACCGCAAGCGCATCACCCTCAGCAACGACAATGCCATTCCCGTGCCGTGGCTGACCGACCTGGGCTCGGCCGATTTGGCCAATCCAGCCAATATGGCCAGGGTCATGGCTTTACCCGTCGAGCTACAGGACCAGCTGCGCGCCAGCGAGGCCTTCAAGCCCACACAGTGCTGGGGCATGTTCAGGAAACCCGCCGTCCTGGTGCGCAAGGAGACGGTCGACTTGGCGAACAGGATGCAGAATGCCGTCGACAAGAGGCAGACGTTGCGCCTAGTCGTCACTGGTGACAAGGTGACCGGTAAGAGCATGATGGTGCTCCAGGCCATGGCCCACGCCTATCTGAACAACTGGGTCGTTATCCACATACCAGAAGGTATTCACAAATTCGCCATTCTGTTTCCAGTTGGGTATGCAGACACTGACCCCTCCCAGCCCAGGAACTCACCACCGCTTGTACCGAATACGCCCCCATCCCCAATACCGACCCGGTGCAGTACATGCAACCCGTCTACGTGCTCAAGCTCCTCCAAGCCATCAAGCGCGCCAACGAGAACGTTCTTGCCAGAACTTACACCGTGAACCCCCATCCAGAGCTCTCGCAATCCGTTCCGCCCAACACGCCGCTCCTGGCGCTCGCCAACGCCGCCAAGGAACCCGATGCCGCCTGGCCCGTCTTCCAGGCCCTGTGGAGCGAGCTGACGACGCAGGGCGCCAACCGCCCGCCCATCCTCCTCTCGGTGGACGGGCTCGCTCACATCATGAAGATCTCGGACTACCGCTCGCCGGCCTTTGACCTGATCCACTCACACGACCTGGCCCTGGTGCGCTTGTTCGCCGACGCGCTCGGCGGCGCCGTGCAGCTACCCTCGGGCGGCGCCGTCATCGCCGCCACGGCCCGCAACAACGCGCCCCGCACCCCGAGCATGGAGCTCGCCCTCGCGCAGCGCGAGGCCGAACAGGCCCGCGCCGAGGCCCAGGCCAACGGGTTGGATCCGAACGCCGTCGAGGTTCCGCAGAAGGACCCCTTTTTCCGTGGCTATGATGACCGCGTCGAGGCCGTCCTGCGCTCGGTGCAGGTGCTGCGCGTCCGTGGCGTCGACAAACTCGAAGCGCGCGCGCTCATGGAGTATTGGGCGGCCAGCGGCATGCTGCGGGCGACGGTGGACGAGAAGACGGTGACGGAGAAGTGGACGCTGGCGGGGAGCGGCGTGCTGGGCGAGATGGAACGGGCTGCGCTGCTGACGATGCGAATTTGAGGAGTCGTGTTTGTAAACTACCTATGGGATGGGTTGTATAGAAGAGATGTAAACTGTACTGTGATAGAGGCCAAGTTTGTCCCGCATTCAAGTCACCGCCTTTACAATGGTATGATCACTGATGCGTCAACCACTATGGGTTTGAGGCACACACAAGACTTCAGTCTTAACTGCATTTCACTTCCCAACCAACAGGACTACGCCGCTACATCATAAGGGACCAAACCGTTACAACCGCCTTCGCCATTCAGCCATTCGATTCCCTAGCTGACCCCTACAAACGCCGTGTTTGACATAAAACAGTAACCTAAGTGCAGCAGCTCACGCAAGTCATGACCATCCCAGGCAGCACCCTCACAGCTCTTGGCTCCCCTCCCTCTCGGCGTTTCCCGACGTGATAAACACCAACCGCGTGCCGTTGCCAGCCGTCTGCCAGACCTGTATGCCTCACAGTCAGTCCATCATGCTCAACATCTCGGGGATCTTTGCAAGAAAAACTCACATCCAACTCGGTATACTCCTCCAAAGCCGCCAGCCACTGATTCTCGGTGAATCCCTTGGCAATAATCCTCTCTTTGACCTTCCGCAAGCTCAGTTCCACCCCATATCCCTCCTCCTCCTCCTCCTCATCCTCCGCATCATCCGCTCTGCACGCGCCGGTATCCGCGAGCCCCTTGACAAGGTTATAGATCTTGCTACTGGCATTCAGCACCCGCCGCCCACTCTGGCTCCTCTCATCCGCCGCCAGACTCTCCTTGCTAGCCTCCACCAGCCGCAGCGCCTCGTCCACATCTTCTTGGGTGACAGTGTTGCTGAACCGCAGCCGTGCCAGCGCCTGGGCCAGCCGCACGACGCCGAGCAGGGTACGGGGCGTGGTGTGCCCAAAGTTGTTGTGCTGCATGCGCTTCTCGGCGCGCCGCTGAGCGCCGCGCATGCGCACGTACGTCTTGACCATGTACTCGGACACGGCCTGCGGCACGACGGGGCGGAAGGTGCGCGCCTGCGCGACGTAGGCGCGGACTTCTTGCGGGGAAAAGACGACGCCGTCGGCGGTGCCCAGGTCCGGGTGCCGGCTGTGCATATGCACGTGTGCGACGTGCTTGGCCAGCTGGGCGTCGGTCTCGCGGGTCGGGGTGTCGAGCAGGAGGAACATGATGTCGAAGCGGGAAAGCAGGGCGGCGGGGAGGTTGATGTTCTCGACGGCCGACAGGCGCGTGTTGTAGCGGCCGTAAATGGGGTTGGCGGCGGCGAGGATGGAGGTGCGGGCGTTGAGGGTGGTGCTGATGCCTGCTTTGGAGATGGAGATGGTTTGCTGTTCCATGACTTCGTGGATGGCGGTGCGGTCGTTGTCGTCCATCTTGTCGAACTCGTCGATGCAGCAAATGCCGTTGTCGGCGAGAACGAGAGCGCCGCCTTCGAGCACCATCTCGTCCGTGACTGGGTCGCGCATCACGGCGGCCGTGAGACCGACGCCGCTGCTGCCGCGGCCCGAGGTATACACGCCGCGCGGGGCCACCTTGGAGATGTACTTGAGCAACTGCGACTTGGCCACACCGGGGTCACCCATCAGGCAGATGTTGATGTCACCGCGAATACGCATGCCGTCGCCGACTTCCTTGGTGACGCCGCCGACTAGCAGCAGCAGAAGGGCCTTCTTGACGTCGAGATGGCCGTAGATCTCTGGCGCGATTGACTTGGCAAGGTACTCGTACTGGTTGCCCGACTGTGTGAATTTGGCAATTCGCCGGGCCATCATGGGGTCGATCTCCATGTGCTCGTACGCCTTCTTGTGCTGGACAATGTGGTGCGCCTCAAGGTAAGTGTCGGTCAACAGGCCGGCACGCATGGCCTGGAACCCGGTATACGGGGTGGGGAGGAAGATACCGGAGATATCGACGACATCACCGGGGCTGACTTGTCTGACAAGGCTACCGTAACACAGCACGGTCAACGTCCGGGGTATTTGGCCGATGGGGACCTGCTCTGCAAGCTCCTGGATCTTGACCTCCTGGAAGGGCATAAACTTTGACGCCCTTGACGACGGGTACAGCTGCCCCTTGGACTGGTTTTCCTCGCAGTCCTTGGACGGGCAGAGGGTCAGAGGGCCGTATTGCTTGTCGGCGACGGGCTGGAAGATCTCACAGCCGCAGCGGTCGCATGTGTAAGCGCTGACTTGGACGATGGGCTTGACATCGGAGACGCGGGTTGCAATGCCGCGGATGGTGATGAGCTTGCCGAGATGATCACCTCGGACCTGGCGGACAGACAGCGCCTTCGCCGGGTTGTCGTTGGTTGACGTCCTCGGCTTAAAGACCAGCGTGTATCGCCGGGTGAGTTGTGCGGGGTACTGGTCGCTGAGGATGGTGGGGTCTGATTCCCGGTCCGCAATGCCTGCCAGCATCTGGTTGCGCTGTATCCGGTTCGCCATGAGGACGTCGAGCACATCGTCTTTGAAGGTGATGTTGTCGCTTGGCGGGGGCATCAGCTTGTCGACGGCCCTAGAAAGGATCTCGACGTAGTGCTTCGTATTTTGCTCAACCCACTCGACCAGCTTGAGCCCCTCGTTCACATCCTCCTCGTACGCGTGGAGATCGTCCAGCTCGATGACGACCTCGCTGATCTTCCTGTCGGCGAGCTGCTGAAGCATGTCGCGGTACTTGTGCCGCGGCGGTTGCTTCTGAGCCTTTTGACGGCGGCGCTGCTGCTGGGCATTGTCGTCCTCATCCATAAAGTCATACTCGTCGCTGAGGTCGTCCTCGTCGATGTTGATGTTGCCCAAGGCATGGGTGATGGTCTCTTGCGCGGAGGTCTTGAAGTCGGACAGGAAGTTCTCGAACGCAGCTGCTCTACCATCAGCTAAGCAAGCACCGAAATGTAGCGAACTTGCACCCACTCTGCTGCACCTGGTAGTCAACAGGCGCCTTCATTTGTAGGAGCGCCATGGCTGCGAGTGTGATGATGCCCTTCTCCCAGAATTGTCGGTTATTTTGCGGTGGTGAGGATAGGGCGGGCTGCGCGACGAATTGAGCTTCAATTGTTGCGATAGAAGGACATTTGGCGGTTTGGAATGCTTGGAAGTGGGAGGCTGGGCGGGCGCCTTCGCGACAGGGGAGCGCGCCCGAGGCTTGCAATGAATGGAACGCGCTTTTTCGCGCGCCTTGCGAGGCCAGGGGTAATTGAGCGTGCTTCGGTGCAGCGACAGCTGTGACCAGTTGCACTTTAGTCTTGGCATGCATGGGGTTTCCCGGCTTGGAAACAACCCCTTGCCCATTTTCGGAGGCGGTCTTGCCTCGGCACATGCAAATTGCCGGGAAGCTTCCCCAAGGCCATATGCTGCGCGACCCGTGTGCTCTCTTGCTTTGGACTTAAGGTACCTTCGACATGCGCAACTCCCACTCCAGCTCTCCCAGGACAATATAGTATCCGACCGACAAAACCTGACTTTGGGTCCGCTCGAGCTGAAATGGCGCCGCGCAAGAACGCGCAGTCCACGGCTGCCGAGATCTCGTTGGTGCATCTACAGAATTGCTTGGTGAACCTGCCCCCGTCGCTGGCGTCGTTGCTCGCAAACGTCAACACTGTAAGCGCCTTCGCTATGTCAGGATTGATATGCGTAATTGACATGTTTTCTTCTACACTCTAGCCCGCGCAAAATGTCATCGTCGAACTCAGCTACCGCGTCCCTCCTCCTCCTGGCGCATCCGCAACAGGTGCTACCGCTTCGACCAAGTCCATCTACGTCGGGTGGACGGGCATGGCTAGCAAACGGAAAGTTGCCCCAATTGTTGGGAGAGACGGCATCACCGGGGCCCGGGGTGCGCGGGACCAGGAGGTGCCGCTCGTCGAGCTGGACGCAACCCTCGCCGCAAGCGTGGGACTCAAGGACGGCCAGAAGGTTACCGCAACCATCCACTTCGATCCGCCCATGGCCCACATCGTCAACATCGAGCCCCTTACCCCCGAGGACTGGGAGATGATTGAGCTGCATGGCACCTTCTTGGAGGACAACCTGCTCTTCCAGATCCGTGCCGTCCCCAATCCCGCCTATGCCCCTGGCGGCCTTGTAGCCGGCGCCCACCCCCTGACGCTGCACCTATCTCAGACTTCGACTGCAAGCATCATGATTCTCTCGCTCGAGCCTGCTCTTCCCGTCGACGTCCCCTTTGCCAAGATCGCCCCCGATGCTGAGGTCATTGTGGCGCCCAAAACCCGACAGAAACAGCGGAGCAGCAAGGACAACCGGAGTGTGGGCGGCGCATCGAAGAAGAGCGGCAGGAGCACAGCAAGCACCGCTAGGAGGAAGAACGCCAAAGAGGAGAAGAAGTCGGTCCTGTTTTTTAGAGGCGTGGACAGGAAGAATTGCCAGGAGTGGTTCGACGACGAGGCACCACCAGAAGATCTCAGTGTCTGGGTTGATCGAGGCCTAATTCTTGGAAAGGAGCTGAAAGGGGTCAGATGGGTATCCGCGAGTCTCGTGCGGCCCGCCGGGCTGCAGCAGCCCCTTGACTCAGCAAATCAACCACAAGAAGCAGACCCTGCAGCGAAAGCATCCACCAAGATCGTCGCCTGCCTTCGGCCGTGGGATGAGCCGCCAGACGGGCAGACAATGGCCCTATCATCGTCATTGTGTGCTGCGCTTGGGTGCCAAGGAATCGTCGGTGGTGTAGTCAAGATCGAGCCCGCCTCGGTCCAGCTGCCGCGCAAGACCCCTGACCAAGAGGGAATCGCCCGCGATTCGGTGCAGAGACTCAAGATATACCCCTTTCAGTCGGCAAAGCCTGTCCAGTCTTCGGCCCTGAAGTTTGGCGGGCAGTCCAAGGCGGAACGAGAAGAGGCCGCGAATCAGATCAAGCACATCTACGGGCCAGACGGGAATGGCCTGCTACTAGGACCTCTGACAGATGGTCAGGTCCTGGGAGTACATGACGGACTGAAGTGCCCCCGTGGTTGGGAAGGTGCCATTGTAAAGTTTGAGCCCTCGCTGCCAGCTGCCCAAGGCTCTGGGAAGAGACCCTTGAATTGGATCCTTGGCGCGGATTGGAAACTGCCCATCGCAGTCCAACCTGCCGTCCCAAAGCCGTCGTGGTTATCCGACTTTGAAGCGGATCAGCTCGACTCGTCCGATTCTCTCCTGGTTGGCATCGATTCGCTTCTGGAGAAGCTCAAATCCCATCTCTCGCACATGTCGTCGGTCCTCCTGACCGGCGGACAGGGTTCTGGCAAGACATGCGTCGCACAGTCGGTCGTTCGGGCTTTGCGGTCATCCCAGCTTTACCACACCACCTACTTTCCCTGCACAAAGCTGGTGAACGACGATAGCAGGATATCCACCGTCAAGGAGACGCTGGCCCACATATTCATGGCTGCCAGCTGGGGTGCAAGACTCGGAGGCAAGGCAGTGGTCGTCTTGGATGACCTCGACCGTCTGTGTCCGGCCGAGACCGAACTGCAGGTGGGTAACGAGAACGGCCGCAGCCGGCAGATAAGCGAGGCCATCTGCTCCATGGTCAGACAGTGCTGTGGCATGGACAGTAATGTGGTCTTGCTGGCAACCTGCCAAGGCAAGGACTCCCTGCATAATGTCCTTGTTGGTGGCCACATTGTCCGCGAGATCGTCGACCTGGGTGCCCCTGACAAGGAGACTAGGCGGCACATCCTGGAGGCTCTTACCAAGCAGGGCTCCGTATATCCTGGGGATGTGGAACCAGAGGATGACCATGGTAGTCGCCCTACCACCGCAGACGGTAGCACCACAGACGGAGACGGTGGCGGATGGATGGATGGTCCAACCCGGCCGGCCCAAAAGGGCTTAGGAAGCAAACCCAGTGGCTTCGTGCTTGAGGATGATCTTGATTTCCTCGACATTGCTGGTCAGACTGACGGGTATATGCCGGGCGATCTGATTCTGCTCATCTCCAGAGCGCGCAACGAGGCGCTGAGCCGAAGTGTGGGCGAGTCGCCGGACCTCGATGCAACTACTATCCATCTAAGCCACAGCGATTTTGACAAGGCCCTCAAGGGGTTTACACCGGCGTCGTTGCGGAACGTTACCCTCCAAAGCTCAACAACAACCTTCTCCTCGATTGGCGGCCTGAAAGAGACGCGCCAAATTCTCCTTGAGACCCTGCAGTACCCGACCAAGTACGCCCCGATCTTCGCTCAATGCCCCCTCCGCTTGCGCTCCGGGCTTCTCCTGTACGGCTACCCCGGCTGCGGCAAGACCCTTCTCGCCAGCGCCGTGGCAGGCGAGTGCGGGCTCAACTTCATCAGCGTCAAGGGCCCCGAGATCCTCAACAAGTACATTGGCGCCTCAGAAAAGAGCGTGCGCGACCTCTTTGAGCGCGCCTCCGCCGCGAAGCCCTGCGTCCTCTTCTTCGACGAGTTCGACTCCATCGCCCCCAAACGCGGCCATGACTCCACAGGCGTCACCGACCGCGTGGTCAATCAGCTGCTCACCCAGATGGACGGCGCTGAGGGCCTGTCGGGCGTTTACGTCCTGGCCGCGACTTCGCGCCCGGACCTCATCGACCCTGCCCTGCTTAGACCAGGCCGCCTGGACAAGTCCCTGCTGTGCGACTTCCCCACGCTCGAAGACCGCCTCGACATCATCCGGGCGCTCGCCCAGAAAGTCAAGGTAGCCGACGAAGTCTGGCAGTCGGAGGAGGACATGCTTGAGCTGGGCCGTCGAACCGAAGGGTTTTCGGGCGCCGATCTCCAGGCGCTGGTGTCGAACGCCCAGTTGGAAGCCATCCATGACGTCCTTCACGACCATGACCAGACCCTCGGCGGCAGTAATGCCACTCGCCGCGGCGGCGCTACAAGGAAACCGGGCGGTTCTTCTTCGTTGTTGTCATCATCAGTCAGGAATTTCGTCCAGTTCCGCTACGGCGAGGACGACGAGGATCCCGCATCGTCGTCAGCATCCGACCCTGCGGCGGTGGCGGTGCCGCCCCGAACCCGGGCCGCCATGCTCGCGGAACAGGCCGCCATAGCCAGCAAGCTGGAGGGTATCAAACTCGCTCGGAAGCGGGTCAAGCAGAAGTTGTCTAAGTCTGCTGCCGCTGCCGCCGGCGTCAACGCCAACGGGGTGAAAGGGGGTGGTGGTGAGACGGCGATGGACGGCTTTCCCGGGAATGCGGAGGTGGTGATCCGCTGGGAACACCTTGCCAAGGCGCTCGAGGGCACGCGCGCGAGTATCAGTGCCGAGGAGAGAAGGAGGCTGGAGAGGATCTATCACGAGTTCGTGGTGGGGAGGAGCGGGGATATGAAGGATGGACAGGCGAGTATGGAGGTTGGCGGGCGGAGTAGTCTTATGTAGTGTACAGTTGTATGTAGCCTGCCTATAATGCATAGGTGTGGCGTAGGTTCTGTCCTGTAGAGGTGAGCTGAATAGGGGTTTAATACATATGTAATTCTGGCTAGCACCAATCGCCTTTCACTCGATTGATGTGTGGTGATGAGAATCTAGACGCCTGTTCAGCAGGAATTTCCAATGTCGATTATCTTACCCGTCCTTTACCTCTTCCGTTCTTGTTGCGAGACACCGGATACATGCCAAGCTATTCAGGATCCGGCCAGCCCCTGACGAAATCAACAACCACAACCTCCCCCCTGTAGGCAATGTAGACACACTCTGCACTGCCCCCGTCAATATCTACCCCCTTCGTAAAACATGTCAAGCTCGACAAACCCCCTCGGCCGCGCAATATAGAAAGCTGCAGCCCGCCGTCGCGGAAGCCAGTGGATGCGTGCCTCGGTAACGCAGCAGGACCGCTTCCTCAGGGAGCGGATGATCTCAGGAAGGATGGTGATGCGCCCGGCTGTGATGCAGGGTATTCTTTGCGTTGTGTCGTCTAGTCGGAGGCAGAGGACTTGATCTCTGTTGAGATGCAGTTGACGGGGTGTTCCGGCCTCGAGCAATGGAGTGGGATCGGGAGCGGGGTCAGGGATAATTGTTGGGCTTGAGCTAGGTCTGGTGTCTTGTTCTTGGTTTGAGTCTGGGTTTGGTACTTGGCCTAATGTTGGTTCTGGCTCTGGCTCTGGCAGCTGCTCGAGTTCGGTCTCGAGTTCCTGCTTGAAGCTCGAACTGGACCCCGGAGGGGTCTGTAGGCCATCGACATCTGCTTCTCCATTCCGTCTTGCCTTCCCAAGATCAGATGCCGGTTCATGGTTTTGGTTTGGCTCATCGAGTCCTGCTACTGGTTCTAGTGGCCGGCCTGTTTTCAACCGAGGGTCCCTTCCAAGATCTAGGTTTGGCGTCAGTCCTGACTGAGAAGCGTGTCTTGATGTTAGTTGCAGGCCCAGTTCAGATTCGGTTACCTTGGGCTGTTTCTCTAACTCCAGTGCAATCCCTGACTCAACCTGCTCAGAAACACGGTTTGTATTTATTGGAATCATGCGTGCATGGGAAGAAGCGTTGGCCAACTCGTCAGGCACCGCATCCGAGTTGGCCAACCCCGTCGCCAACTCAGTATGAGCTTCGCCGTTAGCTGGAGGGGGACCATTATGATCCACAGATTGTCCGCCTGGTAGACTGGACGTAGTCTGCTGGCCTTCCTGGCCCGTTGGGGGCCTCCAGGTAATACCCATAGGAGCAGCCGATGCTCGGTCATGAGTCCCCGTCGTTGCTACCGGAGGAGGAATTTCAAACGACAACGGCCCGGGAGAAGGGATGTCCGCGGTTGGAAATAAGCCTCTCTGAGCGGTGTCAAGCCCCTCAAGGGCTCCACTGCCCGAGGCTTCGGCCGTCATCACAGAAGTGGCCGTTTTAGGCAGATGGGTCGAAAACGAGAAAACTGTGCTTTCGTTCTCATTAAGGCATAACATCAGACTTGGATTCTTGAAGGTCATGAGTTCTCCAACGACTTCTCGTATCCGGGTCTCCAAAGTTTTGTTGAGTTGGACCAGGACGCGGTTGAGGGCAGGGATTGGTAAAATCCGCCAGCCGAAGTAGAGGTTGCCGTGGGTTCTGGGAATGTGGAACGTTCCGTGGAGTTTGATGAACAGGTTACAGAGGTAACAAGCATCCTTGCTGGAGCAGATAACGCGTGGCTTGGAAGCCTGTGGATGAAGTTCATAGTAGCACACAATTTGGACTTCGGCATGGACACGCGACTCGCGGAGGGATTTCCGGACGGTCGAGAGGAAGGCCTCGTTGGTCTTGCCCAAGCCCACCAACCGTGAAGTTATGTTTCTGGCGCCAAAGGCAGTGGGAGAGCCAGTTTCGCATCGTACAAGGCAGCCTGCAAGAGAACAGTCAGGAATCGGGGCTGTTAACTCCCTAGTGAAGAGACCCGAGTCGAGAGACAGGAGTTTGACCTCCGCTTCCTTGAAGATTTTCGAGTCCTTGGCTGTTCGAAGCAGGTACATGGCACACTCCCAATAGTTGGCAATCTTGCCTAGCCGTAGCCGGAAGCTATTTTGCGTTGATGGATCCACGTCCCTTGAGCTAAACTCCTGGAAGATTTTGTCGAGATCCGTCGCCCTGTTGACCCGGTGGGCTGCGGAAAGTACGGCCTTGATGTATGTCAGGACATCCTTTTCCGGGCAGGTTTCCAGTTGTGTCAGGCAGTCCTGGAGACGGCCCGCACCCCTGATGAAGCCTTCAACTTCAGTTCCAGATCTTCTGCGGTTATGATGCTTGCGGACAGCATAAAGAATCTGATCAAGAACAGAAGCAAAGTAGGCTCAGCGTCGAGGTCGGATGCGAGAAAATATGCGCTGTTTGCACATATCTATGATTGCATCGAGGACCATATTCTCTAGCAGGGATTGCTCTACTACAGAAACCTTGTAAGTAAGGACCTGGTGAACGGCCTATGTTTCAGACACACCTTTGTCCGCACGAGATAGATGACCGAGTATCCGCTCAAGACCATTCTTGATGAATTTCAGGATCTCGTCCCCACACTCCGGGCGCTCCTTATTGATGGCGACGACAACCCGGATTCCTCTTCTATCCGTCAACTGCTCCACGCAGGTAGCAATCACATGACCAGGGTCGTCTGATATTCCACAGAGGAAAGAGAAGGTCTTCGCCATGGCAACCTCACTTTTGAACGAGATAATCCGTCCCGAATCATCGATGACTGACTGAGAAGGTTGGTTCGCGTGGGCAGTGGTAGGAGCCCGCCGTAGCAGTGAAAGGAGGGCGACGTTTTCGGCGAGGCATAGACACTGGCGGCGTTGCTTCTTTGACAGCATGCTGGATTATGGCAGCGAATCACAGGGAGAACTTGGAAGGTGAAGGTTAAACGGAGAAGCGCTCCGAGGCATCAGAGGAGGGCTCTCAAAGTCGTTTGTCAGATCCATCTCACGGGCGTTGGTTGTATCTGTATGTCTCCATGCGGAGTCATCTGCATGATTGCGCTCTGCTAGCCAGTGTCCGCGATGGGGGGAAGCTCCCATTCACGAGGCGGGCTTGTGGTGGTCTCATGCATGCACTGAGGCCTGGGCCGGTTGTGCACTTTTGCAGCCTTGCCTGTATGCAGCCTTCCCGCCACTTAGATCGAGAGAATTTGTTTGCCAGAACCGGTATGCGCTTCAACCCAGGAACGTGCAAGTCGGCAGCCGATATTCTGTAACGTGTCATGGAAGTTAACAAGGAAGGGCCCGGTTGGAGTGGATGAGCAAAGGCCGCTTTTCTTGCAGGGTGTGAAGAGCTTCGAATCAGAAGACAACTTACTGTCGAGCGTCCAGTATCTCCTCTTGACACCTTCCCACTCTCCCTTACCAGCCTCGGCTAGGTGCGACATTTCGACATCAATCACCTTCCAATCGACGTCTAGGCCAGCATCAACAAGGTGCAGTTCGACCACCTTGGTGTAGACGTCGTAGCAGATCATGCGATCCGCGCCGAGGCCGTTGAAAAAGCCAAACCTCCCTTCGCTGTCCAAGAGACCGGGGATGAACTCGGTAAAAAACATGCGCAGCTGGGAATAGTCTTCGCCAAAAGTGTCGAAGTAGATGGCGTCGTATATTTGGCCTTCCTCGAGCAGCTGGTGGCACGCTTCCTGCCACTTCCCCTTGTAGACCTTGAATGCGCCGGGAGCAGGACCGCTCTCCTCCCAGGCAGCGCCAAACTTCGAACCGGGGCTTGAAATGTGTTCAAGGACACCGGGATGGGCCTCGATGATATGATGGCGCGACGGCTTGGTCTCGGCAAGCATGGTGTCGATAATGCCCATTCCGAAGCCGATGTTGAGTATTCTCTTCCCCGGCTCCTTGCCCGGCAACAGAGCATCGACACTCTGGCGCATGATGTCGGTCTCCCATGCCATCATGACGCCATTGCCTTTATCATCCACCAGCTTTCCGTCTGAGTAGGTCAGCTTCGACCGCAGGTACGCCTCGGAGATGACGTCGGCTTCTGTATGGTCTTTTGGTGGCCGAAACTGGGGTTCATCCTCCTGCACTTCCTCCTCCGCCGTCTTATTTTGCCCATTGGCCTCGATATCAACCAACTCGGGCGGCTCATCCCCATCCTCGCCAACCACCACCATCCCAGTATCCTCCTCGTCCAAGTCCACCACTTCGACATCCTCCCCCTCACTTCCAAGCTCCTCGTACCCATCCATAACCCCAAACAACATCTCCGCCCTCACCCCAGCCTCGACACACAGATTATACAACTCTGTCCTCGCCAACCGGCGCGCCACGCACCCGGGCGTCTCGTTATGATCGTCGACATCGTTCCAGATGGCGCCCCACAGCAAGAGCTCGTAAACAACCTTCCTGGCCGCCTCCAAATCGGCCGGGTCATCGTCTTGTTCCGAGGGCGAGCCGCACGACCGGATGGCTGCGTGCAGCGGCGTCTCGCCCGTGGTGGGGTCCTGCACGCGCGCCTTGCCGGGCTCGTCGAGCAGCTTCTTGACGGCTTCGAGGTCGTGCGCCCAGGCGGCGGTTAGCACGCGCTGTGTCTCCGGGGGGCACGAAGGGGAGATGCGGGCCGAGATGGTGTCGGCGTCGGCGTCGGACATTTTGGGAGGGGGTCTTTTGTGTGTACTGCAGTCTCGTGGTTATAGTCTCGATAAAGAAAAGTATCTTGGGTAGTCCGTATGTTGGTATGTAATGATGGGCGGCCAAACACGCCAATTCCGAGACCTGAAGATTCCGTTCTCGGTGTGCCCCGCGATCGCTGCCCCTCGACGCGATGATTCCGGGAGCCAGACGCCAAGCGTCAATTTTTCCTTGGAGTACTAGGCGGGTCCGCAGCTGGGCTTGGCAAAGGTTTCGGTATCCGTTTGGACTAAGTTACTGTATGGATCACGGCTAAAGAGATTCCAACCAAGCTGCCAAAATATGTTTCTAGCAAACGGCGGTCAGAGATTCTGACATGCTTATCTTCACAGTCAGGAGAGCTCGTTTACCGTCTGCCGTTTCCTGTTTCATGATCAATGGAATTCCATTCCAAGTTGCAGTTGGCCAGCGCTGATCCCATCGACACACAGCAAGCTCACATCACTGTCGCGGTCTCGACAAGCTCAAGGCGAGCTGAGCCCCTCCACTCCACCAAACCTACCCAGGGCACAAGTGACAGCCAACCAATTCGCCAATCGCAGCACTCAATTCCACACGTGTTCGTGGCTGTGGAGCAGCTACAAAGTGTCGCTTTGCCCGCGGCACCGAAGTACGACTAGGCCGCTGGTTTGAAGATCGAGTTTGTTGGTTTCTCACATGTTTGGAAGAACACCGTCCGTGATCCCACAGCTCAATTGAGACGAAAGCACACGAAGCATCTCTCAAACTGGCGGACAGTGACTCGACCAGCGACGACCTAAGTGGAGCTTCAAACCAGATAAAGGAAGCTCCAACTTCCAGGATTAAGCTCGCAGTCGGGCAGGCTTGGCTAGTGGCGAGCTCTAGGCGCCCCGCCTCATGGTGCTGATCCTCCATGACCTGAAGTCTCGCTCCAAACGTCTACACTCTCCGCGCAACCGAATTCGCGATCCCGCCTGGCGAGCTCCCCCCGGCGTCGTCGTCATGAAGTTCGGCGAGCAGCTCCGGTCGAGCGTCATCCGCGAATACCAATGGTATTACATTGACTATGACGGCCTCAAGGCCGACCTCAAACGGCCCAGCGGGCCCGTCCAACCCGTTGACGATGCCGGCGCGAAGCCGGCCAAGCAGCCGCGCCGCGAATGGACCGAGGAGGACGAGAGCAGCTTCGTGAGCAAGCTCGAGGCCGAGTTGGACAAGGTGCACACCAAGCAGCAGGTCAAGGCCATGGAGATCTCGCGCCGCATCGCCGTCAGCGAGCGTGAGGTCCGAGACGTCGTCAACCGGCTTAACGAGCGCGGCCTCGGACAGGAAGGCCCGAGCGAGGAGGAGTTTATGCTGCTTGAGGAGGACCTGAGCGACATCATCGCCGAAGTCCACGACCTTGCCAAGTTTGTGCAGCTCAACTACACCGGCTTCTACAAGATCATCAAAAAGCACGATGTAAGCTGCGGACGCCAAGTTGGAGTTTTTTCCAGGAGAAAGGACAGCTGACGGAATGGCAGAAAATGACGGGCTGGCATCTGAGACCCGTTTTCGATACCCGCCTCAAAGCGAAGCCGTTTTACAAGGAAAACTACGACGCCTCAGTTGTCAAGCTGTCCAAGCTCTACGACATCGTTCGGACAAGGGGAAACCCGGTCAAGGGCGACAGTGCTGCCGGAGGAAGCCAAGGCAGCTTCGTCCGGCACACGACCAAATACTGGGTCCATCCCGACAACGTCACAGAACTCAAGCTCATCATCCTCAAGCATCTGCCTGTGCTGGTGTTCAACGCGAGCAAGGAGTTTGAAGAGGCGGATTCGGCCATCACGTCCATCTACTACGACAACCCGGACACATGGGAGCTGTATGAAGGGCGTCTCAAGAAAACCGAGGGCGCCGAGGCTATCCGGCTACGCTGGTATGGCAGCATGAAGAGCGAAGCAATATTCGTCGAGCGCAAGACACACCGCGAGGACTGGACTGGCGAGAAGTCAGTCAAGGCCCGTTTCTCGCTCAAGGAGAAGAATGTGAACGCCTATCTCCGGGGCGAGCTGCTCCCAGCAGCCATCTTCGAGAAGGTGCGGAAGGAGGGCAAAAAGTCGGAGAAGGCCATTGCCGAGGACGAGAGGTTGGCCCGCGAGATCCAGTGGTCTGTCCTCAAGAAAGGCTACAAGCCGGTGTGCCGGTCTTTCTACCACCGAACAGCGTTCCAGCTGCCTGCCGATGCCCGTGTCCGCATTTCGCTCGACACCGAGCTCACCATGATTCGTGAGGACAACCTGGACGGAGTCAAAAGATCAGGTGACAACTGGAGGCGCATGGACATCGGAATCGACTACCCCTTCTCGCAACTCCCACCAGGCGATGTCGTCCGGTTCCCATACGCCATCCTCGAGGTCAAGCTCCAGACACAGCTCGGCCAAGAGCCACCAGAATGGGTGCGGCAGCTAATTTCCAGCCACCTCGTCGAAGCTGTACCCAAATTCTCCAAGTTCATTCACGGCGTTGCCTGCTTGTTTCCTGACAGGATCAACCTGCTCCCGTACTGGATGCCTCAGATGGACATCGACATCCGCAAGCCCGTCACACATGATTTCGGCATCAAGCGGCTGGAGCACTCGGCAACAACGTCGCTCTCAGACGACGAGGACGAAGAGGACGACTATGACTCGGACGATGACAACAGGCCTGGGACCGCGGTGCCACAGGCTGGCGAGTCAAGCACATCCGTGCCGCGGAACGGCCGGGCCGTCTCGGCGGCCGATGTGGAGGACCAGACGGCGGACAGGCCAAATGGGGACGATACCTACATCTACGACTCGGACGACGAGGATGACGAGGACAGGCTGGAGCACGCCCGGCGAGTGGGCGGCTGGACATACTACCAGACGCGCGTGTCGACCACGCTGAACGCTGCTGGGCGCGGCGCGTGGTGGCTGATCAAGGCGGTGATGCCCCGGCCGCGGGCGACCGAGGTGCCTCGCAACGCGAGACTAGAGTCGCTGCTTGGGGCGGGCGAGATCCAACAAAAGAGGTTCAAGGCGCCGAAGGGCAAGAAGATCTATGTCCCTGTGCGGGTCGAGCCAAAGGTTTACTTTGCGGCTGAAAGGACTTTCTTGGGATGGGTAAGCCCCCAGGACAACACGATCCTTTCCCTGACGCCGAATCCGCACCCTGCTTACCATTGTACAGCTTGAGTACTCCATCTACATTGGCACCATCGCTGTGACGCTGCTCAACTTCAGCACCCAGCACGGCAGCAGGGCGTCGTTTGTCGCGGCCGGCGCCTTCACTCTGCTCGCCATCCTCTCGCTCTGCTACTCGGTCATTATCTACCTGTACCGCAGCCGGGCCATTCGCGAGCGCAGGGTGGCGCGGTACTACGATAAGCTTGGGCCGAGCGTGCTGTGCGCCGCGTTGTTTGTGGCGGTGGCGTTGAACTTTGCGTTTGAGGGGAAGGAGAGGAAGTTGTGGTAGGATGTATATTGAATGTGTAGCGAAATGGTGGTGCTTGCCGGGATCGGAGTAATGCGCCCTTGTGTAACCAAGCTTCCGTCAAGCACATGGAGAGCGGGTGTCTCTTGGGTAGGTTGCAATATCGATAGTCTGTATAACTTACCTTTTGTAGCAACAAAATGTGGAAATATTACAATGGCTGCAACAGTCGCCAACATGCGCCAGGCACATCAGAGCACAGCTGAGCAGAACTCCACTCACTCGGTTTGTCGTCTAATGTGAGTCACCCGAATGCAGCATAGTGTCTGAAATTGCCTAACGGGCAGTCATAGGATAAGAGGCGTCGGCATTGCTTTGCAAAGAAACGCCACCGTCCGAGGATGGCACCTACGCAATGTCGTGCTCCCACTGCTCCGGGCCTCCTCCACACAGGTCCACAGCGGCCCGATACGCCTCCGGAGGTGCCGGTTTCGGTAGTCGCGACATCGAGGAACTTTTACAACTCATTGATATAGTCTACACAGCACAGCCCGTTCCACTCGCTCGCTGACTATTCTCGGAGGTGCCTCTTTTGAGAGGCACGCTGCTAAGTGGCTTTTAACAGTGTTTACTTCACTTTCTTCAAACAGACACACTGCTCAAACAACACCACTCATCTCTCGTTCACACCTTCATGAGTGCCATTCCCTTTGCTAGACAACGTGCAAGAAAAGAGCAGTAAACATGCCTGTCAAGCAGATCAACACGGAGCTGGGGCACTCGCTGCCCCCCGAGGCGCCGCACAATATCACGTTCCATATTCCCGGCTGGGACACGGCCAAGGCTCTCCGGCGCGGCGACCCCGAACTGATGGCCAAACTTGTCTCCATCTACCCGCGCTTCAGGCCATTCAGCGAGGTGCGCGAGGTATGTCTCTCCTATATCTTCGTTGTACCTAAATAAGTCATCGAGATTAACTTCATGCCCAGTTATCAACCGTCCTCCATGCCAGACTCTCCCTTCCCGCAACCCAAGGCCTCCTTCTCTACACTCGTGCGTCAAACCTAACCATTGCCCCACCGTCCCTCTCCATTCGTTCTCCCCAATGCCATTTCAGTATACCCTCACCTTTTTCACATCCCATCCGACCAAGCCTGATAACAAGAACACAGACCCCGATGTCTTCCAAACCACTCTCCGCTTCTCTGCCTCCCCCCACCGCCCGCCAAATCACACCATCCCCCCATCCGACCTCTCCTTCCACGTCCTGGACATCCCCTTAACCTTCCCGCTTCCCTCAGAGCCAGAAACCGACCTCCTGGGCAACGACGACCCTGTCCGCCTGTACGCCGTCGCATACCCCCTAGACCTCGCCCCCGGCGCGATGGGGGTATGGAACAATTCTGGCGTCGGCGTCAGCAGCAGGCTAGCTGCGGCTTTGCTCCCCGCGGTGCAGAGAGGGAAAGTGGAGGTTGTTTGGAAGTGGGAGGGTGGCGATGCTGGCGCGGAGCAGGTTGGTATCGAGCGGGTCCCTGGGTCCCGGGGGTTGCCTTGGGGCGAGGGACATGTTGGATTGAGGAGGAGGATTGCGGGTCTGGTTGGTGGTGGTGGGGGAAAGGTCGGGGAAGAGGAGGTGTGGTTGTACCCAACGGGCATGGCGGCTGTTTGGAGGCTGCATCAGGCGATGGTGGAGGTGAGGGGTAAAGGGAAGGTGGTGGTCTTGGGGTCGATCTTTCATAGTAGTTTTCATTTGTTTGAGGAGAGTGAAGGGGGCGTGAAGCATTTTGGGAAGTGTGATGCGGAGAGTGGTGTCATGGAGGAGCTGGAGGCGTGGCTGGAGAAGGAGAAGCAGGCTGGCAGGAGGGTGGCGTATGTGTTTGCAGAGTTTCCGAGTAATCCGATTCTGGTGAGCGTGGATTTGAGGCGGTTGAGGCAGGTGGTAAGTAACTCACCAGCCCCTCTAAGCCCTTTCTTGGCAGATGCTGACGACTACAGGCCGACAAATACTCCGTCCCCGTCGTGGTCGATGACACGATCGGGTCTTTCTGCAATATCGACGTCTCCCCCGTGGTCGACGCCATCGTCACGTCCATTACGAAGTCCGTTAGCGGCTACGCCAACGTATGGTCCCCCAACCAACCCTGCCCCATTCTCCTCGTCTCGCTAGCTAGCCCACCCCTTTTCTGACTGGCAACAGGTAATGGGCGGCGCCATCACCCTCCCTCCATCATCACCTCTCCATGGCCCCCTCAAATCAACCCTCACCGCGCAGTTCATCAACGAATACTTCCACCCAGACGCAGCCAAGCTCCTCGCCAACAGCGCCTCCTACCTCGCGCGTTCCGCCATCCTCAACCGCAACGCCCTCGCCCTCGCCACCTTCCTCCACTCCCACTCCCAATCCCCCACCTCCCCGGTCACCGCCGTCCTCTACCCGCCCTTCACCGACACCCACGCAAACTACGCCGCCATGATGCGTCCCGCCACAGCCGATTTCATGCCGGGCTACGGCTGTCTGATGGCGATCGAATTCACCACCCTCCGCGTGGCCCGCGCATTCTACGACAACCTCTCCGTGTTTCATGGGCCTCATCTCGGCGCTCACCACACCTTGGCATTCCCCTTCAACGACGCGATCTGGGGCACCGACCCCGAGGGGCTCGCATACATCCGCACGTACGGGGCCAAGGCAGAGCAGGTGCGTGTGAGCGTCGGATTGGAGGAGGTCGAGGAGCTGGTGGATACGTTCAAGGCAGCATTGGATGTTGCTGAGGAGGAGAGGAGGCGGGAGGAAGAGGGGATGGGGAGGCGATAAAAGGGATGTCATCCAATGTGGTATTGATTGGGGTTCTGGATTATTATAGACGCGACATATGAGATGAGGGGGACAGGGTGGTCTCCACTCACATGACTAGACAGAATGGCCGTGCCCAGGGAGACACGCGGGCAGAGAGAAGACGGGTGAACCGCATCGCATTGCATTGCCAGCCAGCTAGCATAGCTCTTTTACCCTACAATCAGGTTGGGCCATCTGATGACTGCTACAAGAGCTGCCAACAATGTCAGCCATGGCGTGTCCCTCGGGCAGAGATGCCTGCTAGTGCCCAAAGCCCTCGTCCATTGAGCGACCCACCCGCCTTGGTAGCTGCAGAGCCCTCTTGACGACACCAAGTTTCGTTGTAGCGGTATTCCAAGCAATGCCCTCCAATGCGACCCATATCATGCCAATACCCGAACCTTATTGGCTCGGAATTCAAGACGGCTGGTGAACGACTACTTGAAGTTTTCGGGGTGCAGAATGCCGTGCATGTTGCCGTCCTTGACACGCTGCAGAGTCAGCGCAGCAATCAGCGCGGCGCCCACGCCGCTGCCGTCCTCGGCAGCCAGAATCTCGATCGGGTCCTCCTCCTTGGGGTTCGTCTTCTCGGGCCAGTCCAGGATCTCACGGAGTGCCTGGGCACCGCGGGCCTTGAAATGCGGATACTTGTTGAACACGGAACCGTCGGCGCCCACGTGGCACGACTTGTATCCCTTCTTGATGCTGATGGCGGCCACACCGCACGCCGACAGACGCGCGGCACGGGTGCCAATGAGCTCGGCCGTGCGGCGGATGAGGCCCAGCTCGGCCCGGTTGGGGCTGATGTTTAGCTTCGTTTCGAAGAGGTCAAGAGTCTCAGAGAGATCCTCAAGGGTGTCCCTACACACGTCAGTATCGAATGGACACTTGACAGCACAACTGAGACATACTCCTCAATGGCTGACAGGAACGACGAATCCAGAGAGTAAGGCTTCCGGAGCTTGGAAATGTCCTGGCCGGCAAAGATGTGTGCTTCAGGGTTGTGGTGCATATCGACCATGACGAGGCGGAAGATCTCGCCCAGGTACAGGCCCGCAATCATCTTCTCAAATGCCTGCTGGCCAGGACGCGGCGAGTCCTTGTCAATGGCGATGTCATACGGCGTCCGCGGCAGGACCTTGCCCTCATTGTCGAAGGCACCCCACTCGCAGTTGATGGCCATCGGGGTTTCGGGAGGCAGGTTCAGGTGGGCAAGCTTGGGAATCGACCCGCAATCCTCGATGTAGGCGGCATTGCAGCCCGTGCCAAAGATACAACCGATCATCATCTTAGGGTCAGTGTATGCTGAGGCAATGAGCGTGCCCGTCGTGTCATTGATGAGAGCTGTAAGCTTGATGGGAACTCCCTGGGACGGATCAGTATAGTTTTTTTTCAAGTATCGTCCAAAAATAGATTGGAGCCTACCCGCTGTTTAAGGGCAGCCTCAAACATGGGCACCACGTTGCGGCCCTCGACACCGGCAATGTCGAATCCTTTGGTCCACCGCTGCAGGATGCCCTCGTCAATGTAGTTCTGGGTGGCCGGGTAGGAAAATGTAAAGCCAAGGGGGAACTTGTCCATCTTGGTCACATCGCCGTGGTGCGTCTCGATAAACTGCTGCAGGCAGTCGGCGATGTACTCCCAGAGCTCCTCTGCAACGCCCGTCTTCAGCTCCTCCGGCAAGCGGTACTTCGATTGGATAATATCAAATTCGGATTTCTGCTCGGTCAGAGTGACTTGGCAGACGCGCAGGTTGGTGCCACCCATGTCCAGGGCCAGATAGTTGCCAGTCTCATGGCCGGTCGGTCTTGACATGACCCATGTTGGGTTCATGGGCTGTGCTGGAGTCAGCAAATGTCCTGCGCTCTGTGCTTGCACATATGACAGTGACATACGATGCTGCCACCTTCGACACTCAATCCTGTATTCTGTTAGTACCCGACGACAGGTCTGGTTGCTGAATAAATGAGCTCACCCTTGGCAAGCTCATCCACAAAGTGGTGGGTAATCTCCTTAAGCTTGGCTGTGTCGATGGTAAACAGCTCCTCAAGATGCTTGATCTCCTTGAGAAGGTCCTTGGGCGCATCGGAGAGCGAGCCTACAGCCATGGTTAGTCGGAAAAGGGGCCTTGGGAACACCGTGCCTTTCCGTCGTGCTTGGACAGGTGGTTGCGGTCACGGCGATGGTAGCGTCTCTGCGTGAGAGTGCGGATACGGTAATGTTCCGGGTTGATCAGGGTCCTCTGAGCCTTTCCAAGTGTTTCCATTCCGACAGCTTTGAGGTTCCAGACTCCAACCTCCCAGCCAAAGTAGGGAGAGAGGAAAAGAAATACAACAATCGGTCGAGCGTGGGAACGATAACGCCAAGGCTCTGTTGGGTGGGGAACAGGATCGGATTGAGTTCCGAACACCGCGACGGCCGGTGATGTCACAGAGCGCTTCAATACCAAGGATTCTTCGAAGGGCCGCCGCAATTCCGATGTCCTTCGTCGTCTCTGCAAGCTCGGGTGGCGCGCGAACTCGGGGCGGAACAGGGGCATGGAAGAAGAAGACGGGAATGGGCAAACGTGGTTGAGTCCTTTGCTCTATTTCAGAGCAGAAGGTAGGACAGAAAAGCAGGAGGTGAAAAGCAGGAGGTGCCTGCACTCCCGTCTAAGTCCCATCCATGAACGGCAGGCAACATCCAACGCAGGCCTCAACACCGCAAGGAGGGGTCGTGTTCAGGGCGAGTCCACCAAGGTTGTACGTACCAGTGCCCTTCGTAGAGGGAGGCAGCTTCGGTTTGAGGCCGACCATGCTGGCTATGATGAATTGTTGTCTGTTTTTTGTTGGAGCTGCGTGTTGTCTAGTTTGTGGAAATTGCTGTGAAGTCGTTCATGTCCCTCGCTGTCCTTCTCCTCCTAAGCACCCACGGCGATGCTGACTGAGACTCTTCGCAATGTCATCGCCCTAGGATGTCGAATTTAGAAAGCACCAAGTAGGGACAGGCATTCTCCACAACAAATCCGATTGAAGCCCGAGACAGGAGCTTACGAATGACGTTACCCCGCACCCAATCGCTGATAACACTAAGGGGCTGAGTGCCATTCAGGGGGTCAGTCATAAACAACAACATACAGAGCTTTTGGTACCTACCAGGCATTGGTAGCCATCTTTGCCCGTACATGAGATCAAAGACTTCACAGGGACCTTAAGGTAAGGATTATCATTCTGAGCACTAAAGCCAAGGCTAATTCATGCTTCTGCAGTTGCCATTTGCTAGCGATCAGAAATGGCATCAGGCGTGCGGCCTGACTATTCACCCTGGCTACTTGCCCCTTTTTTGAGGTAAATCACCACGTCCTTGAAGTACTCATGCGCACCAAGATCCATCCCTGACATACTCTTCGGTGAGCATGGTTTTCACCCTGGGTGGGAACTTCTCCCTAAGCCCTAGTCAGCACTGCGGTCGACATCTGCCATTGCACGGGGGCACGCCGTTACTCCTGGTACCAGTCCAAGTTTGTGACCATGGCAAACGGCCTCGCGATGTCGGCAATCACATCCATCACCGGGATGCCAGGGTAGACGAGGATGACCACACTCCCGTCATCCACGTGCTGCCACGCCCTCAATCATCCAATACTCTGCGATGCCCGCCTGCCCCAATACCTGTTCGTCAAGCGGCACATACTTGGGATCCTGCGCATAGCACTTCACTGTACCCGCTCCCTTGTGTTCCGCCTTCGCTTCTCAGCGAGGTCCCGCACTGCAAGGGGCAACGCATGCTGAGATATGTTTCGCAGGCACGTCTCTTCACAAGTCCAGGTGATGCTGCAGCATGCAAAGGCAACCATGTTGTGATGCAGTGGGCGGCCCCACTCAATTGATATCTGACCGAACCTTGGCGGATGCGGCGCTCTCCCCCAGTATTGCCGCCGCTGCTGGAACTCGTCCCGGATCGCAGAGTAGTCTGGCATGTCCCATGGACCAACTACCTTGTCGGTTTCAACCTCGTGGATCTTGGTGCGGTGAACAACATCGATAGCGAGATAGGCGCGCTCAGGGCTTGTCAATGACCGCTTCTTAACTGACGTGAGCTGGTCCAGATTGTAATACTCAAGGTAAGGATTTGTGCTGCCAGGGATGTGTTTGGGTGGCTAGTTTAGCTGTGAGGCAAGGATTTACATCTTGAGGTAATAGCCAGGCCATTCTGTCGTGTCCTCATCTCCAACGTAGTTGAAGAAACCCACAACTGTGCCATTGAGAGCCGTGAGCGATACCTCCTGATGAGAGTCACTGCTAGCTACCCAGCGGTCAAACTGCTCGGCGGCGTTCCGAAAGGCCTCCTTGGAAAGAAGGCTTCGCCCTTGTCGTATTTGGCCTGGATAAACTGACACGCTTCGGCCATGAATCGCTTACGTTCCGCCACGGTCATCCCGGGAGGGCCCAGTGGCTTCACCACCGTAGCATCAAATTAGATAGGTAAAGTCATGCCATTCTCGCACATGAACGGGGTATCAGGCAACGAAGACTCGTCCGAGAAATCCGACCCAGAGCTCTTCAAGGAAGAACCGGCCAGAGTGCACATATTGGTGAATCCTGAGATCGTGGATGGTTGTGAAGAATTGGGCGAGCAGCAGCAAGCTCTGGAAATTATACAATTCAACCATGGTTCGTTTGTTAGCACGGAACTTGAATCCACCATTGTTCTTTCACTTTCAAGCTCACTTCCTTATATCCTTTCTTCTTTTCCTCTTCCTATTCTTGCTTGTCTATATCTTACTCTTTTCTCTTTTCTTACTTTTTATCCTCATGGTCTATTTTTTTCTCCTCCTTCTTCATTCTTTTTTTACTTCCATGGGCTTTGTTTTTTTTTATTCATTTCCAGGAATCGGTAACACCTACCGGATATGTGCCACACTCACAAACAAATCAGGGCATGGCTAAAATTGTAGCTCAACAGGAAAGCATTAGGCAAACGGATTTAATAAGAGGAATAGCTACGTTAAAGCTAATCCTTGCAGTTTGTGGCAGTTGCAAGGAGGCGCATCAAATGAACCAGAGTGTCGTGAGTGCGCTGCGAGCCCGGTAGGTCAGGTTATGGCTTGGTTTGTTCACCCTTTAAGCACGGGAATGAATGTCTCTCTTCTATTTTTCTGGTATTACATCGACACGTAAGGGCACATGATCAAAATCATTTCTGCCTTGTACTCCCCGCTGTGCGTTTCCGTTGAGAGTCACCCCTTCCTTTTCATTCTTGAGTTCGAGTCTTGACAGGAGAAGGGACGTTCAGGAACACACCTTACTTATACCGGGCATCGCATTTAGGCAGTTGCAGGGATTGGTCAATTATGAGCCTCCCTCTCCGATAGCCCCACACTTTCGCAACCCAACAGGGGTGTTTCAGCAACGTAAGCTTTTGGCCGGCAGCTGTCGTCAGAAGGCCACGATGATTGTCCAAAACAGAAGCTAGGTCCAGTGCATCATTCGCGAAGCCCTCGCTTTCTCCTCTCCTACCCCCAGAAGCTTTCTTTGGTGGGCGCAAGAGGTTCATGAGGCTTTGGCCGTCCCCTTTCCCAATATGAAGACGTCAGCGGTCTTCTCTACCTTTCTCTCGCTGCTGTCGCTCGGTTCCGCAGCCAGCTCAGAAAGGAAGAGCAGCTCCACAAGCACCACGCTCCCGGCCACGTTCAAGCCGCCACAGGTTTTCAAGAACTCCAATCTCGTCCATGTGATCTCCGTCGAGAAGAACTACGTCAAAGAGAACATCAACGTTTTGATAGAAAATATCGACAAGACCGCGCAGGATGAATACTTTGTGCCATTCACGGCCGACCAGATGTCGCGCCTTGGAGGGGTCGAAGTGAAGGACCGCAAGGACAGCAGCGCTGGGCCATTCATCGCCGAGGCTGTCGAGTTTGACCAGGAGAGGTACGATGGGCCTTGAACGAGTCCGTCTTCAACTGGCTGACCGCTACAGCGATATCCAGTACCTCCGCATCCGGTTTCCCAAGCCCCTTGCGCCCGGCGCGTCGCAGACCCTCGGCATTACCTACTACCTCCTCAAGGCTTACAAGCCGCTCCCAGCCTCCATCAAGCAGGAGGAGCAGCAATACCTATTCTTCTCCTTCTCGGCGTACTGCCCCTCCGCGTACACGACGAGCAAGCAAAAGACCGAAGTCAAGTTCCCGACAAGCAACATCCCGGACTACACCAAGCTCCCGGGGAGCGGCGACGTGAAGGAGTTTCCGCAGAAGCAGGGCTCCAAGCTCACTTACGGCCCGTTCGACGAGAAGCCCGCGGGCGCCACACAGCCCGTCAGTGTGCGGTTCGAGTTCAACAAGCCGGTGACGCACGTGTCCCGCCTAGAGCGCGATATCGAGGTCAGTCATTGGGGCGGCAATGTCGCGTTTGAGGAGCGCTACACGCTGCACCACCGCGGCGCCAACCTGTCGGCCCTCTTCAACCGCGTCAAGTGGCAGCAGGCGCAGTACTACCAGCCCAACACCTTTGCGCTCAAGGAGATGAAGTTCCCCTTGCGGGTGGGCAGCGCCGACGCCTATTACACCGACGTCATTGGCAACGTCTCGACGTCCCGATTCCGGAGCAACAAGCGCGAGGCCCTGCTGGAGATCAAGCCGCGGTATCCCGTGTTTGGCGGGTGGAAGTACCCCTTTACCATCGGTTGGAATTCGGATGCCAAGAACTTTCTGAGGAAGACGGCCACTGGGGGGTTTGTCCTGAATGTCCCCTTCCTGGAAGGCCCGAGGCAGCAGGAGGGTGTCGAGTACGAGCAGGTTCAGGTCCGGGTGATTCTGCCCGAGGGTGCTGAGTACGTGCCCTTTACTTCCTCACCAACTTATATGGCTGACTTCTGTTCAGGAACGTAAAATATCACACCACGATACCGACTCAGTCCATTATCGAAGCGGGCGTTGAGATCCATAGAACCTACCTCGACACCCTGGGCCGGACGGCCCTGGTCATCAAGGCGCGGAATCTGCTAGACGACTTTAGGGGCCGCGAGTTGACCGTCACGTATGACTATCCGCTCATGGCGAGCCTGCGGAAGCCGCTGGTGATTTTTGGCAGCGCCATGGCTGTGTTTGTGGGTGCCTGGGTGGTGGGCAATCTGGAGCTTAAGTTTGCGACGAGGAAATAGACTGAGGTTTGGGAAAAATGGTAATATAAAATGGAATGTTTTTTTGTTGTAAGTGTCTAGTTTATGAGCTTTTCGTGTCGGTTTCATGCTTGGGGAATATGTGGTCGATCGTCGCTCTGCTTCCAGGTGGCCCTAGTAATTGTTCTTATAGGAGTAGCCCAAGTATACTTACAACAAACAAGGGTCCGATGGTGTAGTTGGTTATCACGTCAGTCTAACACACTGAAGGTCTCCAGTTCGAACCTGGATCGGATCAGATGCATGCATTCAGCTGAATTTGAGCTAAAGTATTTTGTCCTTTTTTTTGATCGCATTTCGGTTGATGCAGAGGTGAAACATGTCGTTGGCCTTGGTCATACCTTAGGGAATCTTCGAGCTTTGCTTTTCCTTAAAACATTCTTGGTTCTTACCCAGACAAGCCAAGATGTGGAGACATTCAGCCCTTCCAGACATCGTCAAGGTAGGAACTCGCATATTCAGGGCCCCATTCGTCCCTCATGCGTCAGACCTGCCGAGACTAGAAAAACAGGGCAGACGACCTGTTTTTGTCCTTCGAAACGCTGGCAGAGGCTCCGGATCGTCCGGGTGCAGTAGCATGTAACGTCAGCATAAATCCTGGAGAATGAGAGATCTCCCATCAGCCGGGGCATCATTTCAAACAATACCTTCAGGTTCCCTCTGGTTTGATCTCGCACTGCCTTACCATCTATCCCTCATCAGCACCTCATCTCTCACAGGAAAACGAACAAGATGTGCTTCGGAACAATGCCCACAGACAAATACTACTACCACGAGGAGGTCATCCCGGTACGGCCTCGCCATTATCATCATCACGCCCACCATCACTCGCCCCGCTCAAGCTACTCGAGCCACAGACACTACTCGCCGTGGCCGAGGGCGAGTGTGACAAGCTACAGGGCGAGCACGCCGGTTGCTTATAGCAGGCGATGAGACGGGGTTTCTGAGTTCGAAGGGCAGAGATTCATTAGGAGGCGGTGCCTGGATGTTTGTGGACGGCGACTGAACGTTCTGGAGTTTAAGGATAGTATCGGGATAGATGGCGGAATGGGGAATCTGGTTCTGGGCATCGCAAAGCATCTGGATTGTTTATGAATTACCTATGAGTTTCGGGTCTTTATTTTTGGGTTGAGTATAACGCATATCTTGTGTTGTACACAGCAGCCGCTTACCCACATTGTTGTTGCTTGGGACGGCTTCAATGGCTGAGGTTTGTTTGCCATTCAATTCTCCATGTGAAGGTGACGGAAGTGATATGACGTCACAGCCGCAGATGGCACACCACATCCCATGACGATGAGAGCTTCGGCCCAGAAAGCAACCCACCTCATTGGGGCAACATTGAGAAGGATGATTTTGTGGTTGAGTATAGTGCACTTCCACTCCTGAGAAATACAACAGCATCCTGGCTGAATCAGTGGCCCATCTTACATCTGGAAGCTCGTATTTGGCGTGTATGAAGTTGACCCGACAAGCTTCAAGTTCAAAGGCATAAGCAATTAGAGGGCCCATTTGAGCTGGGAAGCAGAGGCTTTCAGGATAACTTACTACCACTAGAAGCATCTGTCTCAGACTTGGTGTCACAGCATATCCAGCTCTTTCCAGACGACAAGAGCAGGAAGGAGTGGAACGATACAACCCGGTGCTTGCGCCTGCCCAACAACTCCCATCAGCATCGCAGAAAAACCTGGCCCGTGACAAACTCCGAGATGAACACCACGTAAGCCAACTTCAGAGTTCATCTAATTCAAACGTTCTTCAACCACCAGAGCACCATGTCCCGTAGAAGCAACGAAGGCAACCGTTTCTCACTCTCAGCCCAGTGGTAACCCTCCCACAAACAGAACCCTAGATCTTCCTTCCCGCCTTACCCACCCCCGAAACACTAACACGCAACAATACTAACTCCCTTTAACACATCGGCCAGGAACCGTGCTTTATCCCTCCGTTCCTCCAACCGCTCCTCCAACGGCACCACCGCATCCACGAACACCACCTCCAGCACCAACTCCCACCACCGCTACCGCTTCTCCCTCACCTCCCTCCGCGATAGGATGCCGCATTCCTCCTCAACCACCCACCAACCAACCCTCGCCAAGCGTCTCCACCGCCTCATCAAGTCCACCAACACGCTCATCGCCGCCCACTCGACGGCCGCGCGCGAGCGCCTCTCCATCGCGACACAGCTCTCGGAATGGGGCGAGACGACACACCCGCCCGCTCCTTCTCTAGGTGGTGGTGGTACAAGCACAAGTACCAACGACGGTGACGACGGGGCCATCTCCGACATAAGCGACAAGCTCGGCGTGCTGCTGTCGGAGCTGGGCGAGCAAGAGGAAGCGTACGCGCAGCGGCTTGAGGAGAGCAGGGCGGTCCTGAAAGTGATTCGCAACACGGAGCGGAGCGTGCAGCCGAGCCGGGAGGGCAAAGCCAGGATTGCCGGGGAGATTGTCAAGGTGAAAGGGAGGGAGCCGCAGAGCACGAGGCTGGTTACGCTGGAGCAGGAGTTGGTGAGGGCCGAGGCGGAGGGGTTGGTTGCGGAGGCGCAGTTGGGGAATGTGGTACGTCTTTCTTCCCGTGTCTGCTTCTTTCATTTTCGTTTGGGATCATAGCCGCCTCTTGTTGGTTGATGCTGGGTTTGGGGGTGACTGACGAGGAACAGACCCGGCAGAAGCTGAAGGAGGCGTACACAGCCGAGTTCCTCGCCACCATTGAGCGCGCCGAGAAGCAGGCCATCCTGGCGCGGCACGGGCTGCGGCTCCTACAGCTGCTGGATGACACGCCCGTGGTGCCGGGTGACGTGCGCCCGCCGTATGCGCATGCCTCACAGGCAAGGCAGATCCTGAACGATGCTGAGGACGACCTGCGGGAGTGGCGGTTGGATGGTGTGTTTGTCGGCGATGATAAGACCGTCGCCGTGAAGGGAACCGTGCCGGTGGCGCCGAAAATCGAGGAGAAGGGGAAGCAAAAGGAGAAGGTGAAGCAACAGGAGGTAGATAAGGGGAGCATTGCTGAGACGGATGGTGGTGTGAATGCCAGGATTTAAAAACGGTAATTGAATCAGGGTGAGCAGGTCGGCGTTTGGGAACCGGGTACCATCATCATTATACCTAGACTTGTAGTTACCATCGACCAGAAGCAAATGGGGTTATGCTTGACAATTCACTGTAAATGAGACGCCCTTGCTTGTAAACACAAACCGACCTTAACCATGCCTGACCCGATGACATATGTCCCAGTACACGCTTAAACAGTGGCTGTTACCCTCCTAACATTCCTCCTCGGGCCCTCTCCACTAATCATCACGGCGCCCTCCATCTCCAACGTCCTCATCACCTCGGCAAACTCGCTCGGCTCAACCGGCACTCCCGCCCCCTCCGCGAGTTTCCTCGCCACCTCAGAGAACCTCACCGCCTGCCCGCCCGCGGTCAACTCGTCCAGCAACCGCAAAACTGCATCCTTCATATCCGCCTTGCGCTTCCTCTCCGCGGCGCTCGTCCCCTCGGTCAACAAGCTCATGTCGATGCGGCCCTGGGCGTCGGTCGCGGCCGTCTTGAGCGCCGACTTGATCAGCCGCACGGCCTCCTGGACGTCGTCGCGCGTGACCGTCTTCGAAAGGCGCATCTTGGCGTGCGCCTCGGCCAGGCGGATCATAGACTCGAGCTGCCGCGTCGTGGCCGTAATGCGCTTCTCGGCGGCGCGCACGTCCTGGCCCAGCTTGCGCATCTCGACGTACGAGTCGACGAGCTCGCGGCCTGCTTCGGGGCTGATTTTCGGGTGGATGTTGGCGCGGGCGTACGAGATGTAGGAGGTCAGGAACTCAATGGGCTGGTAGTGCGCGTGAGTGTTGGGTGTGGTTGAGAAGTGCGGATGTGGGGTTTGCTTACCAAAATGTCGTTGCCGGTTTGGGCTGTCTCGGGCTTGTCTTCAAGGTACATGGACAGCAGATGGCGGGCCAGACGCTGATCTGTCCTCTCGTCAACCCGATCGAGGATGAGGTAGACCAGATCGAAACGGGACAGCAGGGTAGGCGGGAGGTCGATGTTCTGCGGCACCGACAGGTCCGGGTTGTACCGACTGCCGATTGGGTTAGCAGACGCCAGAATGCTTGTTCTGGCGTTGAGCGTCGTGATGATGCCCGCCTTAGCCACCGACACGGTCTGCTGCTCCATCACTTCGTGGAGGACCGACCGTGTCGACTCGTTCATCTTGTCAAACTCATCGATGCAGCACACGCCGCCGTCGGACAAGACGAGCGCACCCGACTCGAGAACCAGTTGCCGCGTCTCGGGGTCGCGAGTCACGTAGGCGGTCAGACCAACAGCCGAAGAGCCCTTGCCGCTGGTGTAGACGCCCCGCGGGGCAATCCTATGTACGTACGACAGGAGCTGCGACTTCGATGTAGACGGGTCACCGCAGAGCAGCACATTGATGTCTCCGCGGTACTTGGGGCTGGCCCCCTTCTCAAAGGTCTTATTGGTGCCACCAAAGAGCTGCAGGAGAATACCCTTTTTGACATCGTCCATCTCGTAGATTGAAGGAGCGAGCGACCGCGCGAGAAGCTCGTAGATGTCCTCTCGAGCCGCTGTCGCCTTGATCTTCTCCTCCTCAGCCGGGGTGACCTTCTTGATTTCGTCGAGGGTCTGGCCACTGACGTGCGCCTCCTCTTCCTCCGCAAGGTCGAGCGTAGAGGGGTCTGCGCCCATCCTCTTCCTGTCCACCTTTTGCACGTGAACAACGTCGACGTAGGTCTTGTGCACGCTCTTGACTGTCCTCATCCGTGGGTTCACACGCACTGGCGTCACCTTGTAGACGCCAGTGAGCTCGACCCGGTCGCCAGCCTTGCAGAAATCGACCAGCTCGTTGTAAACGCAGACAGACACCGAGTGGGGCGTCTGGCCAGGCGGGACGGCATCTGGGGTCTCCTGCAGCTTGATGACCTGCTTGTCTTCAAACTCGCAGCGGTTGTGGATGATCTGCATCGAGTTCTTTTGCTTGCAGCGGGCGCGGGGGCATTCCGTAGGCTCGCGGATCTTGCCGCGATCCAGGTCGACCGTGACGGAATGTCCGCAGACGCTGCATTTGAAAAAGGCCGTCTTCATGTCAGGGATGACTGGGGTCGCCCGGATGACGAGGCCCTTGATGGAGATGAGCTTGTCCATGTCAGACGGGTTGAGGTCCCGCAGATTGATCGTGTGGTCGAGGCCCCACGGGCGAACCAAGTACCGCTGCTTGGCGACTTGGTCCTCTAGCGTCAATTGCTCTCGCGGGGCAGGCCGGGGAGTGGACGGCTCTTCTGCCCGGTCTGAGCTGGGAAAAGCAAGCTCCGAGCTCTGGGAGGCCTGCGGCGCGCTGGGTCCAGAGGTGTTGTGGACGGCTGCCCTCTGGCTTGCCATCTCGGCTTGCGCGAGCTCGGTCATGCAGTCGTGAACGCATTGATCCATGACCGGGATGATTTCGGTCGGGTATGCCTGCGCCTGGTGCCACAGCTTGACGGTGCGCGGGTAGGCCTTGAGGTCGCGGAGGTCCAGGTACAGCTTGTTCGTGCCGAGTAGCAGCATAGTCTCCATGGCCTCCCAGTAGGGCTTTGAGTTGGCCTCGGGAATCCCGCTGGTCTCGGCTTCGGTGGCACCATCGGCCCACATGCGGTATTTCTTGGTGAAGTTCTTTAGGAAGTCCCGGAAAGAGGCGAACGAGTCCTCCAGCGAAACCGTGGTACCCCAGACGAGGCTTTGGCTCGGGCCACCGAGAGCGTCTGCCTCCGAGGTATGGGGGTTGTTGTTCGCAAAGGATGCGGCATCCGAGCCGAGGGCGGAGCCGTCCCGGACGACTCGGCCAGCATCGTCCAAGATGATGCGGCGGGGCATACGGGGTGTCCGGATGACATCAGAGTTGATATCTCCTCGATAGGACCTCAAGTTGGTAGCCCGCTGCGAGCTGACAAAGAGTGCGCTGCTGTCGCTGTGCAGGTCCGACTGCTGGGTGAGCTGGTGGCCGGGGCTGGAGCTGGGATCGTATCGGATCGGTGACGAATCTGCAAAATTAGTAAACCTGCCATTCTACAGGGCCGGGAAAGAGTTTCACCTCCAATGAGTGCGCCGCGTGCACGGGGTGTCCGGTCACCGGCACTCTGGGTCTCTGTCTGCTGGCGCAAGGGCGAGCTAGGGGCAGCCCGGTGGGTGCTCTGACTGTTGCTCATCTGGCGCAGGGGGGAGGAGGCCCTGTTGGCGCCAGGAGCGGGCGACGAAGACTGGTAGAAGAGAGGGCTGGAAGCCAGCTGCGAAGATCTTGTCTGACGGGGTGTCTTCTCTGCAGCGTTGGACGGGCCGGGCGCGGGGCTGCTCCGTTGCTGGGAGCTGCGCGTCGCCCGACCAGGCGTCGCAGAACTGCGTGTTGATCGGTTTGCCGGCGACGACATGTTCTACTGCTCTCTCTGAACTGCGCAGGGTTCGAGGTGTTTGATGTTGGGAACGCGGGGGGAGGCTGGTGCTAGTGTTGATGACGGGAAACGAGGAAGTAGGAGATGGGACTTTCAGGGCAATGCCAGACAGGGAAAAAAGGGAGGACGCGAAAGATCGCGTTTACACCCACTTTACGCGCCGTCGGGGTCACAGCCCATTAAAACCCCTGTAAATACGTACCGGTAAATGTGGGGCGCTTAAGGTCAAGCCACATAACAGCGACACCCCACAAACTCCAGCGCTGCAGAGCACTAACCAGCCAGACAACCATAGCAAAGCGAACCACGATACCCGGCCGAGACTGCGCCAACCGAGACGGCGACCGAGTTCGCGAATATCTTGGACAAGGTGGAAAGCTAAAATAAAAGAAACGCCGCCACGATGTCGCCAGGAATGTCGCTGTATAGCGTCAACGCTATCTGTATGTCCAGCTCAAAGGGCCACCACCAAGCCGCACTTTGCGACGACAGCTCCAGTTAGCCGGCGAACCCATTAGAGCTGACATCGACCAGTAATCCTCTCGAGCGAGGACGGGTCGCGGATATTCACAAAGTACTACACCCCGCCACACCAGGCGGCAGCCCCAGGCGGAGCTGGTATGGCCTTCCCTCACCAGTTGGACGTCCCGAGCGAAGACTCATCGTTGACTCTCGCAGCCCCTGCCAGCACCTCCCAGAACCCGTACCCCGACAAGACCTCCCAGACCCGTTTCGAGAAGGCGCTGCTCCAAAAGACGGCCAAGCAGACGGGCGACATCCTGCTCTTTGACAACAGGATCGTGCTGTACAAGATGGAGTCGGACGTGGCGCTGTACGTGGTCGGCAGCCTCGAGGATAACGAGATTATGCTGTACAACGTGCTGTTGGCCCTGCGCGACAGCTTGCACTTGCTGTTCAAGCAGTCGGTTGACAAGCGGACCATCATCGAGAACTACGACCTGGTGTCCCTGGCCGTCGACGAAATCTGCGACGACGGTGTCGTGCTCGAGACGGACCCGACCATTATTGTGCAGCGGTGCAGCAAGGCGCCGTCACAGGACGTCAACCTCAGCCGGATCGATCCGTTCAGCGAGCAGGGCGTCAACAACCTGGCGCAACTAGGCAAGGCGAAGCTGACGGACTGGTTGAGACAGGGGTTGTAGGCAATGGGAGAGTTTATGGTTTGAGGTTAGATCCTGGTTTGGTTGTGAAAAGGTTGGTAGTTTCACGCATCATCTGGTAGCGGAACTGGTCACATGAATACATGTCTCCTGGGAGACGTCTAATGCATTGCGTCTATCTACGTTCTAATTTCTGAAGCCGCCTTCCTAAGCCTGTTCATGACCGCGGCCGCGATATCGTCCCCGTCGCTAACCCCTTCCACGAAAATGACGTCGGCCCCGAGCCTATCCAACTCCCTGAGCGCGGCAAACAAGCCGTGAGCCACGCCCTTCACGTCCCCGCCCAAATCAACATCTAACAACCGCCCCCTTTCCGTCGTTCTAACCTCCCCCAAGAACTCGCTCTCAATAACAGCAAAGCCAGTTTCCTCCCCTTCCCCATCCACGCGCACAGGCTTCCCTATGCTCGGGAACCCCAAACCCCCCGCAAAACTCCATCCCCCAGTCCTGATAAGCCCCACCGTCTTTCCATCTCCCAACCGCTCAGCCACTGTCATCCCCACCCCATCAGCAGCCCCCGGCCCGGCCTCAAACAAAACCACCCTCGCCCTGGGACTGTAATGCTTATACTTCATTCCCGGCGCCCTAGGCACTTCCCCCTCCCCCATCCCCCCTTCCTTCCCATCCCTATACCCCTTAACCACACCCTCCCACCCCGCACACCCCCTCAACTCTTCAATCCCTACCCCGCCCGGCCGCAGGACCACGGGCGGATCACACAACCCATCCACGACCGTGCTCTCCACGCCCACCGCACAATTCCCTCCGTCGAGAACAAGCTCGATCTTGCCGTCCAGATCATCTCGTACGTGAGACGCCGCGGTCGGGCTAGGGCGGGTTGACGCGTTAGCCGAGGGCGCGGCGAGCGGGACACCCGTCAGGGCGATCAGCGTTCTCGCCAGCGCGGAGGCGGGCATGCGCGCGCCAAAGGTCGGTTGGGAAGCTGTCACCTCGGGGGCTAAGGGGGATGGGGAGGGGAGGGGCAGGAGGATTGTTAGGGGTCCCGGCCAGAAGCGGGTTATGAGCGGGTGGTAGATTGCCGGGATTGGGTCGTCGTCATCTACGACGTGGCTCGGTTCTTGCGGAAGAGTGTGATGGGCTGGTGGTGATGACGATGATGATAGAAGGCGGCGGAGCATGGACAGGTCGCTGATGTGGACGATCAGCGGGTTGTCCGAGGGGCGGCCCTTGGCCGAGTAAATGCCGCGCACGGCGGCGGAGCGGGTGGCGTCGGCGCCGAGGCCGTAGACCGTTTCGGTTGGGAAGGCGACGGGGACCGAGGTGGTGCGTAGGAGCTGCGCTGCCTCGTGCAAGGGGCTCAGGACCGGGTCTGCGTCTTCGGAGGATGAAGGGATGTCCCATTTGGTAAGGTCTGGTTTGCCGTCGGGCATGGTTGCTGCCCACCGGCCCAAGACGGATTCGTCTTTTCCGGCAAGCGGCACTTTGAGAATTCGCGTCTTCATGGTGGTGGTGGTGGTGGTGGTATAGGTGAGCCGAGGATGTGTAAGTGATGCAGTTGTGAGCCGAAGATGGATTAATTGGTGATTTTCAAATGCAGCTGGCCAACGTGCAGAGAAATGGACAAAGCGAATGTTCGCCAACTTGACTGGTGAAGAAAGCGGTATGTGAACTGAGTGAAGTGAAAGTTTGGTGGCTTTGTTCTGTTTCCTGCAGGTGTCTTGTTAGAGCATGTATTTGATATGTTGGGTCACGGAGAAATTTTCAAGCAGCATTTCGCTTTGCACACTCTCTGACACCCACCCAACCCTCAACTGCTCCAATTGCTATCACGACAGCCCACGCAACACAAAACTACTCTCATTCGAATATTAGGGGTATCTGATGAATTCCTGCAAAACAATGGTTGCTAGTTCGTCGCCATTGAAATTTTCCGTTCCATCTCCTCCCAACGCCCATGCTAGCTACCTATGTTGTGTCTACTGAACAATCAGGAAACGCCGGAGATTCGCCAAAACAAAGCCTGATACAGCCGCGCCGCGAGAAACGCCCTTCGCATGCAAATAACTTCTACTCTCAACCATTCATATCCCTCACGCAGCATAAGCCTCGCTGCCCCTCCGGCCCGTCCTCACTGGCAGCGCCGAGACATAAGCATTCGTGGCCCCCAGCTGCTCCGAGAAACTCGCCAGCAAGCGCATCACCTCGTCGCGCACCTGTTCCCGGCCAGCCATTCCCAGCATGACCCTAGCCGACGGCGGCGCCGGTACTCCCCCCAGGCCCGTGTCCGCGCTGTCAACGACGCCCATCAAGCCGTTCATCGCCTCGATCCTGGGATGCCGCAGCTGCGCAGTACTGCTGCTGACGCTCGCGCCCGACTGCGACCGGCCCCGGGTCCGCGCCCGGCTGCGCCGGTCCGTGTTGCTCATCGGCGTCGACACGCCCATGGTGAGGTACTCGGAGTCATACTCGTTGACCGAGTAGCTGTCGTCGTAGCTGGTTGACCGCGAGTGGGACGTGGATTGTGCGCCGGTTGCGCCGTTCGCGGCGGTAAAGTCGCGGGCCGGATATTGTGTGTCGTCGGTGGCAGCCTTGGCCAGGTGGGCAAGGTCGCTGTCGTCCGAGACGTAGATGGATGGCTCGCGGATCCCGATTTGAGTTGAGATGTAGAGCGACGCGTGACGCTCCAGGTCGAAAGGGTTGGCGCCGCCAATGTCTGAGCCAGTCACCGAGCCGACATCTGAATTGGCGGTGGACGGGCGGGTCAGCTCCGGCATGACCAGGCCCTCATCTAGATCAATCAAGCTGCTGACCGACGCACGGTTATCCTGCGACTGGGGCGGCATGAGATCGTATGGCTCTGCGAGAAAGGCTCCAGAATCCGAGGCGTGGTGGATCACAGGTGGCCGTGATTTCTCGGACCGCTCTTCGTGGAACGGAAACCGAGACATTTCGGGATTGGCTGACGCCGGTGGAGCCATGGCCGGGAACTTCCAGTCTTGGGTCCGGCGGTTGGGGTTCAAGTCTGCAGGATCGCTCAGCGGCGGCTTGTTGTAGTCGGCAACGTTGTCGGGCTCCGAGTCGCTCGGCACACGCATGCCGGCTCGGATGGTTGCCATGTCGACGAACTGGGATAGATCGCCGCCGTCGTGAAGGGATGCGTCAAGGTCAATAAGTGACTCTCGGAGGGTCGAGTGCAGCGAGTCGTCTCGGAGAGGAAGATCTGAGGTGGTCGTCATGGGAGGAGGGGGCGCTCTGCCGTAGTACGCACGCGAATTCTCCTCGTAGTTGGAAATGGTGTTGGGGTCAAACACTTTTTCGAGAGGCGCCTTGACAGGTTGGAGCTGTGGAGGGGCTCGCCGGCGCTGCTTGGGCTTCGACGGGCGCGAAGTTTGTTCGTTGATCTCAAACTCAACATTGGATCCGTATACGTCGAAGACGGCCTGGGCATCCGTGTTCATGACCTGCCGGTCAAAGTCGACGGTGGTGCTGAAGTTCCATTCGTCGCTTGGAAGGTCCGAGGATGCACAGTCTGATGGCCCTTGCACGCCGATGGGAGCGAAGAGCGACTTTCTGATGCCTCCTTGTCCCTCCCAGAGCTTGTATGCCTTGACAAGATTAGCGAGCGAAGCGGTTGGGTACGCATCGCTGGTTTTGAAAATGTATGGGTGCTGCTGGATTTCTTGGATGGTCGGCCGCTTGGCCGGATCTTCGACGAGGCAGAAGGCCACCAGGTCCTTGATCTGATCCGAATAGTCACCTTCGAGCCGTGGGGCGTGGTTTTTGATGTATTGACCCAGCTGCTGTATGTTCAAGCCTGCCATTGGGGGAAGACCCGAGGCAAGCTCGTAGACCAAGCAGCCAAAGGCCCAAATGTCGACTGGCGTGCTGTACGAAGGGACGGGGTCGAAGAGCTCTGGCGCCATCCAGTTGAGCGTCCCAATGAAGGTGGTGCGCTTGTCGAGTTTGGACTCGATGATGCCGGCCACGCCGAAATCGCAGAGCTGGACACCGCCTGCTTCGGTGACCAAGACGTTGGCGCACTTGATGTCTCGATGAATGATGCCCTCCTTGTGAACCCAGTAAATGGCCTCTGCCACTTCTCGTACGATGGGTATGATCCATTTCTCCTGCAACCCGCCCGGCGCTGTGGGCTTCATGAGGGTCGCAACACTTCCACCGGCACAGTACTCGGTGACCATCCACATGGCCTGGCCGACCGGGAGCACATCGAGGGTGAGATTGATGTTCTTGGCTCCCGTGTCGCTGAGAAGCTTGAGGGCGGAAACTTCTTTCATGAATTCGCTGTACGTGTCGGCGAGCTTTGGGTTTAGAGTGTCGCCTTCCTCAATGTTGATGATTTTGACAGCGACGAGCGCTTTCGTCTTGAGGTCAGTAGCTTTGTAGACCCGGCCATAATTCCCTTTCCCGATTAGTTCCTGTAACTGATACGGGGGCACATCCTTTCCTGCTCTGTTGCAGTCTTCTTCAACAATTGCCTGCATCTTTTTCGCATCCTCGATCGCCTTCTGTTTGGTGCTAAGAAAGTCCGGATTCCGGACTTGCAGGCTGTTGCTGGCCATGGCGAACGGCGCGGTCCAATCTTTGGGACCGGGCTAATTGAGGAATCAAGGTAGAGGTTGTTTAGAGTCGTCGTGCACTCTGCCTAGCCTGGCAAGCTCAGCAGCCGGCAAGTTGTCGGATTTTGTGTGACTGGGGCTCAAGGGGCGGGGCTCTGGCGAGGAGGCACCCTGTTGGAGAAGCAGCTGGGTTCTTATCTGAAGGTTCCGAACCTGGCGCTCCAGATTCTGTTGAACGTGGGGATCTTGGGCCGCAAGCTCCCGGTCCTCGGTGTCTGGGGCTTCCGTCTCAATGGACTCCTCAGGTACAGCCGGCTCGCTGCGTTTCAGTTAGCTCAGATCAACTTGAAAGAGTGAATCAAAACAACTCTGCAGTGAAGGGTTAAATCTTCTGCAAGTCCTGTGCACCAGGCAATTATCCAGTGATTGGTTGGGGATAGAAGGATTGCGTCGTGTTGGTGTCTTGATGAGATCGCAACAAGCCGAGACATACCACTGCTGTGGGGGCGCGATGTGGCTCAGCCAGCGGAGGATGAACTGCCGCTGCTCCGGGCGCAGCAGAGACGACTCGGTAGGCCTTGAGTGGGCAGGAGGAGGCGGAGGGGGGCGGGAGGGCGGATGATTGGGAGCGGGCTAACTGCGCGCGGCCCTCACGCCCGCTGACTCGGCGGCGAGTCGAGGCAGCCTCGCTGCCCTCGGTCCGGTCGTCCCTTCCGCTTTGATCTCCGGGAGGGGGCCTGGCGAGCCCTTGGCGCTTGTCGTCGTCGTTGTTCTGCATCTTTGTTAGTTTGCTGATGGTTGTCTCGACAAACTTGATGCTGGCTGGACGGATGAAGACGAGGGCTTTCGGCGATCCGGAATGGAGATTTCAAGTACACTCACTCTAATTCAACCAAGGCCACAGCAGCCCTGCAGAGCACCGGGCAAGTATGTCACAGCGGGTCTCAGATAGTGCAACTCGTTCGAGGCGGCCAAACAATGACAGCGGCTTGAAGTTAAATAGTTGACTTTTCAAGAATTTGTGACCTCAACCAGGTGGGGTAAAAGGACAAGGCGGGTAAACTCTCGTCGCCAATACCCGTTTCGGATCAAATTCACGATGTTGAAGTCTGGTGTTGAGTTCAGGGACCACTGCAGCCTCAATCCAGGGGCCGCTCATGTCTGACAGGCTAAAACCGCGCCAGTCCGGGTGACATAGGTTGACCAATCACAAACTTAGGGCACGGGCCACATGCTGAACGACATCTTCCGCTGTGACAGGGGCAGGCTTCTGGAAGCGTTCTTTGCAGCTTGCCACTCACGAAAGCACCACGACATCAAAGGTCTGGGCTGCCAAGGAAACCAGGCTTGACCTGCTCAAAGGTCCTCGGTTGTATGGAGGTACCTTATCCAACCATATTCCTTCAACGCCTAAATATCTCTTTCGACCCTTTCTCTGTCTCGAACTTTCAAACACGACGCGGTGCCATGGTTCTAGCAGCAGGCTGTGCAACACTGCAGATGGCCCTTGACCTCCAACAACCCAGTTCGAGCCCCTCACAACAGTGTGCCTGAGTGTGTGCAGCTCAAGAAGATCTACAACTGCCGTGCTCTATAAATTATACATCGGACGGCAAAATCACCACCGTCCATTCTGCGTCGTAAATATGCGCCCTAAGCGTCCTCACCTGTCGGTCGGCCCAAGACCACCCTTCCTCACTGATAAACATATACTTCAATTCCCCCTCCAACCTAGCAATCATCTTGGCATGGATCTTCCCCCATCCATTCTCACACTGCCCCCGGACCGGGCCCATCACCAGCCGTGAGCAACTGATCGTCATAACTTCTACCAACTCCAGCCCCTTCCCGCCAGCATTGCCATCACCGTCAACCTCCCTCACATCCCAAAAGGTATCCATGACAATTGACAGGGGACTCCTGATCCGCACAAACACCCCGTCCCTGATATCAGTGAACTCATACGTGCTGACAACATTGGAGTCCCATATCCCCGCCGGGACGGCATGCACGATGTCAGTGACGCGGTAACACGTCGGCATCACCGCTTGTTCTTCGTCCACCTTCCCCTCTTCCTCGCCCTGCCCCCTTCCCGATGTATCTCCAGAATCGTCCTTGGAACGACGACGATGGAGCTGGGACTGACTTGATCCGAAATAGATGGGGGCGGGTTGATGGCGGTGGCCAGGTCGGCCGCGGGGATCAGGTCATACTTGTGCAGGTGCGGGTCGCACGCCAAGAAGAACTCGTGGTCGGACAGCATGGCGAGGTCCTGGCCTCGGGTTGTTCTTGGTGCGAGACAGGAGGTATGTGTCATTTTGGCGGTTGTGGTGTGAAGACTCAGCGTGTTACGGCAAGGAAGGGCTCAGGTTAGCTTGAGGTGCAGTGAGGTGAGACTTATGTGCCACATGGGGTAGTGTGAGGATCTTTACAGGACATTTTGGCGTTTGAAGCCTCGGTTTCGCGGTCTTGTTATTTTTGTTAAGGTGCTTTGAGGTTCAGTTGAGATTCCGGATTGTCTTCTGCTTGGAGCCCTTGAAGGGACCTTAGGTGTGCAGAAGCAGATTCGCAGGCCGACAGATCGATTTGGTCCGCAGCTATTTATCCGTCGAATTGGACATGATCTGATACAGTTATAGTCTCGCCCAACCTTTGCATAAGGTATTGGGCAAGGTCTTACTTAGACTCAATGCATGGATAAGGAGAGGAGGGATGTTCTTTGAAATGGCAGTGACGTTCCAGGCGAATGCTAGAAAAGCGTTCTGAAACACGTCCAAGCACCACAGGCAATAGAGAAAAAGTGGTGAAATAACTCCTACATGAATGTAAAGGATTAATGTGATATTTAAGTTACTGTTCGTTTCCAGCAGCAGATGTCATGCTGTGAAGAAGCTGTGGTAAGGTTCATGAGGTGTTCATCACTTCAGCAGACGGCCCTTGGAAGTGGAAGGTAACGGGGACTCTTGGCAAGGGTTAGGGCTCAGTACGGAAGCGAGTGAACCCAGCCAAGCATTGAACCTCAACATTGGGACCTGGCGACGGGACTTTCCATGAGCTTGTCCCTCGGCGCCCAGAGCCATTCACGAGCGCAATGGACGTAATGATCAGGAGGCATGGCGCCTACGTGTGCCGCAGCTGTGCCCAGAGTCTCCCGAAACAGCTGCGGCGAGCCTACTCGGCAACGGCGCAACCGGACCTTTACGATGTGGTCTGTGTCGGTGGTGGACCTGCAGGCCTCAGTCTTTTGACGGCGCTGCGTGAGTATCCATTTTCTTTGATGTTTTGGTTGTTGTCGTTCTGTTTATCTTGGACTGCTGGATCCTGACCAATTGACTCATCAGGCGCGAACCCCGTCACGGCGCACCTGCGAGTCGCCCTCGTCGACGCCCAGGACCTGGCCAAGATTAAGTCGTGGAAGCTGCCCCCGTACAGGTTCTCGAACCGATGCAGCTCTCTCACTCCCTCTTCCGCACTTTTCCTCGACCAAATCGGGGCTTGGAGACATCTTGAGCGCGACCGGGTCCAGGCGTACCAGGAGATGCAGGTCTGGGACGGCGTGACGGGCGCGAGGATCGAGTTTGACTGGGCCCCAGGCTCGGGGCCTGCAGCTGGCACTACAATTGCTTACATGAATGAGAACCTGAACCTCACCTCCGGCCTGCTGAAGCGCTTGGAGGAGCTGGGTGGCGTGTCCATGTTTGACAACGCCAGAGTCGAGAAAATAGCCTACGGGGAGGAGACCGACGAGATGGACCTGCGGGAATGGCCAGTTGTCCACTTGTCGGGAGGCCAGCAGCTGTCTGCCCGCCTGCTCGTTGGCGCGGATGGCGCAAACAGCCCTGTGCGCTCCTTCGCCGGCATCGAGGCGCACGGATGGGACTACAACCGGCATGGCGTTGTGGCCACCCTTGAAATGGAAGGCGAGGGCTGGGGCGGAGGCCACACCAAGATCGCCTATCAGAGGTTCCTCCCCACCGGGCCGGTGGCCATGCTTCCTCTCCCCGGGAACTACTCGACTCTTGTCTGGTCGACAACGCCCAGCAATGCCTCCCTGCTGAAGAGTCTGTCGGCAAAGGATCTCATTGCTATGGTAAACGCCGCCTTTCGACTGAGCCCCACAGATTTGGAGTATATGCATACCCAAGAGTCGGGTCAGGCTGATGAGTACTCCTGGAGGCTTGAGCACACTCCGTTCGATTGCCAAGCCGTCCCCCAAACGGTCGTCGGCGTCCAGGAAGGCAGCATCGCCTCGTTTCCGCTGAAGCTGAGGCACGCAGACACCTATATTGCCGAGCGCGTGGCTCTCGTTGGCGATGCAGCCCATACAATCCACCCCCTCGCCGGTCAAGGCTTGAACCAGGGCCAGGGCGACGTGCAGAGTCTCGCCAAGACCATCGAATACGCCGTCAGCCATGGACAGGACATCGGCGTCACCATGTCACTCGAGCCCTACGTCTCGGAGCGCTACGCGGCAAACCACGTGCTTCTGGGAGTTTGTGACAAGCTCCACAAGCTCTACTCGGTCGGCAGTGGCCCTCTGGTGCCCCTCAGGTCGCTCGGCCTAAGCGCCGTCAACGCCATGAACCCACTGAAGAACTTTCTGATGAACCAAGCGGCTGGAAACGGGATCAAGGTTTTTTGACGGCCGGGTCACCCCATGTCTCCACCTGCCGCGTGGGCTCTGTCCTACTCTTAAACCTCCTGTTGTACAGATTTGTTAGCACTTGTATCATATCTCCGCTGCCGGAGCATATTGGGATCTGGCGAAATCGGACGGAATACACTAGCCAAGGGCTCTTCCTATTGTTGCCATCAGCGGGTTATTGCGGCCTTCAACATCGAACGATGCGGATGGGATGAGTAGTCACGGGGTCGACCGTTATGGGCTAACGAACAGCTTGCTTTCGCCTTTTCGGATGACTCGGAACCCTCTATTTCTTGACTGACTCCCCTTCTTGCTGTGGCAGTTACTGGGATGCCGGCTGCAGTTTCGGTGGTCGTAAGGAGAAAGCCCCTACTGTCGAGCTGTGTTTCCGTGACGGTACCCCTATCGGAATCGCCAGCTCCACGGACCTGCCGTGATTGCTGCAGTAAAGCTTGGTTTGCTGATCCCACCAAGCCAGCTGGCCTCGCTACACCACTCACTGCCGGTGAGGTTGGGGTTCACACAAAAGTTGTGTGCTCCTTCTTTCAGCTTCCCTTCTTCATGAAGATGACCACTGATATCTGGGAATTCTGAGCACGAAAACCAGTTACACGAACCAGCTTCTTTAATCCCAAGCTAACCGTGTGATCAGGGCCCGCAGGAGAAATCAGTCATCATCCCTCTCCCCGTTTCTCGCACCAGATCTTTACACAGGATACGTTTCAACGACTTTCTTGAGCTTATCAGCCGCCTTCCACTCCCCGCCAACCTTGATATTTTCTTCCACATCGATGTTCCTCAGCATCTCCCCGCAACTTGGACCCTCACTGGCGTCATCTCTTTCCGGCTCGCTATTTTCAGCCACATCCAGATGGTAAGGTCTCACCACTCCGGTATGTGAACCAACCCTGGTATTGGAGAGTAAGACAGCCGAGTCAAGCAGACCGGTCTCCCATCTGTTTGGGTTGCTCACGAAGTCAGCCAAGGAATCCGGTCTTCGTGGAAGCATTATAGCCCTGAGCTCGTCTCCGTGACGGTGCTTTGAAGCAGGTACGTTCCTCTGTTTAACAGAAAAGCAAACATATGGCTAAAGTCCAGCTATTCTGCTCCGTTCTGTCCCCTTTGACTTGTCCGGGACTGTCGAAACGGCTCAAAATCACTGTCTAGATTGTATTTTCTTTCCATACATGGTTGATTAACTTGTACGAAACCGTCCTTCTGATTCAGTTTGCAGCTTGTTTCTGGATATTCAAAGTTTCAAGTTACTGGTACATCACTGGCATCTCCATCTGACCACAGCTGCTTGCTATTGCTGTCTGGCTACAGTTTGATCTCAGATTTAGCAAGAGACTTGCACAGTGGGAGTGCTTGATGCCGAATAGACCACCTTTCTTCTTGCGGAACCCTTCTTCTCGGCGCTACCAGCGGCTTAGGCTATAAGAGGCCTGCTCCGCCTCAGCTTTTCACTCCGTTCACTAACCCCGACTCCTCCAGAACGCCGACCAAGCGGCATGGTCACCCCCATCACTCGAAGCATCACAGCACGAAGCAGTCACCATGTGCTATAAAGAGTTTGTCGCCTACCAGTGCGGCCACCGGTCCATCGGCGTGACGCGGCCATGCCCCCTGACGACCACAGGCCACAACTTTCCGGTCTGCACCCTCCGGCCGGACAAGCCACACTACGCCGAGACCATGTGTTCGGCGTGTGAGCGCCAGCTGCATTCCCGCTGGGTGCTGATCCGTGAGTGGGAGCACCGCTGGCTTCATGAGCGCGGAGCTTGCGGCTGCGAGGTCATCTTTCCAGGGCTTCTGCACACTCCTCGCGTTATTGGGGACACGTCTGCGGTTGGAAGTGCTGCTTCAACCACGGGTACAGCTACCCCCCGCGCTGGCGAGGACGACAAAGCTTCCTCGGAACGCCTGAGGGCTATTACGGCTGCCCCTCTCGAGAGATCCAACAAGGGGCAACGGGAGACTCCGGGCAACGTCAAGCAAACTGCTACCTCCAGCGACGACGACAGAAAGATCCCACCCCTCTTTATGGAAGAAGTCACCGCTTCAGGCGAGCACCATGTTGCTGTCCGACTCCCCGGTCTCTATGTAGCCGAGTGGCAAGCCGACCATCGCCCGCTTCATGACGCCGGAAAATGCACCTGCTCGACCTCTTTCAATCCTCAAAATCCACAGGCTCCTGGCGACGAGCTGACTGCTCACGACCGGGAGAAACTTCGACAATGGCGCGAGTTGGAGGCTGAAGAAGAGGGAAAGAAGAAGAAGCATGACACTGGCGAGATCGATAACCAAGTCGACGAGACCGTCAAGCGTGTTGCTGAAATCAAGGAGATGTTTGGGGAGTTTGACGTTGAGAGCGAGGAGCTAAGGGTCAACCTCCCTCGCCTTGGTGGAGGAACCACAACAGAAAATCAGGTTGTGGAATTCAGGGGTCAGGGTCGCAGCCACGGCCACAGTCAGGGTCAGAGCCAGGGGGGCGGTAACGGCCGACATCACCGCCGTTTCCAAAGCCGTCGCGAGAGAGCAAGCCCCTCGCATCGCCACAATCCCCCCACACAAGACTATGGTTCCTCGCAGGACCAAGGCCAACTCGTCCCGATGTCGCAGCCGACGGTGTCATACAGCGCTGTCAGAGGTCACCAAAGCTACCCTTACCCCTATTCGGGCGCCCCCTTCAATCAGGCTCCCGTCACAGGCTACCGCTACCCCGAGTACGCCCAGCATCAACAGCCACACCACTTCACCCCAGCATACCCAACCTACGCTACGGCAGCCACCTACACAGACACGATCCCGTACGGAGCTCACCCCTGGACGGCAGAGCCCCAACGGACACCCGGCATGCCCTGGATGACGCAAGGACCAGGCCCGTTCCGCACGTCGGGATACATCTACCACCAACCCCCGACGCACGAGCGGTACGACCCAGGCAGCAGCTATGCCACTACCCAAGTCCCGGTCGACCGCCAACTCCCAGCCCCCGAACATGCCAGCCCAGTCCACAACGAGTCCGATGACAACCACCAGAACATGGGTAAACAAATCGAGGCAGTCCACGCCACACACACCGGCAGCCAGGAGCCCCTTTCCCTCTGCGGTCTCCCCATCGGCGCCGGACCCGAAGGCACCTCCCACATGCCGAGCTGGCAGGATTGTCCGCTGCGGTGGCATGCCAGTGCTGGTAACCTCCTGATGCCAAACGGTAGGGACGCCGGAGAAGACGGAGCCGCTCCCATTAGCGAGCTGGATGGGACTGCGGTGGCCGTCAGGCAAGAAGGGGTGCGGGAGAATAGCAAGGAAGATGTCAGTGCCGGGGGACGTGAGGGTTCGCGTCAGGTGGAGAGGGATGAGGGTTATGGAAAGAAGGATGCGGATGCAAATCTCGACATGCCGCCTCCGCCTCCGCCGCGGCCTCACTCGGCTGCGACCTGATACCTATCACATTAGGTGAGTAAAGCAGTGCGCCATCTGCTGCGGAGTACGGCAAGACGAACCGCTGACACACCGCAATAGGCATTTGTAAGACAAGAGTGTAGGATTATACTTCTCGTTGCCGTGGCAGGGACCGAGGGGACTTCGCCATTCGTCCGCGGTCGAACCCCCTCAACAGCAATCCCACCCCGCCGCCGGCTTATGGTACAGCAGTTACAAACGAAACGACATCGACGTAAAAGAACGAGCGTTGCGTTCGGTCCACTTGACCACCACCTCCACCACACCAACCCGAGCTGGCCCCTGGCACGGCTTTGGATGCAAAGTTAAGGGCTTCATTTACCTAGTTATGCCCGGGGGAGCAATCCACCAAATCACGCCACGCCCAGAACCACACCGCGCTTCTTTTTCTTACCAGCGAAAGTTCGAATTTAATTCGCAACGATTTCTCCATCCCGTCCTCTGCGTCCCCGCAAGCTCCCCAGTTTACCGATCAACCTCGCCTGCCGCAAGGGATCAGTACAACATCTTTACACGCACATCACAAAAGGGAAGAGGGGATACAAAGAAAACCAGGACTCACCAAACACCAGATCCATGGTGCCAATGACAGCCACAGCGTCCGCAAGCAGATGCCCCTTGCAGACATGGTCGAAACCACCGAGATGAGCAAAGCCCGGGGCGCGGACGTGCAGGCGGTACGGCCTCTCGGAGCCGTCGCTGACGACATAGACACCCATCTCGCCCTTGGGGGCCTCGATCGCCGAGTAGGTATCACCGGGGGGCACGGCGTAGCCCTTGGTGTAGAGCAGGAAGTGGTGGATCAGGGCCTCCATGTTCTCCTTCATGGCGGCGCGTGGCGGGGGGGAGATCTTGTAGTCCTCAACGCGAACGGGTCCCGCGGGCATCTTGTTGAGGCACTGGTGGATTATGCGCAGCGACTGGCGGAACTCCTCCATGCGGCACAGATAGCGGTCGTAGCAGTCGCCGTTGACACCGACGGGCACGTCGAACTCGACCTGGTCGTAGGCGTCGTACGGCTGGCTCTTGCGGATATCCCACGGCACGCCCGACCCGCGGAGCATGACGCCCGTGAAGGCCAGGTTGAGCGCATCGGCCGCCGACACGACGCCGACGCCCTTGAGCCGGTTGATCCAGATGCGGTTGTCTGTCAGCATCTCCTCGGTCTCGTCGATGCGGTCGCCGAACTGCGTCGCCCACTGGTAGATGTCGTCGAGGAGGCCCACGGGGATATCTTGGTGCACGCCGCCGGGGCGGACGTAGGCGGCGTGGAGACGGGCGCCGGACACGCGCTCGTAAAATTCCTGGAGCACATGTATATTAGCTCTTTTGCCTTTCTACCGACAATCGATGACTTCGCCCGCGGTTCCCAAATCCCCTCCTCCCCCACCGTGATTCGGCCGTAGGAAGACTAACCATCAGCTTCTCTCTCTCCTCAAAGCCCCACAGGAACGGCGTCAGGGCGCCAACGTCCATGGCGTGAGAGAGGACCGACATGAGGTGGTTCAGGATACGGGTGATCTCGGCAAACATGGTGCGGATCCACTTTGCGCGCTCGGGGATCTCAATGTTGAGCAGCTTCTCGACGGCCAGTGAGTAACACTGCTCGTTGGTCATCATGGAGACGTAATCGAGCCGGTCAAAGTAGGGCAGCGCCTGCAAGTAGGTCCGGTACTCGCACAGCTTCTCCGTGCCGCGGTGCAGCAGGCCGACATGTGGGTCCGCCCGGATGATCTCCTCGCCGTTGAGCTCCAGGATCAGGCGCAGCACGCCGTGCGCGGCCGGGTGCTGCGGGCCAAAGTTGACTGTGTAGTGGCGCACCTTGCGGTCCGCGATCGACTCGTCGCGCATTTTTTTCGTTGTGCTGGCCTCGTCGTCGGGGAGCTTGGACGAGACGCCGTAGGGGTCGGCGGCGGTCGAGAAGTCGGACCCGGTCGGGACCAGGCGGGTGCCCTGGTACTCCTGCGGCTCGGCATAGCGGCGGCGGACCGAGACAGAGAAAGCGCGGGCAGGATGTGAGATGGAGCTGGCGAGACTTTGTGATGGCCGGGTGCACAGCCGCTTGGCGCTGCGGCCGGCGAGCCGGTACAGCGTCGTCGACATGGTCGAGAATATGTGGGGGATAAATGTTGAGAGGGCCGGGAAGGTGGAAAGAGGGGTTTCGGGGTGCGCTCTCCCGGGTTGCGGCCTCTTCTCCGTCGTCAATTGCAGCGCCTTTTACGGTCGTCGTCAGTGACCTCAAAGCAGTGCCACTCCAGCGCCCGATTGGGTCGCGCCTCGGCGACGGTTTTTTCCGAGGCCAATGCCAAGGCCCAATCGCACAATGTCTGATTGGCTGCTGAGGCATCAAGCACACGGCCCAGCAGTTAGAGGACCCCTTGCGACAACTCAGATGCTTCCAAGTCCTGAGACAACTCAAAGTCTACTAATATCGTCTCGCTAGCAAGGTTCAATGAAGCTGGTGTATGTGCATAGCTATTTACCCTCGTGCCTGAGTCAGTCGACACAGATACACAGTTCGAGTAACTCGGGTACAATACCTACGTTAGCCCTCAACCCTGATCATAACCTGCTTCTTCACGGCCATACCTAGGTACCTAAGGTGGTCACTGATGTTCTGCAAAGGACTAAAGTTGCTCGCACAGGATGTCCAGTTTGAAGTCGATAGAAAAGGCTTCGGTTCTAGGTTGTCTTCACTCGCTGTTTCAAAGCCCTGAACTGACCCAGAAGTTGAAAGCGCACAGATCAGCTGCAAGTCGAATGCAGGCTTGCAAGCCCGGCACAGGCGGTCAAGTTTTTCTGGATTCTGCCGCTGTTCAAGCGGCCCGGGACCCTAAGGTCTTGCTCCAGGAATTTCCAGTCGAGCCGACAACATCGAGCGCCAACCCCACTATCAACCCAAATCTTGTCGCAATGCCTCACAAACCGCCAACAAAAGAGGAACTGGAGCGGCGAAAGGTACGCTTCTTCACCCTGGCTGTCTCAATGAGTAATATTGCTTCTAACAAGACACCAAATTCAGATCGTCGGCATCCACGAAGAAACCATCACTGATGTCACATCGACTGACTTCCCCGGGCACTACCCAGGCGAGGACCACAGCTGGGATATCGAGCGCTTCCGGCGGGGTTTCCGCGTCGAATTTCACCAAAATGACCCTTTCGAAGCATCATTCTCCCTCATCGGCATCGATGCCTCCATCGCCAACGCTTTTCGGCGGATCATGATCGCCGACATCCCGACCCTCGCCATCGAGACCGTCTTCATCAACAACAACACATCCGTCATCCAAGACGAAGTACTCTCTCACAGGTTAGGCCTAATCCCCTTCAAGGGCGGGTACGAGGGGCTCCACAAGTTCCTCAAGCCCTGGCGCAAACCCGACGACGAGTCCCAAGTCAACAACAGCTACTACGACTACAACACCGTCTCGCTCCGCCTCGAGGTTAAGTGCGAGCACAACGAGAAGGCCGCGCCGGGCGAGACGGACCCGACAAAGCTGTACAAGCACGCGCACGTGTACGCGCGCGACATCGAGTTCTGCCCCGTCGGGCGGCAGGGCAAGTATTTTTCCGGCGAGAACGCCATCGCGCCCGTCAACCCGGACATACTCATCGCCAAGCTGCGCCCCGGCCAGGAGATCAGCTTGTCGATGCACATGCACAAGGGCGTCGGGTCCGACCACGCAAAGTTCTCGCCCGTGGCCACCGCGTCGTACCGGCTAATGCCCGTCATTCAGATCGAGCAACCCATCCTGGGTAGGGATGCCGAGAAGTTCGCGCGCTGCTTCCCCAAGGGCGTCATCGGGCTGGAGAAGGTGACCAAAAAGGAGGCGGCGCAGAAGGGGAGCGGGTACGAGGGCCATCAGGGCGAGCTCAAGGCGGTCGTCCGGGACCCCATGCGGGATACCGTCAGCAGGGAGTGCCTGCGGCATGACGAATTCAAGGGCAAGGTCAAGCTCGGCCGGAGGAGGGACCACTTTATCTACCTGGTCGAGAGCACCGGGCAGTGGAAGAGCGATGACATTTTCCTCGCGGCTGTGGAGCACCTGAAGAAGCGAGCCCAAAGCCTGGAGAAGCAGGTTATCAACATGGTCAGATAGAAAAGAGGATTGTGCTGTGTAGTGCTGGCGGTGTCGGTGTATACCTTCTGTCTCTCTCTGCATCTTAATCATGGGTATGGCGTCTCGGACCTTGGTGTTATAAAAGGGGGGTTTCCGGCCAGTGGTGTTTCTTCGCCTTCTGTGTATGACAGGTCATGGTGCTAAAATGGAAGCCTCCGGTCTGAGATTTCAGCGCCATCAGTCTTGGGCGCCCTCCGGATGTACCGTGCACGGTAGTGTGTCCCTGTGGTTTCCGAAACCTTGCAAACCTGGCAGTGGTATCCTGCCGTTTCACCTCTTTTGTTTATATCCCCTCTATATTTATCCCGGACGCCTCGCCAAAAAAGACATTCCAAATATCGAACCAGTCATGCACCCGGATCATTGCTTGAACTTTAGCTTAAACTTGAACGTCACCGTCGCAAACGCTGGATCTGTCACGGCAATCTCTTGCCCCTCCTCCAGCCCCAGCTCAACCAGCGTCCTGTCCAAGTTCGGCCTCGTCTGCGCTTCCAGGCTCGGCGGCGACTGCATGTACAGCGTCCTGCCCTCAGCCCGCACGCTAGGCTTCTTGAGCTGCGCCTCGGGCCGCGCCGCGAACGAGTCGACCAGCTCGCGCAGCGTCCAGGTCGGGTCTACGTCCATATTCCGCGCTAGCTGCCCGCACACGGGGCAGTCGTCCTTTTTCTCGTGTTTGAACGTGTACGTGTAGATGCTGTCGTTGCCCGAGTACATCATGTAGTTCGCCTCGGGGAACCCCAGCGCGGGCGCGCAGTTGGACGCGATCTTGAGCGCCTCGTTGCAGCAGGCCGCCGCGATGACGCTGTTGGTGGCTGCAATGGCCGGGATGATGTTCTTGACGACGCCTTGCGTCAGGGAGTACGTCACGCCGGGGATGTTGAACTCGGCTGCGCGCTCGAGGGCTTTCTGATACAACCAGGTGATGTGCTCCGGATCGTCCTTGTCCAGCTGCGGGAAGGGCTTCTCTTGGTCCCAGGCGATGAGGTGCGCCCACTCGATGCAGTGCTCGGGCTGCCGGGGGATGCTGGCGAGGGTGCAGAGGGGGACGGCGGCACGGGGCGCGTGCATGTCCAACTGGCATTCGATGCATGACGTGATGGTTGGGATGATGACGCGGGCTTGACCCTTGAAGCCTTCTGTGCCGCCGTCTATCAGCGGCTTGTAGCTGTCCTCGACGTCCTCGTCGACCATGTTGACGAGCGTCGCGTTGATCCACCGGCGCGCCTCGATGCTGTCCAGCCCGCAGACGACGAGCTGGAACTGCATGTAGAAGTCCTCGTCAAAGTCTTGAATCTTGCAGTTGTGCGGAGTAATCTTGATTCCCTTGACCCGCTTCTCGACGAAGCGCGCAGCCACCTCGGCCTTGTACTTGCCGACGTCTGCTTGGCGGAAAAGGAATTGCCGGTTGAGATTGGAAATATCGATTGTGTCCATGTCGATGACGTGGATATCTTTGAACCCTGACAGCGCAAGGTTCTTCAAGATCTCACAGCCCAAGCCTCCGGCTCCGATCACCAAGATCTTCATCGTCTCCATAGCTGCGGCAGCTGCCTCGGGGCTGAAGACATCAGGATTCGTGGATGGCCCAGGCCGCGTCCGGATGCGGTCGAGGTAGACCCATCTTGCTGGTTCGGAGGCCGGGTGCACTTCTGTGGACGTCATCTCGAAAGACTTGTCTGCACACTGTCCAATCAGTCAATCTTCGGTGCACGAGGGCCGTCGCGACAAGCTGGGGATCGGTTGAAAGGGACGAGAGCTGTTTGGTAATGGAGCCAAGGGACCACGAAAGCTGGGGCTTATCGGTGCTGCCCCGCTCTTATCTTAGCGCTTCCAGGTCTCCAGTTCCACCGTTTCAATAGCCAAGAACTCAGCAACAGTCCAGGAAACGCCCCGCTTTCACAACCTTTCGATGCTCGTGGTGCTGGGAATGAAAAAGGAGATTGAATCGTCGCAAGCCTGCCGGCTAAACTAAAGCTTGACAGAAGGGAGAAGGTGTTTAGTCTATCGTAACTTGTTCCGTTGGTTCATTGGGGAGCCGAAGACGAAGCAACCTGGTCAAGGAACGTCAGGGGCGCTTCAGGCTCCAGCAACAACAAGTGCTTGAATTCTCTACAAGTTGCCTGCGCAAATACGTCGCGCGATTCTCGTTTTGGCTCAGAGACGAGCAAGAAAAACAAGTCGGACCAACGTACAACACCGATTCGATTGCGTAACGTGTCACCGATATGGATGAGCTGCTCAGGCCAGCCAGCATCATCCGTACTATCACGGGCGAGAAAAAGCCCGAGGTCGATTTCCTGCGAGAGTCGAGAGCTCAGGGTCGCTCCAGCAACGCAGAGCCAAAACCGAACGCTGGGCATAAACCGCCCACCTCATTAGAAGACGCTCTTGAGATACTCCGGCATGAACCAGACTACGACTCGCTCATCGCAGTCTTGGCCTTCCTCTTTCGCCATAAACCTGACGGCGCTAGCTTTCCGAGCATAAAGCTGCCCAGTCCTCTGAGTGCACAGCTTGTTCAAGTCCTAGTCTCTCAGATCGTGCCAAACTACTGGACCCTACTTCTCGAGGATTCTCATCAGACCAAGGACTCCGGACTCAGGCTGCTCCTGTACTGTCTGGCCAGTAGCACAGGAGTGAACGCCGCCCTCGTCCGGCTGAGCGCACTGATCCAGGAAGCCAAATCTGAGGCTACTGCGAGAACAAAGCGACCCGATCTTTGTATTAACCTTGGGATCATCCTCGATTTGCTCTGTCGGCTTGTTCAGGGTGACGGATGGCTCTTGGAAGCATACCGCGCAGCAACATCCAGTGCGGATGGTCCTGCCCGCGTGAAGCCCAGAGTCCAGGAGATCGTCACAACTTTTGGCAACGGCCGCCTCATCTCCATGGCCGCGGAAGCTGAGGCAACTGCCAAAGCCAATGGCTCCAACAAGTTGATTGGAGACAATTGGCTTGCCGATCCATCACAGTACGTTGAATGGCTTGGTCGCAATATTGCGAAATTGGTCTCATCGGGGATGGAACCCGAGCAGACAAAGTCTGTCTCTGGCTTGTTTGTCAAAGCACTACACCTTGGCCATCCCGGTAAGCTGCCTCAGGTTGTGGCCCAACCGTACTGGCTCGGAGGCTGACATGTACCAGAGAAACTAATCAAGCAGCTCCTTTCAGAGCTCGTCCTCAGACCACACTGCGACGCCAAGGACTTCAAGACCCTCCTGGGACACCTCCCGCAGAGCGAGCAACGCAAAGTCCTGTTCTCCGTCTTGAAGCTATTCTCCGTTGAGCATCTCGATCGCCTCGGACGCTGCGATGCGGCAAGCACTCCAACGATTGCCGCCGTCGCCGGTGCACTGGACGGAGTTCTCGGCAAAGACGAGAACGGAAGAAGGCATTTGGTGGAGTGGCTGACCGCGTCCTCGGGTGCTGGCCTTGGAGACGGCGTCGGGATCCGACGGGCAGTCATGGCGTTCATGTCCCAAAACAAAGACGATCTTGTGAACGTCTTGGAAAAGAGTCTCAGCCAGTTTGGGGATCAACTCTACATCAAACACTCGCCCATGCTGCAGCAAGAAGGTCTGTGCCAAGCATTGAACGTCAGGGTATAACAACTGACCAGATATAGCCCATGCCCAGATTCTGCTTTTAGCCGCTGGATACGTGCACAGGTTGACGCCGATCAAGCTGTCCATGCTGTTACGATCCAGTGTTTGGCTGAATGCCATCTCCAACCGGCTCGCAGCGCCTCACACGAGGGCTCGTTTTCTGGGAATGGTGGTGGGTGAAGCGCTATCTGGCCTTGTGGACAAGGGGGATAAGCGGCTCAGCTTTAAGATGGAAGAGACAGACCAGGACGAGGGGAAATGGTACAAGGGGTTAACAGAAGTCTCCGACGAAATTGGGCCGCTCCAGCCGCTCATCGACTCCCGTGCCGATGTGCCACGGCCAAAGAAGCGAGAAGCTCCCAGGAAACCTGTGACAAGACCAGCACCCCAACCACCACAGACCGGCTTCATCATCGAGGAGCTTAGCGATGGAGGTGGCCCAGAAGAAGACGATATTGTGCCCTACGCAAAACCGGACTCGGATCCAGAAGACTCGGACGATGACGCGACATTGGTCAGGCGCAATAAACCAAAGGCGCCGGTTTACATCAGAGACCTGATCAAGTACCTCCGAGACACCGACAGCTATGACCATCAGAAGCTTGCTCTCACGACGGCACCCACCCTTATACGGCGTAAGGCAGGTTACGGGACCGAAGTATCGGAACACGCCGAAGAGCTGGCTTCGTTACTTGTCGGCCTGAGTGACAAGTTCGAAACGAAGAACTTTGACGAGCTTAGAATCCAGGGGATGATTGCTATTGTCGTCGCCAAACCAGAGAAGATGGGCCAGTGGTTCGCCAAAACATTCTTCGATGGCGATTACTCTATCTCCCAGCGGGCCTCAGTCCTCGTCGTCCTTGGTCTTAGCGCTCGTGAGCTCGCAGGCCTCGAGACCTCGGATTATGCCGCAGCCGCCTCGTTCCCGTCGAAGACGCTTCCCGAGCGAGCCGAACGTCTTTATCTCGGCCACTCGTCAACCACCCAACCGTCTTCTTCACTCAAACCCCTTCCACCGAACGCCCTCGACAACATAGCCACCTCCCTCACTTCCGCTTTTCTTGCCCCACTGGCAGCAACAGCCGCCGACGCAGCCACCGGTCCCGACATCTTAAAACTGTCCACCTTCACTTCCCGCCTCACTGACGACCAAACCTCATCCCCCAGCAACCCCAAAGTCAAATATAAGTCTCAACCCAGAGCCAAACCCCGCCTCCGCGCCATACCAAACAACACCGCCCACCTCCTCTCCACCTCCTTCTTCTCCCCACTCATAGCCCGCTTCCAAGCCGCCCTGCACACCGCCGGTTCTTTGTCGTCCCGCACCGGCAAGACAATCCTCTTCCACCCGTACCTCCTCGCCCTCTACCTCAAGACCCTCGCCCTACTCCTCCACGCCGCCGGGCCGAGCACCCTCGCCCTACCACACATGACGGCCGAGCTGTGGCGCCTGCTCCTCAGCACGGGCGTGCGCGCGCAGGCGGTCGGGGATTTGAGCGTCATACAGGCCGTGCTGTTTGGGTATGTGGCGCTATTGGACGTGAATGAGGATCGCATGAGGGAGGTGTGTGTGGAGCTGGGAAGGGAGGTGGTCGAGGCCGTCGAGTGGGTGGCTGGTGTGTTTGGTGGGTTGAGGGGTGGGGATGAAGGCGGGGAGGAGGAGAGGGTTAAGGCATTGGCTGCGGCGGTTCTGGTGAGGTTGAGGGAGGGAGTGGAGAAGTATAGACTGCTTTTAATTGGGGATTTGATTGGGTTTGGCTAACGGAAGTAGTGATCCGAAAGGCGGTAGTTGAAGGGCCAAATGCAGCGTCTTGGAAGGTTAAGGTCCTTGGTACTGTTCAGTTTTGTCTTGAGGATTGTGTGTTCCATCTCGAATGTTGGTGTTTGTTGACCCCGTGCTGGTGACTCTCAGGGGTATCAGGTGACCTGCAGGCCGCTGACGCCATTGCGGCTTGGCGCATCCGCACCCCTGTCGCAGCCGGAAAGGTTCTGGAACGGAACGATTGACAAATCAAAACCACCTCGCGCAGCTTTACTTCAACGTCGGCGTAACAACTCTTCCTCTTCTGGCGCGGGTTGTTCCAAAACAGCACAGTCACTCATTTCACCATGGCAACCCCCGCAGCTCAGATCCGTGAGTTCTCCCATCTGATACTCGAAACGAAATGCTGCGGATGTTTTCGTAGACCATTCCGCTGAATCCAGAACCCAGCGTCCATCGGCTCCAGCGCGCCGGCCGCAACGGCACCCCAAGCCACCGAGGCCGCCTCGAAGCCCAAGGTCTGATGGTCTTTAGTCCAAGCAACCTATTGGACCACTCGTCAGCTAACAAAACGCTTTTGAACAGCCCTGCTGCGTGTGCAAGGAGGAAAAGTCCAAGCGCGACGAGTGCATGCTCTTCTCGACGGCTGCCGACCCCCAGAAGGATTGCTTGTCGACAATAGAACAGTACCGGCGCTGCATGGCCGGGTTCGGATTCAAGGTCTAGGTACGGCCAGGGGAACGGCAGGATTGGGTTGCGACGATATGGTGTACGTTGTACAATACACGGGGCGTTCTTGGACGGGTAGACTGGTCATGGGAAATTCATGAAGTATTCCTCTCTCACCCCGCGAGCCTGGATCCTTTTTACGCCATTACAGCCTCCGTTCCGTTCCAGCAATAACTCCAGCATAACTACCCGACGACCAAAGCAATAGGGGTATCATCCAGCAAACAAGCAAAAGCAACCGAAACGCCCCGCCAACCATCCCCCAATCAACCTAAAGCACTGCCCTCTCCGGAACCGACACCGCCCACTCCGCCAGCAACAACAGCCCCCTCCCGAAGTGGATGACGATGACCATGATTCATTTGAAGCCAGACCTCGTCAATACCAGTTTTCTTTTGGCCGCCGCCCTCCTTCAACACACTCGCAACGTCCTCCTTGCGCCCTTCGTACAGCGCCTGCAGCTGAACGGCCAGATTCAACATCCTCTGCTGGTGCTCGGCCAGCTTACGCGCGATCTTGTCGATTTTCTCGTCGCGGCGGTCCATGGCCTGTTTCAGGCGTCTGAGGTGTGCGATATGCATCGCTGAGCTGGTTCCTCCATCCATCAGCGTCAGGAAGGTTGATGGCTAGAAGCCCTAGGGCTGAGTGCGAGGTGGGTGCGTGGCATAGGAACTGAACTTCGAGAAGGAATATGAGAGTTGAGACGTACCGCAGATCTTTGTGCTTGGCCACGGACTTTTGAATGCGGGATTCGATTTGGCGGAGGGCGACCTCGAATGCTGTGACGAGGGCGGCGCGGTTCTTGTCGCGGGTTTGTTTGGCCTGGTTGGAGGTGGTTTAGAATTGGGTTTTAGTTTGCGACTTGGTGGGAAGGGGTTTGGGTAGGTAGGTATGTAGGTAGTGTGCTGACCTTGCGAAGACGGGTTCGGGCTGCGCCGGCTTCTTTCAGTCGGCCGTTGTAGGCCTGGTATTCGGCGTCCGAGTCGGACTCTGCGGGGCTTCTTGCGGAGCCGGGGATTCTCCGCTGCCTTGCCGTGTTTGCTGCGGGTGCCATTGTGATGCGTGTGTTTCTATGTGTGGTCCGACTGATACGCTTGTCTTTTCATTCAGTGTCCTAATATAGCGTTGATTTTTTGGAGGTTCTTTTGACACGCCGAATGAAAAATAAGGTGCCATCAGCAACTTGATCCCTGTCCCAAGTTTGGGCGGTGTGTGCTGGCAGGTTTTCTTTGCAAAGCTTCCCCGCCAAATTTTAGACAATTGGAACGACGGGGACGTTTACCTTCGTAAGGCCTCGACACCCGCCCATTCCACAAGACACAGCTCAGCAATTCTGAGCGCCTTTGGATCGAAATGGGTCTTGCTGCCGCCAAAAAGTGAGAAGACCAGTCATTGAGTCCATCCATGCTGCTGACTCGCAGAATAGCAAGCGGAAACTCGGCAACGACCCCAACAATACCAAATGGTCGCGCAACACCGACTCGTTTGGCCACAAGATCCTTAGGGCGCAGGGCTGGCAACCAGGTGACTACCTTGGCGCGAAGGATGTCGCGCATGCCGAGTGGCACACCGAGGCCAACTCGGCACACATCAGAGTCGTGCTCAAGGACGACACCCTTGGCCTCGGAGCTAAGAGGAACAATGGCGATGAGTGCACAGGCCTGGACGCGTTTCAACACCTGTTGGGCCGCCTCAATGGAAAGAGCGACGACACGCTCGAGACGGAACGAAAGGCGCGCGAAGATCTGAAGCGCAGTCTTTATGTCGAAAAGAAGTTTGGGACGATTCGCTTCGTCAAGGGCGGGTGGCTGGTTGGCGACCAGGTCAAGGACTCTCCGGATGAAGGAGCAGTCGACCCGCAGAACGAGTCTGACTCAGAGGCACCGAAAAGCGCTGCTGAAGTGGCTGAGGCAACAGAAATCGCGCCAACAAAGCCCAACAAGGGGGAAGCTGACGAAGACGACGCTCGAAAAGACGACAAGAAGCGCACACAGGAAAAGAAGTCCAAAAAGAGGAAAGCAGAGTCGGAGGCCGAGGCGGATGGTGAGAGCGCAAAAGAGAAGAAAGACAAGAAGTCCAAGAAACGAAGGGCAGAGGCTGAAGAGGGTGACGGTGAGGCATCGTCCACGTCAAGACGCAGCAAGAAGAGGAAGGACGGGGTGAAAGTGATAGAGGAGTTTGCGCAGAGCCCAAGCGCTGCAGTCTCGGAGGCCGGCGGAGTCCCTGACCATTCTGATTGTGCCGCTGAGACTGGAAAGGCGAAAAAGGAGAAGAAGGACAAAAAGAGAGACAAGACTGACAAGAAAGAGAGGAAGGAGAAGAAGCGAAGGAAAGAGAGTGCTCTGGAAACCGCTACTCCGACTTCCGCTGAAAGCAATCTCACGACACCAGCAGGCAGCGGTTACTCCACCCCTGTCCCTGCCGGCTCGAGTAGATACTTGGCAAGATCGAGGTTCATTGCCCAGAAAAAGATGGCCTTTGCGGACAGCGCAGCGCTTAACCAGGTGAGATTCGGACTGCATTTTTCAGGCATTGAGTGAAATCTGGCTGACACTGGCAAGATCTTCATGATCAAATCATAACAAGGCCGGGTATTGGAGACCACACCCGCCTTCTCTTCCTCAACCCACATCTCTTGCTGACGAGGTTGATTTGCTCTCAGCTGTGGAAGGGACCGCCAGGGGCTGCCACCTCAAGAGCGAAACGACCTGGGACGTTCTACTTGTCCCGGCATACCACATCGATGTCCCAGGACCGAGTCTCGCACCGTCTTCAATGCATCCACATCGATAGTAGCTCATCACGCTTCATCCGGCATGTCTTTGGTCCACCAACCTCCGCCTCGCCCATGCGTCCCCGCAGGTCGCCGGCCAGCGCTCGTGTTCACAATGCTAGGATTCTGGAAGATAGCCTCCGCGCTCGGAGAGGCGACATTAGGGTTGTCGCATATCTGTCGACGCACCGTTGACGAGACTTCTGCGGCAATTTGGCGATTGACTGTGGTCGTCCGAGAGCTTAGGTTCGAGGAGGATTCTTTCTCTCGCCTGACAATCACGTTGTGCTTTCCATGTCTGTGGCGTTTGCAACGACGCTAACAACCGGCGAAGTTTCAATTTCAAGCAGTCGTGGCCTTGATGCTCTCCTGCGGTATCCTTACCGCCTGTCGGTATGTTTCAATACGCCTCGCGGTGGTCGACAACTTTTGCACGCTCGTGGCTGGAATTGCGGTCACCACCGTCAGACTCGGCATCACTTTCGAACCTCCCCGGTATTTCTGTGCTGGAGGGGGGGACAATCTTCCGAGGCGTTTGTGTTAGAGGGACCGAAAGATGACAGCATTAGAGCGGGTAGAACGTTTGTCAGGTATGGAATAGAGTTCGAACTTTCAGCGAAGCCTTCTGCGGGTGGGTTGCTATGTCGTTCTCTTCTCGTGTCGTTTTCATTCCTCCTCTACTATGTGATTGGCCGTCTGTGTCAATCAACTAAGCGGTGGTGAACTTACACAGGACTGCTTGATCTTTCGACCAAAAGCCTGTCTCAGGCCTGTCTCCGCCAACCTTTTCAGCATCTCATGGAAAATGTTTGTCTCGAAAGACCGGACGACACTGGGCTCAGCAGGCAGAACAGCCTGGCCTCTACGGTTCGATCACGTTCTATTATTGCTCATCAGAGGCCGACTGCAAAAATACGATTAAGTCTTTTACGACCTCGCAAAATCAAGGACCTACCAAAAAAAGGCTGACCATCGCCAACACGATGACCAAATCTTACCGCATATTCGCTCGTCACTGGAGACTGCTGCCTTTCCGGTAGGTGTTTTCCTCGGTTCAAGCATACCCATGAGATTGTACTTGTACTCACTGCCCAAATTGCAGGTTTGTCGTTATAAGAGCAGCCGCGTAAGAGATCCAGCATAGCACATAGCGCTTCGCGCAATTGAAGTGTCACCGGCGGACCAGCAAGCATGGATACCACTGATTTTTCGGCAAAGAAACGTGTGGTATCATACGCCGATGCCCTCCGCGGTTACAAAGTGTTCTCGCCCAAGCCCAAGCCCAAGCCCGCCCAAGATCAACAGGTCGAAGCAGCGCCGGTTCCTAAAGAAGAGCTCAGGTCAACTAAGAATGCGCGGAAGACATCCCAGAAGGAGGGGCTAACAGCAGCGCAGAAGAAGCGCTTCAAAGTAACGTCAGACGGTGTAAAACCATCACATCCGAACGGCACTGAGGCAACCCAATGCAGACAATCAGCCAAGAATGCGCAACTCAAACCCCCGGAATTTCGGTCTCGAGAACATGCAGGACAACCAGCCACGCGTCAGGTCTCATATGCTGATGCTGTCAAGGGCGCGTCAATGCTGCTGCGAGTCAGGCACAAGAAGGCGGGGCCTAGCCACGAGATGAACCCGGAGGCGCCTTGCTTCAATGACATAGCGACCGTAAGGCGAGTTCTAGAAGAATCGGCCAGCGTCAATGCTGGGAGTGCGCAAGAGGATCATGTGCATGGCGGTAATGCAATCCGGGACTGTCGCTGGGTCAAGACAGAGGGAGTCGTTCGTCATTCTGCAGCGAGCGAACTGACTCACAACACCCAAGACTCGGCCGTCTCTCGATATAATGCAGCTGGACCGCGAAACATGACGTTGGCCCCAGACACAGCCAGGACGCGTCGCGGGAACCCGTTATGTGGTGGTGGTTCCGGTGCCCTACATAACCAGCGCTCCCCTCGGTCCTCGACCTGGGATCATTCTTCTCCCGCAATGCAAAATTCACTTGCGGGTCTATCACCTTCAGCTTCACGAAACGCTAGACATTCAGCATCGAGCACTTTCTCTACAACTTCAGACAAGATCCTCACTACAACATCTCGCCATCAGATCCTTCCTGCACGATCAGACGATCACTTGATCAGAGATACAACCCAGCAGGCAACGTCGTCCGAAGACAAGATGAACAACCAACGCGAAAACCGAATCCACGAACTGATTGAAGCCCACGATCGCGGCGAAATATCGTGAGTGGCCTGTCCTTGCCCACAACACCACGCTGGCTAACATGTCAACAGACTCTGGGAAGACGCGCGTGAGTGGGACGTCATGGTTATATGCGGGTCACGCACCTGGCAACTTCACCGCGAGATCCTTGCCCGCGAGTCGCAGTGGTTTGGGGACCGCCTTCCAGCTATGCCTGTCGTAAGTCAATTTCTGAACTAGACCGCCCGGCCTCATACAGATCCCAACGCCAAGCCAGGCCCCCCCTTTTCCCTTCAGTCCAGTAAACAAAGTACTAACCACTACCAACAGGATGCAGACCACGTCGTCTTCGACTGCGCCGGCCACTGCCCAGCTCAGCTTTGGCTGGTGCTTTATTGGATGTACAATCACAGTAAGCCTCCTTTCCCCCCCTTTCCCCTTTTTCCCTACTCTACACCCCTCCCGATCCCCAAACAACCCACATAGACTGACCCCCGTAATTTAGCCTTCTACAACTACCCAATCTTCCTCCGATCAGCATTCAACGGCAGACAAATCCATTCTGCCGCCTTCATGTACATCTGCGGCGCGTCGGTGGCGTGCGAGAGCATGATGCTCACGGCATTGGGCGCGCTCGGCGAGGCCGCGTTCCGCCTGCAACAGTTTTTCGAACAGACCCCCGACGAAACCATCGAGGCTCTCGACCTGAGCGAGCTGTACTATCCCATCACGGCCGCGCTCGAGATGACGTACGAGCAGCCCCTGACGTCCGAAATGCTGTTTCCCCTCCGCCTCGCCATGGCGGTCATTGTCGAGGTGGTGAACGAGCCGCTCGGTCTGAACCCCGAATTTGTGGAGCACGCGAAAGACGAGTGGGAGGGTGAAAGGTCGTCGTTTGCGGACGCCGCCGCTGCCGATTTGGAACGCTTTGAGGAGAATAGGATCTTGGACGGCGCGCTGGCCCTTATTCAGCAACGTGTGGAGGAGAGGGAGGGGGAGGAGGGAGAATTGGAGGATGAGGGCTTGGAGGACTTGGTGGAGGAGCGAATGGATGAGGAGGTGGACGACGGCGAAGGAGTGTGGGAGGACCACAACGAGCTGGGCGTGTTCGCTAGAGGCATCGCTTTCTGGTCGGAGTCTGAGTCTTCCCGCCATGGCTCTCGCTACCGGTCAGGCCCTCGCTCGGCCTCGGGGTCGTCCGGTTCTAATTCCCGCTCTTCTTCGGGGTCAGCGCCGGGACCGAGAAACCGCAACCAGCAGGAAATTGAGACGGAGGACGCTGATGAGGAGGAAGATTCATTTGATATCTGGGAGGATGCCGAGCCCGACGAGGAGGCCATCCCTACACACTGGCTTCGCAACCGCGGGGTATTGGACGACGACGACATCGCCATGTTTGGCCAGGTCATGTCGCGCGAAGAGAGGTGGGAGGTACGTAAGGAGAACAACACCGGCCTTCGGCGCCCGATCCGTCCCAGCGGCCCGCCCCCAAGAGGGTATTTTGATCGGCTCGTAAACTTTACCGACCACCCCATCCCGGCACCTCCCGCGACCGCTCCCGCCCCACCGACCGTTCCCGTGCACCCCAACGCCGCCAACCTCGCCGCTGGCGCCGTCTCCGTCCGCTGGACTGCCCGAGTCATCGATCATGTTGGCCTCCTTTCCGTGCGCCAATTCCATTGAGCGCCACGTTGCTCCCCTGAGATTCAGATCCTCTCATCTGCTTGTCAGGGGTTCACGGCTTCAGCAACGGCCACCAATTGGGACACTCGGCACTCAACACTCAACACTCGGCATTCAACACTCTTCACTCGACACTCGGCACTCGGCTTTGGTGGACAAAGGTGGACAAGATTGGACCGGAGGGCATTTTGGGAGTTTGGCTGCTTCGGACTGGTTTGGGAGACTTGGGACATGGGCTGAATCTGGAGTTGCTTGGGGGATGGACGGCAGGAAATGGTTGTATTGTGGTTGATTTGGCTTTGGGACGTTCTGGCGCATATATTGGACGCGTATCTGGAGGAACAATGTCATCTTTCTGTAACATCAAGGTCAAGTACACGGGATAATGGATCATAATGAGTTTCTCCCTGGGATTTTCTGTTTCTTTCTCTGCCCGCTGAGCACAATGCACCCGAAGCCATCCGGACTCTCCAAAAAAGAGAACGAAGCTAAAGCCGGAGGACAGGAAACTGCCATAGCATTTACAATACACACTTGACAACGCTCTCGGTTCGAAAGACTGTTTCATCCTGCCTCGATGAGAGTGCTGGGTCTGCTCTAGCAGTAGCACGCGGCTCACGAAGGATCCCACGTAGTGGTCACCATTGCAGCCTCGGCTGGCGCCTTCTTGTCGTTTCACCGGTCTCCATTTCTACTGCGGGTTGTGGTTGCACGACATGCCGCAGTGGTGGTGGTATGTAACCCGGAGTTCGAGCGAGGAGGCAGTTGTCGAGGTGAAAAAGGCCTAGGCCGTTCTGGGTATGAAGTGGTTTGAGGGAGCGTCGGGTCAAACGACGGCAGAGAGCCTGCCGCAGCATTTTTGGAGTACGTAAAATCCAATTCAACTTCAGAGTGCTTCTATCCAGACAGCCGACTGCTCCATGTCCCAGACAGCCCACACCACCTTACCTGCTCCAGGCTGCCCCTGCCATCTGCGGTGCAGGATAAGCAACATCGGAGCTAATCAAAAGGATGCGTGCTCTTGTACCCCGCGCGGGAATAGGGCAGAGTGCCGCACTGCCAGTAGAACCGATGCAGGGTTACTTGCGGCGGCCTACAGATTGGAGATCCAAACGGCACATGAAACGGGGAAGAAGCCGAGATGCGGTGTTATACCATGCAATACGTTAGCGAGCCTGAGTCATCTTCTCCTCCTTAGTCTGCTTAGAAGAGGATGCGGAGGAGCGGATGTTGTGAGCAAGCACAAGACCACGTTGCCTAGCTTATCTCCGGGTGAGAAAGACTTCCTGGTAGCTAACTTTATTGTGTGTGTGTGTGTAGGTCGACGTCGTCATGTCCGGGACACCCTGGTCGGTGTTCCCTTCAACTTGGTGCCACATTGCCTGCTTTCTCAACAGAGAGCCACGAAATCCGATTCGCTGCACTCGGTTAGTGAGCTCCAAAGCTGAGGAGCGAACGTCGAGGACTCGAGGAGCTAATGCAGCTGGTGATCCAACCTCCCCGCCTCGCCAATCTCTTGGGCTTCCCTTCGATGCGTCGCAGACGGTTACCAGATCCGTCGCAATACAGGTCTCCAATTCATTGGCCAACGCCCGGCTTGTTGAGCTGCGTCTGCTTTATCTGTACTCAGCACATTGGCTAAACGTGCAGGCGAGGCAAAGCTCCCAGGTTTTCCACTCCCTGATAGCTCGGTACGAGACTTGGTAGTCAACCATATGTTTCCTAGGTCAACGGGATGTCGGATGAGGGGCTCCAAGCATGGCCCACGGCGCATGGACTGAGACACGCCAGTCCGTAGAGATAGGCGCTCCTGGTCCTAGGGTTGGAGCCGCCGGCAATCCTATCGTGAGTAGGAGAAGAGGGTATGGACGAGGTGAAGAAGACGGAGAGCTCTCTCTCTTAAACGGGGATTCGGCGAGCATGATCGGCGCCTCTCCGCGTTGCTAAATGATTGCTTCTTTACGCATCCAGTTGGTTGAGCATTCAATTTAATGAAGCAACGCTGGGTTAGCAGAACAGTTGCATATGCGTGTCGTTTGCAGCCGTAACGGAGAGGAGGGTCCTTCGGCAGGCCGTGTCGACTCGACTGTACTGCGGGGGTCGCAAGCTCATCCACGTCGCTCATTCGTTCAAGGAGGAGGGGCAGACTGCAGCAAGCTCGCTGCTGCTTGTGGCAAAGATGATGCGTGCGCTGTTCGAGAGGCAAGACGGCTCATCGCCTTGGCGTCAGGGCAGTTTTGAGTCGAATTCCCAACCCGAGCACATGCTTCGATGCGGTCAAGGTCGAACTTGGGTGTGGGGTTAATTCTGCGCGGACACGGGTCAGAGTCAGGTATGTCTGTAGCTGAAGCCCTATATTTGACTGACGAATATCATGAGAAGGAAGTATTTCCAACCCTTGTCTTGGAGTCTCGCCCAAATTGGTGTGCATGCTGCCCATTCCTCGCTTGAGGAGTGAGGTGCTCGCGTTGACTTACCCCGCATGTCGAGGACGCCCTGGAAGTGGGGCCGTGACGTTGACAGCCCGGGCTTGGCTTCACCCTAAATGTTAAGCTTGGGCGGTTCCCCTGGTCAGTGCTCGTGCCCCGGACTTAGCAGCATGGCTGCAAGTCTCATTGGCTCGCCATTTCATTTGCGGGTCAATTGAGTTAGGTGGTAGCCAATCAAGCAGCTAGGAGCTTGTGGCCAACGGTGATAGTGTCAATCCTGCGCTTGTTTGGGGCAAAGTGCCACTGAACACCTTCACAAGTGATGGGCAAGTGCGACCTCGAGGAAGCAAGTGGAAGGAGTCGCCCGTTTCTTTTTATTGAGACCTTTCGACCCCGTTCCCTCGCGCTCCCTCTTTTACCTGTCAACCCATCGTTTCCTGACAGTTGTCCCCGTCCCCAATTCCCGCCGCATCCATCGAGAGTCAGTGCGAGCGTCAGAGTAGATACCCCGCCCGGGACCGGACCGGGTCCAGACCAGCGGCGGATTGCGCTGTTGAGAATCACAAAGACCATAACGGAATACCGCAACTTGCCTGTCTCTGTCCGACATCCAAGCACACTGGTCCTTTCAATCGAACGAGTGGCTGCCGATCGCATTTCTCGCTGGAAGCCCAAGGCCGTTTGACAAAGAAAATCAACCGCCCGGGGCCGCCTGCATTACACTACCCTCATCATCGTTCGATCCCCCACCTCATTTCGTCATTTGATTGTTTCAGTTTCTCCATCCCTGAGCTCACCGAGACACGCACCCGGAACGATACCACCTCACAAAACATACGAGTTTGCGGCTCTGCACCGGTTTTTCTAGCGCCATTCCTCGCTTGCGGCCGGCATTGTTTGAGACATCCAAAGATATAAGCGTGCAATTCTCGCAGACATTCCATCCTCCTCCTCTTCACAATGTCTTCAGACAACGGAAACCCAGCTGCCAACGACATGGCTCGCCAGCGGCGCGGCTCCATCACCTCGAGCGCCTTCACCAACCTCTTCCGTGCTAACTCGCTTTCCCAACCCCCGACGGCACCCTTCCCCACTCCCTTGGCCACCGCTGCCATGAACGACCAACGGCGAAGACTGTCTGTTACCACGCTTGGCCTTTCGGGCACCTCTCCCACGACCACCTCGACGCTCTTGCGCCGTGCCAGCCTGTCGACGAACTCGGACTCGATTGACGAGAACGCCATTGAGGATGACGAGAGTCCTCGCACCGCGCCAGCCTCGGCCGTCAACCGCCGGATGAGCTTCGGCGCAACCCAACCGATTCGAGGCGTGCGAGGGCCCACTAGCCCTGGCACCAACGGTAGGCCACCCCAGCCGATCCGCCGCACCAGCATGGCCCGCGGTAGTCCGCCGACGCCGCCGCTCCCCTCGGCTAGCGTTGGCAGCTACACGTGGGGCAAGATTGCTTCACAGGCAAGCACTGCAAACCAGTCCAGAATCCCTTCTGACTTGTGCTCCCCTTCTGCCCGGCCAGACCAAGGTTTCAACTGGTCCGAGCAGCTTAGGTCTCGCGCCGAGAGCACCGTCGCCGCCGGCCCGCGGCCCTCCTTCTCGCTCGCCTCCGGCCTGGGCGGCTCTCCTCCCCGGGCTGCTGCTCCGGCCCCAGCTCCCGTCAGCCCTCGCCATGACCGAGCCAAGTCCTTCTCGGATATGCCAGCTCCTCCTGCCCAACCCCCCAAACCACGGGCTCCCCAGAAGCCCGATCCCTTCCAAGAGAGGATCCTGAAGGGCGATTTCTATATGGACTAAGCCGTGTTGACCGCGGCAACCCGTCCCATGGCTACTATTCCTTGTATGCATGTGTGCATTCACTACGTTCTCAGCTTCCCGTCTGTTTGAGACGAGGCTATCATTTCACATGATAATATGGGAAACTTTTGCGGCGTTTCACTGGGGTGTTGGGGGAACTCGGAAGGTTGTCTTCTTTTGCTCCACGAGTTTTTGGCCGGCGCTCTTCCTCTCTGTCTGGATTGGGGCTCTATTGAGCGAGCTGGTTTTCCCCACCAAAGGACCGACGGAAAAGGCGAGAGACTAAAGCACAGCTAGCAACGGAGTTTCGGGGGTCCCAAATGTGGCACTTCTTTTGCGGCGAAAATAAGGTAACATGGCATATTCATTTACGCGAGCGGAATGGGTTCGGGAATTACCAGGCTGTCACAGGCTACGGCTAACTGTATGTCCTTTACGAGCAAGGCAAAGGGGAATATTCTCCAGTAGCGAGAAGGGCACATTTGGTTGGTATGTATGGGATTTTTCTATCGTGTTACCCAGTTGGTACCATCACAGAGTGTACGATTAAGGCTGAGTTTTCCAGGTTGTGTTTGGGCCTAGGACTGTTTACTGCCTCCTGTTAATGACATGCAAGTCACGGACCGGGGTTTGACATGGGAAGTACGGCTTGATGGGTTTATCTTTGGACAGTATGGAGGCCTTTGTCAAGAGTCACTCGTCACAGAACTCTCAAGCCTTGAGCGGGGATCTACTCCAATTCACGCACTGAGAATGCATATGACCCTTTGGCCCTCCCATTCCTCTTCCTCAGTGTCCGCAACTCCCGGTTTTGTGTCTATATTGCCCAACTTGCTGTTGAAGAAGGATTATCTTAGTTATCTTTGTATCATGACCGTGCCCTGTCCAGGTGACCTGCACAGTTCCGCGGTCTTATCGTTGGCCATTGGTGATTGGCGGGATCGATTCCGAGTAATCGGGTTTCTTTGCTTTGTGTTGAGGCTGGGACATGGCACAGTATCCATGTCACTCGGTGTGGGTGTCCCTGGGCCAGAGTTGAGTGGGAGACAAAACGCGGGTGGTCACTTGATGAGGGGTTCATACCCGTACAGACGGAATAGGCATACGGGTGGACGGCAAAGGGAGTCTGGTTGATGGGGTTGCCATGTTCTTTCCCTACCACTTCTGCCAGCACCAGCCACATCTAATATCTGCCATCACGCTTGCCATTGTCATTGCCGCTGTCTTGTTGCCGTTTACCGTGGCCTGCTCTCGGCACAATCCTGTCATATTCAGGCATCTTTGGTTCCACTGCCGGCTTGCCTCTTCGCTTGAGGGTGCTCGAAGGTCTCGTACAGCGTATGGGACTTCGGAATCTTGAAGAGGCAAGGCCCGACCTTATCGTTGGTGATCCTGCTCTCTCTATCTCCATTTCATAGTGTACTTTGTCAAACGACTCGGAGTCTCTGCGGCCCGGCGATGCGTCGCGTCTGCGCCTGTCCACAGAGCTGGTGGCCTCTTCGGTAATCCATATGCCATGATTGGACGAACCGAACCAGTGTTGGAGATGTGGCTTGGGAGGCGTGGGAAGGCTCACCTGTACATAAGTGGTGAGTTAAGAATGGTGAAAAAGCTGCACTGGAAACGGTACATACCTTCTAGGATGGTTGGAGGTTGATGGAGGACAAACTCTCGTGATGTCCCACCAGAAACTTACACCTCCCACCGTATACATCTATGCTCGTCATGCTTTGAAATGTCGGCACGCATGGTGCGTCATTGGGAAAGGTGAAAAAAGTCGCTGATGGAAGGGAACGGAGAAGTTCTTATTAACACCTTACCCGAACAGGAAGAGGAAGCGGAGCAGGGGTGTCTGATCCCCAAACATGACATGATCTCCTTCAACTCCCTCCGCCTAGAACTCCTTTTCCAACTACATTAGCCAATTCATCATAGTAACCAAACAAAGCTATCACCTCGATTCCCAAGACTCACAATCCTAAAATCCAAACCCGCCCGCAGCACTCACCTCGGCCGTGGCACCGTCCCCAAGGTCCGCATCCATCCCGACCGCGACAGACGGGAACCACCCCTGCTCCTGCATCGCACTGCCGTCCGCGCTGCCGAACCCGCCCTCCATGAACCCGCCAAACGTCAGGTCCATGGCCTGCGCGAACCCGTCCCCAAAGATACTCGAGGTGTAGTCCATGTCCGAGACAGCCTGGAAAGCGTTGTCCCACCAGGGAAACGGCAGGTTCGACGCCATCATATCGTTCTCCGCCTGTGCCAGCACGTTTGCCAGCGCTTGGGATTGCTGCGGGGTTGCGGGTACGCCGCCGGCCATGAAGGACGAGGCTGCGTTGTTGTTGGCGGCGGCGCTGGTGGACGGTGTGGCCGAGTTGGTGACGGGGTCGTACATGAGCTGTGGCGGCCTGCTGAGCCATGTATCGGTGGCGGTGCTTTGAAGGGAGGTTGATGGCCGAGTGCCACTCCGGCTGGGCGCAGCGGATTTGTTTGTTGCGACCTCGGATAGAAGATGTAACGGCGTGTTGGCCGTGGCTGGGTAACCTGGTTGTTGCGGCTGCATCTGTTGCGGGACCGGAGTAGAGCCGCCCCGTTCTCCGGACTGGCGAGGGTGAGACGGGGCGGTCTCTGTGGTTTGGGGGTTCGCACCTTGCTTGGCGTCGCCGTTCTGGTACCGTTTCTGCTTATGGAACCAACTCCGTATCATGACTAAAACAACAAGAAACCTGGCGGCTGGCCGACTTCTTCCTTCGGCGGCTGCGGCGCGGAACTTATCGAGGAGGTTGTCCAGATACTGTTCGACTTTCATCTCATCCTTGCTGATAATGTTCCCCAGGTCGCTCTTGGGCGACGATGCCGCAAAGTAAATCTTGATCAGTACGACGATAGCATATGCAACTCGAACAAGATTGAACCCGGGCAGGCAGCGCACGGTGGGGACGTCGAGGGATATGAACACTCCAATGATGCCGTCAATGGCCTCGAGACATGCTGACAAGGCGCTGATGTGCGGTGCCGACAGCGGTATATCGTAGCCAAACGGGGAGTCGGTGACGCCCAGCCTGCAATCGTCGGAGGGGTCGCCCTGGATGGTGACTTCGTGCATATACAGGCTTATGACATTGAGACTCATCTGGAGCGTTGCTGGAGAAGCCATGTCAGCCCTCATATACTCATCACCGCTTTATCACGGGTTGAAGAACCATGGGGTTTTGGGTGGTCCCTTACGCTTCTGCAACTCATTCGGAATTGACTCGCGGTATCTTTCCAGCTCGCGCTCAAACCCTTTCAGGACATGCTGTGTCCTAGGTTCCGCAAGGTTAGGGGTCGACGCCGGATCGTCCATCGAGAACTGGATCGCGATATCCTCGGCCAGCTTGTGCGTCCACACGAGATGGCACAGATACTTATCCGTGGGCGCGGCGTCGGGCGACGTCTTTAGTACATCCATGGACTCGGTAACAAAGGGCGTCCAGCGGATCAGATTTGGACGATGCAGCGCGATGGCAGTGTTCGTTGCCATGAAGTAGCACGTCAACCATGCCCGGCGGGCCTCGACAGAAGTCGGATCCGGCGGCGGATGCTTGCGGAGAGGATGGTCGCGCCAGGCATGCCCGATATGTCTCTTAAACCCGCCCCAGGCCGGCGTCTTCCGTCCCAGCCCTAGCTCGATGGCCATGACGGCAGCGATGTGCACCAGTTGGTAAAACTTGAGTTCTTCGAAGCGATCAGGTGGCCAGTACCATATAACCGCCACTTGGACGGCCTGCACAAGCTCAAGGCTCTTATTCCCGCGGACAATGATTCTGTCGGCAAGCACCTGCATCAGCTCCTTGGTAAGGATCTGTTGCAGGGCCGGCATCTCGCCCGATGCAGCAGTGATGACAGCCAAAAACAAAACGGGTTTCGACGCCCTGAGCTCGGCGGCCGTCATGCAGGACGGGAACACAACGGCGGGAAGATGGGGGCACATCTTGTTCGTGTAGCGCGCGAGAAGCTCGCTGGCTTGCGCCATCGTCAGCAGGCCCCTCTCAATCATATCCGGAGGCAGCTGCTCCTTTGCAACCTCTCCGCCAGGGCAGGGGTTCAAACTCGGCGCAGTGTCCCGCGCACGGCCAGCAACTGCAGCAGAAGATGAAGAGCCCGCCTCCGCCCTTTCGTCGAGCTTCCTCTTCTTCCCCGCCGGATACGCATTCGCAATCACACCGGCATCCACCATCGGGCGGACCAGGGACGGTGGACCAGGACTGACACCTGGGCCAGGCCTAGCAGAAGAAGGTGGAAGCGGGGCGACATACCTGGCACCTTCGCCTTCACCGTCGCCCTCATTCTCCCTCTCCCAGTTCCTGCTCCCACTTCCACTCCTACCACCCGTGCCAGCCACAGCAGGGGTAGTAGGACTACCAGCCCCGGGCCCCATAACAGCAGCCGCAGCCGCAGCCGCGGCGCCCCTACTCGCAACCAAGCTCGCCGTCAAGGCATCGATCTTCTTCTCCAGCTCGGCCACGCGCGTGTCCGTTTTGCGCTGCCGCTTGCGCGTCGGCTGCGTGACGACGCACTTACGCTTGGTCTTGGCGCACCGGCGGCACGGCAGCGCCGCGGCGGCGGCCGGGTCCGCCGGATCCGCCGGAAAATCGCAGCGGACCTTGAGCGCGCGGCACGACTCACAGGCGCGGGGCTTTTTCGGGTCTGACGATGGTCCCGCCTGTGCTAGCGTGCCCGGCGATGCCCCGTCAGCGTCGGCGTCGGCGTCGTCGACAACGTCGTGATTGTTGTTGCTGTGCTGCTGCCCGTGGCTTTGGTCGGGACGGCGGTTGTCGTCTGGGGGTGTTAGCGAGGCCGGAGCAGGGTACAGCGCGGGTAGTTTCTCTCGTTGTTGACGGACAGATGCGTCCAGAGTAATGGTAGAGGAGGAGTTGGTGGATTGCGGGGAGAAGGCTGGCGCTGAAGCGAGGTTCGATGAGGTCTGGTCATGATGGGCTTGGGAGGTGGTTGCGGGTACTCGCGACGACGGCGATGGCAGCTGCTGTGGCTGGGACTGCCATGACGCAATTGAGCGCTGCTGCAGGTTTGTAGATGTGTCTTGTGGTGCCGATACCGCGGCGTTGCGGAGCGTCGGGTTCAGTATGCTGGTATCCAAGCGCGCCATTTGCAAATCGGCCACCCTTTCCTCGGATTGTCGGGTGCCGGTGATGGTGATGGCCGACTTCCGATCATGGGGGTTGTTGGTGATGAGATGTCGGCGCCGCTTGACTTCCGACGTCAGCAACAGGGGCTTCTGATTGGGTCAGCATACCTAGCCGATTGCCCCACATTAAGAGCTCCATCTGCCCTCAGAAGGCTTGTTCCGTTACAAACCGCCGACCCATCCGGCCGGTCCGTGTGAGCCAAGTCCCGAGGGTCGGCGACCTCCCTAGCCGTGGCTTCCTTCTGCACTCTTCGTTGAAGGAAAGAGCACTTGATGACAATGTACCATGGCTCACTGTCATTCACAACTCTCCGGATCATGCTGTTCAGCGCCACTGCATGCTCATGGCAACACAGCAACAGGGGCCTCCTCAAAGGGCCTGGAAGCTCACAACTGGGATCGAATCGCCGTATCGGTCGTCTCCTGGTCCACACCCGTGGTCGGCAACCAGACAACACATTTTAATGCAATGGAAATGCGTTGACTGCGTGCCAATCTATTACCTCCCCGTTTTCTGAATTCCTTGTGCAGCCGTGATTTGATCCTGCCGACTAAATCTCCACTAAATCTCCTGCATCTTCTAATCAGAACTCCCTCCCCTCCGCTGACACTATTGTATTGTACAACCAAACAGTAACAGCATGTCAAGAATCCATGGCTCAGAAACCACACAAGTTCCAAATGGGCGTTGTCTCCATACCACAATCGTCGTGACGACATGTAAGATGACCAATATTAAACATTGACGGACGTCCTTATATGTACCTATACATTCCCTTCTCTCTCAGTTCCCGTCCCCCCTCAATAACGAACTTGGTAGGTGGTATCTCCTTCACAACACTGCAGAATCAACCGGCTGGCTCAAAATCAGAGCCGTTAGAAATGGACGAACGAAACAGTGAATGCGTAACATGGAAGGCTGAACCACAAACCCAGACAGCCAACCGAAACGTGAAGTCAAAACAAAGCAGGGCAACCATGGCCATATGCCCTGAGTATCCATGACATGACACGACATGACACAATCCTGCAAAAAACATCCTCTTCTCCCGTGCACATACATACATACTGGCGTCGTAGAATAGCTCGCTCCCTCGCTCAATACAAATCGTACACAGGCCGTGGTTGGGTACCATGTTAGGAGTAGGTAGCAGCGGGGAGTGCAACAACCCCAAAGCCCAACGAAAGAAAGGAGAGAGCCTAAAAAGGCAAACAATCTCTGGAAGCGATGGAATGGTATCTTTGCTAGATGAAAGGAACAACAAGAGTTCAACATCAGAAGCCGAATTTGTCGTATGCAATTGTGTGCGATGCTGAGCGAGTGCGCCTCTCCAAACGGCTTTCGAATCACAGCCAAAAGGGTAAGAAAAGAGAAGAAAAGAGAAACGGAGGAGACAGCGGCTCTAGTACTGCGCCTCCTCCCGCAGTCGGCTCTTGGACGGCTGCTGGCTGAGCGTGCCCATGAACATGACGCTTTCGCGCCGGTTCCTGTACGGCTGATCGTATGCCGGCGCCGGCGTCAGTCCGTTTTCGTACAGCGGCCTGTCGTACCCGCCGGGGCTGGGCTTGTTGTTGTGTCCGGCCATGTGGTGTACATGATTGGGATCATAGCCGCCCTCGTAAGCCGGCCTCATGTGGCTGTGGCCCGGCGAGTCGTAATTCATCATCTGCCGCTGCGGCGGCGGTGTCGGCGTGCTCCGAGAATGGAGCGTCGCCGCGTTCATCTGTGCCATCTGCTGCATCGTCATCGGCGGCGGGGTCGGCGTGCTTCGGTTACCCTGCGCCTCCAAGGCCTCCATCAGGCGCTGCCTGTGAGGGGAGTCGCTGTGGGACGTGGACGGGCGCCCATCTGACGGCCTACCATCTGACGGCCGGCGTTCCTGGAATGACGTCGGAAGCGATGGGCGGCGTTCTTGCGGGAACTCTGGCTCCGTCACGGGAAGCTCGTACTCGCCAGGGTCGATTCCAAAGATGGCTTCGTAGTTTTGCAGGAACATGGCAAAAACCGGCGCGGGTATGTTGAGCGTCGGGGAGAAGACGATGCCAACGTTGCGCACCGTCATTTTGTTGACATCCGAGTGGTCGATGATCTTGATCAAGAAGGCAATCAGGTACTTCAACAACGCGGCATTGGCCTGCGGCAGACGCTCCACGAGCTCGGCGAGCGCTGTCATCTTCTCCTTGTGGTCCGTCATCTCCGTGACAGTGATGAACTGCGTGCGCAAGTCGTTGGTCAAGATGGTACTCGGCAGCTCACGAAGGTACATCTTGAGCAGCGAGGCGACGGCGTGGATGTCGTGGTACTGACCATCAGTGAGCAGGTTGATGTCACCCTCGTTGTTGAATCGTTCCCGCAGTTGCTTGATCACCAGGTTTGATCCGCTGAGACGGAAAATGCCCTCCTCAAGGATAGCGTTCTTCGCTTCAAGGTACTGGATGCACCTGTAGACGACCGCAGGTAGTGGCACCTTCACGTCCGTAGGCGCGTTGTAGCGGACAGCCTCGGCTAACGTCGCCCCGAAGGCCTGTCGAACGGGACCTTGGTACAGGTTGGTAGGCAGCGAGTTTCCACTCTCGCTTCCAAAGAGCGAGTCCTGGCCGTCGCTCGACGTCCTGGTCTTTGGGCCGAAGCCAAAGAAGCTGCGCTTCCTCGCCTTCTTTTCTTCCTGCGTGGGTGGCGTGAGCCCCATGCCAAGCTTGCTGCCCCACGACTCCGAGTGAGAGATGACCTGGGGATCGCGCGGCGCGGAGATGGTGTACGAAGATGTCGTCGACTGGCTGTGTGTCGACTCGTGATCTTGATGCCCGGACTGCTTGCCCTTCCCAGGCAGCCCTTGGGGAGCGTCGCCTTGCTTGGTGGCTTCGTAGTTCACGCCAATCAGATTCTCGTCCGCACTGGGCGCCTGCTGCTGTTTCGACTGACCATGCCCCTTCTTTTTTGCGTGGCCACGCTCGCCATGCCGGTCATGCGCGTTATCCTTCTTAGCAGGTTCCTCGTCATCCGGATCCCGGTAATCGATCCAACGAAGCAGGGCGTCAACCCATTGATCGCGCTCCTTGTCGCTCTCGGCGCACAACACGTGCTTCGTCACGCTGTTGGGGTCCTTCTTCTTGGGCTCGAGAATCAAGAAGGCGTGGCGATACTGGTTATCACCCTCGTCCGCCGCACCGCCCTGGGTTGACGTCCCATCGTTGGGGTGCTGAGCCTGCTTCCCAATCTGGGCCCTTTGCAGCTTGATGGTGCCCAAATGCGCTCCACCGGGCGTCTCATAATACTTCAGGAGCGGACCGTCGAGGACAAAGTAGCGGGCCTTCCATCCTCCGAAATTCTTGCCCCGCTTCGTTAGGTAGCCGTTCCGAAATGGACGTCCACCTGGGCCGACTTTCTGTGATTCGTGGTTGGAATCTCCAGTCGAGCTACCGGTCTCATCAGCGTTGGGCGGCAACGTGCCGGTGGACAGATACTTGCAGAGCTCAAGTGCCGTGGCGTTGTCCAGCGGTGTATTGAGCAACTCATCCAGGTATTGGTTGAGGGCAATGCGCCGGGCGTCGAGCTTTGCTGGTGCATGACCACTGAAAAGCGACCGATCCGGCGTCTTCGCAGTGAATGCGGGACACTGCTTCAGCCGTTGATCCAGCTTTGCAAGCGACGCAGAATCCTTTTCGATTCGCCAAAGCTCTCCGCCATCGGCTCTTGAATACACAGCCAGAGTGAAGACCGGATCTTCTTCCAGCTGCGTCAGAGAGATCAAGCTGGCTCTCGAAGGCTTCATGCGAGAGGAGGCAACCTTGATATCAATCGACGGAAGCGCGTTTGGCGGAAGCAGCAAGTCGGGATACTCGTCCGTCACGAACCCCTTGAATATCCTGGTCCGCTCTACCGGGCTGTCGTTGCTGGACTTTGTTGGACTTGGCGTACCGTCTCCTTGCTTTATGATGTTCACCGACCTCGACGACTTCAGCGCCAGGGGGTCTCCTGCGGGTGAAGGTGTGTGGAGGGGAGTGTTGGGCGGCAAGGGAATTGGCGCTCGCGGCGGCCGTGGAGATAGCGGTACCCCTGGGAAGCTCGAGACGCCCAGGGGAGAAAGTGGCGGGGAGTTGACGGGAGATCTTAGGTTCATTGGCCGGGGGCTCGAGGGAAGACCCGGACTTAACAACGGTGGAGGAATGGCTCGCGTATCGGGCGCACCGCTCAGGACCCCAGCAAGGGAGGCTGGCTCCCGTGAGGCCATGACCATGGTCGTCTGGACCAGCCTGGGACTGGCAGGTGTCTCACTCGGAGGCGCTTCCGCTTTCTCCGCTGCCTTGCGACTGCCGCTCTTCTTGCTTTTCTTGGACAGACTGCGGATCTCGGCCTCCTTTTTAGCCAGAATCTCACGCTCCCGCTCATCCTCTTCGCGTGTCCTCCTGCGCCCTCTTCTATCGTCAGAGTTGGCTTCGTCCACCTCGAGAATGTGGTCATATTCAGTGTCGGTTTCCGGCTCTTCTTCAGGAGCCACGTTGGGTCTTGGTTTCGTATGTTTTAGGTGCAGAGGTGCCGGTGGAGGCTTGCGCGGTGGAGGGGCTGGAGGAGGAGGAAACTTGGAAGCCCCGTCGTCGGGTTTCGAAGATCGGTCTGGGAGTCCAACAGGAGGTTGCGGCGGAGGCATCCGTGGTGGCTCGCGGGTTGCGGTACGGGAGGGCGGGATGTTCATGTTGATGGGAATGCCCTTGATCTCCTCCGCCTGTTTCGCGGCAGCTTCGGTCGCCCGTTCTTGCTCGTCGGGGTCAAACTGATCCAGTGCATGCTCACTCGGCTTCGGCATGGTGTGTGAAGGGTCGAGCATTTCGGCGACGGTCGACTTGGCGACAGCGGCCGTCGTCTGGTCCGCCGGAGGTGTTATGGGGTACGGGGCCAACGACACTTCGATGGGCGAGTGTTTGTGGCTGTCCGAGTCCACCGTCGTGGGAGAAACTGGCATGTCAAGAACACGTTCCTTCGGCGACGACGCAACAGCGCCAGCACCGTTCGTGGTCGCTCCTGACGCGCTCTGGGCAGATACAGAGGGGGCGGCCGGTGTCCCCGACGCGTCCAGGACCTCTTTCAGCTTTTTCCTGTATTTCTCCTTGTCCTTCAGAGCCCGCTCGAGGTCCTTGTTCAGGCCCAAAATCATAGCCCTCTGCTTGTCCACAAGCCTCCATAGCTGCGCATTCTGCTGGGACTGAGACTGCTTCTCCTTCAGCAAGTATTGGATGACTGCTTCGGCACTGCCAGCCGTCTTTATTAAATTTGCGATATCGGTCGCCCCAGCTGCTCCGTCCACGGACGCCTTGTTGAGACTAGACCTCGAGGAAATGGCAGAAATAGCGGAGTCTATCGACGAAGTTCTCGGGGGGTTCCTCACGGGCTCTGCCCGTGCGCTTTCTGGACCTGCCATGGTTGAAGCCTGGCTGGGAGAAGGGCCCCCTGGAGGCTGCGCGGCTGCAAGGGGATCGGAAACACTGCGCACTTCATTCGGAAAACCAAGAGACGGAGGCGGTCTGGGAAGAGAGAAGGTTAGCGCTTACACAGTCGAGTGCGACAAGACCATTTCGCCACGAAGGAGCGGAGAAAGAACGCACCCAGGGCTTCTATCCTCAGGCGTGGCGTTACCAGAGGATTCACTGTTGTAGTATGTTTTCTCGGATACCTGTGAGGTGCGGTCCTCGGGGGCTGCGGTGGTGACGATGCGTGGAACCGCGGCAGACGACGCTTCCATAGAAAGCGGGCTTGCGGGGACCAGTCTCGACCTAAACCGGGCAAAGGCTTCGATCAGTGTTGTGGACACGGCGGCTCGAGGGCACGACTCAGTCGTGGCACCACAGCGCAGATGCCAGGCAAAGATGCTGGACAAATGCTGTGCTCAGACAGAATGTGGGGTGCTGACGGTCTCGCCAATCTCTAATCTCTTTGGCAACGGTCAACGGGCAGGACGCTGTGCAGCCACGATACTCGACACAGCGTCCCAAGCACAGCCCAACTCGTCACAAACAGGGAAAAGAAAACGATAGCGGGAGGAGGCCAATCAAAGAATTTGGGCTCTCCGGGAAGTTGCGAAAAAAGGACGGACTGATGAGACCCGTACCTCGAGGTTGCCGCGATCGTCGGCGTTGGCAGCGAGCTATTGGCCGCGTAGAGCACCTGTGTTCTCCCGATGGTAGGGCTGTCCTGGAACAGAGAGTCCATAGAGCGCAGGTTTCGGGCCGCAAAGGGCTGGCGGGCTGGCGGCGATGGTGATCAGCCAGGCGGTCGTGAAGCTGCGACAGGAAATCCGCAATGCAGCAGGCTGGTGGAGGCGGAGACCCTGGATCAAGGGCGAGAACAGGGGTAGAGATTAAGCAGGACAGCTCGCGGAGGTTTCGAAATCCCTGGGCAGCCCTTTAGGACGTCGCATCGAAATCAATTCCACGCGACCAACACCAAGAGGAGAGCGGCCGTAGACTGTAGCAGCCGTGACGGCGATGAGAAGAGGAAGGCGTTGCAACTCGGAGCATCAGGATTTAGGGAGGCCCAAAAATTATGGGTCATCTGGAGACGGTGGGTTATGTTAAATTAATTAAACAGAAAGGAAGTGCACGCGCCCACGGCGCTAAGACAGTGTGGACAAGTGAGGCAAAGTCAGACATGCAGCTGAATTCCGGCAACGCCTATCGTCCTTCGTGGCTAACATTACCTGGCTGAGGTGAACCTATGCTCATAAAACCGGGAAAGCTTTGGGCGCACGCTGTCCCAGAGCTGCGCGGCGGAGGGCGAAGCCGTGTATGTGGTTGCGGGAACGCCGTTTGAAACTGAGTCTGGGGCAAGACGAGAATCCAGGTGCTGTCGCTTCCAAATTCGAATGGCTGCCAACCCTCCATCACTTACACGAACCATCACTTACACAGAGGTTGCCCGACTAAGCAAGGATACCTAAATCCCAAGGCCGATCATATAATATGAGCCCGGGCAATGATCCTTATTCCAAAGATTGTGTCCCTTATTAATGTCGGGATTGATGTCACACTGGACGTTGTGAAACCTACGGCCGAACTATCTGTCTGTATCGTTGCTGGGTTCGAGCACTATTGTGACGGTTTTCTGAAGGTACTGATACCTTGCAAGGTAACCAGATATTGCTTAAGTTTCCACAGCCAGAAACGTGATCAGATGATTATGGTTACCCTTCTAACATCCTGGAAATGGGCTGAGACCGAACAATTTCCCAGGCCCTTTCATCAAAGGTCGCCGTTCCATGGGCCGAGATACCCTTTAGCTTGTTATCACTTTTAAGGTGATCGAAGGTTCCATGGCAGCGTATGGATGCTCGGATACTCCGTACAGTCCGCCAGGTTGGTTGGCGGGCCCTGCAGGCCAAGTTCGGCTCCACAAGCTTACCGAGGCTTGATGCTTCTGACAGACTCGAGATGGGCGCAAGCCCACATGGCGAGCTGCTTTATTAATAATTTTCATCAGCAAAGAGATCTGCAATATAATCTTACTTAGGTAAGTATTTACCAAACACCTATATACACTACTTCTCCACGCAGGAGACTCCATTCTGTTAACCTCAATCATTGCCCCGAGGCGCTTGGGCCACTCTGGGGAAGTCGCCCCCACGACCTTAACGATCGTGTCATGCAGGGAGGGGTTGCAGTCATGAGCCATCTTGGGGATTTTCTCAATGTGCAGTGGAAGAGTTGGGAGGCTCATTACAGCCAAAAGGGTACCTCTCCTGATTGATGAGGTTTGATGCGCATGCAGGAACCCGCAGAGATATGAGGACATGCCTTTCGAAAGACACCGCGCGTGATATCGGGACTGTTTCCAAGCCCCCAAACCTGCATCTCGGGTCAGACAATCGCAACAAGGTACAGCCCAGTGGAGGTTTCCAATCGTTAAAACACACTCCCAGCCAATGATTTTCTCGGCTCCTCGACACCACACGGCCCTCACTGATGAGATTGATGAGCGAGCAACATCTCCTCGATTTGAGTCCGTACACTACCACAGCGGGGTCCAGCCGTCCTCCGATCCGCAACTGCCGCAGCGGAGCCGAAATGAGGACGCCATCAAATCCCATCTCTCCCACTTCCTCAAGCCACCAATCAAGCCACGCATCCCGTCCACACGTCGCAACAGAAAACATGCTGTCGGCTGATAAAGAGCGGTGTGCCGGTGGAATTGGCCCAAAATGGACACCTCTCACGTTTCTTGGTGGAAGTCGTCCCTGATGAATTTTCACTGTTTCATGTTCCATCAGGCTGGTCAGCGGGAGTCGCCCACCATCATGGCAACATCACATTGGCAGGGACGGGCCAGAAGTGCGCCTATGCAAGTCACCGGCCAAAGCTCCGCATTCTGATGAGCGGTCCCCTCGCGTGGGCGTAAGAGTCTTCCACGGCTTGTGATTGGATTGGATTTCGCGATTGGCAGCCCCTGAAATTCCCCGAGACAGCTCGGCCGCCCTACACAGTAGAGATGTCCTGCAGTCCAGGTCGACACGGGGCCAGCCGGCCAGACAGCCTCAGCAAAGGAAGATTTTCGTTCAGTGAATGACGACAAAAGGAAGTTCTCGACGCAGCGAATCATTTGGCGTTCGCCGTCCGAGACATGTCGGGCTGCAAGCGAGCCAAGAAACGCAGAGACATCCCTCGATTCCCAGGGCCGAAAGGAATCACGGTTTCATGTGGACCCCATGCCGCTGTGTTTATAATTTCAGGGTCTTCCTGGAAGGCCAGCATTCCTTCCTCAGAACTGCAAGAACCCAAACCTGTGCAGCGCGTCCGACCCGGGTCGACCGGGTTGAAACCGCAGTGCCTTTGTCGTCTCTGAACTGCGATCATCTGGTTAGGCTGAAATCTGACGTCAGCGAAAGACCGGTCAGCCGGTCGACTAACACATCAAGTCTTGTTCAGACACGGGGATCTAAACAGTTGGGCAGATGCTGTCAAGACGGCAAGAACAAGTCCAAAACACCACCCAGCAGTCGTAACGGCTTCACACGACAAGTGCTTAATACTGGGTTCTCCCAATTACCAGGCGTGATGCTAACGCTTTTGACACACAAGCGAAGTTCAACCCCTGACGCATTGATGCTGGTGGCCTGACTCCCCACAATCCAGATCGACCTTGTTAGAGATCATTGTGTGTAGCCTTCTGCTGTCATCATGCATGCCCGCCAATGCCATTCCCTAGCCCTTGAAAACGATCCCGCTGAGGTTCGGCCTTTCGAGTCGCACAGCCTTAAAGTTGGTATCATCGGATTGCCGGGAGGAGGGGGGGTGCCCGGGGGGAAGAGGGGAGGGGGCGCCCGGCTAGCAGACCGAGAGGAACGGGAAGCCGCGTCATCACAGAAACATAACAGGGTCAAAAATGCGGTGTCGGTTTCTACGGGATCATCTTGGGGCTGGGGGGGGGGGGGGGGGGTTGAAACAGGCTCGCTGAGGACGGCCAGGTTCCGAGCCTGACGTTAGTGTCATAAGACAAGAGCAAATCGCGAGCCTAGAATTCTCTTTTCACTCTTGAACACAATGACAAAATAGAAGAGTGGAAAGGAAGAGAGTGAGGAGGAAGTAAAAAGGACAGAAACATGAGGAGGAGAACTTAAACATAGTGAGGTGGAAGCACTCGTTCAGATTGTAAGACATCCAACAGACTCAACACAGAGCACAAGACTCCGATTTGGTTCACTTCTCCTCACACTTCGCGGTTATGTACTGTAATAGTTAGGTTCTCGTACACTCTTCGGGGCAAGTTGCTGACTGGACAGGAGCAGATTGGGTCCCATGACGTCCCTCAGTTTCCAGTACCCAAGGGAGTCGACATCTCTTTGGAGGCTTTGTGAATTGAACCTGAAGACAGCGAAGAAATAGCAGGCATGGACGTGAGTATGCCCTCGATATGTAATCCAAATCTCAAACAATCCGCCATCTGAATGTTCCCGGACAAATGCTTCCATTTCCACAGCATTTTCTAGCCATATCAGATCCTGCAAACAGGACTTAATCACCTTGAACCCAGCATACCGAAGTAACAGTTCCTCGGTGGTTAACCAGCACATGCGTTGACTCTCAATAGCTCCTGACCAACCTTGAGTATGCGAGAGCAAATTCGTGCTACCAAAGACACTGCAGTAATGGGGTAAGCACCACGGCCTGGAGAAGGAGCAGGTCAGAGTAGGACTGAAGCTACACAACAGAATCTTACAGTACCTCTGAAAAAGAACAACGACATCCAAAAACAAAGTACAGACCGAAGACAGGGAACCATGATGGACCGCAGCCACCCTGAGCTACAGCACCTTGGGAAGTCGCGAGTGCCTTCCATTCTTCGATTAGCCGATGGTAGCCTTGATCCTTCTTCGCAGGTCGATTTACAAGCAAATGAAACTATGGCAGGAGCAGAGAATACCTTACCTTACTAGACAGAGTTGATCTCTCCGTCTCGGGTGAACGCTGAGTTCAACCTCCGACACCATGTTACATCGACTCAAGCACTAACCAGCTCACATTCATCGCATACCGCATCGCCAACGCACATCTGTTACTGCGGCTTGACTGTATAATCTAATACAGCAACCCAACCCTGCATCCGTCATCTGGTCGTACGCCAAAATCCCAGTCGTGTCGGCTTTCACGCTCTTACTTCATCATTAACCCTCCTTGGTCGGCAACCATGGTCCGAGCGACTTGCTCGTCTGCTGGGGACAAACCAATATCCTGGACCAACGAGGCCTGGAACGGCGATCCCAGCGGGGAGGTCACCCTCGAATTCGAAGGCTACACTTGGGCAGTCAAAAGAGACGTCGTGGTGGCGCAATTCCCGTGGATTAAGGCCGCCATGGCCACGACAAAGCCGGTCAGGGCCGGGATTAACCCCATTCTTCGTTCTCGCTAATTGCAGACTTAGGGCTGCCAAGTTGTTGTCCACCCTTGCGCCTTCATGGGCATCTGCCCGAGACTCTTCTCCGCGCTGCTACAATACCTCCACACAAACGGCAAGTCCAACAAAACCAGACCACACCCTCTTCGTCCCACGAGACATCTAACCAATACTCTCGGTAGAACTACCAAGCAATCTATGGGAAGACCAGCCGTCCTTCCTTACCTTCGTCAACATGTACTACGTCGCCGAACGCTTCGGCATGACCCGGCTCAAGCTGAGCATGATCAAGTGCGTCGACCGGCTCGCCCGACATGTCCTGTCGCTGCCCGAACACCACTGCTCGCACTGCCCGCTCGCGCAGCAGGCGGACCCGGACTGGGAGGAGCGGCAGCACCTGGCGTCGTTGCTCCGTGCCGTCCTCGTCGTCGAGGAGCAGCCCTGGAGCGCCAAGATGATCAAGGCTGTATACGACGCGGGCGATCGCATGAAGATACGGCTGATGCGGCTTCCCGAGTTCTGCGACTTTGTGGAGCGGTTCGCAGTGGGCAATAACTTTGCGAGGGCGATTGGGATGCATCGGCTGTAAAGTGTCGGCGTGGTACATGGAGGCGGTGGGTTGCCGAGCAGTGTTAATCATTGGTTCAGTCTTGGGTTGCGGAGGGCTTGTTGGCGATATCACAGCACAGAATCGACTTGTCGAATTGCTAGAAAGAATAAAACATCGGGCTGCCGCAGAGGCACCTCATTGCCAGTTGGGTCACTTGTATTGCCTCCCCGGACCAAGTCTTGACAACGGTATATTCCCCAAGATGCAGTTAGCCGCATAACCAAGCCATTGTCGTTTATTGCCCGCTGTGTACCGCCAGAACCAACTTGGAGCATCATAAATCGTTCCGTAAATCAGCATTGTAGCAGTATATCCCCATCACATATCATCCCTCATATCAAACCATAAACCCCTCCCATGAACGCCGCATGCCAAGTTACCCCAACCCAACAACGGGACAACCAAGCCATAAAGGCGGGAACATCTCTCCCATTCAATACCTCTCATACGCCCTCCCATGCCCATAACCCCCGCGCTCACTCCCCTCCTCCGCCCACCGATCCTCAACCTTGATCCGAACCCTCTCCACACTCCCTTCCCTGTCCTTCCTCCTCACCACCACCGCCGCCGCCGGCGGACTAGGCGCCCTGGCCACCACCCTGTCCCTCGCAGGCAACCCCTCGACATAGCGATACGTCTCGAGCTTCGGCTCGGGCACCCGCACGGGAACAGGGACGATGCGCTCCCGCTCGATGATGACCTCCCTGTCGCGCGAGAGAGAGCGAGAGCGAGAGCGAGATCGAGACCGGGACCGGGACCGGGAGCGGCGTCGTCGGGACTTACTCCTCCGGCTGCGGCTGCGGCTGGATGTCGTCTCGGAGGGGTCGACGTCGACTGCTATGACGTCTATTATGTCGTCGTCGGCCGGCTTGGGTGCTGGCGGTGGGGGTTGAACGACGACGACGGGGGGTGGGGGTTGGACGACGACGGGGGCCGGTGGTGGTGTGCGAGGGCGGAGGATGACCTGCGGTGGGGGAGGAGGAGGAGGAGGCGGGACGATGGTAGTAATTTTGCGGCGGACTTCGCAGAGGCCTGGCTGGGGCGGGTTGCCGAGGTAGAGGCGCTTTTTGTGCCTGTGTTCGCGCGGATACACTGATTACCAGGAGAGTGAGCATGTGGACGATGGGGGATGGTTGAGGAGTTGGGTGTGCTTACTGGTGGGTAGTTAGCCGGGCGTTAAATCGCGAGGCGACAATGGTTAATGGATGCAAAGTTAAGAGGAGCAAGCTGGTGGTCGATGGTGAGAAGTGAGGTTACAGAGAGAAAGTGGAGTAGACTACCTTACTATAGAGGAGAGAGATGTGTAATTCTGTGTCCAACTATGTATAAGCTGGCGGTGTTGATCCTGAAACATCCCATCCAGGTATCGTGATCCGAACAAGCTCTGGCCTATGACGTAGTTTGTGCGACCAGCAAGCAGCCTGGTTTTCGGCTTGAGTGCACTATCCAATAATCGGGCAATCCGAGCTTGTTTCATGCTAGACCCCACATATGCCGGGAAGCCCGGGACCGGCCGGCATTGAAGTGGGACCGGCCCCGGTTACGAACCAGATCCGGAGTCTCATCAACTTCACGGGCTCTCCATACCACCTCCATGGATGGCTGACAAAATACCAGCCGGCATTCTCAATGACAGCAACCACATTCTGGTTAACCTCTAGAGTGCCAGGACAAGAGCAAGTTATGCTAAATTCACTTAACCGACCGAACTAATGAGCTTTAAAAATTTCATGGTAGATGAGAACCAACTGAAAGGACATATACGAGTAATGAGTTCCGGGTTGACCCTGATAAGTCGACGCCGTGTATCATTCATTCGTGATGTTGCTTCCAGCTTCCCCAGTTGTGGTCCGACCGGCGAAGGCGATCATGCAACACGAAATAAACCACACCCATTCAACCGTCAAGACCTCGAAGTCCATAAACGTCAGGGTCAGCGGCAGGACGGGTTTGCCATGGTACATCGTGGAAGAGACCACTAAACAGCCTGACAGGAAGGTAATGGTGCATGAAGCGACCGTGAGTGCGGCCAATGCACCGCGGTGTGCTTGCAGCAGAGGATGATCGCCGGGCGAAAAGATTCTAAACCGATCGTGGATGCCCAAGACTTGCGACTGAAGTCAGTAACCTTCCCGGGCCGTTGCGATATGGACCGGGTTCAACCAATTGCTGTTCGGTTCCGAAAACCTGTAGAAACCCTTGATCACCATCCAGGTGCGCTTCAAGTGGCTGGGTCATGATGTATCAACAATGTGGTCTAGGGAACTGTCAGCTACCGCTCGGAAAACAGCAACCTCGACGTCTCTCAATTTGTCTTGGTGTTCATGGTGAAAGTCTGATCAGACTGAGGCTACTCAGGATCAAAGGCATGGCCATGCCGTGGCCGAGCCTGCCAGTGCTTGAGGGATCGCAGCTAGTCGACATGGTGTTGTGCATTGGTCGTCCAATGGAGGAAGGTTTTGATAGAAGCTGTTGAGATCTGCCGACTCTCAAGTGTTTATGGAGACGGCTTGGATTGAGGTTGCAGTGGCTTGGATGCATTATTTTTCCATCAAAGCTACCGTGATTACTGAAGGTACCACAGTTGAGATAAGGTTGAGGTATCTGTTCTGCGTTTCGGTACACTAATTTGAACCTACAGTCCAGCCTAGTCTGTTCGTTAGCGTAGCATATGACATGCTCCAGATATCCATAGAATAGAGAAATAGAAATCAAGAAAAGAAGAAAATAAAGACGACAAAAGAAACAAGTATAGAAGATAAAGATAAGAAAGTAAGAGGAGATAGAATTGGAAGACAAGCCAACGACAGAGAGGAAAAGAAGAGAAAAAGGAAGTAAGAATTGAGGAAGTCAACGTGAAAGCAGTTGAGGTGTATAGTCCCCCCTGGAAAATGATTATTAGCATCTGAGCTTTGACCACCAGGGCCCTCCCAAAACATCTAGATAATCGCTAGAACGGCCTATTTTGACGCAGAAAAAACAGGCTTGACCGAGCGATGATTGTAAACTTTTCTCAATTCTCAATTTTCTTTGGTTAAGATTGAGTTAGTAGCAGTTGAAATGGATAATATTGCAATAAGTGGTGGGGACCCCTCTTTGTAGTTTCGTACTAAACAATAATTCAAGGTTTGTATCATAGATAAGTTGATGAATGAATGTACCTTACCTTAGTTCCACACTAATATGTAAACCAGGGGTTGTACTGTATATGTAAGGACACGAGATATAATAAGCTAGTGGCCATAGCGTCCACACCCCACGGAGCGGACCACTTCGCGGGGTGCATCCGATGTTATGCCTGTTCGCACGCCAGATCCAGACCATAACTTTGACGAAAATTGAGCAGCAGATTACATCAACCTAACCTCCGTATGAAGAGAAAGCATAAAGAAGAACGGTTACTGACTCCGCTCCTCGCCTCGACTCTTCTCCAGTCCCACCGTTTTCTGATTATCCACACTCCATCCTTGACTCGGCGTTACTCGACTCTACACCAGACATCGACCACCGGGCGTACAGTTGATAGACCGACTTACCTGTTGTCATACGATCGAACTCTGGTATGTTCTTTTTTCCTTCTACATCTTAATCTTGGTTTCATCTTTATCTTTCTTTTCAATTGTTTTTATCTTTGTGTGTGTTTCGTGTTATATTCTTCAACTCCACCTTCGCTGTAATCCCTCTTATATGCCACGCTGACCAACATACCAGGGCGGAACTATAAGAAACGGCCACCAACCTCCTTACTCAACTCGACCATACGCCGGGCTTTGGTTGTCCGGCGTGGGATTAGCGACCTACTTAGCTCACCTTGCCCGTCAACTGTGTTGCTGGTCAACATGACCGAAACGAGACGTGCTAGAGGTGCCACGGCGGCCGTCTCCGAGAAGCTCACCCTCGCTGCTCTGCCATACGAGCTCCAAGCCAACATATGGGAGGCTGCGATCGAGCCTCAGATCATTTTCATGGACATCGTCGAAGGTCGATTAGGAATCACTAGCCCGGCCGACAAAGCCCTCGCCCGGGTCTGCAGCCTGTCACGGGAGATCTATACTAAGAAGAAGAAACTCCTCAAGCTTGGCGCCCATTCCTACTGGGTCGACCCGGACCACGACATCTTCTACTTCCGCGGCGACCGCGTTCCTAGCACCTGGGACGCCATATCACGCCCCTCGGCTCCCAATCACGGTTTCGGCCTGCCCACCGTCGACGGATTCGACCGCAACATTATCCAGAACGTGGCCGTCGACCTGTACTACCTGGGCTCGCATCCGCGGGAGCACGCCATTGTCCGCCTCTGGATCCTCTTCCCCGGAATTCGGAGCCTCCACATTCTCGTGCCCAAAGGCCCGCCAGGCACTCCGGTCCCGAAGTTGGCCCCTGAGACCGTGGTGCTGTCCGACATCCCCAACCTGCAGATTGTCGGGCCCCCCGACGGAGACGCGAAGGAACTGTGGCTCGCTGTTCGGTACCAGGTGAAGAGGGCCTGTAACCGGATCCTGTCCACCGAGAACGGCTGGATGGGCCGCCACCTCCCGGAAGTCGTCGGCCACCTCACCGACGTGCGCCCCATCTTGCCACAGCTCGATCTGCTGCTGCAGCAGGCACAAGAACTGGGGAGGCAACATCAACAGTCCAATAACACCGCCAAAGATGAGCCCTAGATGCACTCGTCGATCCCGCCTGCCGGCGGCATGGATTCTCGAGGTTGCCTTCTCTTTCTTCTCCTCCGTCCCTATCCCCCTTAGTCTCCTCATCCTGAGCTGTGGCAGAAGGGTCGGTTTAGCAGGAGTCCGGGTGCTCATCTTCTCCAACACAGATATCTTCTTTCCCTCAATCTTCCTTTGAGGTTCTTATGGCGGGAGGCATAGTTGAGCGTATGAAGCCGGTCTGTCCTGGGATAGGGTGTTTGCTTGGGATTGGTTCTCTTTCTTCTTTTCTCCTCCGTCTCATGCGGTTTTGATGGATACATGGTCAGCGGCGTTCAGCATCATGGCATGGGGCCGAGGATCGGTTAGACCAAGTTGTCATCATGAGATACCCTGTACTTATAGATTTGTAGGAAGTATAATGTCGGGATACCCTGAATAGAAGCGTTGCTTTCCTGTTAACTTTGCTCTTTCATACCTACCTTTTGACTGCGAGAGCCTGCTTGTTGGAGTTGAGAACGGGCAGCGGAATGCGAACGGGCTGTGGAATGAGAACGGCCTGCGGAGTAAAGGAAATGATTCACTTGTTCAATACTGAGTATGGTCAGCCACAGCTGTTTCCCGTCTATGGAACAGGCATTGATCGACAAATAAGCTCTGTTGGCCACTTTCTTTAACAAAATACTGGGTGTAATAGCACTTCTCCGTACCCAGCCTCTCGATGTATGGGTTCATGTTGGTTCGCCAGTGCTGTTGTTGACACGGTTCCCCCGCAACATGGCAACTGCAGCTTGGATTATCGATCGTCCTGTTCATATTTCTCCTATTCTGAGATCAGCGTTCAGGCAATCAAGTCTCGCGTCACATCTGAAGACATTGACCTTGAGCATTGCAGGTCGTGGCCGACTTGTTACAGGGTTATGAGGTTGATGGGTAGATCAGGTCCCAAAGAATCTGGGCGACATGACTTCCAGGTTACGACACCTGACTCACCATTTCCACAGAATAGTGATGCTGTCCAGCGGAATGATATTTGCAATCAGGAACAATTGTGACGAAAGAAACCTCTCGCCGATATTTAAAGGCCAGAACCACTACGATGTCGCCGATTCTGCCCAACCCGCCCAGCATTATCGACAACATCAACAGTTGCCATGGATCCGCTCCTTACAAAGCTGTGGATCGCGTAACCGACACCATGGAACGTTTGACCATCGGTGAAAATCAGTCAACTTCAATGGTCTATCCCTGACCGCCCGAGTCTTGCTCTCCTACCTCTGGTTGTCGTCCTCAACATCTTCGACGTGATCTCTGAAACACCCCGGATCATCGCGGTCGAGATATTCGGGCCCAAGGACGACGAAACGCTCAACGAATACGGCTTGGAACATGCCAATTAGCAGACATACTAAAGTTTCCAACAACGCCCCCCCCCCCGGGTCTCCGCCAGCGCGGCTTCTGCATGCCGTCTCTCTCGGCGCTCATTCCGCGAGTCTCGGCCCCGACGGCATAGGGTTCACACTTGCACTCGGGCCAGTCGTACCATGTCAACCTGCAAAAGGACATCTTTCATATCTACGTACACCGCGTCGTGTATTTAGAGGAATGGGACGGGCCTCCTGGTTTCAACCCCGACTCAAAGTCACATCTTGAGCCGCTCTACAATTTTTCCAACGGCATGGAGCGTATGGCAATGTCGGAAGATTACGTTTACCCCAATTCCAATTTGAGTGGGTGCGGCTACCTTCGCCACCTGAACCCCAGATGCAGGGAGCTGAAGATTTTGGTTCCGGTTGAGAACTTGGAGGACATCCCCTTTGAGGGGACCACGCTCCCCTTCGCAGTAACCATGCCATGAGGAATTACTGGTGGATTAGGGTGCTTGAGCCACATTCCACCAGAGCATGACCTGGAAGGCTTTTGAGCAACGAGTCGTTGGCGAGATGGAAAGAATACATGAGTATTATGCGTCCTTCGTATGGAGTGGGAACCAGAGACGGCTGTGGGAGACAACCTGGAGATTGAGTCTGCTGCTGGCGGTCAAGGGGTACATTGTGGATTCCAGGAGGCTAAATGACCCAAAGGAGTTTGTGTTGAGCGTGTTGCCGCCGCCTGGGTCTTAGCCTTGGGCCGCGGCTTTGGTGAAAGGGTGCTTCCCAGGAATCGCCTTCTCTATTGATATCTCGGGTCTGAGGGTTATTGGTATGTTTCTTTCCTTATTGGGGCAGACTGGCACTATCCAGGACGCCGAGAAGAGGTTAGAGCGCTTCTTGACCATTTTGATAGTAGAATGTAGAATAGAAACAACGCACAGCAAACCTGACACTCTGAGTTATTTGCCCGAAGATGACCGTCCCGTGAGTACTGCGTCTAAACCATGGAGGCACTTGACCAAGTGATACGCATACAAAGTGAAGACTGTGTGCCGCTCATAGATCGAAAGTCGAAGAAACTCGGGTAGTGGTCGGGCCCTCTAACACTCGAGACCTTCCCACTCGAGATGGCACAAGACATAACAAAGCGTACATCAACCCACATGGCTCAAATACCCAAACACCGATCGGATTCGCATAAGATTCATCCACCCGCCCACACATATCTCATAACTCATACCATCATGATCCTCATTAAGAAAACATCTTGGTGATCCCCTTCAGCCCATCACTCCACCCGCCACCTAATCCTCCACCAACATAATCTCTCTCGAAACTCCTGCGCTCCCTATCAAACAACGTCAGCAATCCCACCAACCGTAGCAACAAAGCGAAAGGTTCAAACATACCACTGCACCCCGGCATCCCTCCCCCGCTCCACACTCGCCCTCGCGACCCTCGCCGCCGCACCACCGCCACCACCACTAACCATCTTGACCGCCTCGCCCACCAGCCCAATGGAGTCGCCCGTGCCGGCCTTGGCCGCCAAACCAAGCATGCGCTCGAGATACTTGGGCAGACGCAAGCCAAACCGGGCGAGCAGCGCCGTCAGCGCGCCGCCCGTGATGAGCGGCATCAACACGAGCATGAACACCTTGACCGGGTGGCGCTTGGCATAGTACAGCAAGTCGCGCAGCAGGCGCTTGAGGCGCTTGAGCATGCGCGCGACGAAACCCGGGCGCGGGGAGCGCTTGTAGTAGGAGGCTCCGGAGGGGGAGTGGCGGCCGCCTGGAAAAGAAGGAGGCGGGGTGTTAGTTTACTTTTCTGTAGTAAAGAGATGAAGAGGGGGGGTGGGGAGGTGAAGATCCGAGCGGCACGTACCGAAACCGCTAAAGAAGGAGCTCCGGGACGGGTTGGGCAGGCCGAAAAAGGAGCGGGTGCCGTCGTCGTCCTTGTCGCGGTAGCTGCTGCGGCGCTTGCTGCTGCGGTGGTGGTCGCCGTCATGGTGGTAGTTGAGGTGCTCCTCGTCATCGCCGCCGCCAAATATGGAGGCGGCAATGCCGCTTATGCCGCCGCCTATGCCGGCCGCCGAGCGGGAGTGCCGGTGCCGAGAGCGGTCGCGGGAACGGGAGCGTGAGCGGTCCTTGTGGTGGGTCGAGTGGCGGCGGCTGTGGTGCGACTTGGATCGCTTCGAGTGCGAGGTGCGCGCCGAGATGACGGACGCTGCGTCGTCGAGAAGGCCCATGATGTCGGCGGCGGCCCTGAGGGTCTGTCGCCTGCAATATCTACTGGAGCTGCTAGTTCAGAACCTTTGGAGGAGAGCTGTGGCAGGTGCCGACTCGGTTGCAGCTCGCACGGGGTCAATTGCGGCGAGTCAACACTCGGGAGTGGCGGCGCAATGGTCTGTTCGCGTCAATACATTGCTCGGTCAGGGCTACACGTCTTTCCTGAGTGGAAGATGGAGGAGTTCGTGCCTCGCCGCGGCTTACACCGCTGGAAAATCAGAAGGCTGGAACGATCGCCTTCGGAGCTCGATCCCTGTCGGGGACCAGGGGGGTCGGTGGAGAAATGCATACGAAGGTAGGTGGCTGAAATAACAGCAGTGGGTCCGGTACTGACAGGGGTGTCTCGCTTGTACCTCCTTTCCCTCTCCCAACATTGCAATCCAGGCAGTCCGGTTCATACTTCAGTTACTTCAATATCTAGTACAGAGCTCATTTGCCGCGATAACTGCATGAGCGCGGTCGGGCATACTCTGAACTAATTCCAAGAGCCAGTCTTCAGGGACCTTTTCCCATGCCTCTTTTACAGCAACACGAAGTCGACAGACTCCAAGACCCTTTGTATTTCCCAGTGGTATCACATCTTAGACCGCTGCTTTTTTGAAACCCAACTGGATCTATTCATCCACCCCATTGTTGCAAACCCAACCCTCACAGCCTCTCGTCCCTCTCCCTCTCCCGCCTCATCTCATCATAATCCGGCATATACCGACTGAGCACAGTAAAGCCCAGCGCAAGCAGCACCATCAGCACCCAAATAGCATACCCCCACAGCCACTGTGTACGCGCGCCAACAGCAAACAAGCCTGCAAACAGCGCGGGCGAGAATGACCTGACACCGCTGACATTCGCCAGTGCCAGCGCATTCAGCATGCCCAACAAGGCCGGGCTGGGCGAGACGTCGTTGAGCGCCAGCTGGATGGCCGTGAACGACATGCTGATCCCACAGCCGAGGCACAGCGCCACAGGCGCCACGACCCAAAACGCCGCGACGCTGGCGTCGGTGCCGGCGCGCAAGAGCAGGTTGAGCAGCGGGCAGACGGCGAAGAAGAACGGGTAGGCGGTGGCGCAGACTCGGAGGACGCCGTTGGTGCCGATGCGGTGCTGCAGCGGCGGGAAGACGAGCAGGACCCAGATGGCTTGCGACGCGCCGTTCAGGCCCAGCATGAGGGAGATTTGGAGCGGGGTGAACTCGAAACCGCCCAGGTGGACTTTGGTGAACCAAAACACGGGGACGATGGCTGTGTATGAGTAGGCCAGCAGCATGATGTACCCATAGGTAAACAAGACTATCGGTACGCCGCGGGATTTGATTAGGTCCCGAGTGGAATATTCCTGAGGTTTTGGAGTGGCGGAATCCTCGGCGCCGCTAGTTGCGTCGGCATGATGGCGAACCAGAGTCTCTTCGGTCCAGATGGCCGTGACGACTACCGCCGAGAGGCCTATCACGCCTACGGCCAGACTGGGGAGAGCGTAAGGGTAGTCGAGAAAGAAGCCGACGTTGCCGAAAAGGCCCGGGTACTGCCTGGCAGGGTCGGCGAGGGCACCACCGATCAGGGGCCCAAACAAAATGCCCAGGTTGCCGGTGAAGGCGAACCAGCTAAAGGCTCGGGCTTGTGTCTTTGAGGTGCTGTGCTCCGAGATCATGGTCCGAATGGTCACGATAGTGCCGGCAAAGACGCCAGCCAGGCAGCGGAAGAGGACCATTTGCCAGATGGTCCGGGCCATGCCGAAGAGGGTCGTGGCGAACGAGACGCCGACCAGCGAGAAGACGAGCACGGGCTTGCGGCCGAGGCGGTCGGCGGCCTTTCCCCATAGGATCATGACAAACATTTGGGTGAGCGAGAAGAGCGACTCGATCAGGCCGCTGTAGAAGCCCACGTCGGCGTTGTCCAAGTGGCCGTTCTCCTGAGCCATCTTGTTGATATAGGGGAAGATGGAGAAGAAGGCGACAGGTTCCACCCAGCGGGCGTAGCACAAGACGGCGATCTGCCATACGGGCAACGGCTTGTCGTCGACGTTGTTGGTGTCGTCATTTCCGTCCTGAACTGGTTCAATGACGGCCTCGTTGACTGCGGCGATGTCTTCGGCCGCCAGCAGGGGAGTCTGCTCCGTCGCGACTCTGACGCCGTCGTTACCTGACGCCCTCATATTGTCGGGTCCCCGGTGGACGAATGAACGGGAAATTGAACTATTTGAGTCCGGAATTTCTCAACATTGATTTCGGAAGAAGTCAATGCCAGAATTTAAACCCTCTTGAATCGATTATTACCGATTTATACAGGCAACATGATGGCGTCGCCTTTACCGTGTAAAGATGAAAGAAAAGCAACCCCATTGGTGAAGTACGGTAGTGGGTGGAGCACCAGAGGACACACACTGCGACTCGCCGTTATCTGCGGAGCCGGGGGACGGCCGGCTTCTCGTCGGTTTCGAGTCTTGCCAATTGCACCGAGTATAAATAAATAAGCATGGCACCGCTTGGGCAGCATAAACAAATTCCAATCGTGTTTGACAGCGCACTTCGGTATCCGACGAGACAGACAACAAAGGCGCCCCAAGTTAAGAACGTTGCATCGTTCCTGTCGGTTCCCAACTCCTCAACTACCGGTTCAAAAGGCGACATCCACATGTTTGGGATCGTCAGCACTGCAGCCTGCAGTGCCCACTGTTGTAAGTGTGACTGCTACTGTAAGTTCACAACCTTCAACACCTCAAGGGAACTCTCTTTTGTCCAACCACTACTACCTGGTACTTGTAAACATGCTCTTGTATGACTGGTTTATGGCCAGCTAACGCTGGTGAATCATGAAGACCGATGCACTCATGAATGACCCTGCAGTCGCACGAATCACCCTTTTCGCCGTGCGGCCATTTCAGAGGAGGTACTTCTCCAGGGTTAGAATCAGGTTGTTACACCAGCACTACACCCTGGCCATGATGCCTTAACCCGAGTCCTGACGTGGACGTCCCAAACTTGCTGTTCGTGTGGCAGACGCGGTGAACAGGTTGCGGCCGTGAAACCAAAGACACACAGCTATAGGGTGTGACTCAGATGCACCAGAAGCTCTGATGACCTAGGTAGTGCCTTCTCCAGGATAATTGATAAGGTTTGTAACTTCTGCTGGGCTTCTTCATTGACGAGCGAGGGTATCTTCATCTTCATAGTCTGTCTAACCCAACCAGAAACGACAGGCTTTTCACCTGGCCCCATGCTCCTTGACCGCACCCCCAACCAACGAAAATCGAAAAAAGTCAGAAGCGACGGTGTCTAAGCACACCGTTCGTGAACTATCACCACAGTCCGTGCGACATGAACGAAAGATGCACACTATATGAAAACAAACCTCTACTGAGCACCTCCAACACCCTTGGTGTATCTCCAAAGCAAGCTCGCCCCCTTGAGCTTCCACCGGGGCAAACAAGCCACCCTCCCCCTGGCCCCTTTCCCCTTTCCCTCCTTCCTCGTCCAACTCTCACATCCCTTCCCACCTTTAGGTTCCTCAACGCCACTATCATCCCGATGCCCATGAGCACCAAAAGAAGAAGAAGAAGGAGGCGGTAGACAAGCAGCAACCATACCCCTAACCCACCTCCTCCTGAACCTCTTCCAGTCATCATTGGTAGGCCATGGATCGCACCACTCGCCGCCCTCCCCGTCCTCCCCCTCACTGCCGCCAGCACTCCCGTCCCCACTCAAACTGCCTCCCGGCCGATAAGCACACTCCCAGGTCCTGCTCTCAGTCACAGTCCCAGTCCCAGTCCCGAATCCGACCCCCATCTCGGAAGCAGAGGTAGGATAGAAGAAGCACCCAGAATCACAAGTCGACCGGCCTCCGCCAGAAACATACCGCTCATACTCGTCGAACTCGTCCCCCTCGCGACTGACGTCCAGCGGGTAATACAGCAGCTCATTGGTGTGCGGGCGGCGCGGGCGCGAGTTGATGTTGGACTCAATGTCAAACTTGAAGCGGTAGGCCTGGTGGACCTGCTGCGGTCTGCTTTGTGCTGCATCAGGCGTGGGCGACAGCACGGACACGGGCTGATTATTGAGCGTGGGCGACAGCACGGACACGGGCTGATTATTGAATGTGTTTAGTTGTGGGGGCTGTGGTTGTTGTTGATGCTGATAGCTTTGAAGGAAGGGTGGAGACGACCGTTGTTGCTGGAGGGCAGTCGGCAACGGCAAAGGTAAGAGGGGTGGTGGGGAGAATGATGATGCGGCTGTGCTGGCTGTTGGACAAGGCGGAAGCCCACCCACTGTTGCTGTCGACTGGGTTGTAGTAATTGGCCCGCCGTTGCTGGGAACAGGCGATGAGTAGCCGGCTGTTGCTGATCCTGAATCTGGCGCAAGACCGAAATCAGAGGCAGCAGCCGTAGGTCCGGGAAGCATCGGCGTCAGCGTCCCCGGAAAGCGAAAGTCAAACTGGAACTGGAACTCTTGGTGAACGATGAAGATGAGCGTCCTCAGCCGCGGAAACTCGGCCAGGCTCGCCAGCAGCTTGCCCATGTTGTTCTTGGACACTTTCCGGCTCAGTACCGGGTGGAAGATGCCCTGGTAAATGCCGTACGAGGTGCCCAGCGCCAGATGGGCCGCGTTTTCTCGCACCAGTGGGATCTGGCTCATGAAGTGCAGCACCCGGTGCAGCCGCTTGACGAGGAGGTACGGCTCCAGGAGCAAAATGTCCCGCGACATGTCGACGAACTTGGTCGTCTTGCCCAGCGTCAGGGGCTTGTAATGGTGGAGAACCAGGGACCGGCTCTCTCGGCAGACGGCCGCCAGCGCGGGGGGGGCTTCGGCGTGCACGTTGGCAAACATCAGCCCCTCCTGAGCTGGTGTTTGTTGTTTCGCGTTGGGTGCATCCAAGACCTCGTAGACCCGTGGCTCAGGCAACGCAAACTCCCAGATCATGTTTCGTATCTCAGGCGGAAGTCGCTGAAACCTGGTGAAGCAGCCCGGCGCCTGCAAGGCGCACAGACGGGGAAAATGCTGATCGTAGTGCATGCTTCCGTCTCTCGAGCAGATGGACCCTTCCAGGTAGCCGTGTTGCACAGCCGAGATATATCGCCGCGGGATTCCGTCGTCGACCCGGGTATGCGCCTTTAGCCAAGCAAGGCCGCTTCCCGTGATCTCCCGCTCTTGAGTATATACCCGGCCCAGTTTCTCGGACCTATGGCCACGTCAAGATTCTCCGCACTCCAAATATGAGCCGCTTCCCAACGTCTCGTCTCTGAATCAGCTGGCTGGCCTGAAGATGCCGGCAGTCCGATTTGACCAAGGCGCAAGTATTGATCTCCTCGGTCATGAAGCGACTGGTCGGGCCCAAAACTCGGAATGCGCCCGTGGTTCAGCAGCGTGCCGGAGTCCTCAGCGGAAAGCCGGTTTTTAAGAAGCTGATTGTAGTAGATGGTGTGTCGCGAACTACACAATTATCAGGATCCGAGCTGACTGACAATCCAGATACGGACACGGCGGTCAGATGATATCGCAAGGTGCAGTCCCAGGCGTGAATCATGTCAGGTGCTCTCGTAGGTCGACAGCAGGATGAGAAAAAGGAATCGGGGAGAAGTTCAGGAGAGTGAGGGAAGTGTCAGGGCACCCACCATGTTAGGGCTACCCGCGGCTTCAGCTCACGCCACTTGACGAAGTGAGCAGGTGGGCAGTTCCAAGGCTGCTTGGATCAAGGAGAGGCCAGGAAAGGCGCTGGGCCCGGGAGCGAGCCGGACGACACGTCGGAAACGGGTTAGAGGGGGGTTCATGACCCAAAAGATCCCCATCGCTATCATGCGCGCTTTGCTTGGGCATGCGAGGCGTAGCTATCCGTCCGGGTACAAGCAGGAGATGGGAAAGGAAGGCGCCAAACCTTCCGCAAGAAGCAATCTCACACGGGACTGGCCGGCAAAGCAGGGTCAGAGCGGCAAATAGGAGCCACGGCCCATGGGACGCTACCGAGCGAGAACAATGGCAGGCTTGGTCATGTTCATGTCATTTCGTTTGGATCAGCGGGAGCTCGACGGGGTTGCGGCCTGGGAAGGCAGCTGGCTGGGAGCGCCGGGGTCTGAACCGCTTGTCCTGTGAGTATTGCCCGTCAGCTAGGGCAGCTGCTTCTTGGAGCGGGAGGGCAAAGGAAAATGGGGGTCCTTTGGGCGCATCGTGTCGAATAGGCATGCCGAAACGCCTGAAAGGTCAGTGAGGTCAGAGGAAGGGACTCGGCAAAACAAGGATGGGACATGGCGGTGGGTTTGTGTGCTATTCTTAGTATATTTGGGCCACGTTGTAATGCCGCAGCGTTCCAATTCATTAGTTTTTGAGGCTTACCGATCGGGGACCTATCGAAACGAGCCGTGGACAAAAGAGTAGCAGTCGGATTGTGCGACAGCGTTCGTGATCGGAGTAGCGTAGCAGCGGACCAGGAGCGGTTGCGTGGTGGTCCGGGTGGTCGAGAGGCGAGTGGGCGGGACACCGGGGGGCTGGCAGGCCTGTGATTTACTTTTCATTCGGCATGAGCCAAGTGTGCAGGGAGGCCGGCCACAACCAAGACGTTAACGTACAGGACATACCCAATAGCATGTGAGGCGGGTGGAGGGCGGCTGACCGCGCAGAACGGTCAGAAGCATACACTACAGCGTGGGAATGTGGGGAGGCTGGATAATACTACCTTACCCAAGACATGGATGCGAAACGTGACGCTGCATTGGCCTGAGTGATAGGGGGACTTTGTGAGACGGATCAGCGAAGGACCTTGGAGACTCCAAACCAAACGCCAGGCATAGATCGCCTGGATTTGTAGGAGGCCTATCGGTAGACGAACTGGCGGCCATTCAAGGTGTCAATCAACCAAGTAAGTCAAGTCTGAAGTCTTAGAAGCTATACTTAGTCTTACTTGAACTCTGTAGGCTGTGCGTAGCCGTGGGAATACCCTGCAGGGCAAGGTGGAGCTGCGCACTGACTAAGAGGAGTGGTGCTTTAGCTTCCACGCAAGACCCCACTCCAGTAAGCTTGCCTTATCTAATCTATATGGATGTAACCTTAACTTTGGCAAGGGCATTGCCCGTGACAGCGATAGCCTCTGCAGCTTCCTCTATTGCTCGAGGTTGCATTAGCTCTCTAGCTTTTTATAGTCTTTAGAAGCGGTTACGGATTCTATTGCAAGCCTCTTCGACTATCAGGCTCGGAGGCCAGTAGCTTAGAAGATGCTTTGTTGCAGGCCCTATTGCAGGCCCAGTTATAAGCCCTGTTACAAACTCTGTTGCAGGCCTTATTGTCAGCTGAGAAGGCTGAGGATCGGGGTAGGCTTCTAGAGCCTGTCTTCGAAGTCAGCTAGCCTCTTAATGAGATGAAGGTCTAGTGGAAGAATTCACATTTCGGCCTCAACGTGTCGGGTTAGGTAGCCTTGTAGGCCCCGGCCATTATCTATAGGCTCCTGTTCTGGGCCTTTCAGAGGTCTTTGACAATGCCTTATAGCTGACCTCTAATGGGAGTAGGCTAGTGAAGCTTGAAGCTTTGTAGGCTAGGGCACTGTAGGTGCACTTAGTATAGACTTCTCGGGCCTTGGCCAGGGCTGGGGCCTAGGTCTTAGCAGCTATTGTTGAACTGAACTGGCTCCTTGGCACCTGGATTCAGGGGCTGGGCACTGTTGCCCAATGCAGTAAGCGTGGAAGACTCGTCACCCACCCAAAAGCAGGGTCTGGCGAGGGTCCCGAAGCCCTCGGTTCTTTAAGCAACACACACACATCACGCATGGTTCAGACAGTCAATTCAAGCTTCATCTTGTGCCTCAATTGATGCAGTGTCACCTGGTTGGTCTATGCCTATTCGAGCCTGTAACTGTTGCTGTCTAACAGCTATTCTAGATAGTGCGAAGTCCTATGTTTTCAGTTTTTGTTCGACAGTGTCACGGGATTCCCCGCTCCTGGTCACGTGTTCGGCTCTGGCATTTGAGGTCTCGTCCTGCTCTTGCACCTGTCATCTAGATCTTGCTCTCTTCGTCGCAATATCAATCTTGTATGTGCGAGCTGACCAACTTTCGTGCCCGTCACAGACAGCTTCCCGGTAGGCCATTTAATCTAGCCTCCAATCTAGCCAGACTCTAAGGAACCAGCTAGAAGGTATAGGCTATATAGCATCGAAGTGTCACGGCGGGACAGGCGGACAATCCAATGACAATTGTATTCGGGCTAAACTACAGTCTAAGCTCTATTCCGTCAGGTACGGGCAGGCTTGATTGTCAAGACGTAGCTCGAGGAGCTACGAACAGATCTCGCGGCAGCGAGGTGCAGAATATTTAACCCACAGGGGCCCGTGCTTTCCACATGCCGGGTTCCACCCGTGGGTCCTAGCAGGCACGGCGCAATCGCCGTGACACGAAGCCTTAGCCCTATGGGTGGGCCAGGTTGACAAGGTTTGGCTATTCGTTTCGGCCTTTACTGAAGTGAATCAGCTCGCTCTTTTTCTTAGCAAAGACCATCCCTCTTGACTCGGCCCACTATAGACAGTGTGACGGCAACGGCCCAGCGGTTCCGATCGCAGAAACCTTATTCCGAGGCTGGACCCGCTTTCCGACATCACATGCCCTGATTGGGAGGGCGTAGATGCGACCAATCAGTGCATTGCAGGATCGTTGTGGGTCACTGGGCTCAGAAGCCCTGCCCACAACGCAGGAACGCACCGATCTCTCTTTTCCCCCCCATAGCTGTTTGTCTCGTAAAATAGACCTACTGATCTAGAGGCTCGCCTCTTGCATGCAGTAATCGTTGCCGTTATAGACAGGTCTTCCAGGCTTCTTCTAGTTGCTAGCAATAATCCTGAGGTCTCGGCTAAAGGCTAACTCTCTCTAGATGCTTCTCCTTCAACGCCTTATATAAGGAAGCAGTATAAAGTATAAAGAAGATTGGGGATAGTAGGGAGCCCTGTGGGACCCTAGCTTTGATTGTATAAGCTCTATAGCTTGCCCGTCAAAAGAGCGTAGCCGTCCTATGTAACGGGCTGGGCCCGGTGCGAGCCTCGGCGACTCTCGGCAAATACCAAGACCCCTGATGAGGCTATTCCCACTCGCCCCACAGCACACCGAACCTTCTAGCAACGCGCTCAGACCAGCGCGCCTACGAGGATAAGTATGCTTGCGAGCTACCAGAGTCTGTCATCTCTCCTTTTCTTCTCCAAGTTCAGTGTACTCGTAGAGTCGTCATCAGCTAGTTGCAATATACTACCTGAGACTGTTACATCCTATCCTCAAGCCAGGCCTTAGTCTACTGTACTAACTATCTAGGGAAGTCGCAGACCCCAAGGATATCTAGTAGCCTTATATAATTGACTATATCGTAGGCTCTAGATATATCTAGCTATACTAGGGAGGTAGTTGCTCCCTATCTCTAAGCCTCCTAGATTCAAGCGACTACTAGCTATATAGCTAGTTGTCATGGATATAGCTGCATGCAGACCCGAAGGGGCGCAAAGAGAGGGTCCCGAGCTAATCATTTTGGATATGGGTATAGCCAACCACGAAGGGAGCGCGAAGTCCTGTCTCCGCTCCCAGCGCTCCCCAAAGACAATGGGAGAAGGAGGTGTATATAATCCACGATCTTTAGGCTTACGGGCATCACGGTAGCTTCCTCAGTAAGCAATACAAGCAGTTAGCTATACCTACTGTTGAGACATTTGCTTGTGCACTTGTTGTGAACCTTTTGGCTTCACCGAACCTTACCCCGTTGACATGTTATAACCTTCAGGAGTCCCTTTCAAAAAAGTTGGGGCTTCGTGTACGAACCAACCATATGTACAGGTTCAGTGGGGCACAAGACAGAATCTCAGAGCCGATCGTTCCCCTAAGGAAGTGCAGGAACCGCACGAGGCCCACACGGTAGCCGTGGGGTCCGGGCGATCAAGGGTGAATTTGGGTAGCTGGCTACCCAAGGCGATCAAGGATAGCTCTTGGTAGACTGCGATTATGG